ATTTTTTTTTGTTTCTTTTAAAGGCAGGTGTGCCAAACTGAATATTTTAGCTACATTTGACAAGTAATGTTTCCCTGAAGGAAAGGGCTGCACAGAGAGAGGAAAGGATATTGTTTGCAACGATTCAATAGATCTTCTGGACCCTGGATATTGTCTGCTTTGCATCAGGCTGAATTTGTAGCATCATCCTCTTTTGTGGCTTCGTGACTTTGCTGATAACTGAAGGCAGGAGGAGGAGGAGGAGGAGGAGCACATTGGAGAGGAGAACAGGCAGCAGAGAATATGCTGGAAGGATGGAGCAGAGCATATACAAACAGGCAAAGGTATAGCTATAGAAATAAAACAGCCATGTGGGAAGCGATGGCGCCAATAGCCCAATAATTATATCCAAACCCAGTAGGCCTCAGGCAGGCCTTCCGGCTGATGTAATTCACACAAACATGCATACACACACTGGGTCAGCTCTATCATTAGGCAGAGGGAGGCAGCTGCCTCACACAGCAGATTTGTTGCAAGGGCAACAAATGGTGCCTCCTGTCACTATTTTGTGGGAGGGATTCAAGCAGAAACAGGAGCGGTAGGTTTGCACAATTTACATGTACTAAAGTGCTCTGTCGCCATGAGCTTGGTGCAGTTCAGAAAGTGATTGAAAAGTCTGGGATGAATGAATGATTCATGGGAAGACACCCTGCCCTCAAGTGAATCTGGAACGAACGTGGGACAAACACTCTTTGTTATATAACTGCCCCGCAAGCAAATCAGAATGAATGTTCAGTAAAGACTGGCTTTCATTCTTTCCTCTTCCAGATTGTCTCTGGGATGGGATTCAACAGGCAAATTCCAGATGTGAAATTACAGTCGACTGGTCTTGTGCAACTAGCAGCTTCCCCAAAAGATCGCTGATAAGGGAAGCGACAGGAACAATCACTGGGAAGTGTGGGAGGGATAATGCTTGATGCAATGTCAGTTCCCCCAATGCAATCTAACCTCCCCACAAACAAATCAGAATGGATGTTCATTAAATAGCCAGCATAATCTAATCTCTCTCCAAATGAATCAGGATGCGTGCTGAAAAACAGGTAATCTGGAGGATTCCAAAGCGTTCATTGTTTAGTTTGCTATTATTGCATTTTGACTCCCAGGGGGGAGGAGAGGTCCTTTTCAGAAGCAGCAAATATCTGACATTGAACCACCGTGAGCTGCAGGGGATTGTGGAACCATTCTATGGAATGTGCAGTCAGTACATGCAAGGCACTGGCAAGGCCTGCTCAGCCTCACTGTCAGCATGTGTGAACTCAGACGCTGCCACAATAAAACACCCCCCCCACTCTCTTGTGATTCGCACAACAATATATTTTAATCATGGTGGATCTTTCTCTTCCAGACTGCTTCCCCACCTCCAGAGAAGCTTCTATGAAATTCTAGGATCCCTCAAAACACAGAACCGAAGAACCGTAGAGTTGTTGGCCTATGAACCTTGGTTTGTTTTAGCTATGGTTTGGTGTCATGTGTGAACCAGACACCTTTCCATAACCATGGTTTGTTCTGACTAGCCCACCCCAGATGCTTACAAGTTTGCAAAGGCATGAGCAGCTGGAACACACACAAAATATTTGGAGAAACGAGCCATGGTATGTGTTATGTACTGAGTTGAATAGGATCCAAAAGGCAGCAGTCTGATTGGTCCTAGAACAATAGGGTCCAGAATGCAGCAGTCTGATTGGTTCACAGGAGCCACCCAATCCAGCTCCAGGTGGAAGTGAATCCGCAACCTGATTGGCCTACAGGTGAATCCCAGAATTAGCCAATCACGTGGGGCCCATTCTGGGGGAACTTCCATTCCTCCTCACCACCATGAGCTGAATAAAGAGCATGAAATCCACTCTCGACTCCGAGTATATTTCAGTATGTTTGATTGTTTGTGGGACGACTTGTGTTTAACTTGTGGCTTGTTAAACAAAGTACGGTGAGAGTGTTAGATGAGGAACACGCTTGGCAAATCCTTACCATGCTGAACTCCCACCCAGAAAACGATGTCCCCGCTGTGGAAGGACGTGTGGATCCAGAATTGGCCTCCACAGTCACTTATGGACCCACAATTGACGTTTGTCATGGAAGACAGTCTTACTCAGCTACGAGTGATCACCAAAGGAGCAGAAGAAGAAAAGGATGAGGAACAGTTTATAGCAAAAGTGTTTCATCTGTTACAGTGTTAAACTGCAGAGTCATGTAGCACTTTAAAGACTAGCAGATGTCATTATGGCATCCGCTTTCACTGATTAGAGTCCATCATGCGCATGAAGAGTAATCCTCAGGTGAGTCTCAAACCTTTGGTGAGTTAGGGACTTCTCTTGCATGCAAAGGCAGGCTCTGGCAGATTGAGCGGACAAGACTGTAATAAACGAAAATCTGCCTTTATTCACTTATGGGGAACACAGGAGCCCTTATAGAGTCCTTTGTAGGTTCTCCATCGGTCAGAGAAAAGAACAGAGGCCAACCAGAGAATATTGAGAAGCAAAGCAGCTCTTAAGCCTGATCTTTATTGAACTGTTGCAACAGGGTGCTCCCCTCACACGCAGGAAAGGAGGAGGACCCAGAACAAAAGTGTGTCCGCACTTATATAGACATTGTAAATTGCCTGCCTTGGAGTCCAAGACCACCCCCAGATACATCATACCTACATCACGGAAAGCGTGGCCTACAGCAGAAATCTGAGTGCGTTGTTTACCTCCTGTCTGGCAAGTTACCTGTTAATGCTCACTTGATTGGATACCCTGGGGAGCCTGGCCAGTCTTTTGTAATGATATACCCTTAAGACAGGTTATGTGAAGGGAAAGACAATGGGGAGGCTCTTCCATTTTCCTTTGACTTTGCAGAGAAAACATTTGGTCAGTTTGGGAGTCAAAATGGTTCCAGGACTGCTTTCCTGTGCTGCTTCAGACATGTGGTGTATATATTTATGTACGTGTTTGCTTGGTACATTTATGAAATATATATATATATATATATATATATATATATATATATATATATATGTACACATATGACCTTAATTTATTTATTTCAAGACCAAAAGCAGGTCCAATGGTCAAGAAGGCAGTTCCTGCATGTGCTGCAGAGGGAAGTGAGGGGCAGATGGGGCTCCTCAGCCTGGGAAGGGAGCCCATCTAGGAGAAGAAAAACTCTGATCCTTCAGGAGAAGGAGTGGCTGAGGAGTAAACCCGCCCGGCACAAATCTTAAGGCAGTTGGATGGTGCCTTGAACGCCTCCTGTCAACTCCTGCAGCCAAGCTAGTGCCAAACATCTTAATAATAATAATAATAATAATAATAATAATAATAATTTTTATTGAATGATTTTATGTTACAAAAAACAATACAACCATACTACCACTAAATATAATTAAGAAATAAAAATTACATACATCAATATTTAGTTTGTGATTTGTTATTTACTGTCTTATTTCCTCCCAAACATTCCATACAAAAACACACACATGTGCAGACACCCACACACCCACACCCGCACCCAAAATGATAATAATGAAAGTAAATATTTCCCCCCTTTTATCTTTCAAAATCTTTTCTTCAACTTTGACTTCCTGTCAAGTCCCTTTGCATATATTTTATCTTACAATCGAATGTACACAAAACAATAAACCTTTCTGTATAAAATTTCCAATACATTCTGAAAACATAATAAATCCTTAATTGTTGTCCACCTCCTTTTAGTTCCTTTATCACTCGAATGCTAGCATGGAATCAAAACTATTATTGTATTTTTGAACATATCTTCTATACCCATCCCATTTTTCTGCAAAATTTTGCTTTGAGTTTCCTCTGAGTTTGCTAGTCAATTGAGCCATCTCCTCAAATTCATGTAATTTAATTTGCCAATCTGTTATTTTTGGAGCCTTGTGATCTTTCCATCCCTTGGCCACAAGTATATGAACCGCTGCGGTTGCATACAATAATACCTCTCTTAGATTTTTTGGGGATCTCTTTATCTAAAATACTTGATAGAAATGCCTCCAGTTTTTTAGTAAAAGTTATCCCCATCATCTTTTTAATTCATCGTATATTTCCCCCCCAAAAAAATCTTAATATTTTCACACGTCCACCACATGTGGATCATGTCACCATTATTTCCTAGTGCCAAACATCTCGCTCTGCTTCCCTTTGGGCCACATCATTGAGGCCAAGAGGTCTTGTCACCTGGGCAGCCCAGGACCTCCATACACACTGACCAGGCTTGAGCCCCTGGGAGATCACTTTGGTCCTGCTAACTCATTGGTTTCGCTTCACCCCTGGAGGCACACTCCGTTATCTCTCCAGACGGATGGATGCCAGCAACAACAATCCACAGGAACATAGGACACTGCCTTATATTGAGTCAGACCCATAGCTGTCAACTTACAGATTTGAAAATAAGGGACCAGCAGCTAAAATAAGGGATTTTCCAGGCACAGGTATGTTCAACCTCTGAGCCCCTCCGAGCCAAAGGCAGAAAGCCCAGCCAGCAGCCAAACGACGCCTCAAGTGGTGGTTCCCATAGCGCAGCAACCCGGCAAAGGGGATGCAGCAAGGAAAACCACAGTCACCTCTCCGCTGGGAAGCGCTGAGCAAAGGCGAGTCCCCAGGCAACGCGGCCGATTTGATTGGCGCAAGGCATGCAAGCTGTAACACAAGCTCCACCCCCCAGTCGTTCTTAGACTCCTTATTGGGTGAGCAACACAGCCAAGCAACACAGTTGGAGCCTCCCTCCTTCCTGGCCGGCAGGGAGGGAGGGAGAGGAGCTGCTTCCTTTGAAACCCGGGAAATTTAAGGGACATCATCAATAAGGGACAGCAGCGGGACACGGCGCTGGGATAAGGGACTTTCCCGCCAAATAAGGGACGGTTGACAGCTATGGTCAGACCACTGGTGCATCTAGCTTAGTATAGCCTACACTGGCTGGCAGCATGGCTCCACGTTTTCCAATAGTTATCTTCCAGCCCTACCTAGCTATGCCGGGATTTGAACTTGGTACCTTCTGCCTGCAAAGCAGATTCTCTACCACTGAACTATACAGTCTTCCCCCCTTGCAGGTATAGATACACCTGTCTGGTGGTGGGTAAGTTGTAAGCTGTGGGTTCAGAGGAAAATGACATGCAAAGAAGTACAGATAGCAACATGCTGATTTATTTGTTTTTTAGCCCTGCCAAATTCAACCCCTTTGGCAACATTTCCTTTTCCCTCTTGCTTCTTCAGAAGGCTCCCTTTCCCCTTCACATCTCCTTGAGCAACCACCACTTTGACATTTCCCACTTGACAAGCCCTTACTGCTTTTGGATTGTTTCCCTAGCAAACAGAGTCACGTGTCGCTGGGTTAAGTCTTGGGTGGAACTCAGCTCATACCTAAGGGAATATCACTTTTTCTTAGAGGAAATGATAGACAGCCTAATAGTAAAATAATCATAATAACAGTCCATGATTGGCCCACAGTTTGAACAGAAAACATCAGACAGCGGTCCCTCTTACAGACTGAATGTTTACATGGATATGATTCTTATTGCGTCAAACTGGGCTTGCTGCCATGTGAATGCATGCAGGGCTGGCATCTGGAGACTGCAATATTGTTATGAACACTTAACATGGAGTTTTCTTCTGAACAGGCGTGCGTAGCATTGCCCTGTAATTGTTCTAACCACATTGTCTCTTATAAAAGTGTACGGCCTAGATCTTCTCCGACACTGCAGGCGAGATGGATTTTTTTTTATCATCTCTCTGTTGCTTGTGAACATTTGCTAACACCTTTCGCTGCCTCAAGCAGAATTGCAACTCTTCAATTTTTTTAATGGTACTTTTTTAAAAAAAGACCACCTGAAGCAGAGCATCAGTTCATGTACCTTAGCATTGTCCACACTGACTGGCAGCATCTCTCCAGGGTTTCAGGCAAGGTTCTCTTCAAATCTCCCCTGGAGTTGCTGGGGATTGAACCTGGAACTTCTGCTTACTAGGTAGTAGCTCTACCACAACTACAGCCCTTCCCTTTTTTGACCTTTTATGTGAGCCAGATACAAAGTAATTAGTTGTTGTTTAGTCGTTTAGTCGTGTCCGACTCTTTGTGACCCCATGGACCAGAGCACGCCAGGCACTCCTGTCTTCCACTGCCTCCCGCAGTTTGGTCAGACTCATGCTGGTAGCTTCGAGACCACTGTCCAGCCATCTCGTTCTCTGTCGTCCCCTTCTCCTTGTGCCCTCCATCTTTTCCAACATCAGGGTCTTTTCCAGGGAGTCTTCTCTTCTCATGAGGTGGCCAAAGTATTGGAGCCTCAGCTTCATGATCTGTCCTTCCAGTGAGCACTCAGGGCTGAAGTGGTCTCTTAAAGGTAAAGGTAAAGGGACCCCTGACCATTAGGTCCAGTCGTCTGGGGTTGCGCGCTCATCTCGCTCTATAGGCCGAGGGAGCCGGCGTTTGTAAGCAAACAGCTTCCGGGTCATGTGGCCAGCATGACTAAGCCGCTTATGGCGAACCAGAGCAGTGCACAGAAACACCGTTTACCTTCCCGCTAGAGCAGTACCTATTTATCTACTTGCACTTTGACGTGCTTTTGAACTGCTAGATTGGCAGGAGCAGAGACCGAGCAACGGGAGCTCACCCCGTCGCGGGGATTCGAACCGCTGACCTTCTGATCGGCAAGTCCTAGGCTCTGTGGTTTAACCCATAGCACCACCCGCATCCCTGAAGTGGTCTCTTAGCATGTACCATATATGTGGGAAATAAATGTAGGAAGTAAACCATAAATTAATATAACGCGATGGAGTTCCTAGGGGCAGGTATTGTCACCATATGAAAGGCCTTCATATGGAATGGGTCTCCTGATGAGGTTGTATCTCCCGGAGACCCTCTCCTGCAGAGTACAGGTGATCTTTTAGGTCCTAAGCTCCATAAGGCTGTGTACACCAGAAAAAGGAACTCGGACTTTACTCGTTTAACTTGGCCAGCTGGCAGCTGGCGCAATACTTTATGCAGAAGTGTCAACATGTGGCAAGAGTCTGCTCCGGTGGTTTACATAGGATACAGCTGTAGATGAGACGATAAGAGAGGAACCTGGCTGTTGCATGAGGCCAATGGCATTCTCAAAATGGCCAGCCAGCTGCCTCAATGCCAAGCCCCGGCCTGAGCACCCGCAGCAAATGCACACGACAGCAGTACTTGGTTGCAACCCTAATTTGAGAGCAAATGCCATTAATGTTAATAGGATTTATGCATGAGGGAACATTGCCGGGGATTATTACGTTTTAAAACTAAAAGAAGGGGGGTTGGTTGGTTCAAGAGTATGGGTAGGCAAACTAAGGTCTGGGGGCCGGATGTGGCCCAATCGCCTTCTAAATCCGGCCCACGGACGGTCCAGGAATCAGCGTGTTTTTACATGAGTAGAATGTGTGCTTTTTTAAAAAATGCATCTCTGGGTTATTTGTGGGGCATAGGAATTCATTCTCTTTTTTCTTCTTTTCAAAATATAGTCCGGCCCCCCACAAGGTCTGAGGGACAGTGGAAAAAGTTTGCTGAGCGCTGTTCAAGAGCCTTCTTTTAGTGCGGCTCCCCTTTCAATCTGAGCTCCCTTATTGGCGACTGGTAGAAATCAAAGCCTTCATTTGCAGGCACTGGAAGCCGACGCTTTGGGGAACCGAAGGTTTGCATCCATAAGAGGCAAATTAGCTCCTTTTTTTGTTATTACAGTATTGTTGTTGCAAATCCAGGTGTCCGGGAACATTCTAGCGCAGAGAGGGAGGAAGGGGGTTGTGATTCCGGCTTGACCCCCAGCCCCCTCCTGATTCGCGGTCTCTTCCTCTCTTTAGGGGGCGCCAGTTTCGCGATGAATGAAGCGGGGGTGGGAATAGAACGTTGCAACATTTGGTTTCCAGGGACGCCTGCGCGGTCGCCGGGGGCGGGGGAGCATCCCCGGATCTGACGCGCGCGCTCCAGCACGAGAGGGGAAATAAACAAGAGAAAAAGCGAGAGAGACAGAAGAGAAGAGAAGAGATCAGCTGGCGGATGGGGGCAGGGAAGCGGCCGGTGTCTTGATCCAGGCAAGATCCGATGGGCGGCGGTGGGGCGCACGATCCGGTGAACTGCAAGGCGGGGGGAAAAAGACAAAAGTTTGCGAATGAATGGGGTTTACAGCTGGGGAATCCCATTCAGGAGAGGCGGGGTGGCGAATTCTCCCACGATCTTAAGCTGGGAGCGTGTGGGGCGAGGATGGGAATGGGTTTGGTTTGATGCTGAATGGGGCTTGATCGGGGATCCGCAACAGAAATCATTCATATACGGATCTGCTGTGGCTGGAGAAGGGCCTGCAAGGGAGCCGGGAGGGTCGCGTCGACTTTTCCTTTTGGCCTCCGTTAAGGTTTCCAGGTATGGATACTGTATTTTTGGAGAGTTGCACACGCAGAAAGGACTTTCCCTCCGGGGTGGCTGCCCAGCGCCCACCCCCCTTCTCCTAGCTGCACCGGCGAGAGAAGGCGAACCTGATGGAATTTTCCCCGCTCGGCAGCCCTTAAAGATACCGGAGCCCAAGCGGCTTTTATGACCCGGAGTTATTTTTTTATATATATTTTTATGGCTTTGCAATGAGGTTGGGTGGAGAGGGGACGCCTTAGTTTCTCGATCGCTGGGGGGGAAAGGGGCGGATTTCTTCCTGCCAGCGTTAATTCTTTGCAAATTTGCAAAAGGCGCAAAAGAAATCGAGGGGGTGGTTTCGGCGGGGCAAATAACTCAGTGCCTACCGAAGGAAAAGTGGAGGAGGGCTTTTGTTCGCATCCGCTTTCGTTCTCTGCCGAGCTTGCCGGCTGCTTTGAACCACAGCTTGGTGCGCAAGAGAAGCTCTTCGCAGCATTAGCGCCTGCACGTCTGGCTGCTGGTCAAAGCGAAAAGAGCAGAATCGCGCTTTGCTCCGATCCATTGGTGAAAACCTTGCTTGCAATCCTAGGAATGTTTCAGCCGTGCGGCTCTTCTGGTGCCAGCGTTGGATTTTCACAGAATCTCGCTAATTTTTGTGGCTTTGGGTGTGTGTGTGTGTGTGTGTGTGTGTGTGAGAGAGAGAGAGAGAGAGAGAGAGAGATTGATTCATCTTTTTGGGGGAGGGAGTGTTGTGTTGCATTTGTGCATCGGTTTTATACCCCGCTTTTCCTCCCAAAGGAACTCAGAGCGACGAACACACCGGCATTTCGACAACAGCAAAACCAAAAAATAGTTTGATGCAATGGCTGGGTAGGATTAGTTACTGCTCTGGCCAACAGCCTGTGACTTTGAAGCTGTTCCTTTGTATTATGTATATTTAGGGGCTGGAAAGGAGAGAGGAAATAAGTCAGGTTTTGCAGTTCTAACAGGTTTTGCATCCCCACTAGGAAATTCTTCCCTTCTCCAAATGGTGAGGTAGCGCTGCTAAGTAGTTACCTTCATTACTGGGCTTTTCACTGGCCTTAGCTTAGGCTGTGTAGACACCCTAATCTTAAGGCACACAAATTTCGCAAACAGTCCTGGGCACTGCAGTTTATCTCTTAAGGTAAAGGGACCCCTGACCATTAGGTTCAGTCGTGGCTGATTCTGGGGTTGCGGCGCTCATCTCGCTTTATTGGCCGAGGGAGCCGGCGTACAGCTTCCGGGTCATGTGGCCAGCATGACTAAGCTGCTTCTGGTGAACAAGAGCAGTGCACGGAAACGCCGTTTACCTTCCCGCCGGAGCAGTACCTATTTATCTACTTGCACTTTGACGTGCTTTCGAACTGCTAGGTTGGCAGGAGCAGGGACCGAGCAACGGGAGCTCACCCCGTCGCGGGGATTCAAACCGCCGACCTTCTGATCAGCAAGTCCTAGGCTCTGTGGTTTAACCCACAGCGCCACCTGCGTCCCTTATGGAGCTACAATTCCCAGCACCCGTAGCAAACTACAGTTCCCAAGATTCTTTTGCAGGAAGCAGTGTCCTTTAAATGTGTGATGTGTAGGCACTCTGCTTTTCCTTCTCCTCTCCTTCCCCTCTCTTCTGAGGATTGGTCAGCTATTCCATGCTTGCACCTTTAGGAACAAATAAGTCTTTCTAGAGATATTCTCTTGCCTCTTAAGCAGGGATTTCTGGCCTGGGGAAAAATGGATTCCTTTTTATAGAACTGATGATGAACTGGTCTGTGAATCAAGTTGCAGCTTCTGAGGAAGGGTTATAGCTCAGTGGTAGAACTCTTGCCTGGTACATATAAAGTCCCAGGTTCAATCCCCAGCTATGGCTGAGAGAGTTTCTCTGCCTGAAATCTTAAGAACTGATAGTTGGTGTAGACATTACTGAGTCTGATGGACCAATAGCAGTTTCCTGTGTTCCCTCTGTCCTTTCTGGGACTTTTAATCCACTGCTTCTTTGCAGCATGGCCCGTCTGCTCAGCCTTAGCTGCCTCCTCACCCTAAGAGAGGGCACTTCCAGACAACCTGTTTATTGAGCATGCACACTGATTTGCTGGCAGGAAGCTGAGGTGACAAGTTGCATCAGATTCAGGTCACACCTCCCAGTGCATGTCCTCCACCACTTTCCTTGTTGCAAAACACCCAGGCTATCTCCACGTTGCAAGCAATTATAATTGTGCAACCTGCATTTGGTGGGATGCGATTGCATCCCAGTCCCCAAAAAACAACTCCAAAAACTGGCGAGTCCACAATTTGTCAGTGACAAATGTAGAGGCATGGGAGAAACTCTGGGATCTGACCTCGGAAACTTCACATGAGATGGGAAGGACTTTCCCCAGGGCTGTAGCCATGGAATCAGATGCAGCAGGTCAGTTGTCGGTGAAGTTAACTCTTCAAAGAAACGACACACAACTTGGCAACACTTCACAGTAGGTCTTGCCCTGTGGAGCAGGTCCCTGCCCTCCGCCCTTTCTAAGGCTCCTCCTCTCCTGGATGTTTCCCAAGCAGTCTCAAACTGCCTCCCTCTAGCCTCTGTTCTGCCCTCCTCAATATTCAGCACGTTCTTCGAAACCAGGGTGGAGGTGGGCTTGTCGCAGGAGGAGAGGGAGACCCCCCTGGATTCTTCAGCAGTATCCTGATTCCTCTCCTCTGCTTCAGCCTCAGAGTCTGAACAGCTCCCTGTCACATATTCCTCCTGCTCACTAAACCCTGTTGCTCCTTCAGCTTCTGGAACCTCCTCTCAATTTTCCCCTTCTCATTGGTGTCCTGCCGCCAATCCCTGGGCTCTGAGCCTTCCTCCTCTGGGGCTTCCCTTGGGGGTCCCCAGCTGGTGCCTCCCACCACTCGTGTTCTTCCAGCCAGTCCCTGACAGTGGGGGACTGGCCCCCTCAACAAAATGCCAAGCTATAATATCTTCTGTGCGTTCTCAGCTTTCATCTTTAAAAACTCTTACTTACTGAGAAACCAGGAAAAATATGTTCGCTGCGTTCTACTTGGTAGAGAGTAAAGGGGCAAATGTCCCTCCCTCCAGATGTTTTTGAATTCCCATCAACCCCAGCCAGTGGCTATAGCTAAAGGAAGCTGGAGTCCAGCAACATCGGTGTTTTGTCAATAAGTGTGAAGAAACCGGGGGGAATGACCGGTACTTGGAACATTGGTTTCTAATTCCAGAATTGAATAGATAAAATAACATTTGAACTTAACTGGAGTGCACACGTTTTCTTGCCACCACTGGTTTTGCATGGGCTTTGTCCTGGGTCAATAGGTGCGCAACAACTGTGCAACATTTCTGTGGCCGTTTGTGGTTATGGACCTAAATTCCCTACACATTAAAAACAGCAACAAGCATCTGATATCAGCCCTGCATTACGAAAAAGCAAGATCCTGTACTGTGAGCAGTATAAATTTTGCACATTGAAATTATTTTTCATAACTCTGTTTTATTTGCACAAAAGAACAGCTATGATTTTGCCCTTTTTTTTACTCCTCCTGAGACACCTGCATGCGATTTGTGCTCACGTGCTTTCAAGCAGAGTATTTGCAGCTAAAGACTTGCTCTGGGACCACCTTCTGTATTCTGTGCTACAGCAGTATTTATTTACTAACTTAGTGCATTCATACCCCCTTTTTTTCCCCCAAGGAGCCCAAGGTGGCACGTATGGCTCTTCGCCCTTCGTTTACTTCCCACAACACCCCTGAGAGGTAGGTTAGGCTGAGAGGAAATGACTGGCCTGACATCACCCAGCGAGCTTTGTGGCTGAGTGGGGATTTGGCCCTCTAGTCTCCCAGGTCCTAGTCTGACACTTTTACCCCTGTGCTGCACTGGCTTGCACCCTGGGTGCAATCCGTACTATGGTAGCTCAACATCCACCTTCCAAGGGGGTTGTTTTACTGAGCAGTAAATAAATGAAGGGATGTGGGTGGCTCTGTGGGTTAAACCACAGAGCCTAGGACTTGCCGATCAGAAGGTTCGAATCCCCGCGACGGGGTGAGCTCCCGTTGCACGGTCCCTGTTCCTGCCAACCTAGCAGTTCGAAAGCACATCAAAGTGCAAGTAGATAAATAGGTACCACTCCAGCGGGAAGGTAAACAGTGTTTCCATGCGTTGCTCTGGTTCACCAGAAGTGGCTTAGTCATGCCAATAAAGGGAGATGAGCACCACAACCCCAGAGTTGGCCACGACTGGACCTAATGGTCATGGGTCCCTTTACCTAAATAAATGAAGGAGCGTCTCCACCCCCATCGTCCAGCCCAGACACTGAGGTCCAGCGCCGAGGTCCTTCTGGCAGTTCCCTCACTGCAAGAAGCAAGGTTACAGGGAACCAGGCAGAGGGCCTTCTCGGTAGTGGCACCCGCCCTGTGGAACGCCCTCCCATCAGATGTCAAGGAAATAAACAACTATGTTACTTTTACAAGACATCTGAAGGCAGCCCTGTTTGGGGAAGTTTTTAATGTTTGATGTTTTATTGTGTTTTAATATTCTGCTGGGAGCCGCCCAGAGTGGCTGGGGAAACCTGGCCAGATGGGCAGGGCATAAATTTATTATTATTATTTTATTATAAAGTTGTTTACGTGGTCATTGGGACACATGCATGGGAAGAGGCAACTGAACACCTCTGCCCCCATCTCCTCTTTTGACTGCCGTAAACTAATGTTTAAAGAGTCATATTTTTGTTGGTGGGAAAATACTGCAATCCTACTCCCCCCCCTCAACTGGCACCCAGGATATGATATGATAATTTTAATTGCTGTTTTAACTGTTGTTCCATCTTAATGGGGTTGCATTATTGCACATTTTAATTATGGATGTTGCAATATTTTGATGGAATTGTTCTAGCATGTGTGTTGCAATTGGTTTTATACCTACTAAGAAGAGGTTTGGGGACAGGGGTGGCGCTGTGGTCTAAACCACTGAGCCTAGGGCTTGCTGATCTGAAGGTTGGCGGTTCGAATCCCCGCGACGGGGTGACCTCCCGTTGCTCGGTCCCTGCTCCTGCCAACCTAGCAGTTCGAAAGCACATCAAAGTGCAAGTAGATATATAGGTACCGCTCCGGCGGGAAGGTAAACGGCGTTTCCGTGCGCTGCTCTGGCTTCGCCAGAAACGTCTTAGTCGTGCTGGCCACATGACCCGGAAAAACTGCAGACAAACGTTGGCTCCCTCAGCCTATAGAGCGAGATAAGTGAGCAACCCCAGAGTCATCCGTGACTGGACTTAACTGTCAGGGGTCCTTTACCTTTACCTTTTTTTAGGAAGAGATTTTGGCACTCTGAAGACATATGGTCCACCCACCTTTCTGAAGCTAAGCATCGTTGGGTCTGGTCAGTGCCTGGGTGCATGACCTCCTTGGTAACCACATGAACACCATCTTGGGTTCCATGATTAAAGAAAGCGGGGGACATACCGGTAAATGCAAGAAAATGAACTTCAGAATATTATGTACACTTGCATTGATGGCTGAACTTTGCTTGGAAGCACCACTTGGCATAGAATCTCAGAGTTGGGTCATTCCAAGGCTTATCTATTCCAACCCCTGGCAATGCAGGCATGATTCGGTTCAGTGTGGTATAGTGGTTAGGATGTTGGACTAGGACTCGGGAGACCAGGGTTCGAATTCCCACTAGGCCATGAAGCTCACTGGGTGACCTCGTAGCCCAGGGGTCAGCAAACCTTTTCAGCCGGGGCCGGTTCACTGGCCCCCAGTCCTTGTGGGGGGGGGGCGGACTATATTTTAGGGAGAAAATGAACAAATTCCTATGCTCCACAAATAACCCAGAGATGCATTTTAAATAAAAGGACACATTCTACTCATGTAAAAACACCAGGCAGGCCCCACAAATAACCCAGAGATGCATTTTAAATAAAAGGACACGTTCTACTCATGTAAAAACATGCTGATTCCCGGACCGTCTGTGGGCCGGATTTAGAAGGCGATTGGGCCTGATCCGACCCCCATGTCGTAGCCAGACACAGTCTCTCCGCCTGATTTGTTGTGAGGATAATCTAGAGATGGAGAGCTCCTTGGATAAAAAGGTGGGATAAAAATGCAATAAATAATGAGGGTGATGAAGATGAGTGACCACAGCTAAAGAGCAGATTGAGAGATGGTGAGCTAACGGAAGGAAAATGAGCCTCGATAGCTCAGTTGGCTGGAGCATGGTGCTGATAACGCCAAGGTTGCAGGTTTGATTCCCGTATGGGGCAGCTGCATCTTCCTGCGTTGCAGAGGGTTGGACTAGATGACCCTCCGGGTCCCTTCTAACTCTGTGATTCTACCAGTGTTGCCATCTTGGCAGGGAGTTCCTGACAAATGGCAGCTTGGCTGAACAAGCCTGGGTGTGAAATGTCTGGAAGGAAGTTGTTTGGGAGGGACCAGGGCAGGGGCGAGGAACCATTGGGCCTCCAGATGTTGTTATTAGTATAAAATAATGTGTTTATTTAAATTTATTCTATCCTGCCCTTCCTCCTGAAGCTGCCCAGGGCGGGAGATGCACACATTATAAAACAATTAAAAGATCTGAAAAGGATCTTGTTGCTGCTGAACAACATCTTGCATCAGCTCACACAAGCATACCCAACGGCTAGGAGTGACGGGAGTTGTAGTTTGAATGAATTTTATTATTTCGGTCACAGACCAGTTCCAGCCCACATGCAATATCAAGGAAGTCATAAAACACGATAGGGATACATTTGAATTTGAAATTAGGTATAACAGGGACAAAACGGATATAGCAACAGTTAAAAAAATATATAAATTAAAACTTGGTCACCAACATACAGTGGTACCTCTGGATATGAACAGTTCCGGAGCCCCGTTCGCATCCTGAAGTAAATGTAAGACGTGTGTGCGTGGGTTGCATTCCGCCGCTTCCGCACATGCGCATGACGTCATTTTGAGCGCCTGCGCATGCTCGAGCGGCGAAACCCGGAAGTAATGCGCTCTGTTACTTCCGGGTTGCTGCAGAGCGCAACCCGAAAATACTTAACTTGAAGCTACTTCAACCCGAGGTATGACTGTATAGCCTAAAATGATCATTTAAGGCCTTAATCATTATGATAGCACAGCTTGTTCCCTAGGTTTTATGGCAATCGCACAGAATTTGGCTACCCTTAACATGATCTCAGGATCCTTGACGGGAGTTGTAGTTCAGTAACATCTAGAAAAGGGACGCGGGTGGCTCTGTGGGTTAAACCACAGAGCCTAGGACTTGCCGACCAACGGGGTGAGCTCCCGTTGCTTGGTCCCTGCTCCTGTCAACCTAGCAGTTCGAAAGCGTGTCAAAGCGCAAGTAGATAAGCAGGTACCGCTCCGGCGGGAAGGTAAACGGCGTTTCCGTGCGCTGCTCTGGTTCGCCAGAAGCAGCGTAGTCATGCTGGCCACATGACCCGGAAGCTGTACGCCGGCTCCCTCAGCCAATAAAGCGTGATGAGCGCCGCAACCCCAGAGTCGGCCACGACTGGACCTAATGGTCAGGGGTCCCTTTACCTTTTACCTTTAACATCTGGAAATGGAAAAAAACAAAACAAAACCCAAATTAAGAGAGGGCAAATCCCACTGGGTTCTTCTGTGTGTTTGCTTTCTGGCACTCTTGTGGTGTCTTGTTTCCATCATCCACCCAAGAATAAGTATCTTAACACTTATTTTATGCTTTCTCTTTGGGACAATCTAGAAATATGCTTCGCTCGCTGCCTGCAAACCCCCTCTTGCTTCTGAATCTGTGTGGCTGATTCACTGTTTCTCCATGTCGGTGTGGGTTCGGCGAGTGTGTTGTTGCTGTTAATTTGGCGGGTGGCTCCATGCCCCGTCTTGCTTACTGTTGCGTGCCTCTGCTGAGCCAGCTGTAATGTTTCACTGGAAGGGAACAGATATGATTCGGGCAAAAGGAAGCAAATTGAAGTGCCACTGATTTTGGCAAGAGACTGGCAAGGAGAGGGAGCAGTGGATGAAGCTTTTGCTGTACCACCAACGCTGGGAAATGAGAGAGTGTGCAAGGCACAAAAGCGCAACCCCCGTTTTGATTCTGTGCCCAGTTTCAGGTGCTTCTTTAGACTTTTAATGATTCGGGATCTGGGGGTGCAGAGGACTGCATCCCGCCCACAAGAGGCTGCTTGTATGCTGCGGATGTCATACGCTCTGTCCCCACCTCACCCCATCTGAGATGCGTAGAATCATAAAATTGTAGAGATGGAAGGGACCCCACAGGTCATCTAGACCAACCCCCTGCAATGCAGGAATCTCAGCTAAAGCATCCATAGCAGATGGCCCTCCCACCTATGCTCAAAGACCTCCAAGGAAGGAGAGTCCAGAACTTCCCAAGGTTGAATCACTGTTGAACAGCTCAGAAAGTTCTTCCTGATGTTTAGGCAGAATCTCCTTTATTGTACAGTGGATGCTCAGGTTGCGAACGTGATCCATGCAGGATGCACGCTCGCAACCTGCAGTGTCCGCAACCCACAGCAGCGTGTCTGTGCATGCGCGGGTTGCGATTTGGCGCTTCTGCACATGCGCGACCGCCGAAACCCGGAAGTAACTCGTTCTGTTACTTCTGGGTTTTGGCGGTCCGTAACCTGAAAAAGAGCAACCTGAAGTGTCTGTAACCCAAGGTATGACTGTACAGTGGTTTGTTGGGTTACAGGCGCTTCAGGTTACAGACGCTTCAGGTTACAGACACTTCAGGTTACAGACTCCGCTAACCCAGAAATCGTACCTCGGGTTAAGAACTTTGCTTCAGGATAAGAACAGAAATCGTGTGGCGGCAGCGGGAGGCCCCATTAGCTAAAGTGGTGCTTCAGGTTAAGAACAGTTTCAGGGTAAGAACGGACCTCCAGAACGAATGAAGTTCTTAACCCGAGGTACCACTGTATCTTGAATCTGTTGTTTTGGATCTAACCCTCCAGAGCAGGAGAAAACAAGCTTGCTCCCTCTTCCATGTGACAGCCCTTGAGATATGTGAAGAAGATATCCTATCTCCTCTCAGGCTAAACATCTTCCAGGGTAAACATACCCAGCTCCCATGACCGTTCCCCATGAGGCTGGCTTTCCAGACCTTTGATCATCTTGGTTGCCCTCCTCTGCACACCTTCCAGCTTCTCAATCTCCTTCTTAAAAGTGCTGTTTTGCTAGAAAAGGAGCTGCCAGAACTCACCATGAACGCCTCCCTCGTTCTCTAATAATGAACTGAGTTCTGGTGAGTTCTGGCTGCAAAAAAGCCCTGCTTCTTTTATTTACTTACAAGTGTTGAACTAATTGGCTGATGAAAAATTCAACGAAACAGTAGTTGTTATCCATAAACACGGTTCAGCAGAGTTGGACATCAGAATCGGACATATGCTGATTATACAAAGCTTCACGGCTTGCTCTCCGCCGGGTAAAGTCTGGCACCGTGATTCATTTAAGGACTTTCAGAGACTTCAGTTTGTTAGTTTTGATGTTTTGAATTATTCCATAAAGTTTTTCACATTGTTCTTGTTTCTGGCCATCGTGTTGCTTTTGATATTGCGCACTCTTTTATAGTGACACCTAGAACTGGACACAGTACAGTGGACGCTTGGGTTGCGAACGTGATCCGTGCGGGATGCATGTTCTCAATTCACAACTTTCACAACCCGCAGCGCGGCATCTGTGCATGCAAGGGTCATGATTTGGCATTTCTGCGCATGCGCAAAGCGCATTTTAGTGCTTCTGCACATGCACGGGTGCCGAAACCCGGAAGTAACCCGTTGCAGTACTTCCGGGTTTGCCGTGGTGCGCAACCTGAAAACATGCAACCTGAAGCGTTTTTAACCCGAGGTATGACTGTATTCCAGGTGTGGTCTGACCAAGGCAGAATAGAGTGGGACTATTAATTCCCTTGATCCGGACACTGATCTGGACACTGTTGATGCGGCCTAGAATATTTACAGAATATTTGAAAAATTATTGTACGCAACTTAAAGTCGTTGGTAGGGTTGACTTAACATCGTGCAGTGAGAGTAACTTTAATGGACTATGAAGGATAATCAGAAAAATAAATTGGACTTTGAGATGCAGAGGTAAAAGATATTGCATTAGCAACGGCAGAATGGGGGGGAGGGGGGCCGAGGGCATGAAGTTTTGAACGAAAGATGTAATTTTGTGTTGATGATAATGCAAACTGAGCAAATTAAAAATAAAACACTTTAAAGTAGAATAATAATAATAAAAAAAATAGAATAGCATTTGCTTCATTTGCTGCTGCGTTGCACTGCTGACTCATGTTTAGGGAAGTTTTTAATGTTTGATATTTTACTGTGTTTTTAATATCCTGTTGGAAGTGGCTGGGGAGGCCCGGCCAGATGGGCAGGGTATAAGTAATTATTCATTATTATTATTATTATTATTATTATTATTATTAATCATGTTCAGCTTGTGGTCTACTAAGACTCCTAGATCCTTTTCACATGTACTGCTAGTAAATCAGGTTTTCCCCATCTTATATCTGTGCAGCTGTTTATTCCTGCTTACGAAAGGCCATAGCTCAGTGGTTGAGAAACTTTGCATGCAAGACATCTTAGGTACAATCTCCAGCTTTCTGCCTGGAACCCTAATCAGTGAGTTAGATTAACCAATGGGCCTGATTCTGTCTGAGGCAGTTTCCCAAGTTCTTATATCAGGATGTTCATTTCAACAAGAGGTTGAGGCTGCAATTCTGTAGCCATTTGGGGGCACTTTGGGCTGAGTGGGACTTGCTTCCGAGTACAGTCGTACCTTGGAAGTCAAATGGAATCTGTTCCAGAAGTCCGTTCGACTTCCAAAATGTTTGAAAACCAGAGCACGGCTTCCTGCAGCCAATCAGAAGCTGCAGAAGCCTCATCGGACATTTGGCTTCCAAAAGAACGTTCGAAAACCGAAACAGTCTCTTCCAGGTTTTGATTGTTGGGAGCCTAAACGTTCGAGAACTAGGCTGTTCGAAAACCAAGGTACAAATGTAGACAATATAAGGCTATTCTGCTAAAGATTCAGGGCCTTAGCAAAAAAATCTATCTTGCATATAAATATTTATCGTAGTCTTTCTTGGTCATTATTAAAAGAAATATGCTTTTGGGAAGATGCATGTTTTTCCTAGTGTAGCGCTGGTCTTTTTTTTTGTACTGTTTGCTAGGCTCTCCTGGGGTTTTGAATTGTTCATATATTTTTAATATTGTTAGCATTTTAATGATATTATTCTGGGGGATGGGATGGAACGGAAGGTGCAGGATAAAAATATTCTCATAAATTAGTAATGGCAGTTTTGAGATTAGAACGTTTTAGTAATAGCATATTATATTGGAGTAGCATTTTAAAAAGCAGCAACGCATCCTTCTTTTATGTGCAAAAGGCTCCCTGGTTGGCTTACAAGTACCCTGCTCTGGAGGACAGGACTCGAAGTAATGGCTTCAAGTTACAAGAAAGGAAATTATGACTAAACATCAGGAAGAACTTTCTGACAGTAAAATCTGTTCAACAGTGGGACAGCTTGGAAGGTTGCGGACTCTCCTTCCTTGGAGGTTTTCAAGGAGAGGTCAGAGGGCCTTCCGGGGGTTCCCTCACTGCCAGAAGTGAAGGTACAGGGAACCAGGCAGAGGGCCTTCTCGGGTGGAATGCCCTCTCATCAGATGTCAGGGAAATAAACAGCTATCTGACTTTTAGAAGACATCTGAAGGCAGCCCTGTTTAGGAAAGTTTTTAATGTTTGATGTTTTATCTGTTAACGGAGAAATCTGAGGGCTCCCTTGCGCAAAAAACAAGGACACCAACCAGGAATACCAGAGCAAAACAGCAGCCAGTAGGCTTGGTCTTTATTGAAGACTGTCTTGACTGGACTCCTACCTACCACAAGATGGAACAAGATGGAAGCACAGAACAAAAGAGCCCCCAAACTTTTATTAGCTGCTAATCCCCATGTTACACCCTCCCAAACTACATCATGGTTACATCATGGTTACATCGTTTAAGGGGAGGTCTGGTGGCAGTAATCTGAGCATCCTGGACCCTGCCCCATGGTTCTCCTTGCCCTCCACCAAACACTCATCAAGTGTAACAAAAGAGATATTTACATTTCCCTGTTTCCCAGCCAAGTTAATCATACCCTTTTGTCTTCATCTGGGTTAGTTATTTCTGGAATGGCTACCTGTCTGGCACTCAGGTATCAGGATGCCAGGGATTATCACTCAGGCAGATGGGCTGCTGAGTAGCTGAGCTCACATGTCTATATGAATTTCTGAAGTTTTCCCTGAGCCAGTACATAGAGACATTTATCGGTGAATTGTTACATTTGGTATCTTGCAGCAAAGGCCCTTTGAATAGATAGTAAGAAACTGTGATGAAGTGTTTTGTGGGGAGAAATCACAAAAGTCACAAAAGCGATTGTGCTGATTTTGGTAGTGGGCTGCATGTGCATGATATCTGCTGGAGGGGCAACCCCCCTCAACCTGTACATAAATTTCTGCAACATACCACTTTTTATCATTATTAATAATATTCTGCTGGGAGCTGCCCTGAGTGGCTGGGGAAATAAACATGATTGTTGTTGTTGTTGTTATTGCTGATGGTCTTGGTAGACCACTTAGAGAGCAATCTTAAAACCATTTACCTGGGAATAAGCCTGGCTTCCTTTTCTGTAACCTTCTCCAGCTTGGAGGGCCACACCCTATTGTGCGCAACCTTCAGGGGGCCACATAGACACGGTGGGTGATGCCAAAAACGCTCTACTCTCCATTCAAACAAGTAAAGAGGGATTATCGAAGATCAAAGATGTATTCCTTCCAGGTATAGTCGGTAGAGGAAGAAGCCAGTGGGAGAGGCAAGTTGTACAAAGTCTCAAGGGCCAGATAGGCAGGCCTGGAGGGCCGCATCAGACACCCACCCACACCCTGGCTTTGAGGTTCCCCATGCCTTGTGCTCTGTAATCCTTTGCCTGGTGCCCTTTCTCCTTCTGCAGTTACGGAAGAAGTTTACCTGGTCACTGTGTGACTTTTTATAAATCTCTGTTATGATCTGTTTAACTGCCGGGAGTTCTTCTGCGTTCTGTCTTCTGCGTTCTTCTCAGGCTTTTGTTCCTGTGGCTGGGGGTTGTGCAGTAACTTTAATTGGAGGGTGAGTCACCGAGGTTGGCAACATGGCCAGATGCCAGCAAGAAAGCAATTATAAGGGAGCAGAGAGGAAGCTCTCTCTGTCTCTCTGTCCCAGAGGACTGGCTGCTGAGGCCACAAGGGCAAATGGGTGGCAGAATAGAATCATGCCTACTCTGTTGAATTGGAAGGGGACCCTGGGGTCATCTATTCCAACCCCTGGCTATACAGTGGTACCTCGGGTTACATATGCTTCAGGTTACATACGCTTCAGGTTACAGACTTCGCTAACACAGAAATAGTACCTCGGGTTAAGAACTTTGCTTCAGGATGAGAACAGAAATTGTGCTCCGGCGGCGCGGCGGCAGCAGGAGGCCCCATTAGCTAAAGTGGTGTTTCAGGTTAAAAACAGTTTCAGGTTAAGAACGGACCTCCAGAACGAATTAAGTACTTAACCCGAGGTACCACTGTGCTGGAATCTCGGCTAAACCATCCATGACAGGTTAAAAACCTCAGCTTAAAAACCTCCAACCAGTGTAGGAAGCTCAGGTTTAAAAGCTAATTGTCAAGGGACACCTTAGGTTACGGTCACCACAACAGAATGTCTAGGCGCCTTTCTCTCCCCCGCCCCCCAAATGAAATGTATTATTGATATTTATTTGCTTGGAAGTAAGCCCCCGCCACCTCCAGAGGGGCTTTCTTGCCCTCGAGAAAGTGCGCCGCGGATTGCAGCTCTCGCAGCAGGGCAGAAGCAAGGTTTGCTGCCCCGTGAGCTAGCTGATCCGCAGGGCAGGGCAGGAGCAGAAGGCCACGGGTGCTGAGTCGTGCCTGACATTGGGGTGTGTGTGTGTGTGTGTGTGACATTAGGCATGCAGCGCACATGATGCCACGAGCATTGCATGTTCTATGCGCGATCAAGGAGAGGCCGACCAGGTCTGTACAGCATCTCTCAACACTGCCCGGCCCGGCATGACATCCAGGAGAAGCCTTGCAGAAGAAGAGGAGTTTGGATTTGATATCCTGCTTTATTACTACCCGAAGGAGTCTCCAAGCGGCTAAACTCTCCTTTCCCTTCCTCCCCCACAACAAACACTCTGTGAGGTGAGTGGGGCTGAGAGACTTCAGAGAAGTGTGACTGGCCCAAGGTCACCCAGCAGCTGCATGTGGAGGAGCGGGGAAGCAAACCCAGTACCCCAGATTACAAGTCCACCCCTCTTAACCACTACACCACACTGGCAGCCAGGGACAACATCCTGCCAGGCCTCCTCATGATATGTGTGGGGGGAGGCTGAGCCCCATCCCAGCAGACATTGAGGGGGCTGTAGAGGCCTCAGCCCCATGGGGTTGGCGCCCCGGCACAAGACGCATGCCTTTTGAGTGCAGCGCCTCAGCACCCCCTAGCCAGATGGAGATGTCAGTCGCTCAACATAGCATCCAGAGATCTACCTGAAGGAGCATCTCCACTCCCATCTGCCTGGACACTGCGGTTCAGCTCCAAGGGTCTTCTGGTGGTTCCCTCCCTGCAAGAAGTGAGGTCACAGGGAACCAGGCAGAGGGCCTTCTCGGTAGTGGCGCCCATCCTGTGGAACGCCCTCCCTTCAGATGTCAAGGAAATAAACAACTGTCTGACTTTTAGAAGATATCTGAAAGCAGCCCTGTTTAGGGAAGTTTTTAATGTCTGATGTTTTATTGTATTTTTAAACTTTGTTGGAAGCCACCCAGAGTAGTAGTAGTAGTAGTAGTAGTAGTAGTAGTAATAATAAGTTTTTAATGTTTGATGTTTTATTGTGTTTTTTAAATATTCTGTTGGGAGCCGCCCAGAGTGACTGGGCAAACCCCATACTAAGAATCATTTTACAGAATTACAATTCCAATAGACACCCTCGATGGTGGTGGATGGTCGGCACAGCAAAGTACAGTACAGTGGATGTTTGGGTTGCGCCACGGGTCATGATTCGGCACTTCTGCGCATGCACAAAGCGTGATTCATGAGCTCCGAAACCCGGAAGTAACCCATGCCGGTACTTGCGGGTTCGGCGCGGTGCACAACCCGAAAACACACAACCTGAAGCGTCTGTAACCAGAGGTATGACTGTACAAGGAGAGACTTTGTCTGTGTGGGCAACCTTGTGTAGAGGAACTGTACCACTATTTATTGCAATGCCTGCTATGTACAGTGGTACCTTGGGTTAAGAACTTAATTCGTTCCGGAGGTCCGTTCTTAACCTGAAACTGTTCTTAACCTAGAATCATAGAATCAAAGAGTTGGAAGAGACCACAAAGGCCATCGAGTCCAACCCCCTGCCAAGCAGGAAACACCATCAGAGCACTCCTGACATATAGTTGTCAAGCCTCTGCTTAAAGACCTCCAAAGAAGGAGGCAGCACCTCACTCCTTGGCAGCAAATTCCACTGTCGAACAGCTCTTACTGTCAGGAAGTTCTTCCTAATGTTTAGGTGGAATCTTCTTTCTTGTAGTTTGGATCCATTGCTCCGTGTCCGCTTCTCTGGAGCAGCAGAAAACAACCTTTCTCCCTCCTCTATGTGACATCCTTTTATATATTTGAACATGGCTATCATATCACCCCTTAACCTCCTCTTCTCCAGGCTAAACATGCCCAGCTCCCTTAGCCGTTCCTCATAAGGCATCGTTTCCAGGCCTTTGACCATTTTGGTTGCCCTCCTCTGGACACGTTCCAGTTTGTCAGTGTCCTTCTTGAACTGTGGTGCCCAGAACTGGACACAGTACTCCAGGTGAGGTCTGACCAGAGCAGAAGACAGTGGCACTATTACTTCCCTTGATCTAGATGATATACTCCTATTGATGCAGCCCAGAATTGCATTGGCTTTTTTAGCTGCCGCGTCACACTGTTGGCTCATGTCAAGTTTGTGTTCAACCAAGACTCCTAGATCCTTTTCACATGTACTGCTCTCAAGCCAGGTGTCACCCATCTTGTATTTGTGCCTCTCATTTTTTTTGCCCAAGTGCAATACTTTACATTTCTCCCTGTTAAACTTCATCTTGTTTGTTTTGGCCCAGTTCTCTAATCTGTCAAGGTCGTTTTGAGGTGTGATCCTGTCCTCTGGGGTGTTAGCCACCCCTCCCAATTTGGTGTCATCTGCAAATTTGATCAGGATGCCCTTGAGTCCATCATCCAAGTCGTTGAAGCACCACTTTAGCTTATGGGGCCTCCCACTGCTGCGGTGCCGCTGCTGCGCGATTTCTGTTCTCATCCTGAAGCAAAGTTCGTAACCCGAGGTACTATTTCTGGGTTAGCGGAGTCTGTAAGCTGAAGCGGAGTCTGTAACCTGAAGCGTATGTAACCCGAGGTACCACTGTATAGAATGAAGAGACCGATTCATAAAACCCCTGCTTACGAATGGAACACACTCAAACAGGGCGGAAAGGGTGACATGGCTGCTGAGTGATACTGATGACTTTGTAACTTATAAAGTAGCACTATGTGCATTGGCAGCTAAGAAGATCAGGAAAAAGAACTAGATAAAATAGCGGTCAATTGCAAAGGTGATTCGGACATTAAAGCTGGCACATTCTACCTGAGACTGGGCAAACCCAGCCAGGTGGGCACGGTATAAATAATAACTTCTTCTTCTTGTTGTTGTTGTTGTTGTTGTTTACACATGGTTGCAACATGACCCTTGGGGATTTTGAATACAGTGGTGCCTCGGGTTAAGTACTTAATTCGTTCTGGTGGTCCGTTCTTAACCTGAAACTGTTCTTAACCTGAAGCACCACTTTAGCTAATGGGGCCTCCCGCTGCTGCCGCCACGCAATTTCTGTTCTCATCCTGAAGCAAAGTTCTTAACCCAAGGTACTATTTCTGGGTTAGCAGAGTCTGTAACCTGAAGCGTTTGTAACCTGAAACATATGTAACCCGAGGTACCACTGTACTGCCTCCGACGAAGGAGAGTCTACCAACTTCCAAGGGAGGCCATTCCTAAGTCGAGCAGCACAGGTTTTTCTGTAAAACTCTGTCAGGGGTAGCGAATCCACACAACTCCCACCAGCCCCAGCTAGCATGCCCATGGGTCAGGGCTGATGGGAGTTGTAGTTCCACAGCATCTGGAGTTTCCCACCCCTGCTTTTACGATGCTAGAGAAGACTGACATTTTTACGAGGGCAGTCAAGATATTGCACATGATAATAACAATAATAAATTTTTATTTATACCCCGCCCTTCCCGGTTCAGAAAACCAGGCTCAGGTTGTTAGGGCGGCTAACAACAAATTTAGAACACTTAATTGATGCAGCAAAAAACAGCATAAAGTACGGTATAAAACGTGAATAACAACACAGTAAATTCAGAATTCAAAAATCAATTTAGGGGGGAAATCCATCCAATAAACATTAGATGATCACCAGGGCTAGCTGGCTGAATTAGTCCTACTTGGGCCAGCGAGGAGACCGGGGAGAATTAGCTGTGGGATCCCAGAGCGGGTAATCTTCATAAAAAGGGGAGAGGGAGGGAAGGAAGGGGAATAAAAGATCAGGCTAAGTTCAAAGACATGAGCATGCATGTTTGTCTGATATTCCGCCCAAATATGCATATAAAGTAAGGTAAAGGGACCCCTGACCACTAGGTCCAGTCGTGACTGACTCTGGGGTTGCGGCGCTCATCTCGCTTTGTTGGCCGAGGGAGCCAGCGTACAGCTTCCGGGTCATGTGGCCAGCATGACTAAGCCGCTTCTGGCGAACCAGAGCAGCGCACAGAAACACCGTTTACCTTCCCGCCGGAGCAGTACCTATTTATCTACTTGCACTTTGGCGTGCTTTCGAACTGCTAGGTTGGCAGGAGCAGGGACCGAGCAACGGGAGCTCACCCCGTCGCGGGGATTCAAACCTCCGACGTTCTCATCGGCAAGTCCTAGGCTCTGTGGTTTAACCCACAGTACCACCCGCGTCCCACATATAAAGTAGATCAGCTAATTATAATATTAGCTAATCATAATATTAATTAGCTTCATTCTGTGCAAAGAAGGGAAAGAAGAGGCTACCGCTTTTGCTGGGTAATCTTATTTCTGCGCAGTCCCCTATGTAAAGCGAGCTCGCAACTGACAACATGTCTCTCTGTACTTTATTTGCACTAGATTGCAGTCGCACTTCTTTTACCAGGTTTTAAAGACAAGGACGGGGTTGGGGAGTGAAGGTCAGCAAAATGCACGAGAGAGCCTGCCCTCTTCCCGTCCAATCGCTGACTGCCTTTTACCCAGCGGGGGAGGGGAAGGCACTCTGTGCATGTTCAGAGCAGCCCCTTTTTTGTGCACAGGGAGCTGGAGAGGGGTATTGGCAGGTAGAGCAAGTGGAGGCGAGCAGAAACGCACACACCCTCCCAAGTAATTAGAAAAGCAGCTCAGGTTAGCCAAAGGGCTGGGGAACAAATCTAGACTCCTGTGCTATTTGGTGCGGTTTTTGTTCATTTTGCTAAACCGAACAGGCTGGACTCAAGACTTGCTTCCGGCTCCTTGGCAATTATGGACGCTAGATTGAAGGGTCAGAGGCTGCCGTGATTGAGAGTGAGGGAATTCAATTACAGTGGTACCTCGGGTTACATACGCTTCAGGTTACAGACGCTTCAGGTTACAGACTCCGCTAACCCGGAAATATTACCTCAGGTTAAGAACTTTGCTTCAGGATGAGAACAGAAATTGTGAAGTGGCGGCGTGGCGGCAGCGGGAGGCCCCATTAGCTAAAGTGGTACCTCAGGTTAAGAACAGTTTCAGGTTAAGAACGGACCTCCGGAACGAATTAAGTACTTAACCCGAGGTACCACAGTATCTTTATGCAGGTTCTTGGGTGGTGTTTAATATTATAGAGCAGAAAAGGCCTTCAACAATTGAAGAAAGTCTCCGTCATTATGGAGGCATCCTTTGTAGCTTTATTAAGCACTGCAGGAAATTTTCTTACAATGTGTGTTTTTCTTTGGTTTTTGAAAGTTCTCTAACACGTCAATAAATAAACCAACTAGAACAGAGGAGGGGTAGGCTGGGCTGTTTTGTCTGTTCTAAAGGTTAAGGCAAAGGGACCCCTGACCATTAGGTCCAGTCGCGGACGACTCGGGTTGCAGCGCTCATCTCGCTTTATTGGCCGAGGGAGCCGGCGTACATCTTCCAGGTCATGTGGCCAGCAGGACTAAGCCGCTTCTGGCGAACCAGAGCAGCGCACGGAAACGCTGTTTACCTTCCCGCTGGAGCGGTACCTATTTATCTACTTGCACTTTGACGTGCTTTTGAACTGCTAGGTTGGCAGGAGCAGGGACCGAACAACGGGAGCTCACCCCGTTGCGGGGATTCGAACTGCCGACCTTCTGATCGGCAAGTTCTAGGCTCTGTGGTTTAACCCACAGCGCCACCCGTGTCCCACATTAGTCCTACACCCTGCCTTTTAGCACTTTTCATTACAAGTTGAGTGCTAAAAACAGTTTTTCTTCCTGGCAGGCCCATGCAGAGGCAGGTGACAGCCTCTTTCCCCTGAGCCTCTGATGGCTGAGTGGTTGGGCTATTGTTCTTTTGTTTTGTTTTAGTTTATAACTTTATTCTTTCAAGACTCCTGCCCCAGGCCTCAGACAAGTTCTGCACAGGCCTGACTTCATGCATTTATACAATCCTTTTTTTTAGAATCGCCTTTTGGCCCCTCTCCTGCTGAGTCGGCTCGCAGGCACACCTTTAAAATACAGCGCTCTTTTCAAAATAATAAATGGGAACGCAGAGAGCCAAAAACCTAGAGTCGACTGGTGGGTGCTAGTTCTTTATTTGCAGGGTCTGTTTCCAAGTGGGAGCCATTCAGAGATGGGCAGCCTGAGGTCTCCAGCCCAGTGTGACTGATCCGAATTTATTAATTGACATCACACCCTTTCTCTCTTTTTTTTAAAAAAAAATAATTTATGCTTTTCAAGTTTATGCATTTCATTAATTTTACAATCATTTTGACATTTCTAAACTTGACTTCCTTCCCCCTCTTCCTGCGGTTCCTTAAATTTATTTTTAGCATCTTCTGCATATCCAAATTGACCAAATTTGCTCATTTATTCATCTTCTTTAAATATATACAGTGGTACCTCGGGTTAAGTACTTAATTTGTTCCGGAGGTCCGTTCTTAACCTGAAACTGTTCTTAACCTGAAGCACCACTTTAGCTAATGGGGCCTCCTGCTGCTGCCGCGCCGCCAGAGCACGATTTCTGTTCTCATCCTGAAGCAAAGTTCTTAACCTGAAGCACTATTTCTGGGTTAGCAGAGTCTGTAACCTGAAGCGTATGTAACCTGAAGCGTATGTAACCCAAGGTACCACTGTACTCCTAAAAAACTGCAGGTTATTACAATAATCCTGCCAATGTTTTTATCTGTTTACAGTTTATCTGTAAATATTCAATAATCCATTTCCATTCTTTTATGAAAAGTTTGTTATATTGATTTCTTATTCTTCCGGCAACTTTTGCCATTTCTGCATATTCCATAAGTTTTTGTATCCGTTCTTTCTTTGCTGGAACTTCTTCTTCTTTCCATTTTGGGGCAAGTAACATTCTTGCCGCTGTAGTCACATAGATCAATAAGTTTCTATACAATATAAATAGTTCTGTCCCTATAATTCCCAAAAGAAAAGCTTCTGGGTTGTTGTTTTTTACAAAGGTTATTTTAAACACCCTTTTCAGTTCACTATATATCATCCCCCCTCTTTCTTTTTTCCCTTTCTCCTTCTGTGATGAAACTCCTATTTGGGGACTTCCCTGGCTTTTTTCTGGCCCATGTAGGACCAGTCTGGATAGTTAGCCTTGGTGAAGACTTGATGTTTTTTCCCCCAAAAAAGTTTTTTATTTGAGTTGCTACTGAAAGGAGGCTGCATTTTAATGTTGCATTTTAATCTTGTTTTTCAAGTTGTATTTCAATCAATTGTTTTATATCTGGTGTTAGCCGCCCTGAGCCTGGTCTTGGCTGGGGAGGGCGGGGTATAAATAAAATTTATTATTATTATTATTACTATTATTACTATTATTATTACTACTATTATTATTATTTCCCAGTAGGCTTTAACCTACCACATATGATAAAAAGAACCTTCTTTCTCTTTACATTTCCAACACCGTATCACACCTTTTATCCAAGGCGCTCAATGTGGCGTATGCAATTCCTCCCATTGCGACAACCCTGTGAGGTAAACTGAGAGAGGCAGTGACTGGCCCAAGGTCACCCAGAGAACTTTGTGGCCGAGCGAGGATTTGAACTCAAGACTCTCCTGTATCCTGCTCTAGCCACTGCCCTTCCTGTGCTCCTCAGTGCAGTGAACAAACACCCCAGGGCCAGAACACCTGAGGGAGCTTCTATCTCCACCTCCTTGTGTTGCTACTGGCTGAAAGGAGGAGGCTGGACCAGGAGGCGTCCTCATAATCTCCAGAAACTGGGAAGGTGGCCAGAAGGACCGGCCACTGGGGCGAGGCCTCTCTGAGCAAGCAGTTCCCGATTCAGGAGTGTGTCATCCACACAGCCTTCGGCCAGGTAAGGGCTCAGGGATAACTAAAGCCCAGGATCTGGGGCACCTTCCTCCTTGGAAGCAAGGCAACCCACTCCTTGAAACTCGAGTGGGGCATCTGCTGCATCTCTGAAGCCACCTGCCGCCTTTCCTGAGAGATGCTAATAGGGGAGGTGCTGGAAATCCAGGTTTGCAGGCAAAAGAGGGGCAGATGTGGACTTTCAGATGTTGTTGGACTACAACTCCCATCGTTCCTGATGGTTGGCGGACCTGCTTGGGGTGGAGGACCAGAGACCCCTCTGCTTTGGGCTGAGAAACCGCAGCCTTTGTTGCGGAAGCTTGCTCTCCTCAGGTGAAGTGCCAAATGTTTTGCGCCATGACTCAGTGGTGAGGGATTCTGCACATGCTTAGGTGAATTATTATTTACGGCCTCTGCCCAGTATACCTGAAGGAGCATCTCTGCCCCATCGTTCAGCCCTGAGGGCCTTCTGGCAGTTCCCTCACTGCGAGAAGTGAGGTTACAGGCAGAGGGCCTTCTCGGTAGTGGCACCCACCCTGTGGAATGCCCTCCCACCAGATGTCAAGGAAATAAACAACTGTCTGACTTTTAGAAGATATCTGAAGGCAGCCCTGTTTGGGGAAGTTTTTAATGTTTGATGTTTTATTGTGTTTTTAATATTCTGTTGGGAGTCGTCCAGAGTGGCTGAGGAAACCCAGCCCGATGGGTGGGGTATAGATAATAAATTATTATTATTATTATTATTATTATTATTATTACTACTACTGCTGCTGCTACTACTACTTGTATCTTCAAAACAGGTTCCAGTTCTGAGTGCCGGGCTCCAGCTTTTAAGTCTTGCACTTATCTAGCAGTTGTGCTTGTTTGTTTGACTGATTATCTTTAATTATTATTATATCAATATCCCTTCCTTTCCTCCAAGCAGCTCAAGGTGGCGTAAATGGTTCTCCTCACGCCTCGATTAATTTCCAAAACAACTCTGTGAGGTAGATTGGACTGAGAGGCAGTGACCAAGGGCACCCAGTGAGCTTGACGGGCGAGTGGGAATTTGAACCCCAGTCTGCCAGGTTCTAGTTTGGTGCACTCTAACCACTGCACCACACTATCTCTAGGACAGCAAACATCCCTCTCCCTCCCTGCCCCCTTTATTCTTGAGACAACCTTACACATGGCACGGCTTAGTCTCTAAGAAGCTGGTGGGCTCAGGGACTATCCAGTGAGCGTCGTGTCTGAATGGGGAGTTGAGCCCATCTTTCTCTGTTTGGATACCTCAATGTGGCTAGGAGCTCCTCAGAATGGAGGGAGCCTGAACTCAAATTTCCCACTTGGCTGTCAAACTGGATAACTCCAAGCCAGTACAGTGGTGCCTCGCAAGACGAAATTAATCCGTTCCGCGAGAGTCTTCGTCTAGTGGTTTTTTCGTCTTGCGAAGCAAGCCCATTGACGGATTAGCGCTATTAGCGCTATTAGCGGTTTAGCGGCTATTAAAGGCTTAAAGGCTTAGGGGATTAGCTGCTAAAAGGCTATTAAAGGCTATTAAAGGCTTAGCAGATTAGATAAAGGGGGGGGGGAAAGCGAAAAAAAAATCTCAAGACTCGCAAGGTATTTTCGTCTTGCGAAGCAAGCCCATAGGGGAATTCGTCCTGCGAAGCAACTTCAAAACGGAAAACCCTTTCGTCTAGCGGTTTTTCCGTCTTGCGAGGCATTCGTCTTGCGGGGCACCACTGTATAACTCTCCCCTTCTCCCTCTTTCCACTGAACCTGCCTCGCAGGATTGTTGTAAGGATAAAATGGGGGGAACAAATAATTGTACCCACCTTATTGTGCTTTTTCTGTTGGTGTAAGCCAGGGGTAGGCAACTTAAGGTCCGGGGGCCTAATCACCACCTCAATTTGGCCCGCGGACGGTTTGGGAATCAGCATGTTTTTACATGAGTAGAACGTGTCCTTTTATTTAAAATGCAGCTCTGGGTTATTTGTGGGGCCTGCCTGATGTTTTTACATGAGTAGGATGTGTGCTTTTATTTAAAATGCATCTCTGGGTTATTTGTGGGGCAAAGGAATTCATTCTCTCCCCCCCCATATAGTCCGGCCCACCACATGGTCTGAGGGACGGTGGACCGGCCCCCTGCTGAAAAAGGTTGCTGACCCCTGGTGTAAGCACTCCTTTTCTGTTCTTTCTGGGGAAAAGCAAGTCTATGCAATGGTTTCTAAAGAGGTGAATTATTTGTAATTTGTAATTAATTGATTCAATTAATTTGTAATTAATTGAAATTTGTAATTGGGGGGAGAGCAGGGTTGTAGGCCATTGCAACTGACTGCAATGCCCCCCTTGTGAGCGCTGGGTGGTGGTGATTATAATAAAAGGCCGTTGTTTTCAGTTCTTTGTAACCTAGTTTTGCAAATCGCCTAGTATTGTCAAGGCTCAGTATTTTTGGCTTTGAGAAATAATCTGCAATGCAAATGTGTTCAGCCTCTGGAAGCCTGGCCTCTTTTTCACCTATTTACACACACACACACACACACACACACACACACACACACCTGTGAGTCTGCTACTGCTGCATTTCCCCTGGTGAAGGGTTCTGTGAAATGCAGAAGTTTGCATGTGCCAATGGCAAAGTACGCTGGCCCAGTTAGAAGGCACCGGCTTCTGAATCTCAGATGTCTTCAGCAGGTGCCCAAAAGACAAGAGAGACGGTGTTTGCAACAGAGGTGGTAACTGCAGGTGACCTTCACCTGGGAGTGCTGTTTATGTCCCAAGCTGTTTAGGTCTTCCTACACCGAAACCAGCACCTTGAGCTTCACCTGCTCACTGCTTGTCAGCCTGTGCAATTCTCTCAACAGTGGGATGGCATTGCTGGCAATCTCCCTCCTCAACAGTGTTAGGTAAAGGTAAAGGGACCCCTGACCATTAAGTCCAGTCATAGCCGACTCTGGGCTTGCGGCACTCATCTCACTTTATTGGCCGAGGGAGCCAGCATCCAGCTTCCGGGTCATGTAGCTAGCATGACTAAGCCACTTCTGGCGAACCAGAGCAGCACACGGAAACGCCGTTTACCTTCCCGCCGGAGCGGTACCTATTTATCTACTTGCACTTTGACGTGCTTTTAAACTGCTAGGTTGGCAGGAGCAGGGACCAAGCAATGGGAGCTCGCCCCGTCGCGGGGATTCGAACCGCCGACCTTCTGATCAGCAAGTCCTAGGCTCTGTAGTTTAACCCACAGCGCCACCCTGCGTCCCAACACTCAGCTATATAAACGAATCACTAAATGGCACCTTTACGTTACGGTTGCCGCAGCAGAAAGTCTAGGCGTCATTTTTAATTTTTTTTGCAACGGATTTTTATTCTTATTCGTATTCCTATTCTTAATAACTCCATTTCTACAAAGCTTTATATTTTAAAGGGGGGGGAAATCTCCCAAGCAGTTTTCAACACATTAAAACATCAAAGAAAACAATCCAGGAAAAAGAAAACAAATGCAAGCTTCAATGAAAATGTTTCAGATCCTTCTCTAAGTGACATTTTGCTTTCCCCATACGTCTTGAGTGACTTAATTTATAGAGCTGCCCCGTAGCAGGAGGACTCTAGGAAGACAGCATGGTGTAGTGGTTAGAGAGTCAAACTAGGACCTGGGAGATCAGGGTTCAAATCCCTACTCTGTCAGGAAGCTCACTGGGTGACCTTGGAGTCAGTGACAGTCTCTAAGCCCACCTCAAAGGGTCCTTGTGGGGATTAACTGAAGGTTAATCCTTGGAGGAAAAGATGTGATATAAATGCAATAAATAAACTCTTCTGTTTACCTGTTCAAGAAAGCCGGATGGGCTAGCCAGATGAAAATTTCTTTTGCCAAACTGTCATCCAGAAATCTTCATCATACACCTGGCGAATACCCCAGTGAGCAGTGGTTAGAGGGCCATTACAGTGGTACCTTGGTTCTCAAATGCCTTGGTACTCAAACAGCTTGGAACCCAAACACTGCAAACCCGGAAGTAAGTGTTCCGGTTTGCGAACTTTTTTTGGAAGCCGAACGTGCTCCGTTTTGAGTGTTACGCTTCCGTTTTGAGTGTTACACTGAGGTCTGTCTGTTTTTGCTATTTATTTTGCGTTTTTGTTTTTGTGGCTCTTGTTTCTGTTTTTGTGACTGTGTGGAACCCAGTTCAGCTACCGACTGATTGATTGTGTGACTGCAGTACATTGCTTATTGCTTTCATTTTAGGGATCAATGGTCTCGTTAGATAGTAAAATTCATGTTAAATTGCTGTTTTAGGGGTTTTTTTTAAAAGTCTAGAATGGATTAATCCGTTTTGCATTACTTTCTATGGGAAAGCGTGCCTTGGTTTTGGAATGCTTTGGTTTTGGAACGGACTTCCAGAACGGATTAAGTTTGAGAACCAAGGTACCACTGTATAGGGTTGCCATACGTCCAGAATACCCAAAATACTGTAGTCGGAAGCAGTGTCCGGGCAAAAATATCCAGGAAATCTGGATGTATAGCAAGCCCTGTCTATTCAAAAGAGCTAAAAAATTGCAATTTTTTTTTTGAGGGGGGGGGAATATGAAATATGGCAACCTTAATCTAGGGCTACACCCAGAGTTGCCCCTCTATGGCTGAGGAGACCCAAAGTACAAATCCTCACCCAGCCAGAAAGCTCACTGGGTGACTTTGAACCATTTGCACACTCGGCTTAGTCTATCCCGCAGGGTTGTTGTGAAGACAAAAGGCGGAAGAGAAAGAACTACGTGTACTACCCAGAACTGCCTGGAGAAAGAAGCAGGATATTAAGCCAGGCTGAATCTTGAGTCTGTTTGGTTTAAAGATCTGAATCTCGCTCACCTGATGGAATGCGTTTTTCTTGTATGCTTATAAAATATTGGCTGCTTAGCCACCCTTTTCATATGGAAGGATTTTTCTGAGAATCGGTTCTCTGGCTCTGTCCTCCCATCACAATCTGTGATAGTTTCCTTTTTAGTGTGGATCACACCGTATGTTTACTTAGGGAGCGGTGGATTTCTGTGCCAAATTTTAAATCGTGGGAAGAGCTAGTTAGTTATTCAGATGACAAGAGAGGAAGAGGGCGCAACAGATTAAAACAGCAATTTTAAATTCATACGCATGTGTATGTAATGGGCGTGCGAGACTGTCGTGCCGTCCTCTTTGGTGTGAAAATATACAACTGCTTGACTGTCTGAACCTACTGTAGGTGCACAACAAATTTGCATCTCTGTGACGAAACTGCTGGCTGATCGCACAAACTTTGACCTTATTTGCCTTCCAGGTGGGAGGGGCACCGGCATTAGAGAAATGTATATGCAAATGTAATGCATCTTAGGATCTCTGCTTGCATTCCTGCAGTTGCCTGGTTTGTGAGGGAAGAGGACAACAAATAGGTTTTTAAAATTATAATTATGGGGCAAATTGCAGACTACTCCTGGGCCTCAGACACGTGAGAATGCCAGGGTTGAAAGATTCCACAGTGAAAGCAGAGCTGATTGATCTGGCTTCTAGAAAGACCCTTTTTTTGCGGTGCTGATTGGTAAAAATGCCAGTGTAGGGTTCAGGATGAAGGGCCTTTTCAGTGGTGGCACTGCATACCCAATGAGACACACCTGGCCACCTCTCTCCAATCTTTTAGATGACCGGCAAAGACACCTCTCTTCTGCTCAGCTTTTCATAGAATAATAGAATTGTAGAGTTGGAATTGTAGAGTTGTTTATCAGCTCCATCTGGTACGCAGGCTGAGACCCTACCTGCCCACCGACTCTCTTGCCAGAGTGGTGCATGCTCTAGTTATCTCTCGCTTGGACTACTGCAATGCGCTCTACGTGGGGCTACCTTTGAAGGTGACCCGGAAACTACAACTAATCCAGAATGCGGCAGCTAGATTGGTGACTGGGAGTGGCCGCCGAGACCACATAACACCGGTCCTGAGAGATCTGCATTGGCTCCCAGTACGTTTCCGAGCACAATTCAAAGTGTTGGTGCTGACCTTTAAAGCCCTAAATGGCCTCGGTCCTGTATACCTGAAGGAGCGTCTCCACCCCCATCGTTCAGCCCGGATACTGAGGTCCAGCTCTGAGGGCCTTCTGGCGGTTCCCTCCTTGCGAGAAGCCAAGTTACAGGGAACCAGGCAGAGGGCCTTCTCGGTAGTGTCACCCGCCCTGTGGAACGCCCTCCCATCAGATGTCAAAGAGAAAAACAATTACCAGACTTTTAGAAGACATCTGAAGGCAGCCCTGTTTAGGGAAGCTTTTAATGTTTAATAGGTTATTGTATTTTAATATTCTGTTGGAAGCCACCCAGAGTGGCTGGGGAAACCCAGCCAGATGGGTGGGGTATAAATAAATTATTATTATTATTATTATTAGGCCCCAATGGTCATCTAGTCCAACCCCCTGAAATGCGAGAATCTCAACTCAAGCATCCCTGACAGGTGGCCATCCAACCTCGTGTTTCAAAAACCTCCAAGGAAGGAGAGTCCCATGAAGGAGAATTTTGGGAGGGGGTAGAATGGTTTGGAAAAATTTCAGTTTCCTTCAGTTGGCCTGTTGCTTTAAGTATGCTGCCCCGTGAGTTGAAATAGCTTTTATGAACTTCTCGTTTGTTTGATTTCGGTACACCTCCCAGCGACATAAGGGGAAGGGCAGCATGCAGACACTAATACAAGATAAATAGGTGATGTGTTAATGAGGATATGCTTCGTGTCGTTTTTCGTTCAATAAGAGCAATAATACCTTGTGAAACTGGAAAGGGCTGGCGCTTTATAATTTGTCTGCCAGAAGTCCCGGGTTCAGTTCCTGGCATCTGCACCAGGAAGGGCTGGGAATGTCCTCTGCCAGGAGCCATGGAGAGCTGCTGCCAGTCAGTGTAGGCTATACTGCGCTGATTCATGCTGAAGTGCTAAACTTGTATCTGGGCAGTACCATTTCAGTTTGCACGGACAGGGGAAATATCTCATGACTGCACTTAATGACTACAAAACATGAAATCCCTGCACACAGAGTGCTAGCATGCCAGGAAGAGGGCAGGCCAGAACCTTTCCCTCTGGCACCTAGATTTCATTGTAGACATAATTGTTTCTGTACATAGGAGCATTCGCTCCCTCGATTCCCTCGCCTGCAGTCTGAAGTGCTTCAGCCCAAGCACAGATTTGCTATTAAACTAAGTTTCACTCAAGGTAGACCTACTTAAATGAATGGACCTAACTTAGTCATGTCCGTTGATTTCAGTGTGTGTGCTTTGGGTAAAACGCAGTTTAATACCTTCCCAGGAAATTCTTATTCCATTAAAGAAAATGATCCTGGAACATTTTTACAATAGAAAAACTTAAAATGCAATCACATGAAAGCAGTGATGAAATAACATCTCTGTCCATCAAACCACTGGGTGGTTTTCAGTAAACTGCTGTCTCTTTCAACTCCCTGTTGTTGTTGTTGTTTTTGTTGATAATAGTAATACTCCACCCATCCGGCTGGATTGCAGAATGGAGATAATGTTGCCTATTTTACAAGATGATGACATGCGAATAATCGAAAGCACTTTACAAACAAGATCGCTGGCAATAATAATAACTTTAGGGTGATGTTTACCAGGGTTCACAAGGCCGTGTGTGGCAAATGGGAGGTGACAGGTTGCAGAACTTTTAAAGGCGTTGGCAGGATTTCTGGGTCATGACCCAGCAGAGAGAGGTGTGTGGGTTGAACAGGTCATAGACTCATAGAATATGCAGGCTGTGTTCATATGCTGTGCTAAACCACAGTTTAGTGCTTTAGGCTGTGTTAGTACGTAATGCAAAGCCACAGTTTACTACTATGCAGCTGAGTCTCCATCAGTCGTGAGCAAAGAAGCATCAGGCTTGTGTGCGGCCATCTCCAGCTCCCATATGGCTTGTGCTAAGATTATATTGGATTTCGCTGAATCTCGCCTTAGCTTTACGGGCAAACCCGGTTTACTAAACCACTAGTCAGTTTGAACAACCTGGCTTCATAAACCCTGGTTTGAAGTTGGGCTTGTTAAGCAACCGAGGGCAGTTTGTTGCAAACCAGTACAGTGGTACCTCAGGTTACATACGCTTCAGGTTGCATACGCTTCAGGTTACAGACTCCGCTAACCCAGAAATAGTGCTTCAGGTTAAGAACTTTGCTTCAGGATGAGAACAGAAATCGTGCTCCAGCGGCCCGGCAGCAGCAGGAGGCCCCATTAGCTAAAGTGGTGCTTCAGGTTAAGAACAGTTTCAGGTTAAGAACAGACCTCCGGAACGAATTAAGTACTTAACCCGAGGTACCACTGTATTCCTGGTTCATAATAATAATAATAATAATAATAATAATAATTTTTTATTTATACCCCGCCCTCCCCGGCCAGAACCGGGCTCAGGGCAACTAACACCAATAAAATTACCATAAAACATAATAGGAAAGGGAAAAAAAGAAATTAAAAAGTTAATTAAAATATGGGTTAAAATACAATTTAAAATGCAGCCTCTTTTTAGTAGTAGCCCATAAATCAGAACCATAAGCGGAGGGAAACATAAGGGTCAAACTGGGTCCAAACCAAAGGCCAGGCGGAACAGCTCTGTCTTGCAGGCCCTGCGGAAAGATGTCAAGTCCCGCAGGGCCCTGGTCTCTTGTGACAGAGCGTTCCACCAGATCGGGGCCAGTACTGAAAAGGCCCTGGCCCTAGTTGAGACCAATCTAACCACCTTGCGGCTCGGGACCTCCAAAGTGTTGTCATTTGTGGACCTTAAGGTCCTCCGCGGGGCATCCCAGGACGAAGGTTGGATTCTGTGAAAATCATCTTGGCAGAAATCCTCCTCTTGGCTGCAAAGGGAGGAGGAGAACGTGAGGGGTCCTGGAGGTCAGTCTGGGTTCCACAACGGAGGATCAAGTAAGGAGACAAGGAAGGTTAGGCAGAAGAAGGAGAAACTGCACAGGGAGGTCCCATTAACCCTAACCCTCATCTCTCTCTTTCTCTCTTGTCTAGCTGGTGGGATCATGCGGCAGCCCCAAGGCTATATTGGGCTACTTGCTCCTTTATGTATCCTGTTCCTTTTCCTCCTGTTCACACTCACTGCCTCTTACAAACCCATCATCGTGGTCCATGGCCTCTTTGACAGCCCTTCCGACTTCCGGCAGCTGTTGGTGTTCATCAATGAGGTGAGGCTGAGGACCAGAATTCCTGGCATGAATGTGGGAAGTGGGAACAGAATAGTTCATGTATCTTAAAAGGTAAAGGTACCCCTGAACATTAGGTCCAGTCGCGGACGACACTGGGGTTGCAGCACTCATCTGGGAGCCGCCATTTGTCCGCAGACAGCTTCCGGGTCATGTGGCCAGCATGACTAAGCCGCTTCTGGTGAACCAGAGCAGCTCACGGAAACGCCGGACACCCATATCACTAAAACTAAGGGGCCTGTCACGAAGCTGGATGCTTTCTTTGATCTTTGATTTCTCAAAAGGGCTCTCAGTTTGGGATTTGGCAAACGAATCCTCAGTTGTTTAAGCGAAGCGTACCTGCAGGATGCATCAAACCTCTCTTGTGACTCTGATGCATACCATATATGCCACTCATCTGCTGCAGGGCAGACAAACAAAGGGTTCTTATCTTATTTATTTTTTGCTCTTACTAGCGGAAGACCTGTGTAATTTCACAAGAGGAAGGGAGGAAAGGAACAGGAGCTTCTAGTCCCTGGTGCCACCCTTCTTCCTTGCTCAGTCCCAGATCTTTATATTATTTATTTATCTTGTTTAGGCTTTTATCGTAGAATCATAGGGAGGCAAGGGGCCTGAGGGTCATCCAGTCCAACCCCGGCTGCAATGCAGGAATCATTGCTAAAACATCCATGACAAGTATCCGTGCAACTTCTGCTGAAAAACCTCCGAAGAAGCAGCTGCATGTGGAGGAGCGGGGAAGCAAACCCGGTTCACCAGATTACGAGTCTACCGCTCTTAACCACTACACCACACTGGGTCCTCCCCTATCCTAGCCTGACATGCGCACCCGGGTTAGGGAACATTTAGCCCTCCAGATGTTGCAGTACAATAACATCTGGCGGGCCAAAGATTCCCCACCCTTGAGATAGCGGCTACACCCAACTGGCTTTATGCTTCGCCCACTTCCCTGATTTCACCCCACCTCTCTTTTTCTCAGTGTTAATACGGGAGGGATAATTGTGTAAACATCTCTCCTAATAAGAGGCAGGGATGGGTTGTAATTTACTTCTCCAGGTCCTGTGTGACTCAGAGCCATCACAGGTGGAGCCGTTGCAAAGATCCCTGTATGGCAGGCTGATGTCTGCACTGGGATTCACTGGTTAGGCTGGAATGGCAAGTTACCTGGGTAGTGAAAGAGGAAGCATGGAGTTCTGGCAACTCCTGAGTGCTTGCTTGTCTCAAATTCGTTTGCAGAAATAGAACCACAAGTCTAGGAGAGTTCTTAACTGGCCCCTTGTCACTAGTCAGATAAAGCATTTGCAGGACTCTCTCTGTACGTGGCATTGCACCATGCAAATGCAGAATGGGATGCAGTTTCCCAAATGTTTGCTTGTTTTTTTTAATGTAGTGGCATAGCTTAGGGGTGGTTGCCCCGGATGAAAAATTGTTAGGTAAAGGGACCCCTGACCATTAGGTCCAGTCGTGGCCGACTCTGGGGTTGCGGCACTCATCTCGCTTTATTGGCCGAGGGAGCCGGCATACAGCTTCTGGGTCATGTGGCCAGCATGACTAAGCCGCTTCTGGTGAACCAGAGCAGCGCACGGAAACGCTGTTTACCTTCCCGCCGGAGAGGTACCTATTTATCTACTTGTACTTTGACATGCTTTCAAACTGCTAGGTGGGCAGGAGCAGGGACCGAGCAACGGAAGCTCACCCCGTCGTGGGGATTCGAACCGCCAATCTTCTGATCAGCAAGCCCTAAGCTCTGTGGTTTAACCCACAGCGCCACCCGCGTCCCTTGCAAAATTGTTAGGGGTGCAAAATTTCAACACCCAGTGCTGCCTCAATACAGCTGCACGCTTCCGTCGCTGGGCTCCGTTGAAACCAGCATCCACATGCAAACCAGGAAGCGACTTCTCCAGACAATGGAACCACTCTTTCATTTCTTATCTCTGCAGCTGTGATCTCCTGAGTTACGTGGATACTATTACATGCATGCATGCTACGTCCATTTCCCTCCCACCCCCTACGTGCAGCCCCGGGCACTGGCAACCCATGCTACACCACCGTTTTAATGCACAAGTTTCTAGTCCTTGCACAATGCCACATGTGGGCACTGCCTTGTGGAGTCTTGGGGCACAGCTAGGCAGTAATGGCAGCAGGACTCTGCTTTGCGGCTGCCAATTCCCTATAAAATGTGAGGGTTCTGCCAGCGATATAAGGCACGATTAAACTAGGCAAGAGGATTGGGCATCATAGCACGGGCAGACAAACTCACGCTGCCTGTGCTTTTTTCTACCTAATCCTGCTCTTAATTTATTTGTTCATTTCTGTTCCTGAATTGTTTCCTATTCCCAGAGTTCCCTGGGAAAGGGGATAGATTGCTGAACTGCTCTGGGAACTATAGTTCTGTTTGGCGGGGAAAGGAGTCTACTAACGAGAGCTGGACCATAAAGAAGACTGATCGCTGAAGAATTGATGCTTTTGAAATATGGTGCTGGAGGAGACTCTTGAGAGTCCCATGGACTGCAAGAAGATCAAACGCATCCATTCTGAAGGAAATCAGCCCTGAGTGCTCACTGGAAGGACAGATCCTGAAGCTGAGGCTCCAATACTTTGGCCACCTCATGAGAAGAGAAGACTCCCTGGAAAAGACCCTGATGTTGGGAAAGATGGAGGGCACAAAGAGAAGGGGACGACAGAGGATGAGATGGTTGGACAGTGTTCTCAGAGCTACCAGCATGAGTTTGACCAAACTGTGGGAGACAGCGGAAGACAGGAGTGCCTGGCATGCTCTGGTCCATGGGGTCACGAAGAGTCGGACACGACTAAACGACTAAACAACAACAACTACTTTCTGCTCCCGAAACAAACTACAGCTCCCAGAATTCTTTGCAGCCGTGGCGGGTGGGGAGCCATGACTTAGCAGAACAGTAGTTCCTATGCATGTGTGGAGATAGCCTTGGCATGATGTGAGCCGCGAGTGCTAGCCATGAAAAGCAGTGTTGCAAAAACTGAAGTTAATATTTACTTTTTAAGAAACGTATTTTCGGCGGGGCAGCAGCAGCTCACCTTAAGCCTTGGGTGCTCAAGAGAGGTTGAGCTTTCAGCCCTTTTAAAATCTCTTCTCTCTTCCCTCTCTCCCTCCATCTCTCTGTTCCCGCTGCTTCCTTGCAGACCCACCCGGGTACCAACGTCACAGTCATTGATCTGTTTGACCACACCGAGAGCTTGAAGCCTCTTTGGATGCAAGTGGAAGGTTTCCGGCAAGCCATTTACCCCATCATGCAGAATGCTGTCGATGGAGTCCATCTCATCTGCTACTCCCAAGGTATGTGTGAGCTGAGGATTTCAGAAGCTCTTTCTGGGTCTAGCCAATGGCCCATTGTCTGGTCACAGGAACACAGGGACCTGCCTTATACAGAATTGGACCATTGCTCCATCCAGCTGCTGGTGTTACACCCATTGTCCTGGGTTTTAGAGACGAATTTTTCTCAGTGTTATGCAGAGATTATCATTTTCTGATTACTCTGGGAAGCACCATGTTTTTTCCGTGTATAACATGCCCCTCGTGTATAATAATAAATAAATAAATAAATATATATATATATATATATATATATATATATATATACAAAAATAATTTTTTGTTTATACCCCGCCCATCCCGGTTTAAAAACCGGGCTCAGGGTGGCTAACAGCAAATAGAAAACATTGATTAAAATGCGACTTAAAAACAGCATAAAACCTATGTATGCAAGCATTCGATTGACATTGGAGAGAGACTGAGCTGAGAAACAAGACCAAGGGTACATATTGATATAGAAATGTATTAGATAAAATGTAAAGAAATATACAATAATAAGAGTACTAGGGTTGTTGAAGAAGAAGAAGAGTTTGGATTTGATAATCCCGCCTTTCACTCCTTTTAAGGAGTCTCAAAGCGGCTAACATTCTCCTTTCCCTTCCTCCCCCACAACAAACACTCTGTGAGGTGAGTGGGGCTGAGAGACTTCACAGAAGTGTGACTGGCCCAAGATCACCCAGCAGCTGCAGGTGGAGGAGTGGAGACGCAAACCCGGTTCCCCAGATTAGGAGACTACCGCTCTTAACCACTACACCACACTGGCTCTCACACTGAGCTATTTTGCAGGGGATGGCCCACAGTTTCTGAGCTTTTTTGGGGGGGTTGCCGAAAATCCCTCACCCACTGGACTGCCACAGCCAATCACATGCACATCGACAAAGCCACCAATCGTCTACACGTCTAAAGCAAGCGCCAAGCACCCACAGTAATTGCCACAGCAGCCAATAGCCAGCAGGACTTGCCGTACCCACCAGTCACCCACAAAAACTCCACTGACAATCTCTAGCTCGCGGCAGCCACCAATCGCCCGTCCCATCTCTCCACTATCCGTGTATAAGACGGCCCCAAATTTTGAGCATAATTTTTAAATACAGTGGTACCTCGGGTTCCAGACACTTCAGGTTACAGACGCTTCAGGTTACAGACTCCGCTAACCCAGAAATAGTACCTCGGGTTAAGAACTTTACCTCAGGATGAGAACAGAAATTGTGCAGTGCCAGCAGGAGGCCCCATTGGCTAAAGTGGTACCTCAGGTTAAGAACAGTTTCAGGTTAAGAACAGACCTCCAGAACAAATTAAGTACTTAACCCAAGGTACCACTGTAAAACAACTTCGTCTTATACACGGAAAAATACAGTGGTACCTTGGGTTAAGTACTTAATTCGTTCCGGAGGTCCGTTCTTAACCTGAAACTGTTCTTAACCTGAAGCACCACTTTAGCTAATGGGGCCTCCTGCTGCTGCCACGCTGCCGGAGCACGATTTCTGTTCTCATCCTGAAGCAAAGTTCTTAACCTGAGGTAATATTTCTGGGTTAGTGGAGTCTGTAACCTGAAGCGTATGTAACCCGAGGTACCACTGTACAGTACATTGTATTTTAGGGCCTTCATAAGATCGTCCTTCTTACCTGTAAACAGACACCACAAGACTGAGCAGTGACCACCACTTTGGGGTGTGTGTGTGTGTTTCCTGTAATAAATATTTTTTTTAAAGAAATGGAGCAATGTGGAACAAGGTTGACATCATACAGGACTAGGGTTCTTCTTCCTCTAAAATATGACCCCCCTTCCTCTGTCTTCCAGGAGGACTCATCTGCCGCGCTCTCCTCTCCACGACGCCCGACCACAACGTGGACACCTTCATCTCTCTCTCTTCCCCACAGATGGGGCAATATGGGGGTAAGTCGTGGGGCAAGGGCAAGCCAGTGATTCCACACCTGGAATACTGTGTCCCAATTCAGGGCACCACAATTTAGGAAGGGTGTTGACAAGCTGGAACATGCGCAGAGGAGGGCGACTAAGATGATCAAGGGCATGGAAACCATGCCTTATGAGGAACGGTTGAAGGAGCTGGGTATGTTTAGCCTGGGAAAGAGAAGACTGAGAGGAGATATGATAGCCATCTTCAAATATCAAAGGCTGTCAACATGGAGGAGGGAACAAGCATGTTTTCTCCTTTCTGTGGAGAATAGGACTCGAACCAATGGAATCCAAGTTACAAGAAGGGAGATTCCGACTCAACAACAAGAGCAAGCTTGAGTGCTGCTGGATCCTTTTCTCTCTCACTCCTCTCTATATAAAAGTATAATTTTTTTTAAAAAAGTGATTTTATATATGCCATTGTTTTCACTGTTTTTTATATATATACAGTCATACCTCGGGTTACAGATACTTCAGGTTGCATTTTTTTGGGTTATGGACATGCAAAAACCTAGAAGTATGTGTGCGCAGACACGGCGCTGCGGGTTGTAAACACTGCGGGTTGCGAATGTGCCTCCCACAAGGATCACGTTCGTAACCGAGCGTCCACTGTACCTCGGGTTAAGTAGTTAATTTGTTCCGGAGGTCCGTTCTTAACCTGAAACTGTTCTTAACCTGAAGCACCACTTTAGCTAATGGGGCCTCCTGCTGCCGCTGCGATGGGGGAACACTTTTTCTGTTCTCATCCTGAAGCAAAGTTCTTAACCTGAAGCACTATTTCTGGGTTAGAGGAGGATGTAACCTGAAGCGTATGTAACCCGAGGTACCACTGTATATGTAACTGTTTCTTCATTATCTTGTAAATTCACTTAGGTGTGCCTCATGGCAATCAATCAATAAGAAAGAAAGAAAGAAAGAAAGAAAGAAAGAACGAACCACAGAGGGGGAAGCAAAGCCAGTCTGGTGTAGTGGTTAAGAGCGGTAGTCTCGTAAATCTGGGGAACCGGGTTCGCTTCCCCGCTCCTCCACATGCAGCTGCTGGGTGACCTTGGGCCAGTCACACTTCTCTGAAGTCTCTCAGCCCCACTCACCTCACAGAGTGTTTGTTGTGGGGGAGGAAGGAAAAGGAGGATGTTAGCCGCTTTGAGACTCCTGAAGGGGAGTGAAAGGCGGGATATCAAATCCAAACTCCTCTTCTTCTTCTTCTTTGATTCCTTTTGTCATTTCAGACACCAAGTACTTGAAGTGGCTCTTCCCGGAGCACATGAAATCCAACCTGTACCGTTTATGCTACACGCAGCTGGGCCAGGATTTCTCAATCTGTAACTACTGGAATGGTGAGATTGCTGCTTCTATTATTGCTACTACCGAGATCACAGATCATAGAACTGTAGTGTTGGAAGGGACCACGAGGGTCATCTAGTCCAACCCGCTGCAATGCAGGAATCTTTTGCCCAACGTGGGGATCAAACCCATGAGTCTCATGTTAATAATAATAATAGTAATTTATTATTTATACCCCGGCCATCTGGCCAGGTCTCCCCAGCCACTCTGGGCGGCTTCCAACAAAATATTAAAATACAGTAATGCATCAAACATTAAAAGCTTCCCTAAACAGGGCTGCCTTCAGATGTCTTCTAAAAATCTGGTAGTTGTTGTTCTCTTTGACATCTGGTGGGAGGGCGTTCCACAGGGTGGGTGCCGCTACCGAGAAGGCCCTCTGCCTAGTTCCCTGTAACTTGGCTTCTCGCAGCGAGGGAACCGCCAGAAGGCCCTCGGCACTGGACCTCAGTGTCCGGGCAGAAAGATGGAGGTGTAGACACTCCTTCAGATATACTGGACCCAGGAAATGTAAATGTTCTACCAACTGAGCTATCCCGGCAGCCCCGGGGTTTTGAGGCTTCCCAGTAGCTCTCATTTACGTACCCAATCTACAAGAATGTAAATTGCATACATGCAATATGCCATGCATGAGAGTTGGGACCTCAGTGATTATTTATATGAGGATGGTGACGATTATCAATATGGGAGAATCTGCAGAAAACACAGCCCAAGAAGAATCCACAGCTATCCCTGTTCCTCCACCACCACCTGTTATTTGACAATTTGAGTTGCCAAAACAGCATTTGCTTACATTATTTTGGCAGTGCTTACAACGGCCCTGTAAGGTAGGCCAGGTTATCATCCCCATATTTCAAATCAGTATCCTTGAGGATGAGAGAGAGAGAGAGCGCAGCTTGCAAGGACCATTTGTGGCTGAGGGCAGATAAGAAGCAGAGATGTCCCAGCTAATACTTTTAACCCTTAGGGACTAGCTCTGATGGCTCCATTGTGGATTTCCCATCCATCATCCTGTCTTTTGGAACACCGGAAATTTGCCACTACCAGGAAGCAGGATATTGAGATTGCTTAAACTCCATAGATGGTCATTGCTCATGTTTATGCTCTTATTTAGATGTCATAAAGTGTCATAAAGGCATTGCCCTCCAGACCAGAAAAACCAGTGACCTCAAATAGTATGTGGCTTGGCTCACTTGTGCGAGTCATCGGCAGCTATGAGATTTCCCGCAGTTCTGATGAAGTGTGCAACATATGCCATAATAAATTATGTTAGTCTGTTGCAGTAACAACAACAACAGAGTCTCGTGACACTTTGAAGATGGTTGTAGCTGATAATCTGGCATTTGCTTTCTTCTTCTGGCTCTTAGTAGTCTCAGTTGCAGGAGCTAACAAGGACTCATTTGTCCTACCTCAGTACAGTGGTGCATGACTAAGCCGCTTCTGGCGAACCAGAGCAGTGCACAGAAACGCCGTTTACCTTCCCGCTGAAGCGGTACCTATTTATCTACTTGCACTTTGAGAGCAGGGGAAAGGACCTTGAGCTCTTTGGAAAAGGAGGTGGGAGATAGACAAAATAAATAAAAATTATTCTGTGGCAGGGAAATGCACTCTGCACATTCTCTTGAGTCAGTCACAGCTTCTTGCTACTGCTACGCTTGTTCCAGAGATAAAACCTGCCAATAAAAATAAGTTCCAGGGCTTTGTTCAAATCTAAAGCTGTCATCCCCCCCCCAAAAAAAGAGACTGGTTTTTAAAATGTTATTTATTTATTTTATATTTATATATTAAAATAAGGGGGGGGAGGAGTTGGAGCCTGTCTCCTGGGTTCTGTGGGTAAAGGCCAGTGTATAAAGCAAACGAGATTTCTCTGCCTTTTTCAGATCCACACCATCGGGATCTTTACCTCAACAACAGCAACTTCCTGGCTCTGTTGAACGACGAGAGGCTCCATCCCAACGCAACAGGTAATAAAGTGGCGTTGCTCCTCAGTTCCCAATGTAAAAGGGGGAGTGGTAGGCTAGCCCCACTTGGCAGGCCTACCCCACATCCACACTTGCAGCTGATGCTTGTCTTATCCTGGCAGCCCTGTCCATACAGCCCCACAGCCCTGGGCGACGTAGGTCTGCGTTGCTAATCTTTGGTCAGCTAGGTCTCTCAGGCAGTCTTCCTCGTAATTTCTTTTTTTTCTTCTATAATTTTTATTACATTTTACATTTTAGAAAATTCATTCAAACAACCTTAAAACACCAGTGACTTCCTTTCTTCTCTTTCCATGGTTCGTTTTCCAAAACATAAATCCCTGCATATTTTATATAAACTAAACCAGTCAGTATTCCATTATTACATCCATCAAAACCTATTTACACTGTTGAGTTTATCTTAATGCTGCCCACGTTTTCAAATAAACACAATTTTCCTCCCTATAGTCTATAAACGTTTTCCAACCTTCTTTAAACATATGTTTAAATGTTTAGTCTTGCTCATAAGTTCCTTCCTGAGGCGGAGAGAGAACTCCGTTGCTAAATACACACCCACAGCGAAGCAATGACTGAAGAGAAAATTGAAACGGGGGCTTCCTAGCTTACAAATTATCCTCTTAGGGCCAAACTAGTCATGTCGGTGGATGCCAATGTTTGTTCGTTCAGGTGTCTCCCCAATTCCTATCTCAAACATTTTCCTCCCTGGTCTGATTCACTTCCAATGTCAGCTGAGTTGAGAGAAAAGTGTCTGCCATGATAGAGTGCCTGGCTCTTCTCCTTCACCTGCAAGAGTGTTGTGCTTTAATAATAATAATAATAATAATAATAACAACAACAACAACTGACACCCACCCCCAATTCCAGTTGATTCATGAAGAATAAACATGGCTGCCTCCCCTGTCCTGCCCTTAACCCTTGTGGTCCTCATAGTCTTTTACTGCCTCTGAGGTGTTACAACCAGGCCAAGTCTCAAGTTGAATAGGGTAGCTCTGTTTTATTAATTTTTTTTAAAAAAAGGCCTTGCCAGCATCCTAACACAGAAATTTAACAAGTTGTTGGCCCACAACATCTGGTAACCGAGCACAACGTTTTGAAGATGGAGTGTTCTTTTGTTTGCTCGAATGCCGCTGCCTCAAGTTAAACTTTTCCCAAAATGGAGAGTTAAAATGTGGGGGTGGTGTGGGGAAATCCTTGCTTGCTAAAAGTTTATATGTCAGGCTGCTGGAATTCTCCAGAAAGGTTTGCCAGGCCGGTTCAGCTGTGGCAGCTATAGAAAGGCTTGTAAAAAACCTTTCTGTGTTTTGTTTTGCCAATCCTTTTTGGAACTGATGCAGTTGGATCCTGGATTCCTGCCATAGACTGCTTTCTGACTGTGCTGTGTGTGTGTTGTGTTTTATGACTTTTCACTGGGTATTTCCACCCACCCACCCCTGTTTTGCTTTATTTTAATCACCTGCTATCTAGTTTTTAATACTTCAAGCTGTCTTGTGGGTCCTCATAGGAAGAAAGGCAGGCGACAAATATTTGAAGGAAATAAAAGTACGGGAGCAGAGCCAGAAAACAAGTCGTCACAGCTTATTCCTCTTTTTTTACTGCAGTTTGCCTTAAGACTTCTAAACAGCAAAGGGCTGTGAGATCAGTAGGAAATGGGAACATCTGTCAGTTTTGTGTTCTTTCAGTTTCTCATTTGTTTCTGTCCCCACCTTCCCACACCAATTTGTGAGGCCATAATAAAATTAAGTTGCTGGCCATCACTACCTCTTACAGGAGCAAATTATGTAGATTAACTCAGGTCCAACTTCCTTTCACATCTCAGAGAATTCAGAGTGAGGAGAGATTGGTTGTTCTCTGTCAGGGGCAGATGAAGGAGGAGAACATGGGACATAGGAGAAGAGTCTCCATAGTGACTTTTGGGACCACATTTCTGAATCTTTTGCCTCTCTTTCTCTCTCCCGCAATACAGCCTGGAAGAGAAACTTCCTGCGGATCCAAAAGATGGTTCTGATTGGGGGTCCAGATGACGGTGTAATCACGCCATGGCAGTCCAGGTGAGCTTTTGGAAGCCGCGAGAAGACCCTCTCACCCAGGTTGAGATACGATACAATACGATAATCTTTATTGTCATTGTCCCATACAGAACAACAAAATTGAAAAAATCTGCATAAGACATTCAGAAACCAACAAGCCTGCTATCCCAACCTGGTTAGCCCCCTAAAAACTCTGATACCCCATTTTTAAATACAATATACCCCCATCGAGACTTCTTACACTGCATCTAAAACCAAAATCGCATTTGGATAGAAACTGTTTCTCAGGCGGCTAGTCCTAGTCTTGTGTTGAAGGATCCTTTCTAGTTTCCCGCATGTGTAAGAGTGAAAACTCTCGGTGCCGCTGCTGTTTTGATTTGTCTCCAGCCTGTCTGCTGACTCATTTGCCTGCTTATGCCCCAACAGTAGAGCAGGATAATAAACTGATAATAAATGAGGATAAGGCTTTTGTCTCCAAGCACAGCTTTTTGCTTTCTCTGTCACTCTTCCCCCTACCCCACCCGTATGTTATCAATGCAGAGACGCCATTTGGACTTGCCAATACAGTGGTGCCTCGCAAGACGAAATTAATCCGTTCCGCGAGTGTCTTCGTCTAGCGGTTTTTTCGTCTTGCGAAGCAACCCTATTAGCGGATTAGCGCTATTAGCGGTTTAGCGGCTATTAAAGGCTTATCGGCTTAGCGGATTAGCTGCTAAAAGGCTATTAAAGGCTTAGCGGCTTAGATAAAGGGGGGGGGAGCGAAAAAAAAATCTCAAGACTCGCAAGACATTTTCGTCTTGCAAAGCAAGCCCATAGGGAAATTCGTCCTGCGAAGCAACTCAAAAACGGAAAACCCTTTCGTCTAGCGGGTTTTCCGTCTTGCGAGGCATTTGTCTTGCGGGGCACCACTGTAAGGCCATAAGGCTTTTAGGCTTGTGAATCAGAGCACACAGCCCAGATTACGAACTTGTCTCACTGTTGAGATCTTTGTTGGAGGGCCAGCTTTGGAAAGTCCCTGTTTCTGAAGTGAGATAGGGCTGCCTATTCCTCTGGCCCCTTCTGTAATGCTTTTTAGGTGCCGTGCAGAATCCCTGTTGTATCCCTAGGCTATTGATACTGTGTACGCTTTCTTTGCTGCTAGTTCTGCCCCCCCCTGTATTGTATCCTAACTTTCTTTTTTCTCTTTTTTTCTTAATTTTTATTGAATTTTACAAAAAAAGAAAATGAAACAAAAAACAATACATAACACTGTAAACACATTTATATGCATGTTTTCCAAAATGCAAACTGAAAAAAGAAGATGCTTTTCATAACCAATAGTATTACCAAAGTCATGCTTCAAAGATTACAATATATAAATCTTAGTTAAAATATTATAAAAGACTTCCACTGCATTCACCGCACGTCTCTTAGTTATCTCGCTCGCCTTCACATCTATTCTTCAATCATTTCCCTCCTTTAGATTCTTTCATAATCAGTCAAATCTTTATGTTCTCTATATTCTTCACAAGGTTAGTCTAGGCACAACCAAACTTTCGTATTTGAGCCCTGCTTGTATAGATATTTGTTTAAGCATTCCCATTGTTTCTGAATTCTGATTTTTGATTTATGCCTTATTAAATCCATCAGTTTTGCAAACTCCAGGTACTCACATAGTTTACTTAACTATTCCCCATTTGTTGGGATATAATTTCCTTTCCAGTGACTGGCTACCAACGTTCTCGCTGCTGTTGTTGCATACAGAAAGATGTTGATTTTGTCTTGTATGCTAACTTTCATTGCTTGCTTTGTTGTATTTCAGATAAGCTGCCTTGAGAGTAGGTAGAGCAGGTTTGTAGCTCAGTAGCAGAGCCTGTGCTTTGGAATAAAACAGTCAAGCCCCAGGATTTCCATGCAGGGCTGAGAGAAACACCTTTCTCAGATCCCGGGCAGTGTCGACAATACTGAGTTAAATGAACCCAATGGTCTGATTCAGAATATGAGGGAGCTTCCTTTGTTAGGTATAAATATTTGTGTGAGAGAGAGATAAATTCAGCACTGCCACAGTGCCTCTCTGTTAGGTGGCGAAATCCCTTAATAGATGTGGGCATTTTTTTAAAAAAAAGTGGTGGTGATAGCTGCCCTGAAATATACTGAATTTTGCAAAAGGAAACAAAAACCCTGAAATATTGCAGGGTGTTGATTTTACAGCCTGCATGCTATATCCTGTACTGCTCAAATCCAAACGCAGCACGTGGCTAATAATGTATTATCAGTAGTTAGGTCATAAATCATAAGCATCCACGTATAATATATGCATAGTTATGCAAAAGTTCATAAACAAGAAATAGTAAGCGTAATAAATTGCTGTCAGGGAACACCCTGATGAAGGCACAGTAGTCAGTGTCCAGCAATATTGTAGTGGTAGGTGCTCCAACGTAGGGAGAATATATTCAAACCGCTGTAGAGTGCAGCAACAAACAGCAAACAAAACAGGACTGCAGCAGGAATGCAAGCAAAACTGTTGCTCATCCGTGGCAGATAGGAATTGCCTCCTGACAAATAGGGAGGGAAACTTTCAATGCACTCCCCCCCCAAAAAAATCAATAGGAAATGAATTTATTCTTTGTTTTTAGGCATCAAAAGATTAACTTAAACATGTGTAGGTGACTAGCTGGTAACTTTCATGGACTTATTAGTCGGGATAAAATTGCAGGTGCATACTTTTCATATGGGTCTTATCACAGAATTTGTTTATTTGAATCATTTTCGCTCCGGCCTTCAGCCAAGAAAGACTCCCAGTGTGGCTTTCAGCCTTCACAACTTGAAAGATGTGACACGAAAGGAAAAGGGATTGGGGAGGGAGGAGGAGGAAAGCAAACACAGGCAGTGGTTCTTAATTAAGAGTTTCAGGTCATGGGGTTGGATCTCAGCCCTGAGTGTGAGTGAGTGAGAGAGAGAGTGAGAGAGAGAAAGGGATCAAGCACTGTCCTTGTAATGAAACCTTTTTCTTCCCTCTTCTCCCTGCAGTCTGTTTGCCTTCTATGATGATAACGAGAATGTGAGAAATATGACATCACAGCCGGTGAGTGAAGCTAGACTGCCTAATTGGGGGGATGGAGCCGGGGCAGCAGCATGTTGAAAGAAATGTACATTTTGGTTTACTTGGAAAGGAAGTTGGTACAGTCATACCTCGGGTTACAGACACTTCAGGTTGCATGTGTTCAGGTTGCGCACAAGATTTTGGACATAATATTATGTTTGCTGACTGGGAACAGTTATGGACCACAGGTATGAAATTTACGGCATGTAATGCCCTAAGAGAGAATATTATGAAAATGATATACAGGTGGTACATAACCCCAGTCAAGCTTGCAAAAATTTACCATCTGCCTGATAATAAATGTTGGAAATGTAAGGAAATTGAAGGTACATTTTTTCACCTTTGGTGGACGTGCCCAAAGATTAAGGCTTTCTGGGAAAGGATATATAATGAATTAAAAAAGGTATTTAAATATACCTTCTTGAAGAAACCAGAGGCCTTTCTCCTGGGCATAGTCGGCCAATCGGTGTTAAAAAAGGATAGAACTTTCTTTATGTATGCAACAACAGCAGCAAGAATACTTATAGCAAAGTATTGGAAGACACAAGATTTACCCACTGTGGAAGAATGGCAGATGAAGCTGATGGACTATATGGAACTGGCGGAAATGACTGGTAGAATCCGTGACCAGGGAGAAGAGTCGGTGGAAGAAGATTGGAAGAAATTTAAAGATTACCTACAGAAACATTGCAAAATTAAAGAATGTTAGAGTGATGATGGATTGAAATTAAGTGGTTTCTAGCTGCGCAGGCTTTAAAGTTATATACAGATCAAGATTAAGGATTAGGATTAAAAAGGTTAAAAGAAATGGAAAATTGGCTATTAATAGATAAAAATTTAATGTTATATTATATTAAGATTAAGGATTGGGATTAAAAAAGAGGGGAAGGAATTGCTGGACAAACAAACTGAATTGGAATACAAAAGAGGGAGGTATGAGGAGGTCCAGAAAATAAGTAAATTCAAAAGTAGTGATGAAAAGATGGAATTGTTTTTAACTGTTTTTTCTTTTTTTTCCTTTTTGTATTTTGTATTGTGTATTTTTCTTTTTACTTTTAAATTCTTTTTTTTTTATTGATGTGTTTCTTTTTATCTGAAACTTTAATAAATATCATTAAAAAAAAAAAAAAGAAGCTAGACTGCCTAATTGGGGGGATGGAGCCGGGGCAGCAGCATGTTGAAAGAAATGTACATTTTGGTTTACTTGGAAAGGAAGTTGGTACAGTCATACCTCAGGTTACAGACACTTCAGGTTGCATGTGTTCAGGTTGCGCACCGCACCGAACCCGGAAGTACCAGAACCGGTTACTTCTGGGTTTCGGCGCTCGTGCATGCGCAGAAGCGCTAAATCGCACTTTGCGCATGTGCAGAAGTGCCGAATCGCAACCCGCACATGCGCAGACGTGGCGCTGCGGATTGCAAATGTTGCGGGTTGCGAACGTGCCTCCCGCACGGATCACATTCGCAACCCGAGCGTCCACTGTGTTGGGAAAGGAGGATGTTTTGAATTTTTAATATCTTGTTTTAAACTTGGATTTCCATTGGTATTTTTAAATGCGCGCGCGCGCGCACACACACACACACACACACACACACACACACTGGTATCTTGGTACTCAAACGGCTTGGCTCTCAAACAAATCAGCTCCCGTACGCTGCAAACCCAGAAGCTTACGAACGTTTCCCGGAAGCCGAGTGTCCGACGCAGCTTCCGCTTTGAGTGCAGGAAGCTCCTGCAGCCAATCGGAAGCCGCGCCTTGGTTTTCGAACCATTTCAGGAGTCGAACGGACTCTCAGAACGGATTAAGTTCGAGAACCAAGGTACCACTGTATATATCTTAGAATGTTCCTGTCAGTTGCAAGTCCGCTCCTCATCAACCTAAAGGCCTAGATTTTGAATGTACAGTGGTACTTCGGGTGACAGAAGCTTCTGTTTACAGACTCTGCTAACCCAGAAATAGTACCTCGCGTTAAGAACTTTGTTTCAGGATGAGAACAGAAATCGTGCGGTGGTGGCAGCGGGAGGCCTCATTAGCTAAAGTGGTGCTTCAGGTTAAGAACAGTTTCAGGTTAAGAATGGACCTCCAGAACGAATTAAGTTCTTAACCTGAGGTACCACTGTAAATATTTCTAGGCTGGTTTTCTTCCATAAGACATTCAAAATGGCTCCTGAAGGCTGGCGGGGGGGGGGGTGTGCCTCTGGATTTGAAATATCAGAGGAAACTCAAAGCATTCCAGGCCTAGTTAAAACACATGTGTAAGAACCAGGACCTCAAAATCCCGTGGAAAGGTACGTGTCTCTTGCGCGTTGCAATCTAAAGACACAACCAAGCGACACATTAACTGGTTAAAAAATCCCATGCAATTGGTTTTGTCTTCAGCTTCATGACAGGGCATTTTTTTTAATTCTTATTTTTTGAGCAGGAGTTTAAATGGTCTCGTTTCTCCTTTCTCTCAGGTCTACCTGCTGGATACCTTTGGCTTGAAGACTCTGGACGCTCGAGGCGACATCGTTTTTTACAAAATGCCAGGCGTCACCCACACAAACTGGCACTCCAACCTCACAGTTTATGACACTTGCATTGCCAAATGGTTGACGTAGCTGGCGGGGACTTGAGGAGAAGCTGGCAGAGGAGGAGAGTGTCCTAAACCGAGATGCGCTGTGGTACCTCATCTTGGCATTTCTTCCCAACCGAGAAGAAACCCCGCTTTTGTTACCTATAGCTTTTTTTGTTTCGTTTTTATTTTTAGGATGGTTGATATTTTCTTTCATAGTGGAAGAAACCTTTTTTTCCCTGCAGGACCTTTTGGGGAAGGCTGGGAGCAGTTTGGGGGATTCCAGGGGGCTGCCGGGCAGGAAATGTTCGTGCCATTTTTTAATTTTTGGCAGCTCCGAGCGATGAAAACTGCAGGAAAAACCGCAAAAGGACAATTCAACAGGATCAAATACTTGAGGAGAATTGGGGGAGGGGGAGGGGATTTAGGCGCTGAATTTAGCGAAGAGACTGAAATCAGGAAATGTATTACATTTAAATGCAACAGATAATGTTCCTATTTCATATTTCCCGCTTCCAAACCTCTTGCAGAAATCTATGCCTTGTGGAAGCTGGCCATATTTCTCTTTGAAATTCTGACACTGAAAAGGTTGGATTTAGAAAATGCCTTTTCAATTGGACTTTTTAAAAAGACATCACATTCTTTCTGGCAAAAATCTGAATACTGTTTCTAATGGAGACTAAAGTTCCAGAAAGGTGACAGAAACTAATTGTGAGAACGTTTCAATAAGCTAACATTATTTTGCACAGATAAGTTGAGATTTCTGCTTTGACATTTCAACAGAGAAGATGGGTCAGCTTGTAGTATTTTACCAAAAGCCCAGTTCCCTGGCATTTTCAAATTTTAACCATGTAGGTGTCACCACAAAATCATCTAATGGTTCAGGGTTGCCATTTTTCCAGTAATTTGCTTCAGTCTTTTTGTTTGCACCACAATGTTGGAAGGAGCTTCAGAGCTCAGTCCTCCAATCATAGATCAAAACAAATATTTTAAATTATTGACTAAATGGAAAGGCAATATGTATTTATTATAAATGTGTATATTTCCCCTCCTCCTTTAGAAGCACATTCTCAGAAACTCAGGTTAGCAACAAAAATCAATGCAGACAGACACTTCGTCGTTTGCTCTGTTGTCTATATTTTTTAAAAAATGATATGTGCTTAAACCACCCAGTGACAGCTGTTAAGAGGCAGCTGCTGGCTGATTTTGGGAGAGCATCTGCTAAAGTACCCTCATCTTTTGGAGGGAAAACTGCAGAGCTTCACCACTTACAGAAAGGGAAAGGGACCTGGCGCCCTTTCTGATGTTTTGGGACTACAACGTCCATCATCCCTGACTGCCGGCCATGGTGCTTGGGCTGATGGGAGTTGGAGTCCCCCAAGATGCGAAGGGCCACAGATTCCCCACCCGCCTGCTACAGTATTAACTCTTACTATCACCAAGGTACAATAGGACATAACGCAATAGGACTCAGGTTTAACGCTGACTGTGGATCCAGGCTGTGTTTATGTGAAGCACATTCATTTCCTCAAATAATTACAGGCGCTGTCGTTTACCCCTCACAGAGTTACGATTCCCAGCAGCCCTTAACAAACTGCAGAAAAGAATGTGCCTCAAAGTGTATACTCAGCTGGAGTTTGAAAAGGAAATGAAAAGGGAAATGAAGACAAGACAGGGTTCACTTTCAGCTGCACTTGGTGAGGCTTGAGGGGGATAATTATTCTTGGAAATGTTTTACATGCTATGTGGAATGAGAGAATGGAACGCTAGACTGCTCCACTTCTAGCAGCAGTGTTTTTGAATGTTCCTCCACATAAAAGAAAAACACAAATCCTTTATGTAGTAAACTGGTACACTGGAGAGAAATGCTTAGCTTAGCGCTTTACCTGTTGTCTTAGCTGCCTGCATGCTACAGAAGGGGCTTTTTAGCAGGGGAACATCTAGAAATGTGACCCACACATGCCTGCAATCAGCAGTCAGGCCACCCAGACTCCTTATCCCTCCCTTTCATTCAGTCTAATATGTTGATCAGCGGGCTCTTAATGTGTTTTGACGTTCTTCCTTTGATGAGGTGATGACCAGAGCTGTCTAGATAGCCCAGCTAGCAAGCAAATGGGCAGTATTCAAATTTCATCATGCAAAGTTTGAGTTCGTTTGCACAGGCTGCCTGGATTTTTTTTTAAAAAAATATTATTTGGATAAATCAGCCGAAAGGCGCAAAACTTAGGGTTTTACTGTAACGTATGGCAAGCAAGGTAGATTGTAGAGTTGAGGAAAATCCTCACTACAGTGGTACCTTGGGTTACATACACCAGGTTACATACGCTTCAGGTTACAGACTCCACTAACCCAGAAATAGTACCTCGGGTTAAGAACTTTACCTCAGGATGAGAACAGAAAAAGTGTTTGACTATCGCAGCGGCAGCAGCAGGCCCCATTAGCTAAAGTGGTGCTTCAGGTTAAGAACAGTTTCAGGTTAAGAACGGACCTCCGGAACGAATTAAGTACTTAACCCAAGGTACCACTGTATTCCAAAGTAAAAGTGCAGGTAGTGGAGGTGATTAATATCTGAGGTGCCAGATTGCTGTGAGGTACTGAGGACTTCCTCCGATTTTCTTCCTTGGCGTGAATAGCATTTTCGGTTTGCTGTCCGAGCACCAGAAGAAGGCTACATTTGCACTGAACTCCCATCTTTGCTTAAGGTGCAAAAATCCTTGTTCCAGGTTTGGCTGATTGACATTGGGACCGATAGGGCAGGAAGGAGGGAGGCCGGCAGTAGGTGGCGCCGGAGCCAATGGCAGGCAGAACCAACGAATTCTACTTTTGTCCCTATCCTCCTCCCTGCCGAGTCCTCTAGGGGGCAGCACTAAGCAGGTGGAAGCTGACAGGCAGCACCACCCTCTGGTTGTAAATAAGAAGGCAGGCAGGTCTGGAATAGCAGAGAGCAGGAGGACAGTGGGGCAGACTGACAGTGGTGCTCTTGAGTGTGCCCCATTCCATTTTCCATATAAGTCAAGGGTAGGCAACCTAAGGCCCGGGGGCCGGATGCGGCCCAATCGCCATCTCAATCCAGCCTGCTGATGGTCTGGGAATCGGTGTGTTTTCACACAAGTAGAATGTGTCCTTTTATTTAAAATGCATCTCTGGGTTATTTGTGGGGCAAAGGAATTCGTTCATTTCCCCCCCTCCAAAATATAGTCTGAGGGACGGTGGACCGGCCCACGGCTCAAAAAGGTTGCTGACCCCTGATATAAGTGAATGGATGCATTTCCTTCACCGGGGGGGGGGGCGGCAGAGAGTAAAGCATTGCATTTTGGGCCACGGCTGCTGAGGTAAAGCCTTGGCATTCGGTTGCAAACATTTGGCACTGCCTTCCCATGCAGCTGTCCAGTTTTAGCAAAGGTCTTAAGATCCTTCTAGCGGGAAGTGCCAAGGACTGGAGGTCCTAATAATAGAATAAGGACCTTTTAAAAAATACGCATTTGGGGTTTTTTTTGCAAAGCATGTTCTGTACTTTTCCACATGTGAACATAGCCCCAACGAAGTCACTTGGGTTTGTTTCAGATTGTACTTTGTTTCAGGACTTCACCTTCAGAAATGTTCATCATAATAATTATTATTATTTTGAGGCTCAAATAGTTAGAAAAATTGATGGACATTTGTGTGTGAAATTAACAGAACTTGGGAGTGGGAGCTGTTTTGAGGAGTTCATAATTTACTAGCCACTAGTGTGGATTTTAGCAGCATTGGTACAGTACTTCATAGTTCTGCAGAAGCTTAAGATTTTATTTACCGTATTTTTCGCTCTATAAGACGCACCAGACCATAAGACGCACCTAGTTTTTGGAAGAGGAAAACAAGAAAAAAAAATATTCCGAATCTCAGAAGCTAGAACAGCAAGAGGGATCGCTGCACAGTGAAAGCAGCAATCCCTCTTGCTGTTCTGGCTTCTGGGATAGCTGCGCAGCCTGCATTCGCTCCATAAGACGCACACACATTTCCCCTTCCTTCTTAGGAGGGAAAAAGTGAGTCTTATAGAGCAAAAAATACGGTATTTTTTTTGTGTTCTCACATGCAATGTCTTGAAGGTTTTTTGGGTTATTTTTGCCATGTAGCTAATATAGGATAAGGGATAAGGAAATGTTTTTGGCATGAATATTTATTTTTATCATATGGAAAGCTGAAGCAGTACACATTTTGGATCTGACTTGAAGTAGTAGAAGTAAGTGTCCCCCAAATTTCTGATGGCCAAGGCATGCTTTTAGTTGTTGTTGTTGTTGTTGTTGTTGTTAAAATTGGAAGTGCAGGTGCTGTTGTTACACCTGAAAACCTTTCCTTTGGAATGTGTATGAGTCAGAACAGAGAATCTCACCCCTTTAATTTCTGCATGAGCTGCTGTCATCTAGACCTACCTCCTGATTTAAAAGTGAGACTTCTGGAACAGCAGCCATTGCTTCAACCGACATTTAAAGCACACAGCTTCCCGCAAAGAATCCTGGGAACTGTGGTTTGTTGAGGATGCTGGGAATTGTAGCTTGGTGGGTGCCAATATTCTTTGCAGGGAAGTCATGTTTTTCAAATTTATGGTGTGGTCCTCCTGCCTCGTGTCCCTTTAGAAGGGGTGGTTTGTCCAATGATTTTCCAATCATGCCTGATGCAGAGACAGGGCCGAATTGTTTTATCCTATCTGCTTGCCTCCCATATCTGGATTTGGAGGAAAGAGGTGCTAAACCAGTTAATCGTTCAAGGAGTTTGGTGGGGGTTCACACAGACTTGCTCTTAGGGTGGCAAGTTGTGGACTACCCTGAGTTGGATGGCGAGCCTGTGGCAATGAATTCCCGACACAACCACCCATCCCACTTCCAGAAGGGTTGTGAGGGTGGGGTGATCTGGTTGTGTGGCAAGGAGATCTGGCAGCTGCTCAGCATGTATCTGGTACTTGCTTGTGTCCTCAGCGTGGCATAAGTTACCTCTGAGCAGCTGCTGAAACCCTTTTCAAATTGGGGTTAATGCAATTTGGGGGCTGCTTTTGAAGAGGGTATGTACATTTCTAACCACAATCCACACACTACAGCCCTATTTTTCTCAATCTTTTGTCCAATGTGGGACTCAAACCCACAACCCTGAGATTCAGAGTCTCGTGCTCTACCGAATGAGCTATCCCAGCCTAGTTACAATGGTGGGAATGACTCAGCTAATGAGTCCCATCAGCAAAAGCCATGTGCATGGGCTTCGGCTTTTGTAATAGGGCTCCCCCTCTATTCACCCTCAAAATTGGCTTGGGGTGGCGGCGGCGAGGTCAATAAAACAGCACACAAGGGGAGGAGAAGCAGCGATTGCTCCATCTGGCCCAAATGCTTGCTGGGACAGATCGATCTTAGTGCAACGTTGAGTTGGCATCTGTTTTGTCTCGGGACATTGAATTCCTCCCATTAAGTTCCTTGAGAGGATGAGCAGAGGAGACCATTTGCAGAACAGGTGATCCTGGCATTGCATCCTCGAGAGCAAGTGAGAAGAGTGCATGAAAATGATAAAAAAGTGAGTTTCCCCCCCACAATGTAAAGCTATTGTTTCTCATTTTCCCGTGTTCTAATAGCACATATCTGTGAATAGCACATGATCTATGAGACTTAGAGGAACTATTACAGCCCGTGTGGTTTCTTTCTTTCTAAATCTTATTTGCATCCCTGAAAAGCTTTAATATAATCTGCATTTCTCACACTGCCTTATGTGAGGTTCCCGCCCCCCTCTTCTGTTTAGGCCCTTTGTAGCTTGTGTCTTCAAACTTATGTACAGTTTAGAGCAGGCATAGGCGAACTCCAGCCCTCCAGATGTTTGGGACTACAATTCCCATCATCCCTAGCTAACAGGACCCAGTGGTCAGGGGTGATGGGAATTGTAGTCCCAAACATCTGGAGGGCCGGAGTTTGCCTATGCCTGGTTTAGAGTGAAGACAAAAGGAAACTTTTATTTTCTTTTTTAGAGAGGTGGGGTTGCTCCCTAAGTACACTTCGCTACATTTAGTAGAGACATTTCTTTTCCCCTGCAGGGCCAGACTCCAGAGGTGTGGGGGATACAACTGTTTCAGGCTTGAACTGGAAACTCGCACGTGGGAAGCGATTGGCAGGTTTCCCATCATGTCACCAAGGTCACAACATACACCTCACACCATTTTAACAACTTTAGGCTCTCCCAAAGAATTCCGGGGACCGTAGTTTGTCCAGTGGTGCTGGGAACTGTAGCTCTGTGAGGGGTAAACTATAGTTCCCAGGATTTTTTGGGGGGAAGCCATGACGGTTAAAGGCGATAAAAAAATGTGCTTTAGATGTACAGTGTGACAGGGATGTAAGAAATGGTTTTTCGTCAACTGCTCTCTGCAGAAAGAAAACATTAGGCGATAAAGGAACCCAAAAAAATCTATGAACATTCATGTAGCATTTCTGAAGAATTAAAAAGCAGTTCAAAGTGAGAGCTGCTATTCAATTCGTTGGCATGCCCCACCCTCATTTTAGCTGTGCTTTGGGCCTTATCTCACAACTGCCCTCTGTTTTTTTATGTTCTGCCTTTACCTTTTTACATGTCCCGTTGAACTTTTATGAGTATAAATTCCTCGGCCTGGAGTTCCCTTACTGCCCACTGGGACTGTTTACATATTTATGGTTTAAAAGAACCTTATTTATTGCTGGTAAGTTCTAAGCATGGCTTGTCTGATTGGGGGAGCGGCTAGAGTTCGTCTCCTCCAAAAAAAACCCCAACCCTGTGAGAAATTCTTCCTCTGCCTTAGGGTCAGGCACAGTTTTGTCGATGGGGTTACACATGGCCTTCTTATGTGGCCAAAGGAGGCTGGTTGCCTTCCCTGGCATCTAAAGTCTCTCTGTATTTATATGAATAAAAGCAATTTGTTCCCAAGAAGAAAATGTGCATTTCTGTGTGTTGTGTTCTGAGGAGTCATTTGAAAAGGGGAAAGAGGTGGGTGGGGGGAACATAAAAGCTGCTGTTATGAGAGAAAAAATACTGCTCCTTTTCCCTTATGGGGTACCCAAGAGCCCATATAGAGTCCTTTTGTAGGTTCCCTATTGGTAGGAGAAAATAACAGAGGCCAATCAGAGAATATTGAGAAGCAAAGCAGCTAGTAAGCCTGATCTTTATTAAAGCTGTTGCAACGGGGTGCTCCCCCACATGCAGGAGAGAGGAGGAGGACCCAGAGCCATGCGTGCAAGCCCTTATATAGACATTTTAAATTGCCTGCTCTGGAGTTCAACCACCCCCAGAAACATCATACCTACATCACAGAAAAGGCGGTCTACAACAGAAATCTGAGTGCCTTGTTTATCTCCTGTCTGGCAAGTTACCTGATTGCATTATCTGGGTTTTGGCCACTCTTTTGTTATTTTAACTACTCAATTCCTGAATCTAGGTCACAGGTCACAGGCTCACACCCTGTTCATATCTTGAATGTGCCCTTAAGACAGGATTTGTGAGGACAGGAGACAATGGGGAGGTTTCCCGCTTTGACCTTGCAGAGAAAGATTTGAGGTCAATTTGTTCAGGACCTTTTCTGTGGGGTTTCAGACATCTGGTTTATATATACAGTTATGAACATTTATATATATGACCTTAAAATTCTTATAACACTGCCTTTTTACCAAGTCGGATCGCTCCATCTAGATTAGTATTGTCTACACTGACTGGCAGCTGCAGCTCTCCAGGGGTTCAGAAAGAAACCTCCCCCCGCCCTCCGTGGGGGAATTGAAGGTTCGTGCAAAGCGATGGAATTTGCTTGGGCTTAAGCTATGGCCCAGGGACGCAGGTGGTGCTGTGGGTTAAACCACAGAGCCTAGGACTTGCTGATCAGAAGGTCAGCGGTTTGAATCCCCTCAACGGGGTGAGCTCCTGTTGCTCGGTCCCTGCTCCTGCCAACCTAGCAGTCTGAAAGCACGTCAAAGGGCAAGTAGATAAATAGGAGCCGCTCCGGCGGGAAGGTAAATGCTGTTTCCATGCGCTGCTCTGGTTCGCCAGAAGTGGCTTAGTCATGCTGGCCACGACCCGGAAGCTGTACGCCGGCTCCCTCGGCCAATAAAGCGAGATGAGCTCCGCAACCCCAGAAACGGTCACGACTGGACCTAATGGTCAGGGGTCCCTTTACTTTAAGCTATGGCCCACCTGTGGCCCTCCAGCGGACGCAGGGCTACAACTCCCATCATCCTTCACAGCTGTTGCCAACCTGTTGCTCTCCAAATGCTTCTTACTCTCTTAGAGTCCACCAAGTTGCCTGCCACCCTGGTCCACAGTGTCCCATCACCTGCACCCGAAGGGCCAGGCTGCGGATTTTGTGCAGATGTTGCTGAACTACAATTCCCATCATCCCTGGTTCTTGACCCTTCCGGCTGGGGCTGATGGGACTTGGAGTCCACCAACACTCAAAGAGTCTCCCCCCTCTCCATTGCCTGCACGTGGGGTGGGGTGGGGTGGGGAGGAGGGCTTGTATACCATCTCCACACACCCCCTCCCGAGGCAGAAGGATGTTTGGGCCTGGCTCTGCTTCCCGATCAATAGTAAAGGTAAAGAGACCCCTGACCGTTAGGTCCAGTCGTGGCCGACTCTGGGGTTGCAGCGCTCACCTCGCTTTACTGGTCGAGGGAGCCAGCGTACAGCTTCCGGGTCATGTGGCCAGCATGACTAAGCCGCTTCTGGCAAACCAGAGCAGCGCACGGAAATGCCGTTTACCTTCCCGCCGGAGCGGTACCTATTTATCTACTTGCACTTTGACATGCTTTCAAACTGCTAGGTTGGCAGGAGCAGGGACCGAGCAATGGGAGCTCACCCCGTCACAGGGATTCGAACCGCCGACCTTCTGATCGGCAAGTCCTAGGCTCTGTGGTTTAACCCACAGCACCACCCACGTCCCTCCCGATCAATACCTGTGCTTTAAAGTAATTGGGAGTAAACGGCACATAGAATCATAGAGTTGGAAGGGAGGATCACCTGGAATATTCAGCTGCCCCATACGGGGATTGAACTTGCAACCTTGACATGAGCACCACGCTCTAACCCATGGGTAGGCAAACTAAGGCCTGGCGGCCGGATCTGGCTCAATAGCCTTCTCAATCCTGCCCGTGGACGGTCCGGGAATCGGCGTGTTTTTTACATGAGTAGAATGTGTGCTTTTATTTAAAATGCACCTCTGGGTTATTTGTGGGGCATAGGAATTAGTTCACCCCCCCCCCATCTAGTCCGGCCCCCCACAAGGTCTGAGGGACAGTGGACCGGCCCCCTGCTGGAAAAGTTTGCTGACCCCTGCTCTAACCAACTGAGCTATCCAGGCTGGTGGGTGTCAGTAACTGCCCGGGTCCACTAGATGGTGGTCTAGGATTACCAACTGTCTTCACGTCTGTTGCACATTTTAAACTTCATTCTGGATTCCCACCTCTCCTAAAATCCCAAAAGGAAAAGAAGTGGGGTGGTAAATGCAACCCTTAGCTTAGGCTGGGAGTGTGGCTTCCCCTGCTTTCCTCAACCTGTTCTGGACGGCAACTCCCAATACGGCCGATCGGAGTTGTAGTCCAAAGCATCCAGAGAACAGCAGGTTGGCAAAGCTGAGCCAGTGAGCTTCGTCGCTGAGTGGAGATTTGAACCTGGCTCTCCCTGGCCATCTGGGACGCGGGTGGCGCTGTGGGTTAAACCACAGAGCCTAGGACTCGCCGATCAGAAGGTCGGCGGTTCGAATCCCCGTGATGGGGTGAGCTCCCGTTGCTCGGTCCCTGCTCCTGCCAACCTAGCAGTTTGAAAGCACGTCAAAGTGCAAGTAGATAAATAGGTACCACTCCAGCGGGAAGGTAAACAGCATTTCCGTGTGCTGCTCTGGTTCACCAGAAGCAGCTTAGTCATGTTGGCCACATGACCCAGAAGCTGTACGCTGGCTCCCTCTGCCAATAAAGCGAGATCACCGCAACCCCAGAGTCGGCCACAACTGGACCTAATGGTCAGGTGTCCCTTTACCTCCCTGGCCATAGCCCAGGGCAGGGAGCCCTTTGGTCATCCTGATGTTGTTGAACTACAATTCCCATCAGCCCCAGCAAGCCTAACCCAATGGCTAGGGATGGTGGGAGTTGTAGTTCAGCAACATCCGGAGGACCAAAGATTGGGTACCCGCACGTGCTCTAACCACTCCATCATGCTGCCTCTTATACAATCCACCCAGCTACAGTGCTACCGCATTAATTGATGAAGAAAAGAAGATTTTAAATTGAGAGCAGGAAGGCAGTTCCCAAGCCACCGGCTCCAGTGCATGGATGTATTTTTTAACTGGGGAGGAAAGCAAAATGCTTTCACAGATACTGTACTTTATTGATGAATCACCTTCTGCACTTTTATAACTGCAATGAAAAGGAAAGTAATTAAACGAGGAAGCTTTCCGAGATGGTTCCCCCCCTTCACCTGAACAATGAGTTTGATCTAACCCCGTGACTAACTTTCCCCAGTCCCTCCTCTCCCAGAGAACCCAGGCGTCCTGGCTCCCTGCCCTGCGGGAGTGGATTAGTTTTAGAAGCCAGTGGCCATTTTTTGCTTGTCACATTCCATAGTAGCAACCCATGCGTAAAAAGCAGGAAAGTCCAGCATGAACAGAATTTACACTGATCTCTAAATAGGCATGAGGGTGGTGGGTGGGGTGGAATCCGGGACTCCTGAGCTCTCCGGAGGCCAAGAGGGAAACTGGACATCTCTTCCAACATTTATTGCGCGCGGGCACCCGGCTCCCTTTGCTTTACGAATGAATGGCGCTTTCGCAGGGGAGAGGTTGGGGCGTGAGAGAATTCAGAGCCGACGGCTTACGTGGCTGGAGCTAATGTCAACACGAGTGAAGGGTGCGACGTGGCACGAAGTCCCGGCCCCACGCCCTGGTCGATCCTGCCTCCAGGTCAAGTCACTAGTCCTCGGTGAGGATACCAAGCGGCGTCGAGGCACCGCCGCCCCCTAGCGACCGGGTATGGAAACGCGGAGTGTGTGTGTTAAACAGCACCCTTTCCCTGCTCCATGGAGAGGTTTCAGCTCTGAAGTTGTTGCTTTCGGAGCCTTCCGAAGGGAGAACCCAGGCGTCCTGCTACGGTTCCTGCTCCGCGGGGTTCCGGGAGGGGAGGGACGGAGAGAGGAAGGTAGGGTCAGGGAAAACAAGCAACCTTTCCAGCTGGGCAGCCAGACGGAGGAGTGGATTAGCCCGGGCAAATCCTTTTAGCGCGCCCCATCACATGGTCCGTTTAAGTGGCTTGTTGGCTGCAAACCTCTCCCGCAAGGCAATTAGCAGCGCGGGGGGGGGGGGAGAGGGAGGGGAGAGCGAGGGAGAAGATGCCCTTTAAAGGGGAAAAGGACGGGGACGAACTTTGTCCGGAGAAAAATAGCACAGAGAGCGAGGTAAGCCAAGCACAAAAAGAAAGAAAGAAAGAAAGAGGTTTTCCTATCCTCTCTCTGGGCCGATCTTTTCGCGGAACCCCCGAGTGCTCTGATTTGTAGCAACGCCCTGCGTAAAAAGGGGGAAATGGGTTACTTTTAATGGAAGTTGGAACACCGTGCATTTAAAGCGCGCGCGCTGTGCACACACAAGTATTGCGCAGTGTAGTTTGAGGGCGCTGGGAGCTGTAGCTCTGCGATGGGCAATCTACAATATCCCCCAGGAATATATATATATATATATATATTTAGGGGGTTCGGATGTGCTTTAGAAGACGCGTCCGATTTAGAACACACACTAAAGCTGGGGGGGCTGCGGATTTGGGAGCCAGGATTGCCCGGGTTCTTGGGAAAGTGGGGCACTTCGATTTTAGCGTCCTTTTTGCAGAGAGATGGGCTTCTGTGCTTGGTCAGGCAGACAGCAGTTGGCCGGGTGCAGCTTGTTCTCCTGGCGTGGAGATGCGACGAGGAAGGCTTCACCTGGTGGATTTCTGCCTGTTAGGGTGGGGGCGGGGGACAGATCGTGAAGCTGAGGCTCCAATACTTTGACCACGTCATGAGAAGAGAAGACTCCCTGGAAAAGACCCTGATGTTGGGAAAGATGGAGGGCACAAGGAGAAGGGGAGGACAGAGGACGAGATGTTTGGACAGTGTTCTCGAAGCTACCAGCATGAGTTTGACCAAACTGTGGGAGGCAGTGGAAGACAGGAGTGCCTGGCGTGCTCTGGTCCATGGGGTCGGACACGAGGGAGAGGAGCTAGCCAGAGCTCTCAAGTTCTCCCTGCGCGTGGGGCGGGGAGGGGCTCCGGTAAGGAAGAACCGGTCCGGGATGCCTGAGTGTGGGCGTTCCTCCCTTGGAGGCGGGCTCAGGTGTCCGCCAGGTGTGCTGGCTGCCCTTTGCTCGGGGTGGAGCAGCGGCAGGTAAGGGAGAGATGATGTGTCACAGCTATTGGAGGGTGAACGGTGCAGCCAGCCTCCCCGCGCAGGTAAGCACAGCAGCCTGGGGTCGAAAGGTGCGTGGTGGAGGGGAGGTGGCCCAGAGACGCCTGCAATGGCCGAGGGAGCAAATCAGTACAGAGCGAAACTGTATAATGCAAAGTCCACGCTGGAGAAGCAATATGCCTCACCAGGACTCCTGGGTCCTCTTCTGCGGAGGAGGGAAGTTGGTCAGGAAGGCTCCCCAGGTAAGAAGGGACCTCAGCAGGAGCAGATGGGCTGCAGTAGCTTAGAGGAACATGCTTTTGCATGAAGAGCAATCCAGGTTCAATCTACTGCATTCCCCTGGAGAACAACTGCCACTCAGTGTAAAAGTAAAGGGACCCCTGACCATTAGGTCCAGTTGTGGCCGACTCTGGGGTTGCGGCACTCATCTTGCTTTATTGGCCGAGGGAGCTTCCGGGTCATGTGGCCAGCATGACTAAGCCACTTCTGGAGAACCAGAGCAGCGCACGGAAACGCCGTTTACCTTCCCACCGGAGTGGTACCTATTTATCTACTTGCACTTTGACGTGCTTTCAAACTGCTAGGTTGGCAGGAGCAGGGACCGAGCAACGGGAGCTCACCCCATCGTGGGGATTCGAACTGCCGACCTCCTGATCAGTAAGTCCTAGGCTCTGTGGGCTTGGGGGGGAAAGGCAAAATTCCAGCAAGGTGGTTGCTACTGGTTTCTTGGGGCAGAAATCCTGGACAAGCAAAGTGACAAGGGTCTGATACTTTTATGGGCTGCAACCTGATTAGTCAGATAGCGCGTGGGTCCCTAGGCCTGCAAAACAATATTCCATGATTTAAAAAATGGACGGGTTTTTTGTTTTTAAAGGTGCCCCACAAATCCTGCTTGCTATCTCTGGTTGGCTTTGTAAGCTGAAGGGGAGCTTGAGGGAAGCGATCTGTACTGTCCTTATATCCTTGCTTAGGGTAGCTGTTTCCAGGAGCGAGAAGATTGCTTCTCTTGTGTGTATGGATTTATTACTCTCCCTTCCTGCCTCTGAAAAAAATCAATCGCCATCTGTCCCTGTTTTTCCCCTGGACCCCTTTTGGACGTCTTGATCCAGAGACTGAGGCTACATACACACCAGATGCTTAATGCACATAACTTTCCCCAGAGGCGGCTGGGAGCTGTAGTTCTGCACAGGACAAGCTACAGTTCCCAGGATTATTTGGGAGAAGCAAGATGCTTAAAAGGTACAGTGTGCGCACAGTCAGTTTAGAGCTGGATTTCCTGGCACCAGAGACGTCTGTCTTCTGCTTTCTTGATTCATAGCCACCAGCCCACCTGTCGTGCCTGGGGAAAGGGAGCTTTTCACCAGGAGACACTGGCTGATAAGAACCTAAGAAGAGCATTGCTGGATCAGGGCAAAGGAACATCTAGCCCAAACTTTTTCAGCAGGGGGCCAGTCCACTGTCCCTCAGACCTTGTGGGGGCCGGACTAATATTTTTTTTTGGGGGGGGGGGGAATGAACGAATTCCTATGCCCCACAAATAACCCAGAGATGCATTTTAAATAAAAGCACACACTCTACTCATGTAAAAACACCAGGCAGGCCCCACAAATACAGTGGTACCTCGGGTTAAGTACTTAATTCGTTCCAGAGGTCTGTACTTAACCTGAACTTGTTCTTAACTTAAAGCACCACTTTAGCTAATGGGGCCTCCTGCTGCCGCCGCGCCGCTGGAGCATGATTTCTGTTCTCAACCTGAAGCAAAGTTCTTAACCTGAGATACTATTTCTGGGTTAGCAGAGTCTGTAACCTGAAGCGTATGTAACCTGAGGTACCACTGTAACCCAGAGATGCATTTTAAATAAAAGGACACATTCTACTCATGTAAAAACACACTGATTCCTGGACCGTCCATGGGCCGGATTTAGAAGGGGATTGGGCCGGATCTGGCCCCCGGGCCTTAGTTTGCCTACCCATGATCTAGCCCAACATCCTATTCTCACAGATATCTATGGGAAACTCACAAACAAGATTCATGCTAGGCCAAAATCTAGTCCAGCAACCTATTCTCACAGTGGCCAACTGACTGCCTGTGTCGGAAGCCAGCAAGCAGGACCTGAGCGCAAGAGAACTCTCACAATCCTAGATAGCTCAGTTGGTTAGAGTGAGGTGCTGATAACGCCAGGGTTGCAGGTTCGGTCCCCGTAAGGGACAGCTGTGTATTCCTGCATTGCAGGGGGCTGGACTAAAGTATCCTCAGGGTTCCTTCCAGCTCCACAATTCTGATTCTTTGATTCCTCTCCTGTAGTTTCCAGCAACTGGTATTTAAAAGCATTATTGCCTCTGCTACTGGGGGGGAATGCAGAGTATTTTCCTCCCAAGAATTTGTCTAATCCCCTCCTAAAGCTGCCCAAGACAAAAGCTGTTAACAAAATAAAGTCATAAAACAATTAAATACACATACACACAAGCGCAGAACAATTATGGTAACTGAAGCAGCAGCAAGCTAAAATCAGTTTCAATAAGACCAAAAATAAAAGTTTCAGTGACTTTAATGATATCAAATGTAACCCAGCAGCAATTAAAAACGGGCTGAATAATCCAGGTTTCTAAGGCTCGTTTAAATATCGAGGCAATTCAAAACAGAAATTTATGGAAAAGTGGGATAGATATAAGATATATGTTCAAAAATACAGTAAAGGTTTGCTATCTATGCTAGCATTCAATTGACGTTGGAGAGAGACTGAGCTGAGAAATAAGAACAAGGGTACATATTGATATAGGAATGTATTAGATAAAATGTAAAGAAATATACAATAATAAGAGTATATTCCTTTGTAAAAAAGGAATATACAACGGGATAGACAGGAAGTCCAAAGTGTTGGTACATATATGATTTTGGAATAGTTTTTTGTCCTTTTTTCCCTTTAGGTATATAAACTTTGTATATAAACTTCATATACATGCTGAAAATTATATTATAATAAGCCTTGTAATGTAATATGACAATGTTTACTGATGTAACATAAGAATGTTAATAAATAAATAAAACTCCATATATATATATATATATATATATATATATATATGGCAGGACCAACCCATGAGGCTGCGTCTTCAAATAGGCATTCCCTCTGAGTAAGAGAAAAGGGGTGAATGTGTCTTTTAAAAAGCTGCTTGCCACCTGAACTTTTATGTATTAAAATAATTTATATTGAAATCTGCTGCCTGATTAATCGGGAGCAGGTTTTGAAATCTTTTTAACTGAATGAATTTACAGTACACTGCTTAACAAGCTTCACAGCCCTAATGATTTTTGCTGTTGGGTGTATCTGCTGTGGTAGCTCAGTCGGTAGAGCATGAGGCTCATAATCTCAGGGTTGTGGGTTCAAGCCCCACCTTGGGCAAATGATTCCTGCATTGCAGGGGGTTGGACTAGATGACCCTCGGGGTCCCTTCCAACTCCACAATTTTATACATCTATGATTCTATGGATCGCTTGGCTGTTGGATCATAGCTGTCCATCACGTTCCTTGGGAGTCACACTTTCAACTAAAGAGAAGCACTTTCCCAGTCTTTGAGAGGCTAGACAAGTAAGTTTTGGTTTCATGCCTAGGATTTAAGTGGTGTGCATTTGGTTCACATGTGTACACCTCCCTTATGACAAAGCCTAGTTTCACAGCAAGAATAAAACAGGTTCCGCTGTCAGAATAAATGTATGCCAGTGATGATATTCTTCTTGAATTTGAACTATTTATTAACTTGCGTTGATTCCGGCCTTCCAAGTTGTAATCTTTAAAGCAGTTTAAAAACCAGGAAGACTAGAAACATGCTCTTTTTTTCCTCTCTCGGAAAAACATGAGAATACTTGGTGTGTTACTCTCTGTTTGCAAATATCGCGTTTGCGTGCTTTCACAGCTCTGGGTGGTGAGGAGAAAGAATGTACTCTCTTCCCCCACCCCAGCCCTCTACCTTCCTGGGAAATTACAGACTGTTTTTTAGTTCATGAAGTTTCTGGTTGGTCTGGTTTTTTTTGTTTCTAATCCTGGGTGTGTATTTGTAAAATATATTCTTTGCCTGTAGGTGCTTCTGGCATGTTGCATTTGGATGAATTTGGCAAACAATGATCTTGATAAATGATACGAGCCATTGGGAGCAGGAACAGAGGAAGCCAAGCTGATCCATCAGTAGGTATTTCTGTTGTCGTCTTACTCAGAGTCGAAGCCGAGAAACTAGAACCTGGCTTTTGGATTTCCATTGGGGAGAAAGACTAGACCTTAAGAGGCCCAGATCAAGAAATCTTGAGTGCTCCAGAAACAAAAGCCCCAGGTACTATCTGGACCGAGACAGGATCAGAACACTGTAGTAAGGAAGCTACAAATAGAATTTTGGAGAGAATGAAATACAGGCTTTGAGGATCCAGGAAAACCAATCCAGAAACATTCTTTGGCTTAGCCTGAGCAGGTTGTTGAATACAGAAAAGTTATAGAAGTTCCAGCTCTTGCAGTGATTTACAGCTGCCAGGGACTACATGGAGGCTCAGAAGAGCGCAGGATTTCCTTCCGCTGCCCCTCGCCTCTGAACCCATGGAGAGCCTCAACAACTTCTGCCGCCTCTGTGGCGCGGTGCTTCGCGGCAACCACCGGCGGTGGCTCTTCAGCCGCAGTGGGGGCGGCTCGCGCCCTGACCTACAAGTGGTGCTCTCCTACGTTCTCAGCCGGGAGCCTCCCCAGCGCGGCGATGGGCGGGGGGAGTTCTTGTGTGGGAAATGCGCCCAGGCCTTGGGCCGGGTGTACCGTTTTGACACCGTCATCGCCCGGGTGCAAGCCCTGTCCATCGACCGCCTCCAGCGCCTGCTGTCGGAGAAGGACCAGCTGGCTCGCACCCTCCGCCACATCCATGCGCAGCGGTTCCCGGAGGATGCCGGCACCACGTTCTCCTACGTGGGCCAAGAGATCTCCGCCAGCATCGCGGATCTGCCCCACGTGCGCTACCAGCGCCTCCTGCAGGACGACATGGCCCTCTCTCAATATGAGTGCTGGGCCGGGGACGCCGACGGCAGCTGCCCGGGGACGCCCTGCCGGTCGCGGCAGTGCCGCAGCTGCCACGGGCTCCGGGTGGAGGATTCGGATTACGAGTGGGTGTGCCGGACCCCCAGGCGGCTGGGGGTGCTGTCTCCTGGCTTCCCCCTCTGCCGGGACAAGTCGCAGAGCATGCCCACAGTCCACCGCGCCGGATCCCGCGCCTCACTCCGCTCGCAGAGCTTGGGAGACGCCGAGTCTTGCTCGATGCTGTCGTTGGACACTCTGCACACTCTGCCAGAGCCAGATGTGGCCTGGGAGGCTCTGAGGGCACTGAGGGGCATTGAGAGGAAACAGCTGCGGGTGCCGGCGGGCAGCAAGATCCCGGTGCTGGCCAGGAACAGGCATGTGCCCAGTCCTCGGAGGGAGAGCCCCTTGGGAGAGGAGGCCTTTGAAGAGATGGTGGATGAGTTCCTGCCGCTGGAGTCGAAGGTAAGAGGCAGAAAGAGAGGCAGGCAGGTGAGGTCTTCTCTGAGGATCTCTGCTTAAATCATTCCTGCTCAAGGATCCATGCAGCAAAACTGCTTTAATGATGTAGCATATTTCTGAGCTAAGCTGTTAGGGAGCCAGGCCGCAATAAATCACACTGAGTACATGAAGTTAACTCTTTATTAGAAGAAAGAGGGCCTGCTCAGGACAGCCAGGCCTAACGAGCGCAGCAATTCGTCTTGGTAGATCTTGGCCCCATGAGGCCAAGATTAAATATTCCCGCCTTCCCACAGCTGCTTAAGTTTCCTTCTCTCCTGGGTCCTTCCCAAGCAATCTGAGACTATGCCGTCTTGCCTGTCTGTGCTCCTCTCTCTTCATACCTCTTCGGGTCCTGGGAGACTGTAGGGAGGAGACCTTGTCACAGCAGGAGCGGGGAGACCTCCTGGACTCTTCACCAGCCTGACTCATCTCTGCCTCTTGCCTCCTCTCCTGATTCCGCTTCTGCTTCCGGACTGCTCTCTGCCGCAGCTTCTTCCTGCTCACTAAACCCTGTTGCCTTTTCAGCTTCCAACCCTCCTCTTCCTAGTCTGCTCCCTCTTCTTGCTCTGACCACTCATCATCATCCCACCACCTCTCCCTGGGCTCTAAGACTTCTTCCCTCGGGGGTCCCCCAACTGGTGCCTCCCAGCATTCCTCTGCATCCAGCCAGACTATGGCATAAGCCATGGTTTGTTTAGCCCAAGTGCTGCGTGTGTGGATGTCAGACTTAACCATCGTTTGTTTGATGCCAGAAACCACAACGTGAAGCTGTAGTTTGTTATTGGCATATGAACCTCCTAAACATCCACCAGACTAAAGAAGTTGAACCAGCTGAGGGGAAAACAAAACAAACCTTGAGGAAATAAACCAGGGGTCAGCAAACTTTTCCAGCAGAGGGCCAGTCCACTGTCCCTTAGACCTTGTGATGGGGACCAGACTACAGTGGTACCTCGGGTTAAGTACTTAATTCGTTCTGGAAGTCAATTCTTAACCTGAAACTGTTCTTAACCTGAAGCACCACTTTAGCTAATGGGGCCTCCTGCTGCCGCCACACAATTTCTGTTCTCATCCTGAAGCAAAGTTCTTAACCTGAAGCAATATTTCTGGGTTAGCGGTGTCTGTAACCTGAAGCGTATGTAACCTGAAGCGTATGTAACCCGAGGTACCACTGTATATTTTTTAAAAAATGAATTCCTATGCCCCACAAATAACCCAGAGATGCATTTTAAATAAAAGGACACATTCTACTCATGTAAAAACGCACTGACTTGCTGGCTGGATTTAGAAGGCGATTGGGCCGGATCCTGCCCCTGGGCCTTAGTTTGCCTACCCATGAAATAAACCATACTTTGTCTGCTCGTTTCTGAGATAACCCAGGAACTGTTGAAGCAAACCAGGGTGTATACTGGGTCCAAATTCCCACCCAGCCATGGCTGACCTTGGGCCAGATGCTTCCCCTCAGCCGAACATACCTTGCAGGGTTCTTCTGTGGGTAAAATGAAGATGGGAGGATCAATGCGCACTGCCTTCAGCTCCTTGGAGGAGCCTAGAAATTAAGAGGCGGTTTCTGGTGGGGAAATGCGGCGAGAGTATCCAACACAAAAGCAGCCTGTCTGCTTGATTCTGGCCCCAAAACGTGCGGTTTTATTCCTCGCTTGCCCCACGGGACCCTAAGTAGGAGGCACACCCCTGGGTGAGGCCTTGAGGCCTGGCAAGCCCTCTCACCCGCATAGATCTTGCCACCCAGGAACCCTCCCGGTCTAACCCTGTTTTCTTTCCCTTAGTTCCAAGCTCAGCAGATGCTGCAACAGGATGTCCAAGGGGCGTATGAGAACCTGAAGCAGCGCCTTGAGGCTGCCGAAGAAGAACTCAGGAGCTTTCAGGAGAAGCTGGGAGAGGACGTGAAGCCGGTAGAGCCATTTTGTTTTGGGGCAGGGGAGGGAAAACTGTCCATGGCAGCCTTTGCTTCGCTCCCAAATTGCAAGCTGCGCATAGGGAGCTCTGGAGCCTTCTGTCGAGTCAGACCTTGGCATCATCTAGCTCAGGATTGTCTGCACTGGCCGGCAGCTGCTTTTGTTAGCTGTTGTTGTCCCTCTAGGACCGCCTAGAGGGGCTGGGAGCTGGGGGAAATGTTATACAGTGATTCCACTCCTTCCTCCTGTGCCATGTTAGTGGTGTTGGGGGATGAGTGTTCAGACCCCTGGGCTCTCACTTGTGGGGTGCCTCAGGGTTCTGTCCTCTCCCCCATGCTTTTCAACATCTACATGCAGCCGCTGGGAGAGATCAGGGGGTTTGAGCTGGGTGTCCATCAATATGCGGATAATACCCAGCTCTACCTTTCTTTCAAATCAGAACCAGTGAAGGCGGTGAAGGTCCTGTGTGAGTGTCTGGAGGCGGTTGGAGGATGGATGGCGGCTAACAGATTGAGGTTGAATCCTACCAAGACAGAAGTACTGTTTTGGGGGGACAGGAGACGGGCGGGTGTGGAGGACTCCCTGGTCCTGAATGGGGTAATTGTGCCCCTGAAGGACCAGGTGCGCAGCCTGGGAGTCATTTTGGACTTCCAGCTGTCCATGGAGGCGCAGGTCAAATCTGTGTCCAGGGCAGCTGTTTATCAGCTTCATCTGGTACGCAGGCTGAGACCCCACCTGCCCGCAGACTGTCTTGCCAGAGTGGTGTAAACAGTGTTTCTGTGCGCTCCAGTTTCCATCATGGTGTCCCGTTGTGCCAGAAGCGGTTTAGTCCTGCTGGCCACGTGACCCGGAAAGGTGTCTGTGGACAAACGCCGGCTCCCTCGGCCTGAAAGTGAGATGAGCGCTTCAACCCCATAGTCGCCTTTGACTGAACTTAACTGTCCAGGGGTCTTTACCATTTTACCTTTACCTATTAGAACAACTATTGTGGGGTTCTCTTCTCAGGACAGCCCTGAGCAAGTGGTGGTGTGATATTGCTAAGCTAGGCCATTGCTCCTGTGTCTGGTGGAGGCAGTGAAGGGTGCTGCCCCATCTCTAGTGTTGAAGTAAGAATGTACTGCCAGCTTGGCTGGAATATGGGAAAGTAGACGGAGATCACCTTCTTTTTATTTTCCCTCAGGCAGCATAGTAGCTCAGTGATGGAGCATCTGCATTGCATTACGAAGGCCCCAGTCCCTGGTGTTTCCAGGTCAGGCTGGGACATAGCTGTCAAGTGTCCCGTATTTGAAGGGACAGTCCCTTATTCCAGCGCCATGTCCCGCTGCTGTCCCTTATTGATGGATGTCCCTTAAATGATGTCCCTTAAATGATGTCCCTTAAATTTCAAAGGAAGCAGCTCCTCTCCCTCCCTCCCTGCCGGCCAGGAAGGAGGGAGGCTCCAACTGTGTTGCTTGGCTGTGTTGCTCACCCAATATGAAGTCTAAGAACAACTGGGGGGTGGAGCTTGCATGCCTTGTGTGTGGCTAGTTAATGCAAGCTGAGGAGGTTTTTGAATGCTGTACGCCATTTTGTTGCACGTGCTGCTGCAAACCTTGCAGTGCAAAGCCAGGCCGGGGAGCCATCTTAAGTTGAGGCTGCATAGGCCTTGTGGTGCACGTGATTCAGATTCTATTCAGTTGAACCTCTGGTTACAAAGTTGGTTGGACAGTGTTCTCAAAGCTACCAGCATACGTTTGACCAGACTGAAGGAGGACAGGAAGACTGGAGTGCCTGGAACAGGTGAGGCTGCAGGTCCCTTATTTTGGCTGCTGGTCCCTTATTTTCAAATCTGTAAGTTGACAGCTATGGGCTGGGCAAAGCTGCTGCCTGAAAAACTGGACAGCTGCTGCTGGTCAGAATTCACAGTACTGAGCTGAATAAACTCAGTGAAAAGCACTCAGTTCTGACTCAGTGAAAAGCAGGTTGCCACGTCTTGGTTTAGCACTGTCTCTTGATGTTAGGACCTGGTCACTGTTTCCTTTTTGCTCCCTGCCCTGCCCTCTTGGGCCTACCTCAGAATTTGTTCAAAACTGTTGTTTCGTTTCATTCCCCAATATTAGGAGGCTGGGATTTCACCGGAGGTGAAGGCCGCCAGTAGCCAAGAGCGGCTGATTCAGCGGCTGGCAAGGTGTCTGCAGAGCAAGGAAAGAGCCTTACAGGTGAGGAGAGAGAGAAAAAAAACCTTGGCATCCCATGCTGTGATAGAGTGGCCCATCCGAATCTCTCAAATGGGTGAAAAGGATGAATCGGAGGTGCAGGCTTCCCATGGAGGTATCCGGTCAGCCACAGTGAGAACAGGAAACTGGCTGGGCCTAATCCTGCAGGGCTCTTCTTACGCAGAATGGGAAACCTGACGGGGACTGCTGTTTTTTGTCACAACCCCTAATACCTTTTCCTGCATGGGTCTCCTCAGACCCTCTATTGGTGATAGCTTTCTCTGGGTGGCCCTGTGGTCTAAACCACTGAGCTTCTTGGGCTTGTCTATCGGAAGGTCGGCGGTTCGAATCCCTGCGACGGAGTGAGCTCCCGTTGCTCGGTCCCTGCTCCTGCCAACCTAGCAGTTTGAAAGCACACCAGTGCAAGTAGATAAATAGGTACCACTGCAGTGGGAAGGTAAACGGTGTTTCCTTGCACTCTGGCTTCCGTCACTGTGTCCCGTTGTGCCAGAAGTGATTTAGTCTTGCTGGCCACATGACCAGGAAAGCTGTCTGTGGACAAATGCCTGCTCCCTAGGCCTGAAAGCGAGATGAGCGCCACAACCCCATAGTCGCCTTTGACTGGACTTAACCGTCCAGGGGTCCTTTACCTTTTTTACTGATACCTTTCTTTGGGGGCCGCCCTCCAGAGACATTCAAAGGACAGCAGTGCAAGAACAGGGCTTTTGAGGGGATTAGTCCTGTATTTGTGGAACATTCCATTTTTATGGCAAAGACCTTTTTATTCTCTGAGGCATTTTGGCGCTGATGTGCTGTTTCAGTGGCCTATACACACACACACACACACACACACCCCAAAGTTGCTTCACCTTGTTCTTCTTGGGTTGTGGGAGAGAGGTGGGGGTTTTTTGGCATGAACTTTTGAAGTAGCAGTGAGGAACTTAAGTGGCCCTCCATTCTTCTCTAAGTGGCCCTCAGGACTCTCCTCAGACCAATGCTCCTCCCCAGCCCTGATTCGCATCTCCCTTGAGTGATTTTACCCCTTGCTGGAATGTTTCCTTGACCTTTTATAAGGACTCTTGCATGCCTAGATTGAGAATAGAGAAGGGCTGAGTCTTGGAACAGCTTCAAAGGTGGATTTCTGCCTGTTTTGAGGACCAAAGTTGCTCCGGTTCAAATTCTCCCCTGCCGTGACGCTTGCTGAGCTTGCTTGAGCCGGTGGTGTGCTCTCGGCCTAACCTACCTCACAGGGTTGTTTGTGAGGATTAAAATGTGCATAATTTTGTGTGCTGCTTTGAGCTCCCTGGAATAAGGATGGGTTAAGATTTCAGAAAATATTTCCCCCCCAAAAGGTAACTAAGGCATAGGCACCTCTTCCCTTCCAATACCTCAAATGGCAATGGGCAGGACATGGTGGTTTTTGTAGTAAGGTTAAAGCTTACTGGGAAATGATATATAATGAATTGAAAAAGATGTTTAAAATGACATTTGTAAAAAAACAACAACCCAGAAGCCTTCCTTTTGGGGATTACAGTGGTACCTCGGGTTAAGTACTTAATTCGTTCCGGAGGTCTGTTCTTAACCTGAAACTGTTCTTAACCTGAAGCACCACTTTAGCTAATGGGGCCTCCTGCGCCACCAGAGCACAATTTCTGTTCTCATCCTGAAGCAAAGTTCTTAACCTGAGGTAATATTTCTGGGTTAGCGGAGTCTGTAACCTGAAGCGTATGTAACCTGAAGCGTATGTAACCCGAGGTACCACTGTATAGGGACACAACTACCCAGACTGTATAGAAATTTATTCATGTATGCGACTACAGCGGCAAGAATGTTACTTGCCCAAAAATGGAAAGAAGTCCTAGCAAAAGAAGAATAGATACGAAAACTTGTGGAATATGCAGAAATGGCAAAACTTACTGAAAAAATAAGAAATCAAGATAGCAAACTTTTTATAAAAGAATGGAAATGGTTTATTGAATATTTACAAACAAACTGTAAACAGATAAGAGCGTCAGCAGGATTATTGTAATAACCTGCAGTTTTATATAAGAGTATATATTTAAAGTAAATGAATAAATGAGCAAATTAAGTTAATTTGGATATGCAGAAAATATTAAAAATAATTTTAAGGAACCGCAGAAAGGGGGGGAAGGAAGTTAGGTTTGAAATATTAAAATGATTGTAAAATTAGAGAAATGTATGAACCTGAAAAGCGTAAATAAAATATAAAGCAGCATAGAAGTTACAATGATTGCAAAGTTATTGAAATGTATGAAATTGAAGATTATAAATAAAATAATTTTTAAAAGGGAATGGGTAGGACGTAGGAAATGATTTCAGCTCCTCAGCATAAAGCTCTCTCTCTCTCTCTCTCTCTCTCTCTCTCTCTCCCTCTCTCTCTCCCTCTCTCTCTCTCTGTCTGTGTCACCCTCTTTCTCTTCCCCAGGACTGTCTTATCCTCTTGCAGTCTCTTGGCCCTCCAGGAGTCAAGCCCTCCATGCTGGAAGCCCAGATAAAGCAAATAGCCCATCGCCTGAAGGAGAGAGACCAGGGCTTAGAGGTAACGGGAGTGCATGGAGCCAGAAATAGGACCCTGATCACTGAGCATCACGATCTACACATCCAGTTTCCACTTTAACAGCCATGGAGAATCCTGGGAACTTTAGTTTTAAGGGTGCTTGGGATTGGAGGTCTGTGCAGTCAGCACCATTAACCAGCTACATCTCCCAGGACACTCTGGGGGAAAGAAGTGACTGTTAAAGTGGCATGAGAGTGTTTTAAATGCACATGCGACCCATGAAAGCTTGTGCCGCAATAAATTTGTTAGGCCGCATCTCCACCATCTATTCAAAGCGCATGTAACGTACTTGGCTTCCCTCAAAGAATCTTGGGAACTGTAGTTCCCCCCTCAGAGAAACAATTCCCAGCGCCCTAAACAAACTACAGTTCATCCCAGCCTTGGTCCAGTATACCTGAAGAAGCATCACCACCCCCATTGTTCTGCCCGGACACTGAGGTCCAGCGCCGAGGGCCTTCTGGTGGTTCCCTCACTGCAAGAAGCCAAGTTGCAGGGAACCAGGCAGAGGGCCTTCTCGGTGGTGGCACCTGCCCTGTGGAAGGCCCTCCCACCAGATGTCAAAGAGAAAAACAACTACCAGTCTTTTAGAAGGCACTTGAAGGCAGCCCTGTTTAGGGAAGCTTTCAATGTTTAATAGACTATTGTATTTTAATATTCTCTTGGAAACCGCCCGGAGTGGCTGGGGAAACCCAGCCAGAAGGGTGAGGTATAAATAATAAATTGTTGTTGTTTGGGGAGAAGTCATGTGCATTAAATTTCTGTTAATCTGCTTTAAACGTATGGATCAATCTGGCACGGTTTTTTGCTGCATCAGACTTTGGATCTTGGGAATCAAAACTCCCCGCTGATCTACTGCCAGTCCTCCAGGGATCTACCAATATTATTAATGAATTAATGAATTAATTATTGAGTTTATATGCCGCCCTATACCCGGAGGTCTCTGGGCGGTTCACAGAAAAGATCACAACATCAGAATAAAAATAACAACCCAATAACACTCCCCCCCCCCAGAAAAGAGCCACATTTTGAAAGAGTATAGGGCGTCAAACAGATCAGCCAAAGGCCTGGTTAAAAGGGAACGTTTTTGCCTGGCACCTGAAGATGTGTAATGAAGGCGCCAGGCGATCTTCCCTGGGGAGAGGATTCCACAGACGGGGAATTGATCCTGATCTGTCTTCTTCCCATCCCATATGTAAGGCAGAGTAAGGCAGCTCCTGGGGAGTCTTCATTTTGTCTCCTTCTCTTTGCCCTCACAGAAGACCTTGTCCGGTCACTTCCTGGCATTGGAGTCTGTGCACCGTGACGTGAGGCACCTTCAAGAGGCTCTGAAGGACAAAGACGCCGACCTGGCAAGACTTGGCACTGCCCTCCGCACAGGAGAGGAGACCTTGCATGTATGAACGGAGAGAGGGGTACTGTGATCGAGGGAGGAGGGGCCCAAAACTAAGGACAATATGGTGGGAAGTTATTTGTACTGCAACACAGTGGGAAAACTAATTTGAGTCCTGGCCTCTCCTGTGGGCAAGGCTGGTGATTTTAAATATACCTGTCCATGGAGGCAGAGGTTAATTCTGTATCCAGGGCAGCTGTCTACCAGCTCCATCTGGTACGCAGGCTGAGACCCTACCTGCCCGCGGACTGTCTCGCCAGAGTGGTGCGTGCTCTAGTTATCTCCCGCTTGGACTACTGCAATGCTCTCTATGTGGGGCTACCTTCAAAGGTGACCCGGAAACTGCAATTAATCCAGAATGTGGCAGCTAAACTGGTGACTGGGAGTGGCCGCCGGGACCATATAACACCGGTCCTGAGAGATCTGCATTGGCTCCCAGTATGTTTCCAAGCACAATTCAAACTGTTGGTGCTGACCTTTAAAGCCCTAAACAGCCTCTGCCCAGTATACCTGAAGGAGCATCTCCACCCCCATCATTCAGCCCAGACACTGAGATCCAGCACCGAGGGCCTTCTGGCGGTTCCCTCATTGCAAGAAGTGAGGTTACAGGGAACCAGACAGAGGGCCTTCTCGGTAGTGGCGCCTGCCCTGTGGAACGCCCTCCCTTCAGATGTGAAGGAAATAAGCAGCTATCTTATCTTTAAAAGACATCTGAAGGCAGCCCTGTTATGGGAAGTTTTTAATATTTAATGCTGTACTGTTTTTAACACTTGATTGGAAGCCGCCCAGAGTGGCTGGGGAGACTCACCAGATGGGCGGGGTATTATTATTAATACTACTACTACTACTACTACTAATAATAATATATCTATATGCATATATAGATACACACACACACAGACATATTTTTTAAAATTTTGGGCTATGTTTCTTTCCGAATGGAATTCTGGATAAACCCTGATAGCTTGGGACTTTTGGGTTTCAGCAAACGAACAACCAAGAACTAAGTTTCTAGTCCTCTTGGCTGCAAAGGCACATTGACCTGACATTTCAGATAAACGTAGGGTAGGCCTTTGCTTTGTGTTTTAAGAAGGATGTGGGGAGCAGCGCGGCATCATGGGAAACGCAGCCCATTTCACTAACTTGTGTTCTCACTTCGTCTCATTTGCTTTTCACATCTTTCCTTCTAGTATGTAAATTTTTTTTAGAAAATCACGTGACATTTGCAAACTTTTTTTAAAAAAATAGGCCATTGTTTGCTGGGGGTAATTAATTTGGATTCTTGCAGGGTTAGACAGACAATCCCGGATACAAAAAGTTTGCTGGGTTTTGTTAAGTTGTGGGTGAACATATCAGACGACACAGCGATTCTTCAAACAGCTCTTGTTTATTCAGAGGCCAGAACAGAACTGAACTGAAGGGCTCAGTCAGCCTGCTTATATAGAGCTCCAGTACAACGTAACTGTAACAACTTTCTAAAACTATCCAATCACTGAACGTCACTTTCAATCCTTCATTTGCATAACTATCTACAGTATCCCCCTGCTGGCCCAGGGTGAGAACTTCAGTACATAACAGGTTTAGCAGTCAGGATTCTATGGTTGCTAAGAGACAGCACCTCCGATGACACAGTTGTTTGTGCGAGAACAAAGGAGGATCCATGAAAATAACATTGCTTTCTCCTGTTCTGGGGGTTTGTCTTGTCTACCCTTGGCAATTGCCCCTCTTCCCCCAGGCTTTGCGTGAGGTCCTGCACCAGAAGGATCGAGAGATCCAGCGGCTGGAATCTCTTTCCGCCTCGGCCCGCGGATCCTGGCAGCAGCGGGACCAAACTTTGCTCCTGGCCCTGAAGGAGAAGGAAGCCTTAATCAAAGCCCTCCAGGAAGCGCTCGCCAGCAGCACCAAGGATGTGGAGGTAGCTACTGCTAGGTTTTTAGTCCTCATGGTGTCTCCTCCTTGGCAATGCTAGAATGCCACAGGATTTTTGATATTTAACACGTGCGGCACAAATGTGCGATCTCTTTGATACCATCGTGAGCACCAACCATCATGAACGCAATGGAACACAGGTCTGGAGGGGACCCAAGACCTTTTCTCAATGTTCAACTCAAATTTACCCTCCCGTAATTGAGGTCCATGTGGGACGCAGGTGGCGCTGTGGGTTAAACCACAGAGCCTAGGACTTGCCGATCAGAAGGTCGGCGGTTCGAATCCCCGCGACGGGGTGAGCTCCTGTTGCTCGGTCCCTGCTCCTGCCAACCTAGCAGTTTGAAAGCACGTCAAAGTGCAAGTAGATAAATAGGTACCGCTCCGGCAGGAAGGTAAACGGCGTTTCCGTGCGCTGCTCTGGTTCACCAGAAGCGGCTTAGTCATGCTGGCCACATGACCCGGAAGCTGTACGCCGGCTCCCTCGGCCAGTAAAGCGAGATGAGCGCCTCAACCCCAGAGTCGGTCATGACTGGACCTAATGGTCAGGCGTCCCTTTACCTTTAATTGAGGTCCATAATCTTTATGCCTGCAAACAAAAAACAAAAAAACATTTCCCCTCTTCTGTGTGGCAGCCCTTCCCATATCTGAGAGGTCCTCATATGGTACTTGTTTTCCATGCTATTTACTTACTTTTATTTCGATGATTAATTCTAGTTATATAATTAATATATCATTATCACTTAATTGCAAGAGTCTCTAAGTGGCGTCAGCCATCTTCATTGCATCAGGAACATTTGCAAAGGCATGGACATATAGACGATTGGGTGTGCAGGTTTATCTCTTGGGGAAAGCAGACAGAGAGATACATGGGCAGGCGCACCATTCATTTAAAGCACATGACTTCTCCCAAAGCATCCTGGCTATGGCAGCTTCCCCGTCATAGAGCTACAATTCCCAGTACCCTTAAGAAACCACAGTTTTCCCAGGATGCTTTGGGTGGGGGGTGTCATGTGATTATAACACATTTTCGATGTGCTTTAATGCATGGTGCGGACCTGTCCCCTGTCAAACCCTTTCCGTCTCTCTCCTGCAAGACCTTACGTGTCCCCGTCGTACCTACGGGACTGCCTCTCCTGGTATGCCCCATAGAGGAACTTATGGTCTTCAAACAAAAACATCTTGGAGGTCCCAGGCCACAGAGAGGTTAGGCTGGCCTCAACTAGAGCCAGGGCTTTTTCGGCTGTGGCTCCGCTTTGGTGGAACGCTCTGTCACAAGAAACTAGGGCCCTGCGGGACTTGACATCTTTCCGCAGGGCCTGCAAGACAGAGCTGTTCCACCAGGCCTTTGGCCAGGGCATAGCCTGACTCCCTCCTTTGGCAATCCTCACAGAACTCTAGCCCAGTGGTTGCCATTAATCTGATTTGAATTAATTTTATAATGAAATGATTTTAGAATGTTTTATCATTTTATTGTTGTTAGCCGCTCTGAGCCCGGCTTCGGCTGGGGAGAGCGGGATATAAATAAAACTTGATTTATTATTATTATTATTATTATTATTATTATTATTATTTCTCCACCCAAGGCGCTCGCCAATTCCCTCGGCAGCCCCGACTTCGCCCCAGGGCTGCTCCAGAGGATCCAGGAGAAGGAAGACTTGCTGGCCCGGTCTTTGGCTGAACAGGAGGAGATCAGAGCCCAGTGGCAGAGGCGCCTGGAAGCTGTGGAAAATGCAGCTTCTGCCACGGAACAGGAGCTGCAGGTAGGAATGAGAAGGAGCACACAGGGGCACTCTGTGGGATCTTAACTATCTCCAGAATATTTATTTTTTATTATTATTTATTTAACTTATTACTCACTTGAGGAACTTTTGTAAAACAATAAATGCAAAAGTACGTAATTCGCAACAAAAATAAATAACATACCAAGCCAGTAGAAAGCAAAACGGGGGGGGGGTGAGATAATAATAATAATAATAATAATAATAATAATAATAATAATTTATTTTCTATACCCCAAGGGACGCGGGTGGCGCTGTGGGTTAAACCACAGAGCCTAGGATTTGCCGATCAGAAGGTCGGTGGTTCGAATCCCCACGACGGGCTGAGCTCCCTTTGCTCAGTCCCTGCTCCTGCCAACCTAGAAGTTGGAAAGCACGTCAAAGTGCAAGTAGATTGATAGGTACCGCTCTGGCGGGAAGGTAAAGGGCGTTTCCGTGCGCTGTTCTGGTTCGCCAGAAGCGGCTTAGTCATGCTGGCTACATGACCCGGAAGCTGTACGCCGGCTCCCTCGGCCAGTAAAGCGAGATGAGCGCCGCAACCCCAGAGTCGGTCACAACTGGACCTAATGGTCAACGGTCCATTTACCTTTACCTTTACCCTACCTATCTGGCTAGGTTTCCCCAGCCACTCTGGGTGGCTCCCAGCAGAATATTAAAAACATGGTAAAACATCAAACATTAAAAACTTCCCTAAACAGGGCTGCCTTCAGGTGTCTTCTAAAAGTCAGATAGTTGTTTATTTCCTTGGCATCTAAAGGGAGGGCGTTCCACAGGCGGGCGCCACCACTGAGAAGGCCCTCTGCCTGGTTCCCTGTAACCTCACTTCCCTGTAACCTCACTGGGCCTCAGTATCCGGGCTGAACGATGGGGGAGGAGACGCTCCTTCATCTCTAAAACGCATTTGTATTTTTAAAGGAGGCCATAGATAGTAAAAATAGATAATAAACAGATAATAAAAGGCCTGGCACAAGAGAAATGCTTTGACCGGGGGGCCACTAGGGGCGCATTGGAAGATGGCTGACAATAACATCTTTCCGACCCACACGAGGTAATTAAGAGGCTGTGATGGGAGTAAACAGCCTCCCTGCCCCCCCAAGCCTGTGGGGGGGACTGCCCTTGCCTGCTGTGCCCTACACCACCCCCGAATTTGAGGGGGTGGGGGCCCTAGGCAGAAAGCCCTCCTGTGGATCTCGGCGCTCCTGGACGCTGTCTCTGATCCGCGCCCCTAGCCGCAGCAACTTCAAAAGAAACAATTAGGAGGAAGCGAATGCACATATTTCAAGGAAGAAGGGGGAGTAAAGACTGCTAACTGAAGAGATCTCTGATAAACAAGACGGGTCGGAGGAACAAGAATAAATCATGAGAAGACACACCAAGGCTCAGTATGTTCGGCAAGGACTGGATGGGGGAGGGGGGAAAACTTTCCTTTCTTTTCTCTATGTGATTAACCAAGAATCCCCCCCACACACAAGTCACAAGTCAGAAATGCCGTTTAAATGACTTAAGCTACGGATTTAAGACTGTGTGGAGATAATTTTCTAACCAAAGCATGTTTTAAGAAGATCGTGGAAAGTATAAGAGCTTTGGAATGACGCAGTAAAAATTACCGTCGCCATTTTGGCAAGTCCTGTCGGAAGACTTAAGCCTGGGAGGAGGAACAGAGTTGTTTTTATATTGTGGGTGAGCCTCCTCAGGGGGGCTTAAGAGCGACAGATTTGCGAGATTAATGATGGAAAGAGTGATGTTATTTATGAAAGCGATGATATATGGAAACCATCTTGATATGAGGATTGGACAAATGGAAAATTCACACAGGATTATAATTGGTGCTTACCTGCTTAAGGAGATTATCAGAAGAGATCATAAAGAAAAAAAAGAAAAATATACGAACAAGGTGAGATGTGGAAACAGCAAGATAAGACTGGATAGAATTATGAACATTATTTGGACAGATTTGTGGATATTAACGCAGCAGCAAGAAGATGATCGGAATCCCCCTTCGGAACTTGAAATATGGGTCCCCCCAACAAAAATTTAAAATTCGGCTTTGTAATTCGGAATTTATGTGATGTGATTTGATTTGATTTGATTTGATTGGTCGGTTAATAAAAATTATTTTTTTAAAAAAAGAGAAATGCTTTGACCAGGTGCCTAAAGATATCTAATGATGGTCCCTGAGGAGATCATCTACAAGCAGGGGAAAGGGCTGTTTTCGTGTTGCCACCCTCAGGCTCTGGAGAACATGGAGGAGCGAAGTCAAACTGCTGGAGGCTTACAGCGCCTGCTGTGGCTGTAGAGACTGATGAGGGAAAGACATGCTTTGTGGCAGTCGGGGCAGATGAAGGCGTCTAGTTGTGCTGCTGCAGATGCACCATGGCGTTTCTTCTCCTCCCAGCGGTCATTCCTCCTCTGGTCACTGCAGGATGTGGATGCACAACCTGACTGTCTGTCTCCGGGCACTGTGGTCATCTGCAAGGGATTCCCAAATGGCACGGTTGATGTTGCCAGCTTTAATGTCATGTTTGCATACCTCTCTGAAACACAGCTGGTCTGCCAGTTGGCCAGGTGCTTAAATCCAGCTCCCCATAGAGCACATCCTTGGGGATTCTGCCGTACTTTTTGCATTGACTATCCCTCTCCTGCCTACTCTTTTGCACCTGACTCAGGTTCGTTAGTAGGCCTTAGGGTTGTAGCCAGGGCCTTGCAGAGCCAGGCAGAGGCCCGGGCCAGGTAGATAATGTGACCCCCTTTTTTTTACCCTGGGGATAACTGAAGTCTTATAAATAAGTAAGTACAGTGGTACCTCGGGTTACATAAGCTTCAGGTTACAGACTCCGCTAACCCAGAAATAGTACCTCGGGTTAAGAACTTTGCTTCAGGATGAGAACAGAAATCGTGAGGCGGCAGCGCAGTGGCAGCAGGAGGCCCCATTAGCTAAAGTGGTGCTTCAGCTTAAGAACGGACCTCTGGAACGAATTAAGTACGTAACCAGAGGTACCACTGTATATAAATAATTTTCACAAAAGGTATGCTGACAAATAATTTTATTTCAAGGCTTGAACCGCATTTGCATATAAAGACAAAGTGGAAAATATAGATATACAATAGTGCTTTTTAAAAATACATAGGGAATCCGTCCACCGCCGCCGCCGCCTTTGCACCTCCGCGTCTGCCCCAGTGCATCCCCTGCGATTGTGAATATGCTGACCAAGGCCCCCCTTGGAATCAGAGGCCTGGGCCAAGGGGCCCATATGGCCACCCCCCACCCCCCCGTCTGGGCCTGCTTGTAGCAAGCCAACCAACAAAGCAGATCCCACAAGCCTGAAGTTTGTCCTACGTCAGCCAGGTGACAATAACGGAAAGGCCGGGATTCTCAATCTTCTCCATCTCATTGCAGGAGCAGCTGCGCCGGCATTTGCAGGATGCCCGAGAACGGGCGCAGGAAGCGGAGAAGCTGCGCAGGCGCCTGACGCAGGCAGAGGCAGAGCTCACCCAGGGAGCTGCAACTCTGGAGGAGCATCGCGCAGAAGTTGCGCGGCTGCAGGGGATGGAGGCAGTGAAGGAGCAGGTCCTGGAGGTGAGCAGTTTTTGTTTTGTTTTCAAAAAAGGATTCTTGGGAGAAGAGGAGACTAGGGTGCTCCAGACATGGAAAAGCAGGTCAAGAGCCTTGAGTGGACCTACCAGACTTTCCCTTAGAACCCCAAAATCCTGTGACTACAATTTGTGTACAGTGGTAGCTCTGATTGCGAATGGGATCCGTCCCGGAGGCCCGTTCGCAACATGAAAAGAGCATAAGCCACAGCGGCACATCTGTGCATGCGTGGGTTGCGATACATTGCTTCTGCGCATGCGCGTAACGTCATTTTGCGCTTCTGCGCATGCGTGAGTGGCGAAACCCGGAAGCCACAACCCTTCCCTTGTGTGCTCTGCTGATGATGATTATGGCAGGAAAAATGTGTTGATGTGCTCATCCTTTATATTTGAAGCTGACTCTTCTATCTCTTCCGTTATTAAATACAGTGGTACCTCTGTTCCAGAGGCCCGTTCGCAACCTGAAAAGAATGCAACCCGCAGCGGCGCATCTGCACGCGTGGGTTGTGATTCACTGCTTCTGCGCATGACGTCATTTTGCACGTCTGCGCATGTGCCAGCAGCGAAACCTGGATGTAACCCTTTCCAGTACTTCTGGGTTGCCGCGGGACGTAACCTGAAAGAATGTAACATGAAGCAAATGTAACATGAGGTATGACTGTATAGGAAATGTACGTGCAGCCCTCTGCCTGCTGTTCTGTATTACATTATTACATTATTATCTCGCTCTGCTTCTTTCTGTTGCATTTCCCCCACTAAATGGAGCTGGCAAGTGGAGCCTTCCTTCTCCGCCCCCCAACTTTAAAAATAGATCCAAATTAAATATTTCATTAGCAAGGTTTGTGAAAAGCTCTTCCCTGCAGGCTTGATCTCCTTTTGTTTACCAGCCTTTTAATTGTTATCTTTCCAGCTTCAGTGGCAGGAAGAAAAGAGCAAGGCTTAAAAACAAACAAAAAAATCTAAATAAATACAACAATAAGAATCTCTTTCTTACTGCTCAGCTCATCCTAACATATACCGCCCGTCCTCAAAGCTGGCTTTCTTCTTCTGCTCTGATATCTAGCAAGCTGTTTTGCCACATGGAATTTGCTTGGTTTAATTCCTTGCTTAGTATCTAGTGGCTGACATAGGGATTACACTTTTTGACATCAGGAGGCAGGGGGCCTGTGGTCTAAACCACTGAGCCTCTTGGCCTTGCCGATAGTAGGAAGGTTGGCGGTTCGAATCCCCACGAAGGGGTAAGCTCCTGTTGCTCGGACCCAGCTCCTGCCAACCTAGCAGTTTGAAAGCACACCAGTGCAAGTAGATAAATAGGCACCGCTGTAGCGGGAAGGTAAACGGCATTTCTGTGCACTCTGGCTTCCATCATGGTGTCCCGTTGTGCCAGAAGCAGTTTATTCATGCTGGCCACATGACCCGGAAAGCTGTCTGCGGAGAAACGCTGGCTCCCTTGGCCTGAAAAGCGAGATGAGCGCCCCAACCCCATAGTTGCCTTTGACTGGCCTTAACCATCCAGGGGTCCTTTACCTTTACATTTTTTGATGGAGCAGGTTCAGCTACAGGGAGTGCTAGTGTGCCCATAATTATGTGTGTGTGGAATTATGGGTGCCCATAATTCCACACACACACGCCAACTCCTAGGGGCTGAGGTCCCTTTCCCCCCTCCCAATAAAATGTTTGAGGGGCGCAGCCCACCTGCCCGACCTCCCCCCAATTCATGGGCATTGTCATTCAAATGTGCTGTGTCTTCTCATCTATTATGTGGAGCGGGGCATACTATCCCCCCCCAAATATTTTATTCAAGTTGGCACCCCTGCACACACACACACACACACACACACACACAGCCCCCTTGCAAACAAGGCAGTGAGGGAAGGTCACCTTCTTCCTCGAAAACTACACAGAGCCGAAGGAGGAAGTTGGAAGAGGTGACGCTCTTTCCCACTTCCTCTTTCCACTCTCTGTGCTTTTCAGAGCTTAGATTAATTCTTCTGGACCTGACATCTACCCAGATCCCTTGGCTCAGAGAAAAGTGTGGGTGTGGGTGTGGGTGTGTTCACACACACACTTTCTCTTGCCTAGAGGTGGGGGTTGCTGATCTGGAGATGGGAAAGAGACATGACCGGAGGGGGTGGCACCATTGGGCAGGGGCGTACGAAGTGGGGGGCGGAGGGGGCAGGCCGGGTGCCACTCTGGGGAGCTGTAGAGGGTGTCCATACGGGCTGCCGCTCTCGCGCACTGTCTGTACAGGCTGCCTCTCGCATGGCAACCGTATGGGCTGCCGCACATGCGCAGTCCGTACGGATGTTGTGCGTGTGTTACTGGGCAGTGCGTCCCTCCCTGGATCCTGGAGAGGGTTCTCCGCCACTGCCCGTGGGACGCGCTCCCCCAAACACGCCCATGACCTTGGTGATGATGCGTCTGACAGCTGCTTCTGACATCACAATCTCTTCTGACGGTTCCCTCGCTGCGAGAAGCAAAGCTACAGGGAACCAGGCAGAGCGCCTTCTCGGTGGTGGCACCCGCCCTGTGGAACACCCTCCCACCAGATGTCAAAGAGATAAACAACTACCTGACATTTAGAAGACATCTGAAGGCAGCCCTGTTCAGGGAAGTTTTTAATGTGTGACATCTTAGTGTATTTTTGGTCTTTGTTGGAAGCCGCCCAGAGTGGCTGGGGAAACCCAGCCAGATGGGCGGGGTACAAATAATAAATTATTATTATTATTATTATTATTATTATTATTATTATTTCATCCCCGGCAGGAAGCTTTGCGAGAGGCAGAGGAGAAGGACCGGGTCCTACAGAGGTTGCAGGAGCTCTGGCTGAAGAAGGTGCCAGGGAGAGAAAGTATGTGGCTGGGAGGGCTACGGAGGGTCAGGGTGGGAAGGTGCTGCTCTTTTATAGCAGAGCTCGAGGCCAGCTCAAGATGTTTTGCTGCTTGACATGCTCCACCCCAGCTCCCCAAAAGAGAAACCAGCTGAACCTCCACTTATTTGAACACTGGCAATCGCTTTGTACGAAGTCAGACCATTGGTCTATCTAGCTTGGTATTGTCTACACTGCCGAATTCTCTCAAAGCCGTACTTGCGGATTCCACAGATTGAAGCTGGGACTTTCTGTGTGCAACATGGCTCCTCTAGTGTAGAGCTGCGGCCCTTTCCCAAAACCAGGAGAGGTAACAGAGCAGTAGAGACAGGAGGGAGGGGAAAAAGCACCCAGCTGCAGCCCCAGTGGAGCAGGTTCAAAAGAAGTGAGAGGGGGCAGGCTCCCGTTGCTCGGTCCCTGCTCCTGCCCACCTAGCAGTTCGAAAGCACGTCAAAGTGCAAGTAGATAAATAGGTGTCACTCTAGCGGAAAGGTAAACGGCGTTTCCATGCGCTGCTCTGGTTTGCCAGAAGCGGCTTAGTCATGCTGGCCACATGACCTGGAAGTTGTCTCAGCCAGTAAAGCAAGATGAGCGCCGCAACCCCAGAGTCGTCTGTGACTAGACCTAACAGTCAGGGGTCCCTTTACCTTTACCTTAGGGCACAGGGAGGCCACATAGCGCATACACAGCAGTCTCGGAAGAGAGGCCGCTTTAAGGAGCATAGGGAAGTACCTTGCATACTTAGTTAGACCAGATGGTCCATGTATCCCAGTACTGTTTGCACTGGCTGGCAGTGAGGCACCATTTTCTCAGATGGGGGAGCCTTTCCCAGCTCTACCTGGAGATGCTGAAGATTGGGCCTGGGCTCTTTAGTGTGCAAAGCAGACTCGCTTACCACTGAGCAATCGCCCTTCCCCAAACAGCATGTTTGTCCTCAAACACTGACCTGTTGTTCTACCTGACACCTGCCGGCTACCCGATCATAAGCGTCACATGAGCTGATTGGAGTGTGCACACCCATAATACCTGGTACAGAGTGCATGGACTGGGCTGCCTCTCTGCCTGTTTACTAACTTCGCACTGATTTTCAATGTCACCTTACTATGAGTAACTTAATTTGGATCCAGACTTCATTGGTGGTTTTTAAGCAGAGGTTGGATGTCCACCTGCTTTAGCTGAGATTCCTGCAATGCGGGGGGCTGGACTAGATGACTCTTGGGGTCCCTTCCAACGCTACGATTCTATTCACAAGTAAGTCTCATTGAGGCGTGCTCCTAGATAAGTGGGTGCAGGATCGCAGCTTTCATCGTCATCTTTTTTTAAAAGGTGCGACAGAACTCTTACCTTCAGAGACTGGTAACAGACGGTGGCGATCACACAGGGTCCCCGGACGTTTAACGGTCTATTGATCCCTCTGCCACCACTGTGCTTGCTTCCCCGCTGCCAGATAATATTCAGATAATATTCCTGTCAGTATCTTAACTTTAGTTTCTTTAATGGCCTATACCTTCCTAATGTATGGAAGTAAGAGCTGGACCATAAAGAAGGCAGATCGCCGAAGAATTGATGCTTTTGAATTATGGTGCTGGAGGAGACTCTTGAGAGTCCCATGGACTGCAAGAAGATCAAACATATCCATTCCTAAGGAAATCAGCCCTGAGTGCTCACTGGAAGGACAGATCGTGAAGCTGAGGCTCCAATACTTTGGCCACCTCATGAGAAGAGAAGACTCCCTGGAAAAGACCCTGATGCTGGGAAAGATGGAGGGCACAAGAAGAAGGGGATGACAGAGGACGAGATGGTTGGACAGTGTTCTTGAAGCTACCAGCATGAGTTTGACCAAACTGCGGGAGGCAGTGGAAGACAGGAGTGCCTGGCGTGCTCTGGTTCATGGGGTCACAAAGAGTCGGACACGACTAAACAACAACAACACCTTCCTAATACGTTCTGACTGATTATCTCAACTGTTTCACTGACTCCTCTTAACAAATTCTCTCCCTCTCTCACACCAGACTAGCCCAACCCACAGACTTATCCTCTCTGTCTCTCCTAACTCCAGACTGTCTTCTCAACAACTCTAACTCTCTAAAAACCTCTGTGCTTAAATCTTATACACCGTTAACTCTGCCCGCTGGGTTCCCATTGGTTAGTCATTTTACAATTAGTTAACCCTTTCCCTGTGAACCCAGTATGATGTCACACACATAGGAGGGCAAACGCCACACAGACTTAAAATATTTCCAGAGGTTGTGGCTGTTGCTTTGGCTGTCACTCAATTAACAGCGACCTATCGAGATGCGCCTGCTTCTCAGAACACGAGAACTTGGGTACGTCCAGTAAGTTGGGGAATTCAGGCCAAAAGACAAAAGAAAGGACTTTTTCACACGGTGCATCGATAAACTGTGTTGTTCTCTGGTCACCAACTTGGGATGGCTTTAAAAGAGGCTCTGCCAGTAATGCTTCTGACCACTAGTGGCTGGGAATTTCAGGTGGGGAAAAGGTGCTCTTGTGCAGAAAAACAGCTCTGACAGTTTTGCTTCTTTCCAGTTCCAGGCCAGACTCTCCTGCCTCCTGCCTGCTCTCTGAGCCTTGCCCCTGACTGACCTCAAGTGCTCCAGAAATTGAAGAGATGCTGGACAAAATGAAATTATACTTGATCAGCGGAAGCACTGGACAGCGTGATATAAAACTGAGGGGGCTGGGGGAGTTCCCAGTTTTTTTTTAGAAAGGGTGTATTGCACGGTGAGCTTCTGTTTCATCCCTGGGGAAGAGGATCTAATGTAGGGAACACTGATTGCAATTGCGTTTTTAATCTGGGTGTGAGGTTATTGGAAATAGTAGGGGATGCTGGAGTGCAAGCTTCATGCAACAGGAGCTGTTTCTTAGGAATGCACTGCCTGAAATAATAATACACAAGTGATCTAACACAGTGTGAAGTCTTTTTGTTCTGATGCTGGCAGGGATGAGGGGCTTCTGAATACCAGTTGCAGGAACCTGCAGGAGGGGAGAGCAGAGCTAGACTCTAATCCTGCTCGCATGCTTCCCAAAACAGGAGGCTGGTTTGTAGGCTTGTCCACATTTGAGCATTATTTACCGTATTTTTCGTTTTATAGGGCGCACACGACCATAGGGCGCACCTAGTTTTCAGAGGGGGAAATCAAGGGAAAAAATATGATCCCCCTCCCAGCTCTGGGAGCAGCGGACAGGCTGCTCAGAGGCTTCGCGTTGCTATCGCTGAAGCCAGCATTCGCTCCATAGGACGCACACACATTTCCCCTTCATTTTTGGAGGGGGAAAAGTGCATCCTATAGAGCGAAAAATACGGTAGCTGTTTATACACCTTCCAGCCCATTCATATTAAACTGGAGTTCTCCACACCAGCACATATTTGAATTTCTGTATGGGGAAGAGTGTTAATAATTAATATAATAAATTTATTATTAATAATAATAATTCCCCAGCCACTCTGGGCAGCTCCCAACAGAATATTAAAACCACAATAAAACACCAAACATTAAAAACTTCCCTAAACAGGGTTCAGATGTCTTCTAAAAGTCAGATAGTTGTTTATTTCCTGGTTACAGGGAACCAGACAGAGGGCCTTCTCGGTAGTGGCGCCTGCCCTGTGGAACGCCCTCCCATCAGATGTCAAGGAAATAAGCAGCTATCCTATTTTTTATTTTATTTATTTAAAGACATCTGAAGGCAGCCCTGTTTAGGGAAGTTTTTAATATTTAATGCTGTATTGTTTTTAACATTCGATTGGGAGCCGCCCAGAGTGGCTGGGGAAACGCAGCCAGATGGACGGGGTATAAATAATAAATTTATTTTTTTTATTATTCCTTGACATCTGATAGAAGGGCGTTCCACAGGGTGGGTGCCACTACCAAGAAGGCCCTCTGCCTGGTTCTCTGTAACCTCACTTCTCGCAGTGAGGGAACCGCCAGAAGGCCCTCGGAGCTGGACCTCAGTGTCCGGGCAGAACGATGGGGGTGGAGATGCTCCTTCAGGTATACTGGACCAAAGCCATTTAGGGCTTTAAAGGTCAGCACCAACACTTTGATGTACTGGGAGCCAATGTAGGTCTTTAGTCTTTCCTGCTCATCCTGATAGGCTTTCCCTTTTGCATTTGTCCCCACCTTCTAATTTGTTGATTCTATGGTTGAGGAACGGCAGGACATGCGTGCCAACTGCTATGTGAACACCTTGTTTTTCCACACACACAAAATCCCTGCTCAAGAAGTGTGCAAAAACATACTGTCAGGCAAGTGTCGATTTGCTTGTGTGGTTTCCTGGTTTTGAGCAAATCTGAAGCAATGAAAGAAGAAGAAACGCTCTCCATTCTGGAGCAGACTAGAAATAGTTACACGCACAGCCGGAAAAGAACAGTGCATTTGAGCTCATGCGCATGGAAAGGAAAGCAGCAGAAAGCGACAATTGATTCACCCACCTCAGAACAGTACTGCCATGCCAAATGGCCTAGCTTCCCCCAGCGTATTGGATTATCACTGTATCAGGTAAGCCAGACTTTACAGGGGGGATTTGAAGGGCTAACGTTATGTGGACTATGCAAATTAAATGGGGAAACACGCAGCCAACTCTGGTGTTGCCAAGCCCTCAGTGGACCACTGGCCTGATGCAACAGGTTCATCTTAGATGGGCAGGGATTTCTTCTTGCAGTAAGGGGAGTGGTAAGAGAAAGCAGCTAGAACAGATAAGGGAAATGATCTAACACCAGCAAAGGGGGCTGTTTCTGCACCTGCTGAAATTCCAGGCACACATGCATCTGATGCAGAAACTGACACCTGCCCCACAGTTTCTACGTTATATTTTCTGAGAATCCTCCGGAAAAACAATCTCTCAAAGGACCTGTTGATGGCATTTTACCATTGCACTGTGGAGAGCAAATTAACTTATGGTCTGTCTGTGTGGTTTAGGAGCTGCACAGCCAGGGAAAAAACCATGCTGTCCAGGGTTGTAAAGACCGCAGGGTGCACTCTTCCCACCTTAGATCATATCTATGCTGCCAGGTGCCATAAGAAAGCGGCAGAGATAGCGCAGGATAGTACGCACCCCGGAAATGATCTCTTTCAGCTTCTGCCTTCTGGAAGAAGGTATAGGGTTATAAAGGCCAGGACTAGCCGCCTGAGAAACAGTTTCTATGCAAATGCAATTCTGGTTCTAAACGCAGTATAAGGGGTCTCTATAGTATAGTGTATTTTATAGTATAGTATAGTATAGTGCATTTTAAAATGGGGTTTCAGAGTTTTTAGGGGTTTTTGAATGTTTTATGTAGTTTTTCAATTTCATTGTTCTGTATGGGACAATGACAATAAAGATATCGTATATCATATCGTATACATGCATGAAAACCTCAGATTTGTTTCAGAGGCTGCATCTACAGCTATATCCCTGGCAATCACACCCCTCTTCTTGTGGCACATGCAGTTCCACAGAAACAGCAAAATTGTTGTGCTAGCTGGAGCTAGTACAACTCCCATTACCACAACGGGGCTTTCTCCCCTCCCCAGATTGGCTTGGGGTATGTGGGAGAACCCATAGAACAGCAAGCAGGGGCAAGGGGCAGGAGGAGAAAGGAGATTATTCCACCAGGCAAGCAGAAACACTTTTGCTGATGGAACAATTGTAATAGCGCACCATTGAATTCCACCCCATGAAAACACCTTCGCAAGCAAACTCTCCAGCTGGATGTATGGAATAAATTCACTGTCAAGGATGCCCTCCAAACTCCTGAAAAGGGAACTGGGCTGAAAAGCAGGGTTTTAAAAAACCCAACAACTTCAGAAGCCACCTTGCCAATTAAGCAGTATCGTAGGCCATATGCATATACTTGGCTACGAGTGATCGCCAAAGAAAAAGAAGAATATAAGCAAATATAATCCTTCACTTACATGAATAAGAGAGACAATGCGGCTTACTTAAAATCAGATTTAATAAATTTGTATCCTTTCTATAAAATAGATTATTTTTGTACAGAAAGAAAAAAAGTCTATATACAGTACATTTTTAGCATTTTGAATAAAAAAACCCCAACCAAACAGAATGGCTGACAGGAAGTGGATCCGAGCCAAAATAGTTTAGGAGTCAATGAATTGGCACAAAGTCACTGGGAAATTAAGTGGGAAAAGGATAACGCAATTTGTCAATGAAGGCACTTAGGCAATAAAATGATTACTGTGCAAGGCAGAGCTAAGTGTGATTCAGCCCATTTGTTTCACTGGATTTGAAAGCACCACTCTTTGTTGGACGTGCGGCCAATGCCAAAACAAAAAAGAAAAAAGTCAAGATATTCTGAAAGAGAACGACATAATCAGGAATTGGCACAGTTGGGCCTGAAAAACCAGGATTTGAAAATAAGGGACCAGCAGCCTCGAAAATAAGGGATCAGCAGCCAAAATAAGGGATTTTGCTATTCTAAAAAGTTACATACATTGGTAGGATTGACAGGTGCTGTCAATCCAGCATGAGGCAGTTGCGGCGGCGCCCTTCTGCATCCCTCCCCATCCCCTCCTCTTCCTCTTCCCTCAGGCCGCCTCCTCAGCCGCTGCCACCGCTACCGCCTCCGGGCTTGTGGGCGGTGTGGGCGAGAGTCTCTCTCCCTCCCCCCCCTCAGGCGGGGAAGGGCCGATGGAACTCCTCGCACCAGGACGACGGCGCCAGTGCGCCCTCTCTCTCGCAGCGGAGGACCCCGAGCTGCTGCTTCCCTCCCGAGCCGGGCGAGCATGAAACCCCGGAAATTTAAGGGACATCATCAATAAGGGACAGCAGCGGGACACGGCGCTGGGATAAGGGAGTTTCCCGCCAAATAAGGGACGGTTGACAGCTATGCAGATGGGAGTTATATAAGCTGTTTGAAAAGTTTGCCATGGAGTAGTTGTAACCAGCTGGGGAGGAGATCAATCGTAGCTTCCAGCCACCTCACTGTCTACTTCTCCTCACTGCAAAAGCCGGGGGAACAGGCTAACACTGAGCTTACCACACCGTAGGCAGCTAAAGCTGACTGCCTCTCTGTGTGATAGGTTTTTAGAAGAGGCTCTCCCGGGTGCTTCCTGATCACCCAATTTAACCCAGAGAACGGCACACAGACCTGGAAAATGCTGTTTACTGTTTACTGAGAAGTTGCATAGCCCGCGAAAGAACAGCAGCTGAACCCTAAAGGAAAGGACACTTGTTTTGCTGTGGCCTATAAAATCCACAAGATATCTGACGGGGGAACATCGCAAATATCGGCCAAACGTCCTTTTCGCTGGGTTGGACGTGACGAGGCCCAAGCCAAAAGGAAGTGGGATGGCTTCTCATGAAGATGTCTGCAGGGTTGGAAGGCAAGATGGGCAGCAAAACACCAGCGTGGAGGGAAAAGTTGGCACTGGCACAGAATCAACGTGTGGGGAAGCACTGGCAATGCAGCAGTGGGAACGGGACGCCTGCCCAGCCTGGCACACGAGCGCTTGCACGCTGGGCAGAACACATCACGTGGCATCGTGTGATGTGTGGGGCAAGTCAGCGCCCCTTGGGATGAACAGGACATCTTGACTGGATACAACCCCAAATGGGTGGACCAGAGGGAAGGGCAACATGTTAAAATGGCTGCCTTCATTTGAAAGGTGGGCTCTAAAATAAGATGGCCAGTAAAGGAGGAGGCGGAGGAGGAGAATGTCTTCTCAATATGGCACCGTTTAAGAAATCAATATGGCCGACATGGAGCAAGACAACGTGAGGCAAGAGTGGCAAGGCCCAAAAGGCTGAAATGTGTTCAAAATGCACTGGAAAGGAAAGCAAGGGAAGGGATATGTTAAAGTGCTCTTGAGACAGGCCTGGGGCCTAAAAGCCAGGAAGCGATATACTGTAGCAAGAGATGATGTGGACCAGTAACACCAAATTTTCTTCTACTTGGCCTTGCCATTCTTGTTCTTCTTGTTGAGGATATTCATGAGAGACTTGGACATGTAATACGGCTTGCTCTGGGAGCCGTCATTCCGCTCCAGGTCTTCCACTGCGGGGGAAAAGGAAAGTATTGCCTCAGGTCTCATCAGATTAGCAAATGAATGATTAATCTGCGGAGAGGGGAGCCCGTCCAGGCATTGCTGAACTACAACTCCCATTATACCTGGCCATGGATCAAGCCGGCTGGGGCTTATGGGAGCAGGAGTCCAGCGACACCTAGAATCATAGAGTTGGAAGAGACCACAAGGGCCATCGAGTCCAACCCCCTGCCAAGCAGGAAACATCATCAGAGCACTCCTGACATATGGTTCTCAAGCCTCTGCTTAAAGACCTCCAAAGAAGGAGACTCCACCACACTCCTTGGCAGCAAATTCCACTGTCGAACAGCTCTTACTGTCAGGAAGTTCTTCCTAATGTTTAGGTGGAATCTTCTTTCTTGTAGTTTGGATCCATTGCTCCGTGTCCGCTTCTCTGGAGCAGCAGAAAACAACCTTTCTCCCTCCTCTATGTGACATCCTTTTATATATTTGAACATGGCTATCATATCACCCCTTAACCTCCTCTTCTCCAGGCTAAACATGCCCAGCTCTCTTAGCCGTTCCTCATAAGGCATCGTTTCCAGGCCTTTGACCATTTTGGTTGCCCTCCTCTGGACACGTTCCAGTTTGTCAGTGTCCTTCTTGAACTGTGGTGCCCAGAACTGGACACAGTACTCCAGGTGAGGTCTGACCAGAGCAGAATACAGTGGCACTATTACTTCCCTTGATCTAGATGCTATACTCCTATTGATGCAGCCCAGAATTGCATTGGCTTTTTTAGCTGCCGCGTCACACTGTTGGCTCATGTCAAGTTTGTGGTCAACCAAGACTCCTAGATCCTTTTCACATGTACTGCTCTCAAGCCAGGTGTCGCCCATCTTGTATTTGTGCCTCTCATTTTTTTTTGCCCAAGTGCAATACTTTACATTTCTCCCTGCAGAGCCCCAGGTGTGTAGTAGAGTATAATTAGGGCAAAAAGAATTACTCACAGAAACAGAGGAACAACGTGTCGACACACATATTGTAGACGCTGAAGAAACCTTGGGCTATGAAGTAGGCGCCTACCACAACAGTCTGAATCAGAGAGTGAGAGAAGGGGAAGAAACATGGCATGAAGTGAGAGGGGCAAGACTTCCGGCATTGGAATCAGAACTTTTGGATCACAACTCCCATCAGCCTCATCCAAGATGGCCACGGTGAATGTGGACGATGGGAGTTGTAGTCTAAATCTGCTTGAGGACGCTGGGTTGCCAAAGGCTAGTTCACAATATTCTCACCCACAATATTTTTAAAGCTCCCAGTTTGTAGGGGACAACTCATATTCTTTCTTTAATGGTTTCTGCTGTTATTTTGTGAAGCGACACAAGAAGCTACTAAGTTGACTAACTTGTAGCCCTTCAGAATTGGCTGAGCTACAGCTCCCATTACCTTTGGCCACTGGCCATGCTGGATGTCAGCAACCTCCAGAAGGCCACAGGTTAGCCTCTCCTCAGGCCATTTGTCCAACAAAGCATATACAAAGCATTTCCTGAGCTAAGGATCCTCCTTGAGACAACCAAGATTCGTCACCCCCAGAAATTCCTTGCAGTTTTCTGTCAGCAACTTTGGTGTGTGTTTTTTTGGAGGGGGTCTGTACTACGTTTTAGATAAACTAACACAAATCTGTGCATCTTACCCGCCATATTGGATTGGAATGGTGCAGAATTGCCTTAAAATGGGCCGGGAAAAAGAGAGAGAGATTGGGAGAGAAAAGGCGACAGCCCAAGAAATAGGCACAGTTACACATACCAGGATGGGCAGCCAATAGTAGTTGAGGACGGGAGATTTGAACTCGGGTTTATCGATGGGAATTCGCCCAGTGAAGAAGAAGAACGACAGAATGCCAACTCCGCCAACTACCAAGAGCTTCCCAAAAAACAGCAGCAGGTCCGTGACTTTATCCAGGACTACAACTCTGCAGGGGTAGAAAGGGGAGGTTCGAACCAGGAATGTCCATCTTCATCCCTGCCTCTCCTCGGCCCCCTGCTGATCCCACCCTCTCGCCCCATTACCTGGCGGCATTGCGCATCAGTAGCATGAAGGCATTTTTGGCCGACACACAGAAATTCTTTCCATAAATGGCAATCTGAGGAGGGGAAGGGTTTGAAAGAGACAATGGAAATAAGCTCAGTCTTTTACAAGGATGGAGGACTATGCCCTTCCCCTCCCTCAACAACACCACACCCCCCGCCCCCAAGTTTTTATTGGGATTAAGATGGCCATATAGAACCACACACCCCTGCCTAGAATTTTATGGGGTTCCACAATCCACACTCCGCCACTGATTCCCAACCAGTTATTATTTTGCTAGAGGAAAGAGCCTGGGGGTTGTAACACCACTGTTCAGGAAGCAGAAACTCTCATAAACACCGCAACATCTCATAGAATCATAGAATCATAGAGTTGGAAGAGACCACAAGGGCCATCGAGTCCAACCCCCTGCCAAGCAGGAAACACCATCAGAGCACTCCTGACATATGGTTGTCAAGCCTCTGCTTAAAGACCTCCAAAGAAGGAGGTGTACCCTGGTGTACTGTATGTTTCTTTTTTAAAAATATATATTTTTTATTAATTTTTACGTAAAATTTCCAAACAACATACAACATATTTTCTTATCTTATTCAGTGTTTTGGACTTCCATCAACCACACCTGAAGATTTTTCAATCTTTATCACTTAATCTGCATTTCATTAATTTCACTATTACTTTTAATAATCCTTCACTAATAATTCTCTTCATACTTTTCTCTGCAATATTTCACATAGTCCGATGTACTGTATGTTTCAGTGGGTATTAATTGTAAGTCGCTTTGGGAGCTGATCTTGCCTGAGAAGTGGTTTGGAAATAAATAATCAGTGTTAACCATAGAGGCTTTGAAAACCCAACCGCACTTTCCAAACCATGGTTTCCAAGGTGACCTGGTTTGTTTTAACCACAGTGCCGCCATTGTTGTGCGGATGCCTGATTATTGTCTTCTAAAGCAACTACTCTATTCTGAACTTAAAAATGGAAAGCGTAATGCTGGTGGTCAACAAAAGAGGCTTAAAGACTCTATCAAGGCAAAGTAAAATGTAGCATAAAAACCATCACTGGCAATGCCCATCAACTTTGGGGGCCCTGTCCCCCTCAAATATTTTATTGGAGCTAGCCGACCTGACTGATAGAGGAGGAGTACCAGGAGGAATGGATGGAGTACCAGGAGGAATGGATGAAATTTAAAGACTATTTAGTTAAATATGTTAAGATAACTTAATTGGAAAAACTTGCAAATACCAGATAGGTTTAAATATGTGATGTTAGAGAATAATATGTTTAAAGTCAAAATGAAAACAAAGAAGGATGTTAAGTGATTAAGTTAATTTTATGAGAAAATTGGTATTGGAAAACTGTTATAATGATATACACTGAAATTCAGCCAGGGGGATTGGAGGAAGTCACTTAACAATGTTACTAAGATTGGGTCAAGTATAGTTAAGATGTTTGTTTGTTTGTTTGTTTGTTTGCTTGCTTGCTTAATTTTTTTTGGAAAACTAATAAAAAAATTGGGGGGGATTTATTGGGGGGACCGAAGAACCCTCGGCCCTGATGAATTGGCTCCTATGCAAGCCGTAGTTTTGAGGGGGGCACTGTTTGCCATGTTTGTGCAGGGGTCCTGCAAACACAGAAGATGATCTCTGCTAGGTGAGGCCAAAGGCCTATCTTACCCAGAATCCTGTTCTCACAGTGGTCAGCTGGCCACAAGCAGGACCTGAGTGCTGTGGGAGCAGGTGTAGCAGGGCTTTGAGCCCCAGTTTCCCACCCCCAGACGCATCACAGTGGCTCTCAAGCCTCCTCCAGGATACACATTCACTTCCCTCGCCTCCTATTCCCCCGCAGGCGTCCCCATCTGTTTCCCTCCCAACCGCCACCATTAAGACCCCTGATCTCCTAGGTGGCCCATCTGCAAGGCTTACCATGATGTAGGCGTTTCTGTTGAGGAACTTGATGAACTTCTCCAGACACCAAAAGCAACACTTCATGCAGCAAAGGAGGCACTTGGCAAGCTTGTTACCGGAACCTACAAACGCCACAGGAGAATTAGGTAGCCGGGGCTTGAAAAGGACACGCTCCCCTTGGCTCTTCCCAGTTTAGTGGGGTAGGAGAGCTGAAAATAACGTCGATGTATTCCACATCTGGGAACCATTGTGCCCCTTTGGTTTCAGATAGTACATAGGTAGGTAAAAGGTAAAGGGACCCCTGACCATTAGGTCCATTTCGTGACCGACTCTGGGGTTGCGGAGCTCATCTTGCTTTAATGGCCGAGGAAGCCGGCGTTTGTCTGCAGACAGCTTCCGGGTCATGTGGCCAGCATGACTAAGCCGCTTCTGGCGAACCAGAGCAGCGCACGGAAACGCCATTTACCTTCCCACCAGAGTGGTACCTATTTATCTACTTGCACTTTGACGTGCTTTCGAACTGCTAGGTTGGCAGGAGCAGGGACCGAGCAACAGGAGCTCACCCTGTCACGGGGTTTCGAACCGTCGACCTTCTGATCGACAAGTCCTAGGCTTTATGGTTTAACCCACAGTGCCACCCACGTCCAGTACATAGGTAGGAGAGTCTAAAGAGCCCGGGACTCAAATTTTCACGGCCCTCTAGCATCTACGGTGTCTCATTTGCCAGAAGTCACGAATTTAGCATTAACTCTGGAAGTGCATACAGTGGTACCTCGGGTTAAGAACTTAATTCGTTCCAGAGGTCCTTAACCTGAAAATGTTCTTAACCTGAGGTACCACTTTAGCTAATGGGGCCTCCCGCTGCCACCATGCGATTTCTGTTCTCATCCTGAAGCAAAGTTCTTAACCCGAGGTACTATTTCTGGGTTAGCCGAGTCTGTAACCTGAAGCGTCTGTAACCCGAGGTACCACTGTACTCTCAACCTAACTAAACCTCCTAAGTTGAATATTACTGTATTTGAAATTTGCTCTTTTTTTCCATTCTTGTACTTCTGTATTAAAATTACAGTTACACCTTTAGGATGCCTCATAAAGGGGGGGAATGAATGTTTCGTTTTTAATTATTTATTATTATTTTGTGGTCATGGTTTTTTTTTGTGGGGGGTCATACTGATGTACATTTTGTTCTAGGAGGTTTCGCTGGGTCAAAATCGAGTACAGTGGTACCTCGGGTTACAGACGCTTCAGGTTACAGGCGCTTCAGGTTACAGACTCCGCTAACCCAGAAATAGTACCTTGGGGTAAGAACTTTACCTCAGGATGAGAACAGAAATTGTGCAGTGCCAGCAGGAGGCCCCATTGGCTAAAGTGGTACCTCAGGTTAAGAACAGTTTCAGGTTAAGAACAGACCTCCAGAACAAATTAAGTTCTTAACCCGAGGTACCATTGTATACAATTCCAGAGTTAATGCTAGATACATGACTTCTGGCAAATGAGCCGTCCTAGCCACTAGAGGGCCGTGAAAATGTGTCCCAGGCTTTTTATATCCGTCTATTCTCGTACTATCTGAAACCCAAAGGGGCACATTGGTTGCCGGAAGTGGTTCCCCCACCCCCGCTCTCCTACCCCACTACTTAACAAAGCAGTGACTGTAATTTGAATTACGTGAAGAGTCTGAAAATCTTCAAAGATTCCTGCATTGCAGGGGGGTTGGACTAGATGACCGTTGGGGTCCCTTTCAACTCTACAATTCAAGAATTCTATGAAGCTGCCACACTCTGCCTAATGCTAGGGCCAGCAACATAACAGACCAGATTGTGAAAGACTTTAGTGCTAGTCTACTTCCAGAGAAAATGGGCAACCCGACTCTGGTTATTCTGACCATTACTGGTATTTATTCCTGCCCTGCCCTTCTTGCCTGGTTTACTCATCACTTGCCTTTTAACTTGTGGTCCATATATTCCAGCACGATGCGGATCAGTTGGACGATAGTGAGGATGAGGGAACCAAAAGCAAGAGATCCTATATGGTATCTGCGGAGAGAGAGGAGAGGTCCTGTAAGGTGGAGCTGCCTTTCGAAACATTCTGGATCAAGACAAGGAACCCCCGACTTTGACACCATTCCTAATTAAGGCTGAGGCTGCTGCTCTTATCCAAGGTTTACGTTTTCATGTACAGTGGTACCTTGGTTCTCAAACGCCTTGGTACTCAAACAACTTGGAACCCAAACACTGCAAACCCAGAAGTAAGTACTCTGGCTTGCGAACTTATTTCAGAAGCCGAATGTGCTCCGTTTTGAGTGCCACGCTTCCATTTTGAGTGTTACAATGAGATTTGTCTGCTTTTGCTATTTATTTTGCATTTTTGTTTTTGCAGCTCTTTTTGTTTTGTTTTGGTGGCTGTGTGGAACCCAGTTCAGCTACTGATTGATTGATTGATTGTGTGACTGCAGTACATTGTTTATTGCTTTCATTTTATGGATCGATGGTCTCCTTAGATAGTAAAATTCATGTTAAATGGCTGTTTTAGGGGTTGTTTTTAAAAGTCTGGAACGGATTAATCCGTTTTGCATTACTTTCTATGGGAAAGCATGCCTTGGTTTTGGAACGCTTTGGTTTTGGAACGGATTAAGTTTGAGAACCAAGGTACCACTGTACTGCATCTCCCAAAACAAACAACGCCAGCTACTCTAAATAGAGGAGGGGTGGGCAAATATTTTCAGCTAGTCTACAGGGTCGCATTCTCCTCCAGGGGCCACATTCCAGCAGTGGGCAGGGCCAGAGGGAAAAGAGGGCGGAGCAATGAATATAAATGTTCCCTTTGCCTGGTAGGCTAGTTTCAACACTCACTCAATCCTCTCTATGCAGGCAAGCTTTATATAGAGTTCAAGGACACATTCCAAACCAGGAAAAAGCACTCAAGGAAGCTGTGGAGCAGCAGGGCCAGTTAGGGCATAATAATAATAATAATAATAATAATAATAATAATTTTATTTATATCCCGCCCTCCCCAGCCGAAGCCGGGCTCAGGGCGGCTAACACCAATAAAATAGTACAACATTCTAAAATCATTTCATTATAAAATTAATTCAACTCAAATTGATGGCAACCATTGGGCTAGAGTTCTGTGAGGATTGCCAAAGGAGGGAGTCAGGCTGTGCCCTGGCCAAAGGCCTGGTGGAACAGCTCTGTTTTGCAGGCCCTGCGGAAAGATGTCAAGTCCCGCAGGGCCCTAGTCTCTTGTGACAGAGCGTTCCACCAGACTGGAGCCACGGCCGAAAAAGCCTTGGCTCTGGTTGAGGCCAGCCTCAACTATGGCTTGGAGCAAGTCCCATAGCCCAGGCAGAGAGGCCTGGAGGGCCTGAGAGGTTCTCCACCCCAGTTTGAAGGGTGAGAGGTCAAGTGTCTGCACTGTGTAGCAGCAGATCCTGAGAATGCCAGACAAGGTATCTCCCAGCCATTCCTTGAGATATTGGGGAAGCCACCCAGAGCAGCTAGGGCATTGCAGTCAGATGGGCCGAGATGGCAAAATTGCCTGGAAAACTCAGAAACCAAGAGGATAAAAGCTTTATAAAAGAACGGGGAAAATTTAGAAGTTATTTAGGAGACCACTGTAAGCAGATGGAAACAATTAGCAGGATTTTGTAGTTTAACGATTACCATGGATAATAAGGTTTGATATAAAAATTGGAGTATGAAAGAATATTCAGTATTAAATGTTTATAATGGGACTTCATGGAGGGGATGGGTGGAAGTCCTGGGATTTGGAGGAATCTCTGTGTATGGGTATACTTTTTGATTCTCCGTTTATAACTTTGTATTTGTAAAACTAATAAAAATTATTTCAAAAAAATATTATTATTATTATTATTATTCCTGTGAACTGCCCTGAGACCTGCAGGTATAGGGCCATATACAAATTTAATTAATAATAGTAATAACAAAGAAATAAACAAATACAGTTTCTGACAGCAACGCCTATGTAAATGAGCGATGGTCGGGTGGTTCCTTCGCCCTCCAGTTGGCAGGCAACACTAAAGCCATGTGTGAGCCTACCAATAGTAGAAGTCCATAGCTCAATGGTAGAGCTTCTGCTTCGTAGGCAGAAGGTCTCAGGTTCAATCCCCAGCATCTCCCAGTAGGGCCGGGAGAGACTTCTTCCCAGAAACCCTGGAGAGCTGCTGCCACTTGGTGTAATAATAATAATAATTTTATTATTTATTCCCCAGCCACTCTGGGCGGCTTCCCAAAAAATATTAAAATACTTTAATACATCAAACATTAAAAGCTTCCCTAAACAGGGCTGCCTTCAGATGTCTTCTAAAAGTCTGATAGTTCTTGTTCTCTTTGACATCTGGTTTGAGGGCGTTCCACAGGGCGGACACCACCACCGAGAAGGCCCTCTGCCTGGTTCCCTGTAATTTGGCTTCTCGCAGTGAGGGAACCACCAGAAGGCCCTCGGCGCCGGACCTCAGTGTCCGGGTAGAACGATGGGGGTGGAGACGCTCCTTCAGGTATACTGGTCCGAGGCCGTTTAGGGCTTTAAAGGTCAGCACCCACACTTTGAATTGTGCTCGGAAACGTATTGGGAGCCAATGTAGGTCTTTCAAGACCGGTGTTATATGGTCTCAGCGGCCGCTCCCAGTCACCAGTCTGGCTGCCGGATTCTGGATTAATTGCAGTTTCCGGGTCACCTTCAAAGGTAGCCCCACATAGAGCGCATTGCAGTAGTCCAAGCGGGAGATATCCAGAGCATGCACCACTCTGGCGAGGCAGTCCGCAGGCAGATAGTCTGCGTACCAGGTGGAGCTGGTAAACAGCTGCCCTGGACACGGATTTGACCTGTGCCTCCATTGACAGCTGTGAGTCCAAAATGACTCCCAGGCGGCGCACCTGGTCCTTCAGGGGCACAGTTACCCCATTCAGGACCAGGGAATCCTCCACAACTGTCCGCCTCCTGTCTCCCAAAAACAGTACAGTGATGCCCCGCAAGACGAATGCCTCGCAAGACGAAAAACTCGCTAGACGAAAGAGTTTTCCGTTTTTTGAGTTGTTCCGCAAGACGAATTTCCCTATGGGCTTGCTTCGCAAGACGAAACGTCTTGCGAGTTCTTGCGAGTTTGTTTCCTTTTTCTTAAAGCCGCTAAGCCGTTAATAGCCGCTAAGCCGCTAAGCCGCTAATAGCCGTGCTTCGCAAGACGAAAAAACCGCAAGACGAAGAGACTCGTGGAACGGATTAATTTCGTCTTGCGAGGCACCACTGTACTTCTGTCTTGTCAGGATTCAATCTCAATCTGTTAGCCGTCATCCAGACAACACTGAGCTAGATGGACTCAACGCTTTGACTCTGTTGAAGGCAGCTTCCTATGTTCCAATTCCCAAAGGAGACGCTGGCACAATGCAGGCCAGCGGCAGGGCGAGGAGCAGATCCTCTGCTTCCCTGCCCGCCGCCAGACGCATGGGAATTCCCACACAAGATGCGCACCGTAACGTCCGGACGAAGGCGTTGCACACAGCACAGGCCGGGATATCCTGGGGCTTCTTGAAGGCCCAGTAGTAAGAGGCAAAGGCCCCCGCCAGCACACACTGCCCCAGGGCAATGACGAAGTTAATGCACCAGAGGAGGCCCACAAAGTTGTAGATCTGCAGGTTGAAGAGGTTGCGCTGGAAGAGCCCTTGGTCGTTGTATTTGAAGAAGATGCAATCCACCAGGCAGGGCCAGTAGGTGGAGGCGTTGAATGTCTGGAGGAAGAAAGCAGGGAACGGTGCTCTTAATACCAGGGCATGGAAATGGCTGGTTGCGAAAAGGAGAGCCAAGCAGAGCCCCACAAGTTGCTCCACAGCCAAACAGCAGTGGCGTAGCGTGGGGGGTGCAGGGGGGGCCGGCCGCACTGGGCGCAACATCTGGGGGGGCGCGCTCGCACTCGCAGCTCTCTGCCCCTACCTGGCTCACTCACACTCTCTCACTGCAGTGCTGGCTGTGCGAATCCGATCCGAGCCGCTGGGTCGCCGCCCACTGTGGAGGGGGTGGGTGCCAGGCGTGCGGTGCGGAGAGAGAGCGAGGGACTATCTGGGGAGGGACAGTGCAGCGGCCGCCCAGCGCAGCGCTGAGCGCGGGAGAGAACCACACCAGACCAGCCCAGGCAGCAGCAAGAAGAAGCTGGCAGCGGCGGCAGGTTAGGGGTTAGGGGGCGCAAATTACTTGCCTTGCCCCGGGTGCTGACAACCCACGCTACGCCGCTGCCAAACAGGATCCATTTTGAACCCTGGCAGAAATATAAAATCCAGGGTCGTACAGGAGATGGACTTGGAGCAGGGAGACCTGGGCTGAGATCTCTGAGGAGAACTTCCAGCCAGTCCTTTTCTGACTCACCTCGCTTTAATAACTTACCTCACACTTCCTTACCTCTCTTCGTCTCTCTCCCCCTAACTTATTTCACTATACTCTACTGAACTTACCTCACAGTCTATTGTACGAATAAGATACCACCACAAAATTAATAGGAAGTACAGAACTGCCACCCCCAGCATTGAAGATACACTTTTAAATACAGTGCTGTGGAGCACGATTTGATTTATTTACTCGGGCTTTTGGACGAACTTGAGATATCAGTGTGCACAGTACAATCCGCATGTGTATATGTTGCACGATTTCAACTTTATGCAGCTGAAGGCTAGCCAGCTGAAACTGCACATGTTTATGAGGGCTCCGGGATGCTCTCCTGAAATCTCACAGGCTTCCAGAGCTACCATGTTGAGAGGGCCTTACCCCCTTCCCCACCTCGCAGCAAAGTAGAGCACAATCCAGCGGATCTGGCACAAAAAGAGCTTTAAAGCCCTCTCAGGGGTTCGATTCTGGGATGCTCACGCAAGATCTTGCAGGGCTGTCCGAGTTCCCAAAAGATCTTATGTGAGGATCTCTTAAGTATCCAGCACCAGTGTGGTTTGTCCCCTCCAAGCAAGACAAAGAACTTAGAAGAAGATATTTTTGTACCATGTCATTTGGGTTCTGGGTTCCATTTTCCGTTGCCTATGAAGCCAAAATGGCCACAATTGTCCCCATTAAAACCCTAAGTGGGGATGAGACACCAAAGCAGCCCAGAACTGGAGGGCTAGTCAGGGGCCGGGATGGATATATCTGCTAATTTTGATCCTCTCAGTATCTCAGTTTTCCAATCTTGCATTCAGTTCGCCACATTCTGTAGTTCATGGGTTTAAATTTTTTTCTTTAAAAACACTCATGAAAGTTCGTCTGCATTTTAATGCAAATTTCTCCTAATAAGCCCATTTTTGTATTCAGTTTTGAATAATGTAATTTTGCAAGCAATTTCCCCTAACCTAATGCACTTTTTTGCATATTACTTTCCATAATACTATTTTGGCCCAAATATAAGCTGCACCTGCAAATAAGCCACACCTTTAAAATTCATGGGGGGGGGAGAGAAAAAAGACAACACCCAAATATAAGTTGCTCCCTTAAAATTGGGTTACAGGCTGAAAACCACTGCGGTTGGTAGAATTGTAACTCCGAGCCAATTTAAGCCTTTCATCTTGCAAAAATGACCGTACAATCGCCAAAATCACAAATTGCTATTCAGTTGCTACAATTCCGCAGGCACTCAAGCTCGCAAATCGGCAATAAAACATTTTCTTGTTCCAATTTACCGTATGTCTGTTTCAGCAACAATATCGTAAATGTCAGTTTTTGTAAGGTCACGAATATAAGCTGCACTTTAATTTTTCATGGTCAGAATTTGGAAAAAAAGTGAGGCTTATATTCGGGACAATACGGTAACTTCATTTTTATGAAACCTTCCCCTAAAATATGTATTTTTGTAAGCATTGGTTGGTTGACAAAATTCAGAAAAGTGCAAATTTCCAAGGATAGATGTGTTTCGCTCCACATATTGTTTCAGAAAGTAGAAATGACTTTAAATGTGTACCAAATCAAATTGATCCCCATCCCCTCTAGTCAGAGAGGTAGATCTGGGAACCAAGATCCTTCAGCTACGTTTGTGACTCACCATTGGGCTGCAGCTCTCGTTCCCAGAGATCCCTATGCAGTCTGGGGAACTATCATTTTTGGGAGCGATGCGATAGAGGGGCGCTCCAGAGGTGGCGAGATATCTGAAGGTGGGGAGTAGTCAAGGGAAGAAGATATACAAAGAAAAAGGAATAATGGGGGCTTCCCGAAGCCCCAGCAGCACCCTCACTTTTTGCCATCTTCAGTGCGGAAATGTTTAAGACCTTGGTGTTATGTACTGAAGTTCTCACCCTGGGCCAGCAGGGGGATACTTTAGATATTTAGATATCCTTCACTCAGGTCCACATATGCAAATAAGGAATTGAAAGTGACGTTCAGTGATTGGATAGTTACAGAAAGTTGTTACTGTTGCTTTGTAGTTGAGCTTTATATAAGCAGGTTGCCTGAACCATTCAGTTCAGTTCTGCTCTGGGCCTGTGAATAAACAAGAGCTGTTTGACAAATCGCTGTGTTGTCTGATGTGTTCACCCACAACTTAACACTTGTGGTACATAGAACACAGAAATTTCCCTACTGGGAACAAAAACCTGAAGAGATGGAAGCAGTGAAGAGCTGAACTTGAATACTCACGGACATTTCTAAAGCTTGCCAGGAATTTTGTGATTCAAAATTGGAAGCTGACGTTCTTACCTGAGGATAGGAGGGTTTCAGGATGTTGTTGCCTTGGTTTTACTAGGTGTTAGGATATAAAATCTCTGAAGCTGTCACCAGGAACTGCTATGTTCCGCCATTATACACTAGGTATCAAACGCCAAGTAGTACAGTGGTACCTCGGGTTACATACGCTTCAGGTTACAGACTCCGCTAACCCAGAAATTGTACCTCGGGTTAAGAACTTTGCTTCAGGATGAGAACAGAAATTGCAGCGGGAGGCCCCATTAGCTAAAGTGGTGCTTCAGGTTAAGAACAGTTTCAGGTTAAGAACAGACCTCTGGAACGAATTAAGTACTTAACTCCGAGGTACCACTGTATTACATATCTGCTATGACTTCCTGTCAAACACCAGCCAAGTATTGAAATACAAAGTTATTCTCTTCATTCATGTACTCATCCTATGGCTGTGTACACGCTATAGCTTTTAAGCACACTCAAAGCACGTTCTTTCCCTCAAAGGATTCTGGGCCCTGTAGTTTACCCCTCACAGAGTTACAGCTCCCAGCAGCCCTTAACAAACTACAGTGGCCAGAATCCTTTGAGGGGAGTAAACGTGCTTCGAATGTGATTCAAAAGGCATTGTGTGTAGGCAGCTTATTTCTAGCTTCCCTTCCTCCCAATAATGGCATAAGCCTGGTAGCAATTCAACAGGAACCGCAAGGGTAAAACCATTAAAAACAAAATGTCGCAGGGCACTGCTTCTATTTAGGGTTCAAGCCTCACCATTTCATTATCTTTGCCCCAATAGCCAGTCAACTTTCCATGGCTGTAGAACATACTCAGTCGCTGTCCCCACCAACCAACACCCCACTTCTTAGGGCACAGCCCCCAAAGATGTGCGTTTAGGAGTGCCATGCAAGATTGCGGGCCCCCCAAAAAAGTGCTTTTCCCAGGGTGAAATCGCATTGCAAAATCGGGCAAGATCACAGCCACCAAAATGGAAGTTGTTCTCTCACAATTAAAAACAAAACAAGATGTCCAGGTTTCCCCCGGGACACTTGCAAGATATGAAGTAACAAGTCTTCACTTAATAAAGGATACAGAGCAGTAACACCCCAGTAGGCCACACATATCACCAGCAAGACGAAGGTCACCAACGGGTAGAAAAGAGAACTCATCATGTACCCAATGGCTCTGCAGGAGAGAACAAGAGAGACCCCTGTAAACCCAAGCTTTTCAGCTTCAATCAAACTCGTCTGTAGTACAGTTCTCCAGAGACACTTCAAACCAGTTAGAACCCATAATATAGCCTTTGCACCATCTCTGCTTGTACGATTTTGCAATGTTTCCCCTCTACTGTTCCCCATTTTCTTTTTAGGAGCCCAAGCAAATGTGGGCCTTTAATTAGATAGTAGCATGCAGTAGAATTAGATAAAGCCTCTTTGGCAGACAGTTCAAGAAATGACCACATTAAATGGGCTTCAATGCATTTTAAGGTAAAGGTAAAGGGACCCCTGACCATTAGGTCCAGTCGTGACCAACTCTGGGGTTGCAGTGCTCATCTCGCTTTATTGGCCGAGGGAGCCGGCGTACAGCTTCCGGGTCATGTGGCCAGCAAGACTAAGCCGCTTCTGGCGAACCAGAGCAGCGCATGGAAATGCCGTTTACCTTCCCGCCGGAGTGGTACCTATTTATCTACTTGCACTTTGACATGCTTTCGAACTGCTAGGTTGGCAGGAGCAGGGACCGAGCAATGGGAGCTCACCCTGTCGTGGGGATTCAAGCCACCAACCTTCTGATCGGCAAGTCATAGGCTCTGTGGTTTAACCCACAATGCCACCCGCGTCCCTTCAATGCACTTTAGCACTATGCAATTATCTCCCGTGCACTTCAAAGATTTTTAATAAACCCCAGAGAGACCCTGGCTGTCGAGGAGCTTTTCGTGAATGACGTGCAAAGGGAAAAACAAGCAGAGCTAACATAAGCTTCCTTCAGGAAGACTACAACTCCCATCAACCCTAGCTAGTAGGACAAGGGATGATGGGAAATGAAGTCCCCAGACAGCTGGAGACTCAAGTTTGGGAAACCCTGCCCTAGGTTAAGTCTTTTTGGGGGGTGAAGGCAACACTCCTCATTTATTTTTCTGACACAAGATTCAGGGGATGGGAGGGAAGTCAATTTGGTTTTTTTTGTATTGTTGTTTTTTATTTTTGTTATTTTCGGAAAATTAATAAAATATTATTAAAAGAGAGAGAGAGAACTAAGCTGTTTGAAAACCAAGGTATGAATGTATAGAGAATTGGGCTGGGGCAGTCTGGGCAGGGGAAACTTCTCGAGGTTAAAGGGCAGTTCAGTGGAGGTAGTGAAGCACAGGGAGGAAAGAAGAGGAAACCCACTTTGTGGCTACAGTGAAATTAAGAGGAAGGACTGGACTCCAGCAAAACTATACCAGAAGAAAATAACAAATGCAGACAACTGCTGGAGACGTGGGAGTAAAAATGCAAACTTAGTACATATGATGATTAACTGCCCGATGATAAGATCACTTTGGTGCGAGGTGAGGATATTTATAGCATGAGTAATAAAAAGAAATTGTTGTTTAGGGGAATTGAATTTAATTCTAAATTTTATTCCGGAAACGTGGGAGATTTCAAGGGGTCAAACAAATTGGATGTACCATGCTATATTAGAAACAAAAAAACTTGTTTTGATGAATTGGAGGAGCCGCAAAAAGATTCCATTGAGCACATGGATTGATAATATGGACAATTAACTACATACGAACGAATTACATGTCGACACAAAATAAGAATGGATAAATATGAAGAAATCTGGAACGAATATTTAAGCGATAAGGCGGATAGTGGCAGGAAGCAGGGGGAGGAAAGAGGTGGGAAAATATTGTTAAAAAAGGTGTATTCATAGGTATGTCAGTGTATTCAAATCTGAATGGTTAAATTGTGTTATTACTGTTATTATAGTTTTTGTTGTATGTGTCTTTCGCGGTTGTTGTTTGTATAAAAAAAATGATTTTTTTTATAAAAAAAGAGGAAGGGGCTGGGTTAGTTGCTTGCTTTCCCTCTCTCAGTGGAGGCAGAAGTGGGGGGAGCAGCAACACCTATTTTCCCCGTGCCCAGAAAACTAGTTCCTCTCGTGCGCCTCTCTCTCCATATCCTCCGTCCAAAAAAAGAGGCACTATCAGAGCTCAAGGACACATTCCAGCCAGGCAAAAACTCTCAAGGAAGGTGTGAGGCAGGGCTGGCGAGAGGTGTGGCCGAGGGAGAGGGGCGTGTGGCTTGGGAAGAGGGTCCCAAGGGCCGGATAGAGGTCTGCATTTGGCCCCCGGGACTGAGGCTCCGCACGCACTGGCCTTACAGAGACTCCCTTACCTGCTGGCTTCCTTGATGAGAGCGATGGCGATCAGGATCTGCTTGCGCAGGAACAAGAGGGTGAGGAGCATGATGCCTTCCACCACACAGAGGATGATCACTGGAGGCGAGAGAAGGAGATTCGCACCTGGGCCACTCTCGTAACCAAGCTTTGGGAACTTTGGGTTTTTTAGACCATCTTCCAACACCCGTTTTCCTGCCCGCTCCCCTCCGCCCAGACTTACTGGCGGCCAGCCACGTCTCCTTGACGCTGCGGTAGGCGCCTACGTCGGTGGTGAAGCCAATGTTCTTGATGGTGGCTCCTTTCTGGTCGAGCTCACGGTACTCCATATAGCAGTGGTAGATCCCTGGAAAGCAAAAGAGGCAGAGATCGATAGAGTGTTAGTTTCTGTTCTTATCACTGAGCAGCTGCTTGGAGTCACAGGACTCTGTTTACATTCCAGAGACCTTTCAGTCTCATGGGAAAGGAGACGGGATGTGACGTTAGTGGTTTCCTGTTTCCTTTGTTCCTTTGTTCAGTTGCTCACTGCTTTCATAGAGAGAGGATGTCTTTTCTGACTGCGTAGCTTAGAAATAAACTCTTTACAATGTAGCCCAAACCTCTCGTCTCTTCCCTGTGCTGGGAACCCTGCTGGATAGAATGTGCTTGAGGCCTTATCAAAGGCTCAGGTCATTAAACACGTTGGAGGCGATTTCAAAGGCTCGGCTCGGAGGAAGATGAGGCCTTATCGGCTTGGCCGAGTGGAGTTCTGACATTTTTATCCCTTGGATCCCGAATGCCTTGCGAGTCGAACGTTTCGGCAAACCCAGAAATGAGTGTTCCGGTTTGCAAACATTCTTTGGAACCCGAACATCCAATGGGGCTTCCACAGCTTCTGATTGGCTGCAGGAGCTTCCAATCAGAAGCCACGCTTTGGTTTCCAAACGTATTGGAAACCGAACGGACTTCCGGAACGGATTCCGTTCAACTTCCGAGGTACGACTGTATATGGGAGAAATGAGGTTTTTGTCGTTACTCAAACCGAGGGCTTTAATTCGGCCTGGGGATTTGGACTTCCCACCTTCCAGGAAAAAGATTTCTCTCAGGTAAAAGGTCTCGGCTTCTGGACGCTCCCCAACTCATCCCTTGCCCTCCCTTTGTGTGGAGGAGATCGGAAACAGACAAATTCATGTGGGATAAAGAAAGAGCCACACAACACACATGACAGGAAAGCTGGCAACATCAACCCTGCCATGTGTGAATAATAATTATAATAACAATAATTTTATTATTTATACCCCGCCCATCTGGCTAGGTTGCCCCAGCCACTCTGAATGGCTGCCAACACATATAAAAACATAATAAAACATATCATTATGTTATAATGTAATAAATAAAATAAAATAAAATATAATAATAATAATAATAATAATAATAATAATAATAAAAATTAAATTAAATCCCATGCAGATGACTGCAGGGCCTGGTGATAGAGAGCCAGGTGGCCAGAGGAGGAATGACCCCCAGGAGGAGAGCAGAGAGAAGAAACACCCTGGTGCATCTGCAACAGCACAATCGTACGCCTTCATCTGCCCCAGCTACAATAAAACATGTCTCTCCCATATCGGTCTCTACAGCCACAGCAGTCTCTGCAATCTTCCAACAGTTTGACTTCACTTCCAAAGGCGCACTCCTCCATGGTCTCCCGAGACAGACGGATGTCAACAACACCACGCACTGTAAGCACATTCAGTGCACGTTTAAATTGTGTGGCGTCCCCCAAAGAATCCTGGGAGCTGTAGTTTGTTAAGGACGCTTGGGAACTATTGCTCTGTGAGGGGAAAACTGCACCTCCCAGGATTCCTTGCGGAAAGTCAGGGAGATGTAGGCCTGTGGCCTTCTTCGCTTTGGCTCCTCCACTTCGGCCCTTCCCCACAACGTTACTCACCGTAGGCTGCGGCGACCAGCACCCCTACAATGATGATCCACACCAGAACCCCAGCGATGCAACGTAGCAGCAGCAAGAATACCAGGCTGAGCACCAAGGCAATCAGCAGCCCTCTGGAGGGAAGGAAGACAAGGTAAGAGAGAGTCAGAGCACAGAGGTGATCTCCCCGCGTCTGCTGAAAAATGCACTCACCCAGCCAACCCCAAATCTTCTTTCTTTTTTTTTTGAAAAGTTTTTATTGTTAAAGTAATTCAGCATTAATACACACATATTGCGAATATACAAGCATACAAACATACATTTCATACAATCCTTAAATATATACAAACATACCTACATTCAGTCCCACAGATAATTCCTTTTCCCATCACCATCCACCACCCCTCACCCCACCTTTGTGTTAGACTTCCAATCTACTCAATTGCAATTTCTTTCCACTTCTATTACTTTCTTTCACACACTTTAAACCTAATTTCGTGCTTCTTTTTCTATTACACATTGTTATCCATCTTATTTAGTATTTCAGTATTTAAAACAGAACTTGTTTATTCTAATAGGAGTTCTGGTTTTTCAATATGGTTTTGCAAGTATCCTTTAAACACAATTGGAAGGATCTCAAAAGAGAAGATAGACAGGGATTGGAAGGTGTTTAAAGCCAACCCCAAATCTAACCACCAACTTCCAGTGGCAGCTGGGTAGCGGTCAGCCAGCCACACACCCTCCTCCGAATACTCCATCCCGGCCTGCCTCCCGCTCAGTTTCCAGCATTCCACGCCGTGCCATTCCACATGGCCAGCATCACTGTGCACAGTCAATCATCGCCGGGTTTTTTAAGGGGAGGCGGGCTTTCCCTGAAGGCCTTTTGTATTCCTGCCAACCTTTGGGTTCCCCTAAGCTTGCTAATAGTTTTGCCTGCGTAAGTCATGGCGCTTGCAGCCTGGGCATTGGCAACAGAGGGGAACGACATGTCTTGCCACTTGCACCAGACACTGCCCCGTATTACCAGAGACAGGACATCAAAAAGTTTTCCTGCTCCCGAATTGGAAACAAGAAGAACTGCCGACGAAAGATGAGCGGCAGACGAAATTAATGGACCATGCAGAATTAGACAAAATGACAGGAAGGATTCGAAACCTGCGGCATCAGAGATTCTCAGAGGACTGGAGTAAATATGTGAACTATTTGAAAAGCAATTGCAATCAACAGATTACGCTAGTAGGACTACAAGAAGTTTTGTAAGGTGGACTGTGTGAAATATTGCAGAGAGAAGCATGAAGAGAATTATTTGTGAAAAGGACTATTAAAAGTAATAGTGAAATGAATGAAATGTAGATTAAGTGATAAAGACTGAAAAATCTTCAGACGTGGTTGATGGAAGTCCAAAGCATTGTATAAGATAAGAAAATATGTTGTATGTTTTTTGGAAACTTTACGTAAAAATTAATAAAAATATATTTAAAAAACAAAAACAAAATGTTTTCCTCTGCTCCAGCAAGAATGAAAATTAGCATCAGGTACAAGATCCATCCCCCTACCCCCTAAAAAAAATAGAGTACTGAAAGTGTTGAAGACTTTAAAAAAACCCAAACGCAATTCTGCAGGTTTTCCTTGAGAGATGAACTGATTCAATGGAGCGGTATTAGTCAACAGTATTTCAATGGAACTGCATTTTATGTGTTCTGTTGCAATCTGTTTGTTTGTTTCATTAAAACATTTTTATACTGCTGTTCGTAGAAGATACCAGAGCAGTTTACAACAATTATGGGTAAAACCACACAATAAAAGCCATGCAAAAATGTTAACATCAGAAATCGGCTAATTATTGTGGACGTGTGTCTTCTTAATTGCCTGCAAAAGCCTGATGGAATAGAAACGGTTCCAGCAGGTGTTTAAAAGCTGAAACAGAAGGCTCCTTCTGTTCCAGCGGTTTTCCTCTTGTATTCGGTTATGTTAAATGTTTAGTGATCTATAAAACTTTCAAATAAGTAAAGTGACACCACCAATCCCTGGAGGGAAGGCAGAACCAGATACATTTCCCATGACGGAAATATGTGAATGCACTCAAGCCTTGGCCCCCAGAATAAAATATTTGAGGGGGCTGTCCCCCCCCCAAAGTTTTTTTTAAAAAATAATTTTTATTGAATTATTTTATGTTACAAAAAACAATACAGCCATACCACCACTAAATATAATTAAGGAATAAAAATTACATACATCAATATTTAGTTTGTTATTTGTTATTTACCGTCTTATTTCCTCCCAAACATTGCATACAAAAACACACACATGTGCAGACACCCACACACCCACACACAAAATGATACTAATGAAAGTAAATATTTTTTCCCTTTTATCTTCCAAAATCTTTTCTTCAACTTTGACTTCCTGTCAAGTCCCTTTGCATATCTTTTATCTTACATTTGAATGTACACAAAACACAATTCCCGTGGGGTGTGTGCACTGCGTCCTGTGATCAATTACATGGGGCGGATCTTATCTGGGCGCCCACAATATTTTATTCAAGTTGGTACCCCTGTTCAACTGAGATTTCAACACTGCCTGAAGCTTTACGGTGCATCTATAAGGCCTAGAAACTTGGTTAGTTTTTAAACGAAATTCCAGAACACTAGAATGCTGGTTTCTGAGCCAAAAGCCACATTGCACACTTGCACAGCGAAGTAAAAAGTATACAACATTTGGCTCCGACTATAACCATAAACCATTGTTCTTCAACGTTGGGTTGCCCAGCCATTGTAGGACTACAGCTCCCAGCATCCCTGACCCTCAGCTAAGCTGGCTGGGGATGATGGGAATTGGAGTCCAATAACACCTGGGGACTCCCAGTTGAAGATCGTTGCCATAAAATGGAAGAGTAATGAAATCCCCCCTATACAAGACTGGATCCAAAAGCTGACAGAATATGCCGAATTAGACGGTCTATCGGAAAAAATAAAGAACAAATCAAAACAGGAATTTGTTTCAAAATGGGAGGTTTTCAAAGAATATTTGAAAAATAAATATAGCAGTTTGAATTCTGTTGCAGCATTTGAGGAACTTCAGTAATAGTTGCAAGGTAGATATAAGAAATTAGATATATTAAGAAAAAGTTTAATTATGATAAAAGTGTGTATTGGCAATAAGTAATATGAAATCGAAATATGGAATACAGTGGTACCTCGGGTTACATACGCTTCAGGTTACATACGCTTCAGGTTACAGACTCCGCTAACCCAGAAATATTGCTTCAGGTTAAGAACTTTGCTTCAGGATAAGAACAGAAATCGTGTTCCGGCAGCGCGGCGGCAGCAGGAGGCTCCATTACCTAAAGTGGTGCTTCAGGTTAAGAACAGTTTCAGGTTAAGAACGGACCTCCGGAACGAATTAAGTACTTAACCCGAGGTACCACTGTAGACGGGAGGTTGGGTCTTTAGTGTTAAGACCAATATATGTTTTATTGTTTGTTAAGAAAATTATGTGTCTATGGTTATTCCTGTGTGTAATTTGGTATTTGTGTTTTTTCTTGCCGTATCAATAAAAATTATTTAAAAAAAGAAGATCGTTGCCATATACACCTTCAGCCTCCAGAGCCACCCTCAGGCTGTATGCAGTAATGCACAAATCATGGCTGGCCTCTCCTCCACAAAGCTACTCCCTCTCAACTTGTTCAGCCACTCACATCAAGATCCAGTACCACGAGCGCGTGAAATCCTCAAAGATCTTCAGTCCAAGGTTCTTAGCACCCAGAGCCTGCAACAGCTGTCTGAAGACAAGAGACCAAAAAGGTAGCTATGAGAAAGAGGGGGACCTAGGAGGACTAATGCCAAAACTAGAAAAGGATCCAGAAAACAAACTTTGAGGGCAAAGGCGGTCTTGGCACTAAGGGGGTGAAAGGGGGACTGTCTAGGGCAGGCATGGCCAAACTTGGCCCTCCAGCTGTTTTGGGACTACAATTCCCATCATCCCTGACCACTGGTCCTGTTAAGCTAGGGATGATGGGAATTGTAGTTCCCAAACAGCTGGATGGCCAAGTTTGGCCATGCCTGGTCTAGGGCATTTGTAAATTAGGAAGCAGCCTTATGCCAGTGCTATATCTTTCCGAGCACACTTCAAAGTGTTGTTGCTGACTTTTAAAGCCCTAAACGGCCTTGGTCCAGTATACCTGAAGGAGGGTCTCCACCACCAACATTCAGCCTGGACACTGAGGTCCAGCTCTGAGGGCCTTCTGGCGGTGCCCTCACTGCGAGAAGTGAGGTTACAGGGAACCAGGCAAAGGGCCTTCTTGGTGGTGGCGCCCACCCTGTGGAACTCCCTCCCACCAGATGTCAAAGAAATAAACAACAATCTGACTTTAGATTGCAGCCCTGTTTAGGGAAGTTTTTAATGTTTGATCTTTTACCGTGTTTTCAGGAGCTCAGCCTACACTCAAGCAGGGCCCTGGTAGAGACACATGCCTGACTGGCATGTTCTCTCCCTCCTGGTCAATCGTTTGGGAGCTTCAAAAGCTTTCTTCTGCCCAAACATCACAGCGACCCATGCCAACCAGCACCGGCACACTTAGGGATCCGCAGAGTTTGAGCACCTTGCGTGACAGACCTCAGCAACTCAGCATTTTGGCTAATCTACTTTATTTACATATAAACACACACGGAGCACTGCAACATGGCTCCCTCTCTCTCTAGCATCAGAAAGCTAAGAGAAAAGAACAAAGGACAATAGTCCCACTTCACGGAACACAGTAACACAAACATCCTGTCTCCGTCACTTCCCACTCTGTGGAGTCAAAACACACACCGTCATGTGATAGACAAAAATCCCATGACTGCAATCACAGAGCAGGAATTCTAACAGAGGCCACCATCTTGGATGGCTTCCAAAGAGGATTGGACAAATTCGTGGAAGATTTAGCTAGCCATGGCTACTAGGCATGATGGCTAGGCTCTGTGTTCATCCAACCCACTGCTGTCAGCTCTGACTGGCAGAGGCTTCCCTGGGTCACAGGCCGAGAGAGGTATTCCACATTCTCCCGCTGCCTCATCCTATTTTTAACTGGAAATGCCAGTGATTGAAGGATGTTCTGTGGCATGTGCCACAGAGCCCCTTCAAAATCACTGCACCCAATTTATTTATTTTTTAAATAATTTTTATTAATAATTTCAATATAACAAATTATCATAACATATCATCTTCATCATTCCCCCCCCAATTTTTCCCCTCCCCCTTCCCCAAAAAGAACCCCCCTCCCTCCCCCAAGACTTTGCTCAGTTCCTCTCTCTGATTTTTCAGCCTATATTGTTCTCTGCATATTGTAAAATTGTAAAGATCCTTAAATTGTCTATCTATTATATTAACAGTCAATAAATTTGTGTATGTTTATTCAAAACCTGCCAAGGAGTCCAGTTCATTTTGTTGTTTTTTTAAGCAGTTTGTAAAAAGTTCCCATTCTTCTTTAAAGTCACAGTTGTCCTTGTCTCGCAGTCTGTATGTCAATTTTGCCAGTTCTGCATAATCCATCAATTTCTCTTGCCATTGTTCTTTCGTTGGGGTTTCCTCATTCTTCCATCCTTGTGCTATTAAGACTCTTGCCACCGTTGTCGCATACATAAATATTTTTTTTTTCCTTGGCAGGTCTTTTCCTACAATCCCTAACAAAAATCCCGATACCCAACTTAACCAGGAATTCACTGAAGTTCGCCCAGGGAGTCAAAGGACTTACTCTGTGCCATTCTTGATAGTGTCCAGAGTTTTATTTTTATCCATCCCGCCCACATTGAAGGATTCAGCCTGAGAGATGTTAAAAGTAGGGAAGCAACGGCTCAGAACTGTAAAAAGAAATAGACGTAGATTAGGGTCAATTCTTGAAGACGTGGGACATCGGCAGAGCAGGCCTAGCGCTGCTCTCCTCACACCGGCAAGACCCCAGGCCTTGGGGCCAATTACACACCATATTGGAGGGTGCTGTTCATTTTGATGCCATGCCTAAAACTCTGCCCCATTCTGAGCACTGGACGAGGGCAACACTGGCCTCTGCCCCTCTTTCCTTCCTTCCCTCCTCTGATGCCCTCTCATGTTTCTGCCTCCCAAAGGCTTGCACAGCTATTTATTGCAGCAGCCCTGGCTACAAGCTCCCCAGGGGAATGGTGCCTCTGGGGCTGGCCAGGGGGCGCTGGTTGCCAGGAGCTAAAGTGGCCTTGCAGTAAGCAAGCAGGGGAATGGACAGAGCAGTGGGAGGCCGGGCAGGCAGGCAGGCAGGCAGGCAGGCAGGTGCTGCGCTTGCCTTTCTTATTGAAATAAAAAAATTAAGGTCTTATATATATATAATAAATGTACCAAGCAAACACATACATATATATATAAACCACATGTCCGAAGCAGCACAGGAAAGCAGTCCTGGTACCATTTTGGCTCCCAGACTGACCAAATGTTTTCTCTGCGAGGTCAAAGGGAAATGGAAAAGGCTCCCCATTGTCTTTTCATTCACAAAACCTGTCAAGTGTATTATCTGTGTATGCATAGGGTGAGCCTGTGACCTGGCTCAGGAACTAAGTATTTATCATTACAAAAGACTGGCCAGGCTCCCCAGGGTATCCAATCAAGTAAGCATTAACAGGTAACTTGCCAGACAGGAGGTAAACAAAGCACTCAGATTTCTGCTGTAGATCGCCCTTTCTGTGATGTAGGTATGATGTATCGGGGGGGCGGCTTGAGCTACACCCCTTCTGTGATGTAGGTATCATGTTTCTGGGGGTGGTCTTGGACTCCAAAGCAGGCAATTTAAAATGTCTACATAAGGGCGGGCACACCTGGGTTCTGGGTCCTCCTCCCCTGTGTGTGAAGGTGGCACCCTGTTGCAACAGTTCAATAAAGATCAGGCTTACTAGCTGCTTTGCTTATCAATATTCTCTGGTTGGCCTCTGTTATTTTCTCTGACTGATGGAGAACCTACAAAGGACTCTATAATGGTTCTTGTGTCCCCCATAAGGGAATAAGGGCAGATTTTCGTTTATTACATTGTGCTTGCTTTGTGCAAGGCCTGCCTGGGAGCTGAGTGCCGGTGCTGAAGGGGAGGCCTTTCCACCATGCAGGAGTGGCAGTGCCAATTACTGCCTCCCAAGGTAAAGCGCTGGCTTCATGTTCACCTTTGGCTAGTCTCTGTTGGGCCACTAAAACTGGGGGCATCCTCTTCCCAGGCCCCTGTGGGGCAGTGTGAGGAGGCACCTCTCTTTAGAGCAGGGGGGCAGATCAGAGACCAGGGGAGGTTGAAAAATCAGTACAGAACACAAATTATGTGCCAAATCCAAATGTTATAAAATATAATCATGAACAGGGGTCAAGGCATTGTTTAACGCATGGGTAGGCAAACTAAGGCCCGGGGGCCGGATCCAGCCCAATCGCCTTCTCAATCGCACTGAGTTATTACCTCACACTCTATTTCGTCTTTTTTTTAAAAAAAAAATCCTCATAGCAACCCTGCAAGGTAGGAAAGTTAGCTTGAGAGGGAGTGACAGGTCCAACGTCCCTTAAGTGAACCTGGACCTTAGTCAGTCCACTTCTAACCGTGAGACCACACCACACTGGCTCTCTGGTACAAATTCTTGGCTGAATAAATTATAAAACCACAGTAGCAAATTGAAGCACACATGAAATTCACATACACAGACCATGCATACATATTTCAAACATGCACTGCAATATTTTCATTAAATCAAGAAGTCCTCGCTCCCAAAACTCCTCCTCGGAACATTAACAGCTGCTTTATACAGAGTTAGACCACTGGTCCATTTGGCCCCAGGGTACAGAGATGGTCGAAGCCCCACTGAAAGTTGTACAGTAGGGAATTTTTTTGCTAGGCATTGCTTTTCCTTTTGGCAGTGCTGAAGCAACGAAAGACCCAGCAGAATTCTCTCCTGTGCCGCTCATCAAGGTAGATGAAACGTCAGTCAAAGGACTGGGGGCTTGTGAGCAGACTGAACCCAGATTGTGTGCTCACCTGGCTCGGACGGGACAGTGAATTCTGGACAAAGTTGCAGGTTGAGAATTTCTGACACACTCTGTGAATTAAACAGGAAGTTAAAACTTGCTTTCTGGTGCAGTTTCATTCATTCAAGATATCCCCACCACCACCATCTAAAAATCTTTCAGCCAACGTGGCTCTTCTCAGCAATTTAGTGCAAATTTCTCCAAATTAACCCATTTATTCTATGCAACGTTGACACTTTGGGCAAGCAACTTCCCTTACTATGATGTGATCTTGCGTGGTATTCTCACCAATACCTTCATTTTTATACACCCTTTATCCCTCATTTTTGTAAATGTTGTTTGGCTGGAGGACTGCTTCGCAAAATTCAAGCGGGTGCAATTTTCGAAGGCTATAGCCGTGTTCAGTTCGTGTATTGTTTTGGAAAGTGAGAATGCGACAGATCCGGCTTTAAATTTGTGCTGAATCAAATATCTCCTCCATCCCTATCCAGAAGGAGAGCAGGAAACCAAGACAAACACTCCCAACAAGAGACAGTGGTGGCCGCTAATTTGGATGGCTTTAAAAGGGGACTATAAAGCTCTCCAGGGATGCGGGTGGTGCTGTGGGTTAAACCACAGAGCCTAGGACTTGCCGATCAGAAGGTCGGTGGTTTGAATCCCCGCGATGGGGTGAGCTCCCGTTGCTCGGTCCCTGCTCCTGCCAACCTAGCAGTTTGAAAGCATGTCAACGTGCAAATAGATAAATAGGTACCGCTCTGGCGGGAAGGTAAACGGCGTTTCCGTGCACTGCTCTGGTTTGCCAGAAGTGGCTTAGTCATGCTGGCCACATGACCCGGAAGCTGTACGCCGGCTCCCTCGGCCAGTAAAGCGAGATGAGCGCCGCAAGCCCAGAGTCGGCCACGACTGGACCTAATGGTCACAGGTCCCTTTACCTTTACCTAAGGCTCTCCATGGCTATTAGCCACAACGTCTATTTTCCACCTCTGGTGTGAGAGGCTATATACCTCTGAATATGCTTGTGAAACATGGACCACTTACAAACGCCATTTCCAACTCCCCGAAAGATTCCATCAAAGGTGTCTCCGAAAAAATTTACACATCACCTGGGAAGTCAGGCGAACTAATGCCAGTGTATTGGAAGAAGCAAATATCACCAGTGTCAAAGCGATGATTCTTCAACATCAACTTCGTTGGACTGGTCATATTGTGCGGACGCCTGATTACCATCTTTCAAAGCAACTACTCTATTCCAAACTTAAGAATGGAAAGCGAAATATCGGTGGAAAACAAAATCTAAAAAAATGTAGTATAAGCACTGATAACTGGGAAACACCGGCCTGCGAGTGCTCTAATTGGAGAATAGCCTCGACGAAAGCTGTCATGAACTTCGAAGAATTCAGGGAGAAAGGGAGAAATGAGCTTTGAAGAAGGAATGTTTGGCAAACCCTCACCACGATCAGCTCCCACTTGGAAACCTATGTCCCCACTGTGGAAGGATGTGTGGATCCAGAATTGGCCTCCACAATCACTTATAGACATACCATTATGTCAGGCGAACTAATGCCAGTGTATTGGAAGAAGCAAAGATCACCAGTGTCGAAGCGATGATTCTTCAACATCCACTTCGTTGGACTGGTCATATTGTGCGGATGCCTAATTATTGTCTTCCAGAGTAACTACTCTATTCCAAACTTAAAAATGGAAACAGCGTAATGCTGGTGGTCAACAAAAGAGGTTTAAAGACTCTCTCAAGGCAAATCTTTAAAAATGTAGTATCAACACTGACAACTGGGAAACACTGGCCTGCAAGCGCTCCAGTTCGAGAACAGCCTTTACCAAAGGTGTCATGGGCTTTGAAGACACTCAAACTCAGGACGCAAGGGAGAAATGCGCTAAGAGGAAGGCACGCTTGGCAAATCCACACCATGATCAACTCCCGCCCGGAAACCAATGTCCCCACTGTGGAAGGACGTGTGGATCCAGAATTGGCCTCCACAGTTACTTACGGACTCATTGTTAAAACTGTGTTTATGGAAGACAATCTTACTCGTCTACGAGTGATCGCCAAAGAAGAAGAAGACCTCTGAATATACTTTTGCTGGGAATTGCAAGGAGGAGAGGAGAGGACTGTTGTGTTCAGGTTCTGCTTGTAGGCATCAAGGCATCTGACTGGCTCCTGCGAGAACAGGCCTGATGTAGCCAAGATGTCTTCTCATGGCCTGTACGCTTGCGGAGTGGAGAAATGGGTGGGGGTGAAGAACCAACCTGCCGTAACGAAAGGTGCCAACTTACCAGGCTGGTCGTCGTGAGGTTAATCGTTGGCTGGCACAGGGTCTGGTTCCATATGTCCTCGGGTTTATCCTTTTGGATAATCTGCGGAGGCACCGCCCAGAACTTGGAAGGGCAGGACGGGACGCAGATCTGGAGAGAGGGAAAGGAAGGCAAGCGCACGGAACAAACGCTGGAGGGGTTTGCAAAGATTATCGATTGCTTTGATCTGACAGAATTTCCAACTGTCGCGTCTGGAGTCTGGGAGAAGTCAAGGCCCCCAACTTCTCACTTTCTTGGTTTTGCCTTCTCTGGCAGTTAGGGTTGCCAACTTTTTACAATGGCCCTACTCCTGTGCCATAATCATCTTTCTTATTTATTTATTTATTTATTTACTTACTTACTTACTTACTTACTTACTTACTTATTAATGTTGCAATACATATATGAAATCTTTACATAATGATACATATACATTATATTCGTAAATTCACATTTTCACATTTCATTATGTACTCACATTTATCCATTTCTTATTTCTTGCCCTGTGTCTTCCCTCCACCTGTGTGTGACTTCCTTGTTATTATTTTATAATTTTATTATTGCTTTTTCCTCAGGTCTTTATTGTCGTTCTGAATCCTTTTGGACACTTCTTCTTGTTTATTTGTCTTGATTTTTTAATTCCTGAACTGTTTTGTCTAGCTCCTTACTTTTTATTGTCAGGTCTTTTACCTGACCTTGAAGATCTATTATTATTATTTTAAAATTTTGTTCAATCTTATTGTTCATTGAATCCAGTTTATCATTTATATTTTTGTCCATGTTAACTATCAAATCTTTCAGATCTGCATTGGGATCAATTTCTGCTGTTGAGTGACTCCTACCTTGGGACCTGGCAGTAACAGTTATTTTAGATTGTATTTTCTTCTCAGCCATCTTGACCTTCCATTTCTTTTTCTTTTGTATGCAGGTTAATATGCTTTGGCCCAGGTTTGGTTGGTGATGTCTTTAAATAAGACCAGAGCCTCCAAGTTGGGATCCGTCAGATTATGAATCCTAAGTTCTTATTGCTCTTATTTCATTCCTTTCCTCCCCCACTTTCGTTATGGATATTCAACAAGATTTATTATTCCCACTACAGTCATACCTCATGTTACGTTTGCTTCATGTTACGTTTTTTCAGGTTGCGTCCTGTGGCGACCCGGAAGTACTGGAAAGGGTTACTTCTGGGTTTTGCCACTCAGGCATGTGCAGACGCGCAAAATGACGTCACACGCATGTGCAGAAGCAGACGCGCCGCTACGGGTTGCATTCTTTTCAGGTTGCGAACGGGCCTCTGGAACGGATCCCATTCGCAACCAGAGGTACCACTGTATTTAACCATACAAGACCAGTCTTGAAAGGCCTACACTGGCTCCCAGTACATTTCTGAGCACAATTCAAAGTGTTGGTGCTGACCTTCAAAGCCCTAAACTGCCTCAGTCCAGTATACCTGAAGAAGCGTCTCCACCTCCATCGTTCTGCCCGGACACTGAGGTCCAGTGCCGAGGGCCTTCTGGCAGTTCCCTCGCTGCGAGAAGCCAAGTTACAGGGAACCAGGCAGAGGGCCTTCTCGGTAGTGGCACCCACCCTGTGGAACGCCCTCCCACCAGATGTCCAAGAGAACAACAACTACCAAACTTTTAGAAGACATCTGAAGGCAGCCCTGTTTAGGGAAGCTTTTAATGTTTAATAGGTTATTGTATTTTAGTGTTTTGTTGGAAGCAGCCCAGAGTGGCTGGGGAAACCCAGCCAGATGGGCGGGGTATAAATAATAAAATTTATAAATATTATTATTAATAGTAATAACAACAGAAGAGATAGAAGAGTTGGCTTCAAATATAAAGGATGAGCACATCAACACATTTTTCGTGCCATAATCTTCATCAGCATAGAACACAAGGGAAGGGTTGTGGCTCAGTGGGAGAGAGTGCATTCCATGTGCAGTAGCCCCGGGTTCAATCCCTCGGTGGTGCCTGGAAAGAAGGCTGATGTAATGCAATTTGAAAATCGGCAGTGGGCAGATAAAGTTGAAGGGAACAGAAACAAAATGGACATGAGGAAGTGCTTCCTGCTACAGCCAGCTCCATCTCAGGAACCCCTCCTGAGCCCGCCCACTCTTCTTACCTGCGGTGTAGGGCACTGCAATCCACTCATGGCAGCTGATATGACGTTGAAGCTTGTGACACATTTCATAATGTTTAGGTAAAAAAGGAAAGGTTTGCCCCTGCAAAACACAGAGAGAGAGAGTGAAACAAACCCAGATTAAATAATTAAGAGGGTAGGGAGGAGAGGGGAGGCCGTATCTTTCTTTCTTATTTATTTATTTATTTATTTATTTATTTATTATTTAAATTTTATTAACATATAAAACACATACATATACATTTACACAATACACATACACAACACACCACCTTATTTTCATAACATAAAACATACCTATTTTACTCTATATAATACCTGCCTATACTGTACATATCAACATACCTACCCCACACAGACACCCACCATGTGACTTGACTTCCAGCCATTCTTGTTACACTACTTTATTTTTTCCGACTAGCTTAAACACATTTCATTATTTCTTTAATCTCTTGACTTTGCTCTCCTTTCACTCTAATCATTTTCTGGACTCACTCAATATCTGTCAGAAATTCTACTTTTCCCCCATAAATTTTGATGTATTCCTTAAAGATAGCCCACTTCTTATTCACTTTTTGTACCATATCTCCTCTTATCCTCCCTGTTAGTTCAGCAATATGGAAGTATTCCATATGGGGAGGCCGTATCTTAGGCAGGGGCAGAGTCAACAATTCAGGGGCCAAGGGCTGAGAGAAGCTTTCTTCCCAGGGCAAATGGCAGAGAGGGGCAACGTCCACTGGGCCTGGGGCATGGACAAAAATGGGGTTAAATGCACCCTAGAGTGGTTTAACAATCACAGAACTGTAGAGTTGGAAAGGGAACACGAGGGTCATCTAGCCCAACCCCCTGCAATGCAGGAATCTTTTGGCCAACGTGTGTCTCGAACCCACAACCTTGAGATGAAGAGTCTCGTGCTCTACCAACTGAGATATCCAAGTGCCAATAGTTCTTCCCAGGGAGCTCTAAGAACTGCAACTCCGTGAGGGGAACAACTCTCAGCACCTTTGACAGACTACAGTTTACAGGATTCTCTAAGGCAGCCTTTCTCAGCCTGTGGGTCCCCGGATGTTGTTGAACTACAACTCCCATCACCCCTAGCTAGCAAGGCCAGAGCTCAGGGATGATGGGAGTTGTAGTCCAACAACATCTGGGGACCCACAGGTTGAGAGCCGCTGCTCTAGGGGGAGCCATGATTGTTTAAACTGGTATCATGGTGCTTTTAACATATTGTGCAGATGCAGCCAATACTGAAAGTTGGATCATGTACAACCGCCCTGATACCATCAACGTGCACAAATCATCGCAAGTTAGGGATGGAAGGAAATATCTGTTTTGACTCTTGAATTTTCCCATTCTTTCTCAAATTCCATTCACCACACTTCTGCAGCGATGTGCAAATTTCTTTCTTTCTTTTTTTAAAAAAGTGTGAATTTTAGTGTGAATTTCTCCTAACAAATGCATTTTTGAGATGCGGTTCTGACTAGCAAGAGATTTCCCCTAATATAATGCATTTCTGTATGGTATTTAAGTGACACATCATTACGTATTGGTTGCATGGCAAAGTTTGGATAAGGGAGAATTCTGAAGGACAGCTGTGCTTCCGGGTTCTCATACTGTTTTGGAAAGTAAACGTTTCATAGATTCACCTTCAAATTTCTCCTCCGAACCCCCCCCCATCGCAAATGCACAGTAAAAAGGATTACGGGGGGGAGGTGTTGGGAAACTGTGTATGTGCAGCTACTCACACAGAGTCAATTAAGATTTGGCAGACAGCCAGAAAGCAATCTGAAGGAGTAAGTCTGCCTGGTGATAACAGAGTCATGGAGACTGCTCCCTGATTGGTCAAGCTCTCTCAAGGGAGTGATAATTAATGGCCTACTAACTGGAATGTGTAGAGTTCTGTGTGTCAGTGTAGGAGTTGTGAGTCGTATCCGAGAGAGCTAGCATAAGATCCGTGTTCTGTTCCTGTAAATAGTCCACTGAATATAATAAACACCTAACTACAAGTTCCTGGTTCCTGCTTCGTCTATCCTGTCTGCAGCCAAGTCACCAAATGCTTCCGTGGATTCTGCGTTTACTCTGCTAGGTCTGGCTAAGGTCCTGCAACTAGTCAGAAAGTTGCAAAACACCAAATAGGTTTTACCAATAGGAGGTGGGTGCAAGGTAGGTAAAGAAAGAGACTGGGGAAAGGACACAGCAAATGCGTAAAATGAAGAAGAAAAAGGTGAAGCAGCGGCTTCGTTGGAAGACTTGACTGTCGACAAAAGGGGAAACACAAATATTAGAAGGAAGCAAAAACTAAAAACAAGAAGTTAAGTCGATGAGGAAAAGGAGGAGCAAGAAAATGGCTCTGCCAGGCTGAGGTACGTTTCTGGCCATGGATTCCAGTCTTGTGCACTTACTAAACACGCTCCCTGTGACAATGCACCCTTTGCCATTGGTTCCCCCTTCTTTCCCGTGGGTCTCTGTACCTACCGGTTTTCGCCAATTCCACAATATGCTCCAGTTGAATTCCTGGGATAAATAGCCTGCCGGGGATCACCGTACAGCCAGGCTAGGATTGAGAGGAAACAAAGGATAATGGGAGTGAGGAAAGGCGCTCGCATTTTTACAGAGGCACTGTGAGGTGGTGTTGGTTAGGGGTGGACTCAAAGGTGGGACAATGACCAGTGCTATTTTTATAGAAAAAGAGGTGTTGGAACTCACCATGAACACCTCCCTTGTTCTCTTATAATGGCAACTGAGAGGTGCCGGAACTTAGTTCCGGTGATTTCCAGCTGGAAAAAAAGCCTTGGGACATCCTATTCCATACCCTCCAACATTTTTCCGATGAAAATAGGGACATTCTAAGGAAAAGTGGGACATTCAGAAACCAGGACAGCTTCTGTAAATCCAGGACTGTCCCTGGAAAATACGGGCACTTGGAGGGTCTGTGTCAAGGATCAATACAGTATATTCTTTCAGGTCTCAGGGCATTAGTAAAATACACAGCAAGTTTCTATCTCATAACACTGCAGTTTTTTGTTTTTATGCTGAAGACTCTTACGATTACGGTGTCTGTAAATGGTAAAACGCGTCTTAGCACAAAGGGCAGCACTTTGCAACTTATTTACTTCCGCTGGCACTGAACAGAGATTGTGCCCAAAATCAAGCCTGCAAACGAAAACAACCTGAGTGTTTGATTAATTTCTGCAGACGGTTTATGACTCTTAGGTTATGTATGTGAGGCAATCGTAAGAATAATTCACAAAGGAAACAGTTGAAAAGAAATAAATTAAAAAGCTGATATCAGGGTGAAGGAAGTCAAAACTTTATATTTATGTGGTGTAAATGTTTAAGTTTCGTTGGCTGTAACTTTTATAGTCATTATCTAATTTTTAATTTCTTTTTATTGCTGTATATTGTTTTTGTTTTGTTTTTCTGTTTTGTTGTTGTTGATCTGATGTATCAATAAAATCTATTTAAATTTTAAAAAAAAATAGAAGGAAGAAAGAAAACAACTTGATTGAATTTGGTTCTCATGTCATGTACTGAAGCTGGCAGAGCTTCCAGACAAACTGCGTCTGCCTGGCAAAACAATAGCTCCCAACTTGATCCCACCTTCCTTGCCCTCATCTCCAAGCCCTGTTACTTTTAGCACTACTTACCCAGAATCCCCACCACGATGTAGCCAGCGATGAAAACCGTGAAGATAAAACAGCAGATAATGTCAGTACAGCTCCTGGAACAGAAGGACGGCAGGAAGACAGATCATGGACACGTGTGAATAAATAGCAGAAATGGGGATGGAGGAGTCTGCTCGGAAGAAGAAGAAGAAGAGTTTGGATTTGATATCCCGCCTTTCACTCCCTTTAAGGAGTCTCAAAGCGGCTAACATTCTCCTTTCCCTTCCTCTCCCACAACAAACACTCTGTGAGGTGAGTGGGGCAGAGAGACTCCAGAGAAGTGTGACTGGCCCAAGGTCACCCAGCAGCTGCATGTGGAGGAGCGGAGACGCGAACCCAGTTCCCCAGATTACGAGACTACCACTCATAACCACTACACCACACTGGCTCTCGGACCCCAAAAACACTCACTCTAGGCTCAGCCTTCAGCAACCTGGCACCCTCCAGATGTTCTGGACTACAACTCCTATCAGCCCCAGCCAACTTGATGGGAGTTGTAGTCTAGGATATCTGGAGAACGCCTGGGTGACGAAGGAAGCTGCCTGAAATAAACAGCTTAAATTCTTCTGAAGGCCCAACCCTGGAAGAAACAATTAAAACGAGGGGAGAATTACTCTAAACAAGAGAGCCAGTGTGGTGTAGTGGTTAAGAGCAGTGGACTCGTAATCTGGTGAACCGGGTTCGCTTCCCCGCTCCTCCACATGCAGCTGCTGGGTGACCTTGGGCTAGTCACACTTCTTTGAAGTCTCTCAGCCCTACTCACCTCACAGAGTGTTTGTTGTGGGGGAGGAAGGGAAAGGCGAATGTTAGCCGCTTTGAGACTCTTTCGGGTAGTGATAAAGCGGGATATCAAATCCAAACTGTTCTTCTTCTCTTCTAAACAGGCCAGATAAGTGTTGTGTGGTGAAGTTTTCCATAGGGTTTGGGAAGGAGGTGAATATTTAAGGGACTAGTCTAGTCCCCCTATTCCACTGACCACACACCACTGGGCCAGAGGGCAAATTTTCTTCACATAACTGAGTCATCACTAGGGATATTGGAGACTATAGGAGACGGGGAGCCAAAATTGCCAATGTTCCCATATCCAGAATGTGAATCAATCCAGGGAATGCGATCAGCATTTGCTCTCCTTTATTTTATCTTCATTTATTTATTGCATTTATCTCTTACCTTTCCCTCCAAGGAGCTCAATGTGGCATACAGTCATACCTTGGTTCTTGAACGGAATCTGTTCCGGAAGTCCGTTCAACTTCCGAAAACCAAGGCGCTCAAGACGTTCAAAAACCAAGGCGTGGCTTCCGATTGGCTGCAGGAGCTTTGGACGTTCGACTTCCCAAAAACATTTGCAAACCAGAACACTCATTACCGGGTTTGTGGCGTTCGGGAGCCGAAACTTTCAAGTCGCAAGGCGTTCGACAACCAAGGTACGACTGTATACAGTTCTTGTCTTCCATACAGTGGTATCTCTGGTTACGAACTTAATTTGTTCTGGAGGTCCGTTCTTAACCTGAAACCGTTCTTAACCTGAGGTACCACTTTAGCTAATGGAGCCTCCCGCCGCTGCTGCTGCCGTGCGATTTCTGTTCTCATCCTGGGGCAAAGTTCTTAACCCGAGGTACTACTTCCGGGTTAGCGGAGTCTGTAGCTCAAAGTGTTTGTAACCCGAGGTCTTTGTAACCTGAGGTACCACTGTATTTAACCCCACAGGGTTTGAATCCCCACACAGTGATGAAGCTCACTGGGTGACCTTGGGCCAGTCAGAACCTCTCAGCATAACCTACCTCACAGGTTTAGTTACAGGTAGGTAGCCGTGTTAGTCTGCCGTAGTCGAAACAAAACAAAAAAAATCCTTCCAGTAGAACCTAAGAGACCAACTAAGTTTGTCACTGGTATGAGCTTTTGTGTGCATGCACACTTCAACTTCAGTGTGTGTGCACACGAAAGCTCATACCAACAACAAACTTAGTTGGTCTCTAAGGTGCTACTGGAAGGAATTTTTTTATTTTGTTTCAACCAACTCACAGGGTTTTTGTGAGAAAAAAATGAGGAAGGGGAGAACCATGAACGAGCCCCTTGGAGGAAAAGGCGGGATATAAACACAATCAAATAAACAGATGGGAGATTTTTCAGTTTTATTCACACTTTCCCCTAATTTATGTGTTTTTTTTATAAGCATTGATTAGAAAACAGCATCATAACATTCGGGTAAGGGAGAACTGTGCAAAATGGCTGCGTTTCAGTTCCTGTATTGTTTCAGAAAGGGTCAGTTGGATAGACCTAGCTGCAAATGTAATAATAATAATAATAATAATAATAATAATAATAATAATCCCACATTCCTAGTCAGGGGTGATGGTAGCTGTCATCCGGCAACATCTGAAGGGCTACAGGTTCCCTGCAGTTGGAACCTAAGCCTGCCCATTCTCCTCTTAGGCCTCCTTGCCTCCCAGCCGCTTTCAAAGGCACCACACAAGTACTCTAGACTGCAGCCAATTCACCTGTCCATGCGCAAAGCGTTTCTTACCTATTTTTGATGGGGCCGTGGAAAGTCGGGTCATGTTTCAACTTGTCCCCTGGTGAGAGAGAGATGGGGGTGGGTGGGTAAATCGAGGACAGGAGGAAATATCTACTATGTCCCAGCAAGAAATGTGGAGGCTATGGAATCATAGAATTGTAGAGCTGGATGGATGGGACTCCCAGGGTTCATCCAGTCCACCCCCCTGCAATGCAGGAATATTTTTGCCCAACGTGGGACTCGAACCCACATCCCTGAGATCCAGAGCCTCATGCTCTACCAACGGAGCCATCCATGGGTTTATATAGGTTTTACTGTTCGGACCCAGAGCCATGGCAAAGCCTTTGGAGCAACTTTCTTTCCCCTCACCATGTCAGTTATAGAAAAGTATTTAATTTTACAATTAACATTTGTAAAACAGCCTGAAGCATTTTTGTTAGGGATTGTAGGGAAAGACCTGCCAAGGAAACTGAAAAAACATCTTTATGTATGCGACAACGGCGGCAAGAGTCTTAATAGCACAAGGATGGAAGAACAAGGAAATTCCGACCAAAGAACTGCGGCAAGAGAAATTGATGGACTATGTGGAATTGGCAAAATTGACACACAAACTACGTGATAAGGACAACTGTGACTTTAAAGAAGAATGGGAACCTTTTACAAAGTACTTAAAGAAACAACAAAATGAACTGGAATCCTTGGCAGGTTTTGAATAAACACACACAAACTTTATTGGTAACATATAGACAGATAAATTAAGGATCTTTACAATTTTATAATATGCAGAGAATAATATGTGCGGAAAAACCAGAGAGAGGAGCTGAGGGAAGTCCGGGGAGGGGAGGGTGGGTTTTTCTTTTGGGGAGGAGGGGGGAGAGAAAAAAAAAGGGGGGGAAATGAGGATGATGTATTTTGGATAAACTGTTACCATATTTTTCGCTCTATAGGACGTACCCGACCATAGGACGCACCATGTTTTAGAGGCAGAGAACAAGGAAAAAAAATCTCCCCCTCTCTGCTCAGCGCCCCTTCAGCGAAGCAGCAGGAGAAACGGAGCCCCTTCCATTTCTCCTCCCGCTTCGCTGAAGGGGCGCTGCGCAGCTCTCCCTCTCTGCTGAAGGCAGGAGAGTCTTGCTCTCCTGGCTTCAGCGAAAGCAACGCGAAGCCTCCGAAGCGCAGAGGGAGCGCTCCCTCCGCGCTCCGGAGGCTTCGCATTGCTGTCGCTGAAGCCAAGGAGCCTGCATTCACTCCATAGGAAGCACACACATTTCCCCTTAATTTCTGGAGGGGAAACAGAGCGTCCTTTAGATGGAAAAATACGGTATGTTGAAATTCTTAATAAAAATATATTTAAAAAAGAAAGAAAAGTATTTCTCAAAAGGTATGAATCCCAGTCAGCTGTGCTTTATTCATTGACTGCCTGACCTTCCCCAAAGATCCCTCCCAGGGGCTGGAGGCAGCATAACAGCACAGAAGGCAGCCCTAGAGCAGCTTGCAATTCTACAACAAGAGCAGAACTTTAGCAGGCAGTCTGATTTCACGTAAACAGGAAAACTGCCTCCCTCCTTCGAGGAGAAACTAGCCAAGTTGCCGCAACCAGCTGCTTCCAGAAGGTGGATTTTTTTATTCAAGCCAAGGAGCTGCCACTGCCTGGCTGCCGCCCTGCCATAAGCCTCCTGGGCTAGCGGCCAGCCTGTTACACAGTGCAACAGGATGCAACGAAGACTGGTTGGTAAGCAACCACAGCCTTCCCTGAATGTCCAGAGTCCCTTGTGGTTGTACAACCCAGGCAACTCGAGAAGCGTATTCTCCAGATTATATGCTTGCCTTATTTCCCCCAGTGTCAAATTGCCATGCAAATATGGCCCGATGGAAGGATTGCTTCCTTCCGCCTCACTGGGAGCGTGATCTTTTTATTCAAACTAAGGCCCGGGGGCCGGATCCGGCCCAATTGCCTTCTAAATCCGGCCCGTGGACGATCCGGGAATCAGCGTGTTTTTACATGAGTAGAATGTGTCCTTTTATTTAAAACGCACCTCTGGGTTATTTGTGAGGCAAAGGAATTGGTTCATTATTATTTTTTTCAAAATACAGTTTCGGGTTGTGAATGTGATCCGTGCGGGATGCACGTTCACAACCTGCAGCATCTGCAACCCGCAGTGGCGCGTCTGCGCACGCACGGGTTGCAATTCGGTGCTTCTGTGCATGTGCAAAGCGCGATTTAGTGCTTTTGCGAATGTGTGACCACCGAAACCCGGAAGTAACCCGTTCCGGTACTTCTGGTTTTCAGCGGTCTGCAGCCCAAAAAACCCCAAGCGGCTGAAGCGCCTGTAAGCAGAGGTATGACTGTATAGTCTGGCCCCTCACAAGGACCAACCCCCTGCTGAAAAAGTTTGCTGTGTTCTCATTTCATATTTTTGTGTTGTGAACTGCCCTGGGATCTTTGGATGAAGGGTGTTATACGAATGTAATAAATAAATAATAGTAATAAAAACCACCTCCCTCCCCAAGCATTCAGGAATCCCTCAGTTTCTATAAGGGGTCAGCAAACTTTTCCAGCAGGGGGCTGGTCCACTGTCCCTTAGACCTTGTGGGGGGGGCCAGACTATATTTTTTGTGGGGGAAATGATGCAAGAGCACCACGAGCCCTGGTGGCTGCTTACCTGTGTCTTGCGAGCAGCAGGGGCTGGCAGCGGCGGAGGGACAATGAGCGGTGCACGAAAGGGCTCCGGAGAGGGGCTGCTTAAAATGGCCACCGCTCAAGCGCTGCTGCTGCTGGCACCAACAAAGCCCAGCCCCCTTCCTCCTCTAGGCAGGGCAGGGAGAAGCCAGGAGGAGGGAGGGAGGAGGCGGCGCCGCCGCCTTGTGAGGGAGAGGGAGGGAGAGGGAAAGAATGCGCATGCTGGCGATCCACACGGCGATTCCCGAACCGTCCGTGGGCCAGATCCAGAAGGCAATTGGGCCTGATCCGGCCCGCGGTCCTTAGTTTGCCTACCCAGGCTATAAGGCTTCTGGGCACAGAGAATTTCACAATAGATTGTTGTTGTTTAATCGTTTAGTCGTGTCCGACTCTTCGTGACCCCATGGACCAGAGCACGCCAGGCACTCCTGTCTTCCATTGCCTCCCAAATTTGGTCAAACTCATGCTGGTAGCTTCGAGAACACTGTCCAACCATCTCTTCCTCTGTCGTCCCCTTCTCCCTGTGCCCTCCATCTTTCCGAACATCAGGGTCTTTTCCGGGGAGTCTTCTCTTCTCACGAGGTGGCCAAAGTATTGGAGCCTCAGCTTCACGGATACCCACCCCTAATCTGCAGGGAAGTATTTTCACAGCCAAGCCAAACCTCACTGGGAATGATCCAGTTGCCTGTAGGAAACTCAAGCAGGACCCTAGCACAAGAGCACTCTACCTGCCTGAGGTTTCCAGCAAGTGGTGTTCACAGACGTTACTGCCTCGGACTGTGGAGGCAGAGAAAAGCCTTCATGGCTATTATTCATTGACAGCTATATCCTCTGAGAAAGACCCAGGGCCTGGAATTGTCCGGTCTCCTAAGTAGATGGAGCAGAATTTGGAGCATGCCCGTCACTTGGATGAGTTCAATGGCAGCGCTGATAGCGAAGCTATTAGACTCAATTACCAAGAGATAAGCAAGGGAGAGCTGTAAAACTCAAACCAGGAAATAGCCACTGTAACCCGAGCTACGGTGGGAATCAGGTGCAAGAAAAGACCACAGCAGCCGCCGATGTGGAATACAAAAACATCACTGAAAACAAGCTTCTTCCCCGGAATGACATCAACCTTCAGGTATTGGCTGAGCACTTGGGTTCATTTGCATATAGCACACACATCTGGTCATTATCATTTTGGCACTGTGCCAAACTTGGAAGCTGATACCCACATGCAAACGTTCAATGCATCTTACCATCCACGAATCACCTGCAAGGACTGCCGCCAGTGGTGTCCCCTTAACCCAGGGGTCAGCAAACTTTTTCAGCAGAGGGCTGGTCCACTGTCCCTCAGACCTTGTTAGGGGCCAGACTATATTTTGAAAAAATAATAATGAACGAATTCCTATGCCCCACAAATAACCCAGAGATTTGTTGTTGTTTAGTTGTTTAGTTGTGTCCGACTTTTCGTGACCCCATGGACCAGAGCACGCTAGGCACTCCTGTCTTCCACTGCCTCCCGCAGTTTGGTCAAACTCATGCTGGTAGCTTCGAGAAGACTGTCCAACCATCTCATCCTCTGTCGTCCCCTTCTCCTTGTGCCCTCCATCTTTCCGAACATCAGGGTCTTTTCCAGGGAGTCTTCTCTTCTCATGAGGTGGCCAAAGTATTGGAGCCTCAGCTTCAGGATCTGTCCTTCCAGTGAGTACTCAGGGCTGATTTCCTTAAGAATGGTTTGATCTTCTTGCAGTCCATGGGACTCTCAAGAGTCCCCTCCAGCACCATAATTCAAAAGCATCAATTCTTCGGCGTTCAGCCTTTTTTATGGTCCGGCTCTCACTTCCGTGCATCATTACTGATGCATGGTTCCTCTTCATCCTGGAGAAGAGTGACTAGTGGGGTGCCACAGGGTTCTGTCTTGGGCCCGGTCTTATTCAACATCTTTATCAACGACTTGGATGATGGACTCAAGGGCATCCTGATCAAATTTGCAGATGACACCAAATTGGGAGGGGTGGCTAACACCCCAGAGGACAGGATCACACTTCAAAACGACCTTGACAGATTAGAGAACTGGGCCAAAACAAACAAGATGAATTTTAACAGGGAGAAATGTAAAGTATTGCACTTGGGCAAAAAAATGAGAGGCACAAATACAAGATGGGGGACACCTGGCTTGAGAGCAGTACATGTGAAAAGGATCTAGGAGTCTTGGTTGACCACAAACTTGACATGAGCCAACAGTGTGACGCGGCAGCTAAAAAGCCAATGCAATTCTGGGCTGCATCAATAGGAGTATAGCATCTAGATCAAGGGAAGTAATAGTGCCACTGTATTCTGCTCTGGTCAGACCTCACCTGGAGTACTGTGTCCAGTTCTGGGCACCACAGTTCAAAAAGGACATTGACAAACTGGAACGTGTCCAGAGGAGGGCAACCAAAATGGTCAAAGGCCTGGAAACGATGCCTTATGAGGAACGGCTAAGAGAGCTGGGCATGTTTAGCCTGGAGAAGAGGAGGTTAAGGGGTGATATGATAGCCATGTTCAAATATATAAAAGGATGTCACATAGAGGAGGGAGAAAGGTTGTTTTCTGCTGCTCCAGAGAAGCGGACACGGAGCAATGGATCCAAACTACAAGAAAGAAGATTCCACCTAAACATTAGGAAGAACTTCCTGACAGTAAGAGCTGTTCGACAGTGGAATTTGCTGCCAAGGAGTGTGGTGGAGTCTCCTTCTTTGGAGGTCTTTAGCAGAGGCTTGACAACCATATGTCAGGAGTGCTCTGATGGTGTTTCCTGCTTGGCAGGGGGTTGGACTCGATGGCCCTTGTGGTCTCTTCCAACTCTATGATTCTATGATTCTATGATTCTACTGGGAAAACCATAGCTTTAACTATACGGACCTTTGTTGGCAAGGTGATGTCTCTAACCCAGAGATGCATTTTACATAAATGGACACATTCTACTCATGTAAAAACACGCTGATTCCCGCACTGTCTGTGGGCTGGATTGAGAAGGCGATTAGGCTGGATCTGGCCCCCTGGGCCTTAGTTTGCCTACCCATGCCTTAACCTCTCTGCAGCATAGGAAAAGGACGACTCCCTGGTGTGGGCTCTCAATAGGTGTGGAGTTACATTCATTTATTTTAAGTGGTTTGCTAATACACTTTTCAGGGCGCATAGCCCTCCCAAAGACGGATCGCAACACATAAAAACATCACTGATAAATACAAGAAGCTCCAACATCAAAACCAACGGCTAAGGCTAAGCAGGCTAAGCACTGGCCGGCAGCAGCTCTCCAGGGTTTCAGGTGCCGAGGTTTTCTCCAGCCATAGCTGGGGGCGCCAGGGATCAAAACAGGGGCCTTCCCACAAACAACAATAAAATAAAATAAAATAAATGCCATGGGAATCCTTCCATGAGATTCTCAGTTCAGCCTTCTCAGTTATATGCCTGGTATGAAGTTCTCCTATTAAGGGCTACACTTTGGATGAAGGGACATTTCTAGGCAGCCTTTGGGTAGGATCCCATTAGTAATAGATAGATAGATAGATAGATAGATAGATAGATAGATAGATAAACAAATAATTTGTTACTTATACCTCACCCATCTGGCCAGGCCTCCCCAGTCACTCTGGGCAACTCCCAACATAATAAAAACACAATAAAAACTTCCCTGAACAGGGCTGCCTTCAGATGTCTTCTGAATGTCAGGTAGTTGTTGCTCTCTTTGACATCTGATGGGAGGGCGTTCCACAGGGCGGGCGCCACTACCAAGAAGGCCCTCTGCCTGGTTCCCTGTAACTTGGCTTCTTGCAGTGAGGGAACCACCAGAAGGCCCTCAAAGCGGGACCTCAGTATCCAGGCTGAACGATGGGAAACGCTCCTTCAGGTATACCGGGCCGAGGCCGTTTAGGGCTTTAAAGGTCAGCACCAATGTTTTGAATTGTGCTCGGAAACGTACTGGGAGCCCATGTAGGTCTTTCAGGACCGGTGTTGTATTAGGGCAGTGGTGTCCAAACTTTTTTCAAAGAGGGCCGGATTTCATGAAGTGAAGGGCCGTGAGGGCCGACCAAAGGGCCAACCACAATTTTTGAGCTTTTTTTATGATTGACGTTGTTGAGCTTTTTAGGGTTGAGGGTTTTTTTGGGATTTTACCGCAGGAAATAAACTGCCACAGGGGCCGGATTAAACCGACCAGAGAGCTGGATTAGGCCCCCGAAACAGACTTTGGACATACCTGTATTAGGGCTTGCTCCCACTGCTAGGTTTTGAAGAAGAGCACACACACACACACACACACTAGCCGCAATCTGTAGTAATCCTTTGCAAAGAGGTAAAGGGCTCCTTCCCTCATGGTAAACACAGAAGCGGGGAGGTTCTCTTCCCAGAAAGCGCATAAGGGAAACAGTTGCCTCCACCCAGGAAGGCATAGAAGGAAATCCCACAAATCTCTCACAAGATTTGAACACTTTGAAGCCAAAATCCGGGACGCCATCTTCCCAGACGCCATGTTTTGATTTTTTTAAAATCACAAGATAAACAAAGAGTCAATTCCAACTTGCACGGTGTGGTTTACTGCCAGTTTCCTTCTGACCCCCACCCCATGCTGACTTTAAAGGCAGCCCCACATGTGGCATGTTGTAGTAGTCAATACAGGCAGGATCGGATTGTAAGCCCCACCAATTCAGGCCCTCCCCCTTTCCCCCCCAAGACTTACCCCTTGACCTGCAATTGCCCTGCGCAACTCCAGCACACTGCATTTACCATATAAATCATAGTAATTACAAGGTGGCAAGAGGAATGCTATGGGCGGTCATTAGTTTGCTGTTGACTGCGAGTGCATCAAATGAATGGGTACAGCAGGGCAATGAGCGTTCCAGGCTTTCCCTAGAGAGGAAGGCTTTCCCTCTGCAGGCTGCTCAGCATGGGAAACACTCAGATTTCTAGTCCGACAAGTTTGTCATCAGAGACGTGGCCTGCAGCAGACCGCTCTACAATTCAAGGGCCAATACCTGGTCACCGGTGCATAGATTAAGCCCGGTTCAGCTAAGGACTAAACGCTAGGTTTGTACATTGTAAAGTTCCTCAACTGCTTAACTTGTTGTTGATTAGTCGTTTAGTCGTGTCCGACTTTTCATGACCCCCTGGACCAGAGCATGCCAGGCACTCCTGTCTTCCACTGCCTCCCGCGGTTTGGTCAGACTCATGTTTGTAGCTTCGAGAACACTGTCCAACCATCTCGTCCTCTGTCGTCCCCTTCTCCTTGTGCCTCCATCTTTCCCAACATCAGGGTCTTTTCCAGGGAGTCTTCTCTTCTCATGAGGTGGCCAAAGTATTGGAGCCTCAGCTTCAGGATCTGTCCTTCCAGTGAGCACTCAGGGCTGATTTCCTTCAGAATGGATAACTTAGAATGCTTAACTTAGATGACTTTAAAAAGGGAGTGTCCAGATTCGTGAAGGACTGAACGCATTCATTCAAGAAAAGCAGGGACATATACAGTGGTACCTCAGGTTACATACGCTTCAGGTTACATACGCTTCAGGTTACAGACTCCGCTAACCCAGAAATAGTGCTTCAGGTTAAGAACTTTGCTTCAGGATGAGAACAGAAATTGTGCTCTGGCGGCGCGGCGGCAGCAGGAGGCCCCATTAGCTAAAGTGATGCTTCAGGTTAAAAACAGTTTCAGGTTAAGAGCAGACCTCCGGAACGAATTAAGTACTTAACCTGAGGTACCATGGTAATAAAATGGTGGAAGAAAGCGCAACAGCAGGGATCATTCAGTGCACAGCTAAGGGTTAATTCTGCTAGTGTTCAAGTCATATAACCAAGAGAGCATAAATATACAAACTAAATAAAGTCTGCTCAGCCATCTGGGGAGACAGGCTGCTATGTTCAGGTCCTGGTTCTGGGCTTCGCTTTGGGGCACCTAGTTGGCCACTGTGAGAACAGGATCCTGGCCTAGGTGGGCCCTCAGACTGAACTAGCAGGCTTCTTTTTCATGTGAGGAACCTCAATCTTCCTCCCAGATGATGCCCCGTCTTTCCAAGTCACACTCCTCATATCCTCAAGTACTTTTGCCTGGCTGGAATGTGTCCTCGGACTCCAGGAACACCTCTTGCTCGTCTGGATGGAGCAGGCAGAGGGGTGTGTATGTTTAGAAACTAGCCTATAACACAAATGTAAAATTGTTTACATGCGGTTCTGTGCCCACTTTTTCCTCTGGCATTTTGGTACACGTTAATTGGCCGGAGAACCGCGTTGCGGAATTTGGAGATGCGTGAATTGTAAAAAGTGGCTGTATGTCAATCCACGTATTATTTTGGACAATGCGAACTGCATAGCTTCACCTTTAAGTACACACTGAGTCAAATTTGTCCTTGCTGAGCTTTACTGACAACCAAGCTACCTCACTCTGCCTAGGGGTAGCGCCAGCCAGAGTCAGTACAGTCATACCTCGGTTCTCAAACGCCTTGTGACTCAAATGTTTTGGCTCCCAAACGCTGGTTTTCAAACGTTTTTTGGAAGCTGAACGTCTGAGGCGGCTTTCGATTGAGTTCAGGAAGCTCCTGTGGCCAACTGGAAGCTGTGCCTTGGTTTTCGAACACTTTCGGAAGTCGAAAACCTTGGTTTGCTGTCAGGCCCGTTGTCCAAACCTGCTTTGAGAATCCCTTTGAAAAACATCTTTTGGTTCTGAATAGCCTCAGCTTGGTCTAGTCACCATTTGAATTTTCCATAATACAGTGGTACCTCAGGTTAAGTACTTAATTCGTTCCGTACTTAACCTGAAACTGTTCTTAACCTGAAGCACCACTTTAGCTAATGGGGCCTCCCGCTGCTGCTGTGCGGCTGGAGCATGATTTCTGTTTTCATCCTGAAGCAAAGTTCTTAACCTGAAGCAATATTTCTGGGTTAGCGGAGTCTGTAACCTGAAGTGTATGTAACCCGAGGTACCACTGTACAGGAAGGGATGCCATAGTCTGAAGAGCAAAAAAAGAGGACACATTCGCCAACTTCTACTTTTAACTATGGATCGCTATGACTACTCTCCTTTTACATGCCCATGAAAAACAGGATGTGTCCTGGAAAAAGAGGACATGGGGCAACTCTAAATCAGCTCCAGGGCACAGATGATAAATCAAGATGGCGGCTACACTCAGCTCCCTGCTGCTGGGGCCCTCTGCTTTGAGGGCACCTGACCTTCAAACCTACATCTGTCCCTGAACTGTTTTAAATCGCTGCCTTGAGGGATGCCGAAGTGTTTTATGGTTTGGGAGTGCATCCCTAAGGTCTGAAGGCCATTCACAGTAATGAAGCCTCACCCTGAACATTCCTGGAGAGAAAGAGATCAAGAAACATCCTTTGCTTTCAGGCCAGAATTGCTCTGGGCTTGTCCTCAGGACGTTGGTGGCGTGAGGAGCAGCATACATTCAGGTGGTTAGGGTCTGCATAATCCGGTTTATGACAAGAGATACAGCTTTCAGGAAAGCCTCTCTCAAGCCATAAAGCCATCAACTTTAATGGAACCATATAACCCAAGAGTGAGTGTAAAAGTCAATTGGGACACGTTTTTAGATCTCTGCGCAATTGGCAGTCCATCGCCAATAATAATAATAATAATTTATTATTTATACCCCGCCCATCTGGCTGGGCCTCCCCAGCCACTCTGGGCAGCTTCCATAGAAACAAAAAATACAGTAAAATATCACAGGTTAAAAACTTCCCTGAACAGGGCTGCCTCAAGATGTCTTCTGAATGTCAGGTAGTTGTTTATCGCTTTGACATATGCTGGAAGGGCGTTCCACAGGGTGGGCGCCACTACCGAGAAGGCCCTCTGCCTGGTTCCCTGTAGCTTTGCTTCTCGCAATGAGGGAACTGCCAGAAGGCCCTCGGCGCTGGACCTCAGTGTCCGGGCAGAACGATGGGGGTGGAGACGCTCCTTCAGGTATACTGGACCGAGGCCGTTTAGGGCTTTAAAGGTCAGCACCAACACTTTGAATTGTGCTCGGAAACGTACTGGGAGCCAATGTAGGTCTTTCAAGACCGGTGTTATATGGTCTCGGCCGCCACCCCCAGTCACCAGTCTAGCTGCCGCATTCTGGATTAGTTGTAGTTTCTGAGTCGCCTTCAAAGGTAACCCCACATAGAGCGCATTGCAGTAGTCCAAGCGGGAGATAACCAGAGCATGCACCACTCTGGCGAGACAGTCCGCAGGCAGGTAGGGTCTCAGCCTACGTACCAGATGGAGCTGGTAAACAGCTGCCCTGGACACAGATTTGACCTGTGCCTCCATGGACAGCTGTGAGTCCAAAATGACTCCCAGGCTGCGCACCTGGTCCTTCAGGGGCACAGTTACCCCATTCAGGACCAGGGAGTCCTCCACACCCACCCGCCTCCTGTCCCCCAGAAACAGTACTTCTGTCTTGTCAGGATTCAACCTCAATCTGTTAGCCGCCATCCATCCTCCAACCGCCTCCAGACACTCACAAGGGGTTCTGCTTCCTAGACATTTAACGAAAGCAACAAGAAAAAGACACAGTTTCCTTTCAACTCGTACCTGCATCCGCCAAACACGTTTCGCTTAAGAGTAGACCTACTTAAATTAATGTACCCAAGTTGGTCATATCCATTAATACAGTGGTGACTGGTAAGTGAAAAGGCAGCAGAGCCAACAGGAGACCCTCCAACTGTCTCTATTTTCCAGTTTCAAGTTTGATCCCGGAACATCCCGCTTTTCCTTAAAGGTAAAGGGACCCCTGGCCATTAGGTCCAGTCGTGACCGACTCTGGGGTTGCAGTGCTCATCTTGCTTTATTGGCCGAGGGAGCCGGCGTACAGCTTCCGGGTCATGTGGCCAGCAGGACTGAGCCGCTTCTGGCAAACCAGAGCAGCGCACGGAAATGCCGTTTACCTTCCCGCCGGAGTGGTACCTATTTATCAACTTGCACTTTGACGTGCTTTCGAACTGCTAGGCTGGCAGGAGCAGGGACCGAGCAATGGACGCTCACCCCATCGCGGGGATTCGAACCGCCAACCTTCTGATCAGCAAGTCCTAGGCTCTGTGGTTTAACCCACAGCGTCCCCCTCTTTTCCTTAGGACATCCCTATTGTCATGAGAGAAATGTTTGAGGGTGTGGGGTTATGCAACCCCGGAGTCAAGGAGATAAGTAACTACACAACCTTTGGAAGACAACTGAAGGCTGTACAGGGAAGTGTTTTTTATGTTTAATGTTTTTATTATGTTTTTATATATGTTGGAAGCTGCCCAGAATGACTGGAGCAACCCAGTCAGATGAACGGGGTAGAAATAATAAAATTATTATTGTTATAAGAATTTTGAGGTCTCACATATAGAATATTCATAAATGCACACATATCAAAATATATGAACCATGTGTCTGAAATAGTATGGGAGAGCAATCCTGAAGCCATTCTGACTCTCCCAACAACCTCAAATATTCCTCTGCAGTAAGGGAAGCAAATGGGGAAAGTCTTCCCATTGTCATTTTGGTGGCAAATCCTGTCGTAAGGGCGTGTATTTGTGTATGAATAGGGTGAGCCTGTGACCAGGATTCAGGAACTAAAGTATTAACTATCACAAAAGAATGGCCAGACTGCCCAGGTAATGCAACCAGTGACTATTATCAGGTATCCTGGCAAACAGGATTTCAGCTGTAGACTGCCTGTATGTATGATTTTTTTTGGAGGGGGGTCTTGGGCCACAGGGTGGGCAATTTCAAAAACCTATATAGGGGCTTGCACACCATTGTTCAGGGTTCTCCTCCCTCCTTCAAAGGGTGAGTGGGGACCCTGTTGCAACAGTTCCTTTAATAAAGATCAGGCTTACTAGCTGCTTTGCTTCTCAATCTATTCTGGTTGTCCTGTGTTATTTCTCATACCAATAGGGAACCCACTTAAGGACTCTACAGTGGTACCTCTGGTTAAGAACTTAATTCGTTCCGGAGGTCCATTCTTAACCTGAAACTGTTCTTAACCTAAGGTACCACGTTAGCTAATGGGGCCTCCTGTGGCCGCCGCACGATTTCTGCTCTCATCCTGAGGTAAAGTTCTTAACCTGAGGTACTACTTCCGGGTTAGCGGAGTCTGTAACCTGAAGCGTTTGTAACCTGAGGTACCACTGTATATGTGCTCTGGAATACTCCATAAGGGAAATGGAGCAGTTTTTCTTATAACATTGTTATTATGGAATACAACGTCCCTATTGTCATTGGATAAATGTTGGAGAGTATGCAACAGTGGCTGGACCCAGAGCGATTGCCAGGCCAGAGCCAACTCCTTATTTCGCCTCCACTGTCCCCTTGAACACTCGGCTTTTCCCCTTGCAGAACTCAGCAGGGAGGACAATGGAAGGATACAAAAGCATTAAATAAACAAGTGTGAGGACACCTTTAAAAAAGCCTTGGGTTTCCTCATACCAAACCACTGCGGCCATGCATCTGACTGGCTATGTTTCCCCATAAGAACCACAAAAGCAATGATCCAATTCCTTCCTGCTTGCTTCTGCATTTATTTAAGTACAGCATTTGCTTAGGGTGTCTCCAAAGTTTCAGGTATTTTGCAGGAGCTAGCCAAGCGCACACAGGAGGTTTAAGTTAGTGCGTTTAAAGCACTCTATCCCCCTAGTGAAACAAATCCCAAAAAAGTGCAAAAAGTAGACTTTTTGCAGTTTGGAACATGGCAGGGAAATCCACTGTGAAGTGTGGAACAGGTGAATGAGTAACAAAGAGATGCATGAATGCTCATTGCCATATAACCGCCCTGCGAACAAACTGGAACAAATGCTCAACAATCATCGAGGCACCGCGTAAGCTTTGTGCAAGCCCATCAGGATGAATGCTAAATAACTGAATTGTCAGGAGGAGGAGGAGACCTGACGCTCCCTGTTCATTGATGGCGATGTGGCAGGTGCAAATCGCCATGTTACCCCGGAGTGTTTTGTCTCTGGGTTGCAAGAAAGGTGAAAACACTCTATTTTTAATGGGCAATATTTTATTATGATGCATTCTGTTCCCAGAGGTGCACAGATTCACAGCTATAAAACTTAACTCTAAATAACACGGGGCACAATAAAGAGGAAGGTACCTCTGAGTCCGTGCAGAGTCTCTACCTCATCCCACTGAGAGGTGAAGTTGTTTGTCAGTAGATTTGAGGAGGACATAAAATAAGGGTGTTTTTTTCCACACGGTGCACAAATTCCTATGGAACTCACTGCCACAAGCTGTGGCAATGACTACTGCCTTTTGGCAACTTAACCCCTATCAATAAAGCTCCAGAGTGAAGCTAGAGAAACTACCATCTACAGAAACACCGGAATTCCCTGCCTTTTGACATCTGGCAGGCATCTTCACTGTACGCTTTTCGATATCTGCTTAAAACAACTTAGCCCATATATTATTATTTTATTATCATTTTTATTCACTGTTTTTTAAAAATTTAATTTGTATAATGTCCTTCATCCGAAGATCTCAGTGTGGTTCGCAACAGCAAAATTCGACATGAGAATCCAAAATACATAATAAATCAAAAACAAACCATGTTTACACGTTTTAATGTCTTTTTTGTTCATTGCTGGTTTTAATTGCTCTTCAAATGTTTTTAAACTGCTTGTTTTCAACTGCTTTTTGTTGATAACGCCAATATTTCTGGTAAACTAACCGGAAGTATTTGTTACGTTCCAGCATGTATATACATGTAGTTAAATAAAACAAAAATCAAAGCTAGCTTATCTCCTGCTTCCATTTAAAGAGAGTTTTGTTCCCTGAAGAAGGAAACTGCCCTTTCCATAACAACCTTGACTGACTTTATCGTTTGCCTGCGAAAGGCTGCTGCACTTCCTTGTCTCAGTCTGGACTGAGGTGAGCAAATATCCGCCTTATTCACCTTTTAGATCTTGTTCAGGTACACACCCTCCTGGATAAACACTCCAGCCTTTTGTCTTAGGACCACTGCCTGCCCCAACACGCCCCCCCACAAGATCCAGGATACCACCCCCCCAAGAGTCATTTAGTCCAACCCCATCTTTTACCCAGCACAGAACTCGAACCCACAACCCTGAGATTAAGAGTCTCATGCTCTGCCGAATGAAAGTTTTAAAGACCTCTAAAATTACTTTACGGCAGGGGTCAGCAACCTTTTTCAGCCGTGGGCTGGTCCACCCTCCCTCAGACCATGTGGTGGGCCGGACTATATTTTGGAGAAAAAAATAATAATGAACGAATTCCTATGCCCCACAAATAACCTAGAGATGCATTTTAAATAAAAGGACACATTCTACTCATTTAAAAAGCTGGTTCCCGGACCGTCCGCGGGCCGGATTGAGAAGGCAAATGGGCCGGATCCGGTCCCCGGGCCTTAGTTTGCCTACCCCTGCTTTACAGGATGAGTAAAACACTTTGTGGGACCCGGGTGGCGCTGTGGGTTAAGCCTCAGCGCCTAGGACTTGCCAATCGTATGGTCGGCGGTTCAAATCCCCGTGGCGGGGTGCGCTCCCGTTGCTCAGTCCCAGGGCCTGCCAACCTAGCAGTTCAAAAGCACCCTCGGGTGCAAGTAGATAAATAGGGATCGCTTACTAGCGGGAAGGTAAACGGCGTTTCCGTGTGCGGCTCTGGCTCGCCAGAGTAGCTTCGTCACGCTGGTCACGTGACCCGGAAGTGTCTGCGGACAGCGCTGGCTCCCGGCCTCTAGAGTGAGATGAGCGCGCAACCCTAGAGTCTGGCAAGACTGGCCCGTACGGGCAGGGGTACCTTTACCTTTACCTTAAAACACTTTGCAGGAAAAGTGCAAGATAACCATTGCTGGGATGTAACCCTCACCCTAACCTCCACCACAAACCTACCAGGATGGATTGCTCAGCAAACAGGTCTTTTGGAAGTTCCCCAAAATTCCTCCAGACTCGCAGCCTTTCTCAACCCGTGGGTCCCCGGATGTTGTTGAACTACAACTCCCATCACCCCTAGCTAGCAAGGCCAGAGCTCAGGGATGCTGGGAGTTGTAGTCCAACAACATCTGGGGACCCACAAGTTGAGAACCGCTGCTCCAGAGGAAAGAAAGGGAAGGCCCATAAGGAGGGATGCTAGCATTCTGCCCTATGCCTCCCCGCCCCCACGACTCTTGGCCTTTTCCCTGAACTCTGATCCCAATACCAAAAGTTGGAAAGCTATATAAATGATTCTTTCAAAATGACTCTCCTGTTTATTGTTTGCTTGCTTACATTCAGAGTGAGCTGTCCACTCTCTCACTTCCTGGTTTCCTCCTTCCAAGTGACAACGGAAAGACCTACATTTCTCCACCAAAATATTAGTGTTTGCCAAGGGGGTGTTTGCCAAAATGCGCCCAAAAACATTATTCATAGGAATGGATACGCTGCCCTCACTCTATAAATTCCAAGAATGGTTTCTAGGAAGGGAAAGCTATGATAGAGGCATTTGTGGAATCCAGGATCAGGAAGGAGCCTGAAGTGGATAACTTCAACTCGCAATATTGTGTAAGTGTTTTACAGCCAGTAACCACGCAACTGGTGTTAAACGTTTAACTATTATGCCTTGAAACAACTTATGACGTAGACTGTTGATTTTCTGGAGTAGCTGTTTATTTGCTAACTTTATATACGCAGCCTGACACTCTACTCTCTTTCCATTAACAGAAAGCAACTCAGCAAGAGATACCAAAATAATTAACATTATTGTAATTGAGTACAGCAGGCTGGACTCAGTCCGTCGTCATGCTGTTAGCAAGACAGAGAGGATTACTGAGTCTTGGGTATGAACCTTCCCAAAAAGAAATGATATCAAGATGAAGAAGGCATGATGTTGGGAACTTAATATTGCAAAAAAATAAAAAAATAAAAAATGGATACAGTCATATCTCTTGTTATGTCCGCTTCAGGCTGCGTGTTTTCAGGTTGTGTCCCGTGGCGACCCAGAAGTACTGGAAAGGGTTACTTCCAGGTTTCGCCGCTCACGCATTCGCAGACACGCAAAATGACATCATACACATGTGCAGAAGTGGCGAATCGCGATCCATATGTGCGCAGACACGCAGACGTGGGTTGCGTTCCTTTCATGTTGCGAACAGGGCTCCAGAACGGATCCTGTTCGCAACCAGAGGTACCACTGTATTTCAGATATCACAGACAGGTGGAGCCACTGTGGTTTGTTGGTTAGAGTGCTGAACTAGGACCGGGGAGACTGGGGTTCAAATCAGTCATTAAGTTCACTGGGCAACTGTGGGCCACTCACCATCTCTCAGCCTTAACCACTTTGCAAGGTCATTGTGAAAACAGAATAGGGAGGTGGGAATCACCGCCAGCCCCTTGGATGAAAGGCGGGATATAAAAATAACGATAAATTACAGGTTGCCAAGTGGTTTTTGTTTTTTAAAAAAATGGATTTCTCCCAAGAATGGCAAGCCTGGGGAAAACACAGCCGGCCTTTCGATGACAATAATGTCATGCGGTCAGCTGTGGGAAACTTGCAAGCAGGAGGAGACCCAAAGGTTTTCAGAAGTGCAATGATTTCCAGCAAAAAAGCCTGTTGCAACAGGACGAACAAAAGGACTTGGGGCACCTTAAAGGTCAGCCAGTTTTGTCATGGCATCAGCTTTCATGGCCACCTGGCGCAGGAAGCACAATCCTCAATGTTGTGAATGGCCACGGCTCTAACTGAAATTGTTACTATGGGCCGATCAGCACTACACATTCAAAGCAGTATCAAACCACTTTAAACTGTCACACCTCTCCGCAATAGAATCCAGGAAGCTATAGCTAAGTGTGCCAAGAGTCGTTAAGAGACCCCCTACTGCTCTCCCAGAGTTTCCTGGGAAGAGGGATTTGGCTGTTAAACCACTTGGGGGAAATGGCAGTTTTGTGAGGGGTCTCCGAACAACTCTCAGCAGCTTGAATAAGCGGCAGTTCGCAGGATTCTTCAGGGGAAGTCCCAAAGAAGACTGTTTTAAAAGTGGGGTGATACACAGCTTCAAATGTTTGACGAAGACGGAGCCTTTCATTTCCCTCTGACCTCACAGCTTACAACTGTTTTCAAACATGTGCCTACACACCTACCAATGACGGTTTAAACTCAAGACATCTGATGAACCAAACTCTATCCCACAAAACCTATGCCCTAATGGCATTTGTTCATATCTAAGGTGCCACAAGACTCAAAGTGGAAAGGCAAACCTGCCATGTTTGCAAGAGCTGCAATTGATTGTTGAATTCATAATTCTAAATTTTACTATATGTACGTAAGGAGAGTCCCTGATGAATCTGGCAAAAGGCCCATCTATTCCAGCATCCTGTCATTTCTTTCCTTTTAATTATCACGTTAGGCTTTCTTTTCTTTTTTTCTACCCCTCTACAAAAGTGCAGTACAGTGGTACAGTGGTACAGAGAGCCAGTGTGGTGTAGTGGTTGAGAGTGGTGGACTCGTAATCTGGGGAACCGGGTTTGATTCCCCGCTCCTCCACATGCAGCTGCTGGGTGACCTTGGGCCAGTCACACTTCTTTGAAGTCTCTCAGCCCCACACGCCTCACAGAGTGTTTGTTGTGGGGGAGGAAGGGAAAGGAGAATGTTAGCCGCTTTGAGACTCCTTAAAGGGAGTGAAAGGCGGGATATCAAATCCAAACTCTTCTTCTTCTTCTTCTTCTTCTACTTCTACCTCAGGTTAAGTACTTAATTCGTTCCGGAGGTCCGTTCTTAACCTGAAACTGTTCTTAACCTGAAGCACCACTTTAGCTAATGAGGCCTCCCGCTGCTGCCGCGCCGCCAGAGCCCAATTTCTGTTCTTATCCTGAAGCAAAGTTCTTAACCTGAAGCACTATTTCTGGGTTAGCGGAGTGTGTAACCTGAAGTGTATGTAACCTGAAGTGTATGTAACCTGAGGTACCACTGTATATAATAAGCAAAAAGGGCTTCCTGGTGGTGCTAGCCATACTTCTCTCTTGCAGACAGCAGAGGGTGCATTTCCCTTCTTAAAGGTAAAGGGACCCCTGACCATTAGGTCCAGTCGTGGCCGGCTCTGGGGTTGTGGCGCTCATCTCGCTTTATTGGCCGAGGGAGCCGGCGTACAGCTTCCAGGTCATGTGGCCAGCATGGCTAAGCCGCTTCTGGTGAACCAGAGCAGCACACGGAAACGCCCTTTACCTTCCCGCCAGAGCGGTACCTGTTTATCTACTTGCACTTTGACGTGCTTTCGAACTGCTAGGTTGGCAGGAGCAGGGACTGAGCAACGGGAGCTCACCCCGTTGCGGGGATTCGAACCGCCGACCTTCCGATTGGCAAGTCTTAGGCTCCCTTGCAAGGTTGTTGTAAGCGTCACAAGAGAACCACCTAGACGGCATTCTGTTGGGTGTTCTAAAGCGCTATAAAAATGCTACTTATTTTTTTAGCTGCTTTGTTCTTGGGAGCCGGACTCCTGGTCAACCTAAGCCCAGAGCTGTCTATTCTGGCTGGGGGGAGTCGCTCTCTGGGGTTTTGAATCCCGGCTATTTGTTTTTTTTCAGCTGAAGATATCAGGGACTGAACCAGAGACCCTCTTGCAGGAAAAGCATTCCCTCTACCAATGCGCCTTCACAACACCGCTAAAGGCTACATTCATGTTTCCTAAGCTTTGGTCTCCAGCTGTTTTGGGACTACAGTTCCCACCATCCCTGACCACTGGGTCCTGCTAGCTGGGGATGATGGGAGTTGTAGTCCAAAAACAGCTGGAGACCCAAGTTTAGCAAAACTTTTTTTCCATCATGTAACCCAGGGTTTCTCAGAGTTTTTTAATCCATTTTCTTTTTCCACACACCCACCCAGTCCAGTTTAGAAGCAGAACCAAGTTTAAATGTCCCCTAAGCCTGAGGATGTTTATCTGAACTGAGCATATTACCCCTCGCCTGTGCTAACACGCCCCACAATCAGTCCCCTCCCCTTTTGTCAAACGCCTGATTTTAAGCTCCTCGGGGGCAGGGAACTTCTCACGCGCCACTGACGGCACTATACAAATAAAATATATCAACCATGCATGCAAAAAACGAGATCCGATACTCCGTCTCCAAACATGCAAACACACATTTCTGGACCCTGGAAGCGGCTTGAGCTGAATCCGACCCAAAGAGCCCGTAACAAGGAAGTGGGTTTTTCATTTACTCCTCCGGATCAATTAAATGCATAAAATAAAACATCCACGTGAGCCCAGCTTGTCTCAGTTAACTCCCCACCAAAAACAAAAGGGCACGTGTCATTTGCTGATTTGTGTTCAAGTTTCTGAAACCCACCCAAAACTGTTTCCTACTTTCTCCCCCTTGCCCATCCCAAGTGGCCCAACACATCCGGCGCGAAAGCCTCTCCCAAAATGCTGTGTTCCCATTTCAAAGCCACCAAACTCACCATCCTCCGAAACTATTTCCTGATCTAAGACAAATACATCCCCTCCGCCCCCCAGATCTCAGGGATGGTGGATGAGGGGCATTTGCGTAGCCAGAGGGGCAGGGGCATGGCAGCTGCCTCCCCGCCCCCCCACTCTTAATCAAGTAAATAAATAAAAAATACTTAGGGTAGAAACTGTAGGGAAAAAAATTTCTGAGCACTTGGGGTCGAAAGTAAGTAATTTCAAACAACTGTCGTGGGGACTTTTCATTCCGACTGAGCCAGGCAGAGAGAGGATGACGACAGGTGGGTGTCCCGCCCCTCCCTTAAGATAAATCCTGGCTCTGCCCAGGTGAAAAAAGAACAGAGAATTTGGCTTTGGGTGCCCCCCTCCCACAACATACTCAATCCCAACTTCCCATCCTCACCTGCCCCCCCCCATCCTGCACCCCAGACACTCCACGCGCGCTCACACAAAGCCGATTTCTCCAGATTTAAAAAAAGGGGGGTTTCCCCCGTTTTGCCACCCACCATCACAACACCCCGAGTCCTGAAACTTGGGGACCACCGCCCCCCCCCACACACACAATGGACTCACCATAGGGGCTGACGGCTTGGCTCCCCATGGCCCAGGGTCGCCACCTGATCCCAGGACTGTGCAAGGACGGCGGCGAATGCTTCGAAAGGGAGATTCTGATCTGGAACCTGTTGCTTAGCAGTTGCCTGCCAGCCTCCCTCCTCCCGCTTTGACATCACCGCCGCCCTGCCTGGCGCTTGAGAGACACACCTGCTGGCTGCGCTCACCTGCCTCTCAGCCTGGCCACGCCCCCTCCCGGCGCGGCAACGCCCACGCCACGCCCCCTCCCGGCGCCTTGACCCGGCCAGAGGCTGGGCGCCATCTCCTCCACCCTCCTCCTCCTCTCCTCCTCTCTCGTTTCTCTTCGGGACCCACCCTGATTTTCAGCCTCATTCCACGTGCTCCAAAGTTTTCCCGAAGAGAAGAAAAAAAAAACCTCGGAACCTCAACATTGGGGATCGGCCCCCCTCTCCCCACCCAAAAAAACCGGGGACAAGGTTTGGCAGCAGTTTTGCAGAGAAAAAACCCGTGTTTTGCAGCAGCCCCCAAACTAATTGATACTCAAACGGGGAGGTATCACCCCAAAAACCAAACAATTTTTTTTTAGTAAGAACACAATAGGATATCAAACACTAAAAAGTCCCCTGAAAAATATTTTTGCAGCATTTTGCAGAGAATATCTCATGTTTTGCGGTGCCCCACAAACAGTGGTACCTCGGGTTAAGAACTTAATTCGTTCCGGAGGTCTGTTCTTAACCTGAAGCACCACTTTAGCTAATGGGGCCTCCCGCTGCCGCCACGCGATTTCTGTTCTCATCCTGAAGCAAAGTTCTTAACCTGAGGTACTATTTCTGGGTTAGTGGAGTCTGTAACCTGAAGCGTCTGTAACCCGAGGTACCACTGTAATAGAAAATCAAACCGATTTGGGGGTTTGTCACTCAATGAAGCTGGATAAAAGCTTCCTTGTCTCCAAGCGAAAGAACATCCACAATAACCTTGATCGTCTGGGATTAGGGGTATACTGAGCTGAGGTGGGTCAGATCCAGAGCCAAAAGTCAGGTGGCCACTCTCCCTGCTCCAAGGAATGCCTTTCTTAATTTCCAAAATATAGAACATATGAAAATATGAAAATTGGGACGCGGGTGGCGCTGTGGGTTAAACCACAGAGCCTAGGACTTGCTGATCAGAAGGTCAGCGGTTTGAATCCCTGCCACGGAGTGAGCTCCCGTTGTTCGGTCCCAGCTCCTGCCAACCTAGCAGTTCGAAAGCACGTCAGAGTGCAAGTAGATAAATAGGTACTGCTCCAGCGGGAAGGGAAACGGCGTCTCCGTGCGCTGCTCTGGTTTGCCAGAAGCTGGCCACATGACCCGGAAACTGTACTCCGGCTCTCTCGGCCAATAAAGCGAGATGAGCACCGCAACCCCAGAGTCGGCCACGACTGGACTTAATGGTCAGGGGTCCCTTTACCTTTTATGGAACAGGGTCTACTAAGACAGCACATAGGTGCAGCCAGGATTTTGGTTAGGGGGGGCCAGGCTTTTGTGGGGAGGGAAATCTAAGATTTGTATTGATTTTTACTGATGGCTTCCTTGTCCATGTGCAGAAGCCATTAATATTTCCTGCACCACCAACGTGCTTAGTGTCCTATTTATTAAAAGTATTTCTATCCCACCTTCTTCTAAAGTCCAAAGGCAGCTCACAATCAGGATGAAAAAGAGGAATTAAGGAGAACAAAGACGACCCAAAATATCCAGAAGGTTTGGAATTTGACCGTACCAAGTTGCATAAGCAACGCGAGACAGGTCCCTGCTCCCAAGGAACTTACAGTCTCAATCTGATAGGGAAAAGCAAGCGAAATGTTATAGAAGAAACGGAGGAGGAGCTTGCCCCCCCCCACACACAATGTGCACCTCCACATTTATCTGTATGGCAAAGTTAGCTTTCAAAAGCCACTGGAGCCCTGTCAGAAAGAAAAGGCGAAGGGAGAAGTTTGCCAGCTGCAGATTCTCTTCCCCTTACTTAACAACAGCGAGAAAAGCCGGTAACCCTGTTTCCCCTTCTGTGCCACTGTAGAGACACTGGGGGTTACAACATTTCCGTATGTTAGTTGCATCCTCAACAAAAACCTTGTGAAGTACGGTAAGTTAGCCCAACAATTTTGCAACCCTCAACTTGTGTCAGTGTTTGTATCCTGGTCTCTCTCTCCCACAGGTACAAAATCCCATGGACTGCAAGAAGATCAAACCTATCCATTCTGAAGGAAATCAGCCCTGAGTGCTCACTGGAAGGACAGATCCTGAAGCTGAGGCTCCAATACTTTGGCCACCTCATGAAGAAGAAGAAGAGTTTGGATTTGATATCCCGCCTTTCACTCCCTTTAAGGAGTCTCAAAGCGGCTAACATTCTCCTTTCCCTTCCTCCCCCACAACGAACACTCTGTGAGGTGAGTGGGGCTGAGGGACTTCAAAGAAGTGTGACTGGCCCAAGGTCACCTAGCAGCTGCATGTGGAGGAGCGGAGACGCAAACCCGGTTCCCCAGATTACGAGACTACCACTCTTAACCACTATACCACACTGGCTCCCTGGAAAAGACCCTGATGTTGGGAAAGATGGAGGGCACAAGGAGACGGGGACGGCAGAGGACGAGATGGTTGGACAGTGTTCTTAAAGCTACCAGCATGAGTTTGACTAAACTGGGGGAGGCAGTGGAAGACAGGAGTGCCTGGCGTGCTCTGGTCCATGGGGTCACGAAGAGTTGGACATGACTAAACAACTAAACAACAACAACAACAACAATAATATGGGCACTGTCCATCTGACCTCAAATGGGAGTTCCAAAAATTGGGCCCATCCACACACAACACCTGATGGATACAAGCCCTAATAGTGATTCCCCCGAAGGGCCACATAGCTCAGTCAGTAGAGCACGAGACTTTTAATCGTGGGGTCGTGGGTTCGAGCCCAATGTTGGGTGAAAGATTCCCGCCTGCATTGCAGGGGGTTGGACTAAATGACCCATGTGGTCCCTTCTATGAAGGCTTCCGTGATCAGGCAGGGATTAAAGGAATCGCTAAGTATCCCTGACCCCAGTTGTTAAAAGGCCATGCAAATCAACACAAGGACTTTGAACCTGGCCTGGTAGCATATGGGCAGTTGGTGCAAACTTTGGAGCATAACCTGAATTATGTGCAGACAACAGTCTGTCCGCATCAACAGTCTAGCTGTTTTGCACCCGTTGAAGCCTCTGGACAAGGCCCAAGAGTAGCCGCAGGTTGTTGTTCTTGTTGTTTAGTCATTTAGTTGTGTCCGACTCTTCATGACCCCATGGACCAGAGCACGTCAGGCACTTCTGTCTTCCACTGCCTCCCGCCTCCCGCAGTTTAGTCAAACTCATACTGGTAGCTTCGAGAACACTATCCAACCATCTCGTCCTCTGTCGTCCCCTTCTCCTTGTGCCCTCCATCTTTCCCAACATCAGGGTCTTTCCCAGGGAGTCTTCTCTTCTCATGAGGTGGCCAATGTATTGGAGTCTCAGCTTCAGGATCTGTCCTTCCAGTGAGCACTCAGGGCTGATTTCCTTAAGAATGGAGAGGTTTGATCTTCTTGCAGTCCATGGGACTCTCAAGAGTCTCCTCCAGCACCATAATTCAAAAACATCAATTCTTCAGCGATCAGCCTTCTTTATGGTCCAGCTCTCACTTCCATACATCACTACTTGGAAAACCATAGCTTTAACTATACAGACCTTTGTTGGCAAGGTGATGTCTCTGCTTTTTAAGATGCTGTCTAGGTTTGTCATTGCTTTTCTCCCAAGAAGCAGGTTGTACACACTGTTATAAGGGTGTCTCTTGAGTAAAAGGCACGCTGAGCTTCCAGGGACAAAAGATGGATCCAGGAACACCCCCAAACTCCATTCTTATCCCAAAGAGGCAACATGGCCACTCGTGCCAGATACAGAAGATTTATTAAATCAGCTTTAATCTGTGTACAAGCTCTCATCAGCCAGGGGCAGCAAGGTAAGCAGCGGAAACCAACTTATTATTCAGGTGAACTCTTCCCTCACAACATACCGGATTTAGGCTCCACCCAAAGCCAAATTAACTGATGTTAATTGAGAGAATGCAACTAACACCCAGGTTGTTTTTGATTCTTTAAACACAAGGGTGGGTGGGTGTTGGCCTAAGCAGCCAAGGGAGGGAGATGGAGAAACGAGGGGGGTTAACTCTTTCCCTGCCACAGACAACAAAACTGCCTGAAACCACTATTTGTTTTTGTAATCACAACCCCATTCTTTGAGGAACTTCCTCCACAAAGTAGTTTACCATCACCAATAAAAACCAGCTCCAGCTCCTACGTCAAGGTAAGTTCCTGTTGTCACCTAAAAGTACATGGAGCTTAGCATTACATCAAGCCCATAATAGCCAACTCTTGACACGGGCTGTAATCGGTGCTGTTTTTTTCCTGGAAAAAGAGGTGCCGGAACTCACCATGAACACCTCCCTTGTTCTCCTCCAAAATGCTGAAAAAACTCTGGGCTGAATATTTTGGCCTCGTCATATTTTATACATTCATAACTAAGTGTAGGGTTGTAGTCAAAAGATTTATAGCAAATTAGTTTGCTTTTGAAATGTTTTGATTGTTTTATCAAATCTTAACTGGGATTTCATTGCTGCAATATATATGGGATTTTCATATTTAAAAATGCTAGTCTTTACTGAATCATTACTAGAATTTTTAAACTAAAATTGAAAAGGAACAAAAAAAAGAATGGCAAAGGCGCCCACCTGAGAGGTGCCAGAAACTCAGTTCTGGCTGAAAAAAAAAGCCCTGGCCATAATCCTGTAACTCATTTAACCTCAGAAAATACAAGAGGACTTACCTCTGAGAAGATGCAGAACAGGAGGATGCTGGAGATAATTCAAAACAATCTGACCAGGAGATGCATCAAAACGGCCGCCAACTGTGGAGGGCCATCGGCGGGGCAAGGCTGGGGTAGCAAATCGCCCAGAGATATAACGGCCAGCCTACTCCAGCTCACAGTTCAAGGAAGGGATGTAGTGAAGGGACGAGGAGCCCACCCACTGAAGCCAGAAAGCCTGGGGGGGGGGGAGGTCCAAGCCATTACCTCTAGGGAGGTGGAGAAACTTGTCCTCTCCTTGGGACCTTAGCAAGCCCCTAGGCACCATGTGATTCCTAGGCACTAGGAACAACTGATTGGTTCAAAATTGGGAAAGGAGTACGACAAGGCTGTATATTGTCTCCCTGCTTATTTAACCTATATGCAGAATTCATCATGTGAAAGGCTGGGCTGGATGAATCCCAAACCGGAATTAAGATTGCCGGAAGAAATATCAACAACCTCAGATATGCAGATGACACAACCTTGATGGCAGAAAGTGAGGAGGAATTAAAGAACCTTTTAATGAGGGTGAAAGAGGAGAGCGCAAAATATGGTCTGAAGCTCAACATCAAAAAAACAAAGATCATGGCCAAAGGGCCCATCACCTCCTGGCAAATAGAAGGGGAAGAAATGGAGGCAGTGAGAGATTTTACTTTCTTGGGCTCCATGATCACTGCAGATAGTGACAGCAGTCTCGAAATTAAGAGACGCCTGCTTCTTGGGAGAAAAGCAATGACAAACCTAGACAGCATCTTAAAAAGCAGAGACATCACCTTGCCGACAAAGGTCCGTATAGTTAAAGCTTTGGTTTTCCCAGTAGTGATGCATGGAAGTGAGAGCTGGACCATAAAGAAGGCTGATCGCCGAAGAATTGATGCTTTTGAATTATGGTGCTGGAGGAGACTCTTGAGAGTCCCATGGACTGCAAGAAGATCAAACCTATCCATTCTTAAGGAAATCAGCCCTGAGTGCACACTGGAAGAACAGATCCTGAAGCTGAGACTCCAATACATTGGCCACCTCATGAGAAGAGAAGTCTCCCTGGAAAAGACCCTGATGTTGGGAAAGATGGAGGGCACAAGGAGAAGGGGACGACAGAGGACGAGATGGATGGACAGTGTTCTCGAAGCTACCAGCATGAGTTTGACCAAACTGCGGGAGGCAGTGGAAGACAGAAGTGCCTGGCGTACTCTGGTCCATGGGGTCACGAAGAGTCGGACATGACTAAACGACTAAACAACAACAGGCACCATGTAGGAAGGGCTGGGCTAGCCTTTGTTCTGCAACCCGAGATGGCTGTCCAAGTAGACTGTACTGAGCTAAATGGACCGGTGGCGTGACTCTGAAGAAGTCTAGCTTCTACAGTGCTTTTTCATATTGTCATCTTATGTTGTGAACCGTCCAGAGATCTACAGGGGATAGGGCAGCATGCAAATTTAATAAATAATACCAATACATTCTTATGAAGGGAATATGGAGTCAGCAACCTGTGAAAATGGCTCGCAGCCACAGGTTCTACATATCAGAACACTAAATACCTGTGAGATCACGTACACATACACACACGTGGACCTGCTTCCCTGCAAATTTCCTTTCTTCCTCTGAGAGGCAGGTCTGGATTTTATTCTGTGAAGAGTCTACCTCTTTTATAACCTTTGCTATGTTTCTGTATCATTTGGAATATAGTGCTGTCATGCAATGGGTTGCTGGTTATATTGCTTTCGGCCTGCAATGGCATTGGAATGTATATTGTATCTGTCATTCATTGATACCTTTTAATGATTTACAGTTTGTTTCAGGATGACGACCTTGAAACGCCATAACGTACATATAATCAAATTATTTGCTAATCAAATTATTTGCTAAGTTGTGTTACAATTTTAAATTATTTTGTGTTTGATTGCTAGTGTAATGATGTGCAGATTTTCATTTCTGCTGTGTTGTGAAATGCTTTGAGCATATTTACATGCAAATGTGGGACGCAAATTCAAATAAATAAATCCAGCCAACATTTAGGGCTTATATGAATCTGGCTTCCCAGGCTGACACCGTACCTCGCCAGAGTGGTGCATGCTCTAGTTATCTCTCACTTGGACTACAGCAATGTGCTCTACATGGGGCTACCTTTGAAGGTGACCCGGAAACTACAACTAATCCAGAATGCGGCAGCTAGACTGGTGACTGGGAGTGGCCACCGGGACCACATAACACTGGTCCTGAGAGATCTTCATTGGCTCCCAATACGTTTCCGAGCACAATTCAAAGTGTTGATGCTGACCTTTAAAGCCCTAAATGGCCTCGGTCCTGTATACCTGAAGGAGCGTCTCCACCTTCATCGTTCAGCCCAAACACTGAGATCCAGCGCCAAGGGCCTTCTGGCGGTTCTCTCATTGCAAGAAGTGAGGTTACAGGGAACCAGACAGAGGGCCTTCTCGGTAGTGGCGCCTGCCCTGTGGAACGCCCTCCCATCAGATGTCAAGGAAATAAGCAGCTATCTTATTTTTAAAAGACATCTGAAGGCAGCCCTGTTTAGGGAAGTTTTTGATATTTAATGTTGTATTGTTTTTAACACTCGATTGGGAGCCGCCCTGAGTGGCTGGGGAAACTAAGCCAGATGGGCAGGGTATAAATAATAAATTATTATTATTATTATTCACTGTGATGTACGTCAGCCATTGTATCTATAAATGGAGACACCGGCAAAGGCCTCTTTATTCTCTCCCCCTACTCAAAACCATAGACATGCAGAGCAAGAATAGCTTTAGCAAAGGCTTCCCTTTTAATTTTGCCCCTCACTTCTTTCCTGCCATTTAGCTCTGCCTTGGCTAGTGCCAGGAACAGCTGAGATGCTTCGTGTGAGAGCCAGTTCTTCCTGTCAAAGCCTCTCTTGCTCTTCCCGTTGTGGGATGGGGCTTTGAAGAGTCCTTTGCCCACCTCTAGCTTCCTGCAGGAGGGAGTCAGTGGACAGGGCCAATGCTTGCTGCCCCCTTTTCAAATGAAACTCGGGCCCTGTTAAAACTGGGTTGCAGGCACTCCACCTTGGCAGGCCAAAAAATGACGTCCTCTTCCGTCAACACAAGAGACCTAATGGATGAGGCTGCAAAGGCCTATCCAGACCAACAGCCCTCTCCCCAACTCCTAGCAACTAATATTCAGAGGTAAACTGCTTTGAACAGTGGAGGGAGAACATAGCATTTGTGACTAGTAGCCACTGACCGCCTGATCTGCCACGAATTTGTCTAACCCCACTTGTAAAGCCATTCAGGCTAACAGACATTGCTACTGTCCATTCCATTATGTGCCGTGTGGGGGGAAAAGTAGTTTCTTTTATCTGCTTTGAACCTTCCAAACTTCTGCTTCATTGAAAGGCCCTGAGTTCTGGAATTGTAATAAAAAATTTAAGGTCTTATATATATTATATATATGTTGATAAATGTACCAACCAAGCACATACATAGATATGTGAACCACATGTCTTGAGCAGCACAGGAAGACCGCCCTGAAACCATTTTGACTCCCAAACTGACCAAATGTTTTCTCTGCAAGGAGGGAGGGGGTGAGGGAACCTTCCTTTTGTCTCAGGAATTGGGAAATCACCATCTCAAAGGAAGGGCCAGACTACCAGGAAAGGCAATCAGATAAGGCATTATCAGATAACCTGGCAGACAGGAAAAACAACAACATTCAAATTTCTGTTGTAGACCGTCTTTTCTGTAATGTAGGTATGATGTTTGTGGGGAGTGGTCTTGGGTTACACCCCTTCTGTGATGTATGGAGAGGTGGTCTTGAGCTCCAGGGCAGGGAATTTTAAATGTCTATACAGTGGTACCTCGGGTTAAGTACTTAATTCGTTCCGGAGGTCCGTACTTAACCTGAAACTGTTCTTAACCTGAAGCACCACTTTAGCTAATGGGGCCTCCTGCTGCTGCCGCGCCGCCGAAGCCCGATTTCTGTTCTTATCCTGAAGCAAAGTTCTTAACCTGAAGCACTATTTCTGGCTTAGTGGAGTATGTAACCTGAAGCACATGTAACTTGAAGCATATGTAACCCGAGGTACCACTGTATAAGGGCAGGCACACCTTTGTTCTGGGTCCTCCTCCTTTCTCCTGCGTGTGAAGGGGGCACCCTGTTGCAACAGTTCAATAAAGATCAGGCTTACTAGTTGCTTTGCTTCTCAATATTCTCTGGTTGGCCTCTGTTATTTTCTCCGACCGATGGAGAACCTACAAAGGACTCTATAAGGGCTCTTGTGTCCCCATAAGGGAATAAAGGCAGGTTTTGTTTATTACAGAATCCTCCAAGGGACTTTGAGGGATGGGTGGGGATCTTGCTGAGCTTCTGGGATTCTCGGAAGACGTCTGCAAGGTCGTGTAACTACACAGACAAGGCCCTGTCCCCCCCCCTCAAAAAAAATCCAGAGAGGTACAAAAGACCTGCAAACTAGCATTCAGATGCCTCTTACCCACACAGTCCCCAGCCAGGAACGAGGCAAGAAGGGGAAAAAACACACCATTGCGGCTTTGTTTTAAGTTTGTATCAAAAAATTGCCAGATGCCAACGTTTATTGGTTTTATGGCCCCAGAAAATTACAGTTTAAAAAACAAAATTGTGAAAACCCATAGAAAAGAGAGAAGATAGAGAGGGAGAAAGAGAGAAAGATAAGGCTGGCCCCTCCAAACTGAATCAATACTTCTGCTGTTCCAGAGGTTGAAAGGAGATACAGCTATGGGACCGTCACGGGCATCACCGAGCTTGGAGAAACCTTGGCTCCAGTTCGAAACTGAAACTTGTGTCACACGTACACAACACACGCACAAAAGGTAAACATTAACTTGGCCCCCCAAACAAGAAAAAGGCCACTAAAAAACATCCCCCCCCCCCTTCAGCTGACAAGGCGCATCAGACAGGAAGCAGGATAGCAACACGCACATACACCATCCCACCAGGAGGAGGCAGCGTTATCTCTGAACGCAACCCTCAGGCTCCTCACTGCTTGATGTCGGCTTGTCCTCCATCAACAACCACACTGCAAGATGGGGGTCTGATCCCCCAGAGTCTTTCCTCACAGACAGGAACCTGTTTGGCGGGCCTGTCCGTGAGCCGGCGTCAGGCGATTATTTGCAGCGTGTGGTTGTTGAAGGAAGAAGACCGCTGGCCCCAGGCGCAGGGCTCAAAGTGTGACCCCGCTTGGGTGCCTGCGCACAAGCAACGAGAGCACCCTGGCCCGGCACGAGAGGAAAGTCATGTGTTCAAAGGTTTCCCCGGTTGGCAACGAAGGATGCAAAAGTGTGGGTGGCTCGGGAGTTATACTGGCCTGGCTATGTGCGTCAGGCCCAAGGCCTCCAGGTGCGCACGTGACCTTTCACCTCTGCCCTCTGTATGCCAAAGATGGGGAAGCTGCAGCCTCCCAGGCGTCGCTGGACCTCCAGGCCCCACAGCGAGAGATGCAGTGCAGCCATCTCTGGAAGGCCACCAGCGCTCCACCCATTCCTCTGTCCAAGGCGCTGGGGACCTTTCGGCCCTCCAGATGTGGCCGGACTACAACTCCCATCATCCCTTGCCATTGGCCATGCTGGCTGGGGCTGATGGGGCTGTAGTCCAATTGTGTCTGCACCAAGCACAGAGGCCCCTCTGGCTTTCACCTCCCTGGAACAGGAAATAGTTTTTCTGTCCTCTCTTCTCCTTCGCCAGCCGGACTGTTTCTTTCCAGGCAAACTCTTCCTCTTCGTGGAGGGGGGTTGGGGGGCGCTTCCATCTCGCTCGCCGTAGGAGAGCAGGCCGCAGCCTGCTGGAGAAGGAGGGGAGGGGTCCCGACGCCGGGGTCTGGCAGCTGGGCCCGGCTCAGGCCTGCGTGGCAGGGAGGTTGCTGCTGTCAGGCAGGCCATCTTGGTGCGCCTCCAGGCGGGCCAGGCGGCTTTGCTCCAGGGCGATGGCTTCGGCCGAATGCTTGCACTTCTCCGAGCCGCACTGGCATGTGAAGTATTTGCTCTTGATGTCCCAGAAGCGGTCGCCATAGTCAAACCTGGAGGGCAGAGCAGGGGAAGAGGGAAAGGAGGAAGAAGACGACGACTTTGGATTTGATATCCCGCTTTATCACTACTCTAAAAGGTAAAGGTAAAGGGACCCCTGACCATTAGGTCCAGTCGTGGACGACTCTGGGGTTGTGGCGCTCATCTCGCTTTATTGGCCGAGGGAGCCGGCATACAGCTTCCGGGTCATGTGGCCAGCATGACTAAGCCGCCTCTGGAGAACCAGAGCAGCGCACGGAATCACCGTTTACCTTCCCGCTGGAGCGGTACCTATTTATCTACTTGCACTTTGACGTGCTTTCGAACTGCTAGGTTGGCAGGAGCAGGGACTGAGGAACAGGAGCTCACCCCGTCACGGGGATTTGAACCGCCGACCTTCTGATCGGCAAGCCTTAGGCTTTGTGGTTTAACCCACAGCGCCACCAGTGTCCCTATCACTACCCTAAGGAGTCTCAAAGCAGCTAACATTCTCCTTTCCCTTCCTCCCCGACAACAAACATTCTGTGAGGTGAGTGGGGCTAGAGACTTCAAATAAGTGTGACTAGGCCAAGGCAGCTGCATGTGGAGGAGCGGAGACGCGAACCCGGTTCCCCAGATTACGAGACTACCGCTCTTAACCACTACACCACAGGGTGAAGTTTGGGTGGGGGCAGACAGGAGCCTCACCTCGTGACAGCAGGCACTGACTCTGCTCTGGTGTATCCAAGCACAGTCATACCTTGGGTTACAGACGCTTCAGGTTGCGTTCTCTCGGGTTACAGACGCGCCAAAACCCGGAAGTACCAGAATGGGTTACTTCAGGGCTTCGGCGGCCGCGCATGTGCAAAAGCGCTAAATCGCACTTTGGGCATGCACAGAAGCGCGAAATTGCAACCCGCGGGTGCGCCGCTGCGGGTTGCGAACGTGCCTCCCGCATGGATCACGTCCGCGACCCGAGTGTCCACTGTAGCTGGAAGCAAGGGGTTGCCAACCTTTCGGTGACAGCCGTGGATACGTTTGCAGGCCACAGAAAACAGCAACTTGGGGGTGGTGTTAGCCACAGTGGCTATGTTCCATCTCCGTGTATGGAGGTGGAACATACCAAGCCGCTAAGTAGGGAGAGTGGGTACTATAAATGTGCCAGGACTCCCCCTACTTGTGAGCCCCACCTGCTGGAATTGCCCCCGAGATGCAATATAGGCTTGGGGAAAACCCACTCATATTGACTAATGAATGTTTCTTTCAAGCCTAATTCCAGAAGGGGGGACGGGGGACAGGAACGTGTAAGGTAAAGGTAAAGGGACCCCTGACCATTAGGTCCAGTCGTGGCCGACTCTGGGGTTGCAGCGCTCATCTCGCTTTATTGGCCAAGAGAGCCGGCGTACAGCTTCCGGGTCATGTGGCCAGCATGACTAAGCCGCTTCTGGCGAACCAGAGCAGCGCACGGAAACGCCATTTACCTTCCCGCCAGAGCGGTACTTATTTATCTACTTGCACTTTTGACGTGCTTTTGAACTGCTAGGTTGGCAGGAGCAGGGACCGAGCGACAAGAGCTCACCCTGTTGCAGGGATTTGAACCGTCGACCTTCTGATCGGCAAGGCCTAGGCTCTGTGGTTTAACCCACAGTGCCACCCACGTCCCTTACAGGTGTCTGTAGAGGCCAGGAATAACCTCCAAAGGCACATGCACACCCATGGGTACCATGCTGAAAGTGGGGTGTGTGTGTCTGCATACCTGCATACTTTTGACACACCTGCCATTGGCAGACAGCCCTTGGAAGAGGTGGTCAACCCTCAGTCAGGCCTTTGTGCTGAAACAGCGTTAGCATGACTGATGGAGAGGGGAGGGACTGTTTTTCATCAAGGGAAAGACAGCCAGAACCGAACCCCCACCGAGATCTGCATTAACTGTTAACTCTTGACAACCTGTGCCTGAGCTGGTGTTTTCCTCTTCCCTCCTCTTCCTATTTCCTCACGTGTCGTATCTTTTTTTTTTTTTTTGAGATTGTGAATCTGAGGGAAGGACTGTCTTGGTGCTGATTTTTTGGCAAGCCTTTTTTGGCTAAAGGGTGGAGGGGGAAATGGCTCAATCAAGATCTCTTATCTCCACTGACCCTAGCTCTTCGCCGGTCTGAATGTCCCTGCTGCTGAAGAAGGCAATGCGGGGGAAACGCAGGTCCTGGTGAAGCATGAAGACCCGCACAGGGATGATGTTGGGGTCGCACAGGTGGTTGATGAAGCGGCTGACGTTCCCGTAGTAACGTGCGTCGATGCAGTAAACCTCACCGTCCTGCAAGGTGTAGAGGGAGGGAGAGAGGGAGGGGAGATCAGACATAGGAGGAACCTAGGCAGTTTCCAGGGCTTTATGTCCATCCAAGACCAAAGAGACCTTGGACATCCATGAGAAAGGGTGGGTGGGGAGTCCCTCCACCAATGAATTATAATCCCCAGATTCCTAGATTTTCTTTTTAAGAAAAAAAAAAAAAGAAGTTTCTAGCATTTGTAGAAGCTGAGATCCAGGGCAAAATGTGCAGGCGCTTGTCTTCTCATTTTGGGGGTGAGAAACTAGCCTGCTCCCCCACTCCAGTGTTTTATGCCACCACTTCCCTGGAAATTTCCTGCTGATGACCCTGAAACTAATAATAATAATAATAATAATAATAATAATAAATTATTATTATTATTATTATTATACCCCCCACAGCTCCCCACAGAATATTAAAACCATGATAAAACATCAAACATTAAAAGCTTCCCTAAACAGGGCTTATTTCCTTGCCACTACTGAGAAGGCCCTCTGCCTGGTTCCCTGTGACCTCACGTCTCGCAGGGAGGGAACCCAGGTTGTAAGACCTAGAACTTTCAATTCCTAAACGTTGACCAATTTAACTCAGGTTCACCCTGATCTGCTTCCCTGAGCTGGGGCCCTTCCTTTTTAAGAGAGGATCCCTCTCTTCAGACACCCAACACCCACCCAGGCAAACCTATATAGCTTCAAACAATGATGCTTTAAGTGTGCTTTAAGCGCATTATGCAAATGTGACACTAGATGGCGATGGTGAGCTTGACAAATTCACTATATTTTTTCAAAACCTTTTTTTAAAAAAATAATAATTTCCACAGTGTTTTTTGTGTGTGTCTGGATTCCACCCAGGAGTCTGGATAGCCTCACCTTATTGTCCAGATCAAACAGGTACGAGTCGTCTTCCCTGACATCAGCTTCTGCATCAGAAATCAGTTCCCCCACATACCTTCAGGCAGGAAAACGTGGGAGATGTGAGAGAGGGGCTTGCTGGGCAGCTGCTCCTTGAAGCAGGCAAAGTCTAGTACTGAAACCCCAAAGTTTGGAGAGGAGGGCCTCTCTGCCTCCCTCCTTCCCACCCACCCACCCACCCACCCACCACAACGCCTCTCCAGATGTAGCTGCAGCCTCGGGGACGGGGGAAAGGGAAAGGCAAGCTTTCCTCCAGCACCAACTCACTCGCATATAAAGGTTCCTTGGGGAATCGTCTGCAACGCCCGGACACCCCACCCCATCTTGGCCGTGCGGTAGAGCTGCAGGCGGACCCTGAGGTGAAGGAAGAACAGAAGGACACTGGTTTCCAGCAGGCTAGAGACACATGCGGAGGCTTGTGGTGGGGCCTGAGTCCCCTTCCATGGTTTTGGAGGTTCTGAACGCAGCAGCAACAACAAAAAGAACTCACTTGATGCCGCTCTGAACCACACGGTTCTTGCAGTTTCTCCAGCAGGTGCAGGCCTGGTTGCATTCGAAGATCAGGGGCGGCTCGATCTTGTTGAACTCTTGCAGCAAACGGCCGTCCTGCCAGGGGGGGGAAGAACAGGAAGGAGAGGGTAAGGAAGTTATCCGGGCAGAGGAAGAAGGGTTTGGATTTGACATCCCGCTTTATCACTACCCGAAGGAGTCTCAAAGCGGCTAACATTCTCCTTTCCCTTCCTCTCCCACAACAAACACCCTGTGAGGTGAGTGGGGCTGAGAGACTTCAAAGAAGTGTGACTGGACCAAGGTCACCCAGCAGGTGCATGTGGAGGAGCGGAGACGCGAACCCGGTTCCCCAGATTACGAGACTACCGCTCTTAACCACTACACCACACTGGCTGCTGTTTCCCAATTGCCTTTCGAATCTATAGCCAGAGATTAAAACAGGGCCTGCCTGAGATGTTGAGATTTCCCTGTCAGCATGTGTGGACAAAATCCCTCCAGGGATTTTGACTGCAAAATGGAAATTCTGCCTGTAGGACAGTGGTCTGCTATCTTCAGGGAACTGTTTCCTGTTGACGTGTCTGCAGAGGAGCTCCGCAAGTACACCTTAAAATCCGTTTGCCCTGCAAAGGGTTCTCTGATGTTCTCCAGGGCCTGGTCATTTCACAGTGGCCAGGCACTGAGCAGAGTTGACGCCAGGGACCCCCTGGCGCACATCTGGCCCAATCTTGCCCACCCACTCCTGGCTCCGCCTACCAAAATCACCAGCACCCAGTTGACTTTTCCCGTGGGTCGACAGCCCTGCAAAGTTTTGGGCCAGAACTTTCTCTCACACTGCTGGCCAACGTTTGACACAGGTGGGCAGGAGAAACCTACCTGTCACTCACCCGACACCATGACAAAGTCAGGTAGACAATCCTGCCCACCTGCCAAAGGTGATCCATGGGAGGGAAGTGGTGGGCTTTGCTAGTGTGTTCCCCAAGCTCCAAGTACCCAGGAGGGAAGAGTTTAATTTTACTCAATGTATATACATCACTGAGGGACGCGGGTGGCGCTGTGGGTTAAACCACAGAGCCTAGGACTTGCCGATCAGAAGGTCGGTGGTTTGAATCCCCGCAACGGGGTGAGCTCCCTTTGCTCAGTCCCTGCTCCTGCCAACCTAGCAGTTCAAAAGCACACCAGTGCAAGTAGATAAATAGGTACCGCTCCACCGGGAAGGTAAACGGCGTTTCCGTGCGCTGCTCTGGTTCGCCAGAAGCGGCTTAGTCATGCTGGCCACATGACCCGGAAGCTGTACTCGGCCAATAAAGCAAGATGAGCACCGCAACCCCAGAGTCGGTCATGACTGGACTTAATGGTCAGGGGTCCCTTTACCTTTATATACATCACTTCCTGCTATATAAATATATAAGGGATTCACAACCAAGGTAAACAAATATGATACACACACAAAAACATTGTGAAGAACAGTTTTAACCATGCCACATCATAATATTGGTGCTGTTCAAATGAACAAGAAATCAAAAACCCTTTTAGCTGCTGCTAAAAGGCCTCATTGGGGAGAAAATTCTGCAAATAAAGCTAAGCACCAAAGCCAGAACAAAACAGAGACCATACCCCACTCTGACAAAAAAAGGGGGTGCCAGTTTATATACTCCACTTAGTAGTTTTCCTGACATTTCAAGGTTTCCACCTTTCCAGGTCAGCTAACCAGCCACTTATACTCCCTCAGTCACTCACCTTGTCATACCAGCAGCGGATGCTGAGCTGTCCGCATAAGCAGTTGCTGGAGGAACAGTCATCCTGGCAGGTGCAATGCTGGGAATGTGAAAAGACAAGGTGTGAGATGGATGCCACAAAGGGGAGGGAGAGGGAGAGGTACCGGTACCAGCCCCCACCTGGGGCAAAGCCAGTGTGGTGTAGTGGTTAAGAGCGGTAGTCTCGTAATCTGGGGAACCGGGTTCGCTTCCCCGCTCCTCCACATGCAGCTGCTGGGTGACCTTGGGCCAGTCACACTTCTCTGAAGTCTCTCAGCCCCACTCACCTCACAGAGTGTTTGTTGTGGGGCAGGAAGGGAAAGGAGACTGTTAGCCGCTTTGAGACTCCTTAGGGTAGTGATAAAGCGGGATATCAAATCCAAACTCTACCTGCAGCCCACAGGCAGGCCAACCCAGGTGAACTCCCTTGCCAACTTGGGGAGGGAAAGGAGGAGGGTGGAGCAGGCACTACAAGAGGGGTTTTGCCAATGTGGCGCCCTTGAGATCTTCCCCTGGGCCCCTGCAAAGCCTCCCCTGTCCCCTACTCCTCCAGCACTGCCCCCTTAAACACAAGGTACTGGGGACAGTTAACACCTGCCCCCTTAAGAAATCAGATGTCCAATTCCAGATTAGCACAGCGATAGCCTTTTCCGGCTCCTTGCTAAAAGTGTTTCGTTCTTTAAAACTGTCCCTTTTCGTCTCAGAAATTGTTTTTATTTTTGGAAGGAGGGCAGTCGCTACGAAGCCCAGGTTGCCCAGCCAATGAAAGTACCTGCAAATGGGTGATGTTGCGGTCAATGTTCATGGTGGAAGTCTCACAGTTTTCCGAGATGTATTTGTAATCCTCTGGGCAGGGCTCGTCGTCCACGGAGTTGACACAGGGAATGGGGACGTTCTCGTAGCCGCGGGCCACGTCCCTGGAAAGAGAGAGAGAGAGAGCTTTAAAGGTATGTCGTGTGCGCAGCCAAAGTGATGTCTTTTTGAGTACAGTGGTACCTCAGGTTACATACGTTTCAGGTTACAGACTCCACTAACCCAGAAATGGTGCTTCAGGTTAAGAACTTTGCTTAAGAACAGAAATCGTGCTCTGGCGACGTGATGGCAGCAGGAGGCTAAAGTGTTGCTTCAAGTTGTGCGTTTTCAGGTTGCGTCCCGCGGTGACCCGGAAGTAACGGAAAAGGTTACTTCCAGGTTTCGCCGCTCGCGCATGCGCAGACACGCAAAATGACGTCACGCGCGTGCGCAGAAGCGGTGAATCGCAACTCGTGCATGCGCAGACGTGGGTTGCATTTTCAGGTTGCGAACAGCCTCCGGAACGGATCCCGTTCGCAACCAGAGGTACTTTATATTATTATCATTATCATTATTATTATTACTGCTGGTGAGACAGAATAGATGCAATTCTCTGCTAGGTCCACACAGAAACAGCCATACAAGCACCACCTCGTCCATCAGGGAGGAGTTGGAGGCAGATCCCCCCTTCCCTCATCCAGACACGACCTCAAACCGCACCTGCTGATGATGCGCTCGGTGCGCACGGAGCGGTTCATAATCCCTTGGCGGATCTTGCGGTTCAGCTGCAAGGCAAACCACACCTCCGAGTTCTCCAAGGTCAGGTCCAAGGGAGTGTCCCCTTCTTTGTTCCGCACTTCAGTGTCGGCCCCCCGGGACAGGAAGAGGCTGCTCAGGGGATAGGGGGGAAGGAAGAGAGGATTAGAGCCGAGGTGTCGTGGCGCCCAAACAGCTCCAACCCCCCTGCAATGTGGAAGGGAACCCTGGCCGGTCTTACAGGACACACTCGTGGTAGCTCTCCCGCGCGGCTATGTGCAGAGGCGTGTCTCCGTGGAAATTGACCGCGTGGAGGTCGCACTGGGCGTTCAGCAGGACTTCCGCAATCTCCGCACTCCCCGTGAAGGAGGCCCAGTGCAGGCAAATGTTCTCTTCCTGGTTGGGAGAAGAGGGAGGAGTTACAGGAGGATATGATTCTGTCTGGGGGGGGTACTATTATTGCAAGGGAGGAAAAGCAGCATAAAGGAACAGAGCAAAGAGAACACTAGGAGAGACTTTTGATTGTAGCTCTACGCGGTTCAGCAGGCGTGCTGAGAGAATGAAGATTCCTTCTGCTGCTTTTTCAAGCTATAGTTACTTGATAAGAACAGGGCTTCTCTAAATTTTAAGAACGTGCATGCTTGCCTAACTTAAAAGTAGATTAGTTGGGAGTCGTTCTTGAGTGAATATTTTGAATAATTTATTTTATGTAACTGACAGAATTAAAATCAGAAGACCTTTTTATTTTTCTTCTATTTTTTGGTGTTCCTTTGGCATTTTCTTTTCTCTCTGGTTTTGTTTTTATTTAGACTGGTTTCTTTTATCTACTTGTGTTATGAAAAAGCTTTAATATAATCTTATTTTAAAAACAAACAAACTTTCACACGTTTCACATCGCTCTAGTGTTCATCTCTGAAACGCATGGAGGTGCAATAAAAAGTCTTACACCAGTGAGCTCCGGAGCCCAATTCTCCTCTTTGCTCTGTTTTACAAACAGCTACTAAGTCACGATGGATATGCATTTCTTCCATGCAGATTTATGCAAGTTGAACTGATTATCCCACTCGTTAGAAAGCAACAGGCTTCAGGGTCAGAACCATGTGCAGCAGAAGGGGGTGACAGAACGTTGAGGTGACTGGATGGACTGTACCACTCAAGGCTTCCACTCATGTGGGATGGGGGTCACATTTATGGAACGCTCACCCACATTAAAAACAACAGAAAACCAGCACATTAACATGGTAGGATAGGACATTTCCAGTGCTTTCTATTGGCAGAGAGTTGTGTGCTTTTTAAAAACGTGAATGCACATTTTCTTTTAAAAAATATTATTATTATTATTATTTATTAAATTTGTGATAAATTTGATAAGTGAAGGTCCTGTGTGAGTGTCTGGAGGCGGTTGAAGGATGGATGGCGGCTAACAGATTGAGGTTGAATCCTGACAAGACAGAAGTACTGTTTTTGGGGGACAGGAGACAGGTGTGGCATACTCCCTGGTCCTGAATGGGGTAACTGTGCCCCTGAAGAACCAGGTGCGCAGCCTGGGAGTCATTCTGGAGGCACTGGTCAATTCTGTGTCCAGGGCAGCTGTTTACCAGCTCCACCTGGTACGCAGGCTGAGACCCTGCCTGCCCACGGACTCTCTCGCCAGAGTGGTGCATGCTCTGGTTATCTCTCGCTTGGACTACTGCAATGCCCTCTATGTGGGGCTACCTTTGAAGGTGACCCGGAAACTAGAATTAATCCAGGGTGCGGCAGCTAGACTGGTGACTGGGAGTGGCTGCTGAAACCATATAACACCGGTCTTGAAAGAACTACACTGGCTCCCAGTACGTTTCCAAGCACAATTCAAAGTGTTGGTGCTGACCTTTAAAGCCCTAAATGGCCTCAGTCCAGTATACCTGAAGGAGCGTCTCCACCTCCATCGTTCTGCCCGGACACTGAGGTCCAGCACCGAGGGCCTTCTGGCGGTTCCCTCGCTGCGAGAAGCCAAGTTACAGGGAACCAGGCAGAGGGCCTTCTCGGTAGTGGCACCCACCCTGTGGAACGCCCTCCCACCAGATGTTAAAGAGAAAAACAACTACCAAACTTTTAGAAGACATCTGAAGGCAGCCCTGTTTAGGGAAGCTTTTAATGTTTAATAGGTTATTGTATTTTAGAGTTTTGATGGAAGCCGCCCAGAGTGGCTGGGGAAACCCAGCCAGATGGGCGGGGTATAAATAATAAATTATTATTATTATTACTGCCCTTCATCCAAAGATATTAGAGTGGTTCACAGCATAAAAATGAAAAATTAAAAACACAAAAATACACAATACAATCACAAATAAAAACAAAACAACCCCATAACCCCTCTCCCCACCTGCAGGCCAAAGTGGTACAGTCCATTTGGCCCCCTCGTTTCTGAGCACGTGCAGACGCAACCTCTAGTTAATCTAGAGCAAGCCCCACCCACTTTTCTTTTGCGCCAGCTTTGCAGGCCTGAGCTCATCCTGCATGGGAGCCAGGGGACCAAAAACTCACATACATTGTCAGTCAACGTGACGTCGGCTCCACGGGTGAGAAGCATGCGGATCACCTCAATGTGCTTATGCTCAGCAGCCCAGATGATGGGGGTCCAACCGCCGCTATCCTAAACAAGGGAAAAGAGAGAGAGAGAGAGGAGGCTTGTGTGATGGCAACAGAAGGCCTGTGGCTCAAAAGGCGGTTGTGTGCTATTGGGAGAATTGCAGTGCCTGCCAATTAGCTGATGGAGCAAGTTCAAGGTCAAGGTGTCAGAGTGGGCATCTTGCAGATACCGTTCTATCAAGAGGACTTTCCCTTCACCTGCTGAGAATTGGACCTCCAGTGCAAGAACAAACCAAATCTCTCCCAAATAAAGAATTATAATGTCTATTATGACATGAGGCATTGCTTTAGACACTTACAGAACACCTTTATTCAGTGAGGGAGGCTACCCAAACATGATTTAGTTACCGATATTCATTTTGTTTGTTTTTAATTTTAATATATGTTTGTTCACAACAATGATGGTTTTAGGCACATTTGTCTCTTAAACTAGTTTGTGGATTTTATCCATGCTTTAGTTACAATTTCATTTCTGTACCGCATGAAGAGCTCTTTGACCAAGCGGTTTACAAACCACCTAAATAATTCATTTTAAGCATTGCTGTATTTCAGTGTGTTTTCACAAAAAATGGTTGTAGAACTGCTGTTTTCAATAAATCTGTTTTAAATATTTTTGCTCCCTCATACACAGCTTCGACTATTTACACGCAGATATGTGTGAGTGTGTATGTGCCACAAAAGAATAAACATGCACAGACCAAGATGTGGAGGGGAGGAGGGGGAAGAATGCAAGTCCGCCCCAATTCCCACTTGCAACGAGCCCCTTTCTCACCTGGGCGTTGACGTCCACCTGCCCTGTGGAGAGCAGCAAGCTGACCATCTCCACATTTCCATTCTTGGCAGCGTGATGGAGACAAGTAGAGCCATCATCCTCCTGCAGTGGCACCACCGGGATGATAAAAACCAGCAGAAATTTATTTATTGCGGTTTATTTATTCCTTCCTCCTGAAGGAGTCCGAGGTAGCAAACACATTGATTCAGTGATACCAGTGGCACCGATCCCTCTCGCTCTCCTGGCTTCAGCGAAAGCAACGTGAAGCCATGGAACCTGCATTCGCTCCATAAGACGCACACACACTTCCCCTTACTTTTTAGGAGGGGAAAAGTGCGTCTTATAGAGCAAAAAATACGGTAAATAGCATCTCTGCCCCTACAATGAAACCCTCTCACAAACAGCCCAAATATTCCTCTAAGAGGGGTGCCTTTCCCACTCTCATCAAACACAGATAATAATTCTCCTTTTGACCTTAGTGTAAACGCAGCCGCCCCTTTTGACCAGGTAACGAGCTAACTCCACGTGGTTGTTTGCGACAGCCTCCATCAGCGGGGTCCGGCGTAACTTGTCCACTGTGTTTATATTGGCACCAGCCTGCGGGGGAAGAAGAAAAGTTAAACAGGGCTTGTATATTCCCCACTGTGCAAACCCAAACCTAGCTCACATGTCACACTGAACAGTTTAAGGTAAAGGGACCCCTGACCATTAGGTCCAGTCGTGGCCGACTCTGGGGTTGCAGTGCTCATCTCGCTTTATTGGCCGAGGGAGCCGGTGTACAACTTCCGGGTCATGTGGCCAGCATGACTAAGCCGCTTCTGGTGAACCAGAGCAGCGCACGGAAACAGCGTTTACCTTCCCGCCGGAGTGGTACCTATTTATCTACTTGCACTTTGTCGTGCATTCGAACTGCTAGGTTGGCAGGAGCAGGGACTGAGCAATGGGAGCTCACCCTGTCACAGGGATTCAATCTGCCGACCTTCTGATCGGCAAGCCCTAGGCTCTGTGGTTTAACCCAAAGCGCCACCCACATCCCTTCTAAACAGTTTAGCCAAACACTAAATTGACTAAGTCAACTAGGATAGGATAGGCCTAGTTTGTAGGAAAGGCTTAGTTTAGTCAACCAACAAAAATAGGCCTAATTCGTATGTCATTGAGGAAGGATGGGCAGAGATATATTAGAAACCAGGGGAAGTTTGAGTGGCTGAAGGTGGCCGAGTTGGTGAAGGGAAGGGAAGGCTAAAGGCAAGAATATAAGAAAAAGGATTGGGAAGATAAGATGGGGCAAAACTGCAGACAGTTATACAGATCGAACGGATGGAATATTCTTGCCAATGACAGCTGGCCATGGAGTTTTGTTTGTTGTTACTTTTTGCTGTCATGATGTTTATTTCAGGGTGGGTAAAATTAATTGATTTTAAATAAATAAAATCTATTTTTATTTATTTATTTAAATTGGATTTTTTTTTTATTTAAATTGGATTTTTCAAATAAAATGCTTTTGGAGGAAAAACCTTTCTAAAGCTAGTTTTCTATTTAAGATACATTATAGTCCAAAGGCTATTCATCAGGAAATAAGGATTTGTTTTTCATGTGTGCTAAAACAAAGTCTACGGTGGTTGTTTTTTAAAAAAAATTGTTTAACCACATCAGTTAACAAACACGGATACATATGCTATAATGTTATTGTTTTAGTTAAATAAATTGTTTAAATTGCTATTAAGGAAATGATTATTTTTCTCCTTCCAGCAGAAAAATTGTCCAGATATAAACAGTTAACTTATTAAACCTCACAATAATTTCATAATTATCGGCCTGTGTATATCTAACAGTACAGTGGTACCTCAGGTTACATACGCTTCAGGTTACAGACTCCACTAACCCAGAAATATTACCTTGGGTTAAGAACTTTGCTTCAGTATAAGAACAGAAATCGTGCTCTGGTGGTGCGGCGGCAGCAGGAGACCCCATTAGCTAAAGTGGTGCTTCAGGTTAAGAACAGTTTCAGGTTAAGAACGGACCTCCGGAACAAATGAAGTACTTAACCCGAGGTACCACTGTATAACCAAATCAGTAATTTTTTATATAACTGTAAAAACTACTCTGAAAATTTATTATTTCAAAAATGAAACCTTCATCGGGTTGTAAATATTAATATTATACCAGCAGGAATGAGTCTTTCTGTATATATATATTTTTATAAATCAAGTCTTACTGACTAGTGATTTAAACTGCGAAACTGTGATTTAAACCAATTCGATTTAAATCAAATCCACCCTGGTTTAATTTTCTTTCTTTCTTTCCTGTTCCAATTGCAAATTGTGGGGGATTCAGGACAAGGCGTTCAGCTTGTATTCAGGAGAGGATAGAAAGGTAGGAGAGGCCTAAATGCACAAACAGAGACACATGACACAAACACACACACACACACGTGTCGCACCTGCAGAAGGACATGGCAGATTTCCAGGAATCCCTTCTGTGCCGCGGCATGCAGCGGGAATCGTTTGCTCTGCTGCTCGCTGTGGAAATTAGGGTCCAAGCTGTCCACTGGAAAGGAAGGGCAGACGTCTGGGAGCCGAGAGAGATAAAGCAACTCGCTAAGCAGGACGCCTCAGGGCTACTTCCCAAGCGCATGCAGAAGGGGCTGGAAAAAGCAAGTCACTAACCTCCCTAACACGGATTTCAGGCCTTGGGCATGAAGAGGCATTTTTTTAAAAAAAATAATATTTATTACTTTTCCAAAAAAATTAAACACTAAAAAAAAAAAAAAATACAATACAATCCATTAAACTAACAAAACAAAAAAAATAAAATAAATCAAACAATTTCATTATCCCATCTTTCATTCACTTATTTCCACGACCTCCTCACACCTCCCTTTTTGTATTCCACTTCTATTAATTATTTCAGCAATTCCTTTCCATCTTCCTCTGTTTTCTATCCTATAATTATCTTAACTCATTCTAACCTTATTTTTTCCTTTAATACTCTATTAATCTACAGTGGTGCCCCGCAAGACGAATGCCTCGCAAGACGGAAAACTCGCTAGACGAAAGGGTTTTCCGTTTTTTGAGCTGCTTCGCAAGATGAATTTCCCTATGGGCTTGCTTCGCAAGACGGAAACGTCTTGCAAGTTTGTTTCCTGTTTCTTAACACCGTTAATACAGTTGCACCTTGAGTTCGAGAAGCAACTGAGAGAACGCAGTGTACGTAGTAGCCTTGGGTGAGGTTTTGCAAGAGTTTGGTGAGTTTTGTAGCTTTTCCAAAACTTCTTTGCAGCCATTTGGTAAGTTAAGCTTTTAAAACTTTTTTGGGGGGTTGGATTTTGTGTTGGGGTGTTTGGAATTCAAGGACTTGGTGTTGGGGAGGGGTTTGCAAGAATCTGGAAGCTTGTGTGTTTTTTTTCTGCATTTTTATGATTTTTTGTGACCATTGGGGCACTCTGCTGTTTTTTAAAAAAAATTCTGGATTTGAATTTCTGTGTGCTGGGTGGCTGGGGGAACAGTTGGGGAGGGGTTTGCAAGAATCTGGAAGCTTGTGTTTTTTCCCCTGCATTTTTATGATTTTCTGTGACCATTGGGCGACTCTGCTGCTTTTTTAAAAAAAATTCTGGGTTTGAATTTTGAAATGCTCTTTACAGTATGTGTGACTTTAAAGAGCACTTAATAAACTCTTGTTGTACCAAATTTGGCTTTGTTTGGACTTTTTTTGACCATAGGAACGCATTAATTGATTTTCAATGCATTCCTATGGGAAACCGTGCTTCGCAAGACGAAAAATTCGCTAGACGAAAAAATTCGCGGAACGAATTAATTTCGTCTTGCGAGGCACCACTGTATTTATACTTAATTCCTTATAACATTTCTACTAAAGCCATGTAACTTCATTCCAACATTTTTCTAACGTTCATTGATTTTATAGTATTTCTGCAAATAATCTTTAAATTTTTTCCAATCTTCTTCCACCGACTCTTCTGGGCATGAAGAGGCATTGAAAGACTGGGAAAGAAACCTGTATGTTCACTGCTCTCTTGACAAGGCCCTCATTGAAGCCATCAGGGGTCTGTGCGCATTCCGTTTGAGAGATCACAAAACCCCAAGGGAACAGAGGAGGCTGCTTTATACAGAGTCAGACCATTGGGTCCACTGCCCACTAAGCTGCGGCCCTTCCCCAGGCAAGAGGGGCTTTGCATGCACTCATGGGTCTCCGATGCTTGTGCCCTAGCCGTCTTCATATGCTGCCTACTGAAATTGACGGGTGCTGAGACACAGTTTGCAAAAACACATACAGTGGTACCTCGGGTTACAGACGCTTCAGGTTACGCGTTTTCGGGTTGTGCACCGCACCGAACCCGGAAGTACCGGAACGGGTTTCGGCGCTCACGCATGCGCAGAAGCACCACATCACGCTTTGCGCACAATAATAATAATTTATTATTTGTACCCGCCCATCTGGCTGGGCTTCCCCAGCCACTCTGGGCGGCTTCCAACCAAATATTAAAATACAGTAATATATCAAACATTACAAGCTTCCCTAAACAGGGCTGCCTTCAGATGCAGAAGCGCCGGATCGCGACCTGTGCATGCACAGACGCGGCACTGTGGGTTGCGAACGTGCCTCCCGCACGGATCACGTTCGCAACCCGAGGTTCCACTGTAGAAATGTTTTAAAGCACGCAGCCCACAAGAGCATTCCCAAACCACCTCTTAGCCATATTATGAGAATACTGTGTTAATTAATTAATTTTTATTTAATTTGTATATTGCCCTATACCCACAGGTCTCAGGGCGGTGACAACATAAAACCACAATATAAAAACACATAATAAAAACAAAAAACCCCAACACATTTTAAAAGGGCATTGGATATCAATCCGCCAAAGGCCTGGTTTAGGAGGAATGTTTTTGCCTGGCACCTAAAGGTGTATAATGAAGGCACCAGGTGAGCCTCGCTGGGGAGAGCATTCCACAGACGGGGAGCCACTGCAGAAAAGGCCCCGTTCTCATGTTGCCACCCTCCAGACCTTTTGTGGGGGGAGGCACAAGGAGAAGGGGCCTCAGATGATCTCAGCGTCCAGGTAGGTTCATATGGAAAGAGGTGGTCCTGGGGGTACTGGAGTCCTGAGCCGTTAAAGGCTTTAGAGGTCAAAACCAGGACTTTTTTTAATTTTTAAAGCATGCTTGTTTTTGCCACTGGCCTCCCCATCTGAATGTCTACAACACAGAGGATTAGAGACAAGGATGCTCAGACGAACTTACGCAACATCAGGACCACTTTCTGGAGCTCCCCTTGCTTGACCGAGAGATAGAGCTGGCGGGGGTGAAAACGCAGCTTCTTGCGCCTGAGAGAGATCACAAAGGAGCCAGTGTGTTATGGCGGTTAGAGGCTCGGACTACGGCCTGGGAGACCACGGTTTGAACCCCTACTTGGCCAGGAAGCTCACTGGGTGACATTGGGCCAGTGACTCGTTCTCAGCTTAACCTACTTTGCAGGGTTGTTGAGGGATTAAATGACCCGGTGGAGAACCATGCAAGCCCCCTTGAGCTCCATGGAGAAAAAGGTGGGATATAAATGCAACCGATATATGCCAAAATAAATAAGAGGAAGCTTTCTCTCTGGCCGATGCCTTTGCCCCACAGGCAAATATTTAAAATTGCCCCTAATCTGCTTTACTGTAAAACCCCACGATACTCCTTGAAGTTAATAAATATTCACCAACACAATAAAAACAGTAGTAAAGGTAAAGGACCCCTGGACGGTTAAGTCCAGTTAAAGGCAACTATGGGGTTGTGGCGCTCATCTAGCTTCAGGCCGAGGGAGCTGGCCTTTGTCCACAGACAGCTTTCCGAGTCATGTGGCCACCATGACTAAACTGCCTCTGGCACAATGGGACACCATTACGGAAACCAGAAGGCACGGATACGCTGTTTACCTTTCCACTGCAGTGTTACCTATTTATCTACTTGCGCTGGCGTGCTTTCAAACTGCTAGGTTGGCAGGAGCTGGGACAGAGCAACGGGAGCTCACCCCATCGCGGGGATTTGAACTGCCAACCTTCTGATTGGCAATCCCAAGAGGCTCAGTGGTTTAGATCACAGCACCACCCGGGTCCCAATAATAGCCAGTCTAGCTTCCACGAAAACAGAGAGAGCGCTTCACTTACCGCTCCGATTCCTGTACCACCAAGGCCCGCTCCAACTGTTCCCGGCCGGCCCCTGGAGGCAGGCCCTGAGCGGACAGCACCGCCCCGTTTGGTAGGGTCAGCCGTGGCCCCGCGCTGTCGATCCCTGGGCCGAGACCCACCATATCGTCCTGCGGGGGCTCTACGCTTGAGCCCCCCCGCATCCGAGCACTGAGGAAAGGAGATTACACAGACCTGTGAAATAATCTTGTATACACTATACATTTAAAGTGCAATGACACCCCTGTAACATAGTTCCCCCCACCCTACCCCCCCAAAATCTTGGGAACTGTAGTTTTCTACTGGTGCTATTAGGAGAACCCTCACAGAGCTCCAATTCCCAGAGTGATTTAACAATCCCTCTTCCCTAGGAACTCCATGCTACAATTATGCATTTATTTCTCATCTCCTCTGAGAGAGATGAGAAATACAGTCATACCTCGGGTTGAATGCGCTTCGGGTTGCGCTCCGTGGCAACCCGGAAGGAACAGAGCTCATTACTTCCGGATTTCGCCGCTTACGCATGCACAGACGCTCAAAATGACACCACGCGCATGCGCAGAAGCGACGAAAAGCGACACGCGCATGTGCAGACGTGCCGTCGCTAGTTACGTTTGCTTCTAGATGCGAATGGGGCTCCGGAACAGATCCCGTTCGTATCCAGATGTACCACTGTAAATGCATAAATGTTTCATACAACGTTTTATTTTAGGCGTAATGTCTAAAAACATAAGTCACCAAGGAAAGGCGCGCACTATTCCTTTTCTGAGGAGCCAGCGGTCCTGGTTCCTAGCTGGCCAGCATTGGTCTCACCTGGGCTGGGTAGTGTCAGCCCGGCCTGTGCTCTCAGAGGCTCCCTGGCCGTGAGAAGGTGGAATGGGGACAGGGGTGGAGGTGTCCGCCTTGGCTATCGTGATCTCCTGGGCCTCGGAAGCATCTTCCCCACAGTGCGGACAGAAGATCATGCCGTTCAGCTGCGACACGCAGGCCTTGTGGAAGCGATGGGCCACGCGGAAGTCAGGGTGGCACTCCAAAAAGGTGCCCTGGGGCAGGAAAACAGGCCGTGAAGTATAGGAAAGGGGCAAGGGAAATATAATAATAATAATAATAATAATAATAATAATAATAATAATATACAACATTAAAACACAGCCTCGTTTCTTTGGAACTCAATCAAAAACTTTGGGGGGGACAAAAACGTCAAATCTTCACCAAGGCCAACTATCCAGACTGGTCCTACGTGGGCCAGAAAAAAGCCAGGGAAGTCCCCAAAGAGGAGTTCCAACACAGAAGGAGAAAGGAAAAAAGAAAGAGGGGGAGGGGATCAAGTTGATTCCAAGCCAAAGGCCAGGCAGAACAACTCTTGTCTTATAGGCCCTGCGGGGCCCTGGTCTCATGAGACAGAGTGTTTCACCAGGCCGGAGCCACTGTTGAGAAGGCCCTGGCTGTGGTTGAGGCTAATCTAACTTCCTTAGGGCCCGGGACCACTAGGGTGTTGCTATTTATGGACCTTAAGGTCCTCTGTGGGGCATATTGGGAGAGGCGGTCCCGTAGGGACGAGGGTCCTCAGGAAACTCCTGAGCTCGATGGCTGAGCTTCCAGAAGTGTCCCAGAGCCCTCTACAGACAAAGGCGGCAAACAAGGATGGGAAGCAAAGGACCTTGGCAACTGTCAAGCAGTAAGAAACCTCTCTGGGTTGACGGGGCCTAGTGTAAATATTGGAAGCCTGGCCCTTCCTGCTGCTGTATCAGTGACTAGCTATGGTAGTTCTACCTCCACTGTCAAAGGCAGCATGCCTCTGAATATTATTATTGATTAAATTTGTATATCGCCCTATACCCATCAATCTCAGGGCGGTTCACAACATGAATACCTGTTGGTGGGACTTGCAAGTTGGGCACCTGCTTATAGGCTTCCCAGAGGCATCTGGTTGGCCGCTATGAAATCAGGATGCTGGCTTTGGCCTCATCCAGCTTCAGGGCTTTTCCTATGTTCTCATCTACACCTTTATTCCCTCAGCCCTAAAAAACAACAACTGCCAGCAACATTTATATTCCACGTTTCTTTCATCATGGGATTCTCAAAGGATCATCCATCTGGGCACAGATCAGACCCAGACCTGTTTAGCTTTGAGATCTGCAGGTCTCAGTGGTACACAAATTTAATTAATAATAATAATAATAATACATGTGGTGGCTTCATCTGCTTTGAGACCATACTACAGTGGTACCTCAGGTTACATATGCTTCAGGTTACATACGCTTCAGGTTACAGACTCTGTTAACCCAGAAATAGTGCTTCAGGTTAAGCACTTTGCTTCAGGATGAGAACAGAAATCGTGTGGCAGCAGCAGGAGGCCCCATTAGCTAAAGTGGTGCTTCAGGTTAAGAACAGTTTCAGGTTAAGTACAGACCTCCGGAATGAATTAAGTACTTAACCTGAGGTACCACTGTATGTTTTTTCGCCAGGGCCCAGCACAGATAGGCGCAATCTGGAATCACAATCTTCCTCTCAGACGCCTCATGAGTTCTGGTGACGCCTCCCCAATCGTGACTTGCTAGCAAGCCCCGCAAACCAAACACCCTCCTTTGGGTTTCCTTTCCTCACCGCAGTGCAGAAGTAGCCACAGCCAGGGCAGCAGTGATGCTTCACCATCCTGGCTCGGTGGGCCTCGCACAGGACCATGAGGGGAACGCGGCTGGAGGGACGCATCGTCTCCCGCTTCAAGATGCTGCTGCTGCAGCCGTTCAGCTGTGAATAAGCAAACAAGATGGTCGCTCTCTTGCTCTCTCCGGCCTACGGCTCACAGTGAGGCAGGGCAGTACTGCTTTAGACTGCTCACATGCCCAAATGCTCCTCTCTCTCTCTCTCAATCAATCTGCGTCTGTGTCTCTGTGTGCATGCACAACACCTATCAGAGACATTTTGTCACTCTTCTTCCATTTAACTTTGAGTCCCAGAGAGAGAGAAAGAGAGAGAGATGTCTCATGATAGGCTGAACCTGATGAATGACACGCACAGGTAATAATGATAATGATGGCAAGAATAACGATAGTAATCACTTTCATCACCATCGCTAGTAATTATTATGCTTAACCATTAGAACCCGGAACAAAACGTTGCAGTGTATCCTTTTCCTAACAGGGCACTCCTGTTCAGGGTTCCAGACAGCCGTTTTTTTAATTAATTAAAAGCATTTCTGGCCTGCCAGCCACCGCGAACAATTTCCTCCAGACAAGATCATTCCACTCTTCCACAAACACCCCCTTGGTTTTCTTTTCCAGCTGAAGCTCTGCATTCTGTAACAACTGAGCATAAGTCATCCTCACTGGGCTGCTGATGGATCTGTTTGTTTGTTCTGTCCCCTTAAGGTTTAGTTGTTTCAAATATATATATATTTGCACTTCTGCAAACTTTGGGGCAGCCCTGAGCAGCCGATACCTCCCTCTCATTTTCCTCAGTGGCTGCTCTTGAGTTCCATTTCTGTTGGCACTCGTCACCTGAGTTTGCTGCTAAAAGGAAAAACGATGATGCTATATAATAAATGAAGGGCCTGCGATGGATCTCTGGGGTTGTAACGGGACAAAAGGAGGAGGAGGAGGCCTCTAATATATGTTAAATAACAGCTTCTTCCAGATTTCCCCTATTTTCTTACCTCTCCATCCGCACTCTCAGTTGCCATGCATTGATTTCCAGCTTGCTGGCTGAGGCGCTCAATGGTTGGAGCTTCCATGCGGCAGGAGCAGAGGGGCAACTCCTCAAAGCGCTCCGTCTCCAGAGAACTCGTCTCATTCGACACCCCTGGGGCGGGAAAGAAAAAGGGGAGGAAATAGGACCCGGAAATGGCTGCTTTTCACAAAACAAAACCCTACCTCTACTGCATAGCCTTGATGCTGCAACCATCCCCTGGTCTCACAAGCTGCATCCAAAACCCTCCTCTATTAACCCTTTACAGAAATGGCGTTTGGCACTTGAGGCGGAAAACCCTTTTAAGCTAGCTATTTATGCTCGTGGAGCAATCTTAATGCACGTGAGCAGCAAAGTTTTAAAATGGCATCTTCACTGGCGTTAGCATTCCAATCAATTTAATCCTCCTTAATATGTACATTACAGAGAATATAATATGGTTCTCATTAAAAGGAGAGGCATCTTTAATAATATTCAGAGCGCCTTCTCGGTAGTGGCACCTGCCCTGTGGAACACCCTCCCATCAGATGTCAAGGAAATAAACAACAATCTGACTTTTAGAAGACACCTGAAGGCAGCTCTGTTTAGGGAAGTTTTTAAATGTTTGATGTTTTATCGCTTTATTATTATTATTCTGTTGGGAGTCTCCCAGAGTGGCTGGGGAAACCCAGCCAGATGGGCGGGGTATTGATAATAATAATAATAATAATAATAATAATAATAATAATATATCCTTTTAATGTGAACTGCGTTTGAATACTGCTTGGGGGTGGTGTGTTTTTTTAAAAAAAAAGCCTCCTCAGTTTGTCAGAATAACAGTACCAAACTATAGAACAGAACAGTTCTCATTAAAAGGACAGACACCTTAAATAATTATATCCTTTTAACAAGAACTTCATTTCAATTCTGCTTGGTTGTTTTTTTTAAAGTCTCCTCAGTTTGTGAAAATAACAGTACCAATATAAAAAATGACAATTAGTGACTTTTCAAAATGAATCTTGAGGCAGAAGCAGTAAAACCACCTCAACTTGCCTAGCGGTAAAGAGCTTTGCCCTGATGTCTCCTCTATATAGCCAATGGATGTGAATAACATTCAAAGAATATTCTGGGGCCTTCTATTCTGGGGTGACCTACGCTGTTAAGACTGCTTTCAAAGACAAATTAAAACTAGTTGCACGAGCAACTAGACGAGTCAGTTTTTAAAAACTTGGGTATGGGTGTGCATGGAGACATCGCAACTCCGAAATGAAGTCTACTGGATATCCAGACTCTGGTTGGGTTGAGCAGCAAGGAGACTTCATTCTGCATTTGCTATCAGTGGCCAAGATCTTCCCGTCTCCTAAGAAGGGGACTGTTGCCACCATCGCTTCCTGATCACCAGCCTGCCCAGTATTAAAAGAGCTTCTTTTAAACTGAGGCAAAGTCACTCAAGCTCCATCCACTGAGGAGGACACAGGCATGAAGACTTCTCTTAGGTCAACCTCCTGCGGCCTTCAGATGTTTTGGACTACAACTCCCATCAGTCCCAGCGAGCGCAAGAGGCCAACAAGGAAGTAGTGAACAAGGTTTGCTCAAAGCCACCCAACCCACAAATTCATAGCTGGGGGGTTTGGGTTTGGACGCACCGGCATGGTTGGGGGACAGCGCCCCCTGGTTGGGCAGCTCCAAACAGTCAAGAGGCACCTCTGTGTACTCGCTCTGTGTGGTGGCTGGGCCACCATTCAGCCCTGGAGAGGGAGAAAGAGAAAAAATAATGTCCGAAGGGAAGGGAAGACAACCATTCCAGCCTGCCAGGTGCCTCTGCACTTCGTCTTTTCAAAAAATTCATGCCAAATTCCGCTGCAAGGATGTCGAACCTCACGGAGGCCCTCCAAATATCGCTGGACTACGAATCCCATCATCCATTACCATTGGCCATGCCGTCTAGGACTTCTGGGAAATGGCGGTTTAACATCGTCTGGGGCTATAGACGGAGCAGTACAGCCTCTGTCTGTAAGTGCTTTGAGGATACACTGGACGGGGCTGGCCAATATACAACACGCCACATCATGGGTTTTGTATTACTTAGCACTACAAGGGGGGAAAGTGGGGAAAGCTGTGGCCCTCCAGATGTTGTGAGATCACAGCTTCCATCGTCCCTGGCCATGCCGACTGGGGCTGATGGGAGATGGAGTCCAGCAACATCTGGAGGTTCCCCAACCATGTCTTACTGGTACAGTGGTACCTCGGGTTTTGTACTTAATTCGTTCTGGAGGTCCATTCTTAACCTGAAACTGTTCTTAACCTGAGGTACCACTTTAGCTAATGGGGCCTCCTGCTGTTGCCATGTGATTTCTGTTCTCATCCTGAGGTAAAGTTCTTAACCTGAGGTACTATTTCTGGGTTAGCGGAGTCTGTAACCTGAAGCGTCCTTAACCTGAAGCGTCTGTAACCCGAGGTACCACTGTACTGCTCTCATTGTGGCTTCCTCTTCCCAACTTCCTCCCTCCCATCCCAGGTCTTGGCTCTGGAGCCATCAGACAAGCAATCACCTCTGGCATCCTTGGGGTTTGGTTCTTTGCGCTTCCGTTTGCGCATCGGCTTGACCCAGGGGCTGTCGTTCCGCCAGCGCTTCCTGGCCTTTCGTTTGGAGCTGGAGGCGGCACTCTGGAGCAGGAAAAGGAGCACAGTGAGAAAACGAAGTCTGAGGAAGGTGCTGTCATTCAATCGGAAGGCCTCAAGTTCCACCTCTGGCTTCTCCACTTAGGAACATATAAGGAGCTGCCTTACACTGAAGGACCAGGTGCGCAGCCTGGGAGTCATTTTGGACTCACAGCTGTCCATGCAGGCACAGGTCAATTCTGTGTCCAGGGCGGCTGTCTACCAGCTCCATCTGGTATGCAGGCTGAGACCCTATCTGCCCGCGGACTGTCTCGCCAGAGTGGTGCATGCTCTGGTTATCTCCCGCTTGGACTACTGCAATGCGCTCCACGTGGGACTACCTTTGAAGGTGACCCGGAAACTAAAACTAATCCAGAATGCGGCAGCTAGACTGGTGACTGGGACCATGTAACACCGGTCCTGAAAGACCTACATTGGCTCCCAATACGTTTCCAAGCACAATTCAAAGTATTGGTGCTGACCTTTAAAGCCCTAAACGGCCTCAGACCAGTATACCTGAAGGAGCGTGTCCACCTCCATCATTTTGCCCAGACACTGAGGTCCAGCGCCAAGGGCCTTCTGGCGGTTCCCTCGCTGCGAGAAGCCAAGTTACAGGGAACCAGGCAGAGGGCCTTCTCGGTAGTGGCACCCGCCCTGTGGAACGCCCTTCCACCAGATGTCAAAGAGAACAACAACTGCCGGACTTTTAGAAGACATCTAAAGGCAGCCCTGCTTAGGGAACCTTTTAATGTTTAACAGATTATTGTATTTTAATATTTTGTTGGAAGCCGCCCAGAGTGGCTGGGGAAACCCAGCCAGATTGGCGGGGTACAAATAATAAATTATTATTATTATTATACCGAGGCCACAATCACCCCACACAGTTGAAACTGGGGAAACCCCAAGGGAAGAAGGCTCTGAGCCTGGGGAGAAGTGGTGAGACAACAATGAGTGATCAGAGGGAGAAAATTGGGAGGAGAGGTGTTGGAAGCTGAAGAGGTCACAGGGCTAAGTGAGCAGGAAGAAGTTGAGGAAGAAAAAGTCCAGAATCAGAGACGGAACCTGAATCAGGAGGCGAGGGGGGCCAAGAGGCAGAGATGAGTCAGGCTGGTGAAGAAGTCAAAGTGTCTCCCCCTCCTGCTGCAACCAGCTCCCCTCCGCCTTGGTCTCCCAGGACCAGAAGAGGTATGAAGAGGGAGGAGCAGAGACAGGTGTGCAATGGAGTCTCAGATTGCTTGGGAAGGACCCAGGGGAGGAGGAGACTTAGGCAGCGGTGGGAAGGCAAGGACCTTCAGTCCCCACAACTGCCTCACAGGGCATAGCTGTCAACTTTTCCCTTTTCTTGCGAGGAATCCTATTTGGAATAAGGGAATTTCCCTTAAAAAAAGGGGAACGTTGACAGCTATGCCACGGAGCAAGACCTACCAAGAAGAGTTGCTGTATTCATTAGGCCTGGCACCCTTGAGCTAACCTTGTTTCGTCTAATAAAGAGTTACCGTATTTTTCGCTCTATAGGACGCACCGGACCACAGGAGGGGGAGAACAGGGAGAAAAAATTATCCCTCTCTCTGCTCAGCGCCCCTTCAGCGAAGCGGCAGGAGAAACGGAGGCCCTTCCATTTATCCTCCCACTTTGCTGAAGGGGCACTGCACAGCTCTCCCTCTCTGCTGAAGCCAGGAGTGTCTTGCTCTCCTGGCTTCAGCAAAAGGAACCCGAAGCCTTCGGAGCGCATCGCGAGTTCCCGCTGCGCTCCAAAGGCTTCAGGCGGCTATCCCTGAAGCCTGGAGAGCAAGAGGGGTCGGTGCGCACCAACCCCTCTTGCTCTCTAAGCTTCAGCGAAAGCAACGCAAAGCCTCCAGAGCGCGGAGGGAGCGCTCCCTTTGCGCTTCAGAGGCTTCGCGTTGCTATCGCTGAAGCCAAGGAGCCTGCATTAGCTCCGACTTCCGGGGTGGCGCCATCGGCAATGGCGGACTCCCTCTGATCTGGAGGGACTAGCTCCACGCGAAACAGGTCTTTTCCGCTACGGCGAAGCGGGGAACCTTTCAAAAATCACAGGCGGATGAAGCCTGTGACCATGGGACTCGGCGGGCACCTTTAGCGCCCCCCCAACCCGCAAAGGAACCCACTAACGGGCTCCGGAGCGAAGAGGGGGAAGTGGCGCGGTGCTGAGAGTCAACTGCTTCTTCCGTGGAGCGAAGCTGCACAGCCGTTGCCGGAGAGCGCTGCCTTTTTCCTGGGACAATTTGGCTTCTAAAATAATCACCCGTGAGTACTTAAACTCGGACAATTGGACTTTAAATAAGGACTTGTGAGCAGAAAGGAAAATTGGACTTAAAAGTTTACCTCAATTTGGCACTGAAACGGGAAGGTCTAAACAGGAAGTCAGCCTTCCGTTTCTTTGTAGATAGATTAAAGCAAAGACATGGCAAACTAGAGCTCAGAAAATCGCTTGTAAAAGATTAACTTTCATCATTTAAAATTGTTGAACCCCTTCGGAAGCAGGAGAAGAGGGGGATTTTTCGGACTGTTTAAACCTGCAGAAGTGAGTGTAAAGTAAAGTAACTTTCCACCGTCCTGATCCTGGAGCGGGGTGTCAGGACTGACGTTTTTTGAAGCTCATTGACCAGAGACAAACGTTTTTGACAGATAGCTATAAGAAGAGAAATATTGATTCCATTGTTCCCCTTCGCTTTTTAAAGGAACAAATATTGACAAAATATCAGAAAAAGGAAACTTTGTTGTTAGACTTGTCTTTAAAAGAAAAAAAAAGAACAAATAGAAGTTTTCCCCCTAGAGGGAGACTGTGAAACTGTAACCAACTCCGGGGAGCTTGCAGCTGTTACAGATTACAATCATGGGAATAGATTTTTGACCTTGCAGGACAATGTATTCAGAAGCTCTGTTGTGTGCTTTCTGTAAAACAAATGCCCTACTGGAACAGCTACATGAGAAGACGGATTTGATGACTGATTTGATCAGAAATTTTGAACAGGCAGTGGGAAATTATATGGAGCCCACCCAGGAATTAAATCAGGAGTGTGCCCTGACAGAACAGATGAGGGAAGAGGATGTTGCTGAATCTTGGGCGCCAGAGATGGAGGGAGCTGTGGCCCAGCAGGAACATGAGCTTTTGGATTTGACAAATGAACTTGGAAAAAGCCAGATTTGGAAAGATAAAGTTCGGTTTGGTTTGGAAATGGGGGGCTGGATAGACCCCCCTATGCAGGGATGTTTGAACTTTTCAAGTCTGTCAATGGGCCGTGAGATGTTTGGGGTTGCGGGGGCTCTTAATTTTGGAGGGATTTTGAAACATGTTCTTAAATACCACATGGAGTTTAGTGTGGACTATGGAAAAGGGGCTGATTTGTCGAGAAGGGTCAAAAACATTGTTAAGCTGGAGTTCCTACGAGTGAAAGGAGCAGGAGACAAAGGAAAATACAGTTATAAATATGAAGAAGAGGGGACATGGAAGAGACTTAAGGGCCTCGGATACAAGGTTACCAGGTTAATGCGCTAGATCGATGGGATAATAAGGACTGACAAAACCCGGGACCAGGAGGAAGGGACGCTGGATGAAGATTGGATTGTTTTTATTTCTTTTTTACTACTAGGATTGTTTTATAAAATTGATGAATGTTAGAAAAATGTTGGAACGAAATTACTTGGCTTTAGCAAAAATGTTTAAAGAATTATGTAAGAATATTATGGTTATGAGAAGTTGGTAAAAATAAGATTTAAGTTTTAAGTTTTAAGGTGTTTTTATAGTAAGATAAGATTAAAATAGATTAAGGTAATGTAATGACAGAATATTATGACATATGGAAAGGATTTGCTGCAACAATTAACAACTAGGATACAAATAAAGGGAGGAGGAGGAGGTCAAAGAAAGAAGGTAATGACAGTTGAGGATTTGAGAATGATGGGTTTGTTTTTGAGTGTTTGTGGTGTATTTTTGTTTTTTGAATTTGTATTGTTTGATGTGGTTTGTTTTTCCTTTGCTTTTCCTTTCTCTTTTTCTGCTTTGTTCTCTTTTGTAATTCTAATTTTTTTTCCCAATAAATATCATTTAAAAAAAAAAAAAAGGAGCCTGCATTAGCTCCATAGGACGCACACACATTTCCCCTTACTTTTGGGAGGGGAAAAAGTGTGTCCTATAGAGCGAAAAATACGGTAACTTCATTTACACCCTGTGATTTATTGCTGGCTGGCTCCTGACAACTCTGATACCACTTTAAACAGCCGTGGCTTCTCCCAAGGAATCCTGGGATCCGCAGTTTGATAAGGGTGCTGAGAGTTGTTAGGAGACCTCCCTGCTATTCCCTTGTCCCAGAGAGGGTTAACAATCAATTAGGCTTGCATATAGCAAGCCGACTGCATGTCTACTCAGGGTTTAAGCTCCCACAGTTCCATGGGACTCACTCACAGGTACACACAGGATTGTAACTGGAAAGGGAGCGAAGAATGTGAATGCAGAAAAACAAATTATAGAGGAAAGGGAAGAAAAATGGGGGGGGGGAGCCAAGAAGAGGTTAAAAACAAAAATGAATGGAATGAAATGTATAGTATGGGGGGTGACAACGAGTGGGGAAAGTGGAATTAAAATTTAGAATGCAATGAAATAGAAGACGAAGTAGTGAAAAGCAGCCTTCCCTGCCCTTTAGCTGCCCAGAAGTTGTTGGACTACAACTCCCTTGATCCTTGACCATTAGCTCTCCTGGCCGGGGCTGATGGGAGTTGTAGTCCAAAACATCTGGAGGACACCTGGTTGAGGAAGATTGGTTAAAAGGAGAAAGAGAGAATTTGAAAACATGGAAAGGCAAGCCTAAACCTACCCTGTCAGAGAGGTTACCCGACTCTTCGTCTTCATCTTCTTCCTCGTCGTCATCTTCGTCGTCCTCTTCCTCCTCCTCTTCTTCTTCCTCCTCTTCCTCTTCCTCCTCTTCTTCCTCCTCACTCATATGCTCTCCAGCAACATCTGCATCAGACTGTCAGGCAAAAAAGGGGATGCGCAACAGCATAAATTAAGAAATCTGTGCTTTTGACGCTGAACAGGAGACGGCTACAACAGTCAAGAGGGAGAAGGGCACATGTCATTCACTGGGGAAACAACTACAGGACGGCCTCACACAGCCCTAATGGTCCTTTGCTACCTTAGTCCTAGGAAAACCAGCGGTCAGTTTCTCAGGGCAAATATTCTGAACATTTGGGTGTCTTATGGGCATCCTTTTTCTGTGAGGCCACAGAGCATCTATACCTCAGGCAATCCAGACTTGGGATGAGGAACATTTCTCCACCAGAGGGCCAAATTTCCTTGTAGGCTTCTTCTTTTTTTAGCAGGAAAACTTCTGAAGGCCGCCTGACCAGAGGGGCACGACCAGAGGCAAAAGTGATCAGAACAGATGTAGCTCTTATACCAGGGTTTCCCAAACCTGGGTCTCCAGCTGTTTTTGGACTACAAATTTTGGTTTGGGGCCTTCTGGCGGTTCCCTCACTGCGAGAAGTGAGGTTACAGGGAACCAGGCAGAGGGCCTTCTCGGTAGTGGCACCATCCCTGTGGAACGCCCTCCCACCAGATGTCAAATAACTACCAGACTTTTAGAAGACATCTGAAGGCAGCCCTGTTTAGGGAAGTTTTTAATGTTTGATGTTTTATTATGTTTTGAATATTCTGTTGGAAGCCACCCAGAGTGGCTGGGGAGTCCCGGCCAGATTGGCGGGGTATAAGTAATAAATTTACTATTATTATTGTTATTGTTATTTCAATTCTCAATGTCTCTGACCACTGATCCTGCTTGCTAGGGATGATAGGAGTTGTGCTACAAAAACAGCGGGAAACCCAAGTTTGGGAAATCCTTCCTTATACAATAGGATACATTCAAGCCACAAAAAAGGCAGAGGCTTCTATAGTCACACACCTGCATCTCTCAGGTGTTAAGGCCTGCAGCTAAGCGGAAGAGCATCTGCTTTACATGCAGAAAGTCGCAGCCTCAATCCCCACCATCTCCCTGCCTGAAATCTCAGAAAGCTGTTGCCAGTCAGTGCAGTCAACACTGAGCTAAATGGGCTTCCTACGCCCTTATCTCTCCATTCAGATAAGCCACAGTTCAAGGGCACATTCCAGCAAGGCAAAAGTGCTCAAAGAAGAAGCACAAAGCAGGTCTGGTGAAGGGCCTTACAAGGTGAGAGCCCTGAGGGACTCCATGAAGTGAAAACAGTTGTTTGGGTTTGATATCCCGCTTTATCACTACCCGAAGGAGTCTCAAAGTGGCTAACATTCTCCTTTCCCTTCCTCCTCCCCCACAACAAACACTGTGTGAGGTGAGTGGGGCTGAGAGACTTCAGAGAAGTGTGACTGGCCCAAGGTCGCCCAGCAGCTGCATGTGGAGGAGCGGAGACGCGAACCCGGTTCCCCAGATTACAAGACTAGATAAGCCTTTTGCCTGATCCGGCAAGGCTCTGCTTATTTTCTTACCTACCACTCAGCCCTACAAAAGGTAAAAGGTAAAGGACCCCTGAACGATTAAGTCCAGTCAAAGGCGACTATGGGGTTCGGCGCTCATCTTGCTTTCAGGCCGAGGGAGCCACCATTTGTCCACAGACAGCTTTTAGGATCATGTGACCAGCATAACTAAACCGCTCCTGGCGCAATGGGACACTGTGACGGAAACCAGAGCGCAGTGGTACCTATTTATCTACTTGCACTGGTGTGCTTTCGAACTGCTAGGTTGGCAGGAGCTGGGACAGAGCAACGGGAGCTCACTCCGCCACAGGGATTCGAACCGCCGACCTTCCGATGGGCAAGCCCCAGAGGTTCAGTGGTTTAAACCACAGCGCCACCTGCCCTATGAGAGACAAGCCCTGCCTTGCTTGGCATTACCTTGCTGTCGGAATCAACATGGCCGTCGACGGAGTAGCTGTCGTAGAAGAGGCTGAAGTCATCCCCCACCTCGGTCTCCCATTCTTGACTCCTTTCCTCCTGCGAGGCAGTGGCTGGCGCAGTCATCTCTTCCGTCACAGTGATCTGGGAAGGAAGAAATGTTTATGCGCTGGTGGTAATAGTTAGTCACTCAATAACCGTAGTGCTCAGAGCGGCTTATGCACGGCAAAAGCTCAGGAATACCAAATAAAAGCAACAGTTTAAAAGATACCGCGGGTTACAAATCAGCAAGTTAAAAATGGCCGCATAAAACCATGTTAAACTAAAAGGCCAGGACAAATTATAGAGGCCCCCCACACACACACCCTTAGGCACCAAAAAATAAAATAAAATGAAAAATATCCAGAACAAAACACAGACAGTGGCCAGAAAAACCTTTCAGGAAGGGAATTCCAAAGGCTGGTTTCACAACCAAGGCCCCACCTGCAACACATACTTAAAGCACGATTGTTCCATTTTAAACAGTCATGGCTTCCCCACAAAAATCCTGAGAACTACATTTTGTTAAGGGTGCTGAGACTTCTTAGGGCGCCCTCTCCTCCCTTCACAGAGCTACATTTCCCAGAGTTCCCTAAACCACTCTGGGAGGGAACTGCAGGGTCTTCTCAGTGTGGGCCTCTGGCTGAAAAAGGTATCAAGTCAATCGACTACAGATGTGATCCTATGTACACAACGACTTGGGAGCAAGTCTCATTCAATTCAATGGGACTTTAGAGTAGTCATGCATAGGATTGCCCTGCAGATCCACCACAAATGGTCAGATTGACCAGCTAAGATTTCTCTACTCTATCGATAGAGAGCCCTGATCAGAACCTGACATAATCTGAATGTTTATTTTTTACAATGTATAAACCTTTGAAGAAAAGCAAAGAAGGGGGAAAGGAGTCGTACCTCAGTTGTAGCTCTGGGACTTGACCTCTGGAGAGAGAGGGGCATCCTCTTGTGCAGGGCATCAGCCATATAATCATATTTTCTACGTTTGGCAGGTTCCTCTTTGGAAGGAAAAGCAGAGGAAATGGAAATATAATTCTGACAGACTCCAGAAGTTTAGGATTACAATATCATCATCATCATTATTTAATATTAGTTCCTTTATCTTGCTCAGGGTGATGGAAAGTGCCTTATAACCCAAAACCCCCACATAGATTAAAGGTAAAGGGACCCCTGACCATTAGGTCCAGTCGTAACCGACTCTGGGGTTGCAGCGCTCATCTCGCTTTATTGGCCGAGGGAGCCGGCGTACAGCTTCCAGGTCATGTGGCCAGCATGACTAAGCCGCTTCTGGCGAACCAGAGCAGTGCACGGAAACGCCGTTTACCTTCCCGCCGGAGCGGTACCTTGTTATCTACTTGCACTTTGACGTGCTTTCGAACTGCTATGTTGGCAGGAGCAGGGACCAAGCAACGGGAGCTCACCCCGTCGCGGGGATTCGAACTGCCGACCTTCCAATTGGCAAGTCCTAGGCTCTGTGGTTTAACCCACAGCGCCACCCACGTCCCTTCCCACATAGATTAGGGTTGTCATATTTCCCACAGTGAAAATCTGGACAAAAGTTGTTGAGCTGCCATACGTCCAGACGTTCCTGGACATATGGCAACCCTACACATAGAAACATTAAAACCAAGAGGAAAGACAAATACATTTCAATCATCTTTCCCAATTCTAAAAGGCCACAGATAGTTAAAGGCCAAAGGCCTGGTTACACAGAAAAGGCCTGGCTCCTAAAGCTATATAACAATGGCGCCAGACTAGCCTCCCTAGGGAGAGCATTCCACAAGCAGGGGGCCACCACAGAAAAGGCCCATTCTTGTGTTGCCACCCTCCAGAACTTGCAGTCGAAAATATCTGGAGAGCACCAGATAAATGTTGATTGACCACCGCCAAGACCATACCTGGTTCTTCAATGCTCCTGAGGTCATCGGAGACTCGGAAATGCAACATCTCAGAGACTCGCTTTTCGGGGACCTTCGGAAAGAAAAGTTATACCCAAGATTAGGTTTTTTAACCTTTCTGCATTTGGCAACTTCACACAGGGTAGATTGGTATGTACAGGGCAACTGAAGAGAACAATGTTATTGGGTGGCCCAATGTAAATGTGTCTTGGATGACACTGTGGCTGTATTCAACTAACTTTTACTCTAATGGGCAAACTAAGAACCATAATGGACCATATACTGCTGTTCCTAAAGGATCTTCACTGTGTCCCTGTATGTTTCCGGGCACAATTCAAAGTGTTGGTGCGGCCTCAGTCCAGTACAGTGGTACCTCGAGTTACAGATGCTTCAGGTTACAGACTCCGCTAACCCAGAAATATTACCTCAGGTTAAGAATATTGCTTCAGGGTAAGAACAGAAACTGGGTGAACCTGAAACTGTTCTTAACCTGAAGCACCACTTTAGCTAATGGGGCCTCCTGCTGCCGCCGCGCCGCCAGAGCACGATTTCTGTTCTCATCCTGAAGCAAAGTTCTTAACCTGAGGTAATATTTCTGGGTTAGCGGAGTCTGTAACCTGAAGCATCTGTATCCCAAGGTAAAGGTAAAGGGACCCCTGACCATTAGGTCCAGTCTGTGGTTGCGGCGCTCATCTTGCTTTACTGGCCGAGGGAGCCGGCGTACAGCTTCCGGGTCATGTGGCCAGCATGACTAAGCTGCTTCTGGCGAACCGGAGCAGCGCATGGAAACGCAGTTTACCTTCCCACCAGAGCGGTACCTATTTATCTACGTGCTTTCGAACTGCTAGGTTGGCAGGAGCAGGGACCGAGCAATGGGAGCTCACCCCGTCACGGGGATTCGAACTGCCGACCTTCCAATTGGCAAGTCCTAGGCTCTGTGGTTTAACCCACAGCGCCACCCGCGTCCCTTGGAACCCGAGGTCCCACTGTATAAAAACCAGAATAAATCCTAAAAAACGCATCTCCAGTACATGTAAACGGAGAGATCTAAACCCACCTTGCTAAACAGATGAGGAAGAAAGAGGTGACAAATATCTCTTACCCGTCGGGTTAAGGGCCAAACGCTTGGGTATACATTGAGGTTTCTGTCTGGTAAAAAGCAGAGACATCACCTTGCTGACAAAGGCCCATATAGTTAAAGCTATGGTTTTCTCAGTAGCGATGTATGGAAGTGAGAGCTGGACCATAAAGAAGGCTGATCGCCGAAGAATTGATGCTTTTGAATTATGGTGCTGGAGGAGACTCTTGAGAGTCCCATGGACTGCAAGAAGATCAAACCTATCCATTCTGAAGGAAATCAGCCCTGAGTGCTCACTGGAAGGACAGATCCTGAAGCTGAGGCTCCAGTACTTTGGCCACCTCATGAGAAGAGAAGACTCCCTGGAAAAGACCCTGATGTTGGGAAAGATGGAGGGCACAAGGAGAAGGGGACGACAGAGGACGAGATGGTTGGATAGTGTTCTCGAAGCTACCAGCATGAGTTTGACCAAACTGCGGGAGGCAGTGGAAGACAGGAGTGCCTGGCGTGCTCTGGTCCAGGGGGTCACAAAGAGGCAGACACGACTAAAGAACAACAACAAAGCAAGAAGGTAGCGGTGCTCCCTACCTGTCCACTGTTGGGTTTGGGCATGGTTTTCCGGGCCCGGTGAACCTTTGGCTTGGCCTCTTCCACGGTCGGCGCTGGAGGCTGAGCAGGGGCCGGTGTCGGGGCTGGGGCTTCTGCTGCGGGAGTCCCAGAATCCCCAGGAAGTCGCGACCCAGGCATACTCAGCAGACGCATGGCCAAACTTTGGATAGACGTTGGGGACTTGCTGGTTCCGGTGAGGGACATTTTTGCCCGGCTGGTCCCTCCTGCTTTGCTAGGGGACGATGGGAAGGTCTTGGCGGCGTGTCCTGAAACGGAGGAAGAGAAGCGAGCGGCCTTTAACCGTTTTGTTTGATTTTATTTATTTATCTATCTATCAGATTTATATACGCTGCAAGGTCTCAGGGCGGTTCGCAAGATAAAAACACAAGACAAAAGCACAAACACACAGTCCAAACAGGGTCCCAACGAAAGAAAAACGGCTTATGAAGCTGATGGAATATGCTGAGATGGTAGACTGCGAGAATTAAAAGAACAGAATGAAGAAAAGTTTCCCGAAGAACGGAAATATTTTGTAGAACATGTTAAAACGTGCGCAGGATTTGAAGTACAGCAGCAGATGAGAAATGGTAGTTTAAAATTTTTTAATTAACGTATAAATTGGTAAAACAGAAGCAACATAGAAGCATTTTAAGGGAGGAAAAGAAAAACATGGAACGGTGGGTGGGAAGTCAACAGAGATGAATGTTCTGATGGGTGTTTAAAAGAATTTGAAAAAATTTGAAAAGCTAATTTTAAATTTTGTTTTTTAAAAAATAGTTAAAACAGAGTGCCTGGGGCAACCCACTCAGATGGGTGAGGTACAAGTAATAAACAGTAATAATAATAATAATAATAATAATAATATGGCAGCTCTTGGGGGTTCTGAGGTCCTGAGTCATGCAAAAAGCTTTATTGGTCAAAACCAGCAGTTTAAACCAAGTCCTGCTGCCACACACCCCAGCTCCCTGCTTCCTTCCACCTCACCTGGCAGGCCTTTATTCCCTAGACTAGGGCTGGTGTTTGGGCCAGCAGAGACACCCCCCGATTCGGGCGACATCCTGCCCATTTCCTTAGTGCTCCCGGTCATCTGCGCTCGTGCTCCCTCTTCACCATTCCTGTTGGAGCCCAGCGGGTTATCTCCCGCTCCCCCCAAGCTACTTTTGGGTTTCCGAGGAGACAAGGACCCCGAAGAGGGATCGGGGCCATCTCTGGACGACACCACGCCTGGAGCAGGAGACACACACATACACACAGACGCTTAGCTGAGCAGCAGAGAAACTGCCTGGCATGCAGAAAGAGTCCTGGCTTGGAGAGCTGCTGCCTGCCAGTGCAGACAATACTACATGCAGACAGTACTAGGTATAAGACAGCCCCATGCATTACAGTGGTACCTTGGGTTAAGTACTTAATTCGTTCCGGAGGTCCGTACTTAACCTGAAACTGTTCTTAACCTGAAGCACCACTTTTGCTAATGGGGCCTCCTGCTGCTGCCGCGCCGCCGGAGCCCGGTTTGTGTTCTCATCCTGAAGCAAAGTTCTTAACCTGAAGCACTATTTCTGGCTTAGTGGAGTGTGTAACCTGAAGCATATGTAACCTGAAGCGTATGTAACCTGAGGTACCACTGTATTCCAATGCCCTACCACCATAGCTCAGTGGCAGAGCAGCCACACTGCAGGCAGATCATGTTATTTATCTACAGTGGTACCTCGGGTTAAGAACTTAATTCGTTCTGGAGGTCTGTTCTTAACCTGAAACTGTTCTTAACCTGAAACACCACTTTAGCTAATGGGGCCTCCTGCTGCCACAACGTGATTTCTGTTCTCATCCTGAAGCAAAGTTCTTAACCTGAGGTAATATTTCTGGGTTAGCAGAGTTTGTAACCTGAAGCGTATGTAACCCGAGGTACCACTGTATTCCTAAAAAATACTCGTCCACCGCATTTTGTTAAAATGTATCAGAGCATGACAACCATGACAGGCACAATAAAACCGCGTGGAAATTTAAAACCACACATCTTCAGCTGACTGTTACAGAAGCTGCTCTCCTAGTTGTCTACAGAAGCTGGCAGCGTAGAAAATTTTTCAGCAAATGGTTAAAGGTTAAAATAGAAGGAGACTGCTGAATTCCTCCAGACCAGGCTGACGACGCTAACCGTCACGTTAATGTCCAATGAGCCTCGCAAACTCGAGAGAAGGCCGACGCTGCTCCTGAATATGATCTCGGTGTTCCAGCTGGGATCAGGTGGTCTCCAGTGTACCTTGGAGCAGTTTATAGCTTTGTAAATGAACACAAGGACCTTGATCCTGGCTCTGTACAGTGGTACCTCGGGTTAAGTACTTAATTCGTTCCGGAGGTCCGTTCTTAACCTGAAATTGTTATTAACCTGAGGTACCACTTTAGCTCATGGGGCCTCCCGCTGCTGCCGCGCCGCCGGAGCCCGATTTCTGTTCTTATCCTGAAGCAAAGTTCTTAACCTGAAGCACTATTTCTGGGATAGCGGAGTCTGTAACCTGAAGCGTATGTAACCTGAAGCGTTTGTAACCCAAGGTACCACTGTATTTCAGTTCCTGGGGGAAAGACTCCTGCCTTGAACAGCTGCCAGTCAGCGTATAGAAAATACGGAGCTACATGGATCTAGGATGACTCTGGGGCCAGCAGGCTTCAAATGTGGGTGGGCTGTTAAGAAGAAAACCCAGAAACGCCCCCTTCCCAAGGCAGGCAGGCACAAAAACCTACCTATTTCGTCCGGTCTCACTTCCACCAGCGACGCCGCCCCTGTCACAGCCTGGGAGGAGGGGGTGAAAGCAGAGATTAAAAACTCAGACTGATTTCCATTTTATTAGTAACCACGAGAACTGTAGTTTGTTAGACCGCTGAGGGTTGTTAAGAGGCCCTTATTCTCCTCACAGAGCTACAAATCCCAGAGTTTGGGAAAAGGGATTTGACTGTTAATCATGATGGATATTATAATAAACAACCGAATACTACTACTAATAATAATGCCTTTATTGTCAATGTACAACCTGCGTACGATGAAATTAACCGAGCCTCCCTGCCCCACACACAAACACTCGATCTTGTGTGCTTGTCGCACAACACACCAACCCCGAAAGTCAGTTGCACTATATTATTTTCCGTTCAGCAGCCTACAGATAGAAACTGTTTTTTAGCCTGTTGGTACGACTGATTATACTTCTATATCTCCTGCCCGAGAGTAGAAGATTAAAGAGGTGCTGGCCAGGGTGTGATTCGTCCCTGAGAATTTTTCTCGCTCTCCTAAGGCATCGATCCCTTGCGATGTCATCTAGCGGGCTCAGGGGACAGCCCATAATATCATGATAAGAACGTGCGTTTGATTGTTTTAAACAAGGGTCCCTCCAGATTATGTACGATTATCTGTGCTCATGATGGTTATATGTGATCTCACTTTCAATACTGTTTGCGGCTGCAAAAGTTTCAAGGCAAAGAGTTTATTTTCCCATCTGTGCATGTCCCACAGCTTCCTGCTGAAATCCTGTAACTTTGCATTCCGCAAATGTTTCGGGGTTGTTTTGCTTTTGTCCTCATTCTGGTAGCAGTGAAGTTCACAGAGAGCCCTTCCAGGTAGCAACAATGATATAAGGGAACCATTGCAGAGCGACTGATTAAATAAAACCATCTGTGTGGACAGTGCATAGCAAATCCACACTGGATGTACTGTTACTATATACTGGGAAGAAAATTTCCAGTCTTTCTCATGAAATAGGATCTCTCTGCGAAATTAAGTCCCCAACAAAGAGAGAGAGGATCGAATCTATCCAAACTCTTCTAGTTAGAGGGTTGGAGGAGAGGGGGGCGTTTGGGGAAGGATAGTTGGGATCTGTTTGAAACAGAGGCTGAAAGCCACGAGTTGCAACGTGGGGTAGGTTGCAAATGCGGGCATAGGTCAGACGGGAAGGAAATAAGGGAGCATATGCCGAGAAGGGATGGCTCAGAAGTCAAAGAAGGACGAAAGCCCGTCCTTCCCGCCCCCACCCCGACGGATCCCTACATTACTCTCCTCTCCCCCGCCCCGAAGTAATCCTTTCTCACCCTTTCCCTTCCTCGTTGCAAGAGAGAGACGGCGGCTGCTCCGAACCAGCGCGATCGCCCCCCACCTCCCCATTGCAAATCACGACCACTCCTCCCGGGATCGGATCGAGTGGGGAAACGACGCCCCGGACCCGCCACGCCGCGCTCCGGATCAATGCAACATTTTTTATTTTATTTTTTGCTTTTTTGCATTTCCGAATGTGAAGGAAGCCCCTCCCAGTTGCAATGGGGAGCCAAAAAAAAAAAAAAAAAGGAGGCCACGAGTGATGGGAGGCCGGGGGCAATCGGAAAACCTTCCCGCTCTCCTGATATTTAGAAATAAATATTTTTGCAAAGAACCCACCCCCCCGCCTCCCGTCTCCCGCCCCGCCATCCGCGTCCCCAACCTGCGCGGGTCCCGCTCCCGCAGCCTCCATGGCCTCGCGCCGTAGCAGCAGCAGCAGCAGCAGCAGGAGAGCCGGCCCCGCACTGACGTCACGGGCGCGGGGAGAGTGAAAGGGGAAGGGGAGGGAACCCCTTAAAGGGGCAGCGCCTTCGCTCGGCTCAGCCCAGACAAAGAGGGAAGGAGGGAGGGGGCGATGGCGCGCAGATGAACCCCCTGCCTCTCTCCACTCCATAGCTGTCAACTTACAGATTTGAAAATAAGGGACCAGCGGCCTCGAAAATAAGGGATCAGCAGCCAAAATAAGGGATTTTGGCTTAGCTTATACATAAATCCGGTACTGATGGAGCCACGCTGCTTTGGCTGCCACTGACTGTGTTTTGCAGGGGGTTGGACTAGATGATCCTAAGGGTCTACAACTCCCACCAAAGAAGAGGGGCAGACAAAACTGATGAATATATTGCATTAATGCAGTATTGTGACAGTGGAGTGGTGCCTCAGTTTATTTAGACCTAACTAACTTGCCTTCAGGAGGCAGGTGGTGCTGTGGGTTCAGAGCTTGGTGATCAGAAGGTCAGTGGTTCGAATCCCTGCGACGGGGTGAGCTCCCGTTGCTCGGCCAACCTAGCAGTTTGAAAGCACATCAAAGTGCAAGTAGATAAATAGGTACTGCTCCCGTGGGAAGGTAAACGGCGTTTCCATGCGCTGATCTGGTTTGCCAGAAGTGGCTTAGTCATGCTGGCCACATGACCCGGAAGCTGTCTGCGGACAAACACCGGCTCCCTTGGCCATTAAAGCAAGATGAGCGCCGCAATCCCAGAGTCATCCGCAACCATAGATGTCAACTTACAGAAAATAAGGGACCAGCAGCCTCCTCACGATGTGCCCCTGAGTGGGAAAAGGGAGAGACGGAGACGCGGTAGCTCGTGCACGCTCTCTCTCTCGCGGCGGAGGACCCGAGCCGCTGCTTCCCTCCCGAGCCGGGCGAACATGAAACCCGGGAAATTTAAGGGACATCATCAATAAGGGACAGCAGTGGGACATGGCGCTGGGATAAGGGAGTTCCCCGCCAAATAAGGGACGGTTGACAGCTATGCTCCTCTCACAGGAGGGATCTGAGGGCTGTGGGCGCGGGGTTATTATTTTAAAATATTCTGAACCGGCCTTCATCATATTAGGCAAGGGATTCCCAAAGGTCATCTAGTCCAACCCCCTGCAATGCAGGAATTTTATTTTATTTTTTCCCCCCAACGTGGGGCTCGAACCCACGCTGGCCGTGAGATTAAGAGTCTCTCCCACTACCGACATCGGGTGAAGCTGAATGTTGTAAGACGATTCAAGGCAGAGGAAGAGGATGGACTTCTTCGTGCAGCCCATGGTGGATCTGTGGAACTCGCTGCCACAAGAGGCAATAAAACAGAATCAGCAGCAAGGGATTGCAGAAACCCACACTGGGGCCGTGCGCTTATTAGGCTAACCCAAATGCCACTGTGCAATACTTGACAGCGCTTAGCTTGTGTGTGTTTTTCCAGTGGCTATTCTCTTAATGTTGTTAGTATTGTTTCAGAGATTATGAACACCGTAATGAGTTGTCAATCATAGGCCTTTGTTGCAATTGCGATGTTTGGCTTATTTTTCAATTGCTGCTTTGTGGTGTTATACAGATTGCAACGGGTGCAACTGATGATTTGTTCATTATTCAGTGTGGTATGCTGGTTTGACATCAACTGATAGGAAGTGCCTACAGAGGGTGGTGAATACAGCACAAGATATTATGGGCTGTCCCGTGAATCCGCTGGATGACATCGAGGGCCTCAGGAGAGTGAGGAAAATTCTCAGGGATGATTCACACCCTGGCCAGCAATTTCTTGATCTCCTGCCCTTGGGCAGAAGATATAGAACAGGGTTCAGCAAACTTTTTCAGCAGGGGGCCGGCCCACTGTCCCTCAGACTTTGTGGGGGGCCGGACTATATTTTGAAGAAAAATAATGGACAAATTCCTATGCCCCACAAATAACCCAGAGATGCATTTTAAATAAAAGCACACATTCTAGTCATGTAAAAACACCAGACAGGCCCCACAAATAACCCAGAGATGCATTTTAAATAAAAGGACACATTTTACTCGTGTAAAAACACGCTGATTCCCGGACTGTCCGAGCGCCGGATTTAGAAGGTGATTGGGCCGGATCCGGCCCCCGGGCCTTAGTTTGCCTACCCATGATATAGAAGCATGATCAGTCGCACCAACAGGGTAAAGAACAGCTTCTATCCGTGGGCTGTTAGGCTGCTGAATGAAAAGATAACAACAGGGCAAATGACTCGGGTTTGGTAGGTGTGCGTCAGTAAATGAGGGGAATTAAGACTAAGAGAGATGAGTTGGGGGTGCTCGTGTAATCTCACTGTATACAAGTTGTACAAGTGACAACAAAGTATTTCAATTCCAATTTCAGTTTCAATTTTACATGATTATGTTGTGTTTGTGACGGTCTATTATGTTTTATCATGTGGTTGTTATTTATTGTTTGTAAGCCGCTTTGGGATCCAACTGAAATGCAATAAATCAAACCAAATCTTCATCTGGATACATAGTGAACAACAGCGGTGGAGGGGGGGGGCAGGTTTGCAGATTGTTGGTTGATGTCTAACACTGCAATCAAGCCTACTGAATTCAATGGGATCTACCCCCAGGTCAGTGGGATTAGGATTTGCGTTCATTTTATATCAGCATAGGAACATAAAAGGAGCCTGCAGGATTAGGCCAATGGATCCGCTCAGCATCCTGTTCTCACAGCGGTCAATCAAGATTCCTGTGAGAAACCTGTGGAACAATGAGGTGGGTTTCAGTTCTAATTTTAGCGATGGACAGCCCTTCAGATATTATTCCATTTACAGTGGTACCTCAGGTTAAGTACTTAATTCGTTCCGGAGGTCCGTTCTTAACCTGAAACTGTTCTTAACCTGAAGCACCACTTTAGCTAATGGGGCCTCCTGCTGCCGCCGCACCACCAGAGCCCAATTTCTGTTCTCACCCTGAAGCAGAGTTCTTAACCTGAAGCACTATTTCTGGGTTAGCCGAGTCTGTAACCTGAAGCGTATGTAACCTGAGATACCACTGTATATCCTCAGGGTGGCATACTGGGTTCTCCCCATTTTATCCCCACAACAGCCCTGAGAGGTGGGTCAAGAGTGAGAGGCAGCGAGTGACATGCAGTAGACACACCACACAGATTCTCCCCGTCCTAATTTGTTTAGGGTTTTATAAGCCATCGTCGATGCCATGAATTTGGCTCCACTCTCCCCATGCATTTAAAACACGATCATACCTCTTAACAGTCATGAAGAACCCTGAGGCTGGGAGTTGTAGCTCTGTGAGGTCAACACACCTAACAAGCTAGTTACCAAGGTTCTCCATGACGGCTAAAGAGGTACAACAGTGCTTTAAAGACTTGACGTTTTCATCCCCCCCCACACACATTTTTGAGTTTCCATTGAAATGAGGCTGTATTTTAATGTTTTAATGTTGTATTTTAATCTTGTTTTAAAGTTGTATTTCAATCAGTTTGTTTTTATATCGGGTGTTAGCCGCCCTGAGCCCGGTCTTGGCTGGGGAGGGCGGGGTATAAATAAAATTTATTATTATTATTTATTATTAAATGTATGGTGTGTGTGCAACCCAAATGACAGATTCATAGGAAGGTACCCAGGGGTCATCTAGTCCAACCCCCTGCAATGCAGGAATCTGAACTCAAAGCATCCATGACAAATGCCCATCCAACCTCCGCTTCAAAACCTTCAAGGAAAGAGAGTCCACAACCTCCCAAGGGAGTCCATCCCACGGAAAGTTATTCTTGACATTTAGCCAGAATCTCCTTTCTTGTAACATGAAGCCACTGATTCAGGTCCTTCCCTCCAGAACAGGAGAAAACAAGCTTGTTCTCTCTTCCACGTGACAGCCCTTGAGATATTTGAAGATGTCTTATCATATCTCCCCTCAGTCTCCTCTTTTCCAGGCAAAACATACCCAGCTCCTTCAACCATTCCTCACAAGGCCCTTGATCATCTTGGTTACCCTCCTCTGCACATGTTTCAGCTTGTCGATAACCTTCCTAAATTGTGGTGCCCAGAACTGGACACAGTATTCTAGGTGTGGTCTGACCAAGGCAGAATAGTAATGGTACTATTACTTCCCTTGAGCTGGGCACCGTACTTCTGTCGATAAAGCATTAGCTCTCTTTTTTATTTTTATTTTTGCTCCCGCAAATTGTTAGCCTGTGTAGTTCTCTCAAGACAAGACCAGAGCGATAACACTGCATTATCAGCTAGCATTTTGCGCTAGCTGAAGCTTTCAAACCATTCTCAAGGGCAACCCCACATAAAAGTATGTTCTAGTAATCTAGTGAGGAGATTACCAAGGCATGATAGGCTGCCTTTGTTAGGTCTGCCTTATGTCCGGATTTTCCAGAATTGACGTCTGGGGTGAATTTTGTGAAAGGCAGCGCTTCGTCTTAGGCAACTGAAAAACGGTGGGTTTTGGCTCAACAACTTGGGGGGGGGGATGTTTCCTTAAAAAAGCTCAACGTGTCCTAACTTTTACTTTTTGAAATATGGCAACCCTAGAGGGATGACAACTTTATGTGGTGAACCAGCTGTAGCTATGAAAAAGACACTCCTTGATGCTGAAGTTGCTTGTGCCTCGGGCAACACGTGTTTCAGACTACACACCTTTACTTTCAAGCGGAGGGCTATCCCCCCATCAAGAACTGGGTGCCCAACTCCTGGGTCACCAGTACAGAGTGCCTCCATTTTGAAGGATTCAGTTGTGGCCTACCGAATCTCACCCAGCCCATCAGCGCATTCAAGCACTGGTCTATGTTTTGTCAAAGCCTTGCTTGATTTCAGCGATACGGAGTCAAAAGAGATGGCATTATCCACAGGCTGGGGACCTCCAGCTCCAAAACCTCTGATGACCTCACCACACAGCTTCATGCAGATATTCAACAGCATGAGGGGCAAGATGGAAGCTGGGTGAACCCCACAACTCAAGCACCATGGAGCTGAGCTGGCAGCAGCCCCCCCTACCCATACCAGCTTCTCATACTGGTCCTGCAGGTAAAGGTGACATAATTTTAACATGGTGCCTCCAAGTCCTAGCAGCTGGAGTCAGTCCAACAAGAGACCAATAGTATCGGAAGCCACTGAGAGATCAAGCACCAGTCCCTTTGGCAATACAAATCATCTGTCAGAGTGGCCGAGTTTATTTCAATTCCAACCTACGGTAGAAGCCAAACTGAAATGGACCGAGATTATCCATTTCCTCCAAGACTGTCTGAAGTGAAGCAGCCACCACCTTCTCAGGAACCCTGCCTGCGGAGGGGATATTTGCACCCAGGAGGTAGTTGTCATTTTCTTCTGGGCCCAGGTGTGTTTTTTAAGTGTTGCCTCACTGCTGCCTCTTTACCGGCTGATAAACGAGAACACTGCCCCATTCAGGCCCTGCTTATAAGCTCTCTACAGGAATTTGGCAGGGATAAATGGACCTTCTTATACGGTCCTACCCTGGATCCCAAAAGCCTTGCGGGTCAAACGTCTTGGCTCCTGAACGCCGCAAACCCAGAAGTGTTCCGGTTTGCAAAGGTTCTTTGGAACCTGAACGTCCGACACAGCTTCTGCAGCTTCCAATTGGCTGCAGGAGCTTTCTGCAGCCAATCGGAAGCCGCACCTTGGTTTCCGAACGTTTTGGAAGTCAAACAGACTTCCGGAACGGATTCCCTTCGACTTCCAAAGTACGACTGTACCTCATAGAAATGTAGAGTTGAAAGGGAATCCAACCCCGCTTTTCTTCACATCTTTCCCAAGTCCCTCCTCCCTGATGCATACATACACCCTAGGCAAAGGTAAAGGTAAAGGGACCCCTGACCATTAGGTCCAGTCGCAGACGTCTCTGGGGTTGCGGTGCTCATCTCCCTTTACTGGCCGAGGGAGCCGGCGTACAGCTTCCGGGTCATGTGGCCAGCATGACTAAGCCGCTTCTGGCGAACAAGAGCAGCGCACGGAAATGCCGTTTACCTTCCCGCCGGAGCGGTACCTATTTATCTACTTGTACCTTGATGTGCTTTTGAACTGCTAGGTTGGCAGGAGCTCACCCCGTTGTGCGGTTTCGAACTGCCAACCTTCTGATCGGCAAGTCCTAGGCTCTGTGGTTTAACCCACAGCGCCAGCCGCGTCCCTCTATACCTACACCCTTATGCACCCTGAATTTAGTAATTTGTGCTTTTCTTCTTCTTTTTTACAATTAGGGCTTCCTGCCCTCTGCTGAAACAGGTAACAACAACAACAACAACAAAATTATAGTTTCTTTTATTGATTTATTTTTAGGAAAAAAAAGTTTTAATGAGAAAAAGACACTAGTTAAGGGTCTTGGAGATCCGAGCCATTACCACCTCAAGGAGATAACTCACCCCCCCCCATTGCCTCTGGGACAGATTCAAGAACCGCTGAGTATTCCGCGTGCGCAACTTGGCATTTTGGTACCATGTACAGAATTCAGTGTCCTGAGAATTTCAGTTCCTGTTACGGGTTTTGAAAAAGGTAAGTTTCTAGTCCTCAAAGCTGTGACATGCTTGAAAGTGAACAGTGTTGCCAATATCTCAGAAACCAGAGCAGCAGTTTGGCAGGATTCCTTGCGGGAAGCGCTTAAGGATTCGGTACCGGGCTTCAGTCCCAACAATCCCCACCCAAGTTATTCATTAGCAGAATGAATGATCAAATATAAGCAGTGATACCTGTGCACATCCCATACAGGTTGCAAGATCCAGCTTTCCACGGCTCAGAATTTTGATATTATATATATACACACACACGTGTGTGTATATAATTTAGCACAAAGCACATGCAGGGTCGAATAATGCTCCCTAGAAGTGGAAACTAAGAATGGCCACATCTGAGCAGCAGAATATCTGCTTGGCAGTTCAATCTCAGGCATCTCCAGATAGGGAAAAGAACATCCTCTGTCAACTTTCCTGGCAAACAATCAATGTTGATAGTACAGTGGTACCTCGGGTTAAGTACTTAATTAGTTCCGGAGGTCCGTTCTTAACCTGAAGCACCACTTTAGCTAATGGGGCCTCCTGCTGCCGCCACGCCACCAGAGCACGATTTCTGTTCTCATCCTGAAGCAAAGTTCTTAACCTGAGGTAATATTTCTGGGTTAGTGGAGTCTGCAACCTGAAGCGTATGTAACCCGAGGTACCACTGTATTGAGATCGGTGAACCAGAAGTCTCACTTGGCATAAGGCTACTTCCTATGTATTCAGGGCCAGCCCTACCGTTAGACAGTGAGGCAGCAAACTTCGGGTGTCACGAAAAGCTAACAGGTTGTTATCAACTGGCTTCATTACCCTTGGGGGTTTTTTACTGCCAAGGAGAAGGAAGAGATGCATGGGGGATTTTCAGCCTCAAAATGCCAAAATAACTTGGCTGGTGGCCTTGGGTATTATGTACCTTTATTTGGGGGGTGAGGGGTCGCACTCTATGCTGCTTTGTCCCAGGCAGCAAAATGTATTGGCCTGGCCTTGGAAGGACACCTATAAATGTGCCTTGCTTGTCCTTTTCTAGACCAAATAACAGTATCTTTGCATTTATTTGGCACTTGTTCTTTTTTAGTATTCAGCATGACTCGCCTCCACAAAAGCTACCAGCCTGAAAAATGTTTTACTAGCCCGGCAGGGGCAGACTTTGGTCACCTTTCATACAATTTGGCACCCCCAAAATGCATCTTCTCAGTTATGGATCTTCACAATTTTGCTCCCCCCCCCCCGCTTGGTGCCCTGTGCAGGGGAGCCACCTACAATGCCCTAAAATTCAGGGGTCTGCAAACTTTTTCAGCAGGGGGCCGGTCCACTGTCCCTCAGACCTTGTGGGGGGCCAGACTATATTTTAGGGGGGAAATGAATGAATTCCTATGCCCCACAAATAACCCAGAGGTGCATTTTAAATAAAAGGACACATTCTACTCATGTAAAATCACGCTGATTCCCGGACCTTCCGCGGGCCGGAATGAGAAAGCGATTGGGCTGGATCCGTCCCTTGGGCCTTAGTTTGCCTACCCCTGCCCTAAATCTTGAGACACAACAGTTCTGTTCCTCCCACTGCATTTTTATAAAGGGCTCTAAGCAGGAGTAAGGAGGGATTCTGACAACGCACTTGTATACACAGGTCATTGCATCCCAATTTATGGGGGACAGCATGTAGTTGGCCACTGTGAGAGGAGGATGTGGAGGCAGATGGGTCATTGGTCCGATCCAGGAGGAATCTTTGTACGCTCCTAACTGGCTTCTTGCTCCAATCCACTATTTTGCATCTGGCTCTGGTCAGTGGGCTTTGGGATCTTACCTCCTTTTTTAAACGAGGAGATCCCACAAGCTCCAGGTTTTCCATCCCTGCATTAGCCAATACAGTCGTAACTTGGAAGTCGAATGGAATCCGTTCCGGAAGTCAGTTCGACTTCCAAATCGCAGCTTCTGATTGGCTGCAGGAAGCTCCTGCAGCCAATCGGAAGCCGCGGAAGCCCCATTGGACTTTCGGCTTCCAAAAATAGTTTGCAAACTTTGAACAGTCACTTCTGGGTTTCGATTGTTCAGGAGCCAAAACATTCGAGAACTAGGCTGTTTGGAAACTAAGGCACGACTGCATCTCACATTGGGTTTCTAAAGGTTTCCTTCTTCGCGGTGTTGTTTATTCTCTGTGATTTGAGAAAAGAAGTAGCGGTCAATCCACATTTTGCACCAAGGAAAGCAAGACCTTGTGACCTGAGCAGACTTATACAAAGTAAAGGGCTTCACTGGTTTATTTTTGTGTCATTCATTTTTTTGCTGCTGCTAATCGAAAGGCGCGAGGAGGTCTGCCCCGGAAGTCCACTCTCTGATCAGAGGAAGTCCTGCCTCCTGGTGTTCTCCCAGCTTCCTGTCACTGCTGCTATCAGATTCCAAACATATGTTCACAGCCATAAAGACTAGTAACTTCCTTGTTTGTTTAAAGTATTGAAGGTTGAGATTCCATACTTACACGGTGCAGAATATGCTCAAACCCTGCTGTCCCGCCCCGCTCTGGCAGTTCCTCACAGAATTACAGTGGTACCTCGGGATAAGTACTTAATTTGTTCCGGAGGTCCGTTCTTAACCCGAAACTGTTCTTAACCTGAAGCACCACTTTAGCTAATGGAGCCTCCCACTGCCGCTGCACGATTCCTGTTCTCATCCTGAAGCAAAGTTCTTAACCCGAGGTACTATTTCTGGGTTAGCGGAGTCTGTAACCTGAAGCGTATGTAACCTGAAGTGTATGTAACCCGAGGTACCACGGTACTGGCTTCTCAGTATCTGGATCAAAATGTGCCCCAATTTCTGAAGTCAAACTACACAGTAGAGACTTTTGTGTGCATGTGCGTGTGTAGGGGTCTGGCTCTCGCGGCGAATTGACATGGGAGAATAAGATCACTGCCAACTTCCCTGTCACAGCTACAGTCACGGGGAGGCTTACGGCCACATCTGGCTCCCCTCTGCAGGCTCCTGGGTGATTTTGCACCCACCCAGCTCTGCGTAGTTACTGAAGGACAAAGGGGGACAGGCTTAGGGCAGTGCTTGCTGTCTCTTGATGCAATTCACCCTCCCTACAGACACCGTGTTGTTTCTTCAATGGCCTTTTAAAGTAGTTCTTTGGCTGCTGAGATAGGTCCGGGCTATAAAAGAGGTAGTGGTTTCTGGTAACTGGGCACAAAGGACAGAGGGATGGGGCACTGCGGAAGAAGAGAACAGATCCAAACAATCCGGTATCCTCACAGCTCCCTCCCCTCACTAACTAGACCCCCACCCCACACCTCCCGGGCAACCCAGGAGCAACGCTTCCCACGTGATTTACGCTTCTCTAATCCTCTATCCCTGCCCACCCTCATTCCCTTCCAAATAATCCAGGAATTCCATCCCTCTAGCAAACTAAGACACTAAACCTAGTCCCTACCCCCAAAAAACAACCCTCAAGGGGTTCCTGGCTCGCAGCCCCCACATTCTAACCGCTACACCCCCGCTTCCCTCCCTTGGAGCTCAGGAGTCCCCTCCCTTTCCACTTCCTGCCGCCGCGACTCCGCCTCTTCCTCCTCCTCCTCCCTCAGCGAATGAGGACGTTGATTTCGGTCACGTTGGCCTCCATGACGTTCTCGGCCGTGGTCTTCCCGTGCTGCTCCTTGAGGTGGCGCCGTATGGCGGGCTTGTGGGCGAAGCGGACGTCGCAGTAGGAGCAGCGGTACGGCCTCTCGCCGCTGTGGAGGTTCATGTGGTCGTGCAGCGTGGACTTCTGGGTGAAGCACTTGCCGCAGATGGTGCACGAGTGCGACTTGACGCCCCGGTGGACGTTCATGTGCCGGTTGAGGTTGCTGCTGTGGTTGAACTGCTTGCCGCAGCGGGGGCACATGAAGATGAAGTGGTGCGCCCGCATGTGGAAGACCAGCTTCTCCACCCCCTGGAACACCTCCTCGCACTTGGTGCAGCGGATTATCCGCGAGCCGCCGCCGCCCCCCGGCGTCCCCGAACCGCCGCCTCTCCCTGCCGAAGGGAAGGTGGAGAAAGGCCGCCCGCTCAGTCCGGCCAGCACCAGCCCCATCCCTCCGCCGCTGCTCTGGCATTCTGCTGCAACAGCCGCCGCCTCGCTGGTCTCCTCCAAGTAGCCTCCGCCGGGGATGATGAGAAGGCCTTCGCCCTCAGCGTCCTCCGAGAGGCTGTAGGAAGCCTTCACCACCCCTTGCTGGGACTTCTCCGGGGTCGTCTCTGGAGGGGAGCCCATGGCCTCCGCCACCGTCGAGTTGACCTGAGGTTCTTCCTGGTCTCCGGACGCGTCCTCGCTCCAGCCGGGTGGCGGAGAAGACTCTTTGCCCCAAGCTTGCTGGGGTGAAGGTTCTTTGCTCCAGCTCTGCTGAGGGGACATATCTTTGCTCCACGTGGTGCCAGCCTGCTGCTTCTTCTGCCGCTGCGCCACCTCCAGGGCGGACTCCACTTTCACGATGCAGATGTCGGAGACGGCGTCATCGTCCCCGTAGTCGTCGTCCTGCTCCTCGTCCTCGTCCTCCGCCTTCATCTCCAGATCTTCCTCCATCGGGAACTCCAGCTTGATGGGCCGCGGCATGGACCTGCCAGACACAAAGACACAAATTAGTGCAACGGTGGCAGAGAACCATCACGAGGAATCACTTATACAGTCGTACCTCGGAAGTCAAATGGAATCTGTTCCGGAATTCCGTCCAACTTCTAAAACGTTCGGAAACCAAAGCGCGGCTTCTGACTGGCTGCAGGTAGCTCCTGCAGCCAATCAGAAGCTGTGGAAGCCCCGTCGGACGTTCGGCTTCCAAAAATAGTTCGCAAACCGGAACACTCACTTCTGGGTTTGCGGCATTCGGGAGCCAAAACGTTCGAGAACTAAGCTGTTCGAAAACCAAGGTATGACTGTACATGCATTGGACTGTTGGCTGATCTAGGCCAGGGTGGGAAACCTCTGGCCCTTCAGATGTTGCTGGGACTATAAACTCTCATCAGGCACAGTTTGTCAGGCATGGTAGAGTCGGAGGGATTTGAGGCCAGTGGTTCTGATTGGCTGCATTTCTCTTTTTAAAATCAATTTTTATCATGAATTTTCAACGTAACAGGAAAGAAGCAAGAATAAACAAGAGATTAAAGAATGAAAAGAATAAAAAACAAACACCAGGCCCTCTGTTGCAACTATATCTTAATCCTTATTCCACACACAGAAAAGTGAACCCTCCCAGCTCTTACCTGGGAGCTTCCCCCTCTTCCTCCAGCCTCACAACCTGGGAGAACCTCCCTACCCTGCCTTCACCTTCCACTAATTGGCTGCATTTCTCCAAGGTCTTGGGCAGAGGACATTTCCCAGGACTACTTCTAGGTCAAGAAGTCAGGTCGCTGAATGCAAAACCTCCCACGCAGAAAAACCGGGCTCCACTGCTGAGCTACCGACCATCTCCCATATCTATAGGTTGGAATTAGCGCACTGGAAAACTTGCCCACTTGTTACTGGCGATCCTGAGCAGGTGAACAGGTGTTTGTTTAGTCAAAACAGGTTAATTAGCTCAGATTAACTGAAAATTAAAGCAGGTGGTGTGCTTATTTCACTGCCTACCAGAAAATGGTGCTATTGCCTTACTTACCCAAAGCATTCCTTACTGCACATTTAAACAAATATTATCATTAAACCGCTTGCCTTGGTCACCTGTGGTGGGCAAGAAAACACCTCCAGGTGACCAGGCGGGGAACCTTCCCCAAAAGTTGGTTTTCTTTTTTATTTTATTTTATTTCTTCTTTCAGGAAGGAACTTGATTAAGGCAGGTAATGTGAGCTCAAGTGGACCGATTTTTTTGCGGACTTATTGGGGGGGGGAAGGATCAGATGAAAGCAGATTCTTCAGCAAACCTCTTGCGTGAATGTTCTTTGCGGGACGAGGTGGAGCAGCCAACTACGCTAGGGGACTTGGACCTCCGGTGGCCTCCGAACTTTGCCGAGTCTTCCTTGAGGCTGATTTTGGGCTCGATGAACTGGGACAGGGCATTCCGGCACTTCTCCACCACGTGCTCCATCTGCAGGTAGCTGGCGGCGGTCAGGTAGTTGACGATGTCTCTGACGGCAAACTCCAGGGCGCCGGTGTAGCAGGAGAGGAGCAGGTCGGCCACGATCTTGGCGCTGTGCATAAGGGAGACCTGGAGCTCAGAGGAAGGGTTGAGGAGGAACTGGTCCCTCAGGAAAGGGGAGCAGGCAGCCAGGATGACCTTGTGACCGCGGAACTTGAGGCTGTCGGCCACGATGGTGACATCGCAGAAGCGCTCCTCCGAGCGGAGCTGGTTCATGTTGCGAAGGGTGGCCGCCTCGTGGCCGGGGAGCTGGAAGCGAAGAAGCTCGACGCCAGATGCCATCAGTCCTCACGGGAAGGAGAAGAGGGTCAGGCTGTGTGTGGAGAGGGAAGGAAGACGCGGAAGAGGCAGGCCCAGGAGGGCAGGAGGCCGAGACACTGAAAAGAAAGAGCGGAAAATGTTGTGCTACAATATTGAAGGATCAACAGCCTTTGGACTGAGAGGCAATTAGGAACATTAGAAGAGCTTGCTGGATCAGGCAATTGGCCCTTCTAGTCCACCTCCTGTTCTCACAGTGGCTGAACAGATAATAATAATAAATAATAAATTTTATTTATACCCTGCCCTCCCCAGCCAAGACCGGGCTCAGGGCAGCTAACAACCAATAATAAAAACAAGTTGATTGAAATACAACTTAAAAAACAAGATCAAAATACAGTGGTACCTCAAGTTAAGTACTTAATTCGTTCCGGAGGTCCGTTCTTAACCTGAAACTGTTCTTAACCTGAAGCACCACTTTAGCTAATGGGGCCTCCTGCTGTCGCTGCGCCGCCGGAGCACGATTTCTGTTCTCATCCTGAAGCAAAGTGCTTAACCCTATTTCTGGGTTAGCGGAGTCTGTAACCTGAAGCGTATGTAACCTGAGGTACCACTGTACAACATTAAAACCTTAAAATGCAGCCTCATCACAGGAGGAGAAAGGAAAAAAGAAAGGGGGGGAGGGAATCAAGGTGATTCCAAGCCAAAGGCCAGGAGGAACAACTCTGTCTTACAGGCCCTGCAGAAAGAAATCAGATCCTGCAGGGCCCTGGGCTCATGAGACAGAGCGTTCCACCAGGCCGGAGCCAGTGCTGAGAAGGCCCTGCTCTGGTTGAGGCTAATCTAACTTCCTTAGGGCCCAGGACCTCTAGGGTGTTGCTATTTACGGACCTTAAGGTCCTCTGTGGGCATATCGGGAGAGGCGGTCCCATGGGAAACCAGCAAGCAAGACCTGAGCGCAACAGACTCTCCCCTCCTGCAAATTCCAGCAACTGGCAGCAATTGATATCACATTAACAGGGATAGGCAACAGGGTAACCTTCGGACAGAACATACGTAAGATAAATTGTGAGGTACCTATACCAATCAGGGTGCAAGGTTTGGGCAAAAGCCTGCTCCAGGCTACATCAGCCAAATGACAGCAATGGGTTTGGGATGCAGAAGACCCTGGGCCAGCTCAGCTCCTGCCAGTGTTATGGCTTGCCATGAGCAGCAGGTGGTTGGGAAGTTGGACAATTCTACAACCTGGAAAAGCCAGTACAAAGAACCAAGATGCAGGCAGCTCTTCAGATAACCTGGGTCCCAAATGATTTAGAGCTTTAAATGGAACCACCAGCACTTTCAACTGGACATGGAAAGACCAGTACAGAATTTGTGCTATATGCTCCAATCGACTGGCCCGCCAAGCGGCCAGGTGATGCTTGAATTTTCAAGCCGCCTTTAATAGAAGCCCCACGCAGAGCACATGAAGTAGTCTAATCTGGATGTAACCAGGGTGAAAGCAAATGAAGCCAGATCTGTTTTCTCCAGATAACGTCTAAGCTGGCAAATCACCTGAAGCTGACAAAAAAGGCAGTTCTGTATATTAAGATGTTCATCATTTTCTTTAACTTCCTCTTTTGAGATCAGTGCACCAGTACAGTAACACCCATTTATCCGGCCTCCCTTTCCAAATCTTAGTTCACACGTTACACTGAAAAAGAGAGACGCAGATGTAGGTCCGTCACCACTGTGATTTCGAAAACTTACGCTTCCACTTTCATCTCATCTTTCAGCCCGTAAGATGTCTGAACCGTGTGTTCAAAGAGAGTTCATTTGCTGGGAACCAGCAGCTGAACCGGGCTTTCCAGCACATGAACGCATTGTGAAATAGATGCACGTGCAAGCAGAGAGATGCAATTAACTCCACAAATGTTGTTTTTTTTAAAAATGCTGTTTGCTGCATTCACGTTCTGCACAGAGAAAGCATGTGAGCGATTGGGGGGTTTAGAGAGAAAGTGATTAAACTCTATGCGGATCATTATGTGGTGGGTGGTTTCGTTTCTCCAAAGCTAATGGGTCTCCAAGGCACCTGCAAGCAAACGCTGGAAAATCTCCTACACGCAACGTGTGAAACGGCCTGCCAACCTACCTCTCTCCCTCCCCAGCTCTCCCGTTCACACCCATCCAGCGTGGTGATGCGAGCTAAGGCGACTGAGGCGCACCAACGCTGCTCCTTCCTTTGCACCCCGGTGGTGGGTTTTTTTGGTTTTTGGCAAGGAATAAAGCTTCCCACGCTCCCGCGTGTGGCATCGCGCGATAATACAGCGGTACCTCGGGTTAAGTACTTAATTCGTTCCGGAGGTCCGTACTTAACCTGAAACTGTTCTTAACCTGAAGCACCACTTTAGCTCATGGGGGCTCCTGCTGCCGCTGCGCTGCCGCTGCACGATATCTGTTCTTAACCTGAAGCACTATTTCTGGGTTAGCGGAGTCTGCAACCTGAAGCGTCTGTAACCTGAAGCGTCTGTAACCCGAGGTACCACTGTACAAGCAGCGCGTGCATTTTCTCCTATTTAAAATTTCCCCAAAAAGAGAGAGAAAAAAGCGCCTTTCTGCAAGGTTTTCGAAACGCCCACCGCCCGCCCTTTTCACACACCCCCTTTGCTAGCAAGCAAGTGCAAAGGAGCTCTTTCTTTTTCTCTTTTTCCCCCACCACCCGCCCCCCCCTTTTTTTTGCAAGTCTTCCCCACTTCCCATTCACAGCCGGGAGCAGACAATACCATCCCCACCCTCCTCCTCTTTGGCTTACCCTCCTCTGCCCCCTTTTGCACGCTCCTTTCTTCCTCGCGAGCAAGCGGCAAAGAGGCACCCTTGGCCCCCCCTCCCAGCTCTGAGTTTCCCAGCCCCCCCTCCTTCCCCTTCCCCCTCCTCACCTTGCAGCCTTGCTCCCCCTCTCTTGGAGGAGAAGGGGTGGGCCCCGAATGGCCAAACAAGGAGGCAAGAGCCAGAGAAAGGAATTAAAGGGGCCTCCTTAAAGGGCCAGGCGGCCGGGGAAAGGGGAGGAATATTCGTCCTCCACATAGGGAAGGGGGAAAAAATAAAAAAGCCAATGAGGGGCGGCGTGTTGGGGGAGGGGGAGAAGCAAAAGAAACTACTTGACTGCACGGTGGGACAAGTTGCTAATCCCCTGCGCGGGCGCTTTAAGAGAAGGGAGGGGGGAATCCTCGCCCTCTTCCCCTTTAAGGCCCGTGGCGTCATAAACGCGCGACGCCGCGAAAGGAGGCTGGCGGGAGGAGCGAGGTTCCGGCCGCGCCCCCCCAGTCACCTTGGCAACCAATCCCCGCCCTCCTCTGGAAACAGGAGGCTTCGAGGCTTCCCGGGAGCGGCGCTTGAGCCACGTTGCCGCCTCCTATAAGCGGCCCCGGATGCCGCTCCTCGCCCCGACGGGCTTTCGTTATAGTCTATCGCTTAGGAACTTCCGACAATGTTTTGCTTTTATTTTAGGATTTGACCAGTTTCTCAAGGCGCAAACTTATTATTATTATTAGTAGTAGTATTGAATAATAATGATAATAATAGCTTGCATTGCGACTATGGCAAAAAGAGACAAAATTTACAGCCTGCTACACAATAAAAGAAAATTTCATGAAAATGTTGCACAGGTGGTACATGACCCCCAGTAAAAAATAACAAAGGTAAACAACACAATGGAAAGGAAAAATAGGATAGAAGAAGCTGCAATGAGGTGGTGAGAAATCACTGGTGAAAAAACATGGATATTGTTTGGATTATACACACACACACTATATATATATATATATATATATATATACACACACACACACACACACACATATATATATATATGTATGATATATATGTGTGTGTGTGTTTGTGTGTGTTAAAATATGGACTGGAGTATATAACTGTAACTAATGAAAATCTACCAAAAAGCATTAAAAAAATAATAGCTTGCTGTGTAACTAGTGAAAATCTAATAAAAAGCATTTTAAAAAAAATAGTAATAGCTTGCATTGCATCAGTGCTTGTCCTGAAGGAATTAGGGGCGAAGGGGTGGAAAGTCCCCTCAATAGATTTTTTGATATGCCCAAGATGGAAACTTTTGAGACACTTGAATTTTAACAGCACATTACGCAAGATTCTCTGGAATGGATCTGTGTGCTGGAACATTTTCTTTTGCACTCGAGAAAGATAATTGAACTTTGCTGCATTACTTCTTGTTGCAATTTAAAATAAATTCATGTTTTACTAGTCACAAAATAGCCTGGCACCAGCACAGGGTGGTGAGGAGAGAGAATCCTACCAGTGATCATGGAATTGTAGAGTTGGAAGGGACCCCCAGGGTCATCTAGTCCAACCCCCTGCAATGCAACATGGGGCTCAAACCCACAACCCTGAGATTAAGAGTCCCATGCTCTACCAACTGAGCCATGCTAGCATCTTATCTGACCCCATGGCCAAAGCAGGAAGTTCCACGGCATCCCTGTTAGGTGTGTCCTTCCAGGCTCTGCTTACAAACCTCTAGTGGAGGAAAGTCCACCAGCAGCCTGCTTCTCATTGTTGAACAGCCCATACTGTCAGGAAGTTTAGATGAAATCCTTTTTCTTTTGATTTCAACCCATTAGTTTGGGCCCTTGCCCCAAGGGAACATAAAACAAATTTGCTCCATCGTTGTGCAACAGCCCTTCAGATATTTGAAGGTGACTCTCATATCGCCCATTAATTGTCTCTTGTCCGGCCAAAGCAATGCCTGGCTCCTTCCATTTCTCCCCTCTACTGGACATGTTTCAGTTTGTCAGTCTCCTTAAACTGCAGTTCCTAGAAGTGGACAAACTGTTCCAAGTGCCTCAGTATGTAAATATTCCCAGAAATGCCTATTTAGTAAGGAGGAGGAGGAGTTTGGATTTGATATCCCGCTTTATCACTACCGGAAGGAGTCTCAAAGCGGCTAACATTCTCCTTTCCCTTCCTCCCCCACAACAAACACTCTGTGAGGTGAGTGGGGCTGAGAGACTTCAGAGAAGTGTGACTGGCCCAAGGTCACCCAGCAGCTGCATGTGGAGGAGCGGGGAAGCGAACCTGGTTCACCAGATTACGAGTCCACCACTCTTAATCACCACACTACAGTGGGGAAGTCTGGCTTCTTATGCTTGGTAAAGATAAAGGGACCCCTGACCATTAGGTCCAGTCGTGACCGACTCTGGGGTTGTGGCGCTCATCTCGCTTTCTTGGCCAAGGGAGCCAGCGTACAGCTTCTGGGTCATGTGGCCAGCATGACTAAGCCGCTTCCGGCGAACCAGAGCAGCGCACGGAAACGCCGTTTACCTTCCCGCCGGAGAGGTACCTATTTAACTACTTGCACTTTTGGGTGTGTTTTCGAACTGCTAGGTTGGCAGGAGCAGGGACCGAGCAATGGGAGCTCACCCTGTTGCAGGGATTCGAACCGCCGACCATCCGATCGGCAAGTCCTAGGCTCTGTGGTTTAACCCAGCGCCACCAAATAGTGGCTGTGTGCACATGACACACCCCAAATAATCCTGCAAACTATACCCCTCACAGAGCTACAATTCCCAGAACACTTAAACTACAGTTCCTGTGTGCTTTAAATATATGGGGTGTATTTAGGCAGTCATTGTAGAAAAGCTTACTGGCAACGACTCCTGAGCGACTCTCCCCTTCTCCAGGTCAAAGGTCTGATAGTCTTTCACTTCCAAGTCAATTCCCCCTGCCCGGTCTTTCAGGGTCAATTTCAGGGGAGTCCTTGCACCGACAGGACTCATCTGCCAACAGGACTCATTTGTGGAATCCCACCCATCAGGGACATAGGAAACTGTCCGTCTAGCTCAGCGTTGTCTACACTGAGCAGGAGACTCTCATTCCCAGGGTTGTGGGTTCGAGCCCCACGTTGTGCAAAATATTCCTGAATTGCAGAGGGTTGGACTAGATGACCCTCGCGGTCCCTTCCAACTCTACAATTCTACGATTCTATGACTGGTAGCAGCTCTCCAGCATTTCAGACAGGGAATCTTCCCCAACCCCACTTGGAGATGGTAGGGCTTGAACCTGGGACCTTCTGAAAGATGATCTGCCACTGAGCTAGGGCATTTTCCTGTATAGTGTCTTGTGGGTAAAACAGTTGGTACAAATTTGTCACATGCCACTTAAATGTATACCTTATTCAGTCAGGAGCGCCGTTATGTTTTATGAGCTGTTCACATATTTTAGGAGCTCTTCTGCCCATTAATAAGCAGGAAATTATTTTTTGTGCCATTTGTCATGGGCCACAGCTCCTTGCTGGTTCGTGACCTGTTTCCAATTCTAATTAAAATGTAAAACAGTGGTATTGGATATCCCTGAATTGGTTGCAATAAGCCCTTGATGTATTTGTTTGTTTGTTTCTTTCTTTCTTTCCCAATCAACACAGCTGAATTGTGAGCCTATCCATCATTTATTTATTTGTACCTTCATCTGAAGATCTCAGGGCATAAAAATGCAGAATAAAACCACAAAGTACACTTAAAAGACGCCAACATCTCAAACTTTCGTTTTTGCCTAACTAGAATGGGAAGGGCCAATGGTTTTACCCGGGTGGGAAGATCTTGGACCTTTGAAAGATTAGATATGCTGGGAAGGCTAGGAAAGAGCCTTGACCCCTGCCTTAGTAAACTTGCAAAAATAACACAGATTTACGGGAAATCAAAGTGGGGAGGGGAGTTGTTTGCAGAGGGCATGTTTTGCCATCACAGCAGCACACCTCATGCCAGCTGCACATAGCAAAAAGTGCCAAACTAGGCTGTCTTTAGGTACCAGTGTCTCCACACACATTCCTTGCTAGCAGTGTTGGTTCCAAGTTTTGGAGGAGCTTTGGGCAAGATAGCCTCTATATGGCACCATCCCTGCCTCCTCACTGTAGCAAGTCCAGGGAGGCTCTTGCCACTAGGCATTGGTTGTGGGTGGGCATTCAGCTCACCAGCATGCCAACCCTTGATGCCAGGCTAACAGCAGCTTGGGGAGGGGGTAATAATAATAATAATAATTTTTATTTATACCCCGCCCTCCCCGGCCAAAGCCGGGCTCAGGGCAGCTAACACCAGTAAAATTACAGTAAAAACATAATAGGGCGAAAAACCCAATTTAAAATACGTGCAAGTTAAAATGCAGTTTAAAATGCAGCCTTATTTTAAAAGTAGCGCATAGATCAAAACCATAAGGGGAGGGAAACATAAGGGTCAGACTGAGTCCAAACCAAAGGCCAGGCGGAACAGCTCTGTCTTGCAGTCCCTGCAGAAAGATGTCAAGTCCCACAGGGCCCTAGTCTCTTGTGACAGAGTGTTCCACCAAGTTGGGGCCAGTACTTAAAAGGCCCTGGGCCCTAGTTGGGACCAATCTAACCACCTTGCGACCTGGGACCTCCAAAATGTTGTCATTTGTGGACCTTAAGGTCCTCTGCGGGGCATACCAGGAGAGGCGGTCCCATAGGGGATAAGGGAGCCTGAGATCCGGAAAATTGCCTGGGGCGGATGTTAAACACCTCCTCCTTCAGCATCACTACCCTGCTCCATTTTTTTATCCCTCCCCTGCTGTGTGGTAGCCGCCATATATTTGACTTTACAGAGGACAATCCTCTATTGTTGGAATGGCTGCCTGGTCTAAATCTCTAAGGCCGTGAAGCTGCCCATCAACAGCTTCTTCTTCTCTTCTTCTTCGGCGATCACTTGTAGCCAAGTAAGATTGTCTTCCATGAACACGGTTTTAACTGAGTGTCTGTAAATGACGGTGGAGGCCAATTCTGGATCCACACGTCCTTCCACAGTGGGGACATTGGTTCCTGAGTGAGAGTTGATCGTGGTGAGGGTTTGCCAAGCGTGCCTTCCTCTTAGCACATTTCTCCCTTGCGTCCTGTGTTCGAGTGTCTTCAAATCCCATGACACCTTTGGTAGAGGCTGTTCTCCATTTGGAGCGCTCTCAGGCCAGTATTTCCCAGTTGCAGGTGTTTATACTACTTTTCCCCCCAACAGCAACACCTTGACTGGAGAGTGAACTGGCACAGAGATCACCTGGTCATAGTATTCTGCGTTAGGCTGAGGTGTACTGTATTTCTATCTAAATTACCATAGGTAAAGGTAAAGGGACCCCTGACCATTAGGTCCAGTCGTGGCCGACTCTGGGGTTGCGGCGCTCATCTTGGTTTATTGGCCGAGAGAGCTGGCATAAAGCTTCCAGGTCATGTGGCCAGCATGACTAAGCCGCTTCTGGTGAACCAGAGCAGCACACGGAAACGCCATTTACCTTCCTGCCAGAGCAGTACCTATTTATCTACTTGCACTTTGACGTGCTTTCGAACGGCTAGGTTGGCAGGAGCAGGGACTGAGCAACAGGAGCTCACCCCGTCGCGGGGATTCGAACCGCCGACCTTCCGATCGGCAAGCCCTAGGCTCTGTGGTTTAACCACAGCGCCACCCGTGTCCCTCTAAATTACCATAGTTATTCCTAAATTTCTAAATTTGCACACATATAAGGGATACCCAATGAAACGTTGCCACACACGGGACAAATAAGCACCATCAGGAGCAATTGCAGATCGGCTATTTTTACTTATTGGACTTTCCATGGGCGTAGCCGGGGGGGCAGGGAGGGACAGCTGCCCCCCCATCAATAAAAATACATAGGTAACTGAGGTTCTGCCCCCCCAACAAAAGCCTGCCCCCCCTAACAGAAATCCTGGCTTACACCCATAGGACTTTCCATGTCAAGAGGGAAATTTGGAGTAAATTGTTTTGTGGGGGGAGCAGAAGTACAGGCCGCCATTTTAATACACATATGTGAGTAGCACTGATTCCACAATGGACTTCTTTCAATTATGTGCCGCCCCCAAGGAAGGGGAATCTCAGGCCTACTGAAGCAAATGCGGCCCTCCAGGCCCCTCTGTCTGGCCCTTGAGACACTCCACAGACCTTGCCTCCTCCTTGAGTGGTTTTGCCAGTCCAGAACGCACCCTTGAACTCTGGCAATGCTCACTGCTTGCCTGGACGGAGGACAGAGAGGGAAGTGTATAGAACCAAGCCAAAGTAAAATTCACATTCGTTGCTCCTCCCGGTTTTCCTTCTGCACCCACCACCGCTGTCCTCTCTCCTGCTGTCCCTCAGAAAGGTTGTCCCGAACGGAATTCAACCCTTGAGGTGAAAATATTACTCAGCCCTGTGCCTGTTTGCTGGTCCAACTTTGACCACTAGGGTGTGATAACACAACATTTGGAATATGCCTGCAGCAATCTGAAGAGAACTGAGGCTCCGGGCTGCATACATACCGCACATCCCAACCCCAGCCCACCCATAATCCTGGGAACTATAGTTTACCTCTCACAGAGCTACAGTTCCCCGCACCCTTAACAAACTACAGGTCCTAGCAATTTTGGGAAGTGGGCTGTGCTTTAAAGGTATGGAGTGGGCTGCTTCTGCAGTTAACCCTGAACGCTTATTTACACTGAGCATGAGAGGAGCCCTGGGCTGGATCAGGCCAATGGCCCATCTGGTCCAGCATCCTTTTCTCACAGTGACCAACAGCATGCCTGTGGGAATCCTGCAAGCAGGTTTAAAACCCTCTTTTAAAACCACCCCAGTCACTGCATTCTGTGGCAGTGAGTTCCATGGTTCAACGATGCGCAGCCCTTGCTGAGATGCTCCGGTGCAGGAACAACCACTTCACCATGAGGGAGCCCTGTCTGCGTTGTGCTGGCCAGGGGAAGCCAACGTTGGCCCCTCCAGGTATTATGGGACTGCCAATTCCCTGACTGCCTCCCCCCGCTTCCCCAAATTAGGGTTGCCATCGCTCCCCGTCTCTTTCAGCCAGGGTCCTGCATCTTCCAAAATGCTAACGCTGACAGAAATCAAACAGGACATGGCACCTTTGTCTCTGAACCATCCCACAGAAAAAGCTCCACCTGTTGGATTTACACCTGTCAAGCACTTATTTAGGGGCACAGAAACACGGCTGCCAGGAGGAAAGAAGAGGACAATGCCTTTGCATTTAGGGCAACCGTATTCTGAAGGCAGCCCTGTATAGGGAAGTTTTTTAATGTTTAATGCTTTATTCTGCTTTCATATACATTGGAAGCTTCCCAGAGTGGATGGCAACCCAGTCAGAGGAATGGGGTGCAAATAATAAAATTATTTTAGGGTTGCCATATTTCAAAAAGTGAAAATCCGAAAAGTTGTTGAACTTTTTTTGGACAAAATCTCAATGAACTCTGATTTTCCTGGGAATATCAGCGATTTCTGCCAGACCTTGTTTCTGAAGGCCGAATCCCAGCGAGGTCTGACCCCAGTGTTTTTGTTTTTTCTTCTTACAAAATGTTTAGGGGTACTCTCATTTTGACTCAAGAAAATCACCATTTTATAGTTCAAATCGGGGGAAACAAATACAGCAAATGGACAAAAGTACAAAGATTCACAAAATGTTTAGGGGTATGTGTACCCCTGCGTCCCTCCAGAAAAAAAAGGCACTGTCTGACCCTATATAACCTTGGCGACCCTATATTAACCTTGATGTTTTTGTGAGTTTGCGAATTATGGACTTTAGCTACTCTAGAAAATGTGCCGGCAGGTTTGCGCCTGTTTGTTTCCTGGCCTTGAGCGTCCTTAGGAACAGCAGCGGCATATAAGTATAAACCTGAAGGCGGCGATGGAGAATGAGGAAGAGGAATCGAGCCAAGCGCAGGCATTGCGATCGCGGCCGGGAGCAGCAGCTTTCGGCGATCTTGCTCAATCCCCTTTCTCCTCACTCTGAAGGCGGATCCGAAAGTGACCGGGACGTTTCCAGGCAGCAGGAGCGTTTGATCACCAGCGGGGATTTCCCGATCTGCAGCGCTTGCCTGGGAGGCAGCAGGGGACGCCGGGCTCCTCGGACGCGGCTGCACCATGACGGCGCCTCGCCTCCTCGTCGCCCTCCTCGCCCTCTTGCCAGGTAGGGGGTGGCTCTGGCAATGGGGCGCGGGAGGGAGAAAGAGACGGGGGTCAGAGGCTGTCGCTCACCCACCCCTCATTTCTGTCTTCTTTAAAACAATTCCGCATTTTTTAAACCTGGGGTTTCCCCTAAAACATATTTTTTATCCCATATGTCCTGATGTTCTTTCCTTTAAAAGCTCTCTTTCTCCAAAGGCTTAAAATATATTCCATGCTTTCACATTTTTTAACTGTTTTTGTTCATTGCGGTGCTTTAAAAAAGGTAAAGGGACCTCTAACCGTTAGGTCCAGTCGCGGACGACTCGGGTTGGGGTGCTCATCTCGCTTTGTTGGCGGAGGGAGCCGGCGTACAGGTCATGTGGCCAGCATGACTAAGCCGCTTCTGGCGAACCAGAGCAGCGCACGGAAACGCCATTTACCTTCCCGCTGGAGCGGTACCTATTTATCTACTTGCACTTTGACGTGCTTTCGAACTGCTAGGTTGGCAGGAGCAGGGACCGAGCAACGGGAGCTCACCCCGTCATGGGGATTCGAACCGCTGACCTTCTGATTGGCAAGTCCTAGGCTCTGTGGTTTAACCCACAGCACCACCCGTGTCCCACTGCAGTGCTTTAAGAGACGATTAATAAATCGACAACAATAAATCTCTTTTCTCTTTCTAGTGTCTTTTATTCCTTGCTGTCCCTGCTTTTCGAATGGACTTTGGCTCCTTTCGGTTTTTCTCCCTTTCCCACTCTTTCTTTTTTTCTTTCTTTTTACAACACAAATCTCCCTTTATTTGCTCTGAAGTCTCCCTCCCCCTGAATTCAATGACACTTTTGTGGAGGCTATACCTTTAAAGCTCATTCAAAGCACACTCTTTCCCTCAAAGAATTCTGGGCATTGTAATTCACCCCTGGCAGAGGTACAGTTGAATTCCCAGCAACCCTTAAATCAACAAACTACAGTGCCCAGAATGCTTTGAGGGCGGAAATGTGCTTTGAAGTTATACCTGAAGGAGTGTCTCCACTCCCATCGTTCAGCCCAGACACTGAGGTCCTCCGCCAAGGGTCTTCTGGCGGTTCCCTCACTGTGAGAAGTGATGTTATAGGGAACCAGGTAGAGGGCCTTCTTGGTAGTGGCACCCGCCCTGTGGGATGCCCTCCCATCAGATGTCAAGGAGATAAAGAACTGCATCTTATAGAAGACATCTGCAGGCAACCCTGTATCAGGAAGTTTTTAATGTTAGATGTTTTACTATGTTTTATATATGCTGCAAGCCACCCAGAGTGGGCGGGGTATAAATAATAAGATGATGATGGTGACTGGTAGAATTAGATTTAGACTGTGTGCACACTATACATTTAAATCAGATATCCTTCCCCAATGAATCCTGGGAACTGCAGTTTGTCCTTCACAGAACTACAATTCCCAGCACCCTTCCCCTCTTTTGGCGGGAAATGTGCTTTAAATGTGTGATGTGTGCACAGCGCAAGTCTGACCAGTAAATATGCTTCCTTTACTGAAAAGAGAGCCACAAGAACAGAGCAACCCACAAGTGGCACAGTCAATTCTTTTTTGTTTGTTTGTTTTTGCAGATCATTTCAAATGCACTATTCTAGGTGATCAAAAGTCTAGTACTGCACTAATTGGCAAACTAATTTTCTCAGTACATCAAACGGTCAAAAAAAACCACAAACCCCTGTTGTTACTGGCATCTGTCTGTCTCAAGAGATGATAGAAGTGTGCACCATCGATTGGCAAACTAATATTCTTGGTACATCAAATTGCCAAAAAACCTAAAATTTGATACACAAACATGAAACTACTAAGCTTTTAAGGTAAAGTTAGCTTTGACAAAACAGGTGTCTCTTTTCCACTGTGGACAAAGTCCAGAAAGATCTGGGAACAGTAGTCAATTAAGCTAGTCCTTGGGCTAGTCCCAGAAGGTCGGCGGTTCGAATCCCCGCGACGGGGTGAGCTCCGTTGCTCATTCCCTGCTCCTGCCAACCTAGCAGTTCGAAAGCATGTCAAAGTGCAAGTAGATAAATAGGTACCTCTCCGGCGGGAAGGTAAATGGCGTTTCCGTGCGCTGCTCTGGTTCGCCAGAAGCAGCCTAGTCATGCTGGCCACATGACCCGGAAGCTGTATACCGGCTCCCGCAGCCAGTAAAGCGAGATGAGCGCCACAACCCCAGAGTCGGCCACGGCTGGACCTAACAGTCAGGGGTCTCTTTACCTTATGCCTGTAGCAGAACTAGTGGCAAAATGTTTTGAGCTGAGCTTCACTTCTCTGCAGAATCACTTCTCTGAATGCTCCCTTCTGTCAAAACAATAGCAGGAATATCCCTGTAAGTCTGGGGGCCCTGTGTTTTGATCTGAGGCAGAGCTCTTCCTAACAGCTTTGTAGGCTGAAGCCCAACGCGAAAAATCAGTAGCAATACTGACTCCAGGTTCAAAGTGCGTCCTGACGGAGGGTCGGAATCCTAAAGCGGTTTTAAATTCAGGCAGCTGACACCCGTTTCCTATCCTTCACAGCTGTAGCTACACAAGAAGCGGCCCTCGATGCAACTCCATTGTGCCCAGAGTCTGTGTCTATCCGAGGTGGCACCGTGTCACTCTCAGACGGGTTTCGCCCAGGAAGCATCCTCACCTATTCCTGCCCAGATGGCAGCTATCCGTATCCAACCCAAAGCCGGATCTGCCAATCAGACGGGAAATGGACTCCAATGCGTTCCTCAGGCAAAAGCCCCCTCAGCCAAGCACTGTGTCGAAGTAAGTGAGCGTTGCTGGCTACTTTGGGGTTTTCTGGAGGGCACATGGAGTACAATGGTACCTCAGGTTACATACGCTTCAGGTTACAGACTCCGTTAACCCAGAAATAGTGCTTCAGGTTAAGAACTTTGCTTCAGGATGAAAACAGAAATCGTGCTCCAGTGGCCCGGCAGCAGCAGGAGGCCCCATTAGCTAAAGTGGTACCTCAGGTTAAGAAGAGTTTCAGGTTAAGAACGGACCTCCGGAACGAATTAAGTACTTAACCCGAGGTACCACTGTAATCAGATAGAAGCCTGTTATTGCTCCTTAATGAGGGCTGCATTTCCTTGGACTTAATCTGCTGGGAACTGGGTGCTAGTGTGTGGGGTTGGAGAAGGTGGTGGATCAGTCCAGAACCCAAATATAGGGACACCTCACATCTTATTTTTCACTATTATACTGCTTTAAACAGGCTCCCCCCCCCAAAAAAAACCACCCCTTGAACTGTCATTTGTTAAGGGTGTTTGAAATTGAAGCACTCTGTGAGAGGTAAACAACAGTTCCCAGGATGCTCTGGGGGAACCCACGACTGTTAAAGTCGCTTGAGCAAGAGATGGCATTTCCTGAGGTATCCCAGAATGCATCACCCAGGAATTGTCATGGGGCAGAGGGAGACACAGGCCCCACATTACTCCCTTTTGGAAGCGTCGGTGAAAGGAGAGGGGGTATCTCCAGCTATCAGTGCCTGTATTATGATGTTGGTGCTGACGACGATGATCAATGCCAAAATCCAGCATTGCCTGAGCTTTGCGAGTGCAGCTTTCTCCTGACTGAAGTGTAGAGTGTTTGAGGATAGAGACATTTGCAGGGAAACCAAAATGCTTGTTTACAAAGTTATTCTACTACCAACCTTACTGTATGCCTGTGAAACATAGACCACTTATAAATGCCATCTCCAACTGCTCGAAAGATTCCATCAACGGTGTCTCCAAAAATTTTTACACATCACTTGGGAAGACAGGCAAACTAATACCAGTGTACTGGAAGAAGCAAAGATCACCAGTGTCGAAGCAATGATTCTTCAACATCAACTTCGTTGGACTGGTCATGTTGTTTGGATGCCTGATTACCATCTTCCGAACTTACCTATTCCACACTTAAGAATGGAAAGCGAAATATCGGTGGAAAACAAAATCTTTAAAAATGTAGTATAATAACTGATAACTGGGAAAGACTGGCCTGAAAGTGCTCTAACTGGAGAATAGCCTTGACGAAAAGTGTCATGGACTTCAAAGAACTCAGGGAGAAAGGAAGAAACAAGCTGCGAGGAAGACATGTTTGGCAAACCCTCACCATGATCAACTCCCACTTGGAAACCTATGTCCCCACTGTGGAAGGACCTGTGGATCCAGAATTGGTCTCCATAGTCACTTATGGACATACCATTAAGACTGTGTTCATGGAAGACAATCGTACTCGGCTACAAGTGATCGTCAAAGAATAATAATAATAGGATGATGGCATCTGTCTGTCGTGGGAGACAATTCAGCACTAGCAAAATAGTGCTGTGCTGTTAAGAAAAAGAAAGGGTGAAGGTGGGGGGGGGAACACGCTGGTAATTTCCTCCTCCCCAAGCAGAGAACAGAAGTGGACTCATAAAGTGCAGTTCACCACTAATCTCCCACTGTGTTGAAAAGGGAAGCAACAAAATGGGCATATCCTGAAAGAGGAAACTTGTAATTAATGCTGAATAGGACTTAAATACTGAGTACACATCGTAGAAGGATCCTGGCTATGAAGAAGGGCTTTGCAGGAGCATGAAAGCTTGATACAGTGGTACCTCAGGTTACGAACTTAATTCGTTCTGGAGGTCCATTCTTAACCTGAAACTGTTCTTAACCTGAGGTACCACTTTAGCTAATGGGGCCTCCCGCTGCCGCCGCATGGTTTCCGTTCTCATCCTGAGGTAAAGTTCTTAACCCGAGGTACTATTTCTGGGTTAGCGGAGTCTGTAACCTGAAGCGTCTGTAACCCGAGGTACCACTGTACAGTCATACCTCATGTTACGTCTGCTTCATGTTACATTCTTTCAGGTTACGTCCCACAGCGACCCGGAAGTACCGGAAAGGGTTACTTCCGGGTTTTGCGCATGCGCAGAAGTGCAAAATGATGTCACGTGCATGCGCAGAAGCCGCAAATTGCAACCCGTGTGTGCGCAGATGCGCCATTGCGGGTTGCGTTCTTTTCATGTTGCGAATGGGCCTCTGGAACGGATCCCGTTTGCAACCAGAGGTACCACTGTATTAAGTATTGCATGGAACAGCAGTTTTAATTCTGCTTCCTGGTAATTGCAAAAGGATAATTGACGCTAATGTGGACTCTGCCTGCTCTGGCATTGTTTTGGATTCTGGGCCTCGACAGCCTTGTTCCATGTGCTCTGTCTTTGTCCTTCCTCGTTTGCAGAGATAAGCTGTCCTCCGCAGAGGTACTTTGAAAATGGCTCCTTTGGCCCACGGCGAAGCTTGCATCCTGTGGGTGCCGTCCTCAGCTTTGAGTGTTCGGATGGATACCAGCTCCGGGGTTCCTCCAGGCGGCACTGCCTGTCCAATGGACGCTGGAACGGAACTTCTCCAGTTTGTGACGACGGAGGTATATCCCTAAATACTCCTCTCCCACCTCGACCACACACACACATGCACATGTACCATGCACACACCTTCTGCTCTAAATAGCCTAATTTATGCAAGTTGCAGAATTGAGCTTTGCATATATATATATATATATATGCGCCTTGTTCATACTGCGTCACTAGAGAACTGAATTAGTTCAGATGTTTAGGATTTTCTATTTGCTTGGAATGCAGTGACTTGGTTGCAGATATAACTAGGAAAAAAATGAAATATGGTGTACACATTGATGACCAAATTCTTCATTTCAAGTTCAAAAATCTGGCCCAGCCCAACCCATCCACATGTTATTGAGAGGTGCATGGGGAAGTTGCAAAGAACATTTCTCACGAGATGTGTACTCCCTACTAGATGTGTTTAGGATGACAACACTAGGGTCAAACTACAAGTTACGTTTTTCACACCATTTGCCCTTGAGTACAATATATTTCTTTGAGGAAAATCCAGTGACCCAGTTGGGAAGCCTAGCATGAATATAGGTGGGCTTTAACCCTTTGCCCCCTGCTATAGCCTCAATCCACACTGCCCCCCTCCGCCTTCTATTTGTATGGAGGGGTGCTCCTTTTGGAGCAAATGGACAATTCCCACCCCCACCCCCAATGTGCAAATAGCCAGCATGGGGTCTCTCTCTGGATTGGGACCACAGTGGGTTAAAAAACCCTTTCTCCTACACAATAGGTAAAGGAACCCCTGGTCCAGTCGTGACTGACTCTGGGGTTGCGGTGCTCATCTCGCTTTATTGGCCGAAGGAGCTTCCGGGTCATGTGGCCAGCATGACTAAGCCACTTCTGGCGAACCAGAGCAGCACACGGAAATGCCATTAACCTTCCTGCCAGAGCAGTACCTATTGATCTACTTGCACTTTGACGTGCTTTCGAACTGCTAGGTTGGCAGGAGCAGGGACCGAGCAACGGGAGCTCACCCCGTTGCGGGGATTCGAACCGCCGACCTTTTGATCGGCAAGTCCTAGGCTCTGTGGTTTAACCCACAGCGCCACCTGCGTCCTACACAATGCTCCCCTGTAATAACTTGAGGGCAAATGGCATGACTAACATAACAGGTAGTTTGGCTCATAGTTGGTTTTGGGCCATGGAATTTGCTGCAATATGCAGTTGGAGATGTGCTTTGCTTGTGGTGGTGCTTGCCATATGATATATAACTCCACATATCCTGCGTTTCTGCCCTCATTTATGCACGTCCTCTCTGCAGCGGGGCACTGCCCAAGCGTTGCCATCCCGCCAGGGGCAATTGCTACTGGGGGGCGCAACCGTCTTGGTGACCGGGTCTCCTTCCAGTGTCAGAGTGGCCTGGACTTGGTGGGGTCTTCCCAGCGGGTCTGCACTCCAGAGGGTGAATGGTCAGGAGCTGAGCCAAGTTGTAGAGGTAAGCATCACAAATACACACACACACACACACATCTTCTGTCTCCCCTGGCTTCCTGTATCCTTTTTCTCTTGCTCTTCTCTCATATGTCCCTTCCTTTAATCTTTTTTTTGTTTTGTTTTGTTAAACAAAACTACCTAGTTTTTCAAATTCCCTTCTTCCGGATATTCCCTCTGAAGTGTAGGTGGGATCCCACGAGGCAAGACACAGCGATAACAGAAAGAACCTTTATTGAACTACATACCTGGATAACAGGGGCAATGCAACTGCTTATATACATTTCTGAAAGCCAGGGCCACTCCCAACGTGATTGGCTGTCTAAACTCCCAAGCTGCGAATCATGACTCAGAGTTTAAGGGCCAATGGCAGAGGCCCAAATCCTGAAATGTTTTGTGATTGGATATCATGTATCGAATCAGAACACTGGAGCTCAGAATCCTTAGTCCAGTCAAACACAGACCACTGAATACATAACAGCCTCCACTTCATCTTCAGCAGGGGGAGCCACAGGGGAGCCGCAGAAAGAATGTGGTTGGTCAAGGGAGAGGGGACTCAGAAAGGTTGAAAGCCACCCGTTTAATTCTTTATAACATAATTTCCTGTGCACAGCAGGGCAGGCTCTATCTATCCTCTTTCTATATCACTTACACTCCATCGCATCTCCCCTTGGGAGAACAATTATCGACACCTTTGCCATTTTGTCTCACGGAGACAGAAAGCACCCCCAACCCCCTTTTCTCTTTTCTTACAGCCCCCTATTCTTACGATAGGGCTGAAGACGTCAGAGCTGAATTTGGAGCCTCGTTTACTGAAGTTTTGAGCGACGTGTCATCTTCTGGTCCTGACCCGTCTGAGACCACTGCAGGCGAGTCTAAGCCCTGATGTAGTTTCTGTAGGCCAAGCTGGGACTCGGAGCAGAGACAGAGAGTCACATATTATTTTAAAGGGGTGCTTTCCGTGGGATTACAGTGGTACCTCAGGTTACATACGCTTCAGGTTACATACACTTCAGGTTACATGCGCTTCAGGTTACAGACTCCGCTAACCCAGAAATAGTGCTTCAGGTTAAGAACTCTGCTTCAGGATGAGAACAGAAATCGTGCTCCGGCGGCGCGGCAGCAGCAGGAGGCCCCATTAGCTAAATTGGTGCTTCAGGTTAAGAACAGTTTCAGGTTAAGAACAGATCTCTGGAACGAATTAAGTACTTAACCCGAGGTACCACTGTATTTCCATCAGCCTTCTCAATCCTTCTTGGCTACTTTGTTAAGAATTACAAGCTTGGTGGATTAGGCCCCTGTGGACATAGTGTATCTTGATTTCAGTATGGCTTTTGACAAAGTTCTGCATGATATTCTCCCCATGATATACTTTGGTGTGAAACAGGTAGGTAGCCGTGTTGGTCTGACGCAGTAGAAATATATAAAATTAAAATTAAAAAATTGTCCAGTGGCACCTTAGAGACCAACTAAGTTTGTTCTTGGTATTAGCTTTCGTGTGCATGCTACTGGACAGTTTTTTTATTTTTTAAAAATACAGGTGAAACTCGGAAAATTAGAGTATCGTGGAGTTAATGAAGCACAGTGGACCAACACCCGCTGATGACATGGCTCCCCAAATCTCTTTTCTGATGAGAGCAGCTTTTGAATCTCATTTGGAAACCAAGGACCCAGAGTCTGGAGGAAGAATGGGGAGGCACACGGTGCCAAATGGTTGAAGTCCAGTGTGAAGTTTCCACAGTCTGTGTTGATTTGGGGAGCCATGTCATCAGCTGGTGTTGGTCCACTGTGCTTCATTAAGTCCAGGGTCAACGCAGCCATCTACCAGGAGATTTTGGAGCACTTCATGCTTCCTTCCACAGACGAGCTTTATGGGGATGCTGACTTCATATTCCAGCAGGACTTTGGCACCTGCCCACACTGCCAAAAGTACCAAAACCTGGTTCAATGCCCATGGGATTACTGTGCTTGATTGGCCAGCAAACTCACCTGACCTGAACCCCATAGAGAATCTATGGGGCATTGCCAAGAGAAAGATGAGACATGAGACCGAGCAATGCAGAAGAGCTGAAGGCTGTTATTGAAGCATCCTGGTCTTCCATAACACCTCAGCAGTGCCACAGGCTGATAGCATCCATGCCACGCCGCATTGAGGCAGTAATTGATGCAAAAGGGGCCCAAACCAAGTACTGAGTACATAATGCATGCTTCTGCTTCTCAGAGGTCCAATATTGGTCTATTTGCAGTCCTTGTTTTGCTGATTTCATTTAATATTCTAATTTTCTGAGATTGTTAATTTGGGGTTTTCATCAGCTGTACATCACAATTATAACAATTAAAGGCTTGACATATCTCGCTTTGCATGTCATGAGTCTATCTCATATATTAGTTTCACCTTTTAAGTTGAATTACTGAAATAAATGAACTTTTCCACGATATTCTAATTTTCCGAGTTTCACCTGTATATTTTTGGTGTGAAACGTCACCACTATGCTGGTGACACGCAGCGGCATTCCTCCATTTCATCCAAGTCAGGAGAAGTTGTGCAGGTCTGATTTGTGCAATTGTACTCCAGCTGGCTTTATTTTTAGCAGAAAGCAAGCTAGAAACCTTCCGAATAAAAGAAACGTAGCATCATTTTATGGCGAGCCTCTGCTTGCGTCTGGGGTTCATTTTTGCCAGGAGAGGCATCATCAGGGCTTCATTTGAATTTATGCCAGGCACATTACCCCCAAACTTACTTTCAGGGCCAAACTGCACATCCTATTACATGCATCTTTGCATTCTTACGGCTGTGTGTGTTTTAAAATATCAGCCACGGGAGCCCCAGATTCGGACTGAAACTACAGCTTGGAAAAAAGAGTAAACTCCCCTCCGCCAGGGCCATGGACCCCGTCTGGATAAGCGGGTCATAGCTGTCAACCGTCCCTTATTTGGCGGGAAAGTCCCTTATCCTAGCGCCGTGTCCCGCTGCTGTCCCTTATTGATGATGTCCCTTAAATTTCCCGGGTTTCAAAGGAAGCAGCTCCTCTCCCTCCCTGCCGGCCAGGGAGGAGGGAGGCTCCAACTGTGTTGCCTGGTTGCGTTGCTCACCCAATAAGGAGTCTAAGAATGACTGGGGGGTGGAGCTTACATGCCTTGTGCCGATCAAGTCGGCCGTGTTGCCTGGGGACTCGCCTTTGCTCAGCGCTTCCCAGCGGAGAGGTGACGGTGGTTTTCCTTGCTGCATCCCCTTTGCCGGGTTGCTGCGCTGTGGGAACCTCCGCTTGAGGCTTCGTTTGGCTGCTGGCTGGGCTTTCTGCCTTTGGCTTGGAGGGGCTCAGAAGTTGAACATACCTGTGCTTCGAAAATCCCTTATTTTGGCTGCTGATCCCTTATTTTCGAGGCTGCAGGTCCCTTATTTTCAAATCTGTAAGTTGACAGCTATGAAGCGGGTTCTCGCAGCTGCTATTAAACAAAAACGAAAACCCACCAATGTGACAATGCATTTAAAGCAATGTGTAGTTTGTCTCTCAGCTCTGGAATGTGAAATAATGTTGGCAGAGGGGGTGTTGTGTTTCTCATGTGAGAAGCTGCTTACAAACTGAATAAGCATAACCAACTGATCTGCGGTGAGGGGTTCCAAAATTTTTGATGGTTTTGATGGTTTCTCTTTCCCCATACTAGCTCCTTCATTAGGACGACGGCTTATACTCTCCAAAGACAGCTTCCTATATGTCTACTTCCTTGTGGATGCATCTCACAGCGTAACTGAACCCAACTTCAACATCTCTAAGCAGTGTCTGGAGGTCATAATCACCAGGGTAGGTTTGTATGAATGCGACTTTGTACTTAAAAAAAAAAATCAGTTTTCAATTACAATAATCCAATAATAGCCTCATTATATCAATGCCAAATTAAAATTCCCAATATCAATCATTCAAATACCAAATTACCTAATTTAGGTGGGCCCCCGCATGCTAGAATTGATGGTTTGATGATTTACTTTATTTCTGCATTCCAAAATCTTACTAATTTCAGTTACATTCCTGTCATAATAGTGATCCCTTATACAGCAGCTGCTATTGTATTGACTTCTGTTCGTATTGACTCATTTAATGATTTGTTTGTCTACAAGTGAAGATCTCATACATCCTTGTTCCTCCTGTGTGTGACATTTATTCTGTCCATGTTGTTTCTTCCTGTCCTTGAAAAATATTATGTCTCTCTTTACCAGTTGTTGCTGCTATCCGTCATGCCTTGCGCAGCGCTGATATCCTGATGTTATTCCAAAGGTTACTCCCTCAGTCCCGTGCTTCTTTGCTTTTGCAACTTTTAATGATAGCTGCAAAAGTTTCGACTTTGTACTTTTAGGTCCGTTTGCTAGTACAATGTTGATTTCTAGTTCCCCTCAAGCCCATTTACGCAGGGTGCGCATGCAATGTATAATAATACAGTGGTGCCTCGCAAGACGAAATTAATCCGTTCCACGAGAGTCTTCGTCTAGCGGTTTTTTCGTCTTGCGAAGCAAGCCCATTGACGGATTAGCGCTATTAGCGCTATTAGCGGTTTAGTGGCTATTAAAGGCTTAAAGGCTTAGGGGATTAGCTGCTAAAAGGCTATTAAAGGCTATTAAAGGCTTAGCAGATTAGATAAAGGGGGGGAAAAGCGAAAAAAAAATCTCAAGACTCGCAAGGTATTTTCGTCTTGCGAAGCAAGCCCATAGGGGAATTCGTCCTGCGAAGCAACTTCAAAACGGAAAACCCTTTCGTCTAGCGGTTTTTCCGTCTTGCGAGGCATTCGTCTTGCGGGGCACCACTGTAATATAATAGATGGTATTCTCCTGTCAGAGCCTGCCTACTTCTTAATCTAATCTTCAGAGGCCTTGTAGGCCAAGCCCACGCGGGAATTGGGCAAATCTGTCCGTTTCAATTTCTCTCGGCTTCTATTCCCCTGCACCCTGGTTTTAATTTCAGTTTTCCACATCAGCTTGTGGCATGTTAGTCGTCATGAAAAAGTTGTCAGAGTTTTAGTGCCATTTCCTCCTAAACTTCACCTTTTTGCAACACAATTTCCCCCCGATGTCATTTTCACTGACAACACACGTTTTCCTCCACATGTACATACATTTGTGTACAGTGGTACCTCGGGTTAAGTACTTAATTCATTCCGGAGGTCCGTACTTAACCTGAAACTGTTCTTAACCTGAAGCACCACTTTAGTTAATGGGGCCTCCTGCTGCCGGAGCACGATTTCTGTTCTCATCCTGAAGCAAAGTTCTTAACCTGAAGCACTATTTCTGGGTTAGCGGAGTCTGTAACCTGAAGCGTATGTAACCCGAGGTACCACTGTACTCGTCATTTAGCTGAAGAAGCACATTGCAAAAAAATGGGAAAAGTGTGGATTTGGGAAGATGGCGGTGTTTCGGAAAGTGGGGAATGAGGTAGAGTCGCCTTTAAATGTTGATGGAATAAAATTTACCCCACAGCCATAAGCCCACATTTGGTTGGGGCAAAGGTGTTGCCAGAAAACAGGGGGCTCGCTTAGGGCCAGACCCCCTTTATCTGAGTCACTGTTGCTGAAGACTAGGTTCTTCGGTCAGAGCAGGAAGGAAAGAGAAGGCAACTAGGCAAAAATACAAACTGGGCTGTTAAGCCTTTGGTTGTTTTATTTGTTGTGGCAAAGTTTCAGCCTATCTAAAAGCAAAGAAAGGGCCTTCTCTGTTGCCACATCCAGACTTTGGATCTCATATACCTGGGAAGGTTGACCTTGCCCTGTTTTGCTGACATTTTTCTGCAGCGTTAAGAACTTCCTACTTAAAATGCCCCTTTGGCATTTAGCAACTCTGCCTGCCCCTTTGTTATCACCATCTACTACCCTTATGTGCAATCCTTCTATTTTCCCTTCTATCTAGCTTTTATTAATATTGTGTGTGTGGGTTTTTGTTTTGTTTTTTACTGCTGTTTGTTTTTACTGTGGTGTCTCTTATCTTGGGTTGTTTTTGTCTTTTTTTAACTGCTGTTTGCTTTTAAACTGCTTTACTGCTAGTTTCGATTCTGCTCCTCCTTTTATATATAGTTCCGTTTACACAGCGTTGTGTTTTACTGGGGTTTTTTGTAAGCTGCCTTGAACTATGAGGGCAAGGCAGGGGTATATAAATTTTAAAAAAATAAATATCCAGTTCATTAAGAGTCTTCTTTCAAGGCACTCTGGGTAACTAAGCAATGGATGGAGTTGGGGAATGATAATCCTGCCATAACTACAATTTGTAGGAGTTCTGTTATGAACTGAGTTGAATAGGATCCAAAAAGCAGCAGTCTGATTGGTCCTAGAACAATAGGATTCAGAATGCAGCAGTCTGATTGGTCCTAGAACAATAGGGTCCAGAATGCAGCAGTCTGATTGGTCCACAGGAGCCACCCAATCCAGCTCCAGGTGGAAGTGAATCTGCAACCTGATTGGCCTACAGGTGAATCCCGGAATTAGTCATCACCTGGGGCCCATTGTGTAAATAATGTATATAAAGCAGACATTCTGGGGGAATGTCCATTCCTCCTCACCACTATGAGCTGAATAAAGAGCATGAAATCCCCTCTCGACTCCGAGTATATTTCAAGTTCCTTGAGAGGAAACTACAGCAGTCATGTAAACATGCCTTTATTTATATATTTACAAATTTATAAATGTACACTGAGGTCCTCCGCCAAGGGTCTTCTGCTGGTTCCCTCATTGCGAGAAGCAAAGTTACAGGGAACCAGGCAGAAGGCCTTCTCGGTGGTGGCGCCCGCCCTGTGGAACGCCCTCCCATCAGATGTCAAGGAGATAAAGAACTACATAACTTTTTGAAGACATCTTCAGGCAGCCCTGTATCGGGAAGTTTTCAATGTTTGATGTTTTACTAAGTTTTATATATGCTGCAAGTCAGCCAGATGGGCAGAGTATAATTAATAAAATTATCATCATCATCATCATCATTACATTTATGCCATCTTTTCCTCCAAGGAGCTCAAGGCCTCAACCCCATTCTAGTTCGACACGCTAACCGCTACACCAGACCAGAAATGGTGGATTTTTCTCCAGAAGACAAATAAAAAGCTTCTCTCTGAAGGGAAATGAATATATATTATCAGTCACTGAAATACACTTTTGGTGGTAATTTAAGTTGTTTCAAGCTGTTTTTAATATTGTGTTTTCATTAATGTAACTCACCCTTGGACCTTAGGCTGAAGGCCGTGATAAAAATAATAGTAAAACCTTTAATCACATGAACCCATCGAACCACATTTTTACCTCCTCTGCCCCTCTTTCTCCTTCTTCCTCTGTTTTCCTGTTTCTTCTTTCTTTCCTCCCCTTCCCAGATTGCCAGCTTTGATGTTCCCATCAGGTTCTCTGTAATCTCTTACGCCAGCCGGCCCAAGACCATCGTCGACATCCAGGATGATATAGCTGAAGATACAGAAATCGTTATTGAGAAGATTCAAAATGAGATGAACTACAAAGGTGCTGAGAGGGTTTCCCACCCACCCCGTTTTTGAGCAGCTGCGCGTTCAAAATGTATTTTCTGAAACTCGGGGCCCAGCAAATGTGTCAGGTTTTTCTCGTGGTGGTGAAAATGTGTCTTCAGGGCACATGTGACTCAGGGCCGTCTTTAGCATAAGTGGCGCCGGGGTGCAAAGATCTACCCAGCGCCCCCAAATGTTCATCTTGCCACTGCCTCCTCCCGAGTAGTAATAAATGCTACTTTTACGGAGGGAAGCCTGGGGTTGTGGGGTGAGGGAGGCTTGGGAAGGAAGCTGCACGCCAGCCAGCCATATACAGTGGTACCTCGGGTTACAGACGCTTCAGGTTACAGACTGTGCTAACCCAGAAATAGTACCTCAGGTTAAAAACTTTGCTTTAGGATGAGAACAGAAATCGCGCGGCAGCAGCGGGAGGCCCCATTAACTAAAGTGGTACCTCAGGTTAAGAACAGTTTCAGGTTAAGAACGGACCTCCAGAACGAATTAAGTTCTTAACCCGAGGTACCACTGGTGGCGCTGTGGGTTAAACCACAGAGCCTAGGACTTGCCGATCAGAAGGTCGGCGGTTCGAATCCCCGCGACGGGGTGAGCTTCCATTGCTCAGTCCCTGCTCCTGCCAACCTAGCAGTTCGAAAGCACATCAAAGTGCAAGTAGATAAATAGGTACTGCTCCGGCGGGAAGGTAAACGGCGTTTCCGTGTGCTGCTCTGGTTCGCCAGAAGCGGCTTAGTCATGCTGGCCACATGACTTGGAAGCTGTATGCCGGCTCCCTCGGCCAGTAAAGCGAGATGAGCGCCGCAACCCCAGAGTCGGTCACGACTGGACCAAATGGTCAGGGGTCCCTTTACCTTACCACTATAGTTGGCAGGGCGCAGGTTCCATCCTAAGCCCTGCAGGGATCGCTCTCCTCCCTCGAAAGCTTGGGAGGCAAGCTTCGCGCCCGCCAGCCATATGGTTCGCGAGGCGCAGCTGGTGGGCGTGCAGGGAAAGGGGAGGCCGATGGCAAAGCTGCGCAGCTCCCCCACTCGCTAGGGCACCCCTGAGAGGCTGGCGCCCTGGCGCAACGCACCACTAAGCCCTATGGAAAAGACGGCTCTGATATGACTAGTGCCTAAACTTTGGGATTTTTCTCTCTCTCACCTTGCTGTTGTTTCAGCTCCTTTGATTTGCTCTTGCTGTTTCAACATCTTACATTTATTTTACGTTTCAACGCGCTGCCCACCCTTTCCGCTTTGTAAGGCGTCCCGAGTTTTGAAAGAGGTGTAGAACAAATTAAAAACCTATGCCAATGCCATCCTCTTGCAGACCACGGCAACGCAACGGGAACCAACATTCAAGATGCCCTCGACTCTGTGTACCAGATGATGATTAATGAGAAGTTGTTTACCAAAGTGCCGTGGGACAAAATCCGTCACGCCATCATCCTGTTCACAGACGGTGAGGAGAAATGGGGAGATACCTTCTCCCTCCCTCCCCATAATAGGAGGAAGGTTGCACAGAAGCCAGAGAGTTCAGTCCCTCTGCCTACCATGAGACTAGGGCCCTTCAGGATTTAACCTCCTTCCATTGGGCCTGTAAGACAGCTATTTCACCTGGCCTTTAATTTGAATTCAGCCTGATCTTTTATTTCCCTTCTCTTCCCTCTCCCTCCCCTTTTATGAAGATCACCCGGTCTGAGACCCCACCGCTAATTCTCCCCTGGCCTCCTCGCTGCCCCAAGTAGGACTAATTCAGCCAGGTAGCCCTGGGGATTATCTAATGCTTATTAGATGGATTTTCCCTAATTTGATTTCTGAACTTTGAATTTTATTGTTATTCATGTTTTTATACTGTATTTTATGCTGCTTTTACAGTTAAGCGTTTTAAATTTGTTGTTGGCTGCCCTGAGCCCGGTTTTTGAACTGGGAAGGGCAGGGTATAAATAAAAAATTATTATTATTATTACCTGCGAACTACTAGGTGATCATTGTGGCCCCAAGTAGAGACGAGGAAGAAACTGGATTTGGTTCACTTTTAAAGGTGGATCTACCCAATTTGCAAATTTCTGAAACAATATGCAAACTGAGACACAGCCATTTTGTGGTTCTGCAGCCGAGTAACTTGCTCACAGATGCATATACATGGGTAAAGTGTCATCTGTGTGCATGAATTGCAGAAAACAACCGTCCAAAAATGCATTATGTGAGGGGAAATGTGAGGGGAAAGCTTGCATATTCGGCAAAACCTCACACAAAAATTGGGAGAAATTCTCACCAAAATGGTGAGGGGTTTTCGCAAGGACTATCAAAATGGTGGCTTGATGTGGAAATGTCGAGAACTGAAGTTAAGACAGAGTCACCCATCCCTCCTAGCCTCCCCTACACCTGACTGCACCCCAGTGCCCCAGTTCATCGCTGCCTCCGCAGGGAGCAAGTGGTGAGAGGCATAAAATGTGCAAATGGAGTCCCCCATCCTAGGACTGCAGCACGCATGGGAAGGGGAGGACGTCTAGCAAGGGCTCAATCCTTGGCACCTCAAGGTAGGATTGGGAATCTCCCCGCCTTCAAACCCTGGAGAGCTGCTGCCAGTCAGTGTAGACAATGCTGAAATAGATAGACTTGCGGCCTGGGTTGGGATAAGGCAGCTTCCTGTTCTCTGCTCCTGTCTGTAGCATTTCTAAAGGTCGGCATCACCATCTCTGCCCAGGAGCAGTGCTGCTTCTCTCTTCTCTTGATAGCCTATGTAGGACTTCATCCTCCTTCCTCCCTCCCCCTTCCCCTTTCTTTTAATTTAATTTCTTTATTTATCCCCTCTTTTCTTCTGCAAGGAGCTCCAGGTGGTGTTCATGGTTCACCCCTCCTCACTGAATCCCCACAGCAATCCTGCAGTGATGTAGTGTGGTGAATCCAGTGTGGTGTAGTCGTTAAGGGCGGTAGCATCGTAATCTGGTGAACCGGGTTCGCTTCCCCGCTCCTCCACATGCAGCTGCTGGGTGACCTTGGGCCAGTCACACTTCTCTGAAGTCTGTCAGCCCCACTCACCTCACAGAGTGTTTGTTGTGGGGGAGGAAGGAAAAGGAGAATGTTAGCCGCTTTGAGACTCCTTCGGGTAGTGATAAAGCGGGATATCAAATCCAAACTCCTCCTCCTCTGCAGAGTAGGCTAGGCTGAGAGGCTGTGACTGACTCCCAAGGCAGGGGCAAACGAAGGCTAACCGACACCCGGGGCACACGTTGTGCCGCTACGTAGGGCGCATGTTTGTCGTCGCTATGTACAGTGCATGCGTGCGACACCACGCATGCACTGTACATAGCGATTTGCTGCTTGCACTGCCCAAGCGCCGTATGGTCGTTGACAGGATCCTCTGCTCATGGCTGCAGCTGTGAATGGAGGATCCTCCATATCTGGCTACGGCAGCGCGATGGCTGTTCGCGCCGCCGCACCCGGGGTGTCGGGACGAGCACCCCATGGGGTGCCTTCTTGTCACGCCCCCCCTCAGACATGGCGCCCGGGGTGAACCGCCCCCCCCTTGCGACACCACTATCCCAAGGTCACCCTTTAAGCTTATGGCCAAGCAGAGATTTGAACCCTGCTCTCCCAGTTCCTAGACACACCCCGCTGGCTTTCTTTCTGCATTTATTTAGAATGTACAGCCTCAGCCAGTGCCATAGCTGTCAACCTTCCCTTGTTTTGCGGAAAATTCCCTTATTCCAGCGCCGTTTCCCGCTGCTTCCTGCTGCTATCCCGGATTGTTAGATATCCCGTAGACTGCCCCCGGGACAGGTGAGGCTGCTGATCCCTTATTTTCAAATCTGAAAGTTGACAGCTATGGACAGTGAACACTGGAGCCCTTTAATGATTTCTCGTCCAGCGTGTAATGTGGGAATCGCTGCCTGATTTTGTTTGTGTGGTTTTGTTTGTCCTCTTAGGGAAGTCCAATATGGGAGGTTCCCCCACAAAGGCCGTGCGCAGCATAGAAGACTTTCTGAATGTGAGAGCAAACAGGAAAGACTACTTGGGTAAGTCACATAAACCTACTTCATTTGGGTGCTGGTTAAAAGGTCCACCTGAGCAGATATGACCTCGGCAGGCTGAAGCTCTTTTCCAGATCCCAAATGTCACGATGACAACGATGCTCCCTTTCCAATCAGTGCTTATCCGAGAGCCAGTGTGGTGTAGTGGTTAAGAGCGATGGACTCATAATCTGGTGAACCGGGTTCGCTTCTCCGCTCCTCCACATGCAGTTGCTGGGTGACCTTGGGCCAGTCACACTTCTCTGAAGTCTCTCAGCCCCACTCACCTCACAGAGTGTTTGTTGTGGGGGAGGAAGGGAAAGGAGAATGTTAGCCGCTTTGAGACTCCTTAAAGGGAGTGAAAGGCGGGATATCAAATCCAAACTCTTCTTCTTATCTTCTACTGCCTGCTCAAATTCCAAAACCTTTTATTCCGCAAGCTTTCTGGTTTAAGTTGCATGCACACCATCCATTTAAAGCACGTTTCACCCCACACCAGAACGCTGGGAACTTAGTTTACTCCACACAAATGCTTTCTGACAGTAAGAGCTTTTTGGCAGTGGAACAGACACCCATGAGAGGTTGTGGACTCTCCTTCCTTGGAGGTTTTTAAGCAGAGGTTGGAGGCCCATCTGTCATGGATGCTTTAGCTAAGATTCTGGCATTGCAGGGGGTTGGACTAGATGACCCTTGGGTCCCTTCCAGCTCTATAATTCTATTATTCCATTGCAGAGCTATAGTTTCCAGCACCCGTAACAAACCGCAGTTCCCAGCATTTTTTGTGGTATGTGTAGAAATGTGCTTTCAATGTATGCTGTGTCTGCAACCTCATTTTTGTCCTGATTTTATTGCACTCTAGCCCCTGCAGATATGCACTGGAGAAGCAACACAGAACTAATAATAAAGCAGAATAAATTCACCACCAATACACATTATTATTATTATTATTATTATTATTATTATTATATTTTATTTATACCTCCCTGGCCAGAGCTGGACTCAAGGTGGCTAACACCAGTAAAATTACAGTAAAAACATAATGGGGGGGGGGGACCAATTTAAAATACAGGTTAAAATGCAATTTAAAATGCAGCCTCATTTTAAAAGTAGCCCATAGATCAAAACCATAAGGGGAGGGAAACATAGGGGTCAGACTGAGTCCAAACCAAAGGCCTGGTGGAACAGCTCTGTCTTGCAGGCCTTGTGGAAAGATGTCAAGTCCCGCAGGGCCGTAGTCTCTTTTGACAGAGCGTTCCACCAAGTCGGGGCCAGTGCTGAAAAGGCCCTGGGCCCTAGTTGAAACCAATCTAAACTCCTTGAGGCTTGGGGCCTCTAAATGTTGTTATTTGTGGACCTTAAGGTCCTCCGTGGGGCATACTGGGAGAGGCAGTCCCGTAGGTACGTGGGTCCTAGGCCGCATGGGCTTTAAAGATCAAAACCAGCACCTGACCCTGTACTCCACCGGGAGCCAGTGCAGGATATTGTGTCAAGATGCAGGATATACCCACAGGAAAACACCCATCTTGCTATGCAGTAGTTGACAAACCTTCTACAGGCAACTCCCCGGTTGCACGGGACTTGCGTTGGGGTCATTGCATGAGTCATTCCGCAATACGGTTTCCTAATACTTATGATGTCCAAGCTGTGAACCTTGGTGCTCATGCAGCTAACAGTAGGTTTGCAATATTTTGAAGAGAGAGAGAAAAAAGAAGGCACTATGACGACTCTCATTTTAAATACCCCTCCTATATAAAGGCTATAGAAGCTGTGATATATTGCTGGGGGGGGGGCAGGAGAAGAGAAGAGGAAAGCAAGTCTTCAACCACCAGTTACGTGTCTGTCTCCTCCAGAAAGTATAGCCAGAGACATTTTGGCAAATTTTAAAAAATCTACCCGGGCAGAAATTCTAACCCCTGAAAAAGAGGACATGTCCCAGAAAAAAGAGGACACATGGCCACCCTAGTAACAGGGGTCATGGGGAGGGAGTCCTGACCTAGAACATGCTCAGTGGCCCCAGAATGCTGACTTGCTGGGGGTTGGGTGTATGTGATAAATGAAAGTGGCTTGAATCCTGCACTGCAGTACTTCACACTTGCACCATTTTGTTATAAGTCCGGCTTGTAAATGCTAATGACAGAAGCGATGAATGAACCTGAAATAAAAAATTTAAGGTCTTTTATATATATAATAAATGTTCATAAAATGCACCAACCAAGCACATACAGCGGTACCTCTGGTAATGTACTTAATTCGTTCCGGAGGTCCATTCTTAACCTGAAACTGTTCTTAACCTGAAGCACCATTTTAGCTAATGGGGCCTCCCGCTGCTGCCGTGCTGCTGCTGCACAATTTCTGTTCTCATCCTGAAGCAAAGTTCTTAACCCGAGGTACTATTTCTGGGTTAGCGGAGTCTGCAACCTGAAGCGTATGTAACCTGAGGTACCACTGTACATAGATATGTGGACCAACACAGGAAGACCACCCTGAAACCATGTTGACTCCCAAACTGACCAAGTGTTTTCTCTGCAAGGAGAGAGGGGGCGAGGGAACCTTCCCATTGTCTCAGGAATTGGGTAATCACCATCGCAAAGGAATGGCCAGACTACCAGGAAAGGCAATCAGATAAGGCATTATCAGATAACCTGGCAAACAGGAAAAACAACAACATTCAAATTTCTGTTGTAGACCGCCTTTTCTGTGATGTAGGTATGATGTATCTGGGGGGTGGTCTTGGGTTACACCCCTTCTGTGATGTATGTATGATGTATGGAGGGGTGGTCTTGAGCTCCAGGGAAGGGAATTTAAAATGTCAATATAAGGGCAGGCACACCTTGGTTCTGGGTCCTCCTCCTTCTCCTGCGTGTGAGGGGAGCACCCTGTTACAACAGTTCAATAAAGATCAGGCTTACTAGCTGCTTTGCTTCTCAGTATTCTCTGGTTGGCTTCTATTATTTTCTCCTACCGATGGAGAACCTGCAAAGGACTCTATAAAGGCTCTTGTGTCCCCCATAAGGGAATAAGGGCAGATTTTTGTTTATTACAAACCAAAAACAATTGTGCCCCAATTCCTTACGAATACACATTCTCCACATTTTCCTCATATCGGAAAAGAATGTGCTTGGCTGGGGCAGCTTCCGGTGTACTATGCATCGCTCACGGAATCCTTACATATTTTTGAGGAGAAGTCGGGGTGCCAACTGATGGAGGCTGAGCCCTTTTGGGCCCCCCAATATTTTGGAAAGGGGGCTGGATGCTCCTATTGTCCCCCCCCAAAAAAGAGGTGGAAGAGGCTGAGTGCGGAGCCAAGCACAGTGTGGCTGCAGTGACCAGCTCCTTTTCCTCCTCCTGCCGCTGAGGGGAAGGAAGATCAAAACCAGGGGTAGGCAAACTAGGGGCCAGATACGGCCCAATCGCCTTCTCAGTCTGGCCCGTGGGCGGTCCAGGAATCAGTGTGTTTTTACATGAGTAGAATGTGTCCTTTTACCATGGTACCTCTGGTTACGAACTTACCGTATTTTTTGCTCTATAAGACTCACTTTTTCCCTCCTAAAAAGTAAGGGGAAATGTGTGTGCGTCTTATGGAGCGAATGCAGGCTGCGCAGCTATCCCAGAAGCCAGAACAGCAAGAGGGATTGCTGCTTTCACTGTGTAGCGATCCCTCTTGCTCTTCTGGCTTCTGAGATTCAGAATTTTTTTTCTTGTTTTCCTCCTCCAAAAACTAGGTGCGTCTTGTGGTCTGGTGCGTCTTATAGAGCGAAAAATACGGTAATTCGTTCCAGAGGTCCATTCTTAACCTGAAACCGTTCTTAACCTGAAGCACCACTTTAACTAATGGGGCCTCCTGCTGCTGCCGCGCCACCACTGCACGGTTTCTGTTCTCATCCTGAAGCAAAGTTCTTAACCCAAGGTGCTATTTCTGGGTTAGCAGAGTCTGTAACCCGAAGTGTTTGTAACCTGAGGTGTTTGTAACCCGAGGTACCACTGTATTTAAAATGCACCTCTGTGTTATTTGTGGGGCCTGCCTGGTGTTTTTACATGAGTAGAATGTGTGCTTTTATTTAAAAAGCATCTCTAGGTTATTTGTGGGGCATAGGAATTTGTTCATTTCCCCCCCCAAAAAAAATTTAGTCCGGCCCCCCACATGGTCTGAGGGAAGGTGGACCGGCCCACGGCTGAAAAAGGTTTCTGACCCCTGGTCAAAACAGCCCCCCACCAATGGTGGCAGCAGAAGGAGCCACTGGCCATTGAAAGAGCGCCGCTGCTGCGTTTGGCTCCAGCCCAGCTCCTCCCGACATCACACAAGTGATGTCACATGCACTGCACCGCACGCAACATTGCCTCCCTTCCACAATCGCCCTCGCAAGCCGACGCTCCTGGGATAAGTTGTTGAGCAGGGAGGAATGTGACATGCGGTTTGGTTGGCGTGCTTTCAGGAAAGCTTATCTGCCTGAGTCCTGATTAGATTCTGAGGAAACCCAGCTGTGTTTCCTGAGAACACACTTTAGAAAGAACCGCTAGAATGTTCCTGGTCCTCTGGAATTCCCCTCAACAAGGAAGTTTGAGGTGGCGCCGTGAGGGAAGGGAAATTAGGGCCGATGTCCAAGGGGCTTCACTCAACAGAATGAGCTCAAGTATGTTGCACATGAAGCCTTAAGGATAAACATTGTCGTAAAGGCAGCAGAGAGCAGAAGACTGTTAAGTCCAGAGTCTAAAACGGCCTAACTGCACCACAGCTGGATGCCCAGGTTTAACAATACTTGGAAGGCCAGTTGGCACATTATACGTAGTTACAATTAACTTACAAGGACAAGGATCTAGAGATCACACAAAGGGTGGCCAAATTCTGTGCGACTGCCATAAAACTTAGGGAACAAGCTGTACCACCAAAATGATTTAGGTTTTAAATGACAATTTTAGGTTATATTTTAGTGATCAAGGTTTAATATCTATTTTTAATTGCGCCTATATCTGAATTGTCTCTGTTATACCCAACTGCAATTCAATGTATTCCTGTTGTGTTTTATGATTTTCCTGATATTGTATGTGAGCCAGAACTGGTCTGTGACCGTAATAATAAAATTCAATTCGATACTTATGAATCGCCTTCTGAATCACCATCTCAAGGCGTATTACAAATAAAATCATAGAATCATAGATTTGTAGAGTTGGAAGGGACCCTGAAGATCATCCAGTCCAACCCCCTGCAATGCAGGAATATGCAGCTGCCCCAGCTGGGGATCGAACCTGCAACCTTGGCATTATCAGCACCACACACTAACCAACTGAGCCATCATCTGCGCTAATTAAAAACAGTTTAAAACACAAAAACAACTCGTGGCTGGTGGCATGAATTTTTGAGAGTTAAGCTCTACCGGTGATTTTGGACTTTGCTTCCGGGATGTTCAGCAATGCTTTCTGTCTCTTTTCCCTCTTTTGTTCAGATATCTATGCATTTGGAGTTGGAACGGTTGACGTAGATTGGAGCGCCATGAATGAGATAGCATCCAAAAAACCGGGCGAGAGGCACGCCTTCAAGTTGAATGACCTTAAGGAATTGAAGGCAGCCTTTGAAGATGTCCTGGGTGTGTATGTTCTCTGGCACTCAACAAAGACGGGGTCCAACCTTGGAAGCGAAACAGGGTCAGGCCTGGTTAATACTTAGATGGGAGACTGTCTGGGGATGCCGGGTCTGCAGGCTTTAAACACTAAACAAAGGTACGGCCATCGAAAGAGGAAGGGCAGAGTGAGGAAGCATGCTGTGTTCGATGAGCATGCCCAGTGGTCAAACTTGTTTCCAAAGGCTACTGCAAACCCCAGTTCTTACCTCCTGGACCTCATGCTGAAGATATGCACACTTCCTAGCTTCCACATCTAAAGAACCTGTTCTCCTCCTGGTATTAAACAATGGGACATCACCCATTGTAATCCAAAAGCAGCCAGCTTCTGTATTCCTGGATGGCCACTTCCAGTCAGGCCCAGTGCCGGCATGTGACATCCTTGAGCAACCAATGAGCAGGGGTTAAATCCTGCTCGGTTTTGCTGGATTCCATTCACACCCCTTCCTGGTGGAAGGACTTTGCCTGGAATTGCCTGCTAAAATGGAGAAGTGGGGGCAAAAAACCTTTGTTTTAGCAGCACCTTGCCAGGTGCTTTGAAGTCCCAACTTCGGGATTTCAAAGCTCCTTTCTGCTGACTTCAGGTGATTGACAGGTGGCCGGCCCCATCCACCTGCCAGATTTAATCCAGAAAGGTTCACTCAACCCTGGTGTGGACATTACTGAACTAAATGGACCTGGTGCTGTTGCTTGGTTTAAGTAGTTTCTGTGGGAATGTTGTAGGTAGCAGGAGAGGATATATTGATTAAATATTATGTTTCCTAACTCACGTTAGTGAGTTTATTCATAGACTACATTTCCCTCTTTACACAGCAGGAAGCTAGTTGCAGATTAGTTAGAATCTCTTAAGTTCTATTATTCCTGGTAAGACCCCTGGTAAGATCCCTCCTAAAAGAATAAAGACACAACAGTCTTCTTTTAAAAGTAATAAGACGTTTACTCACATTCAGTTCACAGTTGGATCCCTGAAGGCAGACTTTAGCTTATAGTTACAGAGACAGTGTGGCTTACGTCCTCGTAAGGATGGGCCCATGTGCTGCTGACCGAGAGGCAGCAGTGCAGTCCATGAGGAGAAAAGGCATCAAAAGAGGAAGGTGGCTGCGTGACTGGACCTTTTGTGGGGTCTGGAAGGGCCACGCCCACCTACCTGGTCACATGCAAAGGAAGGATGCTCCAGACCAGGTGTAACAGGAAGTTCAAGTGGCTGGACCAACATTCCCCTGCGTGGCCACTCTAGGCAAACAGGAAATGTTGTATTTGACTGCTTATCCCACAGTTTCCTATGCTATTATGAGAAAGTCTGAAAAAGCAGAGTAAGAAAATAACGTGAGCATGTTGAAAATGACCGGGTTTTCTTTCCCCTTCCCTTTCCAATGCTCTCAGATCCCAGAGATCTTCATGATATATGTGGCTTGGCGAACAACTCTGAAAGCGCTAGCTGGGAGCAGAAGAACCCATGGCACGTGCTCCTCCAATACAACGTGAGTAGAGATTGCTCTCTGTCCACACCCACCCATCCCTTTATGATATTGTTAATCCCTAATGCTGGGAGTGTCTGACCTGGATGAAACCAACCTTATCCACTCTTCATTGTAGACGCTGACAGAAGCTTCTTGTCGGGGCGCCTTGATTTCAAAGACGTGGGTCTTAACGTCCGCTCACTGCTTCAGCAAATTCAACAACACAGCAGGATGGACCGTCATTCTGGAAAAAGGTGCAAAAGGAAAAGCAGAATGTGCTTTTAACTCTGCATTTCTGCCCTAGGGGAGCTCTGGAGACAGGGCCGGCCCTTCCATTAAAGGGCAGAGCGAGTGAGCCGTTTGGGGTAGCTGATTCGGGGTGGCGTCAAAGGGTAGCGGTTTGCTAGGTATTTAATTACCGTATTTTCTGCTCCATAAGTCGTACCTGACCATAGGGCGCACCTACTTTTGGGGGGGGGGATTCAAGAAAAAAAATTATTTAAAGGGAGCGCTGAGCAGAGCCTGTATCCATCCCAGGCTCTGCTCAGCCCTCCCTTTAAAGAGCCGCGTTGCAGGCTTTTCCCTGAGGAGGGAGAAGGGCAGCCTCGGGGAAAAGCCCTCAAGAGCCACACACACACTCTGCGTGGCTCTTTAAAGGGAGCGCAGCTCTTGGGGGCTTTTGTGGGAGGTGGGGGAAGTGAGAGAGCCTCACTCTGTCTCTTCCCCAACCTCCCGCAAAAGCCAGGGATAGCCGCGCAAAGCCTCCGCAGGGCAGCGGGATGAAGGCTCCCCGCTGCCCTGCGGAGGCTTTGCCCGGTTACGGCAGAAGCTAAAACAGCTAGAGGGAGCGCTGCGCAGCGCTCCCTCTAGCTGTTTTGGCTTCTGGGGTAGCCTGCAAAGCCTCCGCAGGGCAGCGGGGAGCCTTCATCCCGCTGCCCTGCGGAGGATTCACTGGCTACTCTAGAGCTGCTTAGGAGCTTGTCGGGGCTGGAGAGGGGAGCCCGGGTTCCCCCCCCAGCCCCAAAGAGCAGCTCAGGGAGCTGCTCCCAGAGCTTGTGGGGCTGGCGGGGGAAGCCCCCCCCCAGCCCCAGGGACCACACATTCGCTCCATAAGACACACAGACATTTCCCCTTAGATTTTAAGAGGAAAAAAGTGCATCTTATGGAGCAAAAAATACGGTAATTATTGTTGTACTTTTGCTGCCAAGGAGGAGAAGAGGCACTCCTTCCTGCCTCAGGTCTCAGGCAGCAAAAATGCAATTGGCTGGCTGTGTAAGGCAAGGAAGACCCCCTTGGCTTGTACAGAAGAAATAAAAACTCAGCCTATGAGAGTATGGTTGCTTTCGGCATGCGAGGGTAGCAAGCAGGTGCATCTGCCCCTAATGTATATATGTGTATGTGTGTAGCTAGATATGTGGTAAGAATTCGATTTTACTTTTATAGTTAATTTTACAACATACAAAAATTCAAAAAACTTGAAAAGCGAACAGTTGATCATATACTGTATTTTTTGCTCTATAAGATGCACCAGACCACAAGACGCACCTAGTTTTTGGAGGAGGAAAACAAGAAAAAAAAAATTCTGAATCTCAGAAGCAGAACAGCAAGAGGGATTGCTGCGCAGTGAAAGCAGCAATCCCTCTTGCTGTTCTGGCTTCTGGGATAGCTGCGCAGCCTGCATTCGCTCCATAAGATGCACATACATTTCCCCTTACTTTTTAGGAGGGAAAAAGTGAGTCTTATAGAGCAAAAAATACGGTAATTTTCAAAATACAAAAATTCAAAAAACTTGAAAAGCAAACAGTTGATCATATATATCTTATTTTGACTCCCTTCCCACTCTTTCTGTGGTTCCTTGTTCTTATAATATTTTACTGCATTTCCAAATTAAACTAATTTATTATTTATCCCCTATGTTCCATATAGATTTTTTTTAACCACTGCATGTTTTTATATTCAGCCTGCTAACATATTAATTTGTTTACAATAATTTTGTACATATTCTATAAATGACTGGAAATATAAATGATTTCAAGAAATCATTTCTATAAATGATTTTAAGAAATCATTCTTTCCTAAAAACTCCATCATTTTGATTTCGTATTCTTCTGGTTAGTTTTGCTGGAATACCACAAGAATTCAAATTCGACACCACCTTCCCTGTTACCCAGGGCGAGAAACCACCTTTTAAATAATCCACAGAACCAAGGGACCTATTTTCAAGTCCAGCATCCGGTTAGGGACCCAACGTTTATTTCTGTTGCAAGAGGACAAAGCTCAGCTCGTGTGCCTGTTAAGAAGGCCTGCCCCAAGGCACTTCAGAGCAAAAGCGTATACAGTGGTACTTCGGGTTACATACGCTTCAGGTTACAGACTCCACTAACTCAGAAATAGTACCTCAGGTTAAGAACTTTGCTTCAGGATGAGAACAGAAATCGTGCTCTGGCGGCGCGGCGGCAGCGGGAAGCCCTATTAGCTAAAGTGGTGCTTCAGGTTAAGAACAGTTTTAGGTTAAGAACGGACCTCCGGAACGAATTAAGTACTTAACCCAAGGTACCACTGTATAGCACACAAAGTTAGTCATGAAACATTCTTAAACATAAAGCATTCCCTTTTTGTCTGTCAAGAAAGGTCACAGGTCATTAGGTAGAAAACATGTATGACATCTTCCTGCTGTCAACTACCCCACCCCACCCATTACCTTGGGATGCCCACAAGTGCCTAGGTCATTTGACCATCTTTGGTCACGGATGTCACATGTTGCCATGGTAACCCAAGCCTGTGATCAGACCTCGTTTCCATTCTCTCTCTCTCTCACTCCTTCTCCTCTTCCATTTGTCCCTGAGCCTACAGGAAGTCTCAAAAAGAGATTAGGCTCACATTCCAATGTTAACCAAAACAAGCTTGGAAAAACATTAGCAACGGCTGTTTGTACCACTTTCAAGGTTAGATAGGATTTCTTGTTTATGGCCTGGAGAGCACAGCGGTTGTAAGGTATAGTCACAGAGGAACTAGACATAAAACTACTCAGCGAAGCGTTCTATCTTTCTAACAGGTTAAATGCAATTCATATCTGAAACGTAATCAAATCAAAATGTGCACCCTGGGTCTCTGATTCTTACATCAGATAGCCGACTGTCCTCATTCATGGTGCTTTAGGAATACAAGAGGATAGTACTCAGCGGACTTTGAATCTAAAACTCAACAGAAGCAAAGAGGAAATAGTGGAGGAGGTAAACGGGGAAAGAATATGTGGTCGTTTCTGTTATGCGTGCTACAGCTGTGATCCTATACCCAGAAGAAAGTCCCATCGATTGCTGTGTTGGCAGCAAGGCGTGGTAACTAGACGACACGTCCAACTGATCTGGTCGAAGCTTGGACCACTTCAGGCCGATTCGAGACAGATCCAGATTGGATCAAGAAAGCTCTGGATTCAGTTCACATCAGGTCAAGAGCGATCCGGGGCTCAAAGTGCTCCCTGAGAAAGACAGGCAGGCTTGTCTCCAGTGTGTTGCGATGATTTATTGCAACGCTCTATAAAGAAAACATGAGGGCAAAGAGAGGGGGTGGGGATGGGAAATGGAGTTCGCTCATATTCAAAATCAAGGCTACGGAATCTCACCCAATACTCTCCAGTCACGGCGTTGGGGAAGACGGGCGTGCTTTGGGGAGAAGGCAGACACTGAAGATGTTTCACTCTTCTCTCCCTAGCTAGAGGAGGGACCAAATTGCGAATAAAGAGGCGGATCGACCACGAATTCTTCAACGTGAAAGCCAAGGTGGCTCAGGGGATCCAGGAATTCTACGACTATGATCTCTCCTTACTCGAACTGGAGAAACCCGTGCAGTTTGGCGGGAGAATCAGGTAATGAGCCGTATCAGGGCAGATCAGGCAGACGAAGGGCTCCGTTACTGATTGGAAACGAAGCAGTGTGACCACCCAAAAACCACTTCAGGGGCAAACAGTATTAAAAGCGGGAATCAGAGTTGTAGGGGACCCCCAAAGGCCATCTGGTCATACCCTCTGCGGGATGATCAGTACGACAGCATTCCTGCTAGGCGGCTATCCAGCCTTTGCTTATGAACCTTCACCAAAGGAGGGAATATAGAAGGAAGAGATGCAGTTCTGTGGTCCTCTTAAGATCACACCCACACCATAGATGTCAAGCGGTCTTTGTGCAGTTTTAACAGTCATGGAGAATTCTGGGCATTGTGGTTTGTGAAGGGCGCCGGGAATTGTAGCTCTGTGAGATCGGCACCCTTAAGAAGCTACAGTTCCCAGGATAAAGCATAAGAGTGCTTTAAATGTATGCTGTGGGTGTGACCTAAGCCATGCTTAGGCTCTCAATCTTGTGGGGATCACAATCTCCCTGAACCAGTATTGTAGCCTGCATTTAAAAAGCAAGAGTTTACACTGAGTGACTGAGTGATCTCAGAACATAACCAGGATTACATTATTACAAGTTGATGCTCTCCTGGAAGATGATGATGATGATTTATTTATAACCCACCCATCTGGCTGGGTTTCCCCAGCCATTCAAGAACCCAAGTGTGTGGCCAATTCATGCTAAAGTCCAGCAAGGATCCCATCCTATAAAAAGTGCTGAGCAGTCTGCCAGAAATTGGCCCCTGGGTGGTATTTTTCCTATTTCTGCTTTGGCCAGTCATGGGCAAAGCAGACCAGGAAAGTAGACCAGGAGGACCATGCCATCTCCACCGTTTTGATGTTGTCCTTGCTGGGGGTCCTTCCAGTCCCCCTCTCCCCCTTCCACATCTCTTTTGAGGGTTTAAGCTCCCAAGTCGGTGGCAAATATTTGTCTTCTCTGCAGGCCAATCTGTCTTCCTTGCACGGAAGGTGCCAACAGAGCCCTGAAGATGAAGCCAGGTGCCACATGCAAGGACCACGGTGAGTGCCTCCCCCAACGGCCGCCCATTTGGGGGAAGGGTCAAGGCTCAGAGGTAAGGCTTGCCACTGTGAGAACAGGATACTAGACTAGATGGGCCATTGGCCAGATCTAGCAAGCCGTCTTATCTCCTTACTAGTTGGTCCCTTACCTTTCCCACCCTGATCTGGCCATAGTGATCCATGCGACGGTCACCTCCAGGCTTGACTACTGTGCTGAGAAGGCCCTGGCTCTGGTTGAAACTAATCTAATTTCCTTAGGGCCCGGGACCACTAGGGTGTTGCTATTTATGGACCTTAAGGTCCTCCGCGGGGCATACCAGGAGAGGCGGTCCCGTAGATACGAGGGCCCTAAGTCACAAAGGGCTTTAAAGGTCAAACTTCCGGGTTAGCGCGATCGGCGAATGGCGGAGTTCCTCCGACCGGAGGAACTAGCTCTGTGAAAACTGGGTCTTCCCGCCGCGGCGAAGGCGGGGACCCGCTAGAAATCCCAGGCGGAGGAAGCCTGGGAACGTGGGGTTCGGCAGGGCACCAGGAGCGCCCCCCTACTCACCGGGAACCCCTTTTCGGGGCGCCGGAGCGAAGTGGGGTGAGTGGCGCGGCGCTGCGAACTGATTGCTACTTTCACGGAGTGAAGCTGCACAGCCATTGCCGGAGAGCGCTGACTTTTTCCTGTGGACAATTGGATTTAAAACAAGTACCCGTGAGTAGAAACGGAAAATTGGATCAAGAAATATCTTAATTTGGCATCGAAGCGGGAAGGTTCAAAACAGGAAGTCCGCCTTCCGCTTTTTGTATATAGACTAAAGCAAAAACCTCGCAAGCTAAAGCCAGGAAAGTCGTTAAAAAAGTCTTAATTTCCTTCATTTCTAATTACTGAAACCCCCTTGGAAGTAGGAGAAAAGGGGGGGGCTTTGTTTAACCCCTACAGGAGAGGCAGTGAAGAAAGATAAGTTTTCACCGTCTCTAACCTGGGAACGGGGTGTCAGAGACAGAAATAGTTGGAGAGGTTCATTGACTGTGAATGGAATACTTTGACAGATAGCTAAAGAAGAGAAATAAACTGATTCCAATGTTGCCTTTTGCATTCTAATGAAACAAAATATCTGAAAAATGAAAGTAATTTTCGTTTGCTGGACTTGCCTTAAAAAAATGGATACAAATAGAAATTGTCTCCTCTAGAGGGAGCCTGTTAAATTGTTGCTACAGTCTACTTGAGGACCCAACAGCTGTCAGATTAAGATCGTGGGACCAGACTTTTCTGACCTTGACTAAATATGAGCTGGAAGGAAGTCTGGGTGCTTGCTTTATGCAAGACAAGTGCCTTGCCGGAACAGATGCACTAAAAGATGGATTTGATGAATGAGAAAATGGACTTGATGACTGTTGTGGTTAACAACTGTGGACAAACAGGGAACATTGATACAGAAACCATTCAAGGACCAACCCATGAACCTGTATTGACTGGGCAAGTGCAGAAGATAATGGAGGAGGATGCGGTCGCACCTCAAATAATACAAATGGAGAGACCCGAGGCCCTACAGGAGCATAAGCCGCTGTCATTGAAGATTGAAGTTGGAGTGGGCCAGGGGGAGTCTGGAGCTGAGGAGGTTCTTAACTTTGGAGAGACTTTGAAATATCCTTTTAAATACCTTTTGGATTATACTGATGATTGTGGGGAGTGGGACTGTGGGGAATGGGCAGCTTTGACGAAGGGAGATGGAGACAATTTTGGATTGGAATCCCCCAGAGATCTGCTCCCCAATGAGAAAGGGAAGAAATTAAGAAAGAGACCAACAAAAGACAAGGAAAAGGGCAAGTATAAACAAGAAGAAGAAGATTTGCAGAAGGGGCATGGAAGAGACTTAAGGGCCTCGGACATAAGACTTCCAGGTTGATGGACTAGATGGAATGGACAGTAAGGACTGACACGACCCGAGACCAGGAAGAAGAGAAGCTGGATGAAGATTGGAAGGAAATTTATAAAGAAAATTTTTTATTTGGGGAATTAGCCTAAAATGAATGAATATTAGGGAAAATGTTGAAATGAAACTATATGACTCTAGCAGAAATGACATCAGGAGTTATGGATAACTGAGTACTAAGTTTTAAGCCTTAAGGCATTTCATGGTAAGACAAGGTTAAATAAATTAAGGTAATTAGAATAATAGAATATGGGGAAAGATGGAAAGGATTTGTTGAGTCAATTAATAGGTTAAATTGATAAGATAAATTATCTAATAAAAATTGAGAAAGATGGAAAGAATTTGCTGAAATAACTAACTAAACTAGAATACAAAAAGGGAGGTGTGAGGAGGTCAACGAAACAAGCAAATGGAAGTTGGAGATATGTGATTCAGGATTTGTGTCTTTTTTATTTCCTTTTTTGTTGTATTGTTGTATTGGTTTTTGTGCTTTTTTTCTTTTTTCTTTTTTTTCTTTTTTCTCCTTTTATGTATTGCAGTCGTTTTTTGTTCTTTTTCTTTTTCTGTAATTCTGAAATTATTAATAAATATTATTTTATATTAAAAAAAAAAGGTCAAGACCAGCACCTTGAACCTGACCCTATACTCCACCGGGAGCCAGTGCAACTGGTAAAGTACTAGTTGAATATGCTTCCATGGCAGAGCCCCCGTGAGGAGCCTTGCTGCAGCAATCTGCACCTGCTGCAGTTTGTGGGACAGTTTCAAGGGCAGCCCCGCGTAGAGGGAATTACAGTAGTCAAGCCTGGAGGTGACCATCGCATGGATCACTGTGGCCAGGTCGGGGCGGGAAAGGTAAGGGACCAACTGCTTGATGCGGCGAAGGTGGAAAAATGTCGCCTTGGCTGTTGCTGTAACCTGCGCCTCCATGGAAAAGGAGGCATTAACGGAAGGTACTGGCACTAATTAGGCCCCCCACAAGAGAAGTGAGTTGGTCCCTCATCCCCATGCCATCCCAACCCAGCCAGAGGACCTCTGTCTTTGAAGGATTTAGTTTCAATCGGCTCCCATGAAACCATCAAACAATGAACAACCACGCCCAGTTTTGCTAAAACAGAAATGAGGAAGAGGCTGTGATCTCCTCTGCTGGTAAGTCAAGTTCCTCCTTCCACCAGCTGTCACCTTACGGGAGCCATGCTATGACGCTGTGACGGAGATGAGGAGAGAAGAGCTGGAAGACAGCTGCAAAACCAGCAACTTTGGCTCTTTGATTGTATTCCGCCATTGTTTGCATCTCTCACCTGTTCATTAGAAGGACTTGGAGCTGATACCTGAGATTGCAGGTGGGGGAGAATTTCAATTCCGTTTGCACTTAAAGGCAAACCAACCTAACAGGCAACAATACGTGAACCAAACGCAGCTACAGTGGTGCCTCGCAAGACGAAATTAATTCGTTCCGCGATTTTTGTCGTCTTGCGAAGCACGGTGTCGGGAAAGTTTTGGAAAAGCTTCAAAAATCACCAAAGTCTTTAAAAACCTCAAAAAAGGCTACCACACCACGTTCTATGAGTTGCTCCTCGAAGTCGCAACTGTATTAACGGTGTTAAGAAAAAGGAAACAAACTTGCAAGACGTTTCCGTCTTGCGAAGCAAGCCCATAGGGAAAATCGTCTTGCGAAGCAGCTCAAAAAACAAAAAACCTTTTCGTCTAGCGAGTTTTTTGTCTTGCGAGGCATTTGTCTTGCGAGGTACCACTGTATGCTTCAAAATTTGTGCTTCTCTGGATTTTGCAAATGCAGTTCTACGGAAAAGTCGTGTGTACAAACATTAATATGCTAGGGTGAAGCGTGTGCATATAAATGCATATGTTGGTGAAAACGACATACAAAAAATGTGTTAGATCAGGAGAAATTGCTTTGTGAAAATGTGCATATTAGAAATAACTGCATACAAAAAAAATGGGTGAATTTGCACCAAAACTCAGGAATTTTCACAAGGACTTAAAATATCGCTAACTAATGTGGAGAAACAAACTTAAGATTGGGGAAAAAATGAGGAATTGAGAGCAACTGAAATGGACATATTTGCCCAGCCCTACTTGATGCTGCGTTTTTCCTCCACCTCCGCGATCCCTTTTCCTTTTGTGTCGGAACTGCGCCTTACACAGAGTCAGACCATTGGTCCCTCTTGCTCAGCATTGTCAACCCTGACTGGCAGTGTCTCTTTAGGGTTTCAAAGCCTTCCCCAGCTCTAGCTGGAGTCACCGGGGATTGAACCTGTGATCTTTTGCACTCAAAACACATGCTCTTCCACTGAGCCCCTTCCTTTTCAGAGTGGCTCAAAAGCATCAGTATTGCACAGGGAAGATTCTTGCACATACTAGGGAAGTTAAGGTTTCTGCAATTACACTGAAAGTCACTGAAAAGGATCTGTTGCAAGCAATCCCCTTTGTAAAAAGAATTGGGAGGTTTTGCAGTTTGGAAAGTGGGGGGGGGGGGATGCATTGAGAATTCCCAGAGTTCCCTGGGAAAAAGGACTGATTGCTAAACCAGTCTAGGAATGGGGGGGGGGGGTGATAGGGGTCCCCTAACTACTTTCAGCATAACTACATTTCCTAGGATTCTTTGAGGAAAGCCACGAGTGTTTTAAGTTGGTATAATACCGCTTTACATCTGTGATGCAGAGGTGGCCTTTGATAACGCTGGTGTTATGTCCCATCGCCTGTCCTTGGATCCCAGGAGCTGCTCTCTTGCCTAACAATGCACATGACCCACTTGATCTCTGCCATATACAGTGGTGCCCTGCAAGACGAATGCCTCGCAAGACGAAAAAACCGCAAGACGAAGAGACTCACAGAACGGATTCTTTTCGTCTTGCGAGGCACCACTGTACTGTATTTTTCACTCTATAAGACGCACTTTCCCCCTCCAAAAATTAAGGGGAAATGTGTGTGTGTCTTATGGAGCGAATGTAGGCTCCATGGCTTCAGCGAAAGCAACGTGAAGCCTCCAAAGCGCAGAGGGAGCGCTCCTGCCGTGCTCCGGAGGCTTCCCCTTGCTTTTGCTGAAGCCTGGAGAGCGAGAGGGGTCAGTGCGCACCGATCCTTCTTGCTCTCCTGGCTTTGCTTCGCTGGAGAGGCACTGTGCAGCTTTCCCTCTCTGCACAGCACCCCTTCAGCGAAGCAGGAGGAGAAATGGAAAGGGCTCCGTTTTTCCTGCCGCTTCGCTGAAGGGGCGCTGCGCAGAGAGGGAGAGAATTTTTTTTCTTGTTCTCCCCCTCTAAAGCTAGGTGCGTCCTATGGTCGGGTGCGCCCTATAGAGTGAAAAATACGGTAATTTGATTCTAGGTCACCTTTCCCTCCTGTAACCAAGTAGGTGGCTGGGCCTCGCTCCCCAGGCAGAAAACTCAGGCGTTTTCAAGCACACAGTCACACAAACATTCATACCTTGCAGAGCTGCAGTTGCTGAGTTTGGAGGAAGTGGATGCCCAGTTCATATCCTTGGACAACAAGAGGATGGGAGTACAGATCAAGACAAGGAGAAGTGTAAGCATGGCATTTCCTGCCCATGAAATTCTGGGTAAAAAATGGAGATTGAATATGGGAAGTGTGATCTGGGGGTGGGGTGCATTATTTCTGAGGGTCTGGGTGTGTTTTTTTAAAAGCCTGAAACAAAAAACAAAAACACTCTTGAAGTATACTTCTAAAAGCAATATTTCAAGATTGATATGGTCACAGGCAGTTCACGCTGCTTTGACTCTGTCGAGAGCCAAGTTTCACAGCTGTTAGTGATGGCAGTATTGCAACACTCTTAGAACTTGATGTTTCTCAAAGAAAACTTTCAAACATTGCATCATACCGGACTTCTTCAGGCATTAGGTCCAGCAGTGCAATCCGTCTGCCAAGAGCATATTTTCTCCTAAAACTGAATACGCACCATATTCATGTTTTTGGAAATTCTACATTTCTCCATAGGTTTTATGGATTGTATCCTAGGTAGATATTTATTATTTCAGCCTAGGCACCAAAGATGATGATTAGAATGTCAAAAACTACAAATATGGGAGGCTGTTATCTGGGACCGTTTCAAGTTTGACTTTCCATGGCAAAGAAATAAAGAAAGACGCATAGAAGTATTTGCTTCCTGCTGCGCAGCCTCTCTGCGTGATACTGCAGCAAGTAAGGCTTATGCAATCATTGCTGGCAGGGAAGTAGTGAGAGGGGTTTTTCTTTCTGTCCAAAGCAGATGTTGCCGGGAGGCTGAATTCAGATCAGGTATGGTTTATACAAAGAAGTTGAATTATGAAATGGGGGCAGAAAGAAATTCTGAATCAGAACCTCTTTTGGGAAGAGTAAAATTGGGCAAGCGTATGGGAATAGAAAGTGAACACACTGTGCCGTAGAGCATGAAATTCTTCAGTCTTAATTATGAGAAAACCAGTGGAAAATTTCAGCTTTCAACTGTAGGGAAATCCCTAGCAATAATGCTTTAAGATCAGCCCTAGAAAGTACAGCATTTGTTTAGTCGTTTAGTCATGTCCAACTGTTCATGACCCCATGGACCAGAGCATGCCAGGCACTCCTGTCTTCCACTGCCTCCCACAGTTTGGTCAAACTCACGCTGGTAGCTTCAAGAACACTATCCAATCCTCTCGTCCTCTGTTGTCCCCTTCTCCTTGTGCCCTCCATCTTTCCCAACATCAGGGTCTTTTCCAGGGAGTGTTCTCTTCTCATGAGGTGGCTAAAGTATTGGACCCTCAGCTTCAGGATCTGTCCTTCCAGTGAGCACTCAGGGCTGATTTCCTGAAGAATGGAGAGGTTTGATCTTCTTGCAGTCCATGGGACTCTCAAGAGTCTCCTCCAGCACCATAATTCAAAGGCATCAATTCTTCGGCAATCAGCCTTCTTTATGGTCCAGCTCTCACTTCCATACATCAATACTGGGGAAACCATAGCTTTAACTATGCGGACCTTTGTCAGCAAGGTGATGTCTCTGCTTTTTAAGATGCTGTCTAGGTTTGTCATTGCTTTTCTCCCAAGTAGCAGGTGTCTTTTAATTTCGTGACTGCTGTCACCATCTGCAATGATCATGGAGCCCAAGAAAGTAAAATCTCTCACTGCCTCCATTTCTTCCCCTTCTGTTTGCCAGGAGGTGATGGGACCAGTGGCCACGATCTTCGTTTTTTTGATGTTGAGCTTCAGACCATATTTTGCGCTCTCCTCTTTCACCCTCATTAAAAGGTTCTTTAATTCCTCCTCACTTTCTGCCATCAAGGTTGTGTCATCTGCATATCTGAGGTTGTTGATATTTCTTCCAGCAATCTTAATTCCGGTTTGGGATTCATCCAGCCCAGTCTTTCACATGATGAATTCTGCATATAAGTTAAATAAACAGGGAGACAATATACAGCCTTGTTGTACTCCTTTCCCAATTTTGAACCAATCAGTTGTTCCATATCCTGTTCTAACTGTAGCTTCTTGTCTCACATAGAGATTTCTCAGCAGACAGATGAGGTGATCAGGCACTCCCATTTCTTTAAGAACTTGCCATAGTTTGCTGTGGTCGACACAGTCAAAGGCTTTTGCATAGTGAAGCAGAAGTAGATGTTTATCTGGAACTCTCTAGCTTTCGCCATAATCCAGCGCATGTTTGCAATTTGGTCTCTGGTTCCTCTGCCCCTTCGAAATCCAGCTTGCACTTCTGGGAGTTCTCAGTCCACATACTGCTTAAGCCTGCCTTGTAGAATTTTAAGCATAACCTTGCTAGCGTGTGAAATGAGCGCAATTGTGTGGTAGTTGGAGCATTCTTTGGCACTGCCCTTCTTTGGGATTGGGATGTAGACTGATCTTTGCCAGTCCTCTGGCCACTGCTGAGTTTTCCAAACTTGCTGGCACCTTAACAGCATCATCTTTTAAAATTTTAAATAGTTCAGCTGGAATATCATCACTTCTACTGGCCTTGTTATTAGCAATTCTTTCTAAGGCCCATTTGACTTCACTCTCCAGGATGTCTGGCTCAAGGTCAGCAACCACACTACCTGGGGTGTACGAGACATCCACATCTTTCTGGTATAATTCCTCTGTGTATTCTTGCCACCTCTTCTTGATGTCTTCTGCTTCTCCCTCCCTTGCATTTTGCTTGCCTTCTCTCCCCCGCTATTTGTAAGGCCTCATTGGACAGCCACTTTGCTTTCTTGCATTTCCTTTTCATTGGGATGGTTTTCGTTGCTGCCTCCTGTATAATGTTATGAGCCTCCATCCATAGTTCTTCAGGCACTCTGTCCACCAAATCTAAATCCTTAAACCTGTTCCTCACTTCCACTGTGTATTCATAAGGGATTTGATTTAGATTGTATCTTACCGGCCCAGTGGTTTTTCCTACTTTCTTCAGTTTAAGCTGGAATTTTGCTGTAAGAAGCTGATGATCTGAGCCACAGTCAGCTCCAGGTCTTGTTTTTGCTGACTGTATAGAGCTTCTCCATCTTTGGCTGCAGAGAATATAACCAATTTCGATGCTGCCCATCTGGTGGTGTCCATGTGTAGAGTCATCTCTTGTGTTGTTGGAAAAGAGTGTTTGCGATGACCAGCCAGTGTGGTGTAGTGGTTAAGAGCAGTAGTCTCCTAATCTGGGGAACCGGGTTCGCGTCTCCGCTCCTCCACATGCAGCTGCTGGGTGACCTTGGGCCAGTCACACTTCTCTGAAGTCTCTCAGCCCCACTCACCTCACAGAGTGTTTGTTGTGGGGGAGGAGGAAGGGAAAGGAGAATGTTAGCCGCTTTGAGACTCCTTAAAGGGAGTGAAAGGCGGGATATCAAATCCAAACTCTTCTTCTTCTTCTTCTTCTTCTTCTTCTTCTTCTTCTTCTTCTTCTTCTTGACAGAACTCTATTAGCCTTTGCCCTGCTTCATTTTGATCTCCAAGGCCAAACTTGCCAGTTGTTCCTTTTATCTCTTGATTCCCTACTTTAGCATTCCAATCCCCTATAATGAGAAGAACATCCGTCTTTGGTGTCACTTCTATAAGGTGTTGTAAGTCTTCATAGAATTGGTCAATTTCAGTTTCTTCAGCACCAGTAGTTGATGCATAAACTTGGATTACTGTGATGTTAAAAGGTCTGCCTTGGATTCGTATCAAGATCATTCTATCATTTTTGAGATTGCATCCCAGTACAGCTTTCACCACTCTTTTGTTGACTATGAGGGCCACTCCATTTCTTTTACGGGATTCTTGCCCGCAGTAGTAGATATGATGTTCATCCGAACTGAATTCACCCATTCCCGTCCATTTTAGTTCACTGATGCCCAGGATGTCAATATTTATTCTTGCCATCTCATTTTTGACCACATCCAACTTACCCAGGTTCATGGTTCTTACATTCCAGGTTCCTATGCAATATTTTTCTTTACAGCATTGGACTTTCCTTTCGCTTCCAGGCATATCCGCAACTGAGCGTCCTTTCGGCTTTGGCCCAGCTGCTTCATCAGCTCTGAATCTACTTGTACTTGTCCTCCGCTCTTCCTCAGTAGCATGTTGGACGGCTTCCGACCTGAGGGGCTCATCTTCCAGCGTCATAACTTTTATATGCCTGTTGTCTTTGTCCATGGAGTTTTCTTGGCAGGGATACTGGAGTGGCTTGCCGGTTCCTCCTCCAGGTGGATCACGTTTGGTCAAAACTCTCCACTATGACCTGTTCATCTTGGGTGGCCCTGCACGGCATAGCTCATCGCTTCTCTGAGTTATTCAAGCCCCTTCACCATGGCAAGGCAGTGATCCATGAAGGATCATAAAAAGTACAGCATTACTATGAATGAACTAAATGAACTAAATTAATAATGTCTGTGTACGGATTTAATCTGGATTAATTCATCCAGAGTACTTCAGACAAGACCTGTCTCAAAAGAAGACGAGACAATTCATTGTCTCTTTGCTGATTGCATGCAGATTTTCAAAGCACCGGAAGTGAACTATTATGGCCCGGATAGCAATTCCGCCATTAAATCGATTCATTCATTGCTTCCCACAGCGCCCAACGTGCATTTCCGCAGCTCTTCAAGACAAGAAAATGTTTTCCGAAGGAACTGATGCCTCTGAAGTGGTGACGGACAGATTCCTGTGTAGTGGAGGAGGGAGAGCTGTCGAGGCTGCCACTTGCAAAGGTCATTTTGCTTACAGTGTGGTGTAGTGGTTAAGAGCGGTAGTCTCGTAATCTGGTGAACTGGGTTCGCTTCCCCGCTCCTCCACATGCAGCTGCTGGGTGACCTTGGGCCAGTCACACTTCTCTGAAGTCTCTCAGCCCCACTCACCTCACAGAGTGTTTGTTGTGGGGGAGGAAGGGAAAGGAGAATGTTAGCCGCTTTGAGGCTCCTTTGGGTAGTGATAAAGCGGGATATCAAATCCAAACTCTTCTTCTTCTTCTTCTCTACATGGGGAGGGTGAAGCATCCCTGGTTAAGCAGAGCAGGGAGAGAGTAAGGCCTCGTCCACACTTCTGCTTCTTCCAGGTACGAGGTTTCTCTGTTGCCTCACTGCTTTCCCTGGGATAACCCGCTGTTTACCCCACAGAATCATAACAAATGTCAATCAAGTTTTCTGCAGAAGACACGGGATGAACAGAAATGTGGAGCAGCCCTTATGAGAAGTTTTCAATAAGCTCCCACGTCTGATTCAGGGACTAGAAACCTCAATCCAAATGTGGTCCTCCAAGCCTATCTGTCTGGCACCCCTAGGCCACCGGTTTCGCACCCTACTTAAGAGCTTTAGTCTGACTGGAAAGTGTCCTTGAACTTTTGTTTGTCTGGATGGAGGAAAAAGTGTGGTGTATGAGCAGAGGCCCTAATATTGAGTGGGCCCACGGGCATGGGGCGCAGGCCGGTTTAGCCTTCTGCTAGGCCGCACCGGTCCCCATGGTCTCTCCCACACTGCACAGGCCAGGGCAGCCTTCTGTGACGTCATGTCCTTTGGAGGAGGTTAAGTGTGCGCACTGGACTCCCTCAACATTGAGGGAGCCAGGGCCTCTTCAAACAAATGTGAAGGGGACCCAAGACACCTTGGCTCCCTACAGTTGGCACTACACTATAGGGAGCATGAATGTGTAGAAGCTATCCCAATGTAAAGGTAAAGGGACCCCTGACCATTAGGTCCAGTCGTGACCAACTCTGGGGTTGCGGCGCTCATCTTGCTTTATTGGCCAAGGGAGCCGGCGTACAGCTTCCGGGTCATGTGGCCAGCATGACTAAGCAGCTTCTGGTGAACCGGAGCAGCTCACGGAAACACCGTTTACCTTCCCGCTGGAGTGGTACCTATTTATCTACTTGCACTTTGACGTGCTTTCGAACTGCTAGGTTGGCAGGAGCAGGGGCTGAGCAACGGGAGCTCACCCCGTCGCGGGGATTTGAACCGCCAACCTTCTGATCGGCAAGTCCTAGGCTCTGTTGTTTAACCCAATGTACAAAGTTTAAAATTTGCATCTGTTGCTCACTCCACCCTCTTTTCCCTCTGGCCCTGTTTACCACTGACGTATGGCCCTCCAAAAGGTTGTCCAAGAGGGAATGTGGCTCTTAGGGTAAAAAAGGTTCCCCTAATCTTAATGAAATTGGCAACCTTCGATATGTGCATCCTTCGTAAGTACAGGATTCCCTTTCCAGTATTGAATCCAGCAGCTGACATTGTGACAACTTTCATTCAAAGCAGAGATTCCCAAATTGTGTCCCACGAACCGTCAGTGGTCTGCAAGCTTCATTCAGGTGGTCCGTGGCATTTTTGTGGTTGAAAAGGGTTGCTATGCGTATGAAATTTCCCAGACATAGCTGGGATTTGGCTGTTGGGGAGTGTCTGGGCAGAAATTGCTTCGATGTCTGGGAAAATCTGGACATATGGCAACCCATGTTGGAAGTGTGGATTTTGGCAAATTTCCTTAAGAATAGCTCAAAATAGCTTCATTTCGGGGGGGGGGGGCTCAACAAAACTTTTAAAACTTTGGCTTTGTGAAATATGACAACCCATATTTGAAGAAATGTGAACTTCCTCTTCTGTCTAGAGATAGTGGAGCTTCTGTCAGCTTTTAATCCTTTCTTCCTTTTTTCAGGTGAATCCGGAGGATCATTATTCGTGGAACGGAGGGAGAGACTCTTCCAAGTAAGTGAACCTCTAAATGTATCCCGACCCTGCCGTTCTTCTTGAGATCTAGTGTGGGGGAGTGGTTTTAAAAATCTGACACACAATCCATCACATAAGCTTTTCACTTGCGTGTCAAGACCCCGCAGCCACCCCCTGGTTGGAAATAACTCACACAAGGACACAGATATTAGGTTTATGTTATTGGGCAAATTTTGGCCACAACTTTATTGAAATTACAGAAAGTGAGCAGTATTGGCTTAGGCATTGATTGGACCTGACTATATCTGACTCCTGCCCATTGTGCAGGTAAGCCACCGGTAGGGGGAGCCCTGTCAATGCAAACCAACTCCAGCTCCCCCTGGTGTTCCCGTCGGGGTCGTGTCAAGGCCTTAGCCCCCCAGGCGGGCTTCAGACTAGATCAACACCCCCAGGTTCCTTTAACCGAATACCCTTAAGCATGGAGGGGCAGGTGATGGCCACACCTCCCCTCCCCCACACAAGGTCAAACAATGCCTAACCGCAACCCTAACAAAGTTGTGACGATTGCTACGAGGTAGGCGAAAACCAAGTGGCCAGCGCCAATTTGCCAAGTGGAAAAATTCCTACCAGGCCCCTCGGACAACCAAGACGACCAACCAAAGTCCATAGCAAGGCCATAGCCTAACCTGCAAAATAGGGAGGGAGGGTGGGGGATTGAGGAAGCGAGCCAAAGAGGAAGTCCTCTGGCTCGCTCCTCCGTTTAAATGACCCCAGCCATGCCCCCGCCCCCAGCCAGCGGGTTGGCTGCCCGGGCTCTGACGTGGCTGGGATCCCCCAGGCAACGGGGGACAAAGTCCCCCACCCCCAGTGGGGAGTGGGTGGCCACGCGGTCCACCGCAACTCCTCCCCACTGGGAAGTGGAGCGGATATCTCTTCCCTTCGCCCTGCCCCAATTGATTTAAGCAAGATCCAGAGATCTACCAAGAAATAGATCCCAGCCTACTTCCTGCCCGCCCCTTTCATAGGGGGCTGCTGTAGCGTGTTGGCTCGCAATAAGCTTTTGTATCTTTGCCACTGTGAATTGCATATTTGCCGTTCTGTCTTTTGACCCAGTTTGCTTGCCTCTCCTGATCAGGTGGGCGTGATCAGCTGGGGCACATATAACCCTTGTGAAAAGAAGAGGAAGAAGAAGAAAGATGGGGAGACACGGGAAACAGTTCGGGATCCCCCTCCAGCGAACCATAAACCACGAGATTTCTACATTAGTCTCTTTGGTGTACAAGACTGGCTGAGGCAACACCTGGGCCAGTCCTTGAGGTTTATCCCGAAGGAATGAGCCACCAAGACAAACTCACTGTTGCCCAGGAGTGTTTGTGAAGATGTCAGTCCCCGGGACGCTTATTATAAAATTATCTTGATTATGTGTGGTATGTTTGTGTTGTTTATGCTCCTGGCTGTAGGATCAGAACTTAATTTGTGGTAGGGTTCATCAGTTTGTAGCCTTAAGTTGTGGGTTCCATGGGCACTGCTATTTCACATTCTTCTAAAAATAGATTAAACCAGTGGTTCTTCATAGCACTTAATGCAATGCTCCTCGCCAGTGCTCTTTTTCTAGAAAAAGAGGTCTCACCATGAACACCTCCCTTGTTCTCTTAGAATGGCAATGGTGCCCACCTGAGAGGTGCCAGAACTGAGTTCCGGTGAGTTCCGGCTGAAAAAAGCCCTGCTCCTTGCCAATGTAAAAATCACCTCTTACGTTTAGTCAAGTTATTCTCATTCAGTAAAGAGCCCTTCCAATGTGAATTAAAATCTTCCTGCTTGTTTGTTCTGCCCCTTTCGTTACTTCCTGCTGCATAGGACAGTGTCATGAACAGCCTGTTTATTGTCCCTTGAATAGCGATTCTTATTTGTCCCTTGATATCAGTTCTTGCTCTCACAATACATAGTAAAGGTAAAGGGACCCCTCTGGGTTGCGGTGCTCATCTCGCTTTATTGGCCAAGGGAGCCGGCGTACAGCTTCCGGGTCATGTGGCCAGCATGACTAAGCCGCTTCTGGCAAACCAGAGCAGCGCACGGAAACGCCGTTTACCTTCCCGCTGGAGCGGTACCTATTGATCTACTAGCACTTTGACGTGCTTTCAGACTGCTAGGTTGGCAGGAGCTGGGACCGAGCAACGGGAGCTCACCCCGTCGCGGAGATTTGAACCGCCAACCTTCTGATCGGCAAGCCCTAGGCTCTGTGGTTTAACCCACAGCGCCACCCGCGTCCCTCACACAATACATAGTTCCGTGCATACCTCAGTTACTGACTTCCTCTCATTTATCCTCCTTTCATTGCTTATAAAGCAAAATAGCGTTATTTGGCTATATATTATAAAACTATTTCACTGTAGCACAACTAAAAAGAAAGAGATGGGAGGAGATCATAGTTAATAAATCGATAAATTAAGGGTTTATTTGTAAGGAATTCCATTGCCATTTTCCACAGGAAGCAATAGAAGGGCCTGAATCTGCAAAGAGAGAGCTTTTAATTAAAGGGAATAGTAGCTCTGAAAACTCTCATTGCCAGTCCACTGTGGAAAATATTCCCACTTCTCCACTCATTTCAACTGGTTTAAGAGCAATTGGAACAGGCTTTATAGGTGATTTTCCTTACCCCAATGCAACACATTTAAACTGGTTAATATTGGGGCGGGGGGGATGCATATTACTATTTTCGTAACCTCCTTTGAGACAGGCCAGCCTTGTATACCAGACTGGTACATCACTATTCCCCATTCCCTATGTTGAGATAATATGCTTATTATGTCTCTTGTTATAAAGATAAAACCTTGAAGTGGCCCGTCTTAGTAAAAACACATTTATAGCTTAGTTAAACAAGTCGTGTTTGCAGCGAATGCTGTTTTTCACAAGGATACTTTCAGTATGTTCAAACGTGAACCAAACACTTTTCTGTATTATTTAGGTTTAGACAATATGTCTACGTCGCTTCTATCCCAGACGTGCTTTTTTAAAAAATAGCAGCTGTTTGTTTTTGATGTAGTTCTGTCAGCTGTTGCTAAAATTATTTTGGTTTGAGTTTAAATAATAGTTGCAATGTATTTTGGTTGTTTGATTTCTCAAATCCTTTAATGAAGTTGGATATTTTGTGGAATGCTGTCTTGTTTTTCTTTAAAAAGTGAGAAACATTAGAAACATTTCACTCATTTGAAGGGGGGGAAATGGACATAAATTAATTGTTCTTTCATTGTGGGGGGCTCATACCTTTTGTTTGGTTCCCAGTACTAGTCTTGCTGATTCAAGGAATTCTGACTTAATTGGGGTTTCTCAGCTCTGCATCAATAATCAATATTTTAGAATTGTAATGCTAGTATTTTATAAGGTTTTCATGCTATTAACCTTAATTCAAATAAAAGAAATTTATTTCCTATGTGCCTGAAGACTAGGTTTTCTGTGCGTTTATATGAAGGGGGACTAATTCCCCACTTAACATGGCAGTAGTTGCAGAATTTCCTAAATCAACAATGAAAGACAGCAGGAAGAGCTGCCCACAGATGAACAGCCGGCTGATTTGATACCTGATTTGATTTTATTATTTTATATATGCCACCCAACCAGATGGGCAGGGTATTAAATACATACCGCTATATATTATTACTATTATCATTAGAATGAACTAAGGTGAAAAACTTAATTGTCAGGCTGATTTCTATATAGCAGAAACTGAGTCTTAGATTTACCCACTGAACAAAACAACGTCTCGCCACTCTGTGCAAACAACCACTGGAGTTGCAGTTGACATTTTAAAAATATCATCAGAAAGCAGATCCGGGAGAAAAACAAACAGACAGGAGGACATCACAGAAAACACAGAAGCAGTCATAGGAGCATAGGGAGTATACAGAATCGGGGCATAGGTTCATACGACTCAGTATTGTCTACACTGAGTTGGAATATTTTCCAACTCTACCAAGTGATGCCAGGGATTGAATTGGGATATTCTGCATTCAGAGCCGATGGTCTACAACTGAGCCATTTGTTAAGTGTCAACTCCAGATCAAACTACAGTGGTACCTCAGGTTACATACGCTTCAGGTTACATACGCTTCAGGTTACATACGCTTCAGGTTACAGACTCTGCTAACCCAGAAATAGTGCTTCAGGTTAAAAACTTTGCTTCAGGATGAGAACAGAAATCGTGCTCCGGTGGCGCGGCAGCAGCAGGAGGCCGCATTAGCTAAAGTGCTGCTTCAGGTTAAGAACAGTTTCAGGTTAAGAACGGACCTCCGGAACGAATTAAGTACTTAACTCGAGGTACCACTGTAGTGTAAAAGCAGCCTTGGAATCTGCTTTCAGTGCCTGGGTGCACCTCTAATGTACGTGAAACCAAAAGAGTGAGGGCACCTCAGCATTCGCCATGTCAACCATTGCTGGGATCAGAGGTGAAGGCCCTCAAAGCCTGAGGCTATAGTTTGATGGGAGACTTACAGCCCTGGCAAATCTCATTTTAGAAGTAAAGCACCCCCAACACCTTGCCAGTGCTGGGAAACACCCCACCACCACCACCACCCACACATTGCAACGCCACCTCCTTCCCCCTTCAGGTTTCCTCATCTTTCAATGCCTTCCTTTGATGATGTGGCTGTGGCAGGTAGGAGGGATTTGAAAGTGTGTGTGTCTGTGTGTGTCAAAAACTACATGGGATAGCAGAAGGTTATTAACCTCACTGTTCAAATATTCCTGGGTGTTTCAACTAGGACTAGGACTATTCGGGATACTAAAAGGTGTAAAGGACCCCTGGACAGTTAGGTCCAGTCAAAAGCGACTGGGATTGCGACGCTCATCTCGCTTTCAGGCCGAGGGAGCCAGCGTTTGTCCACAGACAGCTTTCAGGGTCATGTGGCCAGCATGATTAAACCGCTTGTGGCACAACGGGATACCGTGACGGAAACCAGAGCGCACGGAAACGGCGTTTACCTTCCCGCCATGGTGGTATCTATTTATCCATTTGCACTGCCGTGCTTTCGAACTGCTAGGTTGACAGAAGCTGGGACAGAGCAACAGGAGCTCACTCCATCACAAGGATTCAAACCACTGACCTTCTGATCGGCAAGCCCAAGTGGCTCAGTGGTTTAGACCACAGCGCCACCCACATCCTTCACTAAAAGGTGTAGGGCTACAGAGCAACGTATATTCTGTCTCTCATTCTTAGAGATATTGTTGATTGCCATCACGAATTCATTGAATCAAAACAATTACAGTGGTACCTCAGGTTAAGAACTTAATTCGTTCCGGAGGTCTGTTCTTAACCTGAAACTGTTCTTAACCTGAGGTACCACTTTAGCTAATGGGGCCTCCCGCTGCTGCCGTACGATTTCTGTTCTCATCCTGAAGCAAAGTTCTTAACCCGAGGTACGATTTCTGGGTTGGTGGAGTCTATAACCTGAAGCATCTGTAACCTGAGGTACCACTGTATAAACAAGATACACACAGTAAGTGTTATGTACTGAAGTTTTCACCCTGGGCCAGCAGGGGGATACTGTAGATAGTTTTCACTCAGGTCCACATATGCAAATAAGGGATTGAAAGTGACGTTCAGTGATTGGATAGTTACAGAAAGTGGTTACTGTTGCGTTGTAGTGGAGCTCTATATAAGCAGGCTGGCTGAACCCTTCAGTTCGGTTCTGTTCTGGCCTGTGAGTAAACAAGAGCTGTTTGAAGAATCGCTGTGTCGTCTGATATGTTCACCCACAACTTAATAGTAAGAAAAGTTCTTTAATGAGGGAGGTGTTGTTTTTTTAAAAAAAGAAACAATAATATTTATAATGGAAAAATCCTAAAGTAAAGTCTGCCCCTGCAAGCAATGTTTTCCATTACAAATAATCTTTTGCTATGTGGCCAGTAAAAATTCTGAGGAAAAATAGGATAGCTTGCATCTAGCAGACGATAAGATAAAATGGTGGCCGTCAGTGAGTACCTGTTATGCAGCAGAGGCATAACAGGTTGCTGTTTCTGTGGATGAGGAAGTTGCTTAAGAGGCCCCTCTGTATTTCTTCACGACTTGGGTATCCGTGGGTTTGAGTAGGAATAACCCTGGATACAAGCCCACATGTTCTATACTATGCCAATAAATCTCTTAAATGGGTGGGTAGATCTGGCATCAAATGCTATATTGAAGGAGGCATGAATTCTCTAGGAGGGAAGTGGGTTTCGCACCGGTGGGATCAGGAAACCAGGATTTCTTTTTAGCATTCTCAAGGGACTGTGGGGCTGGGATTTTGAACACCTGCTAGCCACAATGGTTATGTCCCACCTCTACGGTCAGAGGCAATATGCCTCTGAAATACCAGTTGCTGGGAACCACAGTGCTGTTGCACCCAGGTCCAGCTTGCAGGCTTCCCAGAGGTATCTAGTTGACCACTGTAAGAATAGGTTGCTGGACGAGGTGGGTCATTGGCCGATCCAGGATGCGCCTCTTAAGTTCTTCTGTACACTGGTACCTCAGGTTACATACGCTTCAGGTTACATACACTTCAGGTTACATACGCTTCAGGTTACAGACTCCGCTAACCCAGAAATAGTGCTTCAGGTTAAGAACTTTGCTTCAGGATGAGGACAGAAATCATGCTCTGGCAGCGCGGCGGCAGCAGGAGGCCCCATTAGCTAAAGCGGTGCTTCGGGTTAAGTACAGTTTTAGGTTAAGTACGGACCTCTGGAACGAATTAAGTACTTAACCCGAGGTACCACAGTACCTTCAGCAGCGGTTTGATGTGCAGCAGTTAGCAAGGGCAGCATTTCACTCTACACCAGGGTTTCCCAAACTTGGGTCTCTACCTGTTTTCGGACTACAATTCCCATCATCCCTGACCACAAGGATGATGGGAGTTGTAGTTCAAAAAACAGCTGGAGACCCAAGTTTGGGAAACCCTGCTCTACACAAGGAAGAGCTGCTGTGCCTGCTAATTAACCTGCTATAAACTCAACATCAAAAAAACGAAGATCATGGCCACTGGTCCCATCACCTCCTGGCAAATAGAAGGGGAAGAAATGGAGGCAGTGAGAGATTTTACTTTCCTGGGCTCCATGATCACTGCAGATGGAGACAGCAGCCACGAAATTAAAAGATGCCTGCTTCTTGGGAGAAAAGCAATGACAAACCTAGACAGCATCTTAAAAAGCAGAGACATCACCTTGCCAACAAAGGTCCATATAGTTAAAGCTATGGTTTTCTCAGTAGTGATGTATGGAAGTGAGAGCTGGACCATAAAGAAGGCTGATCGCTGAAGAATTGATGCCTTTGAATTATGGTGCTGGAAGAGACTCTTGAGAGTCCCATGGACTGCAAGAAGATCAAGCCTATCCATTCTTCAGGAAATCAGCCCTGAGTGCTCACTGGAAGGACAGATCGTGAAGCTGAGCCTCCAACACTTTGGCCACCTCATGAGAAGAGAAGACTCCCTGGAAAAGACCCTGATGTTGGGAAAGATGGAGGGCACAAGGAGAAGGGGACGACAGAGGATGAGATGGTTGGACAGTGTTCACAAAGCTACCAGCATGAGTTTGACCAAATTGCGGGAGGCAGTAGAAGACAGGAGTGCCTGGCATGCTCTGGTCCATGGGGTCACGAAGAGTCGGACACGACTAAACGACTAAACAACAACATTCTATTCATTTCTGACCTGGAGCAGGTCAGACTATATCTCCCCTCTTCTTGTGGCCACCTGGCAACCCTAGCAGAAATCTGGGAGTTACATATTTACCCTGATTCGAAAGAATCGAAACTCCACACCCATCGCTGCCCACTTCCTTCATGCAGCCGCTTAACAGAGATAGGCCTCTTTAGCAATCTTTTCCCATTCTTTTGCGCCAAAAAAACGAGGAAGTTTAGAAGTGGGTAAATATTGCAGTGTCTGAAAATGCAAATACAGGGGGAGGAGCAGGAATTGGATCATGACTGTGGGGGGAAATCTCATTGCCTAGCAATGCTGGGGACCTGGCCTAACTCCAGCCCCCAGTAATCCCCTGGAATGTCCACATTCTGAAAGTCTCCTATGTGTTCAAGCTGGGAATTCCCCTAGTTGGCTTTACTCCCTTCCTGACTTCAAGACGATTCTGGGTTTCCCCCATCTGGATTCCTGTCCACCTGCAGCCACAATATATTCTTGCTTCTCCCCACCCCCACCCATCGCCTTGGAGTTGCTTCATGGACTTTGCCATTTCCCCAAACTCAGCTGCTTTCTCGGGGTGGGGCTAGAGACCAGCATCTAGCAAGTGGAGCGGATCACCTAAAATTTCACAAGTAGCTGGACTGCAGTGGTGCTGCCCAAACAGAAGCTGCTAGGATTCAGAAAGGCAACAGACCAGGGAGAACCAGAAATGCAGCTTTTTTGGGACCAGCTGTTCTGCATTCTCATTGCCCTCGGGGCATTTTATACAGGTAAGCTGTCACAGCCAGGCACAAATTGCTTCTGAGAGCTGTGAATTTCACACAGTGCCTAATTGTAGTCAGTGGTGCCTTGAGGCCAGAACTCCTTCAGCCTCAACCAAGAGACCTGTGGCACCTTAAAGACTAACGCATGTATTTATTTACGATGGTTAAGAATGGGGGGGGGGGGTATTTGATTGAGTCATCATTTAAAGGCAAGCCTACCTAATTCACAGTTTCTGAATACGCAACTAGAAACACAGCCATCCTTCAGAATTGCGCTTCTCAAAATTTTGCAGTGTAAAATGTGACTACAGTGGTACCTCAGGTTAAGTACTTAATTCGTTCTGGAGGTCCGTACTTAACCTGAAACTGTTCTTAACCTGAAGCACCACTTTAGGTAATGGGGCCTCCTGCTGCCACCGCACCACCAGAGCACGATTTCTGTTCTCATCCTGAAGCAAAGTTCTTAACCTGAAGCACTATTTCTGGGTTAGCGGAGTCTGTAACCTGAAGCATATGTAACCTGAAGCATATGTAACCTGAGGTACCACTGTATACAAAAATGCATTAAGTCAGGGATAACTGATTTGTAAAATGGTGTACACAGAAAACGTGAGAAAGATGCATTGAAATGCAGATCAATTTTCATGGGGACTTTAAAAAACAAAATCACGACAGAAGCTTTGGTGGACTAAACACACTTTGTTGGATGGTGAGATGGACTTTAGTACTCAAAACTTCGTGACATCGTCATAGAGAAATGTGTTTATATGTTGGTTTTGCTGCTACAGACTAACAGAACTACTGACCCTCTTACCTGGAAATTTCTCTTTGAGATAATGCCGTTTGGGATACAGTGGTACCTCAGGTTAAGTACTTAATTCATTCCGGAGGTACGTACTTAACCTGCAATTGTTCTTAACCTGAAGCACCACTTCAACTAATGGGGCCTCCTGCTGCCGCCGCGCTGCCAGAGCATGATTTCTGTTCTCATCCGGAAGCAAAGTTCTTAACCTGAAGCACTATTTCTGGATTAGCAGAGTCTGTAATCTGAAGCGTATGTAACCTGAAGTGTACATAACCCGAGGTACCACTGTAATTCATTCAGGATATTTGCTTTGATGCAGAGCAGCTGAAAAGAATTCAAAGCCCTTTTTGAAATCCTATGATGAATGTTGATGCTAAATATTTGCCAGATATTTTCTGAATACTCATTTCCCCAATATCGACAATTTATGTGATTTTTGAAAGTATTGAGTCTCTGGAAGCATTTGGTAGCTGGCGTTCAATGCTACTCATCTGGCAATTTGTCTGATTTCACATACGAAGCTTGGCAAAATAATCAAGGGGTTGTTGGGTGGAACGCTCAGATTTTGCGTGTACTTAGCATGTTTTTATTTTTGAAATTTGAATCCAAAGCTTCACTCTTAAATTTTGAGGGGCAAAATTGGAAAAGCAGGAAATCTGCAAGTGTACATTTTAGCTCCACTCAGGCCTCGGAGCCACTTCAAATGTTACAAAATTCCTGCAGGGGAGCATTTGGGTGTAGAAAGTTGGAATGCAACCCACCTGTCTGGGATGATAAAATACATGCCTGATTTATGTGTCTGTGTCCTGGGGAGGTTTGTACTCCGTGCAAAAATCCACATGTATATTTGACACGCGTTGTGAGTTGTAGTTTAATTCCTGCATCAAAGTGCTTTTAGCATATGATTTTTGTAGTGTTTGCAGCAGGTTTACCAAAAATTCCTAGAGAATCAGGTTACCAATGGCTACCTAGCCGCAATGGCTATGTTCTACCTCCACTGAACAGCAGCTGAATCACAAGTGGAAACTCGGGACCTGCTTGTAGGCTTCCCAGAAGAAGCTGGTTGATCACTGTGAGAACAGGATGCTGGCTTGTTATGTTTTGTCTTATGTTGTGGTCCAGTGAAGATTTCCTTTCTGCTGGGGCATAAAGAGACTAGTTCTCATTGAGGTGATAAACTTATATGTGGCCACTGCACCTCAGATTGCAAGTGGAGGCTTAGATGCTTGAATAGGTAATGGTAAAGGGACCCCTGACCATTAGGTCCAGTCGTGGCCGACTCTGGGGTTGCGGCGCTCATCTCGCTTTATTGGCCGAGGGAGCCGGCGTACAGCTTCCGGGTCATGTGGCTGGCATGACTAAGCCGCTTCTGGCGAACCAGAGCAGCGCATGGAAACGCAGTTTACCTTCCTGCCCGAGCGGTACCTATTTATCTACTTGCACTTTGACATGCTTTCGAACTGCTAGGTTGGCAGGAGCAGGGACCGAGCAATGGGAGCTCAGCCCGTTGCGGGGATTCGAACCGCCGACCTTCTGATCGGCAAGTCTTAGGCTCTGTGGTTTAACCCACAACGCCACCCACATCCCAGATGCTTGAATACTCTCCCATAAATGCAATTCCCTCCGTGGAAAATACAAGATGTCAGGGAGAGAGGTTCTAGCTTAGGCTCTTTGCTGTTACGCTACTTATCTGTGCACATGGATTCTGGAGTGGTGCAGGTTAGCCATAAGGGTTACAAATGCCATAAAACCCAGGTTGGAGTCTATGTTTCTTTTTTCGGCTTTGCAATTTTAAAATAGGGAAAGTAGTTAGGAGCAATGTTTCGGCTTGGGGGCGGGATACCTGACTTCAGGAAATGTGTCTGTATAAACAGAGTCTTGGATTAGCCATTATACTAAATACACTAAGCTGTACGGTCAGAGACCAAAAGTGGAGCTCTTGCGATTCTTGCGAATTTCCCAACGAGAATAAATCAACATTGCACCATCTGAGTCTTTGTGTGTGTGCTTGCGTTCGGTAGATAGCAGAATGGTGAATTCAGATTTGGGAAGGGCAAGATCCTGTGGTTTCCTCAGCTATGAAGCATGCTGGGAGGCCGGGGACAAGGCCCGGGCCTGTTTCTCCTCATGTTCCCTCATGTATAGTGACTGATTGATCTAAAAAGCTGCCACCTCTTATATTTCCATATCATTTATGGTGTCTTCTAAACTGGTGAGAAAGTTGATGGTTATATATTTCCAGATGGAGGCAGCAACTATGTTTGTAGCTCCAAAGCTTTTGTGGGCACCAGGGAAAAACCTCAAGGGCACCTTTGTGCCCATGGGCACCAGGTTGGCTCCCAGTATGTTTCCCAGCACAATTCAAAGTGTTGGCGCTGAACTTTAAAGCCCTAAATGGCCTCAGCCCAGTATACCCCCATCGTTCTGCCCGGATACTGAGGTCCAGCGCCGAGGGCCTTCTGGCAGTTCTCTCACTGTGAGAAGTAAGGTTACAGGGAAGCAGACAGAGGGCCTTCTTGGTAGTGGCACCTGCCCTGTGGAACACCCTCCCATCAGATATCAAGGAAATAAACATCTATCTGACTTTTAGAAGACATCTGAAGGCAGCCCTTATTACGGAAGCTTTTAATGTCTGGTGTTTTATCATATTATTATTATTATTATTATTATTATTATTATTATTATGTTGGGAGCCACTCAGAGTGGCTGGGGAAACCCACCCAGATGGGCAAGGTATAAATAATAAATTGTTGTTGTTGTTGTCATTTTATTATTATTATTATTATAGTTAATATTCTGTTGGGAGCCACCCAGAGTGGCTGGGGAAACCCACCCAGATGGGCGGGGTATAAATAATAAATTGTTGTTGCTGTTGTTGTTATAGCAACCCCAGAAGTAAAATAATGGCAGATAATGAAGGGGTACAGTTAGGGTTACCCCCCCAAAAAAGCCCTAAAACTGTCTGTGAATTCCCCCCCAGCCAGGCCTCAAAAGCCTCGCCTCGAGCATTTTAAAAACTGCATTTTCCTCTAAGACAAAATGCATTAGCTAAGCATTCTGCGCTTGCTGTAACTAAAAAAAAAAAGATTGCAACAAGGTAGAGAACAGAGCCCATTGTCTTCTCAGGCCTTTCTCAGAGCCTTTGGCCTTGCTAAAGAACCACATTGCAACTTGCTTTCTGTCCAGGAACCGTGCCAAAGCACAAGAATGAAACAACGGGAACACTCTGAAAACCCTCTCACCCCCTTCCTGGGAAAAGTCCAAAAATGGTCCCAAGACAGCTTTCTGTTCATGCTCAGAGGAACTCCTGGGCAGGACTCTTGAAGAAGGGGGAGGGAACTAGGAAGGGGGATATAAACTCTGTGCAATGCCTGTGAACTTCGTGCTTGTTTGTGACTTATCACACTAGCTCCTCTGCCCACCCGGGATGGCAGAATAAAGCTCTTTCTCTGGATTTAACCCCTTGGTGTCGTTTGGCTCCTTTTCGTCCCAGCTCGGGTGCAACATTTTTCCTACCCATGGTTTAAAGGGCCTAAAAAGGCTGCAATACCATAGGCAGGCTGCAAAGCAAAATCTGGCCACTTATGAGTGTCTCTTTTGGGCATGTTAAGAAATCTCAGTCAGCTGGAGCAATGTCTGCACTTTGATGCGCACAAGCAGGTTGTGTGGGCTGTCAGTGGTGATCTGAACCTTTTCCTTCTTTTTAACTTTCTGCTTTTTTCCTTTTCCCTCAGATGCAGCTGATAATGCCTGTGACCCCCAAACCGCTGAGATTGCTGGGGGACAGTATACAGTACTGGAAAACGGCACTGTGCTGAAATATGAGTGCCCAGATGGGAAATACCCATACCCTACAGACTACCGGTTTTGCCAGTACGATGGGACATGGAGCCCCATGCAGAATGCACTGAAAAGCCGCGTCTCCAAGGCCAGTTGCCGAAGTACGATAGAGCACTCAAATATGCCAATTTATTGTTAATCTAGACATTTGTAGGGCAAATGCATCTGTTCTTGCTTTCTGATTTTGCCACGGCTAGTCCTCCACAAATGTTACCTTTATCTATTATTTTCATATGGTGAATATTAATCTTTGCCAACTGATCGGGGGACATAGACCTTGGCCTGCTCCTGTGTCTTTTAACAGCACCTGATTCTGCCAAACGCAGCAACGACAGGGAAACATTTCTCTGATGTGGAGATATGCATTGCAGCGCCTGCTAATATCTACAGTTCAAGCTGCAGTTAAAGACTTAGCACTGTAGGCTGCTAGAAAAGTTGGCACATCTGATAAGATCTGGCGGCTCCTCCAAACAACTTATTTATTAAGCATTCCTCTTGGCTTGCTTGCACAAAGCTTACACAGTGGTTAGAGTATATCCAGTCTTTATTGAGGTTTCATTCTGATTTGCTTACACATCTTCCCGTTTATCGCTTGTTTATCTCACAATCTTTAATACATTTCACTGTCACTTACCAAACTGCAAAAAGCCCACTTCTTTTAATAAGTGGATTTGTTGTGCTACAACAACAGAGCCTTTTGATCTACTTTGAATTGTGCAAACCTCATGTTCTGGTATGTCCCTCCTGATGTCTGAGTTTTTACTGGTGTCCTGATGGCCTTTGACTTCGATGTAGCGCAACAGACGTCGCTGTGAGAATTGCAACTTGAGCCTTCTCCAACTTTTCAAATAGCATTTGGGGCTGGAACAGCCTCAGAGGACCAGGACAGGATTGGCTTCATATGGCAGAAATTGAGGATTGTATGGGGGGAAGAGGAGATGTTTGATTGGTCAGAGGATGCAGACCAGTTACTAGATCCTACTTACTGACATTTGCTATTCCTTCCAGACATCACCTGCTCCAGGCCTCTGGATTTCGAAAATGGCCTATATGAGCCCCGCCAGAGGTCCTACAATGTAGGCCAGGAACTGAGGTTTGAGTGCTACCAGGGTTACACACTGCGGGGGTCACATAATCGCACCTGCCTCCCCAACGGGAAATGGAATGGAGAGACAACCATATGCGATGATGGAGGTGAGTTTAGCGTGCATTTACTGGCAGGCTCTGCCAGTTTCTCCTTTTGGGGAGAGAGGGGTTTCATTTTTCTTCGCTTCCGTCTTTCAATTCTATCCATCTGGCACCTTCTGTGTGGTTAGTCAAGACCTGAGTCACAATATGAAACCAAAGCAACTTGCACAAACTCTGCTCCTCTGCAAGCTGCGCTTGGTAAGGTAAACGCTTGCAAGAACATGAATCTCTAGATCGAGATCCTTGCAAAGAGTGCAACTTTGCTGCAGGTCACACTATTTTTCGCAAGAGGTCGACTGCAAATCTGTTTAAAAGCATTCAGCTGCTTTTAGCTTTTATAATATGGAACAGTGGCCTGGTGGCACTAGCTTACTTTGCTGCATGATGAATATGAGGATTCCTGAAATAACAGGCACTGTGAATAACTAGGGAAGGAGGAGTCTACATCTTTGGGAGAGTTTTGGGCATTGGCAGATAGCTGTTGCATGCATACAGCAGTTCCGAGACACAAAAACATGTTGTTGTTGTTGTTGTTTAGTCGTTTAGTCGTGTCCGACTCTTCGTGACCCCATGGACCAGAGCATGCCAGGCACTCCTGTCTTCCACTGCCTCCCGCAGTTTGGTCAAACTCATGCTGGTAGCTTCGAGAACTGTATCCAACCATCTCGTCCTCTGTTGTTCCCTTCTCCTTGTGCCCTCCATCTTTCCTAACATCAGGGTCTTTTCCAGGGAGTCTTCTCTTTTCATGAGGTGGCCAAAGTACTGGAGCCTCAGCTTCAGGATCTGTCCTTCCAGTGAGCACTCAGGGCTGATTTCCTTAAGAATGGATAGGTTTGATCTTCTTGCAGTCCATGGGACTCTCAAGAGTCTCCTCCAGCACCATAATCCAAAAGCATCAATTCTTTGGCGATCAGCCTTCTTTATGGTCCAGCTCTCTCTCACTTCCATACATCACTACTGGGGAAACCATAGCTTTAACTATACGGACCTTTGTTGGCAAGGTGATGTCTCTGTTTTTTAAGATGCTGTCTAGGTTTGTTATTGCTTTTCTCCCAAGAAGCAGGCGTCTTTTAATTTCGTGGCTGCTTTATAGCAACAGCTACATAACTGTGCTTCTGTTCTCCTACCTAGCGGGCCACTGCCCCAACCCTGGCATCCCCATTGGTGCCCAAAAAGATGGCACCCAATATCGAATTGAAGATCGAGTCCGCTACAGTTGTGACAGAGGACTCTCTTTTGTGGGATCCAAAGAGCGGATTTGCCAAGAATCAGGAGCCTGGAGTGGATCAGAACCGGAATGTAGAAGTGAGCTGGGGGAAACATACGTGGTCTGGAATTGGAGGTTAAATCCTGGAGGAGTGGACCAAGAACTGTGACCATGTTAGGGATGCCATACATCTGGAATTTCCTGGACAATGCCGGGATTTGGTTGCCGAAAGTCACATCCAGGCGGTATTTTCGTCAGCCGGTTTAAATGTCTGGGAAAACCTGGACGTATGGCAACCTATTGTGGAATTGTGGTTTTTCCCTGAATTTTTCAAAAAATTGCTCAGAAACTGGTATTTTGGGGGGAGATTTTGCAAAAGCACCACAAAACACCTCACCAACTTTGACCCAAAACAAAAGTTTCTACTTCCTGAAATATGGTAACCCAGGTTTATCCAAAAATAAATTATTACTGGGGAATAACCAGCTTTCGCTTCATTTTTGTTCATGCATTCAAGGTTGACATGGATAACATGTAATAGCCAGTCATGAATGGGCTTCAGGCTGATGTGCTCTGCCCTCCCTCTTACCCTCTTTCAAGTCTAATTTCCTTCCTCCCTTCCTGGTTTTAAACAAACTGTAGTTTACCATGAAACCCAAATCCAACAAACTGCAGTTTGCATCCACATCAGAACTGGAATCCCATTTCAAACTGTGTTTCTAGTTCCATTTTGCAAATGCAAGGGCATGATGTTTTGGGGTAACTATCAGTTGTCTGGGTGGCGCTGTGGGTTAAACCACAGAGCCTAGGACTTGCTGATCAGAAGGTCAGCGGTTTGAATCCCTGTAACGGGGTGAGCTCCCGTTGCTCGGTCACTGCTCCTGCCAGCCTAGCAGTTTGAAAGCACCTCAAAGTGCAAGTAGATAAATAGGTACCGCTCCAGCGAGAAGGTAAACGGCGTTTCTGTGCGCTGCTCTGGTTCACCAGAAGCGGCTTAGTCATGCTGGCCACATGACCCGGAAGCTGTACGCCGGCTCCCTTGGCCAATAAAGCGAGATGAGCGCCACAACCCCAGAGTCGGTCACGACTGGACCTAATGGTCAGGGGTCCCTTTACCTTTACCTTTACCTATCAGTTGTCTGATTCATGGGATGGGGTGGGGGGAAGCCAACCATATCTGGCGAGATCAGAGGCCCCCATCCTTTGACCTTCATCCTTTTCATCAAGTTTGCTCAAGCTGGCTTCAGAATCTCCTTGCGCGAACAAGTTCTTAACACTCCAGATTGCTAATTCCCTCTCTCCCCCTTTTCCTCCCCAGACCCTTTCACCTTTGACACTCCAGAAGAGGTCTCCTCCAAGTTCATCTCATCCCTCACTGAAGTGGTCGAGTCTGCAGATTCCAACAGAAATATTTGTAAGTTTCTGAGAGCAAAGTGGGGTTTTGGGCAAGGATACCCCTGGTCCAATTTGCAGGTGTGGGACAACCACATTGTGAGATGCTCCCCATTTTCCTGAGTGGTAAGATAACCCAGGAAAGTGCTACCAAATTTCCTCTGGAGCAAACAGCACTAGGAACATTGCTTATTTTTGAGATGGTACTCTTTCCTCTATAGTTTGATTAGGTGTGTTTGCAATGGTTTCTTTTTGACAAATATATAAGCTGGGTGTGAGCTGAGCGAAGGCAAACAGCAATACAGTCGTACCTCGGGTTACAGCCACTTCAGGTTGCGTTTTTTCGGGTTGCGGACCACCAAAACCCAGAAGTACCAGAATGGGTTGCTTCCGGGTTTCAGCGGTTGCGCTTTGCGCATGCGCAGAAGTGCTGAATCACAACCCTCACGGACACGGGTTGCGAACACTGTGGGTTGCGAACGTGCATCCTGCACAGCTCACGTTCGCAACCCGAGTGTCCACTGTACTCCTGTGAGGCAGAAGATCCCACCTAGGGAGTGTTGTAGAATTCAACCAAAAAGGGGAAATGGGAGCAGAAATTTTCAATGTTTACTTACTTATCCTATGCCCTGAACAGAGCTCAATCCAGCCAACATGATCATTGTTGTTGTTGTTGCTGCTGCTGCTACTGCTTTCAGTTTGGAAATGATACATAATTTATTTGGGGGTTTTCTCCACCTGTATTGTGTTTTCTTTGCATTGAAACAAATGGGGTGGAATAACAAAATCACAATGTAACTTACTTAATTGACACAACTGTGTAATTAATTACCTAAGTTACCTCATTTCTTCACGGTGGACAGGAAGAGGAGTTGCAGCTGAACAAAAACAGTGCTGTACATGGCAAATTCTTTCCCCCCTCTTTAATATTTCCCTGTACCTTTGCAAACCTTGGGAGTTATTCTTGGGTGTGGATGGTGTTGCCTGACCCACGTAAGCAGCAACCCTAATGTCTGAAGGCTTACTATCCACTTAAGTTCTACTCAAGAGTAGGCCCATTGCCTCTCTCACCACCAAAGGAACACAAGTGAACAGCAGAGAACCTGCACAAGCAACGCTGACACAAAAAAACCCACATATCATAGCTGTCAACTTTTCCCTTTTCTTGTGAGGAATCCTATTCGGAATAAGGGAATTTCCCTTTTAAAAAAAGGGAAACGTTGACAGCTATGCCACATATATTAAGTAAAATAGAAACATCACCACCTGACCCACCCCCACTCATCTTTTTCCCCCTCCACCTCTTCCCCCCTATTCTTCCTAATGTCTCAACAAATGAAACCGATTTGTTTAAAAAAAAATGTTACATGGGGGGGGAATACGAGAGAGAGATATTGCACATACCTTTGTAAATCAAGAAAATCTATAATAAAAATACATTTTAAAAAAAGAGTAGGTAAAGGTAAAGGGACCCCTGACTATTAGGTCCAGTCGTGGCCGACTCTGGGGTTGTGGCGCTCATCTCGCTTTACTGGCCGAGGGAGCCAGCGTACAGCTTCCGGGTCATGTGGCCAGCATGACTAAGCTGCTTCTGGCGAACCAGAGCAGCGCACGGAAACGCCGTTTACCTTCCCGCCGGAGCGGTACCTATTTATCTACTTGCACTTTGACGTGCTTTCGAACTGCTAGGTTGGCAGGAGCAGGGACTGAGCAACGGGAGCTTACCCCGTCGCGGGGATTCGAACCGCCGACCTTCTAATCGCTAAGTTCTAGGCTCTGTGGTTTAACCCACAGCGCCACCCGCGTCCTCCCCCCCCCCCCAAAAAAGACTAGGCCCATTGAAATCCATGAACCTAAGTTAGCAGTGTCTATTATCCTCAATGGATTCCCTCTGAGTAGGACCAAGACAGCTCAGAGGAAACAAGGGGGACGACCTGCAACAAAATGTAGTCTGGAGTGCTGTTGTTCAGGATTTCAGTTACTTGTTTCTATTCTCCCTCCCTGCCTTTCCAGTTTTCACACACACACACACACACACACACCTTGCATCAAACATTTCGCATCCCATGACCACTGAGCATGTTCAGTCCTCAGTGGGCTGTTTGGTTGGTTCCTTCCCACTATTTTTTTTGGGGGGGGAGGTTGCTAACCTTTGCTGATACCTCCCCTCTTGTGGCTCTTTCCTCCCCACAGCTGCTACAGGGAAGCGTAAAATCAAGATTGAGGTTGATGGCTCAATGAATATCTACATTGTCCTTGACGCCTCCCGGAGTATTGGTCAGCCAACATTTCGCAAAGCTCGGGATGCAATCATCAAGTTCATCGAGAAGGTGTGGTAGGCTGAGAAACTTTCTGTGTTCTCCCTTTCCCCAAGAAGAGCAGCATGGGATCAGTGTAGAAGTAGAGGTCTGCTGTAAAGCCCCTACTCTATTGACTAGGATCATCAGTGGAATAAAAAGTTGTCAGATCTGGGTGGAAACCTTGGTAGGGAGCAAAGCTGAATGGGAAGGAGGAAGGGAAGCAGGCTCCAGGCATCTAGGTTCTGAGTCTTGGAGAAGGAGCTGACAGTTAGTCCAAGGAGGCCAAAAGTCAGAGTAGGTGAGTGGTTCGTAACAGGGGGCTGAGTTCCAGGACAGAGGGCCCAGAAGAGGATATATAGTCAGTTGGAGAGAGGTTTGGAAGAGAGATTGTTACTGTTTTGTAGCAGCATTAGCACAATGGCAATTGCTCCAAGCACCTTAAAACTTGGTTAGATTTACATCTGCCCTCATCCACCTTTAAACAGACATTTCCCATGAAAATACTTAGGCTAGAATAAATCACAGAACTTAGCTTTGCAAATAAGTGAAGATTTTACTCACAGAGTTTGGTAGTTATAGCAAACAAGCCTACATCCGTTAGTAGTAAAAGTAAAGAAGAACAAGAGTTCCAAACAACTTAAAAAGAAAGAACTTGGTTTCCTTAAAAAATTATAATGCAGAAGATGCAGGCAGTGAAAATCTATTTTAGAGGGATTCATTTATTTGCAGGATCAGTTGAGCTGGGAGCCATGCTGCAGCTCCAGTGTTTTTTCCAGGAAAGGCCGAGGGAGAGAGAGGCAGATGCTTTCTCAAGAGACAATGCTCTTGTACTGAGGGGAGTAGCTTCTGAGGCTAGGGCTTTATAGGGCCAGGTGGGCAGGGATTGGCCATTGGCATCAGCTGACCAAGTAAGCCCTCAGACATGCTGCTAATGCAAGCTAGATGATGCTCTCGATGCACAAATTTTAGTCTGCTAGACTTGCTGTGGTAACAGAGATGGGGCAGGAAGGTAGACACTGGAATCTGACTATTGGGATTTCCAGGAGAAGATATCAGAATCCTGGCACCTTGCAAGCAGAACCCAACAGTTTGAGGAGGTGAAAAGAGTGAGAACCTAGTAATTTCCAGGTTTGGAAGGAATGCAACCCAAAGTAACAACCCCTAATCCTGTAATTTCTACACTGAGGTAGAAGATGGTTAACTTAGTTCATCCCTCCCTCTCCTGAAATGGTTTCTGGTTGTCCTCAAAGATGGAACTCACCACGAAAGCTGTCTGCCGACCTGAAGTGTGCAAAACAACAACAATATGTTACGTGAAACATATTCAATAAACACACAAGACGTAACCGGCTGTACTTTTGAATACTGTTCATGGTATCAAATTGTAGATTTCAGCAGCTTCTACTATGCTATAAGATCCACTGTCCTGTGATATCATATATGAGTTTGTACTACTGATGAGAGGGACACGGGTGGCGCTGTGGGTTAAACCACAGAGCCTAGGACTTGCCGATCAGAAGGTCGGCGGTTCGAATCCCCGTGACGGGGTGAGCTCCCGTTGCTCTGTCCCAGCTCCTGCCAACCTAGCAGTTCGAAAGCACGTCAAAGTGCAAGTAGATAAATAGGTACCGCTCCAGTGGAAAGGTAAATGGCGTTTCCGTGTGCTGCTCTGATTCGCCAGAAGCGGCTTTGTCAGCTGGCCACATGACCCGGAAGCTGTCTGTGGACAAACGCCGGCTCCCTCGGCCAATAAAGCGAGATGAGCGCCGCAACCCCAGAGTCGGTCACGACTGGACCTAATGGTCAGGGGTCCCTTTACCTTTACCTTTACTACTGATGGAGCCCAAGACGGCGAAACAAGGCTAATATTCCGGAAATCCTTGTCTTAGACTCTGTGAAAGGATTCTGTGGAACTGTAACAACCTTTCACGTGGATTGTTGGACTTTATGAACAGACAGGTAGAATAGACACTTAAACATATATGGACCTTATGCATGAACTGATTAGTGATCCACTGGGTCTTCTGCTTTTTTCCTTGAACTTAATGAGCTACGTCTGTTGAAATCTACAATCTGATACAACGAACAGTATACCTTATTTATTCAAAAGTATAGCTGGTTACGTCTTGTGTGTTTATTGACCTGAAGTGTACAGCTTGAAAAAATAATAATAATAACTATTGCCATGAAGGTTCCTCTTTCTCTTGACACTCTGTCCTCTCAATATAGATATCCAGCTATGACACTTTCCCTCGCTACGGCATCGTCACCTTTGCCACCCACAGCAAAGAGGTTTTGAGTACGACCAACCCAAAGAGCAACGATGCCTCCTGGGTGATTGAGCAGCTGGAGGCCCTGAAATATAATGGTAAGCTGCATTCCTGACCTCTGCTAGGGAGGTGGCTGGGGGCCTGGGCAAGAAGAAGAGTCTGGATTTGATATCCCGCTTTATCACTACCCAAAGAAGTCTCAAAGCGGCTCACATTCTCCCTTCCTCCCCCACAACAAACACTCTGTGAGGTGAGTGGGGCTGAGAGACTTCAGAGAAGTGTGACTGGCCCAAGGTCACCCAGCAGCTGCATGTGGAGGAGCGGAGACGCGAACCCGGTTCCCCAGATTACAAGACTACCGCTCTTAACCACTACACCACACTGGCCAATTCAAGGGAATTGGGGGGGTGTAAGTTTACTGTACCTTTGGGGGACAAATAGCAGTCTGGAGGGGGAATATTTGGCAAATGGCTCCAGACTGCTTCAGCATCCCACAACTGCTTTTCTATCAAAACAGAAGCAGCCTGTTTGACTGTAATTTGGCTCAGTTCACATTTAAAGGCAAACCTGTTTGGTTTGCGCTTCCCAGAAACACACACAAACCAAGGCACGGCCGCCCTTTGAAATTCATACTTCTCTAGGATAGCTCAGTTGGTAGAGCATAAGGTAAAGGGACCCCTGACCATTAGGTCCAGTCGTGGCTGACTCTGGGGTTGCGGCGCTCATCTTGCTTTATTGGCCGAGGGAGCCAGCGTACAGCTTCCAGGTCATGTGGCCAGCAGGACCAAGCTGCTTCTGGCAAACCAGAAACGCCGTCTACCTTCCCGCCGGAGCGGTACCTATTGATCTACTTGCACTTTGATGTGCTTTCAGACTGCTAGGTTGGCAGGAGCAGGGACCGAGCAACGGGAGCTCACCCCGTTGCGGGGATTCGAACTGCCGACCTTCTGATTGGCAAGTCCTAGGCTCTGTGGTTTAACCCCCAGCGCCACCCGTGTCCCTAGAGCATAAGACTCTTACGCATAAGAGTTGTGGTTTTGAGTCCTACATTGGACAAGGATTCCTGCATTGCATGGACTAGATGACCCTTGTGGTCCTTTCCAACTCTACAATTCTATAAATAATCTCTGAATTCTGCAATGCCGTTCTCAGGCCAAGTGGCGTGTACAATAGGTCATTTGCTAGGGCCAGTTTTGTGTATAAATGCATCTTTCTGCATGAAAACAATGTACGGCAATGCATTATACTGGGGAACACGGCTTTGCAAAGAGAAAGTATGAATTTTTAGGGGATTTTCCATGAAGTGATGCAGAAATGTGGAAATCTGAACTGAAGGCCTGGAAAAATGAGAAACCCAAATTGGCACATTTGCCCATCGCTAATTGTAGAGGCCTGTTTTTTCCCCCCCTACAAGGAAGCCCCTGAGGCCTACTGAGGCTTTCCTCAGCTATCCACCTAGTGGGTTGTTTGCCATGAGCTGAATCATTCTTCTTCTTCCTGCAGAACACAAGCTAAAGCCTGGAACCAACATTTACAAAGGTCTGGATGCTGTCTATAAGATGATGATCAACCAGCAAGAGGACCAACTGAGGGAGGGGTTGGATCCTGCTCCTATTGCCACCACCACCCGCCATGTTATCCTCCTCTTGACTGACGGTGAGACCGTAAGGAAGGGGGAATGTTACCTGCATCGCCACCTTTCCTCCTCCTTTTAAAAAGAATTATTAGAACAATGATTTCAGAAATCGCTTTGTTTATTTTGAATTTCTGTCCCATCCTTCCTCCCAAAGAAGCCCAGTTCCCAGCAAAAACATACATGATAAAATGTCTTTTAAAAACAGTTCCGGTACAGGTGCAAGCTGGGAAATACCTCTACTTAAAAGGCTTGCTGCCTTTCCTTCTTCTTTTTACCCATAATGGGTCCACAAAAAGTGCCTCTGAGCATGTGTGCTATTCTATTCCTAGGTGACTGCAACATGAGTGGATGGCAAGGGGGCGGGGGGGGGCTTACCCCAAATCCTGTCTTTGAGAAAATCTCTCTAGCCAGGGACCAATGTTTTTGGCCTGTTTTTAAAGGGTAAGGTAAGGGTCGCGGGTGGTGCTGTGGGTTAAACCACAGAGCCTAGGGCTTGCCAATCAGAAGGTCGGCGGTTTGAATCCCCGCGACGGGGTGAGCTCCCGTTGTTCGGTCCCTGCTCCTGCCAACCTAGCAGTTCGAAAGCACGTCAAAGTGCAAGTAGATAAATAGATACTGCTCTGGAGGGAAGGTAAACGGTGTTTCCGTGCGCTGCTCTGGTTTGCCAGAAGCGGCTTAGTCATGCTGGCCACATGACCCGGAAGCTGTACGCTGGCTCCCTCGGCCAATAAAGAGAGATGAGCGCCGCAACCCCAGAGTCGGTCACGACTGGACCTAATGGTCAGGGGTCCCTTTACCTTTACCTTTTAAGGGTAAGGTGTCCCCGATAATGTGCAAAGCATCTTTCCTCTCTGGAGAGACTGTTGGCCAAGACTCCCTTCAAAACGGTTCCAAACAATGGCATTTAGCAGAACATCCAGCTTAACAGGGACCCTCTTCCTCTGAGTACAGTGGTACCTCAGGTTACATACGCTTCAGGTTACATACGCTTCAGGTTACAGACTCCGCTAACCCCAAAATAGTGCTTCAGGTTAAGAACTTTGCTTCAGGTTGAGAACAGAAATCATGCTCCTGCGGCGCGGCAGCAGCAGGAGGCCCCATTAGCTAAAGTGGTTAAGAACAGTTTCAGGTTAAGTACAGACCTCCGGAACGAATTGTGGGCTTCCTAGGGGCCTGCCAGAAACACAAGACTGTTAAAAGTGGAGTTTTGTTTGCTCCAATGGGGCTCCCTTAATTATGGCCTTGTAGTCTTTCCCTCCAAAAGCTGGAGGGCATTCCAGTACAATCTCTTCTACGCTCACCAAATTCTCTCCCTTTCCCCTCGTCCCAGGAGACTACAACATGGGAGGGACCCCTGTTCCTGTCATTGGGAGAATCAAGGAGTTCCTCAATATTCCCGGCCAGCCTGCTCGTAATGACTTCTTGGGTAAGACACGTCCCGTCACAATGATGCATGCTGGGCTTTGTGGGGGTGGGGGTGGGGGCAGGAATAGTAAAGGGCAGCAATGACCTAGACCACCATTAGAGAATGGTATCATAGAATTCCAGAGTTGCGTGGCGAGTTCCTGCCTCCCCCCCAGTGGAAATAAAGACACATGACACAATTATTTAGGTTAATGGGCAAAAAATGGCCACAGTTTTATTGGTTACAGGTAATGAGTGGTATTGGCTTAGGCATTGGTCCTAACCGACTATCCGGCTTCAGCCTGCCTGCTTGAAGTCCGGGAAGGGTTAACCACCAGTAGGGGGAGTCTTGCTGATGCACATCAACTAGGAACTCCCCTGGGGTCACCGCTCGGGGGCGTGCCTTAGGCCCTCACCTCCATAAGCTTCGGACAGGGCCACACCCCCGGAATCCTTTATCGGACTACCCTTCAATATGCGGGGCAGGTGATGGCGCTTCCTCCCCTCTCTCATCTACATAACAATACCCTTACCAATGCCTAACTGCCAATGCCGAAGAAGTTGTGATGATTTGCTACGAGGTAGGCGAAAAACCATCAAGGGACGCGGGTGGCGCTGTGGGTTAAACCACAGAGCCTAGGACTTGCCAATCAGAAGATCGGCAAGTCAAATCCCCGTGACGGGGTGAGCTCCTTGCAAGTAGATAAATAGGTACCACTCTGGCGGGAAGGTAAACGGCGTTTCCGTGTGCTGCTCTGGTTCGCTAGAAGCTGCTTAGTTATGCTGGCCACATGACCTGGAAGCTGTACACCGGCTCCCTCGGCCAATAAAGCGAGATGAGCGCCTCAACCCCAGAGTCGGTCATGACTGGACCTAATAGTCAGGGGTCCCTTTACCTTTACCTAGGCGAAAAACCTAGCCAATTTGCCAAGTGGAAAAAATTCCTACCAGGCCCCTTAACAGCGACCAACCGAGGTCCATAGCAATGTCGGAAACCTAAAGGTCGGGAGGATGGGAAACCGGAGCAGCTGAAGCAGCCAAAAGAGGGAGATCCCCGGCCGCTCCAGCACTAAATAGCGCAGGCCACGCCCCCAGGCCAGCCGATTGGCTGGCCAGGTGATGACGCGGCCAGGGATTCCCTCAGTCGCGCGGAGGCTGAGAGCCAGCCCCCCGCGCACGTGGAGGGGGCATGAAGCCCACAACCCCACCTCCTCTCCAGCTCGGAAGTGGCTTTGTCCAACCTTGTCCAACCTCCTGCAATGGAGGAATCTTTTGCCCAAAGTGGGGCTGAAACCCACGACCCAGAGATTAATAAGAGTCTCATGCTCTACCGGCTGAGCCACTCACGGCTACTTTTCATCTTGACTCATTTTACCTTCCAAATCTACAATTCCAGGATATTTCATTCATGCTATCATATATCTTGCCTGTACATTAGCTTTGGTCATTCCCACTACTATCATTTAAGGTGATTTTTTTTTTGTCAAGCAAATGTTTAGGCACCAAATGTGGATGGCAAGCTGCATTTATCCTGTATACCATATAAAACAATATAATGTAATAATAATAATAATAGTTATTATTTATTTATTTATTTATTTATTCCCCAGCCACTCTGGGTGGCTTCCAAAAAAATATTTAAAAACTGTAATACACCAAACATTAAAAGCTTCCCTAAACAGGGCTGCCTTCAGATGTCTTCTAAAAGTCAGGTAGTTGTTTATCTCTTTGACATCTGGTGGGAGGGCATTCCACAGGGTGGGTGCCACTACCGAGAAGGCCCTCTGCCTGGTTCCCTGTAACTTGGGCTTCTCGCAGTGAGGGAACCGCCAGAAGGCCCTCGGTGCTGGACCTCAGTGTCCGGGTAGATCGATGGGTGGAGATGCTCCTTCAGATATACTGGACCAAGGCTGTATAACTGTGTGTGCATGTGTACACGTATGTACACACACACACACACACACACACACACACACACACACAGCATAACAGTTGGCATAAATCAATTCACGGTCTACAGCACCACAAAGAGGACAGGGCTGAAGAACACTGCTCTATGAATCCATGGAGCGACAACTCTTTGGCAAGACGTTATCTCTTTGACTTGTTACCATGTGTCCTTGGCTGCATATGCTGGTTTTCACATGCACAGGAGGAACAAATATTTTGCATCTGTAGTTCAGGGTCACAGTCCGCTACGGGATGAATTTATACGTTTGCCAAGGGGGATCAGAAGTCGTACTACGAAAAGGGCATAGAATGAAAGAGGCTGCCTTATTTCAGAGGTACTTCTTCCATGAACTACTGTGGCACAGGAAGGCCTTTTGCCCTCTGTCGCATGCTGGTTGTTGTTGGTTGTTTTCTTTTCTTCATGTGGGAGCCTTAGAAATTCTTGACTCACCCTTGCCTTCCACCCCCCACTTGTGCCTAGACGTTTACATCTTTGGTATTGGGTCCATGGTCGCTATAGAGAATGTGAACGCCTTGGCATCTCAGAAGCCGGGCGAAAGGCACGTCTTCAAGCTCAAAGACTACGATGAAGTACGGGATGCCTTTGAAGAAATGATTGGTAAGGCAAACCTCCATTTCAGGGATTTCGGCACTCCCCCAACTTGTCCTTCAACATTTCCTTTCCCAGAAATATCTGACTCTCAGGCTCCTCTCCATTCCTCGTCCTTGGTATCTATGACACAGCAAAGATAAGTTTCTCAAAGGCCAACTCAAATCCCCATTTTCCACATCAGCTTTTCTCTCATTGCAGAGGATACTGGGAAATGTTTGAGAGCACCTACACCACACTGGCCACTCCTACAGGTCTTAGTGCTACTCAGCTTGAGCAGAAAGTGCCATAATGGCCAGTAGCTTGAGTGGATTAGAACCATACATGAAAAACATTAGCCATGGAACTAGGGAACCTGGCCTTCCAGAAAAGCACCTGGCTGGCTGGCTGGCGTAGAAAGCAGCGTGTCAGGCCCTTGGCCTCATCCAGTACTTCTTCTGCCCTTTAGCAGCCCCTCAACACTGGCTCAATGTATAACCAAGAAGCTGGTGCTCTCAGCTGCCTCCTCCTGTCAGTCCCCACCACTTCCTTTCCCAGAGGAACCCAGGAGTCCTGACCCTTTTGCCTCCTTCTCAACTCACGAAGCCCCTCTCTCCTTTCCTGGGGAGCTGAAGGTGACACCGCTTTCTCTTTTCAGATGAGAGTCAGGTTCTGTCCATGTGTGGCTTGGCCAAGGAGCACACGCAAGCGAGAGACCAAGAGAAGAATCCCTGGCACGTCACAATCAGCATCCGGGTGAGAGAGGAACAAATGAGAAGGAGACAAGGGTTTTCTGCAGTAGCAATCTGATGGAGATGTGGTTCTTTAGTGACGGCCTGGTGGATATCTGGTTTGGGTTCATGGCTTCTGGAGCCTCTGAGTAGACAGAGAATGTTCGACCCAAGCATAGTGCCAGCTATGGCATCCCCTGGCTAAGGAGGGTCCTTGTGAAACTTGCTGGGTGGAAGTATGGTGTGGTTGCTTAGCAACCACAGGGCCTGCTTTTCAGCCATCTCCTGCACAGCACCTCTTTGTCCCAATCTACATACAGCAGACCCTCCAAGTGCCCCTATTTTCCAGGGACAGTCCCAGATTTAGACGCCGTCCTGATATCTGATTTGATCCTGGAATGTCCTGCTTTTCCTTAGGCCGTTCCTATTTTTGTTAGAGAAATGTTGGAGAGAATGGAATAGGATGTCCCTATTTTCATTGGAGAAATGTTGGAGCATATAGAATAAAAAGGTAAAGGACCCCTGACAGTTAACTCCAGTCGCAAACGACTCTGGGGTTGCGGCACTCATCTCGCTTTACTGTCCGAGGGAGCCGATGTTTGTCCACAGACAGTTTTTCTGGGTCATGTGGCCAGCATGACTAAGGCGCTTCTGGCAAAACCAGAGCAGCACACAGAAATGCCGTTTACCTTCCCCCCGGAGCGGTACCTATTTATCTATTTGCACTTTGACGTGCTTTCAAACTGCTAGGTTGGCAGGAGCTGGGACCGAGCAACGGGAGCTCACCCCGTCGCGGGGATTCGAACCACCGACCTTCCGATCGGCAAGCCCTAGGCTCAGTGGTTTAGACCACAGCACCACCCGCATCCCTCACAGCGCACCTATAGAATAGGATGTCCCTATTTTATCCGACAAGTGATGGAGGAGACGTCCCTATTTTCATCAGAGAAATGTTGTAGGGGATTCATACAGTATTATGCAGAATGAGGTAATAGGAAGAGATGGTAGAATTCTGGACTGTACCACTTCAGACAGAACAGGGGTGAGGAATCTGTGGCCTAACCACGAGGAAACAACATAATACCCAAGCCCTAGCCTTGTGCAAGATACAGTGTGGTGGTGGTGGGGGCACCAGGATTCATTTTCACCCCAGGTGGGCATGTAGAGCTGACGCTATCCAACAAGCCAAGTTTAGGATTGCCACATATTTTCCATGGGGCTGGTCCTCTGTTCCTTCAACTGCTGACAGAAATTCAGTAGCTATAGTTTCCTCATCCTTGACTCTCTGTCATAGCGATAAGGTCCACCTGTTGAATTTCGGCCTTCAATACTGCTTTTTCTTGGCTGGACTTGTGACGGCCTACTTGAAGTTGTCTACGGTTGCAATCCTATGCACCCTTCCAGAAAATATAAGCTCCATGGAACCCAGTGGGAGTTGCTTCCACATAAACATGCATAGGATTGTCTGCGTGTTGCTCTTTTTTATTACTATTATTTTATTTGCTCAACACACAACAAAAAAAGGACAAAATGAACCATAGTGAAAGCACCATCAGTTGCGCCTTACATAGAGAGTTAATATAAGTTTCATAATCAATCAACTGTAATGGTCTCTTCTTTATAAACCCAACTTCCCATCTACTCCATAAATCAAATTACCATTCTTTACTGCCCATACATGTTATTACTGTCATTTCACATCACGTTCAAAATATGTTAAATCAAACGATATTGCTTGAGTTATTCAAATCCTGCTACGGCTTCTAGGTCAGTATTATTAATTTTCAAATATATTTTAAATACTTCCCATTTTGAAATGAAATCTTTCCTTGGTTTGTTCTTTAATATTTCAGATAAACTATCTAATTCAGCATAATCGATCATTTTATGGACCTACTCTTGTCTTGAGGGAGCTTTTCCACTTTTCCACATTGTAGCTATAAGAACCCTCACCACCGTTGCGTAGAGAAAAATATCATTAATTTTTTTGGGAAAATCCATGTGAATAATACCCAGTAAATATGCCTCTGGCTTAATGTTAAAGGAGATTCTTAACATCATTTCGAGTTCCCAGAAAGTTTTGATTTTATTGCATTGCCACCATACATGATAGAAGGATCTGTCTTAGTGTTGCTCTTACCTGTCTGTTCTGCTTTCCTCTTTCAAATCAAAGCGTCCTGGAAGGGGATTTGAACACTGCAAAGGATCCCTTGTCTCCGAGTATTATGTCTTGACAGCAGCCCACTGCTTCACCATAGTTGACAAAGCTGAGGAGATCACAGTCACGTTAGGTAAGCCAAATTCTCTCAAGCTGGGAAGGACCAGAGTTCCCAGATAGGGGTGTGTGTGTGTGTGAGGGAAAACGTGATGTGGTTTCCTCTTGTGCCTTTTTAACAGGAACCAGGTGAGCAGAAAACAGAGGGCATGTTTTTGATCACTGAAATATACTCAGAGTCGAGAGTGGATTTCATGCTCTTTATTCAGCTCATAGTGGTGAGGAGGAATGAATGAATGTCCCCTCAAAGTATCTGCTTTATATGCATTATTTACACAATGGGCTGCACATGATTGGCTAATTCCGGAATTCTCCTGTAGGCCAATCAGGTTGTGGATTCACTTCCATCTGGAGCCGGATTGGGTAGCTCCTGCAGACCAATCATACTGCTGCATTCTGAATCCTATTGTTCTAGGACCAATCAGACTGCTGCATTCTGAATCCTATTGTTCTAGGACCAATCAGACTGCTGCATTTTGGATCCTATTCAACTCAGTACATAACAGTCACCTGGTGACAAGCACTGCAGGCAGCAGCATTTACTGGAACTCTGCATTTAATTCTCATCTTCTCCGTCTAGGTGAGAATCAGCGCTTCGAAGTGGCTGCAGTCCGATCGCACCCACTGTACCAGATTGGGAAGCTAAAAGATCGTGGAATCTCTGAATTCTATGATTATGATGTCGCCCTGGTGAAACTCGCCAAAAAAGTCATACCCTCTGTTTCTGCAAGGTGAGGTGGAGAGGGAGAGAAAATGTTGGTTTTCCATTGGGACTCTGATTAAAAGGGAGACACACACCCGTGCCCGAGTGAAATATCTGTGTTCTAGGCCCAAGCAACAAACAATCAGCAGCAAATAAGCCAAGTTTCAGCTGCAGTTTTACAAAACACAAGGGATATGAGATTGTAGTGTAGCATCTTGAAAATGTGTGGTTTTCAAATATTTAAAAGCAAGCTATTGCTCCTTAATAATAAGTAAATGATAGTAAGTTGTGGTCAGGCTGGATTCTGACACCTTTCATGGGTTAGAGACCTTTACATCTGCTGCTGTGGGCTCTAGTCTGCAAAATCCGCTCCACTTCCCAGTGGGGAGGAGTTGCGGTGGACTGCATGGCCACCCACTCCCCACCGGGGGCGGGGGACTTTGTTAGAGCCCGGCCAGCCAATCCGCTGGCCGGGGGGCATGGCCAGGGCCGTTTAAACGGAGGAGCGAGCCAGAGGACTTCCTCTTTGGCTCACTTCCTCAATCCCCCGCCCTCCCTCCCTATTTTGCAGGTTAGGCTATGGCCTTGCTATGGACTTTGGTTGGTCGCCTTGGTTGTCCGAGGGGCCTGGTAGGAATTTTTCCACTTGGCAAATTGGCGCTGGCCACTTGGTTTTCGCCTACCTCGTAGCAATCATCACAACTTTGTTAGGGTTGCGGTTAGGCATTGTTTGACCTTGTGATGGGGGAGGGGAGGTGTGGCCATCACCTGCCCCTCCATGCTTAAGGGTATTCCGTTAAAAGAATCCGGGGGTGTTGATCTTGTCCGAAGCCTGGGTCAGGGGCTAGGGCCATGACACGACCCCGACGGGAACACCAGGGGGAGCTTGAGTTGGTTCGCATCGACAGGGCTCCCTCTACCGGTGGCTTACCCTTACTGGACTTCCTGCGCATCGGGCAGGAGTCAGATATAGTCAGGTCCAATCAATGCCTAAGCCAATACCGCTCACTTTCTGTAATTTCAATAAAGTTGTGGCCAAAATGTGCCCAATAACATAACCCTAATATCTGTGTCCTTGTGTGAGTTATTTTCAACGAGGGGGTGGCTGCGGGGTCTCGACACGCAACTTGGGCCATAATAATTTTCTCGTTGTTAAGCTTCTGCAAACTTCCTTGCTGTTGTTATTTTGTAGTGAGGGAAATGCACTCTGCACAACCTTAGGAACACTTTTGTCTATTTGCACGTTATGGCTGATCCCCGACATTACCTGCCGATGTCCTATCATCTCTCTGAGGTCTGAGCTCTGGTGCAAATTAATCCTTGGTTGTGAAGTGGGGTATGTCCCACGACCGAGGCAGTGACCAAAGGCTTCCAATAGGAAGCTTTTACACTGCCCGAGTAAACTGCAAACAATCCTGATAAGTGGGAAAGTTCTACGTCCTTCTCCAGGGCCGGTGCTGGTGCTCTGCTAACTTCTCTCTGGTGATTCCTCTTCACAGGCCAATCTGCCTCCCCTGTACGGCTGGGACCACCCGGGCTCTGAGGAAGCCCCACCCACAGACCACCTGCAGGAATCATGGTAAGAAGAGCAGGCCTGTTTGCGTGAATGGCCAACCTACTGCAGAGGTACCACAGAGGTGGTACAAGCAGCAGACTTTGTGGCATGCCTAGCAAACAGGGTGTGAGCTGGCTTCTGGGGGACAGAGTCAGACCTACACTTGTCCCTCTTTCTCCAGCACTGCATTGTTGTCTCCCCTCCAGCTCAGTAGACTAGAGCCAAACCCATCCTAAAAACTCAGGGTTGTGTGTGCACACTTATAATGTACAGTGGTGCCCCGCAAGACGAATGCCTCGCAAGACGAAAAACCCGCTAGACGAAAGGGTTTTCCGTTTTTGAGTTGCTTCGCAAGACGAATTTCCCTATGGGCTTGCTTCACAAGACGAAAACGTCTTGCGAGTCTTGCGATTTTTTTCGCTCCCCCCCCCTTTTTCTAAGCCGCTAAGCCGCTAATAGCCTTTTAGCCGCTAAGCCGCTAAGCCTTTAATAGCCGCTAAACCGCTAATAGCGCTAATCCGCTAAGCCGCTAATAGGGTTGCTTCGCAAGACGGAAAAAACCGCTAGACGAAGAGACTCGCGGAACGGATTATTTTCGTCTTGCGAGGCACCACTGTAGTGTGGTACACACAGCAGAAGTGACCTGGAAACTGCAACTAATCCAGAATGCGGCAGCTAGACTGGTGACTGGGAGCAGCCGCTGAGACCACATAACACCGGTCCTGAAAGACCTACATTGGCTCCCAGTACGTTTCCGAGCACAATTCAAAGTGTGGGTGCTGACCTTTAAAGCCCTAAATGGCCTCGGTCCAGTATACCTGAAGGAGCCTCTCCACCCCCATCGTTCTGCCCGGACACTGAGGTCCAGTGCTGAGGGCCTTCTGGCGGTTCCCTCACTGCAAGAAGTGAGATTACAGGGAACCAGGCAGAGGGCCTTCTCGGTAGTGGCGCCCGCCCTGTGGAATGCCCTCCCATCAGTTGTCAAGGAAATAAACATCTGAAGGCAGCCCTGTATAGGAAAGTTTTTAATGTTTTATGGTTTATTGTATTTTAATATTCTGTTCTGAACTGCCCAGAGTGGCTGGGCAACCCAGCCACATGGGTGGGGTATAAATTATTACAGTGGTACCTCAGGTTACATACGCTTTAAGTTACATACGCCTCAGGTTTCAGACTCCGCTAACCCAGAAATAGTGCTTCAGGTTAAGAACTTTGCTTCAGGATGAGAACAGAAATCGTGCTCCGACGGTGCGGTGACAGCAGCAGGCCCCATTAGCTAAAGTGTTGCTTCAGGTTAAGAACAGTTTCAGGTTAAGAACGGACCTTCAGAACGAATTAAGTACTTACCTCGGGTTAAGTACTTAATTTGTTCTGGAGGTCCTTTCTTAACCTGAAACTGTTCTTAACCTGAGGTACCACTTTAGCTAATAGGGCCTCCTACTGCTGCTGCGCTATTTCTGTTCTCATCCTGAAGCAAAGTTCTTAACCCGAGGTACTATTTCTGGGTTAGCAGAATCTGTAACCTGAAGCATATGTAACCTGAAGCATATGTAACCCGAGGTACCACTATATTATTATTATTATTATTATTATTATTATTATTATTATTATATTCTGTCTCATCCTTGATTTGCCTGGACTTGTGGCAGACTTGCCCCAAAGGTTGGCCACCCATGATCTTGACCCTTGCCGGGTTCTCTCTCTTTTTCCCCTTTCCCCCACCCACAGTTTCTAGCCTTCTCAGTATACCTCCATCATGTTAAGAGGAGCCCCGCTGGATCAAGCCCCCGGGCCCATCTTCTCCTCTTTCAACAGCAGGACCCAACCTCTTTGTGCTCTTTTATTTCCCCAGAGGAATTGCTATTGACCATTGGAAACGTCCCGTCGTTTTTTGTGACCGACTGTAAGCACGAGGACGTACAGGCCAAGGGGCTGTCTCGCAAGACAGTGAAAATCAGGAATAGTGAAAAGGTGAGAAGGGAGAACTGCGCCAGGATACCCCAGTACCTACACCAGTGTGGTGTAGTGGTTAAGAGCGGTAGTCACGTAATCTGGGGAACCGGGTTCGCGTCTCCGCTCCTCCACATGCAGCTGCTGGGTGACCTTGGGCCAGTCACACTTCTGTGAAGTCTCTCAGCCCCACTCACCTCACAGAGTGTTTGTTGTGGGGGAGGAAGGGAAAGGAGAATGTGAGCCGCTTTGAGACTCCTTAAAGGGAGTGAAAGGCGGGATATCAAATCCAAACTCTTCTTCTTCTTCTTCTTCTTTTTGACTCGGGGACCACTAGCAATATTCAGGCGTCTTATAAAAAATATGCAAGAGCAAGAACCCAAGTGATGACTCTCATTTATCCTCAGGACAGAGGTAGCCAATGTTGTCCTCTCCAGACCTTGCTGGAGTCCCAACTCCCATCGGCTGGCATAATGGTCGGATGGTTGGAGTTGTGGTCCGTCAACATCAGGAAGCCACCAGATTGGCCACTCCTGCTGTAAGACTCTCCACTTCTGCCATGTGGAATTGCCTCCCTGGAGAGACTCATTGCCGCTTGCCTGTTTTATCTCAACAGGCTTCCTCTGGTTGCAAATTTTAATCGCTGCTGGTTTGCTACGCTTTGTTATTTTAGCCTTGAGTATGGATGTTTTTCTGGGACGCAGGTGGCGCTGTGGGTTAAACCACAGAACCTAGGACTTGCTGATCAGAAGGTCGGCAGTTCGAATCCCCGCGATGGGGTGAGCTCCCGTTTCTCAGTCCCTGCTCCTGCCAACCTAGCAGTTCATGGACCTGCTCCTGCCAACTTAGTCCATGCAATGCAGGAATCCTTGTCCAATGTAGGACTCAAACCCACAACTCTGAGTCTTATGCATAAGAGTCTTATGCTCTAGGGACACGGGTGGCGCTGTGGGTTAAACCACAGAGCCTAGGACTTGCTGATCAGAAGGTGGGCAGTTCGAATCCCCGCGACAGGGTGAGCTCCCATTTCTCGGTCCCTGCTCCTGCCAACCTAGCAGTTCGAAAGCACGTCAAAGTGCAAGTAGATAAATAGGTACCGCTGTGGCGGGAAGGTAAACGGCGTTTCCGTGCGCTGCTTGGTTCGCCAGAAGCAGCTTAGACATGCTGGCCACATGACCCAGAAGCTGTACGCCGGCTCCCTCGGCCAACCCCAGAATCGTCCACAACTGGACCTAATGGTCAGGGGTCCCTTTACCTTTACCTTTATGGATGTTTTTGTTGATATTTTTGCTCGGCAAAAAAAGCAAAAAAGCAGCGCTGAGCTAGAGCATTTTAAAGCACAGACCCGTGCCTTGAAACACAAAAAGGATTAATGGACTATGCTGAACTGGATAAGATGACAGGAAGGATTTGAAACCGGAGGGATCTCAGAAGACTGGAGTAAATATGTGAACTATTTGAAAAGCAACTGTAATCAACAGATTACGCTAGCAGGATTGCAATAAGTTTTGTAAGGAGGACTATGCGAAATATTGCAGAGAAAATTTAGGAATAGAAATTATTCGTTAAGGATTATTAAAAAGTAATAGTGAAATTAATGAAATGCAGATTATTAAAAAGTAATAGTGAAATTACTGAAATGCAGGCTTCGGGATGCAGGCAGCTCTGCGCAAGCCTAGGAAGCCCGGCGCGACTTCCCGTCGGGCTCCCACGGCTTGCGGATAGCTTCCTGAAGCCTGGAGAGCGAGAGGGGTCGGTGCGCACTGACCACTCTCGCTCTCCAGGCTTCAGCGAAAGCCTGCATTCCCCCCATAGGACACACACACATTTCCCCTTCATTTTTGGAGGGGGAAACGTGTGTCCTATAGGGCGAAAAATACGGTATGTGACGACAGGTGCACGAATGTTGTTAGCCCAGGGATGGAAAGAAGATAAAGTTCCTACTAGAGAAGAATGGCTAATTAAATTGTTGGACTATGCCGAAATGGCAGAACTGACCGGAAAGCTCAGGAACTAGGAAGAGCAAAACTTTAATAAGGAATGGGAAAAACTTTAAAATTTACCTTGATGACTACTGTAAGCAGTTGAAAACACTAGCAAGACTGCAATAACGCTTGTAAATGTAACAAGAACTATGGACATCATGGAGTTATAAAAAACTTGATTATTGAAAAAAGATGCAGTAGAAATAAGAAGTAATAATAAACTTTCACTTATACCCCGCCCTTCCCGGTTCCGAAAACCGGGCTCAGGGCGGCTAACAACAAATTTAAAACACTTAATTGTAAAAGCAGCATAAAATACAGTATAAAAACATGAATAACAATAAAATTCAAAGTTCAGAAATCAATTTGGGGAAAATCCATCTAATAAGCATTAGATAATCACCAGGTCTAGCTGGTTGAATTGGTCCTACTTGGTCTAGCGAAGAGGTCAGGGGAGAATTAGCTGTGGGGTCTCAGAGTGGGTGATCTTCATAAAAGGGGAGGGGGGGAAGAGAAGGGAAATAAAAGATCAGGCTGAATGCAAATTAAAGGCCAGGCGGAATAGCTCTGTCTTACAGGCCCGACAGAAGGAGGTTAAATCCTGAAGGGCCCTAGTCTCATGGGACAGAGCATTCCACCAGGTCGGAGCCATCACTGAAAAGGCCCTGGCCCTGGTGGAGGATAGTCTGACTTCCTTAGGGCCTGGGACCTCTAAACTATGGTTATTCATGGACCTTAAGGTCAACTGCAGGGCATACCAGGGGAGGCAGTCCCGTAAATACGAGGTAGAAAAGGTTTAACAGCAGAATGCATGGAGTGGAAAGTGGGAAGTCCAGAGATTTGGAGGAATCTTATAACTGTGGATGTGTTGTGGTATTATTTTAATTTTAAATTTGTAAAACCAAATAATTTTTATTATTTTTTTGGTGGGGGAAAATGTGGATAAGCCCTGCTAGCAGTAAACCCACCTTTCCTCCTCTCCCCTCAGAAAATTGGCTGCGAAGCAGACGCCAAGAAAGCCTCCCAGTACGTAAACGTCACGGACGTCTCCCAGGTGGTGACTGAACGCTTCTTATGCACAGGGGGCGCTGACCCTGAAGTGGACCCCAACACTTGCAAAGGTGAGGAACAGCACCTCCTCCTAGGACACCCCAGGAACCACAGCCAGGGCTGCCTTTGCGGACTTGCTTCAAGTTTCACATTAAGGCTGCGTTCGCAGAAAAACGTGAATTGCTTTTAGGGGGACAGTTCAGGACTTGAACGTGCTTGCTTCTTTCCCCAGAGAGTAAAGTCCAGTGAGGATACCCCTCTAGTTGTCTGGGCTCTGCTTCTTCTTGCAGAAGTCTTCTTCTTTGGCGATCATAGAATCATAGAGTTGGAAGAGACCACAAGGGCCATCGAGTCCAACCCCCTGCCAAGCAGGAAACACCATCAGAGCACTCCTGACATATGGTTGTCAAGCCTCTGCTTAAAGACCTCCAAAGAAGGAGACTCCACCACACTCCTTGGCAGCAAATTCCACTGTCAAACAGCTCTTACTGTCAGGAAGTTCTTCCTAATGTTTAGGTGGAATCTTCTTTCTTGTAGTTTGGATCCATTGCTCCATGTCCGCTTCTCTGGAGCAGCAGAAAACAACCTTTCTCCCTCCTCTATGTGACATCCTTTTATATATTTGAACATGGCTATCATATCACCCCTTAACCTCCTCTTCTCCAGGCTAAACATGCCCAGCTCCCTTAGCCGTTCCTCATAAGGCATCGTTTCCAGGCCTTTGACCATTTTGGTTGCCCTCCTCTGGACACGTTCCAGTTTGTCAGTGTCCTTCATAGCCGAGTAAGATTGTCTTCCATAAACACGTTTTAACAATGAGTCCATAAGTGACTGTGAAGGCCAATTCTGGATCCACACGTCCTTCCACAGTGGGGACATTGGTTTCCGGGTGGGAGCTGATCACGGTGTGGATTTGCCAAGCATGTCTTCCTCTTAGCACGTTTCTCCCTTGCGTCCTGAGTTCGAGTGTCTTCAAAGCCCGTGACCCCTTTGGTAAAGGCTGTACTTCAATTGGAGCGCTCGCAGGCCAGTGTTTCACGGTTGTCAGTGTTTATACTACTTTTTTTTTTAGATTTGCCTTGAGTCTTTGAACCTCTTTTGTTGACCACCAGCGTTACACTTTCCATTTTTAAGTTTGGAATAGAGTAGTTACTTTGGAAGATGATAATCAGCCATCTGCACAACATGACCAGTCCAACGAAGTTGATGTTGAAGAATCATTGCTTTGACACTGGTGATCTTTCCTTCTTCCAGTACACTAGCATTAGTCTTCCCAGGCGATGTGTAAAACTTTTCATAGACACCGTTGGTGGTCTTGCGGAAGCAGACAGCTGCCCATGTATGTGTTGGGAGAAGCTGCCCCATTGCCCGCGTTGAAGTAAGACCACATATCTAAAGCAGCGTGGCATCATTTAACACATTGGTGGCTTCTCCGGAACGCAAAGGGTGCTGAGAGTTGCAAGGAATCCTGTGTTCTCCTCAGAGCGCTAAAATTCTCACTGGTTTAAGTCAATCCTTTTTCCCAGTCACCCAGCGTGGCTGGGGTAACCCAGTCAGATGAACAGCATATAAATAATAAATTATTATACTGTGGTAATAATAATAATAATAATAATAATTTATTATTTATACCCCGCCCATCTGGCTGGGCTTCCCCAGCCACTCTGGGCGGCTTCCAAAAGAAGATTAAAATACTGTGATACCTCAGGTTAAGAACGTAATTTGTTCTGGAGGTCCGTTCTTAACCTGAAACTGTTCTTAACCTGAAGCACCACTTTAGCTAATGGGGCCTCCCGCTGCCGCCGCACGATTTCTGTTCCCACCCTGAAGCAAAGTTCTTAACCTGAGGTACTATTTCTGGGTTAGCGGAGTCTGTAACCTGAAGCGTCTGGAACCCGAGGTACCACTGTATTATTATTCCCAGGGGACTCTGGGAATTGTAGCTCCGGGAGGGGAGTAGAGGGTCTCCTTAACTACAGTCCCCTCATTGAGTAGAACTGGAACTCTGGTACATGTATATAGCTTCAGACTTGAACATCACACACTCTCTGATAATTCCCTTTCCTTTTGCTTCCAGGTGACTCTGGTGGTCCCCTCATCATTCCTAAAAGGCAACGTTATATCCAGGTAAGCGTGGACTCCAACTGGCACCAGGTTTCTCTGCTGTACCCCAAGCCATGCCACCGGTTCCAAATGACTTGCCAGTTCCTGGTGTTCTTTATAGGCAGGGCTTTGTGTTCCCCAATTCTACAGCTGCACCACACAAATGCGGCATGGGGGGGCAGCAGAAAAGTAATCGCAAGGCTTGGTTCTCTTTGATAGCACACTCTGAAGGTCAAAGCAAGCTGCACATTCAGCTGTTTCACTTTATCCCATTAGTAGCCTTCCCTTTCTCCCAAAGGAACCCGCTGACGCCAAAGCAGTTAAAAGGCCGAAAAACAATTCCAATACAGATACAGAGCAGCAAAGATCTTTGCTCAGAAGGCTTTCAGTATGTGCTGAAAAGACAAGAGACAGCTCCTGTCTAATACCGTACTGGCCCAAATATAAGTCACACTTTTTTTCAAATTCCGACTGTGACAAGTTAAAGTGCGGCTTATATTTGTGGATATTTCGCCCTTCCCATAGCAAGAATCTCATGATGTTTTCAGAAAGGAGGGGGCGGAATCTGCTCATTGCTTCTTCCGCTCCAGACTGACTCTGTGGGAGTCTGAGTGTTATCTGTGTAGAGATAAGATGACTGCTTAACGATCTAACACTCACGCAGTCCAGAAGCCTCCTTTAGCTTTAGTTTATCGTGTATTTTAGTTTGCAGTAGCTGTAAAAGAATAAAGAAGTTAAGCTGTCATTCGTGTAATTCAGAATCTGCTGTGCTCTGCTGACTTTGGCGCTGACTTTTGTGCTCACAGCTCAAAGTTGTGAGTCCGTTGCACTTTGACCTGCTCTCCCGCAGTGGAAGGTCTCTGGAAGTGCTTCCCAGCTCACCTGGCCCAGTCGGGGCAGAAGAGGTTGAGCCCAGTCGTTGGCACCGGCTCAAAGGCGAAGCTGACGATATTCGCAACGTTACAAAAAGCCCAATATTGCTGCTGAGACATACAGTGAACCCCCCTCTTAACTCCTGCTGGAGCCCTGGCAAGTGGGGGGCCGCTGGTGCTGCCACTTCACACTTCCTGCTGTGGTCCTCCTCTGTTGTTGTTGGGGGGGTTCCCGCCTGCTGCCGAGAGCGGCGGGACAGCGCCACCAGGGGCTGCCACGGTGGCGCTGCCATGCGATCCCCCTCTGCCTGCCTCGCCACTGTTAATGGAGTGGGGGGCACCCGTCTGGCGCAGTGTGAGGCGAGCTATGCGCCCCCTGCAGAATGTCTCTTCTTGCCCAGCCACTGTTAGGGAGCAGGGGGGGTGCGCCCACCTGGTGGGGGGGAACAGGAGGTTGCGGTGGCAGGTATTGCGTTTTTTTCTCTCCCCCCCCCCTTGAATTTTAAAGATGCGGCTTATATTCAGGCCAATACAGTGGTACCTCAGGTTAAGAACTTAATTCGTTCTGGAGGTCCGTTCTTAACCTGAAACCGTTCTTAACCTGAGGTACCACATTAGCTAATGGGGCCTCTGGCTGCCGCCGCACGATTTCTGTTCTCATCCTGAGGTAAATTTCTTAACCCGAGGTACTTTTTCTGGGTTAGCGGAGTCTGTAACCTGAAGCGTCTGTAACCCGAGGTACCACTGTACGGTATGCCTGGTAGTCTCACTCCAGCCTCTTCTTTTTTCCCCCCCTGCAGGTGGGCGTGATCAGCTGGGGCGTGGTTGACGTTTGTAGAAACAGGAAACTGCCTGTCTGCGAAACTGGCCGCAATCGCCACGAGGGGTTTCCTGCCCATGCCAGGGATTTTCACATCAACCTCTTCAAGGTCTTGCCTTGGCTCAGGGAAGAGCTCCGGGACGAAGGACTGGATTTCCTGTAGACTCTTCTCCCCGATTCCCACCCCCCCCTCCACCTCGCACCTGGGGTGGTTTGTGTAAATAGAACGCGTATCTTGAAATCCTGTAAAGTGAATGCAGTTTTAACAATTGTATATTAAATTCCATTGTGCGAAGAAAAAGGATAAATAGCTCTCTTCTGTGATACTGCTGTCTTTCGGATAGCTGTGAGTATTTCACCCCAGTTACGAGTTTATATCCGATTAGACTTCAGCAATCTCACAATCCCAAGCTTCTATTTTCCCTCCCCCTTTCTCAAATAAGTTTTTAGATCAAACAAAGAGATGAAATTGAAGACATCAAAACATGTTGTTTTTCAAAAAAAGAGACACCAATGTGCCACAGGAACTCTTCCCTCATACCAAACCACTGATAGGGTCTGTCCTACATAAATCTGCCTAATAATCTTTGAGCATCATCTAAGATGCGGCCATCACAATTGTTCTCTTACTACACCTTGCCTTCCTGATTCCGTGGCCAGGTGCATTATAGAACAAGTCTTTCCGCCACGGGCTCAGGTGCATGTTGAGGTACAGACTTGGAGAGAAGCGATATGGTGCTTTTTCGAAGACACAGCCAATGTTTATTTGCACATCTTAACAACAGCAACAAAAAGCAAACATTTAAGAAACACCCCACCGCTCGAAAAGGGGATTGTCCCACAGGCCTCAGAAGATGTCTTCGTTGTAAACGACCTGGGATCGCTTGTCCCGGTGAGAGCCCTTGATGCTATTCTTCACAGCTGGAAAAGAGAGAGAGGGGAGGGACATCTAGGATCACAGATCACAACAAGGCAAAGGTGACCAGCTTCTCTCACACTACCCAGCTGAACCTCTGAAGACGATAAAAGAAGCAGATTCTGGGGCAACTGGTGGTGGACTCCCAGGCCCCAAAACCCTTTTAAGCGAGTGGGATATATTATTGGCAGACTGAAAGTTGCTGGTTGCTATTACTAGCACACACTTCTCTGGGAATCTGACCCCACTTACCTCTCCGATTCCTCTCATCAAAACATGGGAGCTTGGGAGATCCCTGAGTTCCATATCCCCCACTACCAACACTCAAACCACTTCCCATCGTCTTGGAACTTGGTTCCTGCCTCCCCATTCCAGACCCCTCTCCTCCGGCACTTACCCAAAGACCCCCACACCGATTTGCCGGTGGCTGCATCCAGCATGGGCTGCTTGCGGGCAATGCTGACTTTCAGCTGGACATCTTCCACCACCTTTCCGTTGAGCTGTTAAGGAGGCAAGGGGATGGGGTGCCTTAATCCATTTCTACGGAAATTGCTCCATGGCCCAGAGAGCCCTGAAGCACCTTAAAGAGCAATAGAACCAAAAAGTCGGCCTCATCTTTGCCTTCTGCCCCTCCTCCTCCCCTGCCTCCAAGTCTTGCCCGCTCTCTGTCACAACCTCTTCCTGCTCACTAAACCCTGTTGCCTCTTCTGCTCCCAACACCTCCTCCTGCCAGTACTCTCTCTCTTCTCCCTCTAACCACGTGTCGTTGACTCACCACCGAACCCCAGGCTCTGAGCCTACGCTGTCTCCCGTCACTCCTCTGCATCCAGGGCAGACTCACGAAAACCCATGGACTTAATTCTAATGACTAATGTTGGGTATCACCCCATTCCTGCTTTTTCCTAGGCTCATTTCTAATAATAATAAGAATATTTCTAATTTATTATTTATACCCCGCCCATCTGGCTGGGCTTCCCCAGCCACTCTGGGCGGCTTCCAACAAAATATTAAAATACCGTGATGCATCAAACATTAAAAGCTTCGCTAAACAGGGCTGCCTTCAGATGTCTTCTAAAAGTCCGGTAGTTGTTCTCTTTGACATCTGGTGGGAGGGCGTTCCACAGGGCAGGCGCCACTACCGAGAAGGCCTCTGCCTGGTTCCCTGTAACTTGACTTCTCGCAGTGAGGGAACCGCCAGAAGGCCCTCGGCGCTGGACATTTCAGGCAACTCAGAGGGGAAAAGCAGTGGCAGTTACCTCAGCAATGGCTTGGTCCGCAGACTCCATCTTCTCATAAGTGACAAAAGCACAGCTGAGGAGGGAGAGAGTAGAGGGTTAACGGCTGATCTCTGGAAAAAGGCATTGTCTTCTTGGCTGTCTTACCTTACCAGCAGTGTTAGAAACTCAAATATGTAAGCTAGGCACCAAATGGCTCCTTTAACCAAGGTTGCGGTCACTGAAACGGAATGCCTAGCTGCCATTTTTTGGCAGGACAGCTCTAACGTCTTTATTTTTCAAATGACAGACGTGACTGTGATTCTCAGTTACACCTACGGTTAGTTCAGATGACAATCTTGATCTAGGCTGAGCTTTGAGAACTTAAAGAAGATTCACTTTATCCAGGGACAGTGCACATATATATTCCTACCTATTTTTCTTAATGGTGACAGCAGTAGTTTTGGCAGGACAGGGGGTGGGCTGGTGTGGGGGACTCCCTGGTCCTGAATGGGGTAACTGTGCCCCTGAAGGACCAGGTGCGCCGCCTGGGAGTCATTCTGGACTCACAGCTGTCCATGGAGGCGCAGGTCAACTCTGTGTCCAGGGCAGCTGTCTACCAGCTCCATCTGAGACCCTACCTGCCTGCGCACTATCTCACCAGAGTGAGGCATGCTCTAGTTATCTCCCACTTGGACTACTGCAATGCGCTCTACGTAGGGCTACCTTTGAAGGCAACCCGGAAACTGCAACTAATCCAGAATGCGGCAGCTAGACTGGTGACTGGGAGTGGCCGCTGAGACCATATAACACCGGTCCTGAAAGATCTACACTGGCTCCCAGTACGTTTCCGAGCACAATCCAAAGTGTTGGTGCTGACCTTTAAAGCCCTAAATGGCATCGTCCTTGTCTACATGAAGGAGTGTCGGCAGCCCCATCATTCAGCCACTGAGGTCCAGCTCCAAGGACCTTCTGGCAGTTCCTTCACTGCGAGAAGTGAGGTTACAGCAAACCAGGCAGACTGCCTTCTCGGTAGTGGCACTCACCCTGGGGAACGCCCTCCCATCAGATGTCAAGGAAATAAACTACTATCTGACTTTTAGAAGACATCTGAAGGCAGCCCTGTATAGGGAAGTTTTTAATGTTTTATGGTGTTTTAATATTCTGCTGGGAGCTGCCCAAAGTGGCTGGGGAAACCTGGCCAGATGGGCGGGGTATAAATAATAAATTATTATTATTATTATTATTATTATTATTACAGTGGTGCCTCGCAAGACGAAATTAATCCGTTCCGCGAGTCTCTTTGTCTTGCGGTTTTTTCGTCTTGCGAAGCACGGCTATTAGCGGCTTAGCGGCTATTAGCGGCTTAGCGGCTATTAACGGCTTAGCAGCTTTAAGAAAAAGGAAACAAACTCGCAAGAACTCGCAAGACGTTTCGTCTTGTGAAGCAAGCCCATAGGGAAATTCGTCTTGCAGAACGACTCAAAAAACGCAAAACGCTTTCGTCTAGCGTGTTTTTCGTCTTGCGAGGCGTTCGTCTTGCGGGGCACCACTGTATTATTAATCATTCATAACGTAAGAATATTCTTCACAACCATGAGCAGGGCAGTGAGGTGGGGCAAGTGAAGATAAGCAACAACAATTACCGTATTTTTCACTCTATAAGACACACTTTTTCCCTCCTAAAAAGTAAGGGGAAATGTGTGTGCGTCTTATGGAGCGAATGCAGGCTGCGCAACGCCTCTTGAGCGCAGCCGGAGTGCTCCTCCTGCCCTGAAGAGGCTTGGCACGCTATCCCAGAAGCCAGAACAGCAAGAGGGATCGCTGTTTTCGCTGTGCAGCGATCCCTCTTGCTGTTCTGACTTTGCTTTGCTGGAGAGCCGCTGTGCAGAGACGGAAAGCTGTGCAGCGCCCCTTCAGCAAAGTGGGAGACGAAACGGAGCCCTTTCCATTTCTCCTCCCGCTTCGCTGAAGGGGCTCTGCGCAGAGAGGGAGAGAATATTTTTTTTCTTGTTCTCTTCTTCTAAAACTAGGTGCGTCTTATGGAGCAAAAAATACGGTAAGTAGAATGTTGATCGCTGCTCCTGCACACAGAAAAGGCATTTTGGCTCCTGAAATTCATTGATACTGATACAGGATGTGGCATCAGTGCGAGAAAACAGTCCAGATCCAATGTTTCCCAGGAATGCAACTCCAGATGGTGGAGATGTCAGGCGCCAGCCTACCTGGTAATGCCAGGGATTGAACATGCAACCTTCTGCATGCAAAGCACTGCTCTGCCCCCAATATATTATTATTATTAGTAGTAGTAGTTGTAGTGGTAGTAGTACCCTCCCCATCTAACTGGGTTGTTCCAGTCCCCCTGGGTGGCTTTCCTGGTGCATGTCCATATGGGAGTGAGGTGTCGTTTGCATGTTTTCCCCTGTGGATCTGGCCCAAGCTTTGCCTCTTGGGCCAACCCTGCCTTCCTTCCCACCACTCACTTGCGGGGATTGTCCATGGAGAGATCAATGATGTTCCCGAAGGCCGAGAAAGCGGTGCGCAGCATGCTCTGCTTCATGTCCGCCCCGTAGACGTACACCGTGTTCCCTTTGCGCGGAGCACGTCGGTCTGGGAAAGAATCTGAACCTGGGTAAGAAAAGGAAGATTGACAGCTCAGAAAACATTCCTGTCGCCCCAAGGCCCTCTTAAACCTAGCCGGATGCCAAAAACCCTTTGAAACCTTGCCTACCCTTCCTGAGGACTCTATGTATCCTAGTTCACAACCAGCTCACGTGATACAGTGGTACCTCAGGTTACAGATGCTTCAGGTTACAGACTCTGCTAACCCAGAAATAGTACCTCAGGTTAAGAACTTTGCTTCAGGATGAGAACAGAAATGGTACGGCAGCAGCGGAAGGCCCCATTAGCTAAAGTGGTACCTCAGGTTAAGAACAGTTTCAGGTTAAGAACGGACCTCCAGAACAAATTACGTTCTTAACCTGAGGTATCAGAGTATTTTAAACCTGATGCCAGCAATTCCGTGAGATTGTAATATCCAGGGCCACTTCCACACCCTACATTTAAAGCACTATGAGAGCACTTTGAACAGCAACGGCTTCCCCCAAAGAATTCTGTAGTTTCTTAAGGGTCGTTAGGTGGGTCGTTAAGAGGAGAGCGCTAAATATGGTCTGAAGCTCAACATCAAAAAAACGAAGATCATGGCCACTGGTCCCATCACCTCCTGGCAAATAGAAGGGGAAGAAATGGGGGCAGTGAGAGATTTTACTTTCTTTGGCTCCATGATCACTGCAGATGGTGACAGCAGTCACGAAATTAAAAGACGCCTGCTTCTTGGGAGAAAAGCAATGACAAATCTAGAGAGCATCTTAAAAAGCAGAGACATCACTTTGCCAACAAAGGTCCGTATAGTTAAAGCTATGGTTTTCCCAGTAGTGATGTATGGAAGTGAGAGCTGGACCATAAAGAAGGCTGATAATAATCATTTCCGTAATAGCAATTTATTTAACTAAAACAATATCATTATAGAGTTGGGTATAATTTGCAGCAATGCGTCTCTAAAGCTCGAGTAGATGGGGCAATAGAGGAGGTAATGTGTAAGATCCTCTTTAATTTTCATAAGGCAAGGGCATAAACGATGTTCTACTGGGGTTTTTGTGAATCTACCGGTCAGATATGCAGTTGGCAGTGTTTGAAACCGTGCCATAGTGAAAGCTCTCCGAAGGGTGGGGTCAGTGATCTCCACCAAGTAGTTAGCACAGATTTTGACTGCTTTTACTCGGGGAAACCAGTAGGAAAACCCAGAGTTTTTTATTTTTGTGGAGTCCAAAAGGCGTCTTTTCAAAGATCCATTCCCGAACTTTATCAGGGCTCCACAATTTAAGGGTATTAAACTCAGGTAGATTGTATCTGGATAGGATATCTAGTAGGTTTTTATGCCAAGTAGTATTATTTTGTAATAATACAAAGGCTTGTTTAGCCAATAAGGTGTTCGGGGCATCTGTGAGGTTGGTGAAAAAAACGCAGGAATCTTAAGTGGGCCCTGGCAGACATAGAAGGTAATCCTACTTCCACTCTTAGGAGAGCTGCCGGAGTACTCTGAGGGAGGCCTAGAATTCTTCTGAGGTAAAAATTTTGGAAGATTTCAAGCCGTTCTAACAGCTTCTGATTCCATCCCCAGAGTTCTACTCCATATAGCATCTGGGGAATCACTTTTCCAACAAAAGCTTTAATGCCGGGATCACCAGTTGCCCTCCCCTCGAATAAAAAAAGCTGAGCAGGGCACCGATTGTCCTACGTGTTAGAAGGGCTACAGTCTTGAAGTGGGCAAGCCAGCTAGATGTAGCTTGGAAAGTGATACCAAGATATTTAAAAAAAAAGACACTGTTCAATTTTGTGTTCATCTAAAGACCATCTAAATGTGTGGCGAGCTCTAGTAAATACCACAATTTTTGTTTTGTCATAATTTATCTTTAGAGAGTTTTGGGAACAATAAGCTGCGAGCCCCTCCAGCATGCTATGTAGGCCCCTTCGAGTAAGTGCCATGACAGCCATGTCATCAGCATATAGTAATATATTCAGGTGTTTGCCTTCCAGGGCAGGAGCTGATGACTTATACTTTGCCATATGTTGAACAATGTCATTTATATAGAAATTAAAGAGGAACGGCGCTAACAAACAGCCCTGTTTAACCCCTTTCCCCAGTGGCAGTGGATCAGTATAGTTGCCTGACATCCCAGTTCTGATTTTAACTGTGGTGTCTGAATGTAACTCTCTAAGTATTTTGAGAAGTCGTCTATCAATATCTGTTTCATATAATTTTTGCCATAATTTGTCCCTACAGATTGAATCAAAAGCGGATGTGAGATCTACGAAAGCCACAAAAAGTTTGCTCTTATGTACCTTTGTATACTTATCTATCATTGTCTGTAATACCAAACAATGGCCTGTTGTACTATGGCCCTTTCTAAACCCTGCCTGTTCCGGATTTAGCAGGTTAGAGTGGTCAGCCCAGTCAACCAGTTTATTTAGCAGGTAAAACAATATCATTATAGCATATGTATCCATGTTCGTTAACTGATGTGGTTAAACTTTTTTTTTTTAACTTAAACATTAAATCTTAAAACAAATCCTTATTTCCTGATGAATAGCCTTTGGGCTATAATGTAACTTAAATAGAAAACTATCTTTAGCAATATTTCCCCTCCAAAAGCATTTTACAGTGGTACTTCGAGTTAAGTACTTAATTCGTTCCGGAGGTCCGTACTTAACCTGAAACTGTTCTTAACCTGAAGCACCACTTCAGCTAATGGGGCCTTCCGCTGCCGCCACGCCACCGGAGCACGATTTCTGTTCTCATCCTGAGGTAAAGTTCTTAACCTGAGGTACTATTTCTGGGTGAGCGGAATCTGTAATCTGAAGCATATGTAACCTGACGCGTATGTAACCCGAGGTACTATTGTATTTTTAAAATCCGATTTAATTTTTTTAAAAAACCATTTAAAATTTGAAAAATCTGATTTTGTTTATTTATTTAAAAATCACTGATTTTTATCTACCCTGCCCCCAAGGAGTCCTTACGGCGGAAGCTGCCCTCTCTGTCTCGGTCCCTGTCTCGGTCACGATCACGATCACGATCCCTGTCCCGGTCCCGGTCTCTGTCGCACTCTCTGCTCCGGTCCCGGCTGCGATCACGGTCATAGTCCCACTCGAAATTGCGGAGGTTCTCCCCCCGGTCCGGCTCTTTGTCCGGATCCCTGCCCACTTCTGGATCCTTCTCTGGATCCCGCAGGCGATCGCTGGAGCTCACAAAGCTGGGAAAGAGCATGGAACGGGAGAAGCGTCATTTATGCCCATTTTTCTTTCACTTTGAAGGCAGCATCTAAAGAACGTGTGTCTTCAAATCACAATTTCTATAATACAATGGGATTTGTAAACTGCAGGTTTCAAATAATAATAATAATAATAATAATAATAATAATAATAATAATAATAATAATAATATTTTATTTATACCCCGCCCATCTGGCTGAGTTTCCCCAGCCACTCTGGGCGGCTCCCAACAAAACACTAAAATACAATAACCTATTAAACATTAAAAGCTTCCCTAAACCGGGCTGCCTTCAGATGTCTTCTAAAAGTTTGGTAGTTGTTGTTCTCTTGGACATCTGGTGGGAGGGTGTTCCACAGGGCGGGCGCCACTACTGAGAAGGCCCTCTGCCTGGTTCCCTGTAACTTGGCTTCTTGCAGCGAGGGAACCACCAGAAGGCCCTCGGAGCTGGACCTCAGCGTCCGGGCAAAACGATGGAGGGGAGACGCTCCTTTAGGTATATTGGACCGAGGCCGTTTAGGGCTTTAAAGGTCAGCACCAACACTTTGAATTGTGCTCGGAAACGTACTGGGAGCCAGCATAGGTCTTTCAAGACCGGTGTTATATGGTCTCGGCGGCCGCTCTCAGTCACCAGATACCAAACATTTCGAAACAGAGATACAGTCATACCTCTGGTTACGTTCAGTTCAGGTTACGTCTTTTGAGGTTGCGTCCTGCGGCAACCCGGAAGTACTGGAAAGGGTTACTTCTGGGTTTCGCTGCTCGCGCATACGCTCAAAATGACATTACGCGCATGCGCAGAAGTGAATTGCGACCCGCGTGTGCGCAGACACGGGTTGCATTCCTTTCAGGTTGCGAACGGGGCTCCGGAACGGATCCCATTCGCAACCAGAGGTACCACTGTAATCATTTTTAAAAACACATTTCGAAACCACCGGCAGTGCCAAAAATTACCTGCCGTTAATACATAATTCGAAAATGCACTTCGAACCAGCACAACAAGCAACCTAACAGCTGAGAAACCAGCAGCGTAATCAGTGAAATAATCCTTATTATGTATCATTTGAAACAAATAGATCTTCAAAGGCCTAAGCTGATAAGGCCATTTATCCCTTGAGAAGGGATCAACAGATCAGAGAAGGAGTGGGGAGCCTCATAATTATTAAACTGCCACAACCCAAACACTGTTTGCTGGAGTTCTCTGAGATTTGGCCTGATCCTACAGGCCAAAACAAATATTTAAAGCTCAAATCATCCAGATTTTATTATGAACAGAACCAACCTTTCATAGAGAGACTTCCTCTGGGGACGCCGTGACTGAAACAAAACATTTTTTTAAAAAAAGACATCAGTCATATTAAAATTAGCAGCTAGTAGCCCTGGGCTGAAACAAGAAACTTCTGGTAGCGAAAAACAAACACCTCTGCTCTCTCTTTTTGCCACCTCAAAGATCTTTTGGGATCTAGTTCCCCCTCGTTTCATCGGTTCCACAATGTCACGTGGCAGCTACAAGCATGGATGACTGACTGAACTGTGGCTTAACAGGGGTTGGAGTGGAGCTCATGGAGAGCTCAAAACGGTGTCCTTGCTTCTTCAGCGTCAATCCCTTTGGCTACATCCTGGGAACATGAGAACAGCCCTGCTGGATCAGACCAAATACGCCATCTAGCCCAAGAATCTGCTCTCCCAGTCATAGCTGTCAACTTTCAGATTTGAAAATAAGGGATCAGCAGCCTCGAAAAGAAGGGATCAGCAGCCTCACCTGTCCCGGGGACAGTCTACAGGATATCTAACAATCCGGGATAGCAGTGGGAAGCGGCGCTGGAATAAGGGAACTTCCCGCAAAAAAAGGGAAGGTTGACAGCTATGCTCCCAGTTGGCCAAGCAATTGTCTAAGGCAGCTGTTCCCAATTCCCTAAGTATCGTGCAGCCCTTGTTTTTCAAAAGCCAAGCCATGGACCTCCTACTTTTGAAAACGTTGACATCTCTGTGGTAGGTACTGTTCTGCGGAAACACTGGCCGAAGGGAAACCTGCAATCAGGATCTGAGCATGAGAGCACCTTCCTCTCCTGATATTTCCAGCAAGTGGCAATCATACTGCCTCTGACGGTGTGGAAAGTAGAACCTGGAGGTAGGGAGCTTGATTTGAGCTCTCCTGGATACTTGTGGGTCTTCCAGTTGCAGCTCTGAGCATACTTGGACCACATGGCCCCTTCCCACTATGAACAGCGGCCGGCATCCATCACAGAACCCTGCCGGCCTGTCTGAAGGTGTGCCGGGGCCCACAGCACCAGCAATTCCCATGGACCCATCCTTGCATGTTGGGGGAAAGGCTACAGCTTCGTGGGAGAGCATGTTTTGCATGCAGACAGCCCCACATCTGATCCTCCAGACTCCTTGCCTGAAACCCTGGTGGGCTGCTGCCAACCAGCGTGGACAGTAATAATAACAATAACAATAATAATTTATTTATACCCTGCCCATCTGGCTGGGCTTCCCCAGCCACTCTGGGCGGCTTCCAAAAAAATATTAAAATACGGAAGTACATTAAAAGCTTCCCTAAACAGGCCTGCCTTCAGATGTCTTCTAAAAGTCTGGTAGTTATTGTTCTCTTTGACATCTGGTGGGAGGGCGTTCCACAGGGAGGGCGCCACTACCGAGAAGGCCCTCTGCCTGGTTCCCTGTAACTTGGCTTCTTGCAGTGAGGGAACCACCAGAAGGCCCTCGGCGCTGGACCTCAGTGTCCGGGCAGAACGATGGGGGTGGAGACGCTCCTTCAGATATACTGGACCAAGGCCGTTTAGGGCTTTGAAGGTCAGCACCAACACTTTGAATTGTGCTCAGAAACGTACTGGGATCCAATGTAGGTCTTTCAAGACCGGTGTTATGTGGTCTCTGCGGCCATTCCCAGTCACGAGTCTAGCTGCCGCGTTCTGGATTAGTTGTAGTTTCCAGGTCACCTTCAAAGGTAGCCCCACATAGAGCGCATTGCAGTAGTCCAAGCGGGAGATAACCAGAGCATGCACCACTCTGGGAAGACAGTCTGCGGGCAGACAGGGTCTCAGCCTGTGTACCAGATGGAGCTGGTAAACAGCTGCCCTGGACACAGATTTGACCTGCGCCTCCATGGACAGCTGGAAGTCCAAAATGACTCCCAGGCTGCGCACCTGGTCCTTCAGGGGCACAATTACCCCATTCAGGACCAGGGAATCCTCCACACCTGCCCGCCTCCTGTCCCCCAAAAACAGTACTTCTGTCTTGTCAGGATTCAACCTCAATCTGTTACTAGATGGTTACTAGATCTGTTACTAGATACTGAGCTAGATGGGCCAACGGATCTGCGTCAGTAAAAGGCAGATTCCTCCATGTGCAGCAGCTGAACAAGGGAGCTCCATAAAGGATGCAGAAACAATTTATGCTGCCCTGGGGCGCCCCTGTGAACCAGCGAAGGCGGAGGAGCAAGCAGGATTGCTTAGGTCTATGCCAACCCACCCCGTTTCCCTCCCTTAGCCGGGAACTCAAATGCCAGGTACCTCTTGAGAATCATCGTCTGCAGAGATGCTGCGCTGAAAAGGTTGGAAAGTCGTGACTGGTCCTTTCTCGGGATCCTAAAGACAAGCAAGATGTTAAGGCCCTGCTGAGACAACCCTGCTCCCCTTTCGCACAGTCTCTGTTAGGGCTGGGGGGGAATATATTGATTTATCGCCCTAAACTGGTTTGAAGTCCGTATTGTGATATCAGTTCATAATTTTTGACCTTTTTTAAAAAAACAACACTTTATTTAAGGTAGATAAGGACAAGATGAAATTATACAATTGAATATAAATATAGATGGGAAATGGCTACGTATAGTGAATACTTATCTACTTTAAAAAATTTTCATCTATAGTCTTTTTCTTTTACTTCTTTATTTTTTCTTTGTTCTCCCCCCCCTTTTTCTGATATCATATCTTTCATTTCACTCCTTTATTATGAATAGCATTTTATAGAGGTATAAATAACTGTAAATATGAAAAGAGACAAAGTATTCTCTCATTTTTTTCCTTGGATATATGTATTTTTTTTTTCTTTTGTTGTAAATATGTATGCTTTCTAATTTGTACTTAACAAAAAAAAAAATTTAAAAAAGGAATCATAATTTTTGACCTGGCAAAATATAACACAAACCATGATGTGTGTGTGTGCGTGTGTGATACAGGAAAAACCGTGAAGCCAGCCAATGCCTCTGTCTTATTTCAGACATCGTGATACGTTGGCATATTGCGATGTTTAGCTGGTGATATATCACAATGTTGACAACCAGACACCCCCCAGCCCTAGTCTCCACCCACTTAGCCCCCCTTACTTTCAGCTTCCCTTCCAGAGTGCGAGAGCGCTTGAACCCCGAGTTCTTGTTCTCGGCTTTGATAGCGCTGATGGCCCCCGTTTTCACGAGCATCTTGGCTTGCTCCGTGGCTGTGGCCGTGTCCACGACCGGCTGGTCAGAGATGGCTGCCAGAAGAAATGCAAGTGAGTGTCCCAAGTGTTGGTCGACCCAGGTGCACCCTACTCCACTCCACCCACCTCCCTTGGTGGAAGTCCGACTTACAGCGTTTAATTCCTCCCTGGCTGGCTTGGCTGGTTGAACTCTGCTGCTTCTTCAAGGCCATGAGGGCCTTTTTCTGAGGAGGAGGAGGAGGAACAACAACCATATTTAACGTGGCATCTCCAAACCTATTTCCCTCCCTTCCCTTCGACCCAGTCTTCTTCTGTCGTCATCTACCAACAGATGACCCTGCTGGGCTACAACTCCCCATCATCCCAGAGGCATGTCTCATGAGACCAGGGCCCAGCGGGATCTGATTTCTTTCCGCAGGGCCTGTAAGACAGAGTTGTTCCGCCTGGCCTTTGGCTTAGAATCAATTTGATTCCCTCCCTCTCTTTCTTTTTTCCTTTCTCCTCCTGTGATGAGGCTGCATTTGAATGTTGTACAGTGGTACCTCGCAAGACGAATGCCTCGCAAGACGAAAAACTCGCAAGACGAAAGAGTTTTTCGTTTTTTGAGTTGCTTCGCAAGACGAATTTCCCTGTGGGCTTGCTTCGCAAGACGAAAAACGAAAACGTCTTGCAAGTTTGTTTCCTTTTTCTTAAAACCGTTAATACCCAGGGTGACTTCGAGGAGCAACTCATAGCACGCGGTGTGGTAGAATTTTTTGAGGTTTTTGAAGACTTTGGTGATTTTGAAGACTTTGGGAAACCGTGCTTCGCAAGACGAAAAAACTCGCAGAACGAATTAGTTTCGTCTTGCGAGGCACCACTGTATTCTAATCTTGTTTTTAAAGTTGTATTTCAATCAACTTGTATTTCAATCAACCTGAGCCCGGTCTTGGCTGGGGAGGGCAGGGTATAAAAAAAAATTATTACTATCATTATTATTATTATTAGGTTGTTGTTGTTGTTGTTGTTGTCCACTGAGAGAACAGAATGCTGGACTGGATGGGCCCCATGACACGCAAGAGGGAACAAGCTTGTTCTCTCCTGCTCTGGAGGGTAGCACTTGAACCAGTGACTTCAAGCTACAAGAAAGGAGATTCTGACTATGCAGCAGGAAGAACTTTCTGGCAGCAAGTGAAACGATCTCCCTTGGGAGGTTGTGGGCTCTCCTTCCTCTGAGGTTTTTAAGCAGAGGATGGATGGCCATCTGTCATGTATGCGTTTGTTTAGATTCCTGCATAGATTACCCTGTTAGAATTCCTGCTCCATGATTGCAGTCATAGGATTATTGTCTTTCACATGACGGTATGTGAGAGTGGGAAGTGACGTAGACAGGATGTTTGTGTTACTGTGTTCCGTGAAGTGGGACTATGGTCCTTTCTTCTTTTTCTCTTTGTTGTCTGATGCTAGAGAGAGAGGGAGCCATGTTGCAGCGCTCCATGTGTGTTTATATGTAAATAAAGTAGATTAGCCAAAATGCTGAGTTGCTGAGGTCTGTCACACGCATGATGTGCAAACTCTGCGAATTCCTAAGTGTGCCGGTGTCTGTTGGCATCAGTCGCTGTGATGTTTGTGCAGAAGAAAGCTTTTGAAGCTCCCGAACGAAAGACCAGGAGGGAGAACACATGCCAGTCGGGCATGTGTCTCTGCCAGGGTCCTACTCGAGTGTAGGCTGAACTCCTGACAAACCCTTGGGGTCCCTTCCGACTCTACGATTCTATTATATGATCCAGAAAGCTTCTTTCTATTCTTGTGTCTGATTGTTGGCCACGCTGGCTGGGACTGGGTGGACCAACGGCCTTGAACAGCCAACAACAACTTGATTAGGCCTGGCCTACCTAGGGTGGAATCTACCCCTCGGCATCAACGAAAAGGAGTCTGACCTTTTTCTTGAGTTTGGCAAACTTCTTCTGCAGTGCCTCCTCTTCATCTGTCAGTCCCGGGGGTAAGACAATCATGGCTGATAAGCAAAGTCCCCGTCTGGAAAGGGAAGACAACAAAATCGGCCATCAGCGGGAGCTTGTGGGTTGGTCAACCAACCTGGGTCCATAGTGCAACATGGCTTCTTCCTCCAACACCTTTAATGGTTGTGGAGAACAGGGGATTGCAGATAGGGTCTCCATAAAAGCAAGAACAAATAACGCCACCTAAGAAGGTTCTGCTGGATCAGGCTGCTGGCCCATCTAGCCCAGAATTCTGATGAGCCCATGTAAAAACAGGATGTTGGACTAGATGGGCTGTCAGCTGATCCAGCAGGTTCGCAATATTTTAAAAAAATATTTAAAACTGATAGCAGCCTAGAGAACAGGGCAGGTCCAAAAAAAAGATGCATTTCAAGTGTCAAAAGCATGTGTGTCTTCAGCAGTCAGCAAAAAATACATAACGAAGGTGCCAGTTTCACCTCTGGTGGGGAGGGAATCCCACACCTTATTCGAGGTGCCATATTCCATTTTCATTTTTTAAAAAGGAAGACATATTTAAGTGCAGAAATGGGGTCATGCCAACTACAGTGGTACCTCAGGTTACAGACGCTTCAGGTTACAGACTCCACTAACCCAGAAATAGTACCTCGGGTTAAGAACTTTGCTTCAGGATGAGAACAGAAATTGTGGTGGCAGCGGCGGCAGCGGGAGGCCCCATTAGCTAAAGTGGGACCTCAGGTTAAGAACAGTTTCAGGTTAAGAACAGACCTCTGGAACAAATTAAGTTCTTAACCTGAGGTACCACTGTACAAGCACATATGTAGCTTGGCTTTGCAAGAATATCCCACGTTTGACGGGAGGTGGGTAACCAGGGTTTGCTTGCCCCAGAGTGAAGCTTCCAGAGGGGCGCCATTGAGGCTCCCAGCCTGTGTGTGTGTGTGCGTGCGCACGCGCATATGCACAGGTTTGGGGTTTTTTTGCCAAACTAAGTCTTTGACCCAGGTGCCCCTGCCTTTGGTTTCCAGTGGCAATAGACAATGAGTAAGCCTTAGTCATGTAACGAGGGGAGGTTGCAGCCTTTGCCTGCCCCTGCATGCAAAAGGGTATCCCAATAAAGGGACCCAGGAAGAGTTGAAATAGGAACCCCGGGGGGAGGTTACCCCTTTGGCTTGGAGCCAATTTGATTCCCTCCCCCTCTTTCTTTTTCCTTTCTCCTCCTGTGATGAGGCTGCATTTTAATGCTGTATTTTAATCTTATTTTTAAGTTGTATTCATTCAACTTGTTTTTATTATTGCTTGTTAGCCGCCCTGAGCCCGGGCTTGGCTGGGGAGGGCGGGGTATAAATAAAAATTATTATTATTATTATTTGTTGTCAGCCATAGCACTCTCACCCACCCACCCCCAGGTTAGGTTGACCCTAGAAGGCACTCCCAGCAGAAGGGCTGGAGTTGAAAATGGTATACCCTATAATGCCTAAGCATGCAAACCAATAAAAGTTGTGGCCTATTCGACCCTTTCTTCCCTTACACTCGTTTTCCTGCCTGCTTATTTACTGGGGAGACCTTGGAATGCAACGCGCTTTGCACCAATCACATCCCTCCTCCGTCCTCCCACTCACCAGCTGCTCCCGCGTCCTCTCCCTGTCGCACGAGCCTTCTCTCCCGGCACGCTCTAGACACGCCTCTGGGACAAGCCTCGCAGCGGGAGGAAGTCTCTACGTATATTTGCATAAGCCACCCGGCAACGCGAAGCCCATTGGCTGATTGGAGGCCGCGATGAAAGGAGAGCACTCGCCCGCGTTTAGGGCGCGATTTACATATCGGCCGCTCATTGGCTGAATTGCAAGGGAGGGCGGAAACGTTCGAAACGCGAACAGTTTGAGCATGCGTGCGACGCAAGCGACGAGACGTTTGCAATTTGCATGCCGCGCCGCCATTGGGCAACAGTGAGCGGGCACCGCCTGCGTAGGAAATGGAACCAAGCGGACCCCGGCTGCTCTTCCAGCGGCTGCTTCCGCTTTCTTCCAACCGGGCGCTCCGCCTCTGACTGGAATTCGACCAATCCCGTGTCGGCGTCGTCGCTCGCTTCCGCTTTTCAGCGGCTTCCGCCCGGCCGAATAGCTACTCGGTAGCTACCTTCGGAGTCGCTTTCAGCCGTGTGGCCGAAGCTTCCGCCCTCACAAGGTTGGGCTTGAAGGAGCACTTCCGGGTTAGGGGTTGGCCACGCCCCTGGGCGAGCTGTGGAAGTGGCGATGGAGATGGAGAGGATAGGTGAGAGAACTTTGGCAGCGCCTCCCCTTTGGAACTCCCTGCCACTTGAGATCAAGCAGGCGCCTTCGACGGGATCTTTTCGGAGGCTGCTGGAAACAGTCCTGTTTAGATCAAGCCTTGCCCAGATGCTTAAAAAGCTGGAGCAATGTTAGCCTTTTTTAAATAGTATTTCAGCTTTCGTATGTTTTAAAGGAGGGTTGTGAATTTCCCCTCAATATTACTGTAAACCTGAAGAGGGTTGTTGTTTTTTAACAGTCAAGTGGTGTGTAATTTTTATGAAATGAATTGTTGGCATCCATCTGTCTCAAGAGACAATGGCGTGTATTCAAACCTCTGGAGAATCACAGCGCCCGGGAACTCATAACTGCTGCCTCCAGCGTTGTTTTTTGCTTCAATTGCAGCACCAAAGTGACCTCCCTGGGGCGCCAGCCTGGGCAGTGTGAATGGAGGTCCTGGGCTGCCCAGACGACAAGGCTCCCTCCGCCCCCGGGCTCACTGATGTGGTTTAAAGGAAAGCAGAGCAGAAAAATAAGTACAGTGGTGCCTCGCAAGACGAAAAGAATCCGTTCTGGGAGTCTCTTCGTCTAGCGGTTTTTTCGTCTTGCGAAGCAAGCCCATTGACGGGATTAGCGGATTAGCGCTATTAGCGCTATTAGCGGCTTTTAGCGGCTTTTAGCCGCTTATCTGCTTATCCGATAAGCTGATAAGCGGCTTAGCGACTTAGAAAAAGAGGGGGGAAAGGGGGGAAAAAACCCAGGAACTCGCAAGACATTTTCGTCTTGCGAAGCAAGCCCATAGCAGATTCGTTTTGCGAGGCACCTCCAAAACGGAAAACTCTTTCGTCTAGCGAGTTTTCCGTCTTGCGAGGCATTCGTCTTGCGGGGCACCACTGTAATGAAATTTGCTTTGTGCTGTACACAGATTTAATTCAAAGACGGTTCTTTCCATGCGGGCTTACAACATAAAAAAGACACAGCACAGAAGGGAAAACTGAGCAAGCTCAGGCACCAGGTCTTGAAAGCTACATAGCCAACTGAAAATGGGAAAAAGTTGAGGGAAAGTAAAAATTAGTTATATTTGCTCATGCTTATATAAGGCCATTATTAATTTATTAATTTTTTTTGGAGAGAGAAAACAAATAATCTTTTAAGTAACGTGAATAAAGTAATAACGATCAATAAAACACAGATAAAAGCAAAGTTATGAAAATCTAGTTATCTAGTACAGACAATCCTCGTTTTGTGCCAGGGTTCCGTTCTGGACCCCTGCGTGCATTGGCAGAACAAGCATAAGCCCGCTTTGCTCAGTTCTGCCCCCACCCGCCCTGTTCTGCCCCTTTTCATGATGCCTTTCACCCTGAGAGGTGCACTCCATTCATAGCTGTCAACGTTTCCCTTTTTTAAAGGGAAATTCCCTTACTCCGAACAGGATTCCTCACAAGAAAAGGGAAATGTTGACAGCTATGACTCCATTGTCTCTCAAGAGAGATAGATGCCAACAACAACAAAAGATCACCAGAGATGTTTATAATAGGTCGTAAAACAGTAAGCCATATAATAAAACAGATGATAATAAGATACTATTATATGGTTTTGTTGAAATATTATATGTCCTAATGGGCTTTTATTGCTGCAAGATGCTTCTCACCTTGTTTGGAAAAGTGGCACACCTATTTTTTGTCAAATAAAACCAAAGGAATCTGACCTTTGCATCAGTAAACTTTGCCTTTCCTGGAGGTAATTTAAGCAAAGGATGGATAGCCATAGTTCAGGGTCCTGTAGTTGCATTCTTTTTTGGGGTGTGTGTGAAAATATATTTATTGATATTTCATCATAATATGAAGAAATGATCCCTCAAACCAGCATGATGTAAGTTGCCAATGACCTCTGAGGTCCCTTTCAGCCTTATGATTCTTTGAAAGTTACACTGGGGTCAGTGGGAGTAGCGACTGAAAATGGGATGGTGAATTTCAAAATGTCCTTATCTCCTTGTTCCCTGCTAGTCCTGCCCCCCAGGGGGCCTCTGGAGTTACCCCTCTCCATTCTGGAGGTTGGATGTGCCGGCCGTTTTGAGCTCATCACCCAAGAGGAAGGGCCTCATGGAGACAGATTCCCGCTAACCACGGTAAGCCCCTTTCCAACCCTGGAACGAGAGAGGAATTTTCTTAATGGTAATACATCACCTTGCCAACAAAGGTCCGTATAGTTAAAGCTATGGTTTTCCCAGTAGTGATGTATGGAAATGAGAGCTGGACCAGAAAGAAGGCTGATCGCCGAAGAATTGATGCTTTTGAATTATGGTGCTGGAGGAGACTCTTGAGAGTCCCATGGACTGCAAGAAGATCAAACCTCTCCATTCTGAAGGAAATCAGCCCTGAGTGCTCACTGGAAGGACAGATTGTGAAGCTGAGGCTCCAATACTTTGGCCACCTCATGAGAAGAGAAGACTCCCTGGAAAAGACCCTGATGCTGGGAATGATGGAGGGCACAAGGAGAAGGGGACGACAGAGGACGAGATGGTTGGACAGTGTTCTTGAAGCTACCAGCATGAGTTTGACTAAACTGCAGGAGGCAGTGGAAGACAGAAGTGCTTGGTGTTCTCTGGTCCATGGGGTCACGAAGAGACAGACACGACTAAACGACTAAACAACAACAACAACAATAAGCAGCCACCAGCTGCACGTCTTGAAATTCTGGAAAACCATTAAAAAAAAATTTTTAAAGCAGCCACTGGCTCCTGCAGGTGAGGCAGCCAAAGTAGGCCCAGGTCTGATCAGTAACTGAATGAGTGGCCTCCTGGGAACCTCATGCTATGACAGAATAAAAGTGGGCTCCAAATGCAAGAAGTTGAATTCATAGAATTGTAGAATTATAGAGTTGGACAGGACCCCGAGGGTCATCTAGTCCAACCCCCTGCAATGCAGGAATCTCAGCTAGATCATACACGACAGGTGGCCATGCAACCTCTGCTTAAAAACCTCCAAAGGAGGAGAGTCCACAACCTCCCGAGGGAGACCATTCCACTGTCAAAAACCTCTTGCTGTCAGAAAGTTCTTCCTTACGTTGAGTCGGAATCTCCCATCTTGTAACTTGAATTCTAGCATTTCTGTTTGTTGTATTGTTTCCGCTCTTGATTTCTTTGTTTGCTCAGTGGAGGCTGGTCAGTTAGGGCAACCAACCAACCAAGTGAAATGCCAAGCAATTAAAAAAAGAAGTTTAATTCCCCGTCCCATATATGTCTGTCTCTTTTCTCTCCCCCTCGCCCATCTTTTCAACGACATTTTGTGACTTAAAACGTCAGACCAGTCTTTGAGAGCGTAATCATGGTGGCTGCAAGGATACAACTTGTTTTACATCAGGATGTGACCCATTTGGGGCCTGCAGGGTACCTTGGCTTCATAGACGCTGGTATCTAGGAATGACACTTGCACCTTTTCCCCCCATCCCACCTTGCAGCTGCCTCACGGGTTGCCCCCTCACACTGAGGATCTGGCCTCTGAACTAGAGCAGCGCTTCCTCAGCAGCCCAGACTGGCTTCCCATCCACCACTTCGAAAGGTCTCACAGGTGAGGCTCTCGGCGGCCGCGGAGCCATCTTTCCCTTGTGTCTCTCCTTCCAGAAAGGAGCAAAAGAAGACACGGTTACTCGTGTGTTCTCTGGTTGGGGCGACAGTTTTGGTGGTGTGGGATCTGGGAATGTTTTTGGTGTTGTTGTTTTTTTCAAAAAACCCCCCCAAAATCCTGCCTGCTTTCTCGAGGAAGGTTCTGGCCCCGCGAGAAAGACATCCAGTCACTCTTTGAGGTGGACGTCACCCCCGTGCATTCGACGCTTCAGGCTGAGCGCAACCCCACCACAGGAGAGCTGCTGGGCTTCAGAGAGGTGAGGGACGGTGTTCCCACCAGAATATCATTTTGTCAGGCAAGGGTGGGGAGTCCTAGGCCAAGGGACTCAAGGTGGCCTTCCGGCACTCTCTGCCTGGCCCGCAGAACTTTCCCCACACCCCCTAACCAGCCCCGCTTTGCACCCCCCTGAGTGTTCTCGCCTGGCTGGAATTGGTTCTTAAACTCTTGCCCGTGAGAAGGCTAGAGAAGGGCATGTGAGCCGTGTGTGAAAACTAGCCTGCTGTAGGAAGATCAAAGGCACACTCGTTGCTCCACCCTCTTTTTTACCTGGCCCCACCCACTGCGTTGTCCTGAAGTGAGTGCGTTCCTTGGGCAGAAAGGGGTTTCTCACCTTGTCAGGGCGGGCAGGCGGGTCAATATTCTCCAGCCAACCAGGGCTAGCAATACCTGGTGGAAGGCCAGGGGCAGGTGTAGTTTGGGGAAAGCAGTCTCGCGGGCCAAATTGGGGACCTGTGCCAAGCCACATCTTCCCCCCACCCTTGTGCTAAATCTCTGGACGCCTCCATGGTAGCAGCCAGGCTCTGGTACATGTCCCGTTCTGCTGCCCACCCCATCCCCCGGTTGCTCCAAGGAAGGATTGCAACGTCCGCTTGAGCATTTTGCTCCACTTGCAGCTAGATACAGACACTGTGGTCTAAACCACTGAGCCTCTTGGGCTTGCCAGTCAGAAGATCAGTGGTTCGAATCCCTGCGACAGGGTGAGCACCCATTACTCTGTCTCAGCTCCTGCCAGCTTAGCAGTTCGAAAGCACACCAGTGCAAGTAGATAAATAGGTACCACTGCAGCGGGAAAGTAAATGGCGTTTTCATGTCCTCTGGTTTCCATCACGGTGTTCTGTTGCGCCAGAAGTCATGCTGGCCACATGACCCAGAAAGCTGTCTGTGGACAAACGGTGGCTCCCCCGGCCTGAAAAGCGAGATGAGCACCGCAACCCTATAGTCGCCTTTGACTGGACTTAACCATCCAGAGATCCTTTACCTTTTACCTTTAAACCCCCCCCCCCCCACATGGCCGGGTATGTGCGGCACCGGGAAATAAATAGATAGATTCAAATCAGGAAATGATGAGAGAGAGCTGAAGAGTCCTTGTGGCATCCTTGTGACGTCCGTGATGATGGAGGAAGCCCCAACAAGACCAGAAGTGTAGTGGGGCTTTGTTTCAGCGGTTCAGCCTTCCCACCTAACAGGTGACAAAAGCAGGAGAAAACCGGCATTTTAGGGGCTTTTTAGAGGGTGCTTCCCACCTAATGCCATTTTCACTATGCACATGGGGCCCCGGAACATAACCCCCTGCATAAGTGGGGAGGACACCTGTGTACCTGCTGTCTTGAATTGAGAATACAGTCTATAGGAATTTAAGAACTGTTGGGAGAGCGGGGAACTGGCCATGCACCTTTTGGTCTTGACACTGCTCCCCCTTCCGTTTCAGGCACTTGTGGACAACATGGGCTTGTCGGCCAAAAATTCTCTTTCCTTCCAACGAGCACCCGGCCCTCCAGTCGAGGCTCTCCGAGGCAGCGCTACCAATTACCCCTTCTGGCCAGGTATGGGTCTCCTGTTCGCGCTGCCTGGTCTGGGGAATTGGCGCTACAGTCTTATGCCAGGGCTTGGAATCATGTTAGGACTCCAGCTCCCATCAGCCCCAGCCAGCAAGGCCAGTGGGTCAGAGATGATGGGAGGAGGGCCCCCCCCCACATCATGATTTTTGCCAGCGCCTGCTCTTGTGGTTGTCAGGAGCTCAGCCTACACTCGAGCAGGACCCTGGCAGAGACACATGCCCGACTGGCATGTTCTCTCCCTCCTGTTCGATCGTTTGGGAGCTTCAAAAGCTTTCTTCAGCCCAAACATCACAGCAACCGATGCCAACCGACACCGGCACACTTAGGGATCCGCAGAGTTTTCGCAGCTTGCGTAGCAGACCTCAGCAACTCAGCATTTTGGCCAAGCTACTTTATTTACATAAAAACACACACGGAGCACTGCAACATGGCTCCCTCTCTAGCATCAGACAGCAAAGAGGAAAAGAACAAAGGACAATAGTCCCACTTCATGGAACACAGTAACACTAACATCCTGTCTCCATCACTTCCCACTCTGTGGAGTCAAAACATACACTGCCATGTGATAGATGACAATCCTATGACTGCAATCACGGAGCAGGAATTCTAACAGTGATTTGCTATTCTGTGTAGGAGTCAGGAGAGAGCTGTGCCAGCAGACTTGACAGGGACTGCAGGAATCGAGAGAAGCATTGGCTGGCTTCACGGTTTTCCCCGCATTGTGATTTTTGCATAACACACACACACACACACACACACACAATCATGATTTGCAGTATATTGCTGGGTGAAAAATTATGTAAGCACCATCACAATATGGACTTCAAACCAGTTTTTGGCGATATATCAATATATCGCCCAGCCCTACTGTGCAATTCAGTTGCAGAATTCTGAGTCTTCTGACTGCAGAATTATTGCCATGCATGCAGCTTTGCTCTTAACTGTCCGCAGTGCATTGTTTTAACTCAACCTCTCTCTAGGTGGGATGGACGAACCCAGCCTTGAACAGATCAAGACTCAAGAAGACCAGGAAGAGGACATTGATTTTGAGAACGGTACTTGGATCTGTTCTAGGCAATAGCCGCAATGGTGCACCTTCTCTTAGGATCCCAGCCAGTTCTGGGTTGCTGTTGTTAATGCCATGTGTTCTCTGCAGCAGCCTTGGTGAGGCTTGAAGACGTTACCCTATTTATGTAGGGTGGGAAGATAGGGAGAGAACATGGTGGGCTATGGGGTTGCCTCTTCTTGAAATCACAACCGGGTGGCCTTTGATAGCAAAAAAATCACCCTAGTAAGGGTAGAAGGGACCCGGGTGGTGCTGTGGGTTAAACCACAGAGCCTAGGACTTGCCGATCAGAAGGTTGGCGACGGGGGTGAGCTCACATTGCTTGGTCCCTGCTCCTGCCAACCTAGCAGTTCGAAACCATGTCAAAGTGCAAGTAGATAAATAGGTACCGCTCCAGCGGGAAGGTAAACGGCGTTTCCGTGCGCTGCTCTGGTTTGCCAGAAGCAGCTTAGTCATGCTGGCCACATGACCCGGAAGCTGTACACCGGCTCCCTCAGTCAATAAAGCGAGATGAGCGCCGCAACCCCAGAGTCGGCCACGACTGGACCTAATGGTGAGGGGTCCCTTTACCTTTACCTTTAGTAAGGCTAGAGTGATGAAATAACAGGCACCGAGTGCGAATTATGATGTGTTGAAGTCGTTTTTTTAAGCCCACTCTTCAGATGGAAAGGCCAGCAGCACAGTTGACAGAAGATCAATAAAAATAAGGACAATCCCCGCAGATTCTGGGGCCTCTCTCCTCTCTCAGGGCTCACTGTTGATACGTGGCCTGGGCCTCTGAGCAGGTGCAGGGAGCTGCCCTACCATACCATCACTTTGGGACATTGTGAGAAATTTAAAAGGGTGGCTGGACCCAGCTGTCCTTGACAGCTGCCTCTGCAGCCAGGTATCCCACTGGCATGAGGAGGTTAGGCCCATCAGAGGATCCTCTGACTGGGGCCTTCTCGTACCTCAAGCTGCCCCCTGCTTTGAGGCCACGGACCCTTCTCTTTCCTTCCGTCTTCAAGCCCATGTCCCTTCCTGCTTTTTCTTTCTTCCCTCAGATTTGCTGACGGTCCCACCAGGCTGGAAGAAGGGAGTGGAGTTCACCAGACAAGGTAACCTCATTTCTGGTAGAGAGATGATTAGGACTGGTGAGGAGGCTGGCTTGGGGGCTGGGAGACAGTGTGGTGTAGTGGTTAGAACAAGGGCAGCTAGCATGGCACTCTCTGGGTGTTGTTGGACTCCCAGTTCCCATCAGCCCCTTCTGGTATGGCCCAATGGTCAGAGATGATGATAACTGTTGTCTAGCAGCTTCTGTAAGGCTACCCTGGGGCAAGACCACCTCTCTCCATATGAACCTACCCAGACACTGAGAACATCAACTGAGGTCCTTTTTCGTGTGCCTCCTCCACATGAGGTCTGGAAGTTGGCAACATGAGAAAGGGCCTTTTCTGTGGTGGCTCCCCTGGTGCCTTCATTATACACCTTTAGGCTCCAGGCGAAAATGTTCCTTTTCAACCAGGTCTCTGGCTAAACATCCTGTATATCCTTTTATACATATTTGGGGAAGGGGTTTATTGTTTTGTTTTGTTTTTGTTACGTGTTTTATATTTATATACTGTATGCTGTGAACCACCCTGAGATCTTTGGATAAAGGGCGATATACAAAGAAACATAAGCAATAAGAGCATTGAGCTAGGACCTTGGAGATCTGGGTTCAAATCCCCCATCTGCCTTGGAGCTTGGCCCAGTCACTGTCTCTGCCCTAACATGAGCTGAAAGACCATAGCAAGCCTTGTAGAGAGGTTTGCCCTCGCATGAAACACACATTTCCACGGCATATTTTCCACTGAGCCAGTTGCAAACTCTTCCTTGGATCACTGAGCCCAAAAGCTGCTCTCCCCACCCCTGCCCTCCTGCCCTCACAGGGGATTCCTGAGTGGAGAAACCTATCTTGCTTGTGTGTCTCACCCCCCACTTCAGAGCTCAAGGCCTCCCCAGGGTTGCTGAACTTGACCCACCTGCTGGGGGCCCTGGACACCTTTGAGCTGGGAGCCTCCAGCGACGAAGAAGAGAAGGAGAAGGCCGAGGAAGGGAGGAAGAGGACGAAGAAGGGGAAAGGGGCGAAGGCAGAGGAGGCGCCCCCGGCAGAACCAGCGCCGCTGCAGAGGGCAAACAGCCTGGAGGAGCTGGTGCTTAAGGTAGGGCCACCTGCGTGCAGAGAGGGTGAGGCGTTCTCAAAGTAAAGGAAGGATTGAACTCTGATTAATAAGAATACACACAGAGGCTTGAACCAGCAAGACTCTGGGAAGGGTGCGTATAATAATCTGTCTCTCCACCCCCTGGCCCAGGTCATTTTATTCACAAAAGAACTTCTTACAGAGAGTTTGTAAGAACCAATCAGATGAGCACCGCAACCCCAGAGTCAGTCACGACTGGACCTGATGGTCTGGGGTCCCTTTACCTTTACCTTTAAGATCAACATCCTGAGATTAACATATCAGAAAGGCTACTTCAGAGAAGCTGCCCACTATCTTTCACAGCCCAGGATGCATGCCTGGTGAAGCAGCTGGCCACTGGGCTGTGTACGTGACTTGTCAAGCAAGAGAAAAGGACAGTAGAGGAAATGGCCAGAGATGCAGAGGGTTGTGGGATTTGATCAGAAATTATTGTCAATGAAACCCAGTCAACGCCATGCTTTCACAGCGGACACAATGGCTTGATGCATATTTTATAATTCCTCATAGTAGTCCCACCTGACCCTACACTCTGGATATTTGCACTCCTACAGAGGGACGGGAGGATCTTGGGGCGATGTTGGCAGGTGCCCAAGCAGGTGGCAGGTGGGTTTCTCTGTCTATAGAGGTGAGGGAAGACTGGCAGAAGATGCAGCAGGCTTCTGGCCTGGGAAAGAACTGCGAAGGGTGCTGCCACCCAGGAGTCAAAGCTGCTCTAGCCAAATTCAGACAAAAGGAAGGACAAGGCTACTAGATATGGTGGCTCTGAATAGAACCAGCATTGGTACGCAACCCTCCCTTTTTATTGGGTCTGTGGGTGGGTGGAGGATTCCCTTTTCCCGTCCTTGGCTTCCTTTACGCTGCCTGTCTCCTCTTTGCCTTCCTCTCAGGAGGTGACGCCCGCCCCTAAATCAGCCCCACAGGCCGCCCCGGCCCCTACTGCGGCTTCTGAGCCCCCCAAAGAGCAGTGGGCCATCCCAGTGGACGTCAGCTCCCCCGTGGACGACTTCTACAAGCGAATTCCTGATCCAGCTTTCAAGGTACGATGGCAGCTCAGAGGGCCAAGCGGGGAGAGGAAAGGTAGGGGCTAATAATAATAATAATAATAATAATAATAATTTATTATTTATACCCCGCCCATCTGGCTGAGTTTCCCCAGCCACTCTGGGCAGCTCCCAATCAAGTGTTAAAAACAGTACAGCATTACATATTAAAAACTTCCCTAAACAGGGCTGCCTTCAGATGTCTTTTAAAGAGAAGATAGCTGCTTATTTCCTTCACATCTGAAGGGAGGGCGTTCCACAGGGAGGGCGCCACTACCAAGAAGGTCCTCTGCCTGGTTCCCTGTAACCTCACTTCTCGCAATGAGGGAACCGCCAGAAGGCCCTCGGCGCTGGACCTCAGGGTCTGGGCTGAACGATGGGGGTGGGGCCAAGGACTGATGACGCTAAACTCCTGCCCCCTGTGTGACTTCCTCTCTCTTTCTCCCCACTCCTCAGTGGCCTTTTGAGCCAGACGTTTTCCAGAAGCAGGCGATTCTCCACTTGGAGAAGCACGACTCCGTGTTTGTCGCTGCCCACACCTCTGCCGGAAAGACCGTGGTGGCGGAATACGCCATTGCTCTGTCCCAGAAGCACATGACACGGTGAGAATGCCTGTTATGAATGATAATAATTAACATTTGTACCCTACCTTTCCTCCAGGAAGCTCAAGGAGGAGAAGTATGTATTTTTCCTCACAACAACCCTGTGAGGTAGGTCAGGCGGAGATGTAGTGACTGGCCCGTGGTTGCTCAGCGAGCTCCATGGCAGAGGGGGGATTTGAACCCTGGTCTCCCAGGTCATCGTCTGACACTAACCACTATACCACACTAGCTCTTACAGTGTTTAGCTGCCCTCCATGCCCAAATGAACACTGTTATGTAAAATATAGTGGTACCTCGGGTTAAGAACTTAATTCTGTTCTTAAGAAGTCTGTTCTTAACCTGAAACTGTTCTTAACCTGAGGTACCACTTTAGCTAACGGGGCCTCCCACTGCTGCGGCGCGATTTCCGTTCTCATCCTGAAGCAAAGTTCTTAACCTGAGGTACCACTTTAGCTAATGGGGCCTCCCACTGCTGCGGCGCGATTTCCGTTCTCATCCTGAAGCAAAGTTCTTAACCTGAGGTACCACTTTAGCTAATGGGGCCTCCCACTGCTGCGGCGCGATTTCCGTTCTCATCCTGAAGCAAAGTTCTTAACCTGAAGCACTATTTCTGGGTTAGCGGAGTCTGTAACCTGAAGCGTATGTAACCTGAAGCGTATGTAACCCAAGGTACCACTGTACTGAACCTGCTAGGGTTGAGCCTGTGAGGCCTTGGCCTAGGACAACAAAATATCCGTTTTTATTGACTCACGTAGGGAGGGAAAGTAGTAAAACAGACTCCTGTCCCAGGCAATTGCCTATGATTACCTAGTAAAGGTAAAGGGACTCCTGACCATTAGGTCCAGTCGTGGCCGACTCTGGGGTTGCGGCGCTTATCTCGCTTTATTGGCCGAGGGAGCCAGCGTACAGCTTCTGGGTCATGTGGCCAGCATGACTAAGCCGCTTCTGGCAAACCAGAGCAGCGCACAGAAACGCCGTTTACCTTCCCACTGGAGCGGTACCTATTGGGTATGCTGGAGTCCAGAGTCTCCTCCTTTTGAACTTCTAAAACTCTTTATTTTCTTCCCTGCAGCACCATCTACACTTCCCCAATCAAAGCTCTCTCCAACCAGAAGTTTCGGGATTTCAAGAACACCTTTGGGGACGTGGGGTTGTTGACGGGGGACGTTCAGCTCCATCCGGATGCCTCATGCCTCATCATGACGACGGAAATCCTTCGGTGAGGATTTGGGGTATAAATAGGGAGGGGTTTGCAAATGTGCCCCGAAATGCCAGCAATCCTTGGTTTAAAAGAAGCTCTTGGAAAAGACAAATGTCACTCTTTAGACCCATCCTATTATTATTATTGGGGACGCGGGTGGCGCTGTGGGTAAAACCTCAGCGCCTAGGGCTTGCCGATCGCATAGTCGGCGGTTCGAATCCCCGCGGTGGGGTGAGCTCCTGTCTTTCGGTCCCAGCTCCTGCCCACCTAGCAGTTCGAAAGCACCCCTAAGTGCAAGTAGATAAATAGGTACCGCTTTCTAGCGGGAAGGTAAACGGCATTTCCGTGTGCTGCGCTGGTGCCGGCTCGCCAGAGCAGCTTCGTCACGCTGGCCACGTGACCCAGAAGTGTCTCCAGACAGCGCTGGCCCCTGGCCTCTTAAGTGAGATGGGCGCACAACCCTAGAGTCGGACACGACTGGCCCGTATGGGCAGGGGTACCTTTACCTTATTATTATTATTATTATTATTATTATTATTATTATTATTAATTATTATTTATACCCCCCATCTGGCTGGGCTTCTCCAGCCACTCTGGGCGGCTTCCAACAAAATATTAAAATACAGTGGTCTGTTAAACATTAAAAGCTTTCCTAAACAGGGCTGCCTTCAGATGTCTTCTAAAAGTCTGGTAGTTGTTCTTCTCTTTGACATCTGGTGGGAGGGTGTTCCACAGGGCGGGTGCCACTACCGAGAAGGCCCTCTGCCTGGTTCCCTGTAACATGGCTTCTTACAGCAAGGGAACCACCAGAAGGCCCTCAGAGCTGGACCTCAGTGTCCGGGCAGAACAATGGGGGTGGAAACGCTCCTTCAGGTATACTGGACTGAGGCCGTTTAGGGCTCTAAAGGTCAGCACCAACACTTTGAATTGTGCTCGGAAACATATGATTACCATTATCATTACATACCAACCATTTTCTGCCTTTTTCTAATGGTGCCCAAAATCTGGTCCGTGGAATGGGCTTCCCTCGGGAGGCTGTGGACTCTCCTTCCTTGGAGATTTTTAAGCAGAGGTTGGATGGTCGTTCATCAGGGATGCTTGAGTTGAGATTCTTGCATTGCAGGTGGTTGGACTAGATGACCCTCGGGGGGTCCTTTGCAATGCTACCATTCTATGATTCTACGGTCCGGCCAGCCCTTGTTCTGCTGTTGATCAGGGTAAAGAGTCCCGGTCTTGCAATATCCCTTTCTCTTTCCAAAAACCCTCAGGTCAATGCTCTATAACGGCTCAGATGTCCTCAGAGACTTGGAGTGGGTGATCTTTGACGAGGTGCATTACATCAACGACTCAGAGGTGAGGAAATGCGCACACCAAGGGGAGCAGGGCTTGGATCCGCCACGTACCAAGTCGAGGCAGTATTGTCTGCACAGGCTGGCAGCAGCTTTCCCGGGTCTGAGATCTTTCCTAGCCCTGCCTGCAGATGCCAGGAACTGAACCTGAGACCTGCTACCAGGGACTGCATTCTGCACGCCAATCAGAGCCTACAGCTCCTCTCCCCATCCGCAGCCTTCCTAGAAACATAGGTAGCTGCCTTGTTCTTCCGGGTCATGTGGCCAGCATGACTAAGCCGCTTCTGGCGAACCAGAGCAGCGCACGGAAACACCGTTTACCTTCCTGCTGGAGCAGTACCTATTTATCTACTTGCACTTTTGACGTGCTTTCGAACTGCTAGGTTGGCAGGAGCAGGGACCAAGCAACGGGAGGTCACCCCGACGCGGGGATTTGAACCACCAACCTTCTGATCGGCAAGTCCTAGGCTCTGTGGTTTAACCCACAGCGCCACCCGCATCCCACTCTGAACTGGTACAGTCCAGAATAGAGATGGCGAAGGCCTGGATGAAACCTGGAAAAATGAGGGGAGGGGGGAATTTTGTTGTTGTATTCAGGTCCTTCTGGCGGCCATGGGCCTGACATAGCAGAGGTCTTCTTAATTTCTTCCGTTCCCTTGCAGCGTGGGGTTGTCTGGGAGGAGGTTCTCATCATGCTGCCAGACCACGTGAACATAATTTTGCTGAGTGCCACCGTCCCCAACACCCTGGAGTTTGCTGACTGGATAGGGTAAGAAGTGGTGCAGTCGGAAACGAAAATCTTGGTGCTGAGATTCCTGCGTTGCAGGGGGTTGGACTAGATGGCCCTTGGGGGTCCCTTCCAACTCTGCAGTTCTATGGTTCTAGGAAGAGGGAGGGATGAGGGATGGAGGGGACTGGGCTGGGGAGGGAATAAAGGAGCATAGTGCTTTTATGGGATGTGAAAACCCTAATAAATGGCCAATTAAAGAATAGTAATAATAAATAATAATAAAATTTTATTTATACCCCGCCGTTCCCGGTTCAGAAAACCGGGCTCAGGGCAGCTAACAACAAATTTAAAACACTTAATTGTGATACAACAAAAAACAGCATAAAACATGAATAACAATAAATTCAGAATTCAAAAATCAATTTAGGGGGGAAATCCATCCAATAAACATTAGATGATCACCAGGGCTAGCTGGCTAAATTAGTCCTATTTGGGCCAGCGAGGAGACCAGGGGAGAATTAGCTGTGGGATCCCAGAGCGGGTAATCTTCATAAAAAGGGGAGAGGGAGGGAAGGAAGGGGAATAAAAGATCAGGCTAAGTTCAAATTGAAAGCCAGGCGGAATAGCTCTGTCTTACAGGCTGCGGAAGAAAGTTAAGTCCTGCAGGGCCCTAGTCTCATGGGACACAGCATTCCACCAGGTCGGAGCCATCACTGAAAAGGCCCTAGCCCTGGTGGAGGATAATCTGACTTAGGGCCCGGGACCTCTAAAGTATGATTATTCATGGACTTTAAGGTCCTCTGCGGGGCATACCAGGAGAGTAAAGGTAAAGGTAAAGGGACCCCTGATCATTCATTCCAGTCGTGGCCGACTCTGGGGTTGCTCATCTCGTTTTATTGGCCGAGGGAGCCGGCGTACAGCTTCCGGGTCATGTGGCCAACATGACGTAAGTTGCTTCTGGCGAACCAGAACAGCGCACAGAAACGCCATTTACCTTCCCGCTGGAGCGGTACCTATTTATCTACTTGCACTTTGACGTGCTTTTGAACTGCTAGGTGGGCAGGAGCAGGGACCGAGCAACGGGAGCTCACCCCGTCGCGGGGATTCGAACCGCCAACCTTCTTATCGGCAAGTCCTAGGCTCTGTGGTTTAACCCACAGCGCCACCCGCGTCCCTATACCAGAAGAGGCGGTCCCGTAAGTAGTAAGTGCTACAGCCAATGTCATGTTTGGTTGGGCACAGAGGATTGGTGGGAGGGAGCAGCTGGGGAACCCCCAAAGGAAGAAGGCTCAGAGCCCGGGGAGTGGTGGTGGGACGACAACACTTGGCAGAAGGCGAAGAGGGACAAGACTGAGAGGATGTTTGGAAGCTGAAGAGGTAACAGGGCTTGGTGTGAGCTAGGAGAGTTGTGGCAGAGAGAAGCCCAGAATCAAGCACAGAAGCTGAAACAGGAGAGGAGGGGGCCAAGAGGTAGAGATGAGGCAGGCTGCTGACGAGGGTCAGGTGTCTCCCCTTCCTACTACAACAAGCTCCCCTCCCCACTGGTGTCCCAGGACCAGAAGAGGCATGAAAAGGGCGGAGGAGACGTTGGCGACATGCAGTCTCAGATTGCTTGGGGGGAACCCTGAAGAGGAGGAGACATAGGCAGCTGTGGGGAAGCGGGGCCCTTTAGTCTCAGCAACTGCTTCATAGGGGCAAGACCTACCAAAGATGATAAGACCTACCAAAGATGAGAGCCAGTGTGGTGTAGTGGTTAAGAGCGGTAGTCTCGTAATCTGGGGAACCGGGTTCGCTTCCCCGCTCCTCCACATGCAGCTGCTGGGTGACCTTGGACTAGTCACACTTCTCTGAAGTCTCTCAGCCCCACTCACCTCACAGAGTGTTTGTTGTGGGGGAGGAAGGGAAAGGAGAATGTTAGCCGCTTTAAGACTCCAAAGGGAGTGAGAGGCGGGGCATCAAATCCAAACTCTTCTATAATGGTGTGCTCATTAGGCCTGACATCCTGCCAAGTCTGTGGAGGTTGTGTTTTTGCTAATGAAAGAGGTCACTCCAACTTGCTTGGTGCAATTTACTGCAGGCTCACCCCTGCCAGCAGGGATGGGAAACTTCAGCAGCAGCAGCCTAGGGACTTTTCACAGGCCCCACCCCCTCACCAGGTCCCACCCTTGATGGGAGCTGCTCCACACCCTCCTTAAGCGCTTCTCGCTGGCTGGGATGTGGCCTTAAACTCTGTCAATAATAATAATAATAATTATTATTATTATTATTATTATTATTATTATTATTATTATTATTTATACCCCGCCCTTCCCAGCCAAGGGCGGCTAACAAGCAATAATAAAAACAAGTTGAATGAATACAACTTGAAGACAAAATTAAAATACAACATTAAAATATTAAAATGTAGCCTCAGCGCAGGAGGAGAAAGGAAAAAGAAAGAGGGGGAGGGAATCAAATTGGCTCCAAGCCAAAGGCCAGGCAGAACAACTCTGTCTTACAGGCCCTGCGGAAAGAAATCAGATCCTGCAGGGCCCTGGTCTCATGAGGCAGAGCGTTCCACCAGGCCGGAGCCAGTGTTGAAAAGGCCCTGGCTCTGGTTGAAGCTAATCTAACTTCCTTAGGGTCCGGGACCACTAGGGTGTTGCTATTTATGGACCTTGAGGCTCTCCGTGGAGCATACCGGGAGAGGCGGTCCTGTAGGTATGAGGGTCCTAGGCCGTGAAGGACTTTAAAGGTCAAAAGCAGCACCTTAAATCTGACCCTGTACTCCACCGGGAGCCGGTGCAGCTTGAAAAGCACTGGATGAATATGCTCCCATGGCAGAGACCCCGTGAGGAGCCTCGCTGCAGCATTCTGCACCCGCTGGAGTTTCTGGGACAGCTCTTGCTTGCCTGTATGGAAGACAGAGAGGGGTGTCTGTGAGCACATCTAGAAGCCAGCTGATTGTACAAATGCAAAATTTGCATTTGTTGCCCCGCCCACCCCTGGCTTGCCTGTCTCCCATTGGAAGGTGGCCCAGAAGGGATAAAGAAGGGCTCCTCCCCCTTGCAGTACCATCATATCTATCACGCCAGCATCTGCCGTGTAGACGTGTGCCTTGGGTGAGCTGGGGGAAACAGGAGAGTCCGCAAGCCTGCAACTCAGCCATGCTGGGCATCCTTCTCTCTTTGCAGGAGGATCAAGAGGAAGAAAATCTACGTGATCAGCACCCTGAAGCGCCCCGTCCCGCTGGAACATTACCTGTACACAGGCAACAGCCAGAAAACGCAGAACGAGCTCTTCCTGCTGGTCGACGCCCGCGGCACGTTCCTGACCAAGGGGTGAGGGCCGATGCGCTGGCAGAGCGTCTCGGCGGCTGGTGGGAAGCCAAATGGCAGCCCCCACCCCACCTTGGTGGCCAAAAGTGTAGTAAGCCCAATAACTGCACTTTAATGGTGCCCCAGATCTTGTCTCCAGAAGCAACTCACTTAGTCCATCTAAATGGCAGGGGCATGGCCTTGTAAAACAGTTAGGGAAGGGAAGCCGGTGTGGCCGACGGCTGAGGATGATGGGAGTTGTAGTCCAGGAAGGTCAGGAGGGCATGGCATTGGCTACCGCTGGCATCAGGTTGGCTTGTTAACCATGCCTTAGGTTTACTCCAACCCCGGCCCAAGACACTCTCTTCCTGGCTGAGACAAGCTGAAAATGGCACCCCATCCCCTCTCCTCATTTTTTCTCTTTTTTTACTTGTAGTCCGTGGAATAATGTCTTATCCACCCTTTGCTTACGTACATAAAGTGAGAAATATTAATAATAATAATAATAATAATAATAATAATGGATCAGACTCTTACTGTCCAACCAGATTCCTATTGGTATCTTGGATACCTGAGCACAAAAGCCGCTTTCCCCGCTTGCGAGTCCCAACAACTCTGGTATTTTACCCTTGATTTGGCTTGTGATATATAGCCATCATGATGAGTAGCCATTGGTAGCTGTGGCTGCTCTCCATTAGTTTGTCCCAAACCCCTAAACTTTGTGTGCTTTATGAATGAATCCTTCCTTTGGCTGGCCTGAATCCTCCGTGGGGCCGGCCCTGCCAGTAGGCCGAGTGAAGCAGTTGCCTCAGGTGGCAGATGCTCAGGGATGGTTGGGGGAATGGTGGCAAGGCATCGGAAGGGCAGAGCTGGCATGTGCCACTCACAGCCTGCCCTGAGCGAACTTGCTCCCCATGGACGTGGTGGGGCGAGGGGTGCTGTCCTGTTGCCAGTATTGAAGTAAGATTCAGCTGCTGGTTTAGCTATGGAACTGGGAGCGGCGGCCATCTTGTCCTTTGCCTCAGGCAGCAAAAAAAGTTGACCGTCCAATGCTCAGCTCCACTAGATGGCTTGGAGTATTTCTGAGAGGAAAAAAACCTCTGTCCCTTTTGCCCTGCACCATGTGTAACTTTATACGCCTTGGTCGTGTTTCCTCTCGCCCCTTTCTCCCTATCCAAATGAATCCTCCAGGTATTACGATGCTGTGGATGCCAAGAAGGAGCGGGCCAGCAAGCATTCCCAGACCTTCGGGGCCAAGCAGCCCATGCACCCGGGGGCTGGGGCAGGCCAGGTACGCTGGGCCAGGTTCATCGCGGACCTGGGAGGGAGGGAGTTTGATGCTGGCCTGTTGGGAATCTGTGTACGTGCAGCTACTCACACAGAGTCAATTAAGGTTTGGCAGACAACCAGAAGGCAATCTGAAGGAATAAGTCTGCCTGGTGATAACAGAGACATGGAGACAGCTCCCTGATTGGTCAAGCTCTCTCAAGGGAGTGATAATTAATGGCCTACTAACTGGAATGTGTGAGTTCAGAGGTTCAGAGTTCTGTGTGTCAGTGTAGGAGTTGTGAGTCGTGTCAGAGAGAGCTAGCAAAAGATCCGTGTTCTGTTCCTGTAAATAGTCCACTGTATATAATAAACACTTAACTACAAGTTCCTGGTTCCTGCTTCGTCTATCCTGCCTGCAGCCAAGTCGCCAATTGCTTCTGTGGAGTCTGTGTTTACTCTGCTAGGTCTGGCTAAGGTCCTGCAACTAGTCAGAAAGTTGCCAAACACCAAATAGGTCCCCCCCCCCCCCCGGCATCAATAAATACATAAAATGACCCAGTGCTGCTGTGTGTTGTAACAAGAAGGGCAATGGAGAATGGGTTCATTAGGACCTAATGTCGCCACTTCTCCTTTGCCGTAGCTTTTTAAAAACAAGGGTGGGGGCGCCTTTTGGCGTGTGGAATCCTGAGCCCCCAACCCCCTGGCAGGCCACCTTGATAGGTGAGTGTGGCCATGGTGGCAGAGGCTGATGGGACTTGTAGTCCAGGATGCCGGCCTAGGCCCCAAGCCAAGTTGACCTGTGGCGTTCCCCTCAGGACAAGAACATCTGGCTCTCCCTCATCGACATGCTGCGCAAGAAGGACCAGCTGCCCGTGGTGGCCTTCACCTTCTCCCGCAACCGCTGCGACGACAACGCCTCCATGCTCACCACCGTCAACCTGACCACGACGAACGAGAAGAGCGAGATCCACGTCTTCTTCCAGAAGTGCATCTCCCGCCTGAAGGGCACAGACCGCCAGCTGCCTCAGGTCAGAGAGTGGGGCAGCGAGTGGTTGGCTTTGCGGCGAGACGCGCAGGGCGCTGGGCCTCTTGGCATGAAGGGGTCTCTTCAGTTTTAGGGTTGCTGAGGGGAACCGGGCCTCCAAACAGCTTCGCTGCCCAGGGAGGAAAAGCCATGCCTTGGAACAACTTAACTGCTAGATAGCGGCTTCATCACCTTCCACATGTGTCCCAAGGAGATGTACAATATAGAATTTTAAAAAGCTGTTTCATGTTGCTACTTGGCCTTTTGACTAAGATCAGGGGTAGCACCTGTTCTTTTCAGTTTAATATCTGATATGGCATCTGAGGACTATACTGTACAGTGGTACCTTGGTTCTTGAACGTAATCCATTCTGGGAGTCCGTTCAACTCCCGAAACCATTCGAAAACCAAGGCGCGGCTTCCAATTGGTTGCAGGAGCTTCCTGCACTCAATCAGAAGCTACAGAAGCCACGTTGGACATTCAGCTTCTGAAAAACGTTCGCAAACCGGAACACTTACTTCCAGGTTTTTGGCATTTGGGAGCCGATTTGTTCAACAACTAAGCCATTCGGGAACCAAGGTACCACTGTACGTTAAAAGTATTTTTGGTGCTGGGAGATGGAATAGGGGTTTGCCCCATCCACAGTGGTACATCGGGTTACAGATGCTTCAGGTTACAGACGCTTCAGGTTACAGACTCCGCTAACCCAGACATAGTACCTCGGGTTAAGAACTTTGCTTCAGTATGAGAACAGAAATCGCACAGTGGCGGCGCGGGGCAGCGGGAGGCCCCATTAGCTAAACTGGTACCTCAGGTTAAGAACAGTTTCAGGTTAAGAACGGACCTCCGGAACGAATTAAGTTCTTAACCCAAGGTACCACTGTACCAGCACCTTGTACTTGGCCCACCTTGGATTTCAGCCTGGCTTAAGACTTCAAAATGGCCGCCGCTCCCAAGTTGTCTCGCAAGCCTAAGCATCAACATGGCCGCCAGAGTTGTATAGACGTTATTTCCAAGGAGTTTCTTGACAGCCTCTTTCAGTAGAGAAATCCAAGATGGTGACGAGCTTCCTGGAAGCAATAGGGAAGGGGCTGCCGGGCCTTGTCGTTTTTTAACAGCGTTTTAACAGCCCGGTTGCTGTTCTTCTAGGTCCTTCATATGGTGGATCTCTTGAAGCGAGGCATTGGGGTACATCACAGCGGCATCCTGCCCATCCTAAAGGAAGTGGTGGAGATGCTGTTCAGCAAAGGCCTCGTCAAGGTGAGTCCTGTGAGCTTATACTTTGGAGAGGTGCCGCCGTGTGGCTGTTAAGAGTGCTAGACTCAGACTGGGGTCACATCCGCACTCTTATGCCGCTTTTAGCAGTCATGGCTTCCCCCCAAAGAATCCCGGGAGCTGTAGTTTGTGGAGGGTGTGGCTCTGTGAGCGAGTCTCCCAACAGCGCCTAGCACCCTTAACATTTCCCAGGATTCTTTGGGGGGGAAGCCATGACGGTTTAAAGTGTGGATGTGACCTGAAGTGGACACAGGTTCCTGTTCCCGCTTGGCACGAGCGTCTCCACCCCCATCATCTAGCCCGGACACTGAGGTCCATCTCCAAGGGCCTTCTGGTGGTTCCCTCACTGTGAGAAGTGAAGCTACAGGGAACCAGGCAGAGGGCCTTCTCAGTGGTGGCGCCCGCCCTGTGGAACGCCCTCCCACCAGATGTCAAGGAAATAAACAACTATCTGACTTTTAGAAGACACCTGCTCTGTATTGGGAATTTTTTAATGTCTGATGTTTTATTGTGTTTTTAATATTCTGTTGGGAGCCGCCCAGAGTGACTGGAGAAACCCAGCCAGATGGGTGGGGCAACAACAACAATAATAATAATAATAATTAATAATAATAATAATAATTAATAATAATAATAATAATGCCCACAGGTGAGGATGAAAGGGCGGGGGCCTCTTACAAGCTACCTTGAGTTCCTTGGAGGAAAGCGAGATGAAAATATAAAAAAAAAATTAAAAGAAACTGAACGGTTGGGGGTGGGAGTGGATATTTCACCCCTCCCGTTGCAAGAATCTCCTGACAATGTTTTCAGAAAGGAGGGGGCGGAATCTGCTCATCCCTTCTCCTCCAGCCTGACTCTGTGGGAGTCTGAGTGTTCTCTGTGTAGAGATAAGATGGCTGCTTCAGCAGCTGTAACACTCATGCAGTCCAGTGCTTAGTTTCCAGTTTATTTTTCAGTTTGCAGTAGCTGTAAAAGAATAAAGAAGTTACGCTTCAGAGCCGTCGTTCGTGTGATTCATACTCTGCTGTGCTCTGCTGACTTTGGTGCTCCCAGCTCAAAGTTGTGAGTCCGTTGCACTTAGACCTGCTTCTCTGCAGTGGAAGGTCTCTGGAAGTGCTTTCCCAGCTCACCTGGCCCAGTCGGGGCTGAAGAGGTTGAGCCCAGTCGTTGGCACCGGCTCAAAGGCGAAGCCGACAGTGGGCAGGGGACAAACATAAGGAGCAACTTGACAACATTTTTCTCCATTGTTCTTGATTCAGATCCTCTTTGCCACTGAGACTTTCGCCATGGGAGTGAACATGCCGGCAAGGACAGTGGTCTTTGATTCGATCCGCAAACACGACGGCACAAACTTCCGGGATCTGGTGCCAGGTAACAGGGAAAGCGGAGGGAGGGCAGGCAACTTTCACGTGCACCTGTTTTGCAGACCGCAGTGGCAGAGTACCTCCCTGGCCTTAATGCTTGCTTTCCTTCCATATTTAATCATTTCCCTGCCCCCTGTTCCTCCGTGGGTTTTTCTACCCACGTTTTATTCTCTAGCTTCTTAAAGAATTGTAGAGTTGGAAGGGACCCTGAGGGTCATCTGGTCCAACCCTCTACAATGCAGGAATCTCAACTGAAGCATCCAGGACAGCTGGCCACTCTGCTTAAAAACCTCCAGTGAAGGAGAGTTTCCAAGGGAGTCTGTTCCACTGTTGAACAAGCTCTTCTTCTTTCTTTTTTTAAATCATTTTTATTGATTTTCCAATAAAAAACATCCAATTAATATCAATCCAATCATAACGCTCCAATTAAAATAAAAAACTAAAAGAAAAAAAGACCAAATTATAATTTTTAATTTTTCGAGCTCCCCACGGTCTGGATCTCTGAAGCATATCTCCACATCTCAGTCCTGCCTCTCCTCGTTGTTTCCATATTTTCCACATCTCAATTTTGACGCTTTATAATTCCGTTCCCTGAGTCCACGATTCGCAATCGTGTCAAACATCATATACTTTCATCCGTCGGATACTGCTTTGTACAGTGGTACCTCGGGTTACATACGCTTCAGGTTACGTACGCTTCGGGTTACAGACTCCGCTAACCCAGAAATAGTACCCTGGGTTGAGAACTTTACCTCAGGATGAGAACAGAAATGGTGCGGCGGCAGCAGGAGGCCCCATTAGCTAAAGTGGTGCATCAGCTTAAGAACAGTTTCAGCTTAAGAACAGACCTCCGGAACGAATTAAGTTCTTAACCCGAGGTACCACTGTATATATTTTTCCAACTGTCTTTTTCTCAGCGCAGCTTCATCTGACTCCGTTCCAATCTGGGATGAACAAGCTCTTCTTGATAGCTTTCATGGTGGGCACCGAAGCAGCGATAGCTTGCCTGTATTGCTGCAGGAGAAAGAGGAGTGAGGCCAGATCTGTGGTGGCTGCTCATCTTCCTTTCTGGCCAAATGTTAAGACTGGGGATGTGCGTGCAATGTTGTTCCTCCCGTCCTGCAATAAATTACAAAGCTCCCAGCTGCAGGTCTCACCTTACAAGCGGCAAGTCTAGTATCAGCAGCAAGATACGGACATGGTGTTGCTCATTGATTCACCTGGTAGCAAGCTGCCATTCACCCCAGGTGCTGAGGCAGGAACTGTTGTCCGCCTGGATAGATTCCTAGTTGGCAACCATTATTTACTGAAGAGCCCCTTTTGACCGCAGTGCCAACCATCTAATGACAGGAGCTCGTCCTACTCTCGAGTAGGACCCTGGTAGAGACACATGCCCGACTGGCATGTTATCTCCCTCCTGGTCGTTCGTTTGGGAGCTTCAAAAGCTTTCTTCTGCCCGAACATCACAGCGACCGATGCCAACCGACACCGGCACACTTAGGGATTTGCAGAGTCTGCGCAATTTGTGTGACAGACCTCAGCAACTCAGCATTTTGGCTAATCTAGTTTATTGACCGTAATTTTCGCTCTATAGGACGCACTTTCTCCGCAAGCCTTCTGAGTGTGGCGGGAGTTCCCACCGGGCTCCGAAGGCTTGCGGAAAGCAGCCTGTTCTGGGGGCTGGGGTCGGGGGAGGCTCGGGCTTCGAGGTTGCTCGGGCATCCCCCGTTCCAGCCCCGCAAGCCCTGGGAGCGTGTGCAGCTTTTCCCGGCTGGAGAGGTTGCACGTGGGTAAAGAGGAAGCCAAGACAGCTGTTGGCAATATTTTTTCCCCCTTTATTTCCCCCCCTAAAAACTAGGTGCGCCCTATGGTCCAGTGCGCCCTATGGAGCGAAAAATACGGTACATATAAACACACATAGAGCACTGCAACATGGCTCCCTCTCTCTCTAGCTTCAGACAGGAAAGAGAAAGAACAAAGGACAATAGTCCCACTTCACGGAACACAGTAACACAAACATCCTGTTTCCGTCACTTCCCACTCCATGACTGCAATCACGGAGCAGGAATTCTAACATCTAAGTGCATGTTTCTTTCTCGCACAGCTGAGTACATCCAGATGGCAGGCCGAGCTGGACGCCGAGGTCTCGACACCACGGGGATGGTGATCATCTTGTGCAAAAGCCAAGCGCCTGAGATGGCTGATCTTCACCGGATGATGTTGGTGAGTTAGGCGTACAAACGCACACAAACTGTTTCCCATCCCTGTTGCACCTGATTACTCTGCAATGGGGTGTCCTTAAAAGTGTGAGGGCTGAAATAACGTATCATAAGAGCTTTCCTTCTGGGTCGAGCCTAAATGTAATCCAGAGCTTGCAAGGAGGACAGGAGAACCAGAATCTCTTTGGTCTTGGCAACTGGTATTTCGAGGCTTCTGACCTTGGAAGTTGCTCTTAGCTACTTTAGCTGATCAACGTGGTTAGACTAGGACCTGGAAGACCAGGTTCAAATCACGGCTTGACCATGAAGCTCACTGGGGGATTTTGGGCCGGTCACTCACTCTCAGTCATATCTACCTTACAGGGTTGTTGTGAAGATAAAATGGGGAGGAGGAGGACTATGTGCTTCTCCTTGACCTCCTTGGAGGAAAGGGTGAGATATAAAGGCAATAAGTAAATACAGTGGTACCTCGGGTTACATATGCTTCAGGTTACATACGCTTCAGGTTACAGACTCCGCTAACCTAGTAATAGTGCTCCAGGTTGAGAACTTTGCTTCAGGATAAGAACAGAAATCGTGCTCTGGCGGCGCGGCAGCAGCAGGAGGCCCCATTAGCTAAAGTGGTGCTTCAGGTTAAGAACAGTTTCAGGTTAAGAACGGACCTCCGGAACTAATTAAGTACTTAACCTGAGGTACCACTGTAGTTTATTTAGCACAATCCATTTTTAAAAGCCATTTCTATGCTTGTGTGAATTTTCTGCGAGGTGAGTAAATCTGTATTGCTTTCACTCTGCGTAAATTCTGCCGATTTTTACCATTTGGCATAATCCACAAACATACCAAGACCGATTTGAGTCTTCTCGCAATCATCCTCATTTAGCCAAAGTTTATGCACAACACAAGGGTGGCGCTGTGGGTTAAACCGCAGAACCTAGGACTTGCTGATCAGGAGGTTGGTGGTTCGAATCCCCGTGACGGGGTGAGCTACCATTGCTCGGTCCCTGCTCCTGCCCACTTAGCAGTTCGAAAGCACGTCAAAGTGCAAGTAGATAAATAGGTACCGCTCCGGCGGGAAGGTAAACGGCGTTTCCGTGCGCTGCTCTGATTTGCCAGAAGCGGCTGAGTCATGCTGGCCACATGACCCGGAAGCTGTATGCCGGCTCCCTTGGCCAATAAAGCGAGATGAGCACCGCAACCCCAGAGTCGGCCACAACTGGACCTAATGGTCAGGGGTCCCTTTACCTTTGCCTATGCACAACACAAGGGAAAGAAATCAGCATCAGTGTTTTGCTCTTGTGCCCTAGAAGCATCAGCCAGCCATCTCTCTCTAGCTTTGGAGATAGTAGCAGGCATTGCTTCCATTCAGCCATAAGAGCTAGAAACTTGGCTGCTGCTTTTAAACAGATACGGGGATTCTCCAGAAGCTGAATTCACTGCTCCCAGTGCCATTTTCTGTGCACCTGCAAAACCGCAATGGAGACACAGCCAGATGGATTTCTACAGCCAGATGGGCAGGGTAGAAATAATGAATTATTATTATTATTAATTTTATTATTACTGCTTGTTGGTATATAGGCTTCCTAGAAGGGCCTTAAGGTCATGAAGAAGAACCCTGTAGCTGGTTCAGGCAAATGCCCCGCCTAGTCCAGCAAGGCAGAGGCCCCCGATGCGAAACCTGTGAGAGCAGAGGCATTTGGGAAAAACAGCTTTGCTGCCTTCCTCTCCCAACTCTCCTCCTCTGTCCCTCCAGGGCAAACCCACCCAGTTGCAGTCCCAGTTCCGCCTCACCTACACCATGATCCTCAACCTGCTGAGAGTAGAAGCCCTTCGTGTGGAGGACATGATGAAGAGGAGCTTCTCTGAGTTCCACACCCGGAAGGACAGCAAGGTAGGTCTCTGGAGAGAGTGGGTGTCAGAAGCGAGCCGGCAGCTAGTCACACCACGCCGTGTAAGTTGGAGTTAAATCTTTATTAACAAAATTATGCTCCGCACAGGAGTGTCAAGCCTAATGAGCACAGTAACTCATCTCTAGTAGGTCTTGCTCTCATCAAACAGGTGCTGGGACTGAAAGACCCCACAGCTGCCTAAGTGGCCACCCACACCCCAGTTTATTTCCCAGCAATCTGAGACTTTGTCTGTGCATCACCAATCTCTCCTCTACCCTTTTCATGCCTCTACTTGTTCTGGGAGACAAGCATGGAGGGGAGACACCCGTGCCTCTTCCCCAGCCAGACTCATTGCACACACCCCTCCTCTCCAGCCTCTACTGATTCTGGACTTTTCTCTGCCGCAGACTCCTCTCAGCTCACGAAGCCTTGTTTCCCCTTTAGCTTCCAACCCGCCTCTTCCCAGTCTGCGCCCTCTTCTCTGCCTGACCACGCATGGTTGTCCCACCACCACCACTCCCTGGGCACTGTGCCACCTTCTTCCCTTGAGGGTTCCCCAGCTGGGGTCTCCCACCATTCCTCTGTGGCCAACCAGTATGTGGCTCCCTGGGGAACAGAAGAAAGGACAGGTGTCGTAACCAGATCTGACTTGAGGACACTTGGAAAGTCCAGGGCATGAGTTGGGCAGCAGCCGGAACTCCTGTCATGTAAGGATCTTAAACACTGTTGTAAACAAAAATTGCCCTTTTCCCTTATGGGGGACACAAGAGCCCATATAGAGTCCTTAAGTGGGTTCCCTATTGGTAGGAGAAGATAACAGAGGCCAACCAGAGAATATTGAGAAGCAAAGCAGCTAGTAAGCCTGATCTTTATTGATCTGTTGCAACAGGGTGCTCCCCTCACCTGCAGGAGAGGAGGAGGAACCCAGAACAAGGGTGCACAAGGTCTTACAAAGACTTTTGAAATTGCCACCCTGTAGATCAAGACCACCCCCAGAAACATCATACATACATCACAGAAAAGGCGGTCTAAAACAGAAATTTGAATGTTGTTTTTCCTGTTTGCCAGGTTATCTGCTTGCCTTTCCTGATTGTCTTTCCTGATAGTCTGTCACCCATTAAAATGCTGATTACTCAATTCCTGAGACAATGGGAAGGCTCCCTGACCCTCCTCCCTCCTTGCAGGGAAAACATTTGGTCAGTTTGGGAATCAAAATGGTTCCAGGTCGGTCTTCCTGTGCTGATCTATGTACGTGCTTGGTTGGTACGCTTATGAACACTACCATATATTTGAGACCTCAAAATTCCTATCACAACACACACACACACATACACACACCCTACAGGTCCAAGGCTGTATGGGAGGAGCAAAGGAATAAGAGGGGAATTGTAGATCAGGGCTAGGAATTTATGCCTCCCTGGATGTTGCTGGACAACTCCCATAATTCCTGGTCAGCTATCCTGGCTGATGGGAGGCTTGGGAGTCCAATAACGTTTGCAGGGCTGCAGGCTCCCCTTCCGTGTTTGATGGAGGTCTGCATGCAAATATGGAAGAAGCCAAATAATAATAATAATAATAATAAATAATAAATTTTATTTATACCCCGCCCTCCCTGGCCAGAGCTAGGCTCAGGGCGGCTAACACCAATAAAATCACATTAAAAACATAATAGGGGGGAAAGGGGGGGGACCAATTTAAAATACAGGTTAAAATGCAATTTAAAATGCAGCCTCATTTTAAAGTAGCTGATAAATCAATACCATAAGGGGAAGCAAACATAAGGGTCAGACCGAGTCGGGAACGTGGGGAAGAAACCAGAAGGCAGTTGATTGAAGATCAGCATGGTGTACACATGAGAATTTTAGAAGTGGATCAGGTAATTAGTCCATTTGATCCAGTGTTGTCTGCCTGCTGCCAGGGAATGAAGCTAGAAGCATTCTGATTGCCAAGAACGTCTCCTCCGCTAACCTGTGGGTGCTGTCTGTCCAGGCTCCCTTAAGTCTTGCGCCCCCCCCTCTCTTGGGGAGAGTCTGGGCCTTTCCCTCTTCACATCGCTCCACCTTCCCTGACCCCCTTCCCTCCTAGGTCCACGAACACAGGATTGCCCAACTGAGCTGCATCTTGGCCAACATGGAAGCATCAGATCTGTCGGGACAGCTTGGCGACTTAGAGGAGTATTATCATGTGGTCCGAGAGCTACAGGAGACCCGGGAACTCATACAGGTGCTGATTTGGGGGGGGGGGGGATCTGGAGAACGGGGGTGCAGAGCTCTGCCCTCTCAGAGAGTGGCCCTTGTTTTGGAAGTTGATGGACCCATGGGCTAGACAGTATCGCCCAGTGCCTCTAGGTGGCGCTGTTGGTGCGTCTGCCCAAGGTAGAGTACTCAGGCTGCATGAGATGCTCTGGGATAGGATGGCTTGCTTTGTTCAATGAGAGGGATCAGTTGTGGGCATTGAGGCAGCCGCATGCCCTGGCTCTCCTTGGAACAGGAAGGGAAAGAAGAATGTCTTGGCGCTTCCCGATTTGGAGTTTTCAGGTCTCATCCAGGAGGAGAGAGATTTGAGGATCAGGAGGTGGTGACGAGAGGGATAATCTCTTCCCCCTTTTTTCAGGGGGCACAAGCTTAAACCTGCTCACAGGGCTGTAGTTTGAGTGCTCACTGTGCCAGCCATGTCAGCCAGGCCCTTCTCAAGATACTCCATTCCGTTTCTCCTCTCCCAACTGAGTTTTCTCCCATCCACCCCAAAATGCCCACAGTCTGCCGGTATTCCATGGCTACAAAGCGTTCTTAGTCTCCATTGGGCTGTTTTGGGTCGTGTCACTGTACCCATGAAGGTTTGTTTGCTTGTTTGTACTAAAGTCCCTTTGTTCTTCAAACAAACCCGAAGCCTGCTGATATAATAATAATAATAATAATAATAATAATTTATTATTTATACCCTGCCCATCTGGGTGGGTTTCCCCAGCCACTTTGGGTGGCTTCCACCGAATATTAAAAACAATACAGCATCAGACATTGAAACTTCCCTAAACAGGGCCGCCTTCAGTTGTCTTTTAAAAGTAAATTAGTTGTTTATTGCCTTGCCATCTGCTGGGAGGGGATTCCACAGGGAGGGCACCACTACCGAGAAGGCCCTCTGCCTGGTTCCCTGTAACCTCACTTCTCGCATCTAGGGAACCGCCAGAAGGCCCTCGGCGCTGGACCTCAATGTCTCCCTCTTTGGCATAAACAATGCCATGTAAGCAACGGCGCTTACACCTGGACATGGGGAAATATAGAGAAAAACCCATGGGATCTTTGCCCCCTTTGCCAAAAGGGCCCAAACTAAAGAAGAATGGCAACTTAAGCTGATGGAATATGCCCAGCTTGCAGATTTAACGTATGGCATAAGAGAACAAGAAGAAAGTATGTTGAAAGAAGATTTAAAAATGTTTACTGAATATATGGGGGGAAATTGTGTACACTTGAAAATGATGGCAGAATTAAGGTAAATTCAACAATGTAAATAAGTTTTGATGGATGTAACAATGGAATACTGAATGGTTTAGTTCATGTAAAGTATGCAGGGGTTTATGGTATGCAAAATAAACCACGGAAAGAGAAGGGAAGTCACTGACAATGTAAGGTTGTTTAAATGAGTGTAAAGGTAAAGGTAAAGGGACCCCTGACCATTAGGTCCAGTCACGGACAACTCTGGGGTTGCGGCGCTCATCTCGCTTTATTGGCCGAGGGAGCCGGCGTACAGCTTCCAGGTCATGTGGCCAGCATGACTAAGCCGCTTCTGGCGAACCAGAGCAGTGCACGGAAATGCCATTTACCTTCCCACTGGAGCGGTACCTATTTATCTACTTGCATTTTGACGTGCTTTCGAACTGCTAGGTTGGCAGGAGCAGGGACCGAATAACGGGAGCTCACCCCGTCACGGGGATTCAAACCGCCGACCTTCTGATTGCCTAGTCCTAGGCTCTGTGGTTTAACCCACAGCGCCACCCACGTCCCTTAAATGAGTATATTAAATTGTAAAACAGAATATATATATATACACACACACACAGAGACAGTGTGTGTGTGTGTGTGTGTGTGTGTGTGTGTGTATATATATATATACAGTGGTGCCCCGCAAGACGAACGCCTCGCAAGACGAAAAACCCGCTAGACGAAAGGGTTTTCCGTTTTGGAGGCGCTTCGCAAAACGAATTTCCCTATGGGCTTGCTTCGCAAGACGAAAGCCCATAGGAAAATCTCCGGTCCGCGAAGCCTGGGCGCGCTGATCTCAGCGCGCGCAGGCTTCGGCATGCCGGCAACTCTCCGCGAGCAGCGGCAGCGCTGCCGCTGCTCGCGGAGAGGTCCGCGAAGCCTGGGCGCGCTGATCTCAGCGCGCGCAGGCTTCGGCATGCCGGCAACTCGCCGCGAGCAGCGGCAGCGCTGCCGCTGCTCGCGGAGAGGTCCGCGAAGCCTGGGCGCGCTGATCTCAGCGCACCCAGGCTTCGGCATGCCTGCAACTCTCCGCGAGCAGCGGCAGCGCTGCCGCTGCTCGCGGAGAGGTCCGCGAAGCCTGGGCGCGCTGATCTCAGCGCGCCCAGGCTCGGCATGCCGGCAACTCTCCGCGAGCAGCGGCAGCGCTGCCGCTGCTCGCGGAGAGGTCCGCGAAGCCTGGGCGCGCTGATCTCAGCGCGCCCAGGCTTCGGCATGCCGGCAACTCTCCGCGAGCAGCGGCAGCGCTGCCGCTGCTCGCGGAGAGGTCCGCGAAGCCTGGGCGCGCTGATCTCAGCGCGCCCAGGCTTCGGCATGCCGGCAGCTCTCCGCGAGCAGCGGCAGCGCTGCCGCTGCTCGCGGAGAGGTCCGCGAGCCTGGGCGCGCTGATCTCAGCGCGCCCAGGCTTCGGCATGCCGGCAACTCTCCGCGAGCAGCGGCAGCGCTGCCGCTGCTCGCGGAGAGGTCCGCGAAGCCTGGGCGCGCTGATCTCAGCGCGCCCAGGCTTCGGCATGCCGGCAACTCTCCGCGAGCAGCGGCAGCGCTGCCGCTGCTCGCGGAGAGGTCCGCGGAGCCTGGGCGCGCTGATCTCAGCGCGCGCAGGCTTCGGCATGCCGGCAACTCTCCGCGAGCAGCGGCAGCGCTGCCGCTGCTCGCGGAGAGGTCCGCGAAGCCTGGGCGCGCTGATCTCAGCGCGCCCAGGCTTCGGCATGCCGGCAACTCTCCGCGAGCAGCGGCAGCGCTGCCGCTGCTCGCGGAGAGGTCCGCGAAGCCTGGGCGCGCTGATCTCAGCGCGCCCAGGCTTCGGCATGCCGGCAACTCTCCGCGAGCAGCGGCAGCGCTGCCGCTGCTCGCGGAGAGGTCCGCGAAGCCTGGGCGCGCTGATCTCAGCGCGCCCAGGCTCCGGCATGCCGGCAACTCTCCGCGAGCAGCGGCAGCGCTGCCGCTGCTCGCGGAGAGGTCCGCGAAGCCTGGGCGCGCTGATCTCAGCGCGCGCAGGCTTCGGCATGCCGGCAACTCTCCGCGAGCAGCGGCAGTGCTGCCGCTGCTTGCGGAGAGGTCCGCGAAGCCTTGCCTGGACAGCTTTTGAAGGCAGGTGGGGGGACAAAGACTTTCGCCCCCGCCAGCCTTCAGAAGAGGTCCAGGACCTCTTCTGAAGGCTGGCGGGGGCAAAGTCTTTGTCCCCCTGCCTGCCTTCCCAGGGGCTTTTTAATTGCCCCGGACAGCGGAGAAGTCCTCCGCTGTCCCGGGGCAATTTTAAAATGCCGCCCGCCAGCATTTTAAGATCGCCCCGGACAGCGGAGAAGCTCTCCGCTGTCCCGGGGTTTTAAAATGCTGGGGGTGGAAGAAAAGCCCTTGTCCCCCCCAGCCTTCAGAAGAGGTCGGGGACAGACTGTCCCCGGACCTGGTCTGAAGTCGGTTTCCTAGGAACGCATTAATTGATTTTCAATGCATTCCTATGGGAAACCGTGCATCGCTAAGACGAAAAACTCGCAAGAAGAAAAAACTTGCGGAACGAATTAATTTCGTCTTGCGAGGCACCACTGTATATATATATATATATATATATATATATATATAACTTTGCCAAAGGATGTTCCCTCGTAGCTGTGCTAAGTTGCTGTTGCACATTCACCTCCATAACCAAGAAGACTACAGTTTGGTTCTGTTCTGAACGTTCGCCAAAGGTCTCAAGATTTAAAAGCATCTTGAGGAGAAAGGGACCATGGGTTGCCTTCCTCTGACCTGGCTTATGTCTATAGGAAGGAGAAAGACTTTCTGGAGCAGGGTGGGGTTTGGATCCAGCATCCTTCCTGCTCCTCAAAAGTTGTGGATACAGGACTGGCTACTTTGGAAGAAAACTTGGAAGCAAGAGCCCAAGGTCTTTCTGTTTTAGAATTCCAGTTATGGTGTCCTAAGTGTGCTGTTTGCGTGTGTGTCATCCTCTAGCTGTTTCTCACTTTCAGAGGCGAGTCATGGAGTCAATGAACGGACTGAAGGCCCTTTCCGTGGGACGGGTGATCGTTGTGAAAAATCAAGAGCACCGAAATGCCCTGGGGGTGATTTTGCAGGTAAGTGGGGGCGTTTCTCCAGCACCATGTGCTAAAGAACCCCAAATTCGGTGCTCACAGGTGTAGACTGTTTGATTCAGTAACATTTCTTTACCGCCTGATTGTAATAAACAAAACAAAACCCCACCTCTAAGCTTTTTACAAGAAGAAAGATAAATGAGACATGCTCTTGTGTCTAGGTTGGTTGGTTTGTTTTGCTCATGGATAGATTTGGGCTTGGAAAAGTCAAGGATCTGAAGATGATATGTAGGGCATTGAGACTCAAGACTGAGTCTTGTTCAGTCACTGCACCCAAAAACCCAGACTTTTAACCCTGGCATGCAAGTTGTCTCCTCAAGCATGAGGACTAGATTCTTGGTTTTCCATACAAAAACTGTTCTCTATTGCTCAAGCAACTTATTCTCCCCCCACCCCTCTCTCTCTCACACATATATATATATATACACACACATACATATATATAGAGAGAGAGAGAGTTAGGAAGACTTATAGACCACTTAATCATAAAACTCTCTAAGAAGTGCAAACATAAGAAAATTGTTGATAAAATGCTACTAAAATCCCCAAAACTGTTCAGAAAAGTATATGCAAGACAAAATCAACAAAACCTTTAAATCATAGTCTAAATTATATGTCTGTGTAGGCTTGCTGTAATAATCATAAAAAAGCTTTCAGCAGGTATCTAAACAACACAGTGCCTACAAATGGATCGACAAATTCACTAAGGCAGGATCTAACTTTCTTTAACATAGAAGAGGAAGGAAGCAACACTGAGCTATTTAGATGGGGGGGGGGGGCAATTTGCAGTTGGGGACTCAATGTTAGCTGGTATTAGGACCAGCCCAAATGTCACAAAAGTTCTCCAAAACTCAGAATTTGGAGGTGAGGCGGATAGAAAGCTGGTTTGATGCTGAAGTCAGTCTGCATTTAATCAGCATTGTAGTAGAACATGGGTAGGCAAACTAAGGCCCGGGGACGAGATCCGACCCAATCGCCTTCTCAATCTGGCCCATGGACGGTCCAGGAATCAGCGTGTTTTTACATGAGTAGAATGTGTCCTTTTATTTAAAATGCATCTCTGGGTCATTTGTGGGGCATAGGAATTCATTCATTCCCCCCCCCATATAGTCCGGCCCCCCACAAGGTCTGAGGGACAGTGGACCGGCCCCCTGCTGAAAAAGTTTGCTGACACCTGTGGTAGAATAAAAGAAGAGGAGACTATAGGGATGAGGAATCAGTGTTGCTGTTGGACTACAGTTCCCATCATTCCCAACTGTTGGCCATGCTGGTTGGGACTGATGGATGGTGGAGTCTAACAGTATCTGCAGCTTTCCTCCACAAATCTCCTTAGCACTCTGCAGAACTTGAGTCGCACTTAAGCGGCGTCAGATCTGATGCAGTTGCTCTCTGAGAGAGTGGTAGTCTCGTAATCTGGTGAACCGGGTTCGATTCCCTGCTCCTCCACATGCAGCTGCTGGGTGACCTTGGGCCAGTCACACTTCTCTGAAGTCTCTCAGCCCCACTCACCTCACAGAGTGTTTGTTGTGGGGGAGGAAGGGAAAGGAGGATGTTAGGCGCTTTGAGACTCCTTCGAGTAGTGATAAAGCAGGATATCAAATCCAAACTCTTCTTCAAACTCTTCTCTGTCTCTGGCCCACTTTTGCCAAGGGATGCACAACCTCAACTGTGACGACCCCATGGATGGTTGTTTAGGCTGGAGGCCGGACGAGGAAAAGGTAGCCTGTTTACTCCCCTTTGCAAATCACGTTCCCGGCCTCTTGACTTCAGGTTTCCTCTGACGCGGCCAACCGAGCCTTCAGCACTTTGGTGATGTGCGAGAAAAAGCTGTCAGAGGGGGACGCGGCTGCTTGCAAGGAGGCCGGTTCCCCTTCCCCTCCAGAGGTGCCTCTTCCTGATGACCTTCTGCACACCAAGCTCTTCCTTCCAGAGGGTAAGGCGAAATAGGGGTTGATTTGGGGGGAAACGAGGTTTGTGGTTTTATATTACAGGGCAGATTCTGCATCTTCTTTTTTTACTAAGAACCCTGAGGTCCGCCAGCCAGACCCTGGTTGCAAAATAGTGGTTCAGGGCGGGGAATCCTCTTGGGATTAAGGAATGGGCTGCCTCTGAGCATATTCTTGGCCCAGGAGTTTGTCTTCAGTACCAGAACTAAATTTGCAGCTGTTTCACACAAAGGATCGTTCCTGGTCTTCCCCTTACCCATAGCAGATTTCTTCATCTCAGCAGCCTAACTTACAAGGAAGGGAAAACCTTTTGTTATCGCTGCTAAAAAAATAAGATAACACAGAGGGAGTTGTAAATCCTTGCTGATCTACTGCAAGTTTCCCACACTAGAGCCTGATCTCCCTTTTGCTGACCTTTAAATAAGAGGGGTGGGAGCAAAGCATCATTTTTGCCTGTTGTCAACAGATCTGCTTGCATTCCCACAAGGAACTCAAAGTGAGATGAATGAATGAATTTTATTATTTCGGTCACAGACCAGTTCCTGCCCACATACAATATCAAGGAGGTCATAAAACACGATAGGGATACATTTGAAATTGCAGTTAGGTATAGCAGGGACAATACAGATACAGCAACAGTTTAAATATATATAAATTAAAACTTAGTCACTAACATATAACCTAAAATTATCATTTAGAACCTTAATCATTATGATAGCACAGCTTGTTCCCTAAGTTTTATGGCAATCGCACAGAATTTGGCTACCCTTAATGTGATCTCAGGGTCCTTGTCCTCTACCAGGGATTTTAGACATTGAAGTTCGGATTCATTTGGAGAGTTTTGCATAGCAGGGGTAATAAATACCGAGCGTGAGATAACATTCCAAGTTGTGTGTGCACGTTAAGCATTCCAAATACCATATTTTTTGCTCTATAAGACACACTTTTTCCCTCCTAAAAAGTAAGGGGAAATGTGTGTGCGCCTTATGGAGCAAATGCAGGCTGCGCAGCTATCCCAGAAGCCAGAACAGCTGAGCGCAGCCTCTTCCGGGCAGGGGGAGCCTTCATTCCGCTGCCCGGGAGAGGCTGTGCGTGGCTATCCCAGAAGCCACAACAGCAAGAGGCTATCCCAGAAGCCAGATCCCTCTTGCTGTTCTGGCTTCTAGGATTCAGAATATTTTTTTTCTTGTTTTCTTCATCCAAAATCTAGGTACGTCTTATCGTCTGGTGGGTCTTATAGAGTGAAAAATACAGTAACCCTTTTCAAACTAGCAGGAGAAAAGTAGGAGAGCTTGATAGGAGGAGACAGCCTTTTTTCAAATGTCACTGGCAATAATTTAGTTCAAGAGAACCAGAAACTTGTTTTTTAAAAGAAGTTGGCTGAGACATAAGCAGTGCATCTAGGAATCCATAATTGTGCAAATGGTTGATTTTGGCCCTGTGTTCTGGGTTGGGACAGCCGAGGGAGGCTTGCAATATATGTGTGTATATATTTCTCCACCCCACGTAGGCCCTTGCGGACATACTATAAAGAAACTGGGCCCATCAGACATTTTCGGTGTCACAAACAAAACTCTGCGGGTCAATGCTGAGCGCATCCTGGAAGATTTCAAGAAGCGCCAGATGCCCAGGTTCAGGTGAGACAGGAGTTCAGCCAGCAGGTGAGGAGGGTGGGAGCTGGAGGTCAGCAACACCTGGATTGGCGCAGGTTCCCCATCCCTTGTGTCTAAGGTGATAATGCTCAGTGTTGGAGGGTGGCAGAGAGCGAGTCCTTACAGCTGTAGCAGAACTGCGTAAAGTACTTTGGGTGGGTGCGGGGGGCAGAAATAGGAGAGCTTGTTGCTCTCCAAGAAGCGTCTCATGTCTCCTCGTCTTCCCCTGCCCACCCTCCTCCCACACTTCCAAATCCCATGATCTGGCCTCAGAAGAAGAGGCAGAGACATCCCTCCCTCCACAGCCTGTGTTTTGAGTCTGGATGTCAGAAGCTTTAGCCCGGCCCTCTGCATTCTAGCCCTACAAGGACAAAGTGTTCCTTACACATAACAGTGCCTTTAAACAAAACAAAAAATGCATTTTTGTGGTTATTTTTAATTTTTTTTAAAGAATATGTTTTATTCCTTTTTTGCATATGCTATTATTATTAATTTATGATTTTCAATTTTTATACGTTTACAATCATTTTAACATTTCAAAACTCGACTTCCTTCCCCCTCTTTCTGCGGTTCCTTAAATTTATTTTTTATATTTTCTGCATACAGTGGTACCTTGGTTCTCAAACGTAATCCATTCTGGGAGTCCGTTTGACTCCCGAAACTGTTTGAAAACCGAAGCCCATTTTCCAGTTGGCTTCAGGAGCTTCCTGCAGCCAATCGGAAGACGCGAAAGTCTCGTCGGGCGTTCGGCTTCCAAAAAACGTTCGCAAACCGGAACACTCACTCCTGGGTTTGCGGCGTTTGGAATCCAAGCCGTTCAGGTACCAAGGTACCACTGTATTCCAAATTAACTTAATTTACTCATTTATTCATCTGCTTTAAATACATATTCTTATAAAACTCCAGGTTATTTTTTTGCATATGATAAACACAAGACAATAAAAATACCGGCTGGCCTGTCATTTCTTGAAATGTTTGTGCTTTTACCTCATGTATATTTAAGATGTGTAAGCTGCCCTGAGATCTTCGGCTAAAAGGGCAGTATGCAGATTTAATTAATTAATTGATTGATTGATGAAGGGTAACGGCAGCTATGCTGCCGCTCACAGGACAGGGGACTTCTAAGCCCACGTTAGTGGTTCATGCTCAGGTTTTATTTTGATGTTCAAATCCCTGCGACGGGGTGAGCTCCCGTTGCTCGGTCCCTGCTCCTGCCAACCTAGCAGTTCGAAAGCGCGTCAAAGTGCAAGTAGATCAATAGGTACCGCTCCGGCGGGAAGGTAAACAGCGTTTCCGTGCGCTGCTCTGGTTCGCCAGAAGCGGCTTAGTCATGCTGGCCACATGACCCGGAAGCTGTATGCCGGCTCCCTCGGCCAATAAAGCGAGATGAGCGCCGCAACCCCAGAATCAGCCACGGCTGAACCTAATGGTCAGGGGTCCCTTTACCTTTTTATATGGGGGGGGGAGCAAACTGGACGTTTGTGGGGAGGCCCTTAGACCACAAGAGCTCCAGAGACACTCGGTGGGTTTAGTGTTTGTTACAGCAAGGAGAGATCAGGCAGAATAAGATGTACCATGCCTTCCTCTCTCTCTCTCTCTCTCTCCCTCTCTCTCTTGTTGGAATAACGGAGACGAAAGGAGGTTGGATACAGGTGAGCTGTGCAAAAGCACACTGGCAAGCATGCTCCAAACAAGCTGCCGGCTAGCTCTGCAGAGGCTCCTTTTATTAGCAGAAGTCAACAATTGGAAACCGTAGTGAAACCACCCTGAACTTAATGTATTTCCATCTAAGCACATTTCCAGCATTAGCAAATTCATGTGTCAGCAAGTGTTTCCCTAAAATGTTCCCCCCAATACAGTGGTACCTCGGGTTACATACGCTTCAGGTTACATACGCTTCAGGTTACAGACTCCGCTAACCCAGAAATAGTACCTCAGGTTAAGAACTTTGCTTCAGGATGAGAACAGAAATCGTGCTCCGGCAGCGTGGCAGCAGCAGGAGGCCCCATTAGCTAAAGTGGTGCTTCAGGTTAAGAACAGTTTCAGGTTAAGAACGGACCTCCGGAACGAATTAAGTACTTAACCCGAGGTACCACTGTACTTGATTCCGTCTGTGTTCCCGGTCATGCTCCAGCCAAGCGATAGGTCTAACAAAAAAATTGTGAGAGGACAAAAGGTCAGGGAGAAAACCCTGTTTTTTTAGGCGTAACGCTCCTTGACACATGGTTGCATGTCTGGTGCGAGGTTTGCCTTCTCAAAGCAGAGCGTTACCTCCACACTCTCTCTCCCTGCAGGAACGATCCGCCTGGGCCGTCAGCTGCTACCGCCACCCAGGAGCTGCTGCGCTTGGCCGAGGGCTCCCCCGAGGGCCTCCCCCTCTTGGATCCTGTGAACGACCTTCAGCTGAAGGACCTGGAGGTGGTGGAAGGGGTGGTGAAGGCACGTCGCCTGGAGGAAGCGCTGCTGGGGTTCCAGTGCGTGCACAGCCCCCGCTTCCACACGGAGGTCAGTCGCGGAGTGGGGGCAGGAGCGGGAACCAATGGAGCAGGGTTGGGATGGCAGGAAGGCAGAGGTAAAGGTGGCCACTGACACTCCCCAGTCCCCAAGGATGCCATGTTACATGTGGGTGGAGGGAAGTACTGGGCTGTGGGGGAGGGAGGTGAAGGGATTACCGTATTTTTCGCTCTATAAGACACACCAGACCACAAGACGCACCTAGTTTTTGGAGGAGGAAAACAAGAAAAAAAATATTCTGAATCCCAGAAGCCAGAACAGCAAGAGGGATTGCTGCGCAGTGAAAGCAGCAATCCCTCTTGCTGTTCTGGCGTCTGGGATAGCTGCGCAGCCTGCATTCGCTCCATAAGACGCACACACATTTCCCTTTACTTTTTAGGAGGGAAAAAGTGAGTCTTATAGAGCAAAAAATACGGTAATTTAAATTGTTAAAGATTGGTATAGGATTTAAGAGATTTAAATAAGGAAAGCAGAAAGCAGCAAGAAATATCAAGTATCGGAGACATAGCTGTCAACTTTTCCCTTTTCTTGCAAGGAATCCTATTCGGAATAAGGGAATTACCCTTTAAATACTTTAAATAATTTCCCTTTTTCATTTTCAGTGTAAATGAAAACATGAGACTTATGGTTTTGTTACATATGATTTTATTTTGCAGTTGCCTGTTTATTTTGGAGTTGTTTGCTTTAAAGAATGTATATTATGTGAATAAAATAATACAGTGGTACCTCGGGTTACATACGCTTCAGGTTACAGATTCCACTAACCCAGAAATAGTACCTCGGGTTAAGAACTTTGCTTCAGGATGAGAACAGAAATCATGCTCCGGCGGCGTGGCAGCAGCAGGAGGCCCCATTAGCTAAAGTGGAGCTTCAGGTTAAGAACAGTTTCAGGTTAAGAACGGACCTCCGGAACGAATTAAGTACCTTACTTAACCTGAGGTACCACTATAAAGGATTTCAAAATGGGGGGAGGAGGAGAGAGGGCACCTCAACCCCAGTTCAACTTGCATAATTTTTGCAATTCCCAGGAATACCTCAGTTGGTAGAACATGAGACTCTTGATCTCAGGGTTGTGGGTTCGAGCCCCACGTTGGGCAAAAGATTCCTGCATTGCAGGGGGTTGGACTAGATGACCCTCGGGGTCTCTTCCAACTGTGATTCTTAAGCTACAGAACATGGGAGAGTGGGCGGAGCCCAGTGTGGTTTTCTTTCTTTTTCTAAAAAAAGAATTGCAGCAGACAAGCGCAGCGCTGCACACGTGGCTTTTGAGCTCTTTTTATCTGCCCACATCCAGAGGCAGCGAAGAAACGGAGGTGGGGAGGATGCTTGGACTTCCAAGTGCGGCAAGACTACAACTCCCAGCCCGTCTGAGTGTTGGCTTTGCCAGCAGGGGGCTGATGGGAATTGGAGTCCCAGCGGCAGCAGTGCATGTGCCACAATTTCCCTTTCCCAGCATTAGGTGAGACTTGATCTCCTCTCTCTCTCTCTTTCCTCTTCCCTTCTAGTTTGTGCGATTCAGGGAGCGCCAGCAAGTGCTGGAGGAGCTGGAGCAGCTGCGCTTCCTGCTCTCTGACCAGTCCCTCCTGCTGCTGCCTGAGTATCACCAGCGAGTCCAGGTAAGAGCTTCTCCCTCACGGAGGCTCCAAAAAGGATACAGTACGATCATCTTTATTGTCATTGTCCCATACAGAACAACGAAATTGAAAAGAAAAAAAGTCTACATAAGACATTCAAAACCAACAAGCCTGCTATCCCAGCCATCCCAACCTGGTTAGCCCGCTAAAAACTCTGATACCCTGTTTTTAAAATACAATATACTCCTATAGAGACTCCTTAAAGGTAAAGGGACCCCTGACCATTAGGTCCAGTCGTGGCCGACTCTGGGCTTGCGGCACTCATCTCGCTCTATAGGCCGAGGGAGCCAGCGTACAGCTTCCGGGTCATGTGGTCAGCATGACTAAGCCGCTTCTGGCAAACCAGAGCTGCACACGGAAACGCCGTTTATCTTCCCGCCGGAAGTATTTATCTACTTGCACTTTGACGTGCTTTCGAACTGCTAGGTTGGCAGGAGCAGGGACCGAGCAACGGGAGCTCCTACATCACAGAAAAGGCGGTCTAAAACTGAAATTTGAATGTTGTTTATCTCCTGTCTGGCAGGTTACTTGATTGGATTGATTGGATTGCCTGGGGAGCCTGGCCATTCTTTTGTAGTGATACTTAGTTCCTGGGCCAGGTCACAGGCTCACACCTTATTCAAACACAGACATACCCTTAAGACAGGATTTGTGAAGGAAAAGACAATGGGGAGGCTTTTCCAGTTTGACCATGCAGAGAAAACATTTGCTCAGTTTAGGAATCAAAATGGCTTCGGGTCGGTCTTCCTGTGCTGATCTATGTACGTGCGGTTATGAACATTGCCCTATATCTAAGACCTCAAAATTCCTATCACACCCCCTTGGTCACCTTGCGTCCCGACTGCCCCCCCCCCCAGGTCCTGCGCTCCCTGGGCTACATCAACGAAGGCGGCGCCGTGGAGCTGAAAGGCAGCGTGGCCCGCCAGATCAGCAACCACGAGCTGCTGCTCACCCAGCTGCTGCTGGACAACGCCCTGACGGACCTGCGGCCCGAGGAGATCGTGGCCTTGCTCAGCTGCACCGTCTGCCAGGTCCGCACCAGGGTGGAGCCCCAGCTGCCCTCCGTCCTGCAGAAGGTGAGCCGGGGGGAAGGGGCAGCGGGGAGGAGAAGCCGAAGCCCCAGAGAGCCAGCCAGGGGCGTGGACGTAAATGTGGGAGCCTGGCAGCAGCTCCCCGAGTCTGGCTCTCATGACCCTCGCTTCCCCCTACAGGGCATAGAGCACATCCGGTCGGTGGCCGAAGAGATCGCCCTGCTTCAGCGCAAGTGCGGCCTCCAGGAGTCAGTGGAGGACTTTGTGGAGCAGTACAAATTTGGGCTGGTGGAGGTGGTCTACGAATGGGCCCGTGGCATGGTAAGGCGTCAGCCTCTGTCCCCAACCACCTGAGAGCACCTGGCAGGGGTTTGAGGCAAAGTTAATATTAATGCAGGGCAAGAGAAGGGAGCCTGTGGCAAGAGGAGGTGGCTGGGGTGGTTTTATTACCGTATTTTTCGCCCTATAGGACGCACTTTTCCCCCTCCAAAAATGAAGGGGAAATGTGTGTGCGTCCTATGGGGCGAATGCAGGCTCTTTGGCTTCAGCGATAGCAACGCGAAGCCTCCGTAGCCTGCGCACTGGAGGCTTCACGTTGCTTTTGCTGAAGCCAGGAGAGTCTGCTCTTTGAGGCTGGCGGTGGGGGAAAGCAGCGCTCCCCCACCCCATCGCCAGCCCCAGAGGATGGGGGGCAGCGGGAAGGCGCGCAACGCCTTCCTGCTACTCTCCAACCCGGCTTTGAGGCTGGCGGTGGGGGAAAGCAACGCTTCCCCCCATCTCCAGCCCCACAAGCTGGGTCGAAAAGCCCGCAGGCACTGCACGCTCTTTGAAGGGTGTGTGGCTTCTACGGGCTTTTCTATGAGGTGGCGGAATTCCCCCACCTCATAGAGAAGCCCGCAAGAGCTGCGCAGCCTTTAAAGAGCGCGCAGTTCTTAGGGGCTTTTCCCCAAGGAGGGAGAAGGGACTGACTGGCCGAGTCCGTCCCTTCTCCCTCCTGTGGGCTTTTGCAGGAGATGAGGGAATTCCCCCACCTCCCGCAAAAACACCCAGAAGCCATGCGCTCTTTAAAGGCTGCGCGGCTTCTGCGGGCTTTTCTACGAGGTGAGCGAATTCCCCCACCTCGTAGAAAAGCCTGCAGGATGCCGCACACCCTTTAAAGAGCACACCGCTCTTGGGGGCTTTTACCCGAGGAGGGACAAGGGACTGACTGGCCGTTTCAGTCCCTTCTCCCTCCTGGTCGAAAAGCCCGCAGGAGTCGCACGCGGCTCCTGTGGGCTTTTGCGGGAGGTGGGGGAATTCCGCCACCTCCCGTAAAAGCAGGGAGAAGGGCTTGGAGTAGCTCCCAGAGCTGCGGGGGGGGGGATCATATTTTTTCCTTGATTTCCCCCTCTGAAAACTAGGTGCGTCCTATGGGCCAGTGTGTCCTATAGGGTGAAAAATACGGTAATTGGGTTTTATTTTAATTCATGAATAGTCTTCCACGTGAGTCTTAGTGCGATTTAAAAATACAGTGGTACCTTGGTGGTCGAATGCCTTTGTTGTCGAACAAATCAGCTCCCGAACACCGCAAACCCGGAAGTGAGTGTTCCGGTTTGCGAACGTTTTTTGGAAGCTGAACATTTGACACTGCTTCCGTGGCTTCTGATTTGAGTTTCAGGAAGCTCCTGCAGCCAATCGGAAGCTGCGCCTTGGTTCTTGAACGGAATCCCGGAACGGATTAAGTTGGAGGATCAAGGTTCCACTGTATACAACCAACTAAAAATGGTCTCTTAAAAACAGTTCAAAGATTTAAAACTGACTTCCAGTTAATCTCACTGTACTTTGTCTATCCATTACTTTATACCACACAGTTACACATTTCTTATATAATTTCTTTTTACCTCCCTACAAACTTATAGTTAGACAATACAGGGATCAGTCTAATTCTGCCAAGATGTTTCCTTTTATTCCATAGGTTTCTAAATATTCTTTAAAGATTCTCCAATCCTTACAGACTTTTTGTTTTGGTTGGCCAAACTAAAGAGCTTTGCCAGCATCAACAGAATACAACCAAGTCAGAGACCGTTTCACCCAGCTATAAGATTATGGCTCCCAGCATGCTTGACCATTGGTCATGCTGGCTGTGGCTGATGGGAGTTGTAGTCCAACAAACCTTCGGAGGCCTACAGGGTTTGCCAGCCCTTACAGATGCATTTATTGCTGCTGCTGTTTATTATATTTATTACCCGCCCTTCACCAGCAGGTCCTAGGGTGGGTTATGGCAACTAAAAATTCAGAGATTTTAAAAAAAATATATAATCACAAGGATTGGGTGAACCCTGAATGCCGACATGGTGCCTGGGCCCTGGGAGGAGGGATGTTGCAAATGCACTGGGAACAACCTGCTGCTTCAGAAGACATAAAGTACAAATCCAGCCCTTGTTCCGTCTGCTTCCCAGCCAACCACTTGAACCTGGAGGCGGGAAGGAGCATCCCTCCCGTAGCTCAGTGCTTTGCATGCAGAACGTCCCCGGTCCAATCCGCCATCTCTAGGTCAGGGCTGGAAGAAACCCCCTGTAATCCCAGGGAGCCACTGCTGATAGTCATAAGCTAGATCAGGGGTCAGCAAACTATGGCCCCTGGGCTGGATCAGGCCCACCTGGGTCCTAAATCCGGCCTCCGCCACGAAGCTGGAACCCACCGCAAAGCCGAGACTCCCGGTGATGGCGACGGAAGAGGCCGAGCAGCGGTAGATCTGGAACTCAAACTTCACACCTGGTTTACCTCAACGGCATTTGATTGGCAGAGACGTCCCCGCGCCGCACTGAGGTAAACCAGACGTGCGTTTGATTGGTAGAGCTGCCGCCACTCAGCCTCTTCCTCCTGTCTCCGCTGCCGCCCTGGTGCTCCTGTGGGCCAGAGAGCAGAGCAGACGAGTTCTCCCTACACATGAGAAGCAGTGGTGGTGGCGGTGGTGGTGGCGGCAGCCCCTGGGAAGGTAAGCACAGCGGCTGGGGGGTGGGGAGGAGGACTACTTGCCCCCCTCGCCTCTTCTTCCAGCTTCCCCCTCCCCCCGACCCCTGAGCTATATGGTCTGACTCGGGGATGGAGGAAGCTGCCTTAGACTTAATTCCCCACGATGGGCTTCATGGCCTTCAAAGAACGATAGAGTTGGAAGCTACAATAATAATAATAATCACCATCATAGTTGTCAGGGACTGGATTGCGGAGGAATGGTGTGGACCACCACCACCCCCTGCACTTCCCAGAGAAGAGGGAGACAGTATAGATTTAGAACAGCAGCTTGCAGAAGGTCGCAGTTCAGAGGCTGCAGAGGGGAGAAGCTGGGGAATATTGGGAGAGGAGCAGGAGGAAGAAGCAGCACCAGGGGAGAAACAGCTGACAGACTCCGTGTCTTTGGAAAGAAGGCCTCTCCCAGGTCCCAGTGAGCGTTGAGAGTAGAAGAACAGAAAGCACAGATCAGCCTGCGCAGGGATGGCGTAGGATAGGAAAGTCGGAGGGGGTGGGACTTTACTCGGAGCAATGCCATTACTGCAACGGAGAGCCACTTTTCGGAGCCTCTCTCTGTGAATATTGAATAAAGGACTTGGTAAGAACTTTTCCCGTTCTACTACTTGGCTGCCCACCGTGGGAGAGACCAGATTCCCTGAGGCCTTGTCAATAGCCCATGGGTAGGCAAACTAAGGCCCAGGGGCCGAATCCGGCCCAATCGCCTTCTAAATCTGGCCCGCAGACGGTCTGCAAATCAGCGTGTTTTTACGTGAGTAGAATGTGTCCTTTTATTTAAAATGCATCTCTGGGTTATTTGTGGGGCATAGGAATTCGTTCATATTTTTTTTCAAAATCTAGTCCGGCCGCCCACAAGGTCTGAGGGACAGTGGACCGGCCCCCTGCTGGAAAAGGTTGCTGACCCCTGCAATAGCCTAACCCCCTGTAAGGCAACAACCACAACTTCCTTCCTCTCCTCCCTCGCCAGCCATTTGCCGAGATCGCCCGCCTGACAGACGTGCAGGAAGGGATCATCGTCCGCTGCATCCAGCGCCTGGACGAGACCTGCCGAGAGATGCGCAACGCGGCCCGCGTCACCGGGGAGCCGACGCTCCACGCCAAGATGGAGGCCGCCTCCAACATGATCAAGAGGGACATTGTCTTTGCTGCCAGCCTCTACACCCAGTGAGGGAGGGGGGAGCACCTTCGGCTCTTCCCACCCCCCTCAAAATGCACCTCTCTCTGTTCTGACATCTGAAAAGTTGTAACGCGTCTTGCAGGTATACGCAATAAGTCATCAGGTATACGCAATAAAATATTATTTTTTGCTGACTTAAGGGGAGTGGGTAATTTCCTTTGGACACATGCAAAGGGTGAAGCTGTGTTGGGTTAGGGTCTGTTGGCGACGGAGCCCCATCCAGAGCCCAGGTGACTCTCAACTTGCACGGGGGCTGCATTCTGGGGGTCGCTCCCAACAGAATATTTAAAACACAATAAAACATCGAACATTAAAAACTTCCCTAAACAGGGTTGCCTTAAGATGTCTTCTAAAAGTCAGGTAGTAGTTTATTTCCTTGACATCCACAGGGCGGGCGCCACTACCGAGAAGGCCTTCTGCCTGGTTCCCTGTAACCTCGCTTCCCAGAGTGAGGGAACCGCCAGAAGGCCCTCGGAGCTGGACCTCAGTGTGCGGGCTGAACGATGGGGGTGGAGACGCTCCTTCAGGTATACTGGACTGAGGCCGTTTAGGGCAGACATAGGCAAACTCAGCCCTCCAGATGTTTTGGGACTACAACTCCCATCATCCCTAGCTAACAGGACCAGTGGTCAGGGATGATGGGAATTGTAGTCCCAAAACATCTGGTGGGCCGAGTATCCCTATGCCTGATTTAGGGATTTAAAAGTCAGCCTAAAGCCAAAATCACGTATAGTCAAAACACATTGGGTTCAAGGGTGGGTGGGATTGCCAAATTCTTTTATTCCAAACGCCCACCCCCTTCTATCTTTTTCGTTTGAAAAATTTGCCAAAGCTGAATGCACACAAGTTAAATGCGTGGAAGTTGCGAGTTTCCTGCTCTTCCTCTTCCTGGGCTTCCATGGCTATCAGGTCCCAGGTGGATTATAAAAAGGCCACAGCTCTGTTTCTTCCCAACACCAACCAAAAAACATAAGTTCCTCATTTAGGAAAAATCCAGTGAATAATTTTAGAGAGAGAGAGAATACAGCTTCAGGATGTGGGGCTTGGCAGCAGCACTTTATTTTTTTAAAGGATCTCTACCTTGCAAGGTCTGTTGCAAGCTCCCATCAGACGTCAAGGAAATAGACAGCTATCTGATTTTTAGAAGACATCTGAAGGCAGCCCTGTTTAGGGAAGTTTTCAATGTTTGATGTTTTATCGTGTTTTTAATATTCTGTTGGGAGCCGCCCAGAGTGGCTGGGGAATAAATAATAATTTTTATTATATTATTATAATAAGCTGGACAGCACTCAAAAAAGGTGAATGCGATTTGAGGCTGCGTTAACAGAAGCAAGTGTTTCACTCTATCCTGCACTACTCAGACCTTGTCTGGAGCCTCATTGGGTCCACTGCTGGAGATACTACTTTAAAAAAGAAGGATGTAGACAAGTTGGGTTCATGGGAGGGCAATGAAGACAATCTTATGGATGGGAAGCCCTGTGAGAAAAGGTTGAAGGCATGTTTAAACTGGAGAAGGCTGAGGAGGAAGACGTAATACTGCTTTTTAAATATCTGAAGACTGTTGTGTAGAACCAGGCAAAGGCTTATCCTTTTATGTGAGCTGCCACGGATCAAACTTACTTACAGTGGTACCTCGGGTTAAGAACTTAATTCGTTCTGGAGGTCCGTTCTTAACCTGAGGTACCACTTGAGCTAATGGGGCCTCCCACTCTGTTCTCATCCTGAGGTAAAGTTCTTAACCCAAGGTACTATTTCTGGGTTAGCGGAGTCTGTAACCTGAAGCGTCTGTAACCCGAGGTACCACTATATTGACAAACCACCTCCCTCTATCCCCGCTGTCCTTTAAGAATCCCTTACCGATAAACCAGAGAGAGACGCAATCCCTTCAACTAAGCACTGCTAGGAGACGTTTGTGTTTACGATAATAGTTTATTGCCCTGTCCCTCCTTCATTGTGATGATGGGGGGAGGGGTAGAGGGCCCTCCCAGGCATGTCCCTGACATTCTGAGCACCAAGTGCCAGTCTCCTTGGGTCTGCTGTGTGTGTGTGTGTTTGCGTGTGTGTGTTTAACCTCCCACCCTGCGTTGCCCACTCAAGATACCAAAAAAAATCCAGCTTCTCCCTCCAGCTGCAGCCCATCAGTCTGGGATGTGCGGAGTGGAGGGCTTCTCGTTGCTCAGCACCTCCACATACCAGTCAGGCAGGAAGGTGTGCTCAGAGTCCCGGTGCACCGTGAAGGAGACAGGGTGGCCAGGCTCCCAGGCAAAGAGGTGGACCAACCTGGACAAAGGAGAAAGCAGCAGGTACAACGTGAGGTTCCTCTGGAAGGGAGACTAAGCCAAGGAGTTTGCTCTCCCTTGCTAGGAGTCCCACGTTCACTCTAGTCTTCCCATTTTGTTTTCCTCCTCTACTTAACCGGCCGTCATCAGCCTGCTCCCCCTCCTAGTGTTTGGACTGCAAACTCCCACTGGCCTCAGCCACCATGACTACTGTATTTTTCGCTTCATAAGACACACCTAGTTTTTAGAGGAGGAAAACAAGAAAAAAAAATAATTCTGAACGAAACAGTGGATGTATGATTTTTGTGGTTCATGCTGTGGCCACAGACATGTGATTTGATGGTGAGTTTGGAGTAACCCAATGCAAAAATCCTGAGGATTCATGTGGATCCATGCTTTGTAACCACGTTTTTGCGCCACTGCAGCCCCACAAAACAGTGGATGCGTGATTTTTTTTGGTGCAGGCTATAGCCATGGACATGCTATGGGATCTGATGGTGAATTTGGGGTGACCCAACCTAAAAATCCTGAGGATCCATGGGCTTTTACCTCCCCCCTCCCAGGCAGCCTCCTTTATCGCTAGCGTCCCTCATCTCCCTCCCTCCCTAACCTATCAGCTGCTTCCTTTCAACACTCCCTTCCCACTTGTTTGCCTTAGTGTCTTTTCCTTAGCTGGAGCTGTTTTTTGCTCCTCTTTTTCTTCTAATTTCTCTCCTCATTGCTTCAGTCTTCCTGTCTCCTCTCCTTGCAAGTTCACTGTCTTTATCTCCCCCTTCCCCGGGCAGTCACCTTTATTGCTAGCTTCCCTTATCTCCCTCCCCGATTGCTTGTTTATTAGCGGCTTTGTTTCAACACCTACTTCCCTCTTTTTTTAAAAAAAAAAAAAAGCATGATCTGCTTTTTGCCCCTGGCTCCATAAGACGCACAGACATTTCCACTTACTTTTTAGGAAGAAAAAAGTGTGTCTTATGGAGCAAAAAATACGGTACTTACTTCGGATTGTCTTCGGTCACCACTTTCTTCACAAAGCCGAGGAACGCCGCGCAAAAGTTCATGCACACCGCCGGCTTCCAGCAGCCCGGGTCCTCCTGCCCAGGAGGAAGAAGGGAGGTTATTTTAGGGGTGATACAACCTGGAACATGGGAAGCTGCCTTAGGCAGAGTCTGGCTCCTTGGTCCATCTAGTTCAGCCTTCCCCAAACACAGTTCTGATGCTGAAAGCCAATGCCTGAGAGGAGCAGGTGTGTGTTTTCAGTGCTTAAGTGCGCACCTGACCACCTGTGCTTCCATACCTAAGCTAATGCCTTGTCCCGGCGTACCTTGGGAGTTCAGGTGAACAAGCAATTCATCAAGCCTGAAGTCTGCCGGCTGACTGGCTCTTACAGCAACCTCTGTGGAAGATGCACTTTCACTCTGAGCGCAGTTTCACAGGGGTTCCCTGTAACCACCGATCACCTGTTGAACCCTTATAGAGAGCCGCTCTGGAGGAAGAATTAGTGCACCAACCCGCCCCACCTTTTCCCTTGGAGCTGGGAGAGGTTAGAATGAAAGGGAGGAATCTAAGATCTCAGCCTGGCTGCCCTTCCTCCTGGCCTTGGACTCACCCTAATGAGCTGGAATATCTTCATCGTCTCAAACGTCTCCAGTTCCACGATGGAGCCATCTGGCCCCCGGTACCCGGCCACGATCCGAGACACTCCGGGCAGAAAAGACTGAGCCCACCACTTGATCATCTTGTGCCTGGGAAGAAGAGAGAAGCTGGCTCATCTATTCCCTCTGCCCGACATCCTCTTTGGCTGCCCTCCTTGAGATCTGACAAGCGCTTGGCCGTCTTCCTCCCCAAGTACTGATGCTAGGCTCAGAAACAGACTCGAGGCCTGTCTTGGGGTGGAGACTAAGGGCTGCGTCCAACAAAGTCATCAACTTCCTTCGCCTTGCCTCATGTGCCACCCCCCCCCCAAAAGAAATCTGTTCTGGGGATTTCCCCCAACCTCTTAAAGTGGATGGGGGGGAGGCTTTTTGGGGGGAGAGAGTCCTGTTGCAAAGACAGAAGTTCTTTGTAGGATACAACCCCTTAAGGCCCGCCAGATGTTGCTGGACTCCAGCTCCCATCAGCCCCATGCAGAATAGCCAATGGCCAGGGATGGCAAGAGTTGTAGTCCACTAACACCAAAAAGGGACGCGGGTGGTGCTGTGGGTTAAACCACAGAGCCTAGGGCTTGCTGATCAGAAGGTCGGCGGTTCAAATCCCTGCGACGGGGTGAGTTCCCATTCCTCGGTCCCTCCTGCTGCCAACCTAGCAGTTCAAAAGCATGTCAAAGTGCAAGTAGATAAATAGTCGGGAAGGTAAACGTTGTTTCCATGCGCTGCTCTGGTTCGCCAGAAGTGGCTTAGTCATGCCGGCCACATGACCCGGAAGCTGTACGCCGGCTCCCTCGGCCAGTAGAGCGAGATGAGCGCCGCAACCCCAGAGTCAGCCACGACTGGACCTAATGATCAGGGTCCCTTTAACACCGAAAAGGCCACTGGTCCCTTGCTTATTTAGGCCATCATCCCATTAAGGCTGGGTGATATATTGTCCCAAACCGGTTTGAAGTCCATATTGTGCTATCGGCTTCATAATTTTGGACCTGGCAATATATTGCGAATCATGGTGTGTGTTGTGCAAAAATCACAAAGCGGGAAAACCATGAAGCCAGCCAGTGCCTCTACATAGCTCCATCCTTGTTACAGACATCATGATATATACCTGGTGATATATCATGATGCTGAAAACCAGATAATAATAATTTATTATTTATACCCTGCCCATCTGGCTGGATTTCCCTAGCCACTCTGGGCAGCTCCTAAGAGAATATTAAAAACACGATAAAACATCAAACATTAAAAACTTCTCTAAACAGGGCTGCCTTCAGATGCCTTCTAAAAGTCAGATAGTTGTCTATTTCCTTGACATCTGGTGGGAAGGCATTCTACAGGGCGGGTGCCACTGCTGAGAAGGCCCTCTGCCTGGTTCCCTGTAACCTCAATTCTTGCTGGGAGGGAAACGCCAGAAGGCCCTCAGAGCTGGACCTCAGTGTCCGGGCTGAACGATAGGGGTGGAGACGCTCCTTCAGGTATACAGGACTGAGGCCATTTAGGGCTTTAAAGGTCAGCACCAACACTTTGAATTGTGCTCGGAAACATACTGGGAGCCAATGTAGGTCTTTCAAGACCAGTGTTATATGGTCTCAGTGGCTGCTCCCAGTCACAGTCTAGCTGCCACATTCTGGGTTAGTTGTAGTTTCCGGGTCACCTTCAAAGGTAGCCCCATGTAGAGCGCATTGCAGTAGTCCAAGCAAGAGATAACTAGAGCATGCACCACTCTGGCGAGACAGTGCACAGGCAGGTAAGGTCTCAGCCTGCGTACCAGATGGATCTGATAAACAGCTGCCCTGGACACAGAATTGACCTTTGCCTCCATGGACAGCTTTGAGTCCAAAATGACTCCCAGGCTGTGCACCTGGTCCTTCAGGGGCACAGTTACCCCATTCAGGACCAGGGAGTCCTCCACACCCGCCTGCCTCCTGTCCCCCCAAAACAGGACTTCTGTCTTGTCAGGATTCAACCTCAATCTGTTAGCCGCCATCCATCCTCCAACCGCCTCCAGGCACTCACACAGGACCTTCACCGCCTTCACTGGTTCTGATTTGAAAGAGAGGTAGAGCTGGGTATCATCCGCATATTGATGGACACCCAGTCCAACCCCCCTGACTGTGTTATATGGTTTTGGCGGCAACTCCGAGATACCACCCAGACCTACCTCCTTTTCCCCAGCATGGTCAGGCAGCTGCCTGCATGAAGGCTGCAAGACCGGCCCTCTGCTAAAAACAAATCAGCAGGAGAGTAAGAGGTCCAGTCCCCTGACTGAGAAAGTGGTTAAAAATTTGAAGACATCTTCCGGGGGGAAAGTTACTAAGGGCAAGAGAGCCACCAGCAAGCACACATTTTTTTAAAATCCTAGTAAGATCCCCTGCACTTTGCTTTAGAGACAGGCCGGGACTCTCTCCTGCACCTTATTCTGAGTCTTAGAAAGAGGAGCTGAGAAATGGTAGATTTGCATTCCGGAAAAACGGCCTGGGTGGCATTATGGCTAGGCTGGTTGAAGGCAGAAGCCTGTTTAAGGCGAGGGTGGAGAATCCCTGAATTTCCAGGCATTGCTGAACTCCAACTTCCATCAGAACCTAGGCAGCATGGACAATAGTTATGACTACTGTAAGTCGCTCTACGCGGGGCTGCCCTTGAAGCTGTCCCAGAAACTCCAGCGGGTGCAGAATGCTGCAGCGAGGCTCCTCACAGGGTCTCTGCCATGGGAGCATATTCACCCAGTGCTTTTCCAGCTGCACTGGCTCCCGGTGGAGTACAGGGTCAGGTTCAAGGTGCTGGTTTTGACCTTTAAAGCCCGTCACGGCCTAGGACCCTCGAACCTATGGGACCGTCTCTCCTGGTATGTCCCACAGAGGACCTTAAGGTCCATATATAGCAACACCCTAGAGGTCCCAGGCCCTAAGGAAGTTAGATTAGCCTCAACCAGAGCCAGGGCCTTCTCAACACTGGCTCCGGCCTAGTGCAACGCTCTGTCTCATGAGACCAGGATCTGATTTCTTTCCGCAGGGCCTGTAAGACAGAGTTGTTCCACCTGGCCTTTGGCTTAGAATCAGTTTGATTCCCTCCCCCTCTTTCTTTTTCCTTTCTCCTCCTGTGAAGAGGCTGCATCCTAATGTTTTAATGTTGTATTCTAATCTTTTTTAAATTGTATTTTAATCAACTTGTTTTTATTATTGTTTGTTAGCCGCCCTGAGCCCGGTCTTGGCTGGGGAGGGCGGGGTATAAATAAAAATTTATGATGGTGATGATGGGAGTTGTAGTTCTGGAACATCTTTGCAGTACCTGGTTTTTTTTGTGGAAAGGGAGAAGACTCCATAGTTTCCCTGCTTTTCATCTCCCTGCCCACCTCACCTGTAAAAACTCTTCCTCTGAGCCGGGCTATGCATGACTTTGCTAGTCTTCAGCTCCACGTAACAGCTTGGAGGGTCGGGCCAGGGGCTGCGGGGGTCCGTGCAGTCCACCTCTCCCGAGAACAGCAGCGAGTGGGTTCCCAGGCGGGTCCGGATCACGATGCAGAAAGCCTCGTTTGTGTTCACCACCCCCGTCGGATCCGGAGTCCCGTCCGGAGTATCTGGAGCAGAAGAAGACATTTACTCCCATCTTCTGGGCGCTTCGCATTTGAGAAAGGGGAAAAAAACTCCCTAGCAGAAGACACAGCACACAACTTCTGACGCCTCTGTATTTCAACAGGTTAGAAGTATATTTTAAGCTCATTAATTGGTTCTTGGATTTGTTCAGGCCCTTTTGAGGACCACGCTTGAGAGTGAGTGTTCTCCAGAGGCAAAAGAGGCACAAAGTGGATCTGTCTGATCTTTTAAAGCCATCCAAGTTGGCAGCCATCACTGCATCTTACAACAGTGAGTTCCATAGTTCAACTATGCACTAAAGAACTCCCTTCCTGTGTTTATCCTGAGTCTCTCACCCTTAGGCTTAAAGGGGATGAACCTGAAGATCTTATTATGATGAGAAAGGCACACCCACTTTTGCACCCCATGCAGCCTTTTTCTACCCGTCTTATGCCCCAACTACAACTTATTATCTGATGCTTATTTCCCCTAAATTGATTTTTGAATTTTATTGTTATTCATGTTTTTATACAGTATTTGATGCTGCTTTTACAATTAAGTGTTTTAAATTTGTTGCTAGCCACCCTGAGCCCAGTTTTTGAACTGGGAAGGGCGGGGTATAAATAAAAAATTATTATTATTATTATTATTATTATTCAACTTTACTCTAAAACAGTGGTTCTCAAAGGGCATGGCAGCAGAGGCTGGTAAGCATGGTGGGGAAATTCAAGGACCATCAAACATTTCAACATTTCAATGTAGTACAGTATAGAAATAATCGTTTTTATTTGCAAAATATGGATATCGCTTCAAAATGAGAGCATAAAGTGAGGCCGAGAACAATCCTAGCTGTGTTTTCCAATGTATTTCTTAATCGCTTAAAAATTTGCCAAGGCACGAGCAAATTTTTATTCTGAAAGTGTGGCCCAGAGGAAAAATGTTTAAGAACCGTGGCTCTAAACTGAAAAGCTCCGATTTTGATTCATTTATTACATTTCTATCCCACCTTTCCTCCACGGGGCTCAAGATGGCATACGTGGTTATCTCCATTTCATCCTCCCAACATCCCTGTAAGGTAGGCCAAGAGAGAGTGACTTGCCCCCGGCGAGCTTTGTGGCCGAGTGGGGGCTTGAACCCTGGTCTCTCAGGTCCTAGTCCAACACGCTAACCACTACACCACATTGGCTCTCAATACCGCTGCCCAGAACCGAGCCGTATGCTCAGACCAGGCATTGCTGTCAACTTACAGATTTGAAAATAAGGGACCAGCAGCCTCGAAAATAAGGGACCAGTAGCCAAAATAAAGGATTTTAGTCAACCAGCTCCCGAGCCAAAGGCAGAAAGCCCAGCCAGCCCAGCAGCCAAACGAAGCCTCAAGCGGTGGTTCCCACAGCGCAGCAACCCGGCAAAGGGGATGCAGCAAGGAAAACCACCGTCACCTCTCCGCTGGGAAGCGCTGAGCAAAGGCGAGTCCCCAGGCAACGCGGCCGATGTGACTGGCACAAGGCATGCAAGCTCCACCCCCCAGTCGTTCTTAGACTCCTTATTGGGTGAGCAACACAGCCAAGCAACGCAGTTGGAGCCTCCCTCCTCCTTGGCCGGCAGGGAGGGAGGGAGAGGAGCTGCTTCCTTTGAAACCCGGGAAATTTAAGGGACATCATCAATAAGGGACAGCAGCGGGACACGGCGCTGGGATAAGGGACTTTCCCGCCAAATAAGGGACGGTTCACAGCTATGGTTTAGAGGCCTCTGGCATCCTTACCAGAGCACATGTACTGCTCAAACTTGTAGCCCATGTACATGAGCTCCTTCAGCAGGTCCGTGCGCTGCTCCCGCTGCCTCCGGGCGGCCTCCGTCTCAACTTCGCTGATGTACAGAGTCCCGCGGAAGAGGCTCACCGCCAGCAGCCAACCGTCCTGATTTTCGTAGGGCGTGGTCAGCACTTTGGTGAGATGCCCCCGCCACGTCACAAAGTCGGCATTCAGCGGCCGCCTGCCAAGCGGGGAGAGACAAAACCGTTAAAAAGAGCAAAGCACGAGCTGCCGGGGCCGTTCCTCTGTATTCTAAGGCCAACAAAGTCAAACTCTGGTGAAAGCAGGGATCACCAAGGAAGCCCTAATGGGCACATAGGAACCTGCAGACACCACTCTGCATATGGTTTTAAGAAGACATCTGAAGGCTGCCCTGTTCAAAGAAGATTTCAGCGTGTGCTGTCATATCGTGCTTTTACTAATTTTTTTGTTGGGAGCCACTGGGGCAACCCAGTCAGATGGGTGACATAGGGATGCAGGTGGCGCTGTGGTCTAAACCACTGAGCCTCTTGGGGCTTGCCGATCGAAGGTTCGAATCCCTGCGACGGAGTGAGCTCCCGTTGCTCTATCCCAGCTTCTGCAGTTCAAAAGAACGCCAGTACAGACTATGAAAAGCAGTCGAGACATGAGATGATCAGAGCCCCCCCCAAACTTGAAGCATGGGAAGTCCCAATAAAAAATTTATAATTTGGCAGAATATTTGGATTATTTGATATGTATATGTATAATTTGGAATATTTAATGTGATTTGATTGGATTGTTGAAATGAAAAACTTAATAAAAATGATTTTTTTAAAAAAAGCACTCCAGTACAAGGTACCGCTGTAGCAGAAAGATAAATGGCATTTCTATGCGCTCTGGTTTCCGTCACGGTGTCCTGTTGCACCAGAAGCGGCTTAGTCATTCTGGCCACATTCTGGCCACATGTACGCCAGCTCCCTCGGCCTGAAAGCAAGATGAGCGCCGCAACCCCAGAGTCACCTTTGACTGGACTTAACCATCCAGGGGTCCTTTACCTTTTTAATCTTTTTAACCCCTGTTTTTTATTATTTGTGCTTTTATATTGCATTTTTATGTTGTGAACCGCCCAGAGATCTATGGATAATAATAAATATTAATAATAATTTATTATTTATACCCTGCCCATCTGGCTGAGTTTCCCCAGCCACTCTGGGCGGCTCCCAATCGAGTGTTAAAAACAATACAGCATTAAATATTAAAAACTATCCTAAACAGGGCTGCCTTCAGATGTCTTTTAAAGAGAAGATAGCTACTTATTTCGATGAAGGGCAGCACACAAATTTAATAATAATAATAATAAATAATAAATTTTTATTTATATCCCGCCCTCCTCAGCCGAAGCCGGGCTCAGGGCGGCTAACAACAATAAAATAATACAACATTCTAAAATCATTTCGTTATAAAATTAATTCCAATCAGATTAATGGCAGCCATTGGGCTAGAGTTCTGTGAGGATTGCCAAAGGAGGGAGTCAGGCTGTGCCCTGGCCAAAGGCTTGGTGGAACAGCTCCGTCTTGCTGGCCCTGCGGAAAGATGTCAAGTCTCGCAGGGCCCTAGTCTCTAGTGGCAGAGTGTTCCACCAGATCGGAGCCACGGCCAAAAAAGCCCTGGCTCTGGTTGAGGCCAGTCTAACCTCCCTGTGGCCCGGGACCTCCAAGATGTTTTTGTTTGAAGACCGTAAGGTCCTCCGTGGGACATACCAGGAGAGGCGGTCCCGTAGGTACGAGGGTCCTAGGCCGTATAGGGCCTAATAAATAAAAATAAATAAAAGAAGCAGCAGCTTCCTAACAACGTAAGCAGAGCACTGCCGGAATGGCGGAGGCGAAACATAGTCCCTATATATATATACTAGTCTCCGATAACCTGATCCTCCATTAACCCTTCCTTTCTCTTATGCGGGGAGAGAAAAGAAGGAGAGACAGACCGAGAATCGTGCCCTTCCTCACCCTTTGTCCTCAGTCTGCAGCTGCTTCCGGTTCTGGGTGATCCACCTCAGCAAGTGCTCCAGCCCCTCGCGGACGGTCTCATCCTGCTTCACATAGCGGTCGCGGTAGCCGTCGCGCAGGTCGAAGCCGGGGGAGGGGCCCTCGACAGGGGGAGGGGCATAGTAGCGCAGGCGGCGAGCGTCCCCGTGGTAACAGCGCTGGGCGTCCAGGGAAAAGTGTCCCAGCTGAGCCGGCCGCCGGTAAAAGGGGAAAGGGGCATCGTAGCGAGAGGGCGTGACGGGCAGAGTGAGGGGAGCCTTGGCGTCGCTCCTCTGGCGCTTGGCGCTGCAGTCTCTGGGGGCGTCGTCCTCCCGGTCGTGAGTCCTGGTGTCAAGAGCGGCCTTCATCAGGGACTGCAATCGACAAGGGAAAGCGATGGTAAAACGCTCCGAAAAAGACGCCCTTGCATGGTCAGATAACCAAACGGGGCACAGTGGGCACACACGCAATTTCCTTTTCTGCTCCTTTCTTTAATGCTCTGCTTACCCCTCTCAACAAGGACATGCGCTCAGAAATCACATCCTTCAGCACTTAGAAGAAGAAGAAGAAGAAGAAGAGTTTGAATTTGATATTCTGCTTTATCACTACTTGAAGGAGTCTCAAAGTGGCTAACATTCTCCCTTCCCTTCCTCCCCCACAACAAACACTCTGTGAGGTGAGTGGGGCTGAGAGACTTCAGAGAAGTGTGACTGGCCCAAGGTCACCCAGCAGCTGCATGTGGAGGAGCGGGGAAGCGAACCCAGTTCACCAGATTACGAGACTACCGCTCTTAACCACTACACCACACTGGCTCTCTTATAAGTCGCACCCACAAACTGTGTTTGGGAATCCCCTCTCTGCTCTCAAGGCACGTCTTAAATGGTCAGGGAAGAAGGGGACTTTTAAACTGTGGGGCTTTTGCTATTAAATTCACGGAGTTGCCAAGTTGAAAGGGACCACGAGGATCATCTACCGTATTTTTCGCTCTATAAGACGCACTTTTTCCCTCCTGAAAAGTACAATGGTACCTTGGGATGTGAACGGGATCCGTTCCGGAGCACCGTTCGCATCCTGAATGCAACGTAAGAAGCGACGGTGCATCTGCACATCGCGTTTTGTCGCTTCTGCGCATGCGCGTGATGTCATTTTGAGCGTCTGCGCATGCGCGAGCGGCGAAACCCAGAAGTAACGTGCTCCATTACTTCTGGGTTGCCGCAGAATGCAACTCGGACGCGCTCAACCCGAATCATATTCAACCCGAGGTATGACTGTAAAGGGAAATGTGTGTGTGTCTTATGGTGCGAATGCAGGCTGCGCAGGTATCCCAGAAGCCAGAACAGCAAGAGGGATTGCTGCTTTCACTGCGCAGCGATCCCTCTTGCTGTTCCGGCTTCTGGGATTCAGATTTTTTTTTTCTTGTTTTCCTCCTCCAAAAACTATGGTCTTGTGTGTCTTATAGAGTGAAAAATACAGTAGTTCAGACTTTCCCAAACTTGTGTCTGCAACTCCCATCATCCTTAGCTTGACGGACCAGTGGTCAGGTCCAACCTACTGCAGTGTTGGAATCTTTCACCCAACATGGGACTCAAACTCTGAGATTAAAAAGTCTTATGAGCTATCAAATATGCGTGCATGCGCGCGCGCGCACACACACACACAGGTATTCTCCTACAGAGCTTTTTATTAAATGCTTCACATTTTTATTTTTTATTTTCAAATTTTTACATTATGCCTTTCAAGGCAAAGTTTACCCATGGCAGCTTACAAAAATAAAAGCTAACACTATTTTACATACATGTCCACTGGAAACCAGGGGGGGGGAACAAGATTTAAAGAAATAAAAACAGACTCTGAGTTCCAACAATAGGGAGCGAACTCGGCCTCGTTATATCATAGAATCAAGAGTTGGAAGGGATCCCCCAGGGTCATCTAGCCTGACCCCCTGCAATGCAGGAATCTTTTGCCCAACATGGGGCTCAAACCCATGACCCTGAGCCAGAGTCTCCTGCTCTACCAACAGAGCTATCCACTTCCCTGTGGGAACATCTCTGATGCCCTTACAACAATCCTTTCTGGCAGGCCAGTCGCAATGCTGGGCTGCGTTATAAGGGGCGCTTTTTCCCAGTAGAAGGGAAGTATCGTTTGATAAGATAAGCAGGAAATAAGCAGCTATCTTATTTTTAAAAGACATCTGAAGGCAGCCCTGTTTAGGGAAGTTTTTAATATTTAAGGCTGTATTGTTTTTAACACTCGATTGGGAGCCGCCAATAATAATAATAATAATAATTATTATAGTGGTACCTTGGGTTAAGTACTTAATTCGTTCCAGAGGTCCGTTCTTAACCTGAAACTGTTCTTAACCTGAAGCACCACTTTAGCTAATGGGGCCTGCCGCTGCCGCCACGCAATTTCTGTTCTCATCCTGAAGCAAAGTTCTTAACCCGAGGTACTATTTCTGGGTTAGCAGAGTCTGTAACCTGAACCATCTGTAACCTGAAGTGTTTGTAACCCGAGGTAAGGTAAAGGGACCCCTGACCATTAGGTCCAGTCGTGACCGACTCTGGGGTTGCGGAGCTCATCTCGCTTTATTGGCTGAGGGAGCCGGCGTACAGCTTCCGGGTCATGTGGCCAGCATGACTAAGCCGCTTCTGGCGAACCAGAGCAGCGTATGGAAACGCCATTTACCTTCCTGCCGGAGCGGTACCTATTTATCTACTTGCACTTTGACGTGCTTTTGAACTGCTAGGTTGGCAGGAGCAGGGACCGAGCAACAGGAGCTCACCCCGTCGCGGGGATTCGAACCGCCGACCTTCTGATTGGCAAGCCCTAGGCTCTGATTGGCAAGCCCTAGGCACAGCACAACCCGAGGTACCACTGTATTATTATTCTTAGATAAGGCTGTCAATCAGATCCTGAAGCTGAGGTTCCAATACTTTGGCCACCTCATGAGAAGAGAAGACTCCCTGGAAAAGACCCTGATGTTGGGAAAGATGGAGGGCACAAGGAGAAGGGGACGACAGGACGAGATGGTTGGACAATGTTCTCAAAGCTACCAACATGAGTCTGACCAAACTGTGGGAGGCAGTGGAAGACAGGAGTGCCTGGCGTGCTCTGGTCCAGGGGGTCACGAAGGGTTGGACACGACTAAACAACAACAACAACAACAAGGCTGTCAATGGATGCTAGTGGTCATGCAGCCACTCCTCCACCCAGGTCGGGAACTGCCTGCAACACCAACTCCGCGGGGACTTGCAGCAGCGGCTTTCCAGTGTTTCCAGCAGCCCAGCCCCCCGAGGCCAGGGGCTTGTTGAACCCCCGGACCTCCTTGCACGCGGTGCAGCCAGCAACCCAAGCGGAGGCTGCTTCCGTCCCTCGTTTCCCGCCATTTCTTCTTTCCCATTCAAGTTTCCACCATATCCTCCGAATGTCAAATGTTGGACCACGGGGGGAACCTCAGCTCACCTCTCCTCCTTCTTCCCCGCAGTCTTCAGCCGCAAAACCTAGGCGCGCTCCCCCCGGGAGAATGCGCGCAGCACATTCAGGCGCTCATGCACACGCACTTTCCTCTTGTGCAAGGAACCCAGGAGTCCTGGTCACACCAGCACCCACTTGGGAGAGATGCCCGAAGATGCTTTTTGACCTCTTCCTCCTCCTCTTGCAGTCAGGGAAAGACACCCCACCTCCATAAAAAATAAATTAAAAAAATCAGCCTTTCATTTTTGAGCCCTCCCGGCTCCCGTACTTACCTTCTGTGACGTCATCGCAGGACACCGCCGATTCGCGCTGCAGCGGAAAGAGAGGCGGGGACGCAGTTCGCGCGTCTCCTTTGTGTCACCAGCCAAACAAGACCCGGGCGGCCGACATCTTGCTCAAAACAATCGCTGCGTTCCGTTCCTTCGGCTCGTAAGGCCGCGCGGCGATGGCGTCATCACAGGGCGCCAGTCGGGAGGCGAAGTCAACGCCCTTCCCATTTCCTGCCCACACATACACATACACAAAACACCCCTGGAGGTGCCACGCAAAGCGCGGCCGGCAGGTGGCGATCGCGGCCCGCCTCCCGCGGATAAAGCAGTTTTCCTTCCCATGTCCAAAATGGCCGCCAGGTCGGCTTCGTTCCCTGTTTCTCGATGGAGATGGCGGCTTTAGGCCAGCGTCGGTACAGTAGCTTCGTCCCACCCGGAATAAAGATGGCGGGCAGCCGGCGAGCGTGTCAAAGGGGCGGGGTTGGAGGGAGTGACGTCATCTTCCGGAGGCGGCCGGCAAGGAGCTTTCCCGACTCGGGTGGGGACTTGGAGTGGCTTGTTTTGGAGAGGAAGCGGCAGCTGCGGCGTCGTCAGAGGCAGCTCTGGCCGGAAGCGGGGACTGGCAGGCGAGACTACGAGGGTCTCTTTGTGAGTCGGGGGAGCTTTAAATGGAGGAGAGGGTCCAGGGGGTGGGAAAGAGGGGAGGGAGAGGAGGACTCAATGAAATCAATGGACATCACTAACTTAGGGCTATTTGGTTCAATGGGTCTCCTCTTGAGCGGGTCTTGGATGCAACTCGTGGCGTTTCAGAAGATTTTGCTTCCATAATTCGCTAGTCTATTTACATCTTCACTTTGGATACTACAGTACTTTTCCTCTTACACAAGAGCAATGGGTTTGCACAATAATAATAATGTGTTTGTGGGAGCCTTGTTACTGGGTTGTTTCCCACCCCCCCAAAAAAAATATTGATTTTCCAAAAATGTTAAACAAACATAAATCTCAATCGTATTTAAAACAATTTTAGTGACATTGTTAAGTGACTTCCTTGAATCCTCCTAGTTGAATTTCAGTGTGTATCATTTTAACAGTTTTCCAAAACCAATTTTCTCATAAAATTAACTTAATCACTTAACATCTTTCTTTCTTTCTATTTTAGCTTTAGATATATTAATTCCTAACATTACATATTTAAAGCCTATCTAATATTTGCAAGCTTTTCCAATTAAGTTATCTTAACATATTTAACTAAATAGTCTTTGAATTCCATCCATTCTTCCTGATATTCCTCCTCCTTTTGGTGGCGGACTCTTCCAGTCAGGTTGGCTAGCTCCGAAAAATCTATCATCTTCATCTGCCATTCCTCCACTGTTGGGATTTCTTGTGTTTTCCAATTCTTAGCTAACAAAATTCTTGCTGCAGTTGTGGCATACAAAAACAATTTAACATCTTTCTTGGGCAATTCCAAACCTGTTATTCCAAAAAGAAAGGGCTCTGGTTTCTTAATAAATGTATATTTCAACATTTTTTTCAGTTCATTATAAATGAAGTCTTTCACCTTGGGGGAGGTCCACCACATCTGATAAAAGGTACCCTCCTTTTCTTTACATTTCCAACATTATCACTGTTGTGGTAAATCTTTGCTAATTTTACAGGGGTTAAGTACCATCTATACATCATTTTCATAATATTTTCCTTTGACACCGTACATGCAGTAAACTTGACCCCTTTCTTCCGGGTTGTTGTTTTTTAAATGTGTTTTGGTTTCTCGTTTTGTGCTTTTATTTAGTGAACTGCCCTGTGATACGGCTACTACTAATAAAGTGGACTCTGCTCCCAAGAAAGCAGTTGTGTTGTAATAAATTTATCCAAGCTTATCACAGAATATCGTGTTTTCAAAACAGACAGATGTGTCATGGAAATACATTTTCTTTTAATGATATTTGTAAATTTTGATAATAACATTTTTAAAAAGAAAATATTAATTGTTTGGTTGTGGCATTAGCTTGCATGGGGCAGATACAAACACAGTATTGATGAAAGGGGGGGAGGGAAGCTGATGCTACAGGTGGGTACTGTTAATATAAAGCCATTTATCACACTGCATACAGAGAAGACGACAATAACATTCAAAGGCAAAATTGAAGCCGGATGATGAAACCAGGCTAGAAAAAGCAGCAACTTGAATCACTCATATACAAAACATACAGCAATCCAGTTGTATGAGCAGACTATTTGATCAGCATAGGTGTGATCCACACCCAACTTGTTTTACCTCCCCTGTGCTTTTGAAGTTGCTTGATGCAGATATTAAGCAACTGAAGTGCTTTTTTTAAAAATATGCTTTTTATTAAATTTTCATTTCAAATACACCAACACCAACAAACAAATATTTCAAGTCTTTTTACATCTGTCTTACTTTATGCTCCATAGAGCTGTTGACTTCCCTCCTTCCCTTCCGCAGGTTTTCTTATTCCAATCCTTAATTCACAGTTCCTTAATTAACAACTAAACCATGACATAAGATTTATTTCAGTCCTGCTAACGTCTTCAAATTTCTACAGTTCTCACTTATATGGACCAATTTACTCCATTATTTTTGGTACTTTATTTCCTCCTGACTGCGAATCCTATGTGTCAGTTTTGCTAATTCCGTGTACTTGACCAACTTTGTCTGCCACTCCTTTACAGTCGGTATCTCCTGTGTTTTCCACTTTTGGGCTATCAAAACTCTGGCAGCTGTCGTAGCATACATATATAATCTTTGGTCCGTCAGCTTAATATCCTCTCCTATCAAAACTATCAATAGTTCTTCAGGCTTTTTTGGGAAAGTATATTTAAACATCTTTTTCAATTCATTATAGATCAATTCCCAAAACTTTCATTTTATCACATGTCCACCACATGTGGTAAAAAATCCCCATCCTTTTCTTTACATTTCCAACAGATTTTGCTACTTGTTCTATACATTTTTGCTAGTTTGTCAGGTGTTAGATATCAGCGATAGACCATTTTCATTACATTCTCTTTTAAAGTAGAGCATGCAACTGAAGTTCTTCAGGGTATGGCAGGGAAGTGATGAGGGGAGAGCTTTGCCTCCTTAATTTCCGCATGCCAGCCAGTACTTAATAATACAGGAGACAGGGCCTGCCAGTATGAATGCCGTCAGCCTTATACTGAGGTGCCAGGGCAGTGAAAGTTGTGGGTTGTGTGCCATCTGCAGCATTAAGGGTATTCTGAGGACAATAGGATTGTGAGATATTGACCAGAATGAACGCCGAGGGACCTTTTGGGATGGATTAGAGATGGGGGGTGTAGCTCACTGCAGAGCACCCAGAAAGGTATTGGAAGAAGGGGAGGACGATTATGACTGAAAGGCTGAGAAGGAGGAAGACACTGGTCTCTGAAATGGCCCTCAGTATTGAAGGGGTGTGAGGGTGGAGAATGAAGGCTAGCAAGGGTCTGTGGCAGGTGTGAGGAACCTGTGGCCCTCTAAATGTTGCTGGACTACAACTCCCATCGTCCCTGGGCTGTGGCTGATGAAAGTTGTAGTACCACAGTATCTAGAGGACCAGAGAGTTCTGCACACTTAGTCTACGGAGCAGGTAGCATAATGACTCTGTCTCCCATCTTTAGCCCTCACCTCCAGCCCCATGAAGCGGAAGCATCAGCTCATCTCGGATACATTCCAGGTGAAAAAACGACGGCTGGTTCTCGGATCGGAGCCTCTCGAACAGGGTAAGAATGGAGGAAGTGTTGTGTGGTGAGGCGTCAGAGTTCTCTCTCTGCATGGGGAGGTGTGCGTGAGTGGACTTATGGGGGGATGATGAGTGAGAGGTGAGTGCCATCAATTCTGGGTGGCATGAGGCAGAGTGCTGCAGAAATATGCCAGCTTCTTATGTTTCCTCCCCCAGAAGGCCCCGAGGCAGTAGAATCTGCACTCCAGTTCTTGGCCTCTCTCTTCCCCCGCAAATTATTTGAGGATTTTCTGCCACCCTTGATTCTGAGACACCAGATCTACAGCCTCGTCAAAGACCGAACAACCGTTGACAGGCACTTGGTAGGTGGTTCCTTCCTCAGTTCAGAGGCCAGGTAGAGGAATATGGAGGGCTGAATTTGCCCCCCACTCCCCCGGACCTGAGGTTCCCCAGGATATGGGGTGTTTGAAGAACCAAAGGATCCTATGGGAAACCTATAAACCTCCTCCTCCTCTCATGCACACACGCACACACCCTACCATGATTTCAATAAAATGAGGTGTGTGTCTATAGATAGACAAATCTCTCTTCCTTCTGCCTCCAATTCTCCACCTTCAGAGTTTGCATTTGAAATAGACTGGTTAAAATAAATAAAACCTCCTCCTCCCTCTGTGTCTTTCTCCAGAGCCAGCTGAAAGATGAGGGCCGGATCCGGATGTTCCAGCATGGTTTCGATGCAGACACTTTCGTTGTGGCGTTCACAGACAACTATAAATCTAAGGTCTTGTGTCCTTTTTGTGTGTGTGTATGTGATGAGTTGAGGGGCATTGCAGAAGCGGGGAGAGATTGTGACGGCTCTTTCTCCCACAGGTGCTAGAGTTTACGTCTGGGAAGGACTTTGACAGGACTGTTAGGAAATTCCTGGATTCTGTCCTCAGCTCCTGCCCCGACATCAGTTTCGACAAAAGAAGGATGGTGCGAGAGTTTGGCTTCAGTGATGCGGAAATCACGTGAGTAAAGTTTTCCCCAGAGTGGAGACAGAGTAGGGTGTGTTCTGAGGGCCGTGTATGAAGATTGGGCTTCTTCTTTGAGGTTTTGCTGTGTCCGGTTATAATGAATCTTAGTAAATCGATTGAATTCGTTCTGATTGGTTTAAATCTGCATAATTTTGTATGGGGTTAAACAACCCAGTTCCCTGGGGGCAAGGGGAAGTATTCTGTGCCACAGCAGGCACCCTCTAAAAATGTAGTAATGTACTGTTTATAAGAGCATGAGACTCTTAATCTCAGGATTGTGGGTTCGAGTTACACACTGGGCAGAAAGATGCAGGAGGTTAGATGAAACGACCCTTGGGGTCCCTTCCAAGTGTACAATTCTATGACTACAATTGTACAAAGAAAAACAAAAGCCCTCAAAGCTGTTTACAAAAATAATAACAAATAGGGCTTTGACCATCATACCTGACGGTTAACTTGCATGGAGATTGTTGAGTAACAGGTAGTGTCTTGCCCAGAGCTGAGATCCAGGCACCTCAGAAGAAGAAACAGTGGCTCATACTGGGATCCTCAAACACACTTAGAGGTGCGGTTTGGTCATTTTGAACTCTGGACTTAGTTGTCTTACATCTCCTGGCCTCTCCATAATGGGAAGTACGTTACTTCAAAATGCAGTAAGCCAGCTCTGCTGCGTTTGGGGAGACTCCTTCTCTGTTTGTGGAACAGGACCCTGGGCCTTTTCTCTGAAGTCCTGTCCTGATAGCATCACTGAGCAACGCTTTCCTTAGACTCCCGTTATCTCCGGCTTTCCACAGTCCCAGAAGCGGCTGCATCTTGGTGCAAAAGGGGCAAGTGGTAATGGGGGGAATTACATTTCTCTCCCATTCCTGTGTTTTATGTTCAGGCAGCTGGTGAATGCCGGAGTCCTGACTGTCCGGGACGCAGGGAGCTGGTGGCTGGCAGTGCCTGGAGCAGGTCGTTTTGTCAAATGCTTCATCAAAGGTTAGTTCGTTTCCCTGCTCCAGGCAAAAGCTGGGACACCTCTGACGGCAGCAACCTAGTGATCTGTGTTGTGTGTGTCTCTCCGTCTTCCCAGGGAGAAAAGCTGTGCTGAGCATGATCCAGAAGGCCAAATACAAGGAGGTTTTGCTGTCTGACTTGCAGAACCGCCGAGCTCCAAGCGCCGTGAAGCTGGGCCTTCCTTACCACATCCATGACCTTATTGGAGCCCAGCTGGTGGACTGGTACTAGACTTCTGCTCTCGCTCCCACCTGTGAAAAACCAAATGTTGCCTTGGATCTCAGCCTGTTGCTGTGGAGCTTGATCCTGCCCTTGGGCAGCCAACCAAGGCTGTAATCCTACATACCGGGGAGTGGGGTCCTTTTCTGGGCTGGTGACTTGGATCCCAACCTCTCTTATCCCCAGGGGCCCACCTGCCAATCACCTGATGTCATCAGAGGGGGTCTCTGTCATCAGCAGGGACAGCAGGCCCTGCTTGCAAAGGAATGCTTGGGAGCTGCTTTCACTTGGGAGCAAATTTGCTCTTCTGCAGCTGCATCCTTACCTGGTTACAGGGAACCAGGCAGAGGGCCTTCTCGGTAGTGGCACCCGCCCTGTGGAATGCCCTCCCACCAGATGTCAAAGAGAAAAACAACTACCAGGCTTTTAGAAGACATCTGAAGGTAGACTTGTATACCCATGTAGTATCTGAAACCAAAGGGGCACATTGGTTGCCAGATGTGAAATACATGGGCGTTACTTTCATCTCTCCTACCCCACTAGAATAGGGATGCAGGTGGTGCTGTCATCTAAACCACAGAGCCTAGGGCTTGCCGGTCAGAAGGTTGGCGGTTCGAATCCCTGCGACGGCGTGAGCTCCCATTGTTCGGTCCCTGCTCCTGCCAACCTAGCAGTTCGAAACCACATCAAAGTACAAGTAGATAAATAGGTACCACTCCGGCGGGAAGATAAACGGCATTTCCATGCGCTGCTCTGGTTCGCCAGAAGCGGCTTAGTCATGCTGGCCACATGACCTGGAAGCTGTACGCTGGCTCCCTCGGCCAATAAAGCGAGATGAGCGCCACAACCCCAGAGTCGTCCACAACTGGACCTAATGGTCAGGGGTCCCTTTACCTTTATGATGTCAAAATAGACTTCACTACAGGATGCTAGACTAGATGGGCCCTGGCCTGATGCTGCTGGGGCTCTTCTTATGCTCTTCTTATTCTGTCCTGATTTTAACCTGATCACCTCATTCTCGCTTCCTCTAGCGTGCCCACGACCTCCGGCACCCTCCTCCGACTGGCTGATGATTAAGGACGTGCCACTTGTCTGCCACCAAACCAACAGCTGTGCCTAAAATGAATGGATGCTGCTTGGGGCTCTCGCCACGGGGGACAGGATGCCTACCTGAGCCATCAGCATCGTTGTGAACAAACAGGACCTTTTCCAGCAAATTTTTTTTTCTAATTATTATTTATAAAACAGATTTATATTTTGCACTTAATATGGGCCTAATGTGCGAGAGCATCTTAGCAGGACCCCTGACTGATGTGACTTGACTGACGAGAGGCCGTGGATAAGAGAGGAGGGAGCTACTTGTACAATCTCTCAGCTTGATCTCTGGATGCCGGAGAACCGTTGGAAACCTGCGCATCTAAGAACAGCCAGGGCCAAGATGTTCCCACAAGGAATTCATTCCTGGCAGTGTGTGTGTGGCCGTGTATGTATGAGTGTTGATCTCTTAGATGACACCAGAGTCTCAGAAAATTACATTGGAGCTTGATTAAAAGCATTTCTTCTTGGCTCACTGATATGTTCTGAAGACGATACCTTTTTGGGACAAGATGCTGGCTAAACAGGGATGTATGTAACCACCTCCTGAAAGTCACTAGCAAGGGAGATAGATGCATCTCACAACAGCTTAGTTCTACTTTGTTCTTTGGTGATCACTCGTAGCCAAGTAAGATTGTCTTCCATAAACACGGTCTTAACAGTGAGTCCGTAAGTGACTGTGGAGGCCAATTCTGGAGCCACACGTCCTTCCACAGTGGGGACATAGGTTTCTAGGCGGGAGTTGATCATGGTGAGGGTTTGCCAAGCGTGCTTTCCTCTGAGCGCGTTTCTCCCTTGCGTCCTGAGTTCGAGCGTCTTCAAAACCCATGACACCTTTAGTAGAGGCTGTTCTCCAATTGCAGCGCTCACAGGCCAGTGTTTCCCAGTTGTTGGTGTTTATACTACATGTTTTTAGATTTGCCTTGAGAGAGTCTTTGAACCTCTCTTGTTGACCACCAGCATTACGCTTTCCATTTTTAAGTTCGGAATAGAGTAGTTGCTTTGGAAGACAATAATCAGGCATCCACACAACATGACCAATCCAACAAAGTTGATGTTGAGGAATAATTGCTTTGACACTGGTGATCTTTGCTTCTTCCAGTACACTAAGAAAAAAGCACACCAAGAACACAGGCCAATGTAAGTTTCAATAGTGGGAGTAGTCCCTCCTCACAAATAAATAATCAATTTTAACAAAAACTGATCCGTTCAAAAGTATGTATTCTGACAAGGATTACAAACTCTTGACAGAGATTACAAACTCATAAAGAGATGTATAACACAATAATTCGTTACAGAATTTGAAATGAGAGTTTATGAGTAGAGACAAGTTCATGTTAGTCAATAGTCAGATTTGACGTGAAGGTCTTAGTTTCAATCATTGAGCAGAAGTCAGAAGTCAATTATGGATCAGAAACCAGGACAGGGCCCTGTTTCGATGTACAGTGGTGCCTCGCAAGACGAAATTAATCCGTTCCGCGAGAGTCTTCGTCTAGCGGTTTTTTCGTCTTGCGAAGCAACCCTATTAGCGGCTTAACGGATTAGCGCTATTAGCGGTTTAGCGGCTATTAAAGGCTTAAAGGCTTAGCGGATTAGCTGCTAAAAGGCTATTAAAGGCTATTAAAGGTTTAGCAGGTTAGATAAAGGGGGCGAAAAGCGAAAAAAAAATCTCAAGACTTGCAATACATTTTCGTCTTGCGAAGCAAGCCCATAGGGAAATTCGTCCTGCGAAGCAACTCAAAAACGGAAAACCCTTTCGTTTAGCGGGTTTTCCGTCTTGCGAGGCATTCGTCTTGCGGGGCACCACTGTATTCCCCTTCATCAGCTGGAAGTATCAAATATTACGTGAAAATACATTTAAATTCTAAATTACCATAGATTATAAAGCTGTCATAAATTATAAAACAGTATTATATAACATTTGGTTCCTTACCTAATTTTTAAAGGGTTGTGTAAGTTTGAAGACTTTCGGATAAATATATTCTGTTATTTTCTACGTTTCTCAGAGATAGCAACTGAAAATAATCAATATTAATAATAATTACATGTGTTGAATCAAATTTAAAACTCTTTTTTTAAAAAAACAAAAAACTCTAAGGCAGCATATAATCATGATTTCTCACCTTCATGTGGGTAGATCAACATGTATCTTGAGCTTTTATGTGCATTTTCAATTTGGAAGTGAGCCTGTTACCTTTTACAGTGGTGCCTCGCAAGACGAAATTAATCCGTTCCGCGAGTCTCTTCGTCTTGCGGTTTCTTCGTCTTGTGAAGCACGGCTATTAGCGGCTTAGCGGCTATTAGCAGCTTTAAGAAAAAGGAAAGAACTCGCAAGACATTTCGTCTTGCGAAGCAAGCCCATAGGGAAATTCGTCTTGTGGAATGACTCAAAAAACGGAAAACTCTTTCGTCTAGCGAGTTTTTCGTCTTGCAAGGCATTCGTCTTGCGGGGCACCACTGTATATGCACTTAAAGGTGGCACTGTGGGTTAAACCACAGAGCCTAGGACTTGCCGATCAGAAGGTCAGCGGTTCGAATCCCCGCGACGGGGTGAGCTCCCGTTGCTCGGTCCCTGCTCCTGCCAACCTAGCAGTTCGAAAACACGTCAAAGTGCAAGTAGATAAATAGGTACCACTCCGGCGGGAAGGTAAACGACGTTTCCGTGCGCTGCTCTGGTTCACCAGAAGCGGCTTAGTCATGCTGGCCACATGACCCGGAAGCTGTACGCCGGCTCCCTCGGCCAATAAAGCGAGATGAGCGCCGTTTGGTCAGACTACTTGTCTTTTGAGCCCAGTATTTATATACTCACTCTCTCCTGCAATGGACTATATGCCTCTTGGGTCCCTTCCAACTCTATGATTCTGTTGGTGGCTCTCTAGCCCACCAGTGGAAGGTCTTCCACATCACGACTGACCTGCTCCTTGTAGGTGGAGATGCCACTGTCCAAATCTGGGGTGTTCTGCCTTGTTCAGCCTATGCCCTGTGACCAAGCTAAAATAAGACTTTTCACACATGGAAACTGACCCAAAAACTCTGTCTGATTAGATGTTCTGTCTGGTCCCTTCTGCTTCAACGTAGGTTGTGTCTCTCTTTGCATATCTACAGTACATACATACGGAATCAGGATTAAAAATGACCTTAACCTGGGACAACTGGGACCAAGCTAACAAAATGAATGTCAGTAGGGACAAATAGGTTCTGCACCTAGGCAGGAAGAACCAGCTGCACAAATATACCGTATTTTTCGCACCATAGGGCGCACCGGATCATAGGGTGCCCCCAGTTTTTTGGGGGGGGGAATCAAGAAAAAAAATATTCCCCCCCCAGCCCCAAAGAGCAGCGTACAGGCTGCGCACAACCTCTCCCTGCCGGAGGGGTTGAGCGGGGCTATGGCACAAGCCAAGGCAGCAAGCAGGATGGATCCCGCTCGCTGTTTTGGCTTCCCCTTTAGCCCCGTGCAGCCTCTCCCTCCCGGGAGACGCTGCGCAGGGCTTTCCTGGGAGGTGGGGGGATTCCCTCACCTCTCCCAAAAGCCCGCAGAAGCTGCGCATCCCCTTTAAAGAGATCGCAGCTTCTCCTGGCTTTCCTGGGAAGTGGGGGAATTCCCCCACCTCCCGCAAAACCGGCAGAAGCCGCGCGCACTTTAAAAGGGCTGCACGGCTTCTCCTGGCTTTCCTGGGAGGTGGGGGAATTCCCTTACCTCTCGCAAAAGCCCGCAGAAGCCGCGCAACCCCTTTAAAGAGATCGCGGCTTCTCCTGGCTTTTCTGGGAGGTGGGAGAAGGGACTGATGCGGCCAGTCAGTCCCTTCTCCCTCCTGTGGAAAAGCCCGCAAGAGTGCACGGAGCTTGTGTGCGGCTCTTGGGGGCTTTTCCCGCCTGCCTCCCCCCTGCATTCGCTCCATAGGACGCACACACATTTTCCCTTGCTTTTTAGGAGGGAAAAAGTGCGTCCTATGGTGCCGAAAATACGGTAAACAGATGAGGAACACGTGGATGGCCAGTAGTACATGTGAAAAGGATCTTCAGGTCTTGGTGGAGCACAAGCTTAACATGAGTCAACGGTGAGATGCAGCAGCAAAAAAAGCCAATGGCATTCTGGGCTGCATCAACCGAATTACAGCGTCCAGATCGAGGGGATAAAGGCAATTATATTCCTGGAACATTTGCAGCGCCACAGGTTCCCTGTCTTTATGGCCTGATCCTACACATGTTTTATACCATGGGTAGGCAAAGTAGGGCCCGGGGGCCAGATCCGGCCCAATCGCCTTCTAAATCCGGCCTGTGGACGGTTCAGGAATCTGCGTGTTTTTACATGAGTAGAATGTGTCCTTTTATTTAAAATGCATTTCTGGGTTATTTGTGGGGCATAGGAATTTGTTCATTCCCCCCCCCCAAAAAAAATATAGTCCAGCCCCCCCACAAGGTCTGAGGGACAGTGGCCCAGCCCCCGGCTGAAAAAAATTGCTGCTCTCTGTTTTATACTCGGAAGTACCACAAATTCAGCTGGTAATTCCAAACAGAAATGCAAATTCATGCAAGAATGCCACCTTGATTTTCTGATTACAATATGCTGTTTTATTTAAGAGTCTTGCTGCATCAGGTTCAAGTGGGGGTCCTACTCTAGAAACTGATCTCTGGTAACAGCTGTCCAGAACGAATTAGGGAAGCATGCAGGCCAGGTGCAAAGGAAATTTTCCTCCTGTGCTGTCTGCGCTGGCCTTCAGCTGCTGGAGCTGGAGGTTCCACTTAGCCTTCACACCTAATATGTTGTTGTTGTTCAGTCATTTAGTCGTGGCCGACTCTTCGTGACCCCATGGACCAGAGCACGCCGGGTCCAGAGCACGCCAGGCACTCCTGTCTTCCACTGCCTCCCGCAGTTTGATCAAACTCATGCTGGTAGCTTCCAGAACACTGTCCAACCATCTCGTCCTCTGTCGTCCCCTTCTCCTTGTGCCCTCCATCTTTCCCAACATCAGGGTCTTTTCCAGGGAGTCTTCTCTTCTCATGAGGTGGCCAAAGTATTGGAGCCTCAGCTTCACGATCTGTCCTTCCAGTGAGCACTCAGGGCTGATTTCCTTCAGAATGGAGAGGTTTGATCTTCTTGCAGTCCATGGGACTCTCAAGAGTCTCCTCCAGCACCATAATTCAAAAGCATCAATTCTTCGGCGATCAGCCTTCTTTATGGTCCAGCTCTCACTTCCATACATCACTACTGGGAAAACCATAGCTTTAACTATACGGACCTTTGTTGGCAAGGTGATGTCTTTGCTTTTTAACACTCCTAATATAGCTGCCCACAATGAATATGTTTCCTTTCCCCTCAACCGTAAACCATTTCTCAGAACATGCATTTTGGACGTTTCGGTTCCTCGATCCTCTCCCGCACCGCCTCGTTTGAGCTCGCTTCCTCTCGTTTTAGTCCTGTCCCTTTAAGAAGCCGGCAAGTGGGCGGAGCTAGAATCCTTTTTTTTTTTTTTTAATAAATATGTTTGTTTTCTTAAAAAGTAGAACGGGCGTCTCTAACCTGGCTTCCCTCCCTATCTCTGCGGTATTTAAGGTCATGGCATGGTCACGTGCTGCCTTTGAAGCCGGCCTTCCTCGTTCCATTCTCCAAAGCCAGCCAATCAGAGGGCGGCTGGCGGCCCGGGAGTTCCCTCGGGTTGCTACTGTTTAAACCCAACATTCGGTCCCAGCGGCGCGCTTAAAGGGGAAGCGGCCCTGGTGGATGCGGAAGAGGGGATCCTGACGGCCGAAGCAATGGGTGCTAGACGTGATCCCCGGAGGAGATCCCACCCTTGGGCCAGGCCGGGCTTCTGCCTACGGCCGCTGCTGTTTCTGGGGCTCTGCTGCTGGGAAACGCGCGGGGTGGCCACCCCTGATCAGGTACGATTGGAAATGTCCCGGGGGGGTCTTTGTTTTGTCCTCCCCCCAATCTGCTCCCCAACCTCATAACCCCACAGAACTAGAAGGCTTAGCTGGGGCTAGTCGTTGGGCCCTCAGACCCACTGAACCCAACCGGTCCGGCCACGTATTGTGCCTCTCTCCATTCCCCCGGTCAGGATCGGATGGAAAGCTTTGGAGGCCCTAAACACTTAAAAAAAAATAGATTGTGGTTTGTCTCCACCCTATATGGAAGTAATAAAATAAAATAAAATCAGTGCTAGAAACGGGGGGGGGGGGGCGGGAATGTGGAGTATAAGGAAGTTCTGATTTCCCACCCTCCTGCCATGTTGACCTACTTCAATGCCTTTTCTGAAATATCAAGTGTCTTAATTTTTTCCAAAAGAAATAATTATATATATATATATATATATATGGCATGCCCCTGCTTTGCTTGATGCCCTAAGCACATGCTTATTCTGCCTTTTGGGTAGTGGTGGTGGTTGTCAAATATTTATTTATCCCCTGCCTTTTCCCTGATGGAGACTCAAGATGACTTACAGATAAAATAAGAACAGCTAAAATCATAAAGGGGCGGTGGCAATACTTTAAAACAATTAATAGAATTAAAACTCTGTGTGTGTATTAGTTTTCTGCGGTGGTTCCCCCTTTTGGGAATGCTTTTTCCCAAGCATGCCTTTATTATGAAAACATTCCTGTAAAACCAGGCCTTTGGATAATTAAACAATCTATGGCCTTTTTGTTTGTTTGTTACTATGTTCTGCATTTCCAAGTTTTTATGTTGTAAACGGCCCGGTGATCCTTGAATGTGATCTGCTGCCTTGAGATTCCTACGTTTGCAGGGGGTTGGAGTGAATGACCCTTGGGGTCCCTTCCAGCTCTCCAGTTCTATGATTATTAAAAACATTCAGACAATCAGAATAAAAACAGCACAGTGGCAGCCCCCCCCCCCCAATTAATAGCAGTCAGTAATCCAACGCTGGATGAATCCCTAGCCGGAATTAAGATTGCTAGAAGAAATATCAACAACCTCAGATATGCAGATGACACAACCTTGATGGCAGAAAGTGAGGAGGAATTAAAGAACCTTTTATTGAGGGTGAAAGAGGAGAGCACAAAATATGGTCTGAAGCTCAACATCAAAAAAACGAAGATTATGGTCACTGGTCCCATGACCTCCTGGCAAATAGAAGGGGAAGAAATGGAGGTAGTGAGAGATTTTACTTTCTTTGGCTCCATGATCACTGCAGATGGTGACAGCAGCCATGAAATTAAAAGACGCCTGCTTCTTGGGAGAAAAGCAATGACAAACCTAGACAGCATCTTAAAAAGTAGAGACATCACCTTGCCAACAAAGGTCCGTATAGTTAAAGCTATGGTTTTCCCAGTAGTGATGTATGGAAGTGAAAGCTGGACCATAAAGAAGGCTGATCGCCAAAGAATTGATGCTTTTGAATTATGGTGCTGGAGGAGACTCTTGAGAGTCCCATGGACTGCAAGAAGATCAAACGCATCCATTCTTAAGGAAATCAGCCCAGAGTGCTCACTGGAAGGACAGATCGTGAAGCTGAGGCTCCAATACTTTGGCCACCTCATGAGAAGAGAAGACTCCCTGGAAAAGACCCTGATGTTGGGAAAGATGGAGGGCACAAGGAGAAGGGGACGACAGAGGACAAGATGGTTGGACAGTGTTCTTGAAGCTACCAGCATGAGTTTGACCAAACTGCGGGAGGCAGTGGAAGACAGGAGTGCCTGGTGTGCTCTGGTCCATGGGGTCACGAAGAGTCGGACACGACTAAATGACTAAACAACAACAACAACAATCCAACGCTTCCCCCTGCATATAGCCAGTTAAGGTGAAAGCAACGGCCGAAACTGTAATGGCATCTCTGTGTCGCTCCATATTGTTGGACTTACAGCTCTAATTGTCCCTGATCGTGGGCCATGCTGGTCATAGTTTGAGTGCAGCAGTATCCAAAGGGCCACAGATTCCCCACCCCTGAATCAAGACATTTGATGGTGCCAGATGCTGTCTATTTTTGTTTCCGCATTTATAAGCCGTGTTTCCTCCCAGGAGCTCAAAGCAGCTTACATGGTTCTTCTCCCGCCTTCCCTCCCCCAAGTTTATCCTCACACAACGTTCTTGCAAAGTAGGCTAGGCTGAGAGAGAGTGACTCGATAAACACACAAGACGTAACTGGCTGTGTTCTTAGATAAATAAGGTATACTATTCCTTGTATCCAGTCATAAATTTCAACAGAAGTAACTCATAAAGTTCAACAAACGAACAAAGCAGAACACCCAATGGATCAGATCATTCTCTAGTCAGTTCATACATAAGGTCCATCTGTGTAATAGTGTCTATTCCACCTGTCTGTTCATAAGGTCCAAACAATCCGCATGAAAGGTTGTTACAGTTCCACAGAATCCTTTCACAGAGTCTAAAGACAAGGATTTCCGGAATATTGGCCTTGTTTCGCCGTCCTGGGCTTCATCAGTAGTTAAAGCTCATATGTGATATTACAGGACAGTGAATCTTATGGCATAGTAGTAGCTGTGGTCTTATGAACTGGGTTCCACACAGTCACAAAAACAAATTAGCCGAAAAAGCTTCAAAAACAAAAACGCAAAACAAATTGCAAAAAGTCCATTTGACTTCCGAAATGTTCAAAAACCAAGGCGCAGCTTCTGATTGGTGCAGGTGCCCCGGAAACAATAGCCGACAGCCACATTGGACGTTCAACTTCCGAGAAACGTTCGAAAACCAGAACACTTACTTCCTGGTTTTTTCAGCGTTTGAGAACCAAGGCGTTTGAGAACCAAGGGGAGAGTCTTGTTCTTTTAGCTCAGGTCGTGCCTTCCCTGCTCTCCCGAATCATGTTTGCTGTTCTACCGGTTTCCAGGGTGCACTCTTGAGTATCTGAAAGTTTTTAATGTCTTTTTAATCTCTTGTTGGAAGCCGCCCAGAGTGGCAGGGGAAGCCCAGCCCGATGGGCGGGGTATAAGTAATAAATCATTATTATTACAGTAGTGCCTCGCAAGACGAAATTAATCCGTTCCACGAGTCTCTTCGTCTTGCGGTTTTTTCGTCTTGCAAAGCGCGGCTTAGCGGCTATTAACGGCGTAGCGGCTTTAAGAAAAAGGAAACAAACTCGCAAGACATTTCGTCTTGCGAAGCAAGCCCATAGGGAAAGTCATCTTGCGTAACGACTCAAAAAACGGAAAACTCTTTCGTCTAGCGAGTTTTTCGTCTTGCGAGGCATTCGTCTTGCGGGGCACCACTGTATTATTTCTGGTGCAAAGTTCTCAGGAGAAGGCAGCAGGCGGTTTCTCCCTGGTTGCACCTCTTGGCTATGTGGCCGTTCTGCTTGCCCTCCTCCTCAATTTGTCCACATACCTGCCCTTCCTTCCTATGTTTTGTGGGAGGGAAATGTCGAGCTGACCCCAGCCTTGGCTGCACTGCTCCCCAGGTACACAGGCAGTCTTCTGAAGTGCCAAACAGATGTCAGAGCAGTGCCACGTAGATGTTCCCAGTTACTTCAACTTTTAAACAAGCTGTGGCTTAGCAATGAGACTGGGATGGGCAGATTTCCAAAAATTAAAACTTAAACAAACAACACACCGTCGCTGCAGACTTTGTCGTTCCTCTTCCCCTGCTTTCTCGGCAACAAATAGGATATGAGCCTGCAGCAAAATGTTGCTGTATATGGAGTGCTTCTCTTCAGGGTTCCACACGCAACGGCCCTGTCCGCACTAGACACTCAAACCAGTATCATACCACTTTAAACTGTCATGGCTTCCCTCAAGGAATTCTGGGAAGTGTAGTTCGTTAAGAGGGATGCGGGTGGCGCTGTGGGTTAAACCACAGAGCCTAGGACTTGCTGATCAGAAGGTCGGCGGTTCGAATCCCCGCGACGGGGTGAGCTCCCGTTGCTCGGTCCCTGCTCCTGCCAACCTAGCAGTTCGAAAGCACACCAGTGCAAGGAGATAAATAGGTACGGCTCCGGCGAGAAGGTAAACGGTGTTTCCGTGCGCTGCTCTGGTTCACCAGAAGCGGCTTAGTCATGCTGGCCACATGACCCAGAAGCTGTATGCCGGCTCCCTCAGCCACTAAAGCGAGATGAGCGCCGCAACCCCAGAGTCAGTCACGACTGGACCTAATGGTCAGGGGTCCCTTTACCCTTTACCTTTATACCATAAACCGCCCTGTGATCCACAGATGAAGGGGCTGCATATGAATTTAGTTAATTAATGAATTAGCATAATGCACATCTCAGTTCCAGTGACTTTTGCATGAGAACGGTTAACCGCGTGCCTAGCTTGGCAGCCCAGCAGATCGTGATCACAGACAAGAATCTGGGCTGGAAATCAAATCACTCTTATGTGCTGCTTGCCTTATCAGGCTTCTGTCAAAGAAAGCTATTCAGCCAAGACACAAAGTGTTGAGGAATAACTTGTTTATGCCAGTTAGATTTAATGTGGCTTAAAAAATTGGAATCCATGTGTGCTATCATAAGGCAATAGGCGTGGGAATGGGGATGAATAACTTTTTGTAAAAAAAAAAAACATACAGTGGTACCTTGGGTTAAGTACCGTATTTTTTGCTCTCACTTTTTTCCCTCCTAAAAAGTAAGGGGAAGTGTGTGTGCGTCTTATGGAGCGAATGCAGGCTGCGCAGCTATCCCAGAAGCCAGAACAGCAAGAGGGATTGCTGCTTTCACTGCGCAGCGATCCCTCTTGCTGTTCTGGCTTCTGAGATTCAGAATTTTTTTTTCTTGTTTTTCTTGTTTTCCTCCTCCAAAAACTAGATGCGTCTTGTGGTCTGGTGCATCTTATAGAGTGAAAAATACGGTACTTAATTCGTTCCGGAGGTCCGTTCTTAACCTGAAACTGTTCTTAACCTGAAGCACCACTTTAGCTAATGGGGCCTCCTGCTGCTGCCGCGCCGCCGGAGCACAATTTCTGTTCTCATCCTGAAGCAAAGTTCTTAACCTGAAGCACTATTTCTGGGTTAGCGGAGTCTGTAACCTGAAGCGTATGTAATCTGAGGTACCACTGTATTGGAAGGCAAATTCTGTCCTTCGAAGAAGCATGGAAGCCCTACTGTCTTTTCTGGGGTGGTCAATACCTTTGTTGTAAACGTACAAAAACTTGGTCAGGATCCAACCACAGTAATGCATTTTGCAGCCCCACTGATTCCGAACAGGAAAATAACGGGTTTAACTTGCTCATATCAGCAACCGCAGGATGCACATGTGCTGAGCCAGTTGGCTGGACGTCTCATGGAAATATCTGGAGCTGTCTTATACAAAGAGTCAGACCGTTGTTCCATGTAACTCAGTATTTCCTACTCGGACTGGCAGCAGCTCTCCAGGGTTTCAGGCAGGGAGTTTGAGCCTGGATTGAACCCGATACCTTCTGCAAACAATCACTACCCGGAAGCCACAGCTCCTCCCACCTAATGCTGCCCTTTCGGATTTCTCAGAAGGGAAATCAGAGGGCAGGCCTGCCAGAGGACAATATTTTCAAGGTTCAAAGGTCCATCGGTCAAGAAGGCACGTGCTGCAGAGGGAGGCGAAGGGCAGAGGGGGCTCATCAGCCTGGGAAAGAGAACTCTGGCCCTTGTAATAAACAAAAATCTGCCCTTATGGGGAACACAAGAGCCCTTATAGAGTCCTTTGTAGGTTCTCCATCGGTCGGAGAAAATAACAGAGGCCACCTGAGAATATAGAGAAGCAAAGCAGCTAGTAAGCCTGATCTTTATTGAAGCTGTTGCAACAGGGTGCTCCCCTCACATGCAGGAAAGGAGGAGGACCCCGAAAAAAGGTGTGCCCGCCCTTATATAGACATTTTAAATTGCCCGCCCTGGAGTCCAAGACCACCCCCAGAAACATCATGCATCACAGAAAGGGGTGTAGCTCAAGACCACCCTCCAGACACATCATGCCTACATCACAGAAAGGGCGGTCTACAACAGAAATCTGAGTGCCTTGTTTATCTCCTTTCTGGCAGGTTACCTGTTAATGGTCACTTGATTGGATACCCTAGGGAGCCTGGCCAGTCTTTTGTCATGACAAATACTTCGTTCCTGAGCCAGGTCACAGGCTCACCCTATTCATACACCCTATTCATACACATACTCTTAAGACAGGATTTGTGAAGGAGGAGACAATGGGGAGGCTTTTCCATTTTCCTTCGGCCTTGCAGAGAAATATTTGAGGTCAATTTGGGAGGGATAAAATGGTTTCAGGACTTTTTCTGTGGGGTTTCAGACATGTGGTTCATATATGCAGTTATGAATATTTATCTTTAAAATTTTTATTTCACCCTAAACCTCCACTCCCCTTCACGGATCACTGCCTTCACCTTGCCAACAAAGGTCCGTATAGTTAAAGCCATGGTTTTCCCAGTAGTGATGTATGGAAGTGAGAGCTGGACCATAAAGAAGGCTGATCGCCAAAGAATTGATGCTTTTGAATTATGGTGCTGGAGGAGACTCTTGAAAGTCCCATGGACTGCAAGAAGATCAAACCTATCCATTCTGAAGGAAATCAGCCCTGAGTGCTCACTGGAAGGACAGATCCTGAAGCTGAGGCTCCAATACTTTGGCCACTTCATGAGAAGAGAAGACTCCCTGGAAAAGACCCTGATGTTGGGAAAGATGGAGGGCACTAGGAGAAGGGGACGACAGAGGACGAGATGGTTGGACAGTGTTCTCGAAGCTACCAGCATGAATTTGACCAAACTACGGGAGGCAGTGGAAGACAGGAGTGCCTGGCGTGCTCTGGTCCAGGGGGTCACGAAGAGTCGGACACGACTAAACAACAACAAAACCTCCACTGCCTTGTGGGAGATCTTTGGGAGAAGAAAAGACTTAAGGAGTAAACCTTACACAAATCCAGAGGGGAGTCCCTAAGACAGTTGGATGACGCCTTATACGCCTCCTTCCAGCAACTCCTGCAGCCAAACGTCTTGCTCTGCTTTCCTTTGGACCGCATCAGCGAGGCCGAAAGAGGAGTCTTGTCATCTGGGCAGCCCAGGACTTCCATACTTGTGCCCAGGGAGGTCCCTTTGGTCCTGGGAATGCAGTGGTTTGACTTCACCCCCGGAGGCACACTCCATTGTCTCTTGAGACAGGTGAATGCCCTCGCTCTCTGCTCCTCCCTTGAAAAGCATGTCAGGGGAACAGGCTTATCAAGAACTCTCTCCCCTGACATTGAACTTGACATATTCCAGGTTCAGGCAGGGAAGAGGCCGATTTAGTCAAAGGACATACACAGAGAGAGACGTGGGCTCACTTGGAGCGTGACAATCAAGGACTCAGAGCGCTTGCCTCCTAGCTTCACTGCCGATGACTCATCGGCACCTCTGATCACATGCCTGGCAGAAAACAGCAATTGTGGGATGGAAAATAGCAGGGAAATGGCACAGGATGTGTAAGAAGGCGTGGAAAGCTTCACATTTGCTAGCACACTGTACCCTTGGCTAAAGCAAGAATGTGCGTTGACGTTTTAATAAATTTTATTTATACCCCGCCCTCCCCAGCCAAGACCAGGCTCAGGGTGGCTAACACCAGGTATAAAAACAATTGGTTAACGTACAACTTAAAAACTAGATTAAAATACAGTGGTACCTCGGGTTACATACGCTTCAGGTTACAGACTCTGGTAACCCAGAAATAGTACCTCGGGTTAAGAACTTTGATTCAGGATGAGAACAGAAATCGTGCTCCAGGGGCAGCGGGAGGCTCCATTAGCTAAATTGGTGCTTCAGGTTAAGAACAGTTTCAGGTTAAGAATGGACCTCCAAAACGAATTAAGTTCTTAACCTGAGGTACCACTGTACAACATTAAAATGCAGCCTCATTTCAGTAGAAACTCAAATCAAAAACTTTTTGGGGATGAAAACGTCAAATCTTCAGCAAGGCCAACTATCCAGACTGGTCCTACGTGGGCCAGAAAAAAGCCAGGAAAGTCCCCAAATAGGAGTTCCATCACAAGAAGGAGAAAGGAAAAAGGAAAGAGGGGGAGGGGATCAAGTTGATTCCAACCAAAGGCCACTCTGTCTTACAGGCCCTGCAGAAAGAAATCAGATCCCGCAGGGCCCTGGTCTCATGAGGCAGAGCGTTCCACCAGGCCGGAGCCAGTGCTGAGAAGGCCCTGCTCTGGTTGAGGCTAATCTGACTTCCTTAGGGCCCGGGACCACTAGGGTGTTGCTATTTATGGACCTTAAGGTCCTCTGCAGGGCATACCGGGAGAGTTGGAAGGGACCCTGAGCATAATCTAGTCTAACCCCCTGCTATGCAGGAATATGCAGCTGTCCCGTGTTGTCGGTTCCTGCGTGGGACGTTGGAAAAACCCGTTCTCCCTCGAAAGTCCCTTCTGCATTTTGTCTCTCGGCAGGTGAAGCCCATGATCACGATGGAGCAGCTGCTTTGGGTGAGCGGCAGTGTCATTGGGGAGGTGAACACCTTCAGAGTCCCCCTCATCGCGGCGACGCCACAGGGCACCCTCTTAGCCTTCTCCGAAGCCAGGAAGCACTCTGCCTACGACAGTGGGGCGAAGTTTATAGCCCTCCGCAGGTCGCTGGACAAAGGTTTGAGGGGAGCAAGGCCTGTGGGGAGGGGGTTGGAAGAAAAGGGTGTCCACACGCCCCTGAGGAGCTGAAAGTGCTGGAGCACAATTTCAGGGGTGGGCTCCTTAGTTCTGTGTGTGTGTTTTAAGGGAAGCCACCTGCTTTTAATTTTTTTTTTAATTTACTGCATTTATATCCCACTTTTTTCCTCCAAAAACAGCTTAACTGGTGCTCCCCTCCTCTGTTAATCCTTGTTGTTGTTGTTGTTGTTGTTGTTACAGTGGACCCTTGGGTTGGGCAACTTTCAGGTTGCGAACATGACAACCCGAGAAGTGTATACTTCCGGGTTACACCGCGCATGCATGTGCAAAATAATAATAGTAATAATAATATTATTATTACTATTATTACTATTACTATTATTCTGCGCATGCAGAATAATAATAATATTAATTCTGTGCATTATTATTGTTAATAGTAATAATAATAACAATTTATAATTTATACCCCACCCATCTGGCTGGGTTTCCCCAGCCACTCTGGCCAGCTTCCAACAGAATATTAAAATACAATAACCTATTAAACATTAAAAGCTTCCCTAAACAGGGCTGCCTTCAGATGTCTTCTAAAAGTCTGGTAATTGTTTATCTCTTTGACATCTGGTGGGAGGGAGTTCCACAGGGCGGGTGCAACTACCGAGAAGGCCCTCTGCCTGGTTCCCTGTAACTTTGCTTCTCACAGTGAGGGAACCACCAGAAGGCCCTCAGCACTGGACCTCAGTGTCTGGGCAGAAGCGCTCTATCGCGCTGCGCATGTGCAGAAGCGGCGCCTCATGTTGCGGACTTTTCAGGGTACATAAGGACCCCCGGAATGAATTAAGTTCATATCCGGAGGGTGCACTGTATTATTTTATCTATTGAATTAATGTACCGCCCTATACCTGGGGTTTTCAGGGCGGTTCACAGAATAAAATCAAGATATAAAACTACAAAATACATAATAAAAATGAAAACAACAACCCAATAGCCCCCCCCCAAAAAAACACATTTTAAAAGGGCATAGGATGTCAATCAAATCAACAAAAGGTTAAAAAAGAACGTTTTTGCCTGGTGGCTAAAGGTGTATAATGAAGGCACCAGGCGAACTTCCCTTGGGAGAGCATTCCACAGATGGGGAGCCACTGCAGAGAAGGCCCTGTTCTTGTGTTGCCACCCTCTGGACCTCTCAAGGAGGAGGCACATGAAGAAGGGCCTCAGAAGATGATCTCAGGGTCTGGGTAGGTTCACATGCAAAGAGGTGGTCCTTGAGGTATTGTGGTCCTGAACCGTTTAAGGCTTTATAGGTCAAAACCAACACTTTGAATTGGGCCTGGAAACTATCAGTAGGCAGTGCAGTTGGATCAGGATCGGTATACCTGAAGGAGCGTCTCCACCCCCATCGTTCTGCCCGGACACTGAGGTCCAACGCTCAGGGCCTTCTGGCGGTTCCCTCGCTGCGAGAAGTGAAGTTACAGGGAACCAGGCAGAAGACCTTCTTGGTGGTGGCACCCACCCTGTGGAACGCCCTCCCATCAGATGTCAAGGAGATAAACAACTATCTGACATTTAGAAGACATCCGAAGGCAGCCCTGTTTAGGGAAGCTTTTAATGTTTAACAGACCACTGTATTTTAATACTTGGTTGGAAGCCGCCCAGAGTGGCTGGGGAAACCCAGCCAGATGGGAGGGGTATAAATAAATTATTATTATTATTATTGTTATTGTTATTATTTATTTGCTCAAACCGTCTTGCTCCCTACAACAACCTCAGAGGCAGCAACTGGCTCAAGGTCACCCAGTGAACTTCATAGCCAAGCGGGGATTCGAACCCTGATCTCCCAGGTCCTCAGAGTCACAGTCTATTAACCCACCTCACAGGGTTGTTGTAGGGATTATTGTGGGGGGGTGAACCATGTACTCCTTGGAGAAACAGCTGGGATATAAATGCAACAAATAAGCTCTTCTGCTTAGCTGCTTAAGAAAGACGGAGGGCCAAGGCGGATAGAAAAATCTCCATGTGGTCACAATTGGGCCCATGCCTGTTGCAAAATGCGCTCGGCTAATTTCTAGCACTGCCGTGAAAGCTTATGCCAGTGTCTGCCAACCTGGCGCAGCTCAGGGGCTTTGGACTACAACTCCCACCAGCACCCAGCCTGCACGGAAACTTCTGGAAGGCGCCAAGTTAGCGAAGGCAGGCTCACGCCTCACGCCTGCCAGAGTCTTGTGCGGCGCCTCAGGTGCGTTTCTCATAATAATGCCGGCCTGTCTCTTCCAGGCGCTACCTGGACGCCCACTTCCTTCATAGTTGACGACGGTTCCCTTCAGGATGGCCTCAACTTGGGAGCGGTGGTGGTGGACTCTGAAAAGGACATGGTGTTCCTGGTTTATACGCTCTGCGCTCACTACAACAAATGCCCCACGGCCAGCACCATGATCATTCGCAGCCGCGACGACGGCGTCACCTGGAGCATTCCCCGGAACCTCTCTGAGGACATTGGCACAACTATGTTTGCCCCAGGACCAGGCTATGGCATTCAGGTAAGCGGCCTTTATTTATTTTATTTTTTTATTCAAAATTATAACAAGACATATTATCCAAAAACATATCATCCTTGTTTCCCCCCCCCCATTTTTCCTCCCTTCCCCCCTCCCACACAAAACCCACCCACCCCCACCCCACCCCCCGACTTCCCTCAGTTCCAGTCTTTGATTTCTCTAAAAATGCTGTTTTCTGCATGTTACACAGTTGTATAGATCCTCAAACGGTCTAGCTGATTATTATCAATAAAAAGTTTGTGAATGTTTATTCAAAACCTGCCAAGGGGTCCAGTTCGCTTTGTTGCGTCTTCAGCTACTTTGTAAAGGGTTCACATTCATCCTTAAAGTCACAGTTATCCTTGTCCCATAGCTTATATGTCAGTTTTGACAGTTCTGCATAGTCCATCAATTTTTCTTGCCATGATTCTTTAGCTGGGGTTTCTTTAGTCTTCCATCCTTGTGCTACCAGAACTCTTGCGGCCGTTGTCGCATACATGAATATGTTTTTCAACTTTTTGGGCAGGTCTTTCCCTACAATCCCCAGGTAAGCGGCCTTTAAAGCCCGAAACGGCCTCGGCCCAGTATACCTGAAGGAGTGTCTCCACCCACATTGTTCTGCCCAGACACTGAGGTCCAACTCTGAGGGCTTTCTGGTGGTTCCCTCTCTGTGAGAAGTGAAATTTCAGGGAACCAGGCAGAGGGCCTTCTCGGTGGTAGCCCCTGCCCTGTGGAATGCCCACCCTTCAGATGTCAAGGAAATAAACATCTATCTGACTTTTAGAAGGCATCTAGGAAAGTTTTTAAGGTTTGATGTCTCACGGTGTTTTTATTAAAAAAATTAAAAAGTTGTCCAGTAGCACCTTAGAGACCAATTAAGCTTGTTCTGGGTATAAGCTTTCGTGTGCATGCACACTTCTTCAGATACACAGATACACTTCTTCAGATGTTTTTATATTTTGCTGTAAGCTGTACAGAGTGGCTGGGGAAACCCAGTCAGATGGGCAGCAAATAAATCATAGTTATTATAATAATATGAATGACAGGTTTATGGGTGGTGTTTTGAGGGAGGGAGGGAGAGAGAAAGGGAAAGAAAGAAAGAAAGAAAGAAAGAAAGAAAGAAAGAAAGAAAGGCAGTAGTTAGTTAACTTTTTTAATTTTTATTTTGGGATTTTTACATACATTATATTATCTCCTTCCAATTTTTAAATTTCCCATACAATTTTTCCTTCCCCTCCCCCATATCCATTGGAAGGGTTCAAACAATTATCCTCAGCCATGGGCATAGCGTCTTTAGTTTCCAACGAATGCCTTTGTTAATTTAATAACCATGGTTGTGTGTCTTCCATGATTCCACAGGTATGGAGTGTGCTTTATCCAACAGTTTAATTTAGGCTGCAAACCACATTGAGATTTTCCTTTTTTTAAAACAATACACACTGGCACAGAGACAATTTAAATTAAATAAATAAATACTAAATGTTCAACTTCTGGAGAATCTCAACTTTTGTTTAACAAAAGGGCAAGTTCCTAGACCTCATTGCTGCTGGAGATATGCTCAACAGCCCGTGTCAAGGCTTGCTAAAATCTTAGGAGCCTGGAGGGTGGCAGGGGTTGGGTCAGTTTGTGGCTACATGTTGCTGCTTCCACTCAGCGCTACCGCTGGTAGCCAGGAAACAAGGCTATAGAAACCTCATCCAGAGGACTGAAGCAGTGTCGTGTGCATGCAAGGATAACGGCAGGCAATGGGCCTAACTCCCACTTGGTCACCTCTGCCTTTCAGAAACGTTACGAGCCCAAGAAGGGGCGTTTGATCGTTTGTGGCCACGGGACGCTTTTGCAGGACGGGGTCTCGTGCCTCCTCAGCGACGACCACGGCTTAAACTGGCGATACGGGCGGCAGCCCTTGCATGGGATCCCTTATGGCAAGGTGAAGCTGCCCAGCGACTTCAATCCCGATGAATGCCAGGTGCGTGTGATCCTAAACTTGAGGGGTTGCTACAATCCTGCAAGCAGCAGGGACGAAACAAGCAGCGTTGTTTGGAAGCCCTGGCTGTGGTAAGCAGAATCGTGGAATTGTAGAGTTGGAAGGGACCCCCAGAGTCATCTAGTCCAACCCCCTGGAAAAAGCCTTGAATCGATTCACAGCCACAATAAAAGTGTGGCAACATACCTTCTCTCAGTGTTCTCTTTCCGAAGCTAAGCATACCCAGTTTTAGCATCTGTTTTTAATATGTTAGACAGTGCAAAGGAAGCGTTCCTAAGAACCTTCCCTGGAAATCTTTGGATAAAGGGTGGTATGTAAAATGGTGTATAAATAAAATAATTAATTAATAATTACTGCAATGTGCTCTATGTGGGGCTACCTTTGAAGGTGACCCGGAAACTACAACTTATCCAGAAAGCGGCAGCTAGACTGGTGACTGGGAGTGGCTGCAGAGACCACATAACACCGGTCTTGAAAGACCTGCATTGGCTCCCAGTATGTTTCTGAGCACAATTGGTGTTGATCTTTAAAGCTCTAAACGGCCTCGGTCCAGTATACCTGAAGGAGCGTCTCCACCCCCATCGTTCTGCCCGGACACTGAGGTCCAGCTCCGAGGGCCTTCTGGCGGTTCCCTCACTGCGAGAAGCAAAGGTCCAGGGAACCAGGCAGAGGGCCTTCTTGGTAGTGGCACCCACCCTGTGGAACACCCTCCCACCAGATGTCAAAGAGAAAAACAACTACAGTGGTACCTCGGGTTACAGACGCTTCAGGTTACAGACTCTGCTAACCCAGAAATAGTGCTTCAGGTTAAGAACTTTGCTTCAAGATGAGAACAGAAATTGTGCTCTGGCGGCACGGCGGCAGCAGGAGGCTCCATTATCTAAAGTGGTGCTTCAGGTTAAGAACAGTTTCAGGTTAAGAACGGACCTCTGGAATGAATTAAGTACTTAACCCGAGGTACCACTGTACCAGACTTTTAGAAGACATCTGAAGGCAGCCCTGTTCAGGGAAGCTTTTAATGTTTGATGGACTACTGTATTTTAATATTTTGTTGGAAGCTGCCCAGAGTGGCTGAGGAAACCCAGCCAGATGGGCGGGGTATAACTAAATTAATAATAATAATAATAAATTATTAATAGGGGAGTGGAGCACTTGGAGCGGAACCTTCAGAAGAGAGCTAGGAAACGTTCTGTTCCCCTTCAAAAATCTGCTCTCCTCTCACCTTCCCTCCCCAAATTACCTCCTTGCAGCCCTACGAGCTTCCAGACGGCTCCATGGTGATCAACGCCAGGAACCAGAACTTTTACCACTGCAGTTGCCGCATTGTGATTCGCAGCTACGACGCCTGCGACACCCTCCCTCTGGAGAACGTGACGTTTGATAACACTTTGGTGGACCCTGCTGTGGCCGCCGGAGCCCTTGTCAAATCCGGCCTCGTCTTCTTCAGCAACCCGGCCCATGAAAAGCGGCGTGAGTAAGGGGGAATCTGTGTGTCACAGGGGGAGAATGGGCTCCATGTGGCTGGAAGAGGGGTGGCTTCCGGCAGACAACACGGCAGACTCAGTTCCTGGGCCGGGACAAATGTTTCCAGCCTCTGCTACAAAGCTGATGGTGCAACTAGGCCTCCCAGGTTGAGCCTCTTGGGCTTGCCAATCAGAAGGTTGGCGGTTCGAATCCCCGCGACAGGGTGAGCTCCAGTTGCTCTGTCCCAGCTCCTGCCAGGTGAACACGACCTTACGTTCTCTTTCTCCCCTCTGGCCTAGGGGTGAACATGACGCTACGTTGGAGCTTCACCAACGGTTCTTCGTGGTGGAAGGAGCCCCTGCAGATCTGGAGCGGCGCCAGCGGTTACTCCTCGATGACGTCCCTGGACGGGGCTGCCCCGGAAGATGCTCACAGCCTCTTCATCATCTATGAGAAGGGGCGCTTCCAGTCCACCGAGAGCGTCTCCGTGGTCAAGATCAGCATCAACGGGGAGCTCTGACCGCACTTTCGGGCCCTCGGCCGTCCCCTCTCCCCTTGTGCCTTGTAGTCCCACTGGAAGCTCTGCGACTGCTGGGTTAGGATAGAAGGGAATTCGTGGGGAGAAATCAGCAACGTTGGGTGGGAGGGCTCGGGGCAGCGATTCGAAGGGCATTTGGCAGAAAAATACTCTCTACAAGCCTTCCTAGTGGGCAGTGCAGGCCCAAGCCGTTCCTTCCCCACAGTGACATTGGGGTTGCCGTTCTACCTCAGAAACACTCCTGATTTTAGATGCTGCTATTGAATTTCTGGGCGGGTGGAGGTTGCGAAGGCGATGGGCGGGGTTGGGGTGGGTTGGAGAGAGGAAGACTGATTACGACGAAAATAGACTGATGAAGAAGCACACGGTTAATATACATTGGTTTGTTTTCTTAGTGGGATCAACCAGAAAGAGGAAAGCTGGGAAGTTTTGCGACGAATTAATAAATTAATTGATGCACCTTTAACCTATCGTCTCCGTCAAATTTTAAAAATTTATTTCTTGTGAGAAGGAGCACCCAAAAACTGGATGTAAACAGCCAGCCAGATACCCCTGGAAAGTTCACAAGCTGGCCACTTCCTGTTGTTCATCCCCGGCATCCATAACTTGAAACCTGGGCCTCCAGTTTATCCATCGGAACATACAGTGGTACCTTGGTTTACAACCATAATCCGTTCTGGAGGTCTGGTTGTAAACCAAAACAGGTTGTAACCTAAGGCGCGCTTTCGCCAATGGGGCCTCCAAAAAAAGGGGGGTTGTAATCCCCCCCAAAATGGGTTGTAATAATAAAAAAAGGACACACACTTCCAGGTTTGATGTGGTTGTAATCCGAAATGGTTGTAATCCGGAATGGTTGCAAACCAAGGTAAAGGTAAAGGGACCCCTGACCATTAGGTCCAGGCGTGACCGACTCTGGGGTTGTGGCGCTCATCTCGCTTTATTGGCCGAGGGAGCCGGCGTACAGCTTTCGGGTCATGTGGCCAGCATGACTAAGCCGCTTCTGGCGAACCAGAGCAGCGCACGGAAACGCCGTTTACCTTCCCGCCGGAGCGGTACCTATTTATCTACTTGCACTTTGATGTGCTTTTGAACTGCTAGGTTGGCAGGAGCAGGGACTGAGCAACGGGAGCTCACCCCGTCGTGGGGATTCGAACTGCCGACCTTCTGATTGGCAAGTCCTAGGCTCTGTGGTTTAACCCACAACCAAGGTACCATTGTATAATAAAACAGAGCAATCAATCCGTTCTGCGATAAACTGCCTCTGACCATGGAACCTCGTGGTGTATGGCCACAGAAAGACCGATACATTTATTGAGTCTAATCCCTTTACAAAAGCCATCTACAGTGGTGCCTCGCAAGACGAAATTAATTCATTCTGCGAGTTTTTTCGTCTTGCGAGTTTTTTCGTCTTGCGAAGCACGGTTTCCCAAAGTCTTCAAAATCACCAAAGTCTTCAAAAACCTCAAAAAAGGCTACCACACCGCGTGCTATGAGTTGCTCCTCGAAGTCACCCTGGGTATTAACGGTTTTAAGAAAAAGGAAACAAACTTGCAAGACGTTTTCGTTTTTTTCGTTTTTCGTCTTGCGAAGCAAGCCCATAGGGAAATTCGTCTTGAGAAGCAACTCAAAAAACGAAAAACTCTTTCGTCTTGCGAGTTTTTCTTCTTGCGAGGCATTCGTCTTGCGAGGTACCACTGTAAGCTACATTGCCAGGATCAAACCAGCATGACATAGCACCTGGTGTTATTTTACTGATGATGTCAATTACAGGGCCTCTGTACAGCAGGCTGGCACTCCTCACTATCCCTTGAAGCAGATAAATGTGTAACCTTGCCTACAGAACAGGTAAGGGGAGGTATTGCAGGGTAGTTAAGTGTTAACTGTTTCCTAAGCTCTTTTCAACAATCTTAACTTACGTCATTGAGGCCAATTCCTGGAACAAAGGCAGCAAGCCAACCAGGACACACTGTCCTGATGCCTTACGCTTTAATCAGCAGCTATGTCGAATTTAAAGTTTTAACTGATTTTACCGAATCAGCTAGTTTTAACGGGTAGAATTGCCGTGAAGCACACTTGCATTTTTTTTTTTTTGTTCTGGTGAAACAAGACATTGTGGATGTCCAACAAAGCTGAACGATTCAGGACAGAGGAACCGGAAGTGCTTCCATAATTAAACTATGGAACTCATTTCCACAGGACGTAGCCACGGCCACAAACCTGGGAGGCTTTCAAAGAGGATTAACAAATTGTTTATTAAATAGAAACAGGCACCTACAATTCTGATACCTTGCTGAAAACCTTTCTGTTTTGCCACCTGGTTTTTTCAGAGGAGTTTGGTTCTGTGTTGTTCATTTGTCCTGCGTTTTATGATTTTATAACTGAACGACGTTTTCATTTTTTATTGGACGCCGCCATTAATAGATTTACGAGCTGGCAGTTTATGAGTACTTTTAAGAAATAAATACAATAAATAAACTTTTATATCAGACTTCCTTCTGATCCTACAACTTAAGTGGATGAGCAGGCAGCGTTGGGGCAAAGGTCAGTCTTGCAGTCCTCGGAAATGACGAGGCGGCAGTTTCAGGTGTCCTGTTTATCAAGACTGTGCCTTTCTCGATTTGTGCTTCAGCAGGCACTGTGGATTAAACCACAGAGCCTAGGACTTGCCGATCAGAAGGTTGGCGGTTCGAATCCCCATGACGGGGTGAGCTCCCATTGCTCGGTCCCTGCTCCGGCCAACCTAGCAGTTCGAAAGCACGTCAAAGTGCAAGTAGATAAATAGGTACTGCTCCGGCGGGAAGGTAAACTGCGTTTCCGTGCGCTGCTCTGGTTCGCCAGAAGCGGCTTAGTCATGCTGGCCACATGATCCGGAAGCTGTACGCCGGCTCCCTCGGCCAATGAAGCGAGATGAGCGCCGCAACCCCAGAGTTGTCTGCGACTGGACCTAATGGTCAGGGGTCCCTTTACCTTTACCTAGCAGAGATCTAGGTTGCTCTCTTAAGGAGACAAGGCAATGGTGCTTAATTTGATGGATTTATTTTATACTATCACACCCTTTCTTTCCTCAAGGGAGCACCAAGCAAAGTGCAAGCTGCCCCCCTCCTTTTAAGTTCACAGCAACCCTGCAAGGTAGGAGAGGCAGAGTGGCAGTGACTAGCCAAGGCCCCCTAGCGAGCTTTTTGGCAGTGCAGGGATCTCAAGCTGGCTCTCCCTGCTCCGACAAGCTGCCTACGGTGGGGGTTGCTTCCAAATAACCTGTTTGTCAACCACACCCACCCACCCAATTTGTTGGTACAAGGTTTGCGAGGAAGTTAGGCAACATCAGATATTTATCTGGCATTCCTTCTGATTTGCTTGTGCAGAGGTCGCATCAAGGCATGTGTCAAGGGTTGGGCTAGATGACCCACAGGGTCCCTTCCAACCTTGCAATTCTGTGACTCATCCCACACTTCCCACTGCATTTGCCCTTGGCTTTCCTCACTGCAAAAAAAGTCTGATATTTTAGTTTGTGGTGCGAAACCTCCCAACCGACTATAATTGCACAACCCTGAATTGACCGGGAACATGATTGAATCCTGCTCGAAAATAGTGACCAACAGCAACAATAATTTATTATTTATACCCTGCCCATCTGGCTGAGTTTCCCCAGCCACTCTGGGCGGCTCCCAATCGAGTGTTAAAAACAATACAGCATTAAATATTAAAAACTTCCCCAAACACGGCTGCCTTCAGATGTCTTTTAAAAATAAGATAGCTGCTTATTTCCTTCACATCTGAAGGGAGGGTGTTTCACAGGGTGGGCGCCACTACCGAGAAGGCCCTCTGCCTGGTTCCCTGTAACCTCACTTCTCGCAGTGAAGGAACCGCCAGAAGGCCCTCGGTGCCGGATCTCAGAAGCATGAATGCGTGCACATTCCGATATAAAAGCACACGAGAGAAGTCCTTGCAGTTTGGCCATCTGTAGCAGTTAAGGACTGCAGAGCGCCAACAGGATGGCACAGAAAAAGGAGGGCACTAGGACCTTGCGCTGCCTCGCTTGGGTGTTGTGGTACCCAGTTCAGCGGATGCAAGAAGATCAGCTGTTTTGGGAACATCATTGCTAGGGAACCATGGCCAGCCAGACACAGGGAATCCAGCAGCTGCTGCAAGCTGAGAAGAGGGCTGCCGAAAAGGTGGCAGAGGCTCGGAAAAGTGAGAGGGGGCTTCTGTTTCATTGGGGGGGGGGGGAGATGGGGGGGTTGAGGAGGACCAGAATGCCTGAGTTCCCTGATAAAGGATTGCTGTGCAGTCATCACAGAGGGGAATGAACTAGAATTTGGGGGGGGGGGGGAGCTGAGTGCCCTTTGGATCCATTCCCCAGTTTCCTTCTCTTTCCCGGGGCAAGCGCAACCCTAAAAAAACAGGCCTGGAGAGGCAGGTAATGTTATTTCCACCTGACCTTCAATGTCTGTCTCGCCACCTCCATCACAGGGAAAGCCCGGAGGCTGAAGCAGGCCAAGGAAGAAGCCCAAGCTGAAATCGAGCAATACCGCTTGGAGCGTGAGAAAGAGTTCCAGCAGAAGCAGCAGGCGGTAAGATTTCTTGAGGGTTTTTTTTTATGGGTGGGGGGAATTGAGAATGGAGGATGAGTCACGGGAGGAAGAGGCAGACGGGAACAGCAGCGTCGGAGGGGTGGGGAAGCGATTCCAAATGGTATAGGGTAACCTTTGTGATTCCCCTCCCACTTAAAATTGGGAATTTGGGGATCAGGCAAGGGTTATTTGTAGGAAAGGGAAGAATTCAGGGCAGCCCCTGTTCTAAGGTGGTACAGAGGATATGGGGCAGGTTTGAAGGAGGCAGGATGAGCTGTTTACCTTCTAAGAGGCCACAGCACAGGCAAAATGGATGGCTGTGGGAGAGGGAAGAGAATGGTTTACTACTTGTGCTAGATGTAGCTCAGTGACAGAGCATTGGATCTGCATGCAGAAGGTGCCCGGTTCATTTCGTGTCATCTCCAGGTAGGAGATGCCCCAAATCCTAGACAGCCTCTGTCAGCCTGTGTGGATGATACAGAGCTTAATGGACCAAGGGTGTAAGGCAGCTCCCTATGTAAAAGAGGATTGGGTAGCCCGTTTAGGGTCGTTTTCCAGACCTCCTTATGGCAGAGATGGATTAGGGCAGGGATGGATTAGGATGGGATGTGGGTGGCGCTGTGGGTTAAACCACAGAGCCTAGGACTTGCTGATCAGAAGGCCGGCGGTTCGAATCCCCGCGACTGGGTGAGCTCCCGTTGCTGGGTCCCTGCTCCTGCCAACCTAGCAGTTTGAAAGCACATCAAGTGCAAGTAGATAAATAGGTACCGCTCTGGCGGGAAGGTAAACGGCGTTTCCGTGCGCTGCTCTGGTTCGCCAGAAGCAGCTTAGTCATGCTGGCCACATGACCCGGAAGCTGTACACTGGCTCCCTCGGCCAATAAAGTGAGATGAGCGCTGCAACCCCAGAGTCGGTCACGACTGGACCTAATGGTAAGGGGTCCCTTTACCTTTACCTATAGCCATGTGATCCCTTCCCAATGTTGCTAGAGCATGGTTTAGACCATGCCGGTGGCGCTGTGGTATAAACCACTGAGCCTCTTGGGCTTGCAGTTCAGAAGGTTGGCAGTTCAAATCCCCACAGTGGAGTGAGCTCCCGTTGCTCTGTCCCAGCTCCTGCCAACCTAGCAATTCGAAAGCACGCCAGCGCAAGTAGATAAATAGGTACCACTGCGGCGGGAAGGTAAACAGTGTTTCTGGTTTCTGTCACGGTGTCCCGTTGCACCAGAAGCGGTTTAGTCATGCTGGCCACATGACCCGGAAAGCTATCTGTGAACAAACGCCGGCTCCCTCGGCCTGAAAGCGAGATGAGCGCCACAACCCCAGAGTTGCCTTTGACTGGACTTAAGCGTCCAGGGGTCCTTTACCTTTTTTACCTAGAGCAAAATACCCATTGTCCCTGGCTACCGACCATGCTGGCCAAGGGGAGTTTTAGCCCTATATCTGGAAGATACAACATTGGCTATCCCAGGGCTCCGCATAGAGAAGCCAGTTAAACTGGCAGCTGAATCTTACAAAGGGGTAGTACTTCTAGTGGAGAAAACGTCATGGTCCTTCTGGGTGGTTTGTCCAACTTTGGTCCCCACCGGGCACCCAGCTCTCACCTCCTAGAAGCTGTCAGCATGTGACAGCAGCCACCCCCCAGGAATGGGTTCGATTGGCCGGCTAAACCAGGTGAGGGCAGCTGATGGGTCTCAACCCCTCAAGAAGAAGAAGAGTTTGGATTTGATATCCCGCTTTATCACTACCCAGAGGAGTCTCAAAGCGGCTAACATTCTCCTTTCCCTTCCTCCCCCACAACAAACACTCTGTGACGTGAGTGGGGCTGAGAGACTTCAGAGAAGTGTGACTGGCCCAAGGTCACCCAGCAGCTGCATGTGGAGGAGCGGGGAAGCAAACTCGGTTCCCCAGATTACGAGGCTACCGCTCTTAACCACTACACCACACTGGCTCTCAATGCATGATTAGAGACTTCCCGTGCATGCAGAGATGTGTAGTGAGCAGACATGACCAACAGTGTGTCCAGCGGTGAAGAAAGCATTTTCTGCATGTGCCGTGGAGGGAAGTGAGGGGCAGATGGGACTCGTCAACCTGGGAAAGGAGCCCATCTAGCAAAAGGAAAACGCTGATCCTAAACCTCCAGTGCCTTGCGGGAGATCTTCAGGAGAACAAAGTAACCTTACGCAAATCTGGAGTGGTGTTATGTACTGAAGTGCTCACCCTGGCCACTGGGGGTATATAGTTTTCACTCAGGTTTATGTCAGTTAATTTAGGCGGGAAATCCTGAGGTGTTGTTGTTACAATGTTGACAGCCAGCTGCCTATAAAAGCAGGCCGGCTGAGCTGTTCAGTTCAGTTCAGTTCAGTTCCAGCATACTGAGCTGAAACACTGAGCGAAATCACTGAACAGAACCCAATTCAGAGCTTACCGTACTGGCTAGAGCACTGTGTTCCATCCATCGCCCTCCACGCCGGCATCGGAACCATGGCTTCACTCGTGCCTCTACTGCCATTTGCCCCAACCTCTGAATCATGGGATTCCTACCTCGCTCGGTTCGCCTGCTTCCTCCAAGCAAACGAGCTGGTGGAAGGGTGAGAGGAGCATAAGCGGGGCCTACTCCTCAGCCTCTGTGGGCCTGAGGTGTTCAAGACAGCCCATGTTTTAGCAACTGGCAACAGGACAGCACCCACCAGAACACGCATGGGTAGCAAGCTAGCTTAGGTAAGGCTGCAAGTGGCGCATACCAGCCCTGTCCTTTAGGGCCTTGCCGCCATTTGCTACCGCTCACCTTCTGCCTGAGGCAAGTGGCTCACACTGCCTAATGGTAGGGCCAACTCCCCAGCACCCTCCCCGTCCAATGGCATGGCACCTCTAAACACTGAAGTATCATATAGATATCCTGGCTGATAACCATCCGAATTCTTCCATCTCAGTGCTGGAATATCTGATTTGCGGATGACGCTGACCTCACAAGAAATGCACTTCATTGGGCTCTGGGAAGAAATTCTAAAGGAAGTTGACACTTTTGCTGTTTAGACGCGGCTATGACGTCAAGATAGACTTCACTCCTTACCTGTACCTTCCTTCAGGTGCTATCATAATTCATAACTTTGTTGTCTCTCTCTCCCCTCCACAGGCTCTGGGCTCGCAAGGGAACCTGTCTGCTGAGGTGGAAGCCCAAACCCGCAAGAAACTGCAGGCGATGCAGGGGGGACAGGCCCGGGGAAAGGATCGGGTCCTGCGACAGCTTCTCACCATTGTTTGGGACGTGCGACCCCAAATACACCCCAATTACCGCATAGCTGCCTAGTTGACCCATCTGCCCAGCCTGCAGTTGCCATCAAGGGGACCTTACTGACCAGCATCAAACATATATAATGTCCCTGATTCCTAAAAGCAGCGGTGCAGTTAAATAATTTTATCTCAGCCCTTAACGGTGTTTCGGGAACCCTTTAGATGATGATTATTTCACTTTAATAACAATAATAATAATTGTTGCTCCCAGCTACTCAGGGCAGCTTCCAACACATATAAGAACATAATAAAACATCAGACATTTAAAAACTTCCCTTTACAGGGCTGCCTTCAGATGTCTTCTAAAGGTTGTACAGTTACTGATCTCCTTGACATCTGATGAGAAGACGTTCCACAGGGTGGGTGCCACTACCGAGAAGGCCCTCTGCCTGGTTCTTAGGCATATGACTTTAAAGCACGTGATATCCCCCCAAATAATCCTAGAAACTGAGGTTTGTTCATGGTGCTGGGAATTGTAGATCTGTGAGGGGTAAACTGCAGTTTCCAGGATTCTTGGGGGGGGGGGTGGAGTCATGTGCCTTCACTCAAAATATGGTAAGCCAAACTCTGGTGAGCAGAGCGCAGAACTTATTCCCTAGAATCCTACTCTGACAGCACCACCTCAAGTTCTAACTTTACATGCTCCTAGAACCTCTGTTCCTCCCAATCTCCAGCACGTTTCAGCTTCCTGTGCTCCTATAATCCCCCACCATTTTTTTAAAAAAATACTTCTATCATATCTCATATCTAAGGCTGAAAATAGCACACGATGGTTATCACCATTCCATTATCCCAGACTGAAACAGCAAGCTGGTGGCATGAAAATTTACTCAGTTTTATGAATGCTCTCAGCCTTTTATCAGCAATAGGAGTAAGGAAGGGGGCCATGTTTTCTTGTGGGCAACCTTCTGGGGCAAAACTGGGCAGAGCAACTGACTTTTTGCCTTCGTAAAAGAGAGCCAGTGTGGTGTAGTGTTTAAGAGCGGTAGTCTCGTAATCTGGGAAACCGGGTTCGCATCTCCGCTCCTCCACATGCAGCTGCTGGGTGACCTTGGGCCAGTCACATTTCTTTGAAGTCTCTCAGCCCCATTCACTTCACAGAGTGTTTGTTATGGGGAAGGAAGGGAAAGGAGAATGTTAGCCGCTTTGAGACTCCTTAAAGGGAGTGAAAGGCGGGATATCAAATCCAAACTCTTCTTCTTCTTCTTCTTCTTCTTCTTCTTCTTCTTCTTCTTCGTACAATAGGCTGCATTTCCGCCACGAAAACCAGAGGTTTCTACAGAGTTACACATCTCTCTAAACAGGCAAACAATAGGCACAATCAAGGACAAATTCCAGTCAGGCAAAAACACTCAAGCATGGAGCAAAGCAAAAGGAAGAATGTGGCTTGAAAAAAACCCTGAGGCCCATATAGGGGAGTGTGGAGGGCCTGAGGTTCCACATCCCTGCTCTATAAAACTTTATTTTGTCTCTGCATAGTTCCCTGTTTCTCTGCTCCCACAATATATATATATTTTTAAGGGCAGTAAGGTCCCCTTAGCTGAGCCCTTCAAAATGGGTCCATCACCTTCCACATCGCAGTTCTCGGTTCCTCTCTCTGTTTTGCTGCACCCCGTGGCATGAAGGGGTGTGTCAAGAAAATTGGGGTGAAGGGGTTCTTGGGAGTGCCCCCTCGCTTCCTGCTGGTGTCTGTACATGTGCCGAAACTGTAGCTCCTCATTTTTGTTCTGCTAGTGACTCCTCCCTGGTCCCACCCTCCCCACAAATGTACAACTGGACGTTTCAATAACTTCCAAACATGATTAATAAAAAGTGTCATTACGGTTGAAATTGATTAAAAAGTGCTTATTATACATCTGTGGAGTGAGACACCCTGGTATCTGAGGGAGGTGGGTCAGTGTCAGCAGGTGAAATAATGTGACTAGTATTTGTTTTAAAATATATTTTGTATTTATACGGCTTGGTACCTGCTCTTCAACATAAGGTCTCATGGGCAGGTTACATGCAGACTTATTTGAGGGGAAAGAAGGTGCTTCCAAGGTAAAATGTGCACACAGCCCATATCGGAGAGATAAGTCACTGGCTATACGGGCAAGACAAGAGTCATATCCTATCGCCCTAATAGCTCAACTACAGGGTTATGCCCTGGGACACGGGTGGCGCTGTGGGTTAAACCACAGAGCCTAAGACTTGCCGATCAGAAGGTCAGCGGTTCGGATCCCCGCGATGAGGTGAGCTCCCTTTGCTCGGTCCCTGCTCCTGCCAACCTAGCAGTTCGAAAGCACGTCAAAGTGCAAGTAGATAAATAGGAACTGCTCCGGCAGGAAGGAAGACGGCGTTTCCGTGCGCTGCTCTGGTTCGCCAGAAGCGGCTTAGTCATGCTGGCCACATGACCTGGAAGCTGTACGCCGGCTCCCTCGGCCAATAAAGTGAGATGAGCTCTGCAACCCCAGAATCATTCACGGCTGGACCTAACGGTCAGAGGTCCCTTTACCTTTACCTTACAGGGTTATACACTAAAGCTGCAGTCCTAAACCTGGGAGCATGTCCCATTCAATTAATGTAAGATAATTCACTATGTAAGATAGGCCCTCATAATCATCCCACTATTAAAAGTGTGTAGCCGAGAGAATGGAACAGGTCTACTGTGATATTTAAACCCGGAATACTAATCCTGCATAAAACCATGACGCTATGGGAATGGGGAGAGAAGCATTGTGGGAGCCATTTCAACAGGATCTGTCCTGAGCTGTATTCACTCCCATCCAGTTTTTAACACGTGTCCCCTCTACAATAGCGTAGGCTAAAAGCGAACCGCATGGACGACACTTTATGAAGAAGCAAAGCCTTTATATACAGAACTTCAGAAGTTGCAGGAACGAGATATGTCTCCATCCAGAAACGGGTTTCAAGAGAAAATAATTGGTTTCATCTCAGGAACAAAGCATGCAATCTTCACATTAATGAAAGAAAGCAGGCCGCGTGGAGAACACCACGTGGAATTATGGGAGCTGGAAGTCTGTGAGGGCCCCTGCTCTTAAATCTTCCTTATTCCAAACTTCCAAAAGAAATAAGCAGACTAATCTGGGGCAGAATGCAATGTGCTTCGAAGTTCCACCCAGGAGAATGAGGTCATAACCAGGGGGTGAAATAAATATTTAATTGCCTCCCCAAGGGGCCCCTGCCTCAGAAGCAGGACCAGGACCTTGGAAGGAGCGCAAATGAAGGTTCTGTACCGGTCGGGAAAAGACAGAGACCACACCAGGATTTGGAAAAAGCAAAGCCTGATCTTTATTGAGAGAACAGAAAAAAACAACACAAAAAACTGTTGCAACAGGGTCCCGGCTCACGCAATGACACGGAATCAGAGACCCCGAACAAAAGGACTGCCTTGATTTTCATTTTTCATTCAGATCAATAGCAAGGAGGTGGGGGGAAGCGATATGAGGGGTGTGGAGAGTGGATTAACATAAGGTAAGCAGGATGTTGAAAGACTTTCTGGAGGTGTCAATTTGCTGAAGAGTTCAGGTGATATGTGTCAATCTTCGTGTTATTTAATTTTGGATCTGCTTAAAATGGCTTTTCCTTTATCTACAGGAAAACCTCCGCAACTGCTGATAATCAGCATGCAGATGTGAGGCTGGATGTTTGAGAAGATGTTCAGGAAATGACTTAAATGTTAATGTGAAATCCTATTCTGCATTGCTATCAATTCGGGTGTGATAGCCTGATGTTTGCATACTTTTTGGAAAATAAGACTGCTTTATTTTGCGCTCATATCTGTGTGTATTCATGGTATGGTTTGCAGACCCAGTAGGAGGCAGTGTGGTGGAGAGAGTTTTGGCAGCCTTTTGGATACAATATTGAGTCAAGTATATACATTTTGAAATATTTAGAGTGTTACATTCTTTAAAAACTACATTTTTTATACATTCAGAAAAGTACAGCATAGTACGGCATTTCATTAAAGATACATCCAGGAATACATTTTAAAAGGATAGCTTCATGGAGAAGGAGGTACACAGGAATGGCAACAGGCACGTTACGTTCAGATGATGCATTAAAAAGGCATTAAAAAGGCACACATTATATTACATTCAATGATACGCGAAAAGACACAGTAAGATGGCATATTCCCAACAATGCGTTCTTTAAGGCACAGTTTATTATTGTTGTGGGACTTTTGGGTAGGATGATATCATTAGGATCATTTTTCCTTTGTTCCTCTCTCTGACCCTGATTCTCTTATGACAATTCTCCTCTCTGAGGCTTAATTTTTGGGAAAAAAATTTATTGCCTCACATCAATTGCTACATACTCTCCTTCTCCAAGGTGATACATGGGCAGGACCTCGGGAAGGGTGCGATTGGGTTGCAAGGGTGCAAGAATGGGAGTGTGGGGTAAGGGTGAACGGAAGGTGGACATAAGGATAGGAATATATTGTCCACAGCAGCACAGGAGGCCAAGGAAAACAATCAGGGAAATGAATATAATCAGTATGCCTCTCGCTAATTCACGGAGCCAAGAGGTCTGAGGAAGCCATGATCAAGGATCCCAGTCGGAAAGACCTTCATGGGGGATCTTCTTCAGAGTATCAGTTAGGGAATCTATGGAGTCAAGGTGTCCAGTGATATTGAGGGTCTGGTCTGACACAAAGGAACAGCATTCTGTACCGATTAATTTACAAGCACCTCCTTGGGATGACAATAAATAAGTCCAGACATAAACGGTTTTGAATGGACATTTTGCGCACTTCAGTGAGCTCGGTAAGGACAGAACGTGTAGTGGCTTCTGACTCTTTCATGAATTGTAACCAGACATCGGCAAGCCTAAGAATGTCTAGGTGATTTGAGAAGGTTCCATAAGCGGGGAGGAGGGCTCGGAGCCACGTTTCCCCATTTGGTTTTGGCTGTGGGTGTGTCGTGGGAATGGGGGATCGCCTGTTTCTCAAGCGGCCGTCGGGTAGAACTAGGGTAACTCTGAACCCTGGGTGAATGTGGCCGAGGTAACAGGACCCCTGCATATGAATAGAGACCCACGTATAAGCTCTTTGCGCACAGATCCAAAATAGTCCTCCCAGCGGCTTTTCTATACGCCTGGTGCGGAAGGCAGTAATGAGGTCTGGCATAGGTTTTTCTCCAGTGAAGGGTGTCAGTACTGCAGTCAAAGCATCGCTGAGAGATTTGAATGAGCGGGTGTGGGAGTGGTTGCGAACTAGTGTGGTGAGTCCCTCAGGGTCGGTTTTGATGGTAACATTACAAGCACTGGAGCCTACATGGTCTCCAGTTCCCGAGAACCCCTTGCACACTGGTCCAAAGGTTCGACCACTCAGATAAATATATTGGGAGCTGGGTTTCAGGAAAGTTAGGTTGCGTTGAAGCAGGTAACTAGATCTGTATTGATCTAGTGTGAGGGGTGTGCTTATGAATGTGTGACATCATCAATGTGTGACAAGGTGCAAGGCAGAAACTACCCCTCCCATTGTTATTGGGCTAGATCTCCTTTCAGCCCTGATCACTGTCCATGCTGGCTGGGGCTTGTGAGAATTGAAGCCCCATAACATTTGAAGGGCACCCTAGTTGGTTCTCCCTGCTGTAGACAATGCTGAGTTGAAGGGGTCCACAGCCTTGATTCTGTATATTTAAGGCAACATTTTAAAATAAGGTGAACATAGGAAGACTGTGACAGTTTATGTTGTAGCTCTGAGACACCATTCAACTGATGTATAAATTGGGTTCTGGCTTCTGCAGCCCAACTCCCCATGGGACTCTGAGTCCCCTAAGTCCATGATTGGTCAGAGAAGAATGGATGGAGGCAGGATCCAGTGGAAAGCACGGCAGATATTTATTTATTTTTCTGTTGCAACAGATTCCCTATCCTTCCAAGGAGGGAGAGACCCTGAGAGACCCTCTGCAGGAAACTTTAAAGACTTTTGACATTGCCCAATTCATTAATCAAAGACCATCCCAAAATAATCATACATACATCATCGAAGGCGGTCTACAGCAGAAATCCTGTCTGCCAGGATACCTGATAGTGGTCACTGATTGCATTACCTGGGCAACCTGGACATTTTTTGTGTGATGGTTAATACTTTAGTTCCTGAGTCCAGGTCACAGGCTCACCCTATTCACACACAAATACGCCCTTTAGACAGGATTTGTAAGTGAAAGGGCAATGGGAAGGCTTTCCCTATTTGCCTCCCTTACTGTAGAGCATGGGTAGGCAAACTAAGGCCTGGGGGCCAGATCCGGCCCAATCGCCTTCTAAATAAGGCCCGCGGACGGTCTAGGAATCAGCGTGTTTTAACATGAGTAGAATGTGCCCTTTTATTTAAAATGCATCTCTGGGTTATTTGTGGGACATAGGAATTCGTTCATTTCCCCTCCAAAAATATAGTCCGGCCTCCCACAAGGTCTGAGGGACAGTGGACCAGCCCCCTGCTGAAAAAGTTTGCAGACCCCTGGTAGAGGAAGATTTGAGGGAGTCAAAATGGCTTCAGGATTGCTCTCCCATACTATTTCACGACACATGGTTTATATATATTTCGATATGTGTGTATTTATGAATATTTATTCTATATTTGAGACCTTAGAATTCTTATAACACTGTGAAAGGTTGAAACTAAAGAAGGCGCCCGTGTGGGAAACTCTTTTGTTACTAGTTGTTTCCTCTTGCGATCTTAACAGTTTGCACGGCAGGTATGCAACTCAGCAGGGTGCAGATTCCCAGCAAGTTAGGGGGGAAACTGCTCCAATTGAATTTCTGCCCCGTTGCTGCTGTGAAAAAAAATGGCATCCAAGCCTCTCGGCTAAAAGAAACCAGCAGCCTTTCAATTGAATTTTCACAACCCCAAGAAGACCTGTTTGAAATTCACCAATTTCTAGTCAGGCTCTCAATTAGACAAGCTCCGCGAGAAACCAGCGGGGTCCTCGCGACAGATTCCCACCCGGGGCTTCCGGTGACCTCCTTCCCCTTTACCGGAAGCTGCGCACTTTCTGCTGTGGTCGCTGTTCAGCGTAGCTCTTCGACTCCTCCCCTTCGTAGAAGGTAAGGTGCTCCCCGACAATCGCGCCTCCATCCGCCCTCGGTTGTGCCATCCGCCCCATATCAGGGTGGATATCGTTTCTCCAGGCATTTTTCTACCGATGGTTCGTTTTTTGGGGGGCCGCTTGCCCGTCTGGACCTCCAAAAATTGAGTCGGGAGTGGGCCGGGGGGGTGCCTTATCCCCTGCCATTGCAATGCTAAGTAGTAGAATTTAAGATGGCGCCCTTTTTCTTTTGCGCGCTGCTCCCCGTGAGCTGTTCGTAATCGGGAAACATCCTCCTTGTGGCGTTAACTAGGCCTCCCAAGCGTGGTCCTTTGGATAGAGAGACCCCTTGTGCCTTCCTTTTTAGCTCCGAATTAGAAATTAGAAATACAGAGGGTTTTAATTCTGGTGTGTCTACCCGCCCCCCCCTCCCCATTTCCAAACGGCCTTTTCTCAATAGCGCTCTGTACATGATGAGACGATTATGGGGTAATTGTGGGGAGGGGGAAATTGCATCTAGAGAAGAGACGGGTGGGATCCCTTTCCTCACATAACGGGGTTTTGAGATGCAGCCACAAACGTGCCCCTTGCTGGGGGATTCATTCATGCAGTTCGTGCGGGTTTGCAGATTAAATATTCTAGGGGCCTTCCCCCCCCATGTTTGCTATCTGGGGAGGGTGCAGGTTTAGGTGGTCTGATCTTCACTGGGTGTAATGAGATGGGTTGCAATGGAACAGATTAAAATGCAGAGCAATGAATGGCAAGTGAGGCAGGAGATCCAGCTATTTTTCTTTAAGATTACATTTTGGACCAAAAGGGAGCTATATGCATGGATTGTTTTGGGAGTATGATTTTAGCGCAGTTTGCCATACTTGTACTCGGAAGCTGCAACTCTCCCCATAACTTTTTTTGGTTAATCCTTTGTATGGTTTGAACAGGGCCAAGCGGGTGTACTGTAATATCTTTAGGGATCGTACCCACGTGGAGTGTATTCTCCTGGCGCTACAGGAGAACACTAAATTGCTGTTGCAGGAGAGGGTTTCTCTGGGAATTTACAGTGCTGAAATGCAGAGGTTTTCTTTTTCTATTTTTAAGGTGGATTTTGTAGGATAAAAGAAGAAAAAGCTGCTGTTGTGCAGGAAAGGCGTGAGGAAAGAGTCAACAAGAAATTCCATAAAAAAAAAAACCAACACCACCCATTCTGACTCAGTGCTGGTGAGTGAGATTTATCTAGGAGGTTTTTTAGGTGGCTGTTCTTGAATCTCTTCTTGCTTGGTGCTGCAACTGTGCGTCAGGCAGCACCTCAGGAATGGGACTCCTCTTAGGAGTTGTAAATTTCAGTTTCCTGGTGCCATTCTCTTATCTTTTGTGCTGTAGGTGGTGTGGTATATGATACTTGGATCTGAGAATCCCAGAATCTTAGAAAGCTCCTGCATGGATTTGGAAGTGGGGAATTGTGGATGTGTGTCTGGCTCCCTCATTTTCTTTGCCCCCCCCCCCTTAGAGGTGAAGTGAGGATGCTCATCTTTAGCAGCATGTGTTTTCAGGGTGCCCAACTTGCCTGTTATGAGCATAAATGTAAAGCTACAAAGCCATCCGCATGGAGGCATGTTTTCATGGGCTTAGGTGATGAGGAGGGATTGATTGGGGTAACTAGCTTTTCAGGGCATAGTGAGCTTAGGATTGTTGCTGTCCAAATGCAACGCATGCAACTTTTAGGGGGTCCTGCTTGCACCCCTTATATAACTTTTCCAAAATCTGCCAGAGGAATAGCCATATTGCTCTGTTGCAGAAATAGCAAGAAAGTATACTGTCATGGCACCATAAACACTGGTAAATTAAGTATGCCATGGGTATTTGTGGTATATGAAAACGTATCAGTAATTTTTATGCATGTCATAAAAGTTGGGGATGGGATGTGTCACCCTCCGGGTGTTGCTAGACAACAACTCCCATCATCCCTGACCCTTGGCCATCCGTCTTGGAGCTGATGGAAAGTGGAGTCTCGGCAACATTTGGAGATCTGCAGAGTCCCTGTAGCTGACTTATGTGCTGCTCAGAGGGTTTGCCTTTCTTCTCTAGTACTTCATGCATGTTCTTTATGAACAATCTGGCCCTAAAAAAGGAGGCTCATGTTAAGTAAAATCATATGAGGCCCTTGTGAGTCTTATCCTCATTCCCTTTAGAATGCAAATTATTCTAGTTGTGACGGACCAAAGTGCTTTTCTAAGAGATTCTGATTTAATGTGGTATAAGACTAGAGCTATATGCATCATTAGCTATTTTTAAAAAATAAAATCTCGGAGGTAAGGTGTTATCCACAGTGTCCTGCGAAAACTGAAATATTCTGGTTTCTAAATGTTGCCTTTTTCTTGTTTTAAGAGCAACAGTGATAAAAGGGGCAGATAAAAATACTTGCATACGTGCAGCTGTAATAATAATATAGGAAAAGATGGTGGCAAAGCAACAGACAAGTGTACAGCATGAATCTTTAAATTTTTGATGTCAGGTTTCTGCCCATTTATTATTTTGTGTAGAGAACATCCTTTCTGCCCTGTGCAGGCAGCAGAATGATCTACATAACCAATGGAAGAACATTGTAATCTTCCAGGACACATTGCTGCTGACCTAAAAGTTGAATTACTCAGCAAAGAAACTTCAAAGGGGGACTTTGCTCTGAACCTGTAAATCTGGATGTATTTGTTGAGGCCTGAAGCGAGACAAGGGCTTCCTCAAACAATACAGGCGTTAATTAACATAAGCTTTAAGTAGGAAGGTTGTGCTTTCACTAACCAAGATATTGTGAATGATAACTGCACTTGCTTACGTTCAGTCGTTATAATTGTTTGGCCGTACTATTTACGCAATTTTATGCTAAGTCTTCCTTTTGTTTTTTAGAGAGAGAGGCATCACCATGACTGAGAACGATGTTGACAATGAACTTCTGGATTACGAAGATGATGAGGTGGAAAACCAGGCAGCTGGAGATGGGGTGGACGTCCCAACTAAGAAAGATGTCAAGGGGTCCTATGTCTCCATCCACAGTTCTGGCTTCCGGGATTTCCTGTTAAAACCAGAGCTGCTGCGTGCCATTGTTGATTGTGGCTTTGAACACCCCTCTGAAGGTGAGCCCGGGTGCCTTGTCTGCTGGGGATATTTCGGAAAGTTAGCAAAGGAGGGCTGAATGTAAGTGCTTCTGAAATCCCTGACCTGCCAGGAGGCATTCATTGTACTTTTTCATATTCTCCATGCAGTGCAACACGAGTGTATCCCACAGGCCATCTTGGGCATGGATGTCCTGTGCCAGGCCAAATCTGGCATGGGCAAGACTGCCGTCTTCGTTCTTGCCACACTACAGCAGTTGGAGCCAGTCACTGGTCAGGTATGTTTCAGAAAGGAAAGCAGTTTTTCAAGATGGTGGATGGGTGCTGAGGAGGGAGCCTGATAATCTGCCAGCTTAAACAGACCTGAATGAGAGCCTGCTAGAGTGACGGAAGTAACCAGCAGGGGCTTCTTATAACGTACTTCCTCCTTCCTTCACAGGTGTCGGTGCTGGTGATGTGTCACACCCGTGAGTTGGCCTTCCAGATCAGCAAGGAGTATGAGCGCTTCTCCAAGTACATGCCCAGTGTCAAGGTGAGAGCCAAGGGGCTGCCACAGCTGTTGTCCCTGCTCAAGTCCATGTACAGTGGTACCTCGGGTTACATACGCTTCAGGTTACAGACCCTGCTGACCCAGAAATACTACCTCGGGTTAAGAACTTTGCTTCAGGATGAGAACACAAATCGTGCTCTGGCGGCGCGGCATCAGCAGGAGGCCCCATTAGCTAAAGTGGTGCTTCAGGTTAAGAACAGTATCAGGTTAAGAACGGACCTCCGGAACGAATTAAGTACTTAACCCGAGGTACCACTGTACAGTGTTTTGCCTGCATGGTAGTGAACAGTAGAAAATATACCTAAGAGAACGGTGGGAGAGGTTTGGACGATTTCATGGCTTTGGGGATGAAACTAACACTGGAGGCAGTTTCCGTCAGTTACTTATTTGACAGAGATTGCATCCTGCTTTGATTTATTTTTACCCATTTCTGCACCCTTGGGGCGTTTGTCTCTCCTGGCTGCCAGCCTTTATTTGAGAGTTCTCTCTCTCTCCCTCCCTCCCAGGTGGCGGTGTTCTTTGGGGGCCTGTCCATCAAGAAGGACGAAGAGGTGCTGAAGAAGAACTGCCCCCACATTGTGGTGGGGACCCCGGGCCGCATCCTGGCCTTGGCCCGCAACAAGAGCCTCAACCTCAAGCACATCAAGCACTTCATCCTGGACGAATGTGACAAGATGCTTGAGCAGCTTGGTGAGGGGCTGTGTGCATGTGATCCGTGGGGGTTGGGCTTAGTAGTTGGGACAGCAAGGAAGGTAATGCTTGGGTCAGCCGAGTGTCCATGCTTTTGACTTCTTAGAAGCTGTGTTTTCCAGAACAAGAGGAAGAATGCTAACTTTCTGAGCACGTTGGGTTAGATCCAGGGCTGTTCCTTTTTGTGGAAGGGGCTGTTATTTCAGTGGAGGCTCCTGCTGAAGGAAGCTGGGGAAGTGCTTTTGCTAATGCTTCCACTACTGCTCTGTAGGGAGGGAGGACTGCTGGGGGAAGGGGGAATCTCTGCAAACTGTCTTGCCTCCCCCTTCTTCCAGCAAAGCATTGTGTGAGTGTAACGCTACAGAGTGCAAGTCAGGAGCCAATCCAGAGAATGTACAAACAGCATCAGATACAGATTATACAGATTATATCACATACAGATTTACGATACAAATCGTAAAGCAGTAGTACAGTTATTGGCCAGCTGAAGCAACAGAAGATAGACAGGCAGACAGTAACGTATGGGCATATACCCCTTAAAAAGTTGCCCATACTCTTATCATGAATACTCAGTCCTCTGGAAAAAAGCACCATAAGAGCTATTAAGTGTTTGTGAGAATAACTTCCTTACGTGGATATGATCTGGCAGTGGAGGAGAGGAGACCTATTGGGTTTCTGGGGTGGCACATTCCTGGAGAGAGCCATTTCTAACCGTCTGGTCCTTTTCTTCCTCGCAGATATGCGCCGGGACGTCCAGGAGATCTTCCGCATGACCCCGCACGAAAAGCAGGTCATGATGTTCAGTGCCACACTCAGCAAGGAAATCCGCCCTGTGTGCCGCAAATTCATGCAAGACGTAATTAAACCCCTTCTACCTTCTTTATCCACCTGGCCGGCCGGCCAGCCTCCCTTCCTCCCTGTCCAGGGAAGGAGCAGGGGGCCAGAGCTTAGACCGCCACCACTGCCTACAGCACCCGGGGCTGCACCGCTGCCGCCCACCGGCTACCCCAGTCCCCCTAAGGCACTTGTAGGGCACATACCTTCCGGAAGATCATTCGGGTTACGCTAGCCAGCCGCATATTTGCACACACGAACGAGAGGCCTCTCCCAAAAGGGCTAGAGAGCACCCACACACCATGATCATCCTCTGCCCAGCTGGCACACACGACCTAGAGAGTGTCCACGTTAGCGATGGAGGGGATCCATTCCAGAAGGATCCTCTTCCCGCCTCCACACTTGGCGGGTGGCGCAGAATACACGGCGCCCCCCTGCTCTTTATCCTGTATTCCCTGCACTCCCTTCAGCGTGGGATCCACCTGCTGGTCAGCACCGTGTTCCGAAGATCCTGGCCCACACACACCCACGTTCAGAAGATCCTGGCCCCCTCACACCCAGGCAAGTGTAGTTTTCTTGGCTCCTCACCCCCATGCATTGCGCTCGGGTACACACGCACCGGCAGCACGCACGCACACAATCCTGCCCTCCTTGCCCTGTCCTGCCCTGCCCACTCACTGGCTGGCACTCTGGAGACCTGCGGCGAAGGACTCCCCGAGGGATCCAAGGGACCGGCAGCAGCCAGTGGAACAGACGTGCCTGGCGACCTGGAGGAGAAGTTTTATCCTTTTTTTGTTCTGAACTGGGAAAAGCGTGCTGTTTTATTTTCTATTACCCCTTTCTTCTCTGTCCCCACCCCCACCCCTGTGCCATGTGGGAAAGGGATTGTCTTGAGGGTCCTCACTGCTGGGGGAGAGGGAAGTAAACTGCTTCCCCTGCAAAAAAAGAGCTGTCAAATCATGGCTGGACGTAGCGGCTGTCCGAATGCCAAATTAATCCTGAAATTAATAGGATTTGTGAGGCAGATAGTGGGTCTGTGGGGTCAGGTGGAAAGATGAGTTTCTGGAAGGGAATGGGCCATGTGGAATCTGCTTCCCATGTGTACTTTGCTGACCCTTGATTCCAAGCACCAGAGTTTGGGTAACTAGATAGTTGGAAATTGCAGGGGATGTGGTACATGACTGGACCCGGAGCCCCTGTTTGCTATTAGGAAGAAGCCTGTGAGGGATGCGCAAGGCCAGAATGGTTTAGGGGGTTGAAATTGCTCAACATGCACTGACTTCTTTCCTGTGCTGTTGCTTTTCCTTTTTTTTAACACTGTGGGGATTGGGAGGAAATCGTAAAGGAAGGCATTTGAGTCTTGTGTTTCATTTCATACCCTGCCTAATCTTGAAAGTGGCTAACGTTTTAGTGCTTTATAAAGGAGGAGAATCTTAAGAGGTGGCAGTGTTAGCCTTTCCCCCAGAATGCTTTGCAGGGAATGTTCATTGCTGAGCCGGGAGAAGCATCTCACAGGATCCTTCGGATGGAAGCTTTTGGCTTCTTAAGACTTACTGAAAGCGGAAGGGAGGGTGGGGTGTCCCTTCATTTTTCTGATCTTTCCTAAGGGAACGTAGGGCCGTGGGCGTGTATGCGGCGAGGGAAGCTGTTCCTGTGCCCGTTTTGTGCTTCTTGTCCACCCCGACCCACCCCCTCCCTCCGAGCCCAGGTCAGCCTTGCCCTGGTCTAACCGGCCCTGGGTTTGCTCCTCAGCCCATGGAGATCTTCGTGGATGACGAGACCAAGCTGACGCTGCATGGTCTGCAGCAGTACTATGTCAAACTGAAAGACAACGAGAAGAACCGCAAGCTCTTTGACCTGCTTGATGTGCTGGAGTTCAACCAGGTGCCTTCTGGAAGTAGACCCTGCCCCAGGGTCAGGGTTTCTCGCAATGTGGGAGGGACCAGAATTTGAAATGTCCAGTCCACATTTAAAGATTAAGAGGGTTGACTTGGTAGAATGTGGGGAGCCTGCTTCCGATCCTTTTCCTGGCTAGATGCTTGATCTGAGTCTCACAGGCTGAAATTAAAAGCTTAATGTTGTCCCGCATGACGACCACAAAGCGACCCGCCTTGGGGATAACCTGACGGTGGAGAAGTTGGGCTCTGCCTTCATGGCTTCCTATGAGTGCAGGCTCCATGCCCGCTCCGACCATTTTCGAGGGGGGACTTGGCAGGAGGCGTGCGCTGAACATAAACCAACATCCCTTCGCTATCAAGGGGCAGCTGTGAATAGATGTAGGAGTGACACGTCGCTTTCCCATCTAGGTGGTGATCTTCGTGAAGTCCGTGCAGCGCTGCATCGCGCTGGCTCAGCTGCTAGTGGAGCAGAACTTCCCGGCCATCGCCATTCACAGGGGTATGCCCCAGGAGGAGAGGTGAGAAGGACACAGAACCGTGACACGGGGTTGCTGGTCGAGATGCAGGTGGCTCATTTGCTGTGATGAGTTTGCTTCAGACTAGAGTCTCTGACTCTTTCGGTGATGCTTTTCTAAGCTCTGAGCAATGGTCACTGTGCTACGTTGCTGAGACATAGATAAAAGTTCCTCCTCTTGTAGTTTGTTGGCAGGAGATGATGTTTAACGAGTGGGGTCCGGGACAAGAAAACACTTAATAATGCGAATCATCTGGGTAAAGTTGATGCAGACATCCACTTTCTTGGCATCTGAATCATCTTTGGGATGGGGTGGGTACAGAGAAACATTTTCTTGCGCTTGACATTTTGGAGCTGGGAGACCAATCCTTACATTTAGCAAGATGCTCGTTTGGGTCAATGTGATCTTACACGCCTAGTCATGGGAGGGGTTAGCGGACAAAATTTTTCATAGGCTGATTAGGAGCTGAAAGTCTAGTTCGTAACCAGGGAATGTGAGCCTTTTAAGGACAGTCGCGTCTGGTGGGTTAAAACATAGGCTGTGTGGGAGTTGTGTTTTCTGTACGGTGGCTGTCTTACTGCTTGGTTGGCTTCCTCCTCTCAGTCACTCCAGAAGGCAGGACTGTTTACATTAAGCAAGCAGCAAGTCCTCTGTGAGAGAGCATCCTCTTTCAGTTGTTTGTCCTGCCTGCTCCAGGAGAGAGGTGGAAGCATAGCTCATGTTTGGCGTAGGCCATTTGTGTGCGTCTTTGTCTGGTTTTTTTGCCTCCTATTTGAAAGGGTAGTTTTGTCTGGTATGGTAGAACAAAGGGGTGGGAGTTGTCTTTCTGGTGTTCTACTAAGAGGTGGGGTTTCTAGGGGGCCTAGAGATATTAATCACTTTATTTTCTTGGCCTCGCAGGTTGTCTCGATACCAGCAATTCAAAGATTTCCAGCGCCGTATCTTGGTGGCCACCAATCTCTTTGGTCGTGGCATGGACATTGAGCGGGTCAACATTGCTTTCAATTATGATATGCCAGAGGATTCGGACACCTATCTGCACCGGGTGAGTGTGGGGCTAGCGAGAAAGTAGATTCCAAACCTCAGCTTTGAGGCCCAAGTTCGAAAGGATAGAAAAGTCCAAGGTGATGTTGCGCTGATGAGTTTGCTCAGACTAGAGTCTCTGACTTGTTTTGATGTCTCTTCAAGCCCTGAGCAACACCCGTGGTAAAGGTGGGTTTTTACGTGTCCCGGTGCCTCTTGCTTTCAGTACTTTACCTTGGAGAGAACAGCCTCCTTTTGGAGAAGTACAGTGGTACCTCAGGTTACATACGCTTCAGGTTACAGACTCCGCTAACCCAGAAATGGTATCTCGGGTTAAGAACTTTGCTTCAGGATGAGAACGGAAATCGTGCTCCGGCAGCAGCAGGAGGCCCCATTAGCTAAAGTGGTGCTTCAGTTTAAGAACAGTTTCATGTCGGAGCCAGCCGTTACAAATGGCGCAATTTAGCATAAAATAAAGACACAGAGAGCCAGCAATATTTTCATGATGGTATGAGCAGCTCCTTTCGAACTTCCCTCTCCTCCTGCAGCTTTTTTATTATCCTTTTTTCCTCTCCAGCCGCATGGCCGTTTGCCAATGTCTCACATTACCTCATCCGGTCAAGGCTTTTATTGCCCCCATCACCATATAGGGTCATCACTGCCCAGAGGAAACACAACTCCAATACATTCCAATACATTGTAAAGCTCAGAGTGCTGGTCAGCCGAGGTCAGGGGGCACCCTGCAATATTACAAGCCTTTACCGTGGCTTTATGACTCCCACAGTTTCAGGTTAAGAACGGACCTCCAGAACGAATTAAGTACTTAACCCAAGGTACCAGTGTACCGGGAAATACTTCCACAGGCACTTGGGCCCATCTTCTCCTTTGTGGCTTCCGCAGGTGGCTCGTGCTGGGCGCTTTGGCACGAAGGGTCTGGCGATAACTTTTGTGTCGGATGAGAATGATGCGAAGATCCTGAATGAAGTGCAGGACCGCTTCGAGGTGAACATCAGCGAGCTCCCTGATGAGATTGACATCTCTTCCTACAGTAAGTGCAGCCTGAGACCTTTGATGGCGGTTGGAATGAGGAGGGGAGATTTAGACTGCTGGAAGAGCTTGTTATTGGAGGTATAAATTGACTGAATGCTGGGAAGCTGCTTTATGCCATTAGTCCATTTAGCTTAGTATTGTCCACACCTATTGGCTGCATTTTTCAGGCATAGGCCATTTCCAACCATGTACATGCCAGGCATTGAACCTTTGAGCCAGGTGCTTTTATGTTCTGAGGGCTCTCCACTTCAATCTAAATTTGAGGAATTGGATGAGCCGTATGAGAGGGCAAGGAACACTTGGAAGAAAAAATGTCCTATGAACTGATCTTCTGGAAGTCACTGTGAACAGACCACTGGCTCAGTGGGAGTTGCTATTTGCCATGTGGAATTGGGGAGGGAAGTACTTAGTTTGGTAAAGGAGGACACTTTTCTGCAGAAGACTTTTGAAAGATGCTGGAAAGATTTTTCAGAAACATTAGAATTGCATGGGCAGCCTAAGCTTGTTTGCTGTGTTCCGTCTAACGTGCTTTGTCTCTTTCAGTTGAACAGACCCGATAAAGGGGGCTTTGCCTCTTTATGTTGCCCTTGGTTTAAATTCCTGACCTCCGCCGCTTCCCTGGAGCTTCACGTTTTTAATTTCATCTGATGGAGAATGAGGTGACCGACAAGTCTGGAACACTCAAACCACACCCCACTCCTGCGGCAGGGATAGAGGAGCATCTTATCACTAGGCTGTGCGAAGTGGGGAGTTGGGGCTGACATCAACAGATATCCTGCGCTCCCTGAGGGCAAAAGTCTCATTGCTCAGCATGGCACTCAGATGACAAAGAAGGTTCTGCTGCTGGAGCCTGCACATGAGACCTCCTTTCAGATGGACCTCCACTGCCTGCCTGCCAACAAGATTTTGGGACTCCACCTATTGCTCTGTCCCCGCCCCTCCACCCATACATCAATACTACCAGTGATCTGCCTCTGTGATGATGGGAAGTACGAAAGGGGAGTTTAGTTGGGGGTGCTCTGTGATACCTGACATTTAAAAGTACATTTTGTTTTATAGGGAGGGGGGAATTCCTTGGATGGGGAACTAAAAACACAAAACATTTTTTCGTACGCCCGTTCATCATTTTTTAAAAAGACTGTTTTCCGTATATGTGCGTGTGTGTGTGTGTTATGTATGCCCTATCACTTTTTAATTTTGTCTGCATGTTAAAAATTAATCCCCTGTTTAAAGTTGATATTTCTTGGCAGGTAAACTAGTAGTGAAAGATTGATAATGTTTTAGTTGTGGCTTGTTCTCTCTTCCCCATCCCCCTTTGAGACCCTATTATTTTTTGGTAATAAAGGAGCCCAGCTCTTATGGGTGTTGAATTAAACTAGTCTTGTGAGTAACCTTTTGCTGGTGTGGCTTCATTCTTTAGGGTAGGAGCATCTCTTGTGCATTCTCTTCTTTCTCTCTCTTTCTCTCGGGGGTGTGTGTGAGACAGAGAGAGAGAGAGAGAGAGAGAGAACTGTTTTCTTGGAAAGATACACATGCACACTGAATATGTGAGACATTATTTGAAAGAATTCTTTAAAGTTCACAGGAGCGCACACAGAATAATTTTAAAAATAAATATACCATATTTTTCCGTGTATAACACGTCCCTATTTTGGGGGACTCCAAATTAAGAAAATTGGGGGGGGGATTGTTGTTTAGCTTTTGGTGTGGAGATTAGCTCAGAGTTAAACATACTTTTAAAATAACAAACCTTTGTCTTACACATTGAAAAGTACAGCAAATGAAGCAGGACAAAATACTAGGTCTTGTCTAATCGGTTGCTTAATATACTCTGGAAGGCCTGTGTGATGAAAGCGAACTTAATTGACACTAGATCGACCTTACATTGTAAGCTCCCAAAAGCTAAGCTGGGCACAGAAGGGATGGAGGGCTTGCCCTCTAGCCCCCCACCCCACCTAGATTGAAATGTCAGTTACTGGTTGGTAAAGGTAAAGGGACCCCTGACCATTAGGTCCAGTCGTAGACGACTCTTGGGTTGCGGTGCTCATCTCGCTTTACTGGCTGAGGGAGCCGGCGTACAGCTTCCGGGTCATGTGGCCAGCATGACTAAGCTACTTCTGGTGAACCAGAGCAGCACACGGAAACGCCATTTACCTTCCCGCCGGAGGTATTGATCTACTTGCACTTCGACGTTCTTTCCAACTTCTAGGTTGGCAGGAGCAGGGACCGAGCAACGGGAGCTCACCCCGTCACGGGGATTCGAACTGCCGACCTTCTGATCGGCAAGTCCTAGGCTCTGTGGTTTAACCCACAGTGCCACCCGCGCTTATTAGTGCTTAAATACCGTATATACTAGAGTATAAGCTGACCTGAATATAAGCCGAGGCACCTAATTTTACCACAAAAAACTGGGAAAACTTGTTGACTCAAGTATAAGCTCGTTCACCACACCACAAACCACCTGGTGGGCTGGAGTGCATGTGTGCGTGCGCATGCACCCACAGCAGAGGCGGCTTCTCTCCCCCCCGAGCCCCTCCTATCCCCCGCCTACTAGGGTGCTGCCTAGAGGAAGAACAAGCAGCCCAAAAGGGCTGCTTTTGGGCTGCTCGTTCCTCCACCGCCAGCAGAGGAGGAGGAAGGAGCAGCCTAAAAAGGCCCTCACTCGAGTATAAGCCGAGAGGGACTTTTTCAGCATAAAAAAGTGGGGACAGCAGGTGCAATCCTAAAGTCATGGCTTAATTTTGATTTAATACGTGTAAGGCTTCACATCCTAAATAAACATACCAAAAAAATTTAAACGCTGGAAGGTAAACAATTGGTTAGATTCTCAAGTCATTGGCTTAAATGCGTCTACTTAATTCCTTCAGTTTCTAAAAGCTGCTGCAAAATTCCACTGACAGCTAGCATCAAAAGGAAAGGGGGAGTATCCCAGCTGGGTTTTCCTTCCAACCTCATTGTGCGTTGCTTGAAGTTATTATTTCACTGCTTTTCTCCATTCCCCTACTACTGACTTAAGCAAAAGACGATTCTGCCCCTTTCCAAACCATTACGGAGCAGACTCCACAGAAACAAATACATTCACCAAACATTTAATCACCCAAACTGCTGCTTCCCCCTGCAATTTTTTTTATTCATTTTATAACACAAAAGACAAACAGAAAATATGAACAAATTCTTGTCATATCCTTATTTTTCTAAACGTCGTTAAGTGGGCTTCCCCAAGTCCCACCTATCTGATTTTCATTATACTTCATCTTTAGCAGTTTACATATATCATAATTTCCAAACTGCTTCTTTCACACCCGGCCATCCTTGTTTCCTTCTCCAAGTGAGAACCTGGGGGTGTACCCCACTTTTGGCTGTGGTCCTGCACAGTTTGAACAACCCCCATAGGAATTGCAAATCAGGTGTGGTTTTTAAAGGGGATATTATTTGCTTGCTGAGCATAAAAGTCCCAGGGAGACTGGCCCCCTCTGGAATTTGCGGGAACTATCCAATGGCCAGTTCAGGCCTGCAGACAAAAGCTGTTAAAAGGTGATTATTACAGGGGTTTGTCTTAATTACAGTAACACAACTCTGCTTAGGCTGGGAAAGGCTTCAAGGTAGGCGGTTACCATAGCAATGGAATCGCCCTCCCTTCCCCCAAAATAGCATGTGCAGTGGCTGCAAGGCCCCCTATTCATTTCTATGCTGACCTAACAAGTGCCTGAAAAAGGCCACTGGGGTTATTAAAACAGCTCTCTGTGCGTTAATACCCTGAAATATCTTACTCGTCCTTGTGATCGCACTTCCAGTTAAAACTACTTAATAGGGTACAATATAGCATCTTTGATCCCTGAGGGAAGAGAGGTGGGATCCTGTAAAAACAACTCTTTGCAGCTCTTATATCTGTTCACTGAATTGGTAAAGGATCTCCTTTTGATATTCCTACAGAGATGTGCTTTTAAGAATAGTCTTTTCTCTGTCTCAGAACAGAGTCTTTCCCCTCCTTTTTTTGCCCATTTGTCATCTTTTATTTAGCAATGTATGGGACTTCCGGGTTGGCGCCATCGGTAATGGCGGATTCCCTCTGAGTCTCTGAGGGACCAGCTCCGCGGGATCGGGTCTGACCGCTGCGGCGAAGCGGGGACCCTTCAAAAATCACAGGCGGGTGAAGCCTGTGAATGTGGGGACTCCGCGGGCACCTTTTGCGCCCCCCCAAACTGTGAAGGGACCCTTTTAAGGGCTCCGGAGCGAGACGGGGTGAGTGGCGCGGTGCTGAGAGTCAACTGCTTCTTCCGCGGAGTGAAGCTGCACAGCCGTTATCGGAGAGCGCTGACTTTTTCCTGGGACAATTTGACTTCGAAAGTAACTACCCGTGAGTAGGATTAAATTGGATTTAAAGGGATAAACAATTCAATTCGGCACCGAAGCGGGAAGGTATAAACAAGAAGTCCGCCTTCCTTTCTTGTAAACAGATCAAAGCAAAGAGACTGTAAGCGGAAACTCTGAAAGACGTTTGAAAAAAGACTTAAATCTTAACATCAGGAAAGCGATCTCCCCTCCGGATTGCAGGAGAGGAGGGGGGAAAGGTTCGAACTGTATTTAACTGCAAAAAAAAGAGGGGAAGGAAGCTAAAATCCACCGCTTAGAGCCTGGGAACGGACTGCCCTGAGACAAGGAATGCCGCTCTGTGAAAAGCACTATCGGTAAGCAGAGGACTTTTGACAGCTAACTCTGCAAGAGAGATACAGTGTTTCTGGACTTCTCCTGGCTTTAAAGTAACTGATTAAGTGCAACTGAAACTGTTGTTTTCTTGCGAATTGGGGGACTTATAAGGACTATTTTCTTAAAGTTGCAAGCTTTGGCTGCTACTGTGTCCCCCTAGAGGAAGCCTGACATTGCTACAATAACAACTGGGCTAGGGGAATTTTCCATTTCAAAACAAATTCCAGCCGTGGGATCGACCTTGGACTCCCATGAGAGTGTTATGGCAGATGGAAGAGGAACGTTAGAGTTGACTCAGGAAAAAACTACTAGGTCTGGCAGACCCTATCGGACAGATACTGCGTCGCAGCGAAGAGCTTCAACATCTGGTCCTTCTGGACCATCTGGATTACCAGGGGCTGCACCTCCACAAGTTAAACTAAAAGTAATGTCGTCCGAAGACGTTTTGGCTCAGGCACTAGGGGAAATTAATGAATCTTTGGAAAATTTAACTAAACAAGTAGCTGAAACAAATAAACAAGTAGCCGAAGCATCGGTTAAAATTGACCAAAATACTACAAGCATTAATAATTTGGGACAGAAGGTGAATACCAACACAGAGTCTATTGAAAAATTGCTACAGGAATCTGCTTTGACCCGAAATACAGCCGAAGAAGCGAAAGATATAGCAACTGCCACTCAAGAGAAGATACCACTGATATATAGGCAACTCGAGGACCACGGTTTGACATTGTCTATGATTGAATTGAAGGAGAAACAAAGAAATTTAAGAATCAGGGCTGTACCAGAACTTGAGAAAGATAACTTGACTGACTTTCTTACGCAGGAATTTGCAGATTTCTGGCAACAGGAT